TTAAATAAATTTTGCACCAAAAGAATAAAAACAAAAAGCAACGGGGAGAAAATGACTTTTCTGTATGCTTCTTCTTTCTTGATCTTATTGATAATAAGAATAAAGGGAACTTTATTTCATCGATTACTGAATTCGTGTCTCAACTTCGATAGAAAGCACAATAAGGAAAACGATGGACGTGAAAAACTTTCGACTTTTGTCTCTTGACTGCATATCTAGAATAACAACATAAATTGTTGATCAACTTTTCATGACAGCAGCAGCCTGAGGGCCGCTTCTGCTTGTTGAAATGAAAGAAGTTTTTTTTCTTAAACGTTCAATAACGTTCCATCTACACAACCAAAAATCTATCAACAACGTTTTATAATAGAATTTTCTGTCAAGCTTTTTATAATCGAATTAAGCAATTTTGCATAAGTCCCGCTTCCTTTGTTATGTAATTAAATTTTACATTGGATGGGTGCTAACCATCGAAATATTCATCTAGTAGCGGTTATGGGAATAGCGTAAACATTATGAGCCAATAAACATTGACGAATGAATAAAACAAATGCCTAAATTTTCTGAAATTAATGCTCGCAAATCAAATTGAATTTTAATTTTTCTCTCTATAGCAGTGATGAATTTTATGAGCCGTTGATGTGGAATTGATTCATGAAGGTGGAGATTTTAAACGAGCATATTTTATTTTTTGCAAAAACCACAAAAAAGGGTTTAAATGATTAAACTTGAATCAGTCTTTATGTCAACGCAATTTTTTTTCTGATTACGAAAATTGAATGAAAGTATTTTTTCATTCTTCTCACAATCAAGGAAGTGGTTAATGACACGGAAAAATGTTAATTTCTCTATTACAAGTGTAGGTGGAATGGGAGGACTAAGTAGAAAAAAATTGTTAGAAAGTTGTCATTTTTATTCTTGTCTTTTTGTAAAATCTAAATTTTCATGATGAGCTGTTTCATTGCCATGGAAATTTCAAAGTTCGCATAGACTCCATGAAAAGATTGACTATAAGGCGTTTTTAAGATCTTGAGGAATCATGTTTCGAATATAAATAGACGTTAATAAACTTTATTGAGTTTCACAATGGGTGCGAGCGAAACAAAAGCAATTTCGGAAAAGAATCGATTACAAATTTCATTGAACTAGTATTTAAAATAAGTCTCTAAGATATTTGCTTTCATCTCACATCCTTCAAAACAACATAAAGAACAACTTCTTTAATTTTGTTGCTCAAAAACTGTATTATTAGATATTGAAAAAGTTTAGTTATTCTTTTTTAAAGATGTTTCTTACTCGAATAATGTTAATCATTCCTATTGATGGTTTCGTTTTCGTTTTCATTTTCTTTCTATTTAATCATTCGGCATTAAATTTTGATCAAAATTATTGTTTCTATATCATTCGATGGCTGAATAAGGCTGTAAAAAATCGATGAAGCGCTCGTGTGGAATCGTCTTGATGATTTCCGGTACCGAATTCAACTTGGGATATTTTATTTGACGAAAGATTTTTCATTCGCTTATTTCTGTCACAAAATTCATTGGGAAACTCTGCAACGTCTTGTTAAAAAATAAAAAGATTTTTCCACTTATTAAATTTTCTTTAAAAGATATAGAAAAATATAAATTACAACTAAGATGAAACATAATGAAAATTATTAAATATTTACACAAACAATGAAGTTGAAAATTATTATCAAAAAAAAATCTCTTTAAAAATATTTTCACATTACGAATTTTCCTTTCCACATTTCATTCAGAATTTGAACACAAAAAAAGCTCATCAGAATACTACAAGTAAAGTCTGATAAACTTTTGATGAGCTTTTGGATATGAACTTACTTGATATCACAAAACCATCCAAATCTATGTACATATCTAACAATCTAATCATAGTCTGATTATGTTTGAGGGTAACAGACAATTTGTGTTTCTAATTTTCGACTCTGCTCTTGTTAATGAAAGTTTAGTGTCGAAAGATTGTTCACAGTTTCGTTTGCTTTTTTTTAATTCCAAACAGAATACAAAAATCGAGGGTGGGAAGAAAGAAAATTGGAAATGCAACACAAAACATCATTTGAAATTTAATTGTGAACATTATTGTATCTCGAAGCGTGAAAACTGAAAACAAACTCTTTCTACCCTTCATGCTCGAGCGCTTAGCAGTTTTAACCACTTAGCATCAGTCGATGGAATAATTGGTACGCTTCGATTGCAAATTAAATGAGTTTAAGGCGAGTGTTAGAGTTTGGGGGAAGTTGTCAATTTGAATAGAGAAAACGATTCATATTTATTTTAAGTATTCACCAAATCAACTCACTTGAAGTTTGAATAAGAAAATTGGAAAATTGACCAATTTTATCCTTTCTATAAATTGCTTCAGAATTTACGGAGTCTTCTCATGCAGCATGAAGATCAAGAAAGTTCACGTTGATTACGAATAAATGTTTGCTTGATTTCATCTATTCAACTTTTCGTCTTAAATTGCGCATTTTACTCTCATATTGATGTTCTTGTTACGATCACTTAAATTCATAATTCGTGCTTTAAAATTGAAAGGAAAAAAAATGAATGGCACATTATCTTAGTCATTAACATTAAAATTTGATTTCAACTCTTCGATGTTAACTTGACGTTTTTTTGAGCTTTGTACTTTTCGCAATCAATTCACCATGGAAATTAAAAGAGAAAAGAGAACAGAAAAGAACGGAAGTTAAAGCAAATTGACTTTTCTTTTTATTCGCTTTAACGGTGAAAGGCTAGGTAGGGTGAGAATCTACTGTGAATTCAGAAATGTCAACGTAATAAAGAGAGTTTTAAAAAAAGACTTTCTTCAATACTAACAAGTTTTAGATATTTTACAAGTGAAATAAACATAAAGACTTCATCATCCCAAAAAGAGACAGAATAAGAATAAGAAATTTAACAAAACCAGGCAAGTGGACAGTTTCGTTCATTCAAATGTCTCAGTTTCTTTCAAATCCAATAAAGATGAAGAATGAAGTGAATTTATGTTCTCTTTCCATCCTTCTCGTGTTGAATGTATAAACATTTGTCGATTTAGGAAAGTATAGAAACACTGTGGGGTGTAATTTGCCACATTTCCAGTCCCATAAACATTTCTCGTTTTTCTCTATCACGTCGTGACTTTCGTTTCCAACTGGAGTTTTATCGTTACTTTCCTATATGTATCCTTACTTATATGTGCGATTATGGCAAATTGAAATGACAAGTCTTTACAACTTTTTGCTATATAAACTACGCTATGGATGCCAACCCCTTACCATACAAAGCCTCCCACAGCTTGAAGAGAGAATATGTAGCACAAAACAAAAACGCAAATTTTCATTAGACTCATAAATTTGATTTAATTTCTTGGAAGAAATAATTCCATGAAGCACAATTAGTGGTAATTATACGAGTGTTTACTTTCCGCTCTAGCGGCAAAGGAAGCAAGAATTTGTGTGTGAATTAATTTCCGTCATTTTATGCATGTTTTGCTGGTATATATTGCGATTATGTATGGTACATGAATTTTTTCTAGCATCGTGCGTAAAAAGATAATGAGTTATACTTGTTGTTCTTGCTTTGTAAAAAGGAAGAAGAAGAAGGAGAAAAAAGTTTTAATCGATTTTGAGTTTGAGAAAATTTACAGGAAATCTTGAATCAAAAACTCGAGAAATGAAAATTTTATGGTTACGTGAACTTGAATCTCTTCCCATGATTCATTAAGATTAATATTCATGGTTCAGAAATGAAATTGTTTCTTCAAGTCAAGTGTTTGTTTTAATAAAAGATAAATAAACAAACAATTTCTAATCAAAGCTCAAAAATTAAAGTTAGGTACAGAACTTCGTCAGATGTCGTTGTTGTTATTATGTCATTTAAACTCCTACGTCTGACTTTGAAATGTTGATGTTCCAACTCATCTCCACCTCCAAAAAAACGTCTCTCTCAATTCTTGAAACCGACGGGTGTTATGGCAAACATATCGCTTATCCTGCCAATTTCATTTCTCATCTCGCTCACACTTTAGCTTGTTTGCATCAGGCACAGGAAAATATAAAACGTGTTAAACGGAAATCTAATGGATTATGGCAATTTGAATGTAGATTTCGGGGGAAAACTTTTGTATCATTGTCATAACAAAGAAAGAGCGAACGTGTAAGGGGAGAAATTGAGAAGCGCTGGTGTTTGGAATGTGATATGTGTCAATGTCAAAGAAGAAATCCACAATTGATCCAACTTTACAATTCGATTTTAACAATCGAATGTTCAAATTGAAAACTGTTGATGAGAAAATCATCATTGAATGTGATGTGCAAATTTGGTGAAATTGACGACTTTATAGTAGATATTTGATGTCAATCAATAATGATAGAAAACTGCCTTGAAAATATTAAAACCAAAAAGGTTTTACGTTGTTTAAGCAGCTTAAATTGTTGTAAATATTTTAATACAAAACATTATTCCATTATATGTAATCGAAAATTTCTTTTACAAATGACGACTTTGTCATTCAAAAATTGTGAGGTTTCAAATCCTTTTTGTACATTTTGTGTACATTGAATTGACGAATGAATACAAACAAGCATAAATATTTCAAAATCTTTGATTTGAATTGGTACAATCATATATTATTTCTCTTTATGGCATGTTGCTGTCATCTATTTGAACAGATCGAAACCATTAGAAAATGAATTCTCGAAATGTTGAAGAACTAATAACTAAGCTTTTATTTGAAAGTTCAGTAACATTTGCTTGACAAGCATTTTCATTTACGCAACGATATATTTAATCATTTATTTACATATTTTCCTCAACTGATATAACATAAATTTTGAGAAAGAAGAAAATTAAGACTTTTATTGCATTTTCCTTTCCTAAACTTAAATCTGGTTACTCACTCAAGAACGACAAAATTTTCGCATGAGAGAATCATCATTTCAATAAAAGCACAAGACTGAAACTACATGGCAACAAAAATGATAACAAGGAATTCAAGTGCTCTGAAATGCTGTAGATAAAACATTACACAAAAGACGAAAACGACGAGAACGACGAGAAGCAAGTTACTTCAACATTCATAAGATGCATTCAAAATTTAAATTATATAGTATCTTCAATGGAATAATTCATATAATACTTTTGCTAAACATACTGATGTACTTCAACAATGGCTTGGCTCAAATGCAATCGACAGAGAAGGCAGAAAAGAACGGTAAGTTAGTTAATATGAATTTTGTATTCACATATTATTGCTAAGGAAACAGTTTGTGTTCACATGTTTGTAAATGGAAAATAAAAGAAAATATTCTTTATGCACAAAGTGTGGTTGAAGCGGATCATTAAATTCAAGGTTTTTGAAATATTTATTTCTTTATTTATTTAGATTTATGTAGATTTATTTTCATATATGAAAAGAAATCAAATGTAATCGTTATAAATATTCTTGTATGTAGACTACCTAAATAGATAAGTATGAAAGATTAATAATTGATTAATGTTGAAGCATTCAGGATTTAATGAATACACAAAGTTTCATGCTGATCAATTCCTCAACTCATTTTTTTAGTGAACAGTTAAAAATCAATGACTTTTAATTCATGAATAATATTTACATTTTTTGAAGTACAATCGACAATAATAAAATTTGCTATACAGTGGAAGTTCGATAGACTCAAGGGGGCTCAGTTTCTTAAGGTTATCAGTTAATCAAGGCAATCTTTCATACAAATTAAAATTAAGGGGGAAAAATATCTGTTTATCAAGGCTCATCTGTTTATCGAAGTAACTGTTTATCGAAGTTTCACTGTACATAAATATATGAGAAGAGTTATGAAGCTTTCAATTTTTCATCGTTTCACTGAACCATTGTGCATAAAAAGCGGAAGATATCAACTTGAAACCAATAAAAACGTCATTGTGTTGCAAATTTGCTAGAAAGAGATATTTTTTGCGAGTTAAACAAATGTCATTAAAATATTATATTGTTCGCCTTTTCGTAACTTTCCTTAACGGTTTTTTGAGTATATTTAACTGGCTTCGTATATTTGGTATATTTTTTTCCTTCTCTCTCTCCCCCTCACACTCTTTTTCTGTTTCCTCCGCCATCCATTGTTTCCTATGAAATCCAATAAAAAGTTTTTATGACATTTTTATTGCAATTACAACTGGAGGGAGAAGAAAAATTGTACATAAAATTGTATAATTGAAACCCGAAAGCTTTTTCAATTTTTAATGTTTTTATGGTATTATGAACACTTGAAAGTTGAATGTGAACATGTTTAATGATATTTGTAACTTGGTAGTTTGACGTGTTCGCTGAAGTGTTCTTAATTAACTTCATTATGGAAATAACTTTGACTCTTCGTTATAAAATATAATTATGATACTTCTCGATTTAAGTTAATGTACTTTTAATTGTTATTACAGCAATCGATAAACATGCTGTTGAAGGAAGAAGAGTTTCCCTTCCTTGTCCTTTATCAGCTCCGTCCAGAGATAAGGTTTACATGGTTCTTTGGTTCAAGAATGATGTTAAAATTCCCATGTACAGGTATGAAATATTTATCGAGACGAGACTGAGCTACATGTAAAGTCCAAATTCAATTACAGTTTCGATGTTCGAGGTAAGCCTTTGCAACAAGCAAGACATTGGTCAGCACCGGAAATTTTCGGATCTCGTGCCAAATTTAATGCTGATACTGATCCAGCAACTTTAGATATTGAAGTATGATCTCATCTAAAATTAAAATTTGATTCTCAATTCTTACGAAAGTGATTTTATTTTATGTTTTCCTTTAGGATATTCGACGTCATGATGAAGGAATTTATCGATGTCGCGTAGATTTTCGCACAAGTCAAACACAAAGCTTTAGATATAATCTGACCGTAATAAGTGAGTGGAATTGATGATATTAAAGCTTAATATATGGCATACAATTTAGAAAATATCATTTATTTATGTTGGTTGCTGGCTGTTTAATGTGTTGACGAGTGAAGAGAGAAAAAAAAACAGAATACGATCGAAGGATAAACGTTAGAGTTAGAAATATGCTTCTGACATGTTACTCAATCATAAAAGCTTGAAAATATAATTTTCTATTTTAATAACACACTTTGCCCTCACATGCCCTCGGAGCTTTCTTTCCTGTCTATAGTTTCTCCATTGTGTTGAGTTTCGAGCGTGCGGGGGTAAAATTTTCGGGTTTCCGCTTCCTAAACATGTCAGAACAACATTAAAAAACGTGCAATTTTCAACGCTAAATTTTACACAATTAATAAATATTATGACATGAAGAATGATTGATATTTTTCACTCTCTGTTTTTCCTTGCTCACGAATCAAAATTTTCCTTTTCTAGTTCCCAGGAAGCTTAGAAAATTGATTTCAGACATTTAACCGGAAACTTTAAAATTTTATTTTCTTTTATCTTTTTTTATTCTTTACAATAAAACCGAAACATTCATTATGGAAATCAAAGCTATTTATTCATGAAAATTATTTAAATTTTAATGCTTCTCATCCCGAAGATTAATTTGGAATTTTAATTCAACATCTTATCTCACAGTTTTACCTGAATATCCTGTGGTTTTGAACCGTCGGGGTCGTCCATTAAATGGAACGGTCTTAGGACCGAAGGAAGAAGTAAGTAATTGCGTAATTGATTCAAATTACATTTAATACTCAGACACGTTATGAAACAATTATTTTTTCCCTCCATTTTTTGTTTACACAGGGCGATGACGTTTTACTGACGTGTCGAGTTGTCGGTGGTAAGTTAAACTATTTATTTCAGTTATAATTAGAGTTTGCAAAAGTTAAATTTCTAAAATTCTCCCTACTGAAGGAGAGGAAGAAAGTGTTTCAAATGCTCATAAACTTAACCAGAACTTCAACCATTTCATGTTCATTTTAAAACTATTCGTAGTCTATAAACTTTTCCAATTAGTTGTATGGTGTAAAAGCACGCAAGGGAACTTTTTCAAAAAATTTCTAGCTCCTCAGCTTTAATTAAAAGTGCAGGTCAATCTGAAAATTAAATGCAAAGCTACCAATTTATCTTAATTCATCAAATGCAATTTAATTTTTTCGTTTTGAGTTGACAAAAAGTTTGACACGTTAATTCATTCAGATAATTAGATATGCAGGCGAATAAATAAAAGAAAATTTCATTTATGTAATCAATCAATTAAAATTTGAAATGTACATTGCGTGCTTGTACGTGTTTGTTTATTGTTCAAGTTTATACGATCAAAACTAGTTGTAGTTTCGCCATTTATGTTATGAAGATCTGTTCGAAGCTTTATCGAATATTATTAATGTTGAATGTTCAATTACTTGTGTAAATATAAATAATCAAACATGATATATTTAATAACGACGTTCATTAAAGCTAAGCATAAAATTCTCTTTCCTCCTTCACATAATAAAGGTTTAAAGCAACAACACAAAAGTTGCGAGAAGTTGCATAATAAATTCAGAAATTTTAATTTCATTTAAGAGCCAAAGCGAACACGCTCCATTCAGCAAAAATCCCTTGGCATATTTAGTGTGAACTCTAAAAATTAATGAAACGAAACGTGAAATTTTCTCTCGACTCATCTTTCCTGTAGAAATTCATTCTACATGATTCGATGGCAAATGTTATCCTTTTACATGATGAACATCCTCACCAGTCTTCCAGCATTTTCCTATACTCTTGACTTGACAAAACAAAGGAAACGAAGATATGTGTGGGTGGGTTGAAAGTTTTAAAAGTTTTTTTGGTTTGGTTTTAAGGTTGCTTTACAGCGACGAACTTAACTTGTTGGTGAACAACACAATACTTATTAACGATGCAAAATTATTCCACTGTTAGGTTTCATGCTGAATGTTCTTCGTTCCATTATTTGCAATCAGTGAAAGCGAGTGATTCTATAAAGGCAAAAGCGTACTCCAAATCTAGTTATTCATTCATTATTCTCCCATCCCAAAATTGTACATATCGTCTGAAACAAGCAAGTGGATTATTGTGATGTTTATCATGTCGAAACTTTCGTCGTGTTTCAATAAAATAATAATGAAGATTTTCTTACTGCAATGAAAAATACATTTTTGAATCTCGTGTAATTAAAAAGTAAATGGAAGAAGCTACCTAGCTGAAATCTTATCAAACGTGATGTGAATGAAATAGAAAAGAGAATTGAGTTCTTGTGATATCATAACTGTAGATAAACCTAAAGTTTGATTGTCATATTCAGACGAAAGCATTTATTGTTGAGGATAATATTTAAGTTATTGAAGCAAAAGCTGATCTGCTGCATTCAGCAAAATTTCATTATTTGTTTAATGGAGATGGTTTTAAACTAATAAATAAAATAAATCGATTGTTGTATTCTCATGCTATTTAAGCTGGCTTTTAGTAATTTCACATCGCTTTGTCTATCAAAAACATAGCCGAATATCTCATGCAGCAGATCGTTTCACCTTTTCAACCTCTCCCAAAATGAACTACGAAATCTATTCATCTGCAATTGGTTAATTGATGAAATTTCACTTAATTTTGTTTTGCAATTTTACATCTATTCATGCCAGTTCACATTCAAAGCGTGACTCACTCTTTTCCGCTTTATAAAAAGCTCAGTTGACAAACATTGCAATGGACATCCGGTGGTCAACGGTATTCGAATAAATGTCATTCATTTTGAGGCTTTGAAAATTCTGTTCTACTGCATGAAGAATTCAACTGAATGAGTACATAAATGGTTATGCTAAGTGACCCCCTATCCAATCCCTCCATCCACTGACCATTGTTTGTTGACGATATTCATGCAGCTTGCAGATTGTAACAGAGGAAAACAATTTCCTTTCATTTTATTTTTCCTTTTTTTATTATTCTGGATGTCGAAATTTTTTCACTTCATTTGCAATTCACTAATGAAATCATTTATCTAGTTGTAAACATGGAAAGCTGGTTGTTTATGAGACTTAATCCACGACAATTTTTCCATTTAGATTTTCATTATTCTTTTATCTTGTTATCTTCTCTTCTTAGGTCGTCCTACGCCAATGGTGCGTTGGCTTGTCAACGGTTTAATTGTCGATGAACAAGTAGAACAATCGACTGGTGATCTCAACGAGAATCGTTTGATGTGGCCTTCCGTTCAACGTTCTGACTTAAACTCGATATTTACGTGTCAAGCTATAAACACGCAGCTTGTTGAGCCACGTGAAAGCAGTTTCGTGTTGGATCTTCATCGTAAGTTCGTCATTATGTTAACATTTGAAATTTTTATCAATCTCTATTTACGTAAAACCGAATTAAAAACTTGTGTCGTCCCTTATTTAAAAACTTTCTTTTATAACAAAAATATTTAACTTTCTGAACATTTAATGGTCTCTTCCCATCTTTCCCTCCTTTTTTTATTGTTTTGTGGTAAACCCTTTTAAAAAGTTTCAAAACAACAATTTGTGATCAAATAAAAACTTGGACGAGATCGTTCAATTAGTTGGAAAATAAAATTTCTGCAAAAAAAAACAAAAATTAAAGTTTGTAAACAATAAAAGTGCACAGTTGAGACTTCCATTTATTCTTCTTTGTATTATTTAATGTAATTATTTACTAAGGGATACATTTAGTTCAACAATCATTGCACAAATGAGTTGAGATGAAAACTTTTACTCAACAAGCAAAATCTTTTGAAAACAAAGTCAATGAAATTTCAAAAAATTTTCTGTAAATATTTAATTGTATCAAACTTCAAAATATTTTCCTTGTAATTATCTCATTGCAGTGAAGCCACTTCAAGTGAAAATATTAAATCCAATGACTCCATTAGTGGCCGACAGACGTTACGAAGTAAGTTGTGAAAGTAGAGGCTCAAGACCAAACGCCATCATCACATGGTACAAGGGAAAACGCCAGCTGAGGCGAACTAAAGTGAGTAATGACTCCATTGAAAATGTTGTTGAAAACTTAATGACACTTAAGCCTTAAGTGCTACACTTCTTGCATCTATGAAGCATTGACATTTCAATGCAACGTTGAAACTTACATGAACCGTTGCTTGAAAACCATCGCCAAATAACGAAATAATTTTTCGATGAAAAATTCATCGAATAAAAGCTTTCACAAGTTTAGGTGAAAAAGTAATCAAATTTATTAACTTTTAATATGTAACCATGGTGCATTAAGTCTATCCAGTAGTAATTTATTCATAATATATTAGAGAGCTTTCCAATTTTCATCGTTGTCTTGTTCTACGACCGTTGCACGAACGATAAACTGTCACAAAGCATTAAGGTTTCTAATGCATATGGACATGCATGTATTTGCAGTCATAGTTAAGCATTTGAGTAAAATTTTTACCTTTTTTTAAATACATTTTTCAATTAGACACGACGTCTATTTGAAAGGTGTGAGGGTGATAAGAAAGCGCTTTCTTTCCCACTTTCTTTCAACATGTTCATTTATAAAAACGAGAGAGAATTAATCGTGTTTAAGCCTCTCCAACTTCCTTGTTTCACTGAATCTTAACAAGATTCATTTCCACATTCGAAACCTTTTGTTTCATGTTGAATAGAAGTGAACAAGAGATGACGATGAACAGAAAACGCAAAAGAAAGGAAGTTTCCAACCAAGCTCTGCTATATTTATTGCCAGCCATTGTGAGAACAAATTGAGTGAGTAGGTATTCGATATATTTAATATCATGCGGGGGAGTGAACCCAGGAAGTGTCGCATGAATGTGAAAGCAATCAACCCAAATTGGGTACGTGAAGTAGAAAGAACAATAAAGAAAAGAGGAAAAAAATGAAGACGAGAATTTATTTGTGGAAAAGCTTCCCCTTTTGTCCTTCGATAACAAGCTGTACTCGAGCTTATTAATTATTTATTCTTGTATACCAACCAAAGCTTATGTGAAGCGCTCACAAATGATTTTTCTTTTTCATCAAAAATGATTCAACGATTTTATGTAATTACTGCGAGGTTGAATTTGAAGGGAAGGAATTTCAATAAAACTTCAGGAAAATTAATTTACGATGACAATGTTTCCTCCCTTAAATTATTTCGCGACACTTATCAACATTAAAATTTAAACTTCCCACTGGCATCATAGAAAATTAACTCGATTAGTGATTACAAAATTATTCATGTTGAACATTGAAAATCTCTCAATTGGGTTGGTTGAAAGTATTTCAGATATTTCGATGAATATTCTTGGTTTGAGGGCCGATGAATGACTGTAAAGTGTTTATTGTCCCGTGCTATTCAATAATGAAAGAGTTAAATAAAACTTGACTGTTCCTTTTTATGTTCGAGCTCAAAACTTATTCGAAAGCACAGTGAAGAATAAGTAAAAAGAATTTTAAACCTTCATTTTTTAATGCACACAACAGAAAAGGTTTTATGGAAGGGTTTTTGTGAATATTTAAAAGATGAAAATCGATTAAATATAATAGAAGAAAATAATAATTTGTTGAGTACCAAAAACTGCAGAGAATAAGAAGACAGGAAAAAAAGAAGTTTTTCTAAATAGTGTGGCAGGCTAAAAATTTATTAAAATCATGCATCATTGTAACACATGGCAATCTGCAATTTTTTCACTAGCTCACTACTAGTTTTGTTCTCCTTCTCTTTGGGCATAATCATATTTAAAGCTTCAGCACAAGTTTGTAGAACGAGATGAATTATGAGGGGACGTTGAGGGAAGAGGAAAAATAAATTTGATTTAAACCACAACTCTAGCGTCGTAATACTTTGCGAAAACTCATGTATCTATGTATATGAGAAGTTTTTCCTACACTGCATAAATTATTTTACATCTACGACAAGAATGATGAGATGAAAATTTTATTCCAGCGATTTTTGAATGACGAGATTCGTCTTTTTTTGTGCGGTGGAATAGAAAGTTAAAGACTTTTTCGCATTATAAATTAACTTATCTTCATAACACTCCTCGTAGATTGGATTTAAAGATTTATTTTTAATCTCAAACTAAAATGTTGAATTTTCAACATGGTTTCATGTTTGAGTTCGTTTTATGAATAAACATTACACATAGCAAACATTCAGTTTCAATTATCTTTTAAATCAATTCAACAAAAAGTTAATTACACCACAAATGTTGTCATTACAGGAAGAAGTACTTACAAATATCACAAAATCCGTTCTCAACTTCGTACCAACAACAGAAGATGATGGAAAATCGATAACATGTCGCGCTGAAAATCCTAAAATTCCAGGCCAATCAGCGCTCGAAACAACATGGAAAATTGAAGTTATATGTGAGTTTCTTGGAACGGAAATATTCTCTTTTATCAGCTTCAATATCATCAAACCAATATTAATTATTAATGAAGTAATTTTGAAAGCTGAAATTCATTTCCAGAAAGTTAAACAAATTTTTCCTATCAATCGAAAACTATCATAAATAAATCTTTTCGTTTTAAGTTGATTTAATCTCACAATAATCTCAAATTTCCTATAAACTAATATTTTGTTCATTTAAAGTTTCATTTGCTGTTTGGGCCAAACTTTTATTATTTATAATGTGAATGTTCACAACATTCCGAACATCAATTGTTTAAAGATTTTATGAAGCTTTTATGGGTTTTCCAATAAATTTTGATAACCTTGTTTACAGATCCACCTTTAGTGACATTAAGACTTGGATCGACACTTATTGTCGACGATATAAAAGAAAGTGACGATATCTATTTTGAATGTGACATCAAAGCAAACCCACCATGGAGGAAACTTTCATGGTTGCATGATGTAAGTAATGATGTGGTGTGAAGCTTCTTTTCATTTATGATGGATCATCTACATGCAAAAGCATACAAAGTGATCACCAATATTAAATTTGCTGCTTTTGTGGCTTGGGAGATGTTTGCGAATTTGAATAGAATCCAATAAATCAAATCATAATCTAGCATGCATGGAAATCTCGGTTTCTGTTATGGTTATGACTAATTGAAAAGCCTTCAATTCATATCGAATATCTCTCTATTCATGTTGCATCGTACGATAGATAACATGGGGAATGAATAAAAACTTTAATTTTCATTAAAAATTTTCATCAACCTTTAACCAGGGCATCGTCATATCGCATAATGCAAGCGCTCGAATCATCAGATCCAACCAAAGTCTCGTGCTTCAAAGAGTCAATAAAAACTCTAGTGGAAATTATTCATGCAGTGCCATAAATGCGGAAGGTGAAACGGTCAGCAATCAATTGCCTTTGCGTGTGAAATGTAAGTGCTTTTAAATTTCAACTTCAAATCATTTTCTTTTAAATCAATTTTCACCAACTAACAAGGAAATACTTCACTCTAACGTTTAACTCGGAAGCATTTTCATCGAAGCCATAAATTGATTAGTTGAAAATTTATTCGATTAAGCAAGAAGAGAGTAATAATGTATATGTTCATAACAGTACTAATGGAACGTAAAAAGATAAATTACAGAGGAAAATTTCTCAGTTCGCTTCTTTTGTTCTTGCTCCGTTGCTATGCAGTTTTTCTAATATTTATTGCTTCCTTTCCCTCTTCTTCATTGACTTCGTCTCAAGCTGCGCTGCTAAGATAAATGACTTTAACAGCTTCTTGCATCGGTGATGTGTGCATTAAAATCTCATTTTAACACTTAAACTACATAGATTATCATTTCTATTGTTTTGTGGAAATTAAACAAAAAGAATTTGAAGTGTGGATGGATGTCATTAATTATTTAATTTTTTTTCCTTAAATTCGTTCACTTAGCAAGAATGGTTGAACCACATGATTAGTCTTCAACGGTATCATAAACTCGACTACTTCTCGCCAACATTTTTATTTTTCACCATCGCAGCATTCAACAAGAAATTAAATCGTGGGCAAACTTATGGCAAGCAAAACAGTCTTGAGCGAATATTCAATTTACAAATGATTGATGAAAATTTACTTTAAAGTCTTTGAAGACGATTATTAACCGAAATATCAATAAACTAATCAGATTATAATCATTGGAAGTGTAACCAATCAAAATTCTTTTATGTTATTGAAATGTCTTTTAAAAGGCCAAGAAGCAAGTTGTGCCCCCTGAAGCACCACCTTAGAAAATATTTTTACTGCATTCTAATAGTTTGCCTTGATTTAATCATAAATAAGTTTAATTTATTATTAAAGTTTCATAAACTACGACTTTGAATGATCAACAAGACCTTGAACTTCAAGCAATATTTTTCAATAGCTAAGAAATAGTTTCAAACCTTTGAACTCATAGAGAGTCGTTTATTGGAAGCCTTCTGAGAGGCTGATGACGACTTCAACCAAGGCTTAATTTATCTGGTCAAATTTCTGGTGATAGAAAGAAAAACTAAACTCTTTAATCGATTTGCCAATTTTCTTCTAAATAGTTTTTTAATCTTTACCATTCATTTTGTTTTTATAAATATTGTAGATATTTGGAAAGCTTTATCGATATATTGAACAGAATTTCTTGGCTTGCATCCAAGAAAATAAAGCTGAACATTGAATGGATTTATTTAAGTTATCTTCGTCTCGCATCTGCTTCGTTACGTTGAATGATCAAGATCTTGATTTGAAGTCTTTTTTGTTAAACTATTTAAAATTTGAAAATTCTCTCTTCGATTTAAAACTTTGACCTATGCAAATATCGGAAGTAAATTGCCGTGACATTAAAGTTTGGACATTCTTTCAACTTGGTTTTGAGATTCAAAATTTAAATATGAAGTAAACCAAAAAGAAAAGTTTTATGGTTTTATAAAATCAGTTTACAAACCAAAGCCCATCAACAACAGCAATTTCATGAGCCAAAAGTTTTATACTTTACTTCACCTTTTGAAGTTTAATAAAAGTTTCGAAACCAAAGCACCTTAACAAGGAATGCCATTTATCTTAATTTCATTCAGTAGAGAAATCTTTTCGTTCCTTTCATCTATCGTGTTATCGGTGATGTGGTATGGTAAAAACACATTATAAACTTCCAACGTGTTTTCATCACAATAAACTTGAGAAACAGTACTGGAGAAGTCAGAACGAAAAACAGCTTAAAATGAATGTGATCTCTGCATTCCACTTGTTCAACGGTGTTGAAAATAAGAAACATTTGGAGACGATGAAATTTCGTTAGAAAATTGCATTCTACGATTATTACATTCGATAATTCTCTTACATCTCCCTCACCGTCTTCGACATATCCTTCTTCTTATTATCGCTCTTATTCTTGCTCCGAAATATCCAAACAATGTGCTCGATTTGAAAGGGATAAGTTTGCACAACGAGGTCACAAGGACGAGATTGAATTCGGCGAGTGAAAGATTCAACAGACGTAAGAAAGGAAGATGGAATCTAAATGGATTTCATACTTGTACGAGCAATTGTTCATTGGAATTGAAATATATAGTATCAAATGGAACGGATGTACCATGATGATGAAGAATCAAAGAAAACGGTCTGTAATATGCTGCCATCATTTCTTCATGATATTAAGCGATTTCCAATTGAAACGTCGAGGAAAATTTAGTTTCGACTTTAGCCCATATGACATTCAACACTTTTGATGTCTTTATTTCATAATTTTTAAATTGTGAACATATTTCCGAATGTTTGGAAAGCTTTTATATGAAGCAGAGATCGGAACTGATTCAAGTATTCGCAGAAACGTTAAAAAATCTTTTGAAAATCGGTACAACTTCCGATCTCTGATGTGAAGGGAAATTTTCCAAAATTGATGACAATCTGCGTGCCACATAATTTACTTGAAATTTCTTCTGAAACTTTTCTCTTCGACGATGATTATATCATTTCATTCATTCTTTATTCTTCTATTTAGAACAAATATTGAAGTTAACGTCACTAATATCTCTTTTCTCAGTTCACATGATACACACACGTACAATATGACATGATGTGAAAGTTTAAGAAATAAAAAAATAGTTTTGATCGAGGAAAACTCTTTTAAGTCTTCTTTTCTTCCTCATCTTGACAATTCAATTCACGTTCTTTAAGTTTTTCGCTTCTCTGCAATTGCAATTGAAACTTTCTTTTTTCCTTCTCTTTCGACATTTTCCAGATGCACCCGTTTGCATAACCGATAAAATTGTTATTGTCGGTGCATATCGAAGTGAGAATTTGAATGTTGTGTGCGAAGTGCATGCTGATCCGCCTCCCAGATCATTCAAATGGAAATTTAATAGTTCGGGCGAGTCTTTTGAATTGCCAAAGGAACGACATTTTAAGAACGGGTCACAAAGTAGCATCCTACGTTACACACCAATCATGGATCAGGATTATGGAACATTGACCTGTAGCGGGCAAAATGAAGTAGGCGAACAATCGATTCCTTGTATTTTCCAAGTCATCCTGGCAGGTAAGTCGTGATTTGTAGAAGATCAATGACTTTACGCTTTTCTTTTTCTTGACTCCCTTCTTGTTTCTGAATCTTTTTTGTTGAGACTCAACCCCAATCATGTCAAAGTTATCTGACACAAAAGTAAACTTTTCAGACAGGAAACTTCCTTTCTTCTTCCCACCAAACAGAGATTCACCCTGAAAAGTCCAAGTCCCATTAATTTTCTCTTTTCGAATGCCTTTGAGGCTTTTTGAGTTTCTAATCAGACTTTAACTAAAATATTTTCACAATCAACCGATGTCTTTAATATTTCTTCTATCTATAAAAGGTTTACCATCACCTGTCCGAAACTGTTCAATTAACAATCAAACCCAACACTCATTGGACATTCAATGTCTACCTGGCTATGATGGCGGCTTACCGCAAATATTTTTGCTCGAATTGATTGCAGTCAGGAGTGGAAAATTGAGGTAAATGGCTCATGCTTCGATGCTTCGATGACATTACACAAGAAAAAAAAATGAAAGAAAGAAGATAGAAATTGTTTGTCTTGGTTGGAAAGATTCCAGTGGCAAATAAGATGAAAGCTTTTGAATCTTTAAATCAATTTATCTGAAGCTGTCACTGGAAACTTCATGAACCATTCGTGTAAACATTATACGGTCGCATTATTCTCAATCCCTTATCGATTTCTTTACAATAGATTAAACCTGACTAATGTTGATGAGCCTTACTTCGTCATCGATGCGTTAGAATCTTACACGTCATATGACACATATGGAGATGAATCATTAAGAGCGGTAGTTTATAGTGTCAATCAAAAAGGACGAAGTGCCGCGACAACTGTAAGAGAATTTGATTTCGATGAAAATGGTGAAAATCGAGCAGGTAAATTTATTTACTTTAATCTTTGTCTACATTAATTCATTCAATTTCTCTTTCTGAACAGCTGTGATGAACTCTGCAATGGATTTATCGCCCATTTTATTAGGAATATTATTTACACTCGTTTTACTTTGTCTCGTCATTTTCATTAAACTTTATTGTTATCGTTCAACATCATCGAATATCAATAACTCACATGAAAACACAAAACATTCAAACAACATTAAAAATGATGGAACAAAGGTGAGAATAATTTCTTCTTCTTGCATTATTCACGAAACTTCTTATTGAATAGTTTTCTGAAAATCAAAAGAAAAATACTCCACAACGATGGCAGAACTGTGATGGAAAATCAAAGGAACTTCGAGCAACGACTGACTTATTGGAAGATGAGAAAGATCCTGATGTGATACCACATGGTAAAAAGACGGAAAAGTCTTTAAATGTCATTCCCACAACACAGCATCATTTCGGTGAGAATGTCGTCTCGTGTTCCGTTGTTGTTTCAAAAACATAAAACAAAAATTATTAATTACGTTGATGTCACTCTTTCCGTTAAATAATTTTCAATTAGCATCTACGAGAGACGATGCGGAGAACGAATGGACAGATGGGAACGTTAATTCATATGTAAGATTAGATAACACTTAATCAAAGCTTGAGAATTATTTAAATTGAGTGAATGTTATTGTTTCCAGTATAATCAATTTATCAATCAGAATGCTCGACTCAAAGAGACGACCGTAGGTTTGTCATCGTTATCGACTGAATCTTCGATTGTTACGTCAACCCCAAAGTCGCAGTCAATCATTTCAAACAGCAATGTTGAATCATCAGCAGCAACAGCAGCAGCAAATTCAAATCCATTCCAACAAGTTTCGAGAACAGCCAACGGCGAAATCCAATCAAATCAAACAGTTGATTACGATTTTAACATCAACGCCATAAAAACTCTTCTGATGACCTCAAAAGTACCAGAAAGCTGCGTGTGAATGTTTGTGATGATGAAAAAAGGTTTTCGTTGGTTAAAGTCAATTACAGATTTTTATTTACTTTTATTATCACGACGAACGACTGATACGCAATATTACTAACAGGTCGAATGAAATATCATCCAATGAACTTCGATTTTAAAACATTCTCTCCAAAAAGAAGATCAATTTAAACGTAAGTGTTTTGCGGGAGGTGAAAAAGGTCAGAGGAAGAAATCATTGTATCGACAATAACTTTTCTCTTCCATTTGATTTCGGTGCTTTCTTTTCTGGCGCGATGTCATTTCGAATTTTCTTTCTTTATTGCCTCACCGTCGTCTCCATTTCTCATCCAATTTCGATTCTGATTTATTGAAGTGCTGAAGAAAATATAAAAATAAAAAAAAGTGTACAGAATTGAGAGAAAGGAGAAGAAAAATGAAAACTTTTATTCCTGTATTTACCCAACCTTTGTAAATAAACTTGTAAATATCTTCGGATAGACTTTAAAAGTAATTTAAAAGTAAAGAGATTTCTGGTGGAAAGAAGTTAAAAACTTTTCTTTAAACTTCCGGTTATGTTAAAATTCATCCTTTTCTGAATAAAGTCGTGAAGTAGAAATTGACTTTGCAACTTTTTTTCCATCTTTCTTTCATCTATTTCTGTGACTTGATCTTGCATTTTTAATGACATCAGGTTTCATCTGTAAAATCTTTTTTAATTAAAATCTGTCATTCTTCATTAAAAATAAACACTCAAAGATTTTTTTAGAATTGCGAATTTTAAAAGGTCACTCAAAGAACTTTCACTTGTTACCGAGATTTTAATTTATTTATTTAATAAAAATCCTTCATCGTGAACTTCTTCCACCAGTTGAATCTTGAGTTAATTAGTGGATAGATAGATATTGTTTATAAGACTTTATGTATGTTAATAAGCATCCGTATAAGAATAAAAAAAAGATCATGTCAGAAAGTTTTGTTTCGTTTCACTTGATTTAATATCTTTTATCGTTTCCCTCGAGGATTTTTCACAATCCAAAGTTATAGAGATGATAAAGGACCTAGATAAGAAGAAGGTAAGGATCGCTTATCATTTCTATAAAAACAGAATGTGAATTAAATGATTTATTGATTCTTGTGGTAAATATAAACTTCACTACATGAATGAAAGAAAATGATTGAGCAGATGGAAAAAATCTTCAAAAATCAACAAAACATCGGAAATAAAAAGAAGCAAAGTTTTGTCCAGCCAAATATCAAGTTTCTAAAAAAGCGATAAAATAACACACGCTTTGCTTAGAGCCTGGGATTTCAACATATATTTTTTAAGGTTCTTAAAACTGTCAGCAACAGCGAATCTTCTTTTTCGAAGAAACGTTGAACAACGTGAACACATAAAATGAAGTTTTTGTAAGAAGAAGATGTCATAAATATTTATTGTTCACGAAACTAAAGAGATTTTTGATGGTGATTCTTCAAAATAAGCTTCTCTCAGTGTAAAACCAGTTCCGCAGAATATTTTAGGGAAACCTCGTGCGACAGAGGTTGCGCGTGGAGAAGAAAGCGAGTCTATCGCTTGATTCACACGAGATATTGTCAACGCCATCAACAATTCCAAAACAAGATAGACGCTACACAAGCAAACGAAATGTAAAACACGAGCGCGTGAATCCGTTAAAACATTCATTCAACACTCTCACAATTAATTTAACAAAAAAAAGTCCATTTTTTGTACATCATTCGAAACAAAAGGAAAACAATTTATTACATTTTTAATATCCAGTGTCCCGGTGGCAATTTATTTTCCTCACTCGATTTGAAACGTTGCAAGGATTTTCATTATCAAACAATTCAGCCTCAACTAATCAAATGCGAGATTTGAAGTTTCATGAAGCATGAGAAAATTAAAATTACAGCAACAAAATCTTACATTTATCATTCACTGTGATTAATAGGCTTTGCCTTCTTCGCTTTATAATCAAGCAAAAGCTCTTTTTGAGTAAGAAAGTTTAATTTTATTCAAAAATTTTTCTCCCTTTTTTCTGTAATTTCCACTTCAGGGGGAGGTTGAGAGAAAGAAACATCGGAAAAATAGAAAAATTAGAAAGATGCGAGGCAAATTATTTTCATGTTAAACAACCTCATTTCATGTTTTTATTTGTTGCTTTTTGTCCATGTAAGAATTATATTTATTTGAAGCGACGCTCCATCGTCCTCCCCACGTGAAAAGTTTTAATTAATGACCTCATTATCATTACTTTTGTTACGCAGGAAAATGTTTTTTCGTACCCGCGCACACTTATAAATAAAATAATTTGTCTTTCAGTCGATTTTGTTGTTTACAACTTTTATATAAATGAGAAAATTTTTGGACTAATACAATACAACTAAGGATTTCTCGCCTGTCTGCTGTATAAATTCCAATGCGTCTTATAAAATTATCCAATTTTTCTAAGGGTGACATTCCACGTTGCCTCGTTTATAACGTATGACAAATGTTTAGAATAACTTTAAATGAAGTCCCTTAAAAATAATTAATCAGCTTTTCAACTACCAACTGTTTGTTATCTAAAATAAATAATGCCTATTTGTTCAGTTTTAGGGGAGGGATTAAAATCATTTATTCACCGCTTATGGAAAACTTTGTCTTTTATTATTCTTTCTTCCTTTGGATATATCTAAATATTTATCTATTCGAGGAGAATTGTTCATCGAATTAGGTTCGTGTCATGGATGATGGCTATGGTGAACTAGTACATAACAGCTCGGACACTTTTCGTCGATGATCAAGGACACAATTGAAATTCTGAGATGTGTCTTTGAAATGTTGTCAGAGGAGAAATATTTTGAGATTTTTGTTTTGATCTTCATTTAAAGAGAAATCGATCGTGTAAGATGTCAAAAAATGACACTAAAATTATTTTATATGTCGATTTCACCTCCATCGCGAGCAGTTTTGTTAACTCTTCGAAATTTAAATATTAATGTTGACGTAAAAGAAATAAATTTGCTGAAAGGAGAACATTTAACAGAAGAGTTTCTGAAACTCAATCCAGTTCATCAAGTTCCTGTACTTGCCGATGATGACTTCACTCTCAGTGAATCGAGAGCAATTATGACGTATCTTGTGAACTCAAGACAACCAGGATGTTCGCTATATCCTCGTGATCCAAAGAGACAAGCAATTATCGATCAAAGACTTTACTACGATGCTACTGTCGTGTTTGAAAGAAATGCTGTGGCAATTGTAAGTTCAAATAACATTTTTAACAAAATGAAATTTAGAAAAAAAAGTCAATTTAACTTTTAGAGACCAGCATATGCTTATTCAGTTGATCCAGTTCCAAAAGATATCAAAGATAAAATAAAGCAATCGATGACAACTTTAAATACTTTCCTTGAAAACAGTTCTTGGTTTGCTGGATCTGATGTGACATTAGCTGATTTATCAATATTGGCTAATGTTTCCCAAATAAAGGTGATCAAGAGAGATAATTTAATTACTTCGCCTTTTAATTAAAAAAATATTTCAGGCTTGTGGTTACAATATTTCAAATCATTCGAATTTATTAAAATGGTTCAATAAATGCAAAGATCTTCCAGGTTTTGAAGAAAATCAAAAAGCAGCAGATGATGTTGGTAAGTTCTTCAAATCTCAAATTCCAAATGGACTCGAATAGTGATTTGATATTCATGAATTTCAATTTACGATAATTTTATTAATAAAATGTAAACAAAATGTTTATCAGTTTGAAGTTTTTTTCTTCTTTTTTACATGCAACGTCACTCATAGTCCAATACAGTGAAGAAAGACTCTCCCAAATTCACTGAAATTCTCATTTTTTTCTTCATTCTGTTTTCTAAATTCTATAATTCTACACGCAAGCTACTTAAAACCGTAAAATTTAAAGAAACTTTAATTTATATTGAAAAGTTTAAAGTGCAATAAAATTATGTCGGCAATTTTCTATCATCACTTCTTCTCTCCACCAAGTCGCATGGCTTTGCTTGCAATCCGAAATGTGAAGCTCAAAGTTCAAGTGAAAACGATTGATATTTATAAAGGAGAGCAACATTCACCTGAGTTTCTTAAAATTAATCCATTGAACCAAATACCGGCTTACGTCGAAGGATATTTTGTTCTCACTGAATCAAAAGCAATCGCAACTTATGTGGCAAGTCTCACCCATTCACCTCTTTATCCAACTGATTTAAAGAAGAGAGCACAGATTGATCGCTTTTTGTATTTCGATTCAACGACAGTATTTCCTGCTGTCAAAAACATTGTGGTAAGATTCAACATTGTGCAGACTGCATCGATATAAAAAGATTTTTTTAGCGACCAATATTGCGCAGTGGTGTGAAGATTGTTGATCAGAAGACAAAAGATGACACCAAAGAGATGCTTAAGAATTTAAACAAATTTCTTCTGTCATCAGAATACTTCACTGGTGATAAAGTTTCATTAGCTGACATAGGATTTCTCGCTAGTATTGGAACACTAAAAGTAAGATAAGAAATTTTTAGTTAGGTATTTAGAAAGCAGACTTCGGTAAAAGTTGATAATTTGCTACTTTTTTACGGTAAGCACCATTAAAATTCAGAATTCTGTATGAAAATATTTAATGGAAATCGTGAACACGATGCCGTTGTCTGCCTATAAAATATTTATCAGATGCAAAATTATTTTTAATCCCTTATTGTGTCTCAGTGTCTTGAAACAGACTTCAGTGATGTTCCGCAACTTGAAAAGTGGTACCAACGATGTTCAACTTTATCAGGATTTGATGAGAATGAAGATGGAGCGAAAGCTTTAGCAAAAAGAATCAACGAGCTACTAGAACAACCGTTATGGCCATGAACTTCTCGTAAACAATCTCATTATGTGTACAATACATTCACAGAAATAAATTTTTGTTATCTTATCATGTAGTTGATTAATTTTCGACGAGTTTTCTTCATTTTATGTTCAGTTTTACTTCAAGTGTCGGTAATCAAACAAGACAGAATTAAAATGCCAGCAGTTTTATATCACAATGCATTGTCACCACCAAGTCGAGTGGCATTATTGACAATTCGTAATTTGGGTTTAGATGTTGAGATTAAGCACATTGACACTTACAAGGGAGAACAGAACACAGTGGAATATTTAAAAATTAATCCATTGCATCAAGTTCCCGTTTATGTTGATGGCGACTTTATATTAACAGAGTCAAGAGCGATTGCTTGCTATTTAGCAAGTTCAGTGAAGTCGAATCTTTATCCAAGTGACTTGAAGAAACGTTCTTTAGTTGACTCACGATTATATTTTGATGCGACTAACTCATTTCCAGTGCTCAGAGATTTTGCTGTAAGTTGCATTTTGAATGTTGAAGTTTACGAAATTAATGAAGTTAATTTTTGTAGCGTCCCGTGTTACGAGCTGGAGTTAAGAAAATCTCACAAGATCGACGTGAAGCTGTAAAGGTTTTATTAAATTCACTCGAATCATTTTTAGAAAAGTCTGAATGGTTCGCAGGTGATGAATTAACAATTGCTGATTTAGCTATTCTTTCAAGCGTCGCATCTTTCAAGGTTTGTAAAAAAAATTCTTATCAGAGTGTAATAAAATAAATAAATTTCGTTGTGAATCTTTATTACAGGCATGTGGTGTAAGCTTCGTTGAGTTTCCAAAATTATTCGACTGGTACAATCGTTGCAAAGCTTTTCCAGGTTTTACAGAAAATCAAGAAGGAGCTCAAATCTTAGCTGATAAACTGTCGAAGCTCCTTGAAGAACCATTGTGGAAATAAATTTAAAATTCACCCAAATTTATGCAAAAATAAAAATTACAAATGATCGACTTTTTGTTTGATCATTTCATAAACTTTTCTGACGTAGTAATTTATTTGTACGACACTTTTTAACACTTAACCGCAAAGTTTTTCCAAATTTAATTGGAAATTTGATTGTCGTAGGATGACAAGCAATTATTTTCTCTGGATAAATAGATTAGGAAAATAAATAAAGAAATTCACTGAACTTTCAATCATAGAAGAGAATTGAATTAGAAATAATCACAAATGCAAAAATTCGAGTAACTCGACAGAGTCTCTCAATTGATAAATTATAAATATTCACTTGTCTTCCTACTCATTTCTGTTTCTGCAGATAATAATAAGTTTTAAGTTATCCAAATATTTGCTATGTTTACATTAGCTCCCGTCGAATTTAATTGATCATCAAATAATATCATTGTTGTAAGACAATGAAGTTGAACATCTCTCTCAACAATCAAAGAAAAAAATATTAAAATTGCCTTCTCATTCGACCATCAGCTTCTGGTTTAACAAGATCTGTGTGACAGTCATGTCATTTCTTATTGTTCAAAGTATTTTTCTTTTTTTTGATTTAACATTCTTCTGCTTTAGTGTAGTTGGAAACTCGGTTGTTATTTACGTGATCAGTCGAGACAAAAAATTAAAAAGCAAATCAAACTATCACATCATGTCAGTTGCTGTCGCTGATTTGTTGATTGGAACATTTGGAATACCACTTGGAATAATTTCTGTAAGATTAAAAATAGTTTGAATAAATTATTTACATTCAAAATGTTTAAGTTTCATAAGTAAATATTTTGAGATGATTAATTTCATGCAATTAGAGAATCACTGGTGCACCTCACGACCTTCAACTTTGTTTGATGTTTTACTCGTTTATATTAGCGATATTTAGTGTTTCGATGTTCTCGCTACTAGCTGTATCAGTGGACAGATTCTGGGCAGTTTATTTCCCAATGGACTACCACGTAAGGGATCCTTCAATTGCGAAATTAGCAATTTTTTGTTGTTGGGTTTTCGGCCTTGCCATTGGCTTTCTACCAGTCATGGGATGGAATAGCGGGAACTTTGATAATCAATGTGATTTTAGAGTGGTCGCTGATCTCAACTATGTCTTGTTCGTTAGTGTTGCGGTTGCTTTTCCATCTACTTCAATCATCATTCTTCTCTACATTCTCATCTATCGTAAGGTTTTAAAGCATGTAAGCCGTTCTTAAAGAACTTCATGACACATTTCAAAACTCTTCTTTTTTTCTTTTAACATTATAATTACAGACAAGAAAACGAAAGGAGATATTAGCCAATCAATATCATTTTATAAAACACAAATATGAAATTCGAGCAGCAAAGACGTTGGCAATGATTGTTGGAACTTTCATTCTTTTGTGGACTCCTGGAATGGTTGGATTTCTATTTTTTGCTATTTCCAAAAACCGCGAAATTCAAGAAGATATTCTTGAGATAGCAAAGTCCTTAGTTCATCTTAACTCGGCTATTGATCCATTGATTTACGCATATCGAATGAAAAATATTCGTGATGCCCTCAAAGTTCTCTTCAAGTTTTGTCGTAATGACGACTTGACGAACATTACAACATTAAATGATCGTAAAACGTCATTAAACATCTCAGTAAATGTAATTGAAATTTTATGATAAATAAGATTATGTGTTGAATAAAGTTTAATTTGAGAGATTCTAAGAAGTTGAGTTTTCATTAGCGAATTATAAAAAAAAATTAAAGAATCCTTTAGCATAATAAAAAAATATTTATTCTAAGATTAAAACTGTTTTTAATTGTTTCAGATATTTGCGAAGAATAACAAAAAAAAATGTTTAAATACGTGTGAATCTTCTTACAGCTTTAGCTTAAAACCACAAAGGTTTAAAGAATAAAAAAAATATTTTCTCTTTGAGCTTTAAACGAATGAATGGAAAAGAATTGAGAATGATGAGCGTACTTTTGAAATACACGCGAAAAAAATCATTGAAGAATTAAAAAATACTTTTATATTACATTGTGCAATTATTATCTTAGCCATCAATTCAGATTTACCCAAATATTCTAATACATGTAGAATTGTTTTTGAAGATTTTTTGAGAGATTCTCTGAAGGCTTCTCATTTACAAAACAACTGTTGGACAAGTTAGAATGTCAGAGTCGACAGTGATGATCACTCAAATCGTTCTTACATTTTTTGACTTAGGATTTTCGTTATGTAGTGTAGTTGGAAATTCAGTTGTAATTTATGTAATAAGTCGCGATAAGAAACTTAAAAGTAAAGCAAATTATCATATTTTGTCGGTTGCGTTTGTGGATTTTTTGATTGGATTATTAGCTACACCACTTGGAGTTATTGCTGTAAGAAAAAATATTAAAAAATAACAAATTGACTAGTGATCAATCGTTCAATGTTCTTTGTGTTTAAAACATTACCAGAGAATTACTCGTGCGCCTCATGATTTTCATCAATGCGTGTTTTTGTATTCGTTTATAGCAGCTTTATTTGCTGTGTCAATGCTGTCGTTGCTTGCAGTGTCCATTGACAGATGCTGGGCTGTGTGTTTTCCATTAACATATCATGTTGCCGAAATATCAATAGCAAAAGTTGCGATTTTCTTCTGTTGGATGATTGGAATAATTGTAGGCTTCATCCCAACATTCGGCTGGAATAGCGGAGAATTTTACGGAAGTTGTGACTTTCGAATAATATCCAGCATGGATTATGTTCTTTATGTCGGTGTTATTATAGCAGTTTTGGCTTTATTACTCATCATCACAATTTACTCCATCATATATTGCGTCATATCAAGACAGGCAAGAAAAAGAAACAAATTTAACCATAAACATGTGTAATAAGAAGATGAATTAACTTTATAATAACCACAGGCAAAAAGACGTGAAGAAATCATCGCACAAACAACCGATTATGTGAAGCAGAAAAATGAAATCAGAGCGACGTTTACTTTGTCAATGATTGTTGGAACCTTTGTCGTTCTTTGGACACCTGGAATTGTTTGCTTTTTCGTAATGGCAGCGACGCAAAATCGAAACATAAGCGAAGATGTTATGGAGCTGACCAAAAGTTGTCTAAGTTTAAATGCAGCTCTCGATCCGCTTATTTATGCGTATCGAATGAAGAACATCCGCAAAGCTATGAACAATCTTTTCAAGTGCTGTAGCAACAAAAAAGAACTTCAAAGTGTTTTTACCTTAAGTGATAAAAGAAGCTTTAAATCATCAGTGAGAACTCTAAATGACGTTGTGATATAAAATTAAAAAATATTTTTTTATTATTTTTCTTGAATTTTATCGTGCCATCTGTGATTCAATTAAACTACTTATTGCAAACAATTAAGAAACGTATTGTTAAGTGATTAAAATTTATTTCGATAATTGTTTGTTCCTATGCTTAGAACAACTATTAAAGTTTGAACTTTAAAGAGAGACAAATTCTCAGATTTATTAGTCAAATAAAACCAGTGAGTTAATTATCTAACTAATAATTCTCTGTTGTTTTTGTTCTTGGAAAGAAAAATGAAGAAGGAAGTTAAGAGTTACAAGTTGTAAATAAAATTTGTGCTTTGAAACAAAAAAAAGAACAAGAAAAAAGAAAGAATTTTAAATGTTTCGAAGGATCGGAAACAAAAATAATGCTGAGGTATTAGGTAACTTGTTAATTGACCAAACCACAAGATAGAAAAAGAAAAGACGACACAAAAAGCCTTGCTTTGTGGAAATTGAAGAGAGCAAAGCTTAAATAATTCTTCGCTCAGTTTATCTCTCAAACAACAATCACATCGATTTCAACATCAAGATTGCCAAAAAATGTCTAACACAATCGTGTAAAGAATAATTGTAGGTTACATAGAGAATTAAAAATCCTTCTCATTTGCCAGTTTACCACTGGACAAGCAAGTACAGAATGACGGAGCCGTTTTTACTAATCGTTCAAGTTGTTTTCTTAATTTTAGATGTTGGATTTTTTTTCTTAAGTATCGTTGGTAATTCAGTTGTAATTTATGTGATAAGTCGCGATAAAAAGTTAAAGAACAAAGCAAACTACCACATTTTATCGGTTGCTGTAGCTGATCTACTAATTGGATTGATAGGAATACCACTCGGAATCATAGCTGTAAGACCAAGGTTCACATTTATGTTTTCTTAATTTTATTTGTTTTTCTCTTTTGATCTTGTTTCTTCAATATTTAGAGTTTGACAAGATCTCCGCGTGATTTCCAATTGTGCTTGATGTTGTATTCGTTTTTGTTGTCATTTTTTGCAGTTTCCATGTTCTCATTGGTAGCTGTGTCAGTCGACAGATTCTGGGCTGTTTGCTTTCCAATTACCTATCATGTTGCTGACACATCAATCGCAAAGCTTGCAATATTTTGCTGTTGGTTTTCAGGATTAGTTGTGGGCTTCCTACCGTTGTTTGGATGGAACAGTGGAAGCTTTCACAACAAATGCGATATAAGAGTGGTGATTAGCATGAATTATCTTTTAATTGCTGTTGTAGCGATAGCTTTTACATCAACACTTATCATAATTATACTTTACGTTCTCATATATCGAGCGGTCATAAAACAGGTGAGATTAAATTTGTATAAAATTTTAAAATTATTTTTTCTAACATCGTCAAAATTTTTAAGGTGAAAAAGCGGGAAGAAATTATCGCAAATACCACAGAAATGATGAAACAAAAAAATGAAGTTAAAGCGGCACTTACATTGGGAATGATTGTTGGAACTTTCATCGTCTTATGGATGCCCGGAATTATGAGCTTCTTTGTGATGTCAGTGACAGAAAATCGAAGTTTTCCCAGTGGAATTTTAGAACTTTCAAAAATTCTTGTACATATGAACGCAGCAATTGATCCGTTGATTTATGCATATCGAATGCAAAATATTCGTGAAGCTATGAATAATTTGTTTACTTATTGTTTTGGAAGTGAAAAAGTTGAGTTACCGATAAGCAATTCTGAGCGAGTGAAAGCTTCAGTAAGGACGATGCAAGATTTAGGAATATTATAAGCAAGAAGCTTTGTTGATCTAGTTATAAAAAATTGTACATAATTTATCGATGACAACTAATCTTAATAATCCTTTTAACGCCTTCAAAAAGTGAAATGTCATACTTACTGATGTTTTTATTAAAAGTTTTTAAAATGTATGTAAGTGGATTAAAACAAATTTCTTGAAGACTGAATAAATCTTAAGATCTAAAGATTACATTCGTTAATTGTTCTCGCATGAAATGCGTTGGTGTGCAATGATATTTAAGAATTGATTTTATAAATAACGCGATTCTATAGTTAGCTTGAAAATAAATTTTTTGCTAATTAACATGCTTTGTTTGTTTGTGTGAAAAAATAATTTCCGTTCCCTTCGATCGTGAAATTTTTCCCGGTTCAACGCCATTACAAATTTTAATATAATTATTTGAAAAGATGCAACGAAGTTATCTGATGTGAATTCTTTCTGCTTCGTGATTTATCAACCTGAAATATTTTGGGCGCTTTGACTCGTTTTTTAGTTTGTAAAATGTTTTCGTTTTCGTCGACATTCAAAAATGTTTTCTGTGTCGTCTGCGAGCTTTATTGATCATTTTCAATTGAGAAAATTGTGCATGAAGGCGTCAACTGTTCATCTTTCACCTCATTTTCAGTATGAAATTTTCACTGCTTTGTTGCCACATTTCAGAATTCTCTAGAGGACATTTTTTGTCTTGAATGTGCAGCAAAAATTTCTATGACGAGGGCCAGTGGAAGATTTACGCAGATCTAGTTTCAATCACAAATCATACGAACCTTTGATTTTAATCGATGTCAGACAATCAGGGAATTCCCAAACAGTAAGAAATGAGTCGTTTTTCAACAAAGTAATCTTTCAAGTCGTCGACATTTCGCAAGCATTGCGTCTTTTATTTAATAAAAAAAATATCACCGAGAAGAATGAACGACATGAAGGAAGAAGTAAATACCTGAGAATTTGCGAAACGGCAGCTGTTCAACATGTAAACGAATAATCGCCCCCATGAATATGTTTTGCCTGCTATCACTTTAACTATGATGTCAGATAATCTGCTCGAGGTAATTGAAAGAAAAATAAAAAATCTTCAAAAAAAAGCTTTGAAAGAAGGCCAAGTGTAAGTGCTTTAGGCAGTTCTAAAGATTTACATTCAGTTGAAAGGAAGAAGAAGTTCCATTAAATAAGTCAATGTTGCTTTGTGGAATAAACAAAATAACAATTTTTCCAGAAGTCATTTCAATTGCAGAATGAATCGTGTGATTGGTTCACAAATTGAAAGTTTTGACCTCTCCTTCCACTTGAATTATTTTCTGATCTTCTTGGTCTTGACCATATCTAATGAGATCTTTAATTATTTATTCTGATCTTCAATTCTTTTCCAGCATCGTAACGTGATTATTTTAAGTAATTCTTGACTTGAGTAATTCTGAGTCAGACTCAAAAGAAAAATTAAAATCTTTATTTATTTATTTTTCTAAGCATCAGTCTCCACTCTTACTTTTGAAAGGAAATTAGAAATTACTTCCTGTCATGGAAAGTCCGCAAAATCACCGTCACCGACGTCACAATTTGCGGCTCTCACGTTGAGATTTTTCTTTCCCCCCACCAACACACAAACATTTCATGAGAATGAAAAACATTTAAAAATAGAATCGGCGAAAAGCCGCGATGTGAGTTTTCAGTAATTTTTCAAAAAGATTTTTCTCAGTTCGAAGTAGGAACGCGTGAAAAACGCAACGGAACAATTTTTCCTATCGTTATTATATTTTTTACAGAATTTCCATAGTCTGAAATTAGTGCAAAAAAGAAAAGAGAAAAAAGAAAAGAATTTTCAACATTGAATGAGGAAGTGCGATAAGGCAGAGTGTATCAAAACTTCATTTGTGATATCTAAATAATATGAAATTGACGACAGTTGACTAATAAAAATCGACAAAACGAAGAAAAAAAAGTCCATCAAACTCATCTTAATGTAGTTGTACGTGTCAAAAAATTTCTGACGATCATCAGTGCAGTTCGCAAAAAAAGAAAGAAAATCTTTGATAATTAAATTAATTTTTGTGTGCAAATCCAGACTCCATAGACGTTTAGTGAATCTTTTTTGCTAATTTTACCTCAATGATGATATTTCCTCTCTCATGATCGCCTTCAAAAAAATGATTTTCATAAGAAAATATCTTGAGAAAAAAAATTTTCATTGAAAAATGCGGCACCAACAGAGAATCTATTTTTAAGATATTAAGAGTGACGTAGCGAAAATTACGTCTCTTCGACACAAAGAAAGCAAAGAAAGAGCGGAGGAAAATCATTTACGTTTCTGAGTGTTTAACTTATTTTTTCCTTTCTTTCCTCTCACGCGAATCTGTTACTTACGATGATATATCAACTTGAAAGTCTTTGTGATCATAATGAACTCTTTTGTTTTTCTCGTTCAGTGACAAAATGGAACAATTTGAGCAGCTACTAACGTGTTGCGTCTGTTTAGACCGATATCGAAACCCTAAACTGCTGCCATGCCAGCATTCATTTTGCATGGAACCGTGCATGGACGGTGAGTAATTATCTAAAACAGTTACAATGATTCCGACGCGAACACCCACGTGAACAACATGTCATGAGTCTGAAAATATTTTATGAGAAAAGATGGAAGAATGTTGTGAAATGTTAATGTGAAAATTCTTCAACACATTTTTATATTTAAAAACTCCTTCGAAATTATCACGAACTTAAAATTGTTCTCTTCAAACTCAATCAATGATGGTCATAAAATTTGTTATTATGTGTTGATTGCTTGCGTGGGAGGTATCTCAGAAGCATAATTTAATTTCTTTCGCTTCAAATACGTACTTGAATCTTTCTTTTTTCAAAACGAGTTTTAAGCAAAATCACCGAACATCTTGTGATTATTTCTCGTAAAATAAATAATAATGAAATTCATTCAAACCTAACTTTGATTTATTTTGTGAAAATTTCAAGGTTTGACTGACTATGTGAGACGACAAGTTAAATGTCCCGAATGCAGAGGTAATCAAAATCTTTTGTTTATAATATAAATTTTTAACTTGAAATAATTAATCTAAAAATAGCCGAACATCGAATACCATACAATGGCGTTGCAGGCTTTCCAACTAATGTCACCTTACAGCGTTTTCTGGAGCTACATATTGAAATCACGGGCGATCTTCCAGATCCTACTTCAGGTACCAAACGTAAAGTTAAAACTCTTCTGCTATAACTCATTCAAATATTTCATTGATAATAAAAAGGTCAAGTGATGGAAAGATGTAACGTTTGTTCAGAAAAGTCTTACTGCAATATTTGCATGCATTGTGAGAAGAAAATCTGTGACGATTGTAAAAGCGCTCACATGGATATTTTGCGACGTGAAATAAATCGTATAAATAATCAAATTCGTCGTGGCGTTCATCGACTGCAAGATATTCTTGCTGTTGTTGAAAAAAACACATCAAACTTACAAAATAACTGTCACAGTGTGTCGGAAGAAATTGACGAGATCTTTAGACGTCTTACAAAAGCTGTAAAAGATCGGACAGATTATTTACGACATGAAATGGATAAATATTTGACATCAGAAATGAAGAACCTTTCACTATTGAAGGAAAATCTTGAATTAGAAATTGCAAATATCACAAGCAATTGTGATTTGGCTGACAAGTACATGAATGAGTCAGTTCAATGGGAAGATTGTGAACTTATGGATACAAAAGAAATTTTCTTAAAAACTGTCGAGTTCATAAGAAACTTTGAATGTGAAAGTTCCGATTACAGTCGTCGCGTAAGATTCTCAATGGCATGTGATCCGAATCAATTGGTGAATAATTTGTGTACTTATGGCGACTTAAACTTCATTCATCCACCAACCACAACGCAAAGCACTGGAGGAATGTTGCAACCATCAAGCGGTTCAGGTCTCATGAGATCAAAAAGTGATCATCGTTTAGTGACACAATTCCGTCAACAACAAGAACAATTAAATCTTGACGATGAACCGCTTCTAGGTGGTAGAAAGTTTGGTGAACGTCCAGTGAAAGTTGAGAAACAAACTGATCGTTATGGTGGATATGACTACGGTGAAGATCAACACTTTGACTCATCGCAACGTCCTAGCAAGAATCGATTTCGTTCACGCTTTGTGCGTGGGCATCACGAAGAAGAAGATGACGACACTGAATCTAGCGCGTTAAAAAAAGCAGACAAAGAAAATAATAAAAATAAAATAACAAGTACTGAAGAAGCTGCGAAAGGTGATGATCGACAATTGATCTTTGTTTGTTTTTCTTGTAAACATTTTGACCTTTGAATATTTTATCTTTGGATCCATTCAGGCCCATTAAGTGGAATCTTTAGAATCTTAGATTCGCCTCGTGCGATGAAAAGAATTCAAGAACAGGAGAAGGGACCACGTGAGAAGAAAGTAGAACCAAAACCAGCAGCTCCTGCAGCAGCGCAACCAGCACAAGTGAAGACAACTGCTGTTCAGCCTGTGAGACGTCCACCAGCTGCCGGTCGTCAAGTTTCAGAAGACGATGAAATTGCAAAAATTAAGCGTGAAAATAAAACACCTGGAACATCACAAGCACCAGCTATCGCTGAGATAGAGCGCCCGGCACCAATTCTCAAGAAGCCATCAGTTGAAGAAAGTAGCGAAGTAAGATTTACTTGATTAATTAACCTTGAGAAGTGAAAGTTTTTATTTGTTTCTAAAGTCTATGACCTATTTGTTTGACTTCAAGTTCTATTTATAAATGTTCATGTGTTTTATTAATAGACACAGACGCGAGCGACTACCACAACTTCACCAGCTGCTCGCACAAGCAGCGAAAGTTCATCAGAAAGTTCAAGTGAATCTTCAAAACCAGCTGAAGTTGCACCAATTCGTTCACGAGTAACAACGCCAACATCATCGACAATGTCTTCACCACCAGCTCCAGTTGAAGCGGTCGAGAAGAAGCCATTTCAGAGTCGATTTCTCCAATCAAGTCAACCAGCAGCAACAGCAGCAGCACCAGCCGCCAAAAAAGAAGAATCAGAATCCTCCGAAGAAGAGTCGAGCTCAGAGGAAGAATCAGAAACAGAAGAAGAAACGAAAGTGAAACCATCAGCATCAACATCAACGAGACCTTCAATCGTTTCAAAGCCAGCAGAAACAGCTTCAGTGGCATCAACACGTGCTGGAATTTTACGTGACACAGCAACGGCTGATACACGTCGAAGTTCACGTGATGAAACAACATCGCCAACAACAAGATCACGCTATGAAGCACCTTCAAGTACTTACTCACGAAATTCTGATAAGGAAAATGAAAATTCAAGATATGGAACGAGAAGTCGACCAACAGCTTCAACTTATGAGCCAGAAGAATCAAGGTGAGTTCAAAGCTTTTCCTATCTCATCACTTAACAGGTTTTTTCTTCTTATTAACCTAATCTCGTTTTTGAATCTATTCATGAGTAATCAATCTTTAAATATTGTGTACTAATTGTGCAGCTACACTAGTCGCTTTTTGAATAAAAGCAAGAGTACAGCGGCTGCGCCTCAAGATGATGACGAAGATTCCGACAGTCGTTATGGCACAGGTCGTAGTCGTTATATGGCGCTGAAAGAGCGTCGTAATCGATTAGCACGAAGTCGATCGTCGCATAATTTTGGTGGCGATGATGATGATGTCGATGAGCCGCTCTCACCAACAACTACATCACCATCAGCATACTTGGCTTCTAGGTACATTTAATGTCATTTGTGAAAAACAAAACACAACACAACACTTCTTGTTACTTATGTACACTTTATATAACTTTCGCATCATAAACTTTCTTTTACTTTATTTCAATATTTAATGACTTGACATAGTTTTTCTTGTCATTTCTGTCGCAAGTGTTAATTTATTTCTTTAATTTTCATTTTTATTTGTCTGACACGTTAGGTGCTGTTCATAAATGACGTTAAATGAGCTTACAAAACATTTTTAATTCTTTCCTTTTTTTGCACGCCTAGATAAGCTTTCAGATCACTTTGAGTCTTCCCTTCTCCAACCCTGGACCTTTCATACGTCATTCATGAGCGGCGCTTGTTTTTGTGGTTTTCTTTTTCTAGTTTGAGAATAATTTTTAATTTGTTTAATGATGAATATAGATATGGAACGTCATCAATGTCTGGAGCTAGTGAGCTTGCACGTAGTCGTTCTACACATGCAATGAAATCACGAGAACCTTCACCAGATCGTGGATCAGATGGTGATAAAGAAGCTTTAAGCTCATGGGCAAGATATTTGAAGAATAAATATGGAAGTCGCGGTAATAAAGATAATCCGAGAGATGGAATTGGAGCGAGCAGTAGCACTCCAAGCTCATCCTACAGCAGCTCAACAGCTGCAGCTTCATCCCCATCATCTACTTCATCTTCCACATCCGCAACAAGACGATTAAGTCTAGGCTTGCCATTACGTCAAGCAAATGAAATGCATAGCTCTGATGATGATTCAAAAAACTTGCAAAGCTCCCTCGCCTCTCCTACTCAAGCGCACCAAGCGGTCGTCGGTATGGACGATACCAATACTAAAATTAGTACCCCGCGAACGCAATATCTCCAAAAGAGAAGGCAAATTCTGCAGATAGGTGGCAGAGGGAGCGAATCTGGAAAGTTTACTTGGCCACGTGGCATCTCCGTTGGCCCTGACAATCTAATCGTTGTTGCTGATTCATCAAATCATCGCGTGCAAGTGTTTGATATGAATGGAAATTATTTGAAAGAATTTGGCACATATGGTAATGGTGATGGCGAGTTTGATTGTTTAGCTGGTGTTGCAATCAATAGAATCGGGCAATTCATCATTGCTGATCGTTACAATCATCGAATTCAAGTTTTTGATCCAGCAGGTAAAAATTTTCATAATTTTAATGATCCGTTCGTTCATCAATTTGTTGAAATTTTCAGGAAGATTTTTAAGAACTTTTGGAAGTCAAGGAGCATCTGACGGAAAGTTCAATTACCCATGGGGAATTACAACTGACTCAATGGGCTTTATTTATGTATGCGATAAGGAAAATCATAGAATTCAAGTAAATTAAAAGATTATAAAATCATTAATGAAAGTCAATTAACAAATTGATTTTTAATTTATTATCGCAGGTGTTTCAATCTGATGGAACTTTTGTAGGAAAATTTGGAACAAGTGGGAGTGGCGAGGGTCAACTTGTAAGTAATTAGTGTTAATGATGTCATAAAATCTGAGTAAAATTTGATTGATATTTAATTAGGAACATCCTCACTACATCGCTGTTTCAAATACAAATCGGGTCATTGTCTCAGATTCAAACAATCATCGAATTCAGGTAGAGAAAAATCTTTGAGTGTGAGATTTAAGATGAGTGACAAATTTTTTATTTTTAGATTTTTGATGTAAACGGAAAAGTTTTGTCTTGTTTCGGCTGCGAAGGTTCGGAAGAAGGTCAATTTAAATTTCCGAGGTAAATTTGAAAATTTTCTTCATTCAATCGCATATTTAATGATGATTCATCTTCATTGATTAACTTTTTTTCAGAGGGGTTGCTGTTGATGAATTCGGATACATTTGTGTTGCTGATTCAGGAAATAATCGCATTCAAATCTTTCACCCTGATGGAAGGTAAATAATTTCTGTTTTCCATTTTGTTAATAGTTCTTTCAATTTCTCTTTTCAATAGTTTCTTGCGAGCTTTTGGCTCATGGGGATCAGGTGATGCTGAGTTTAAAGGACTTGAAGGTGTCGCAATTATGTCAAATGGCAACATTTTAGTGTGTGATCGTGAAAATCACCGCGTACAAGTTTTCTAGTGGCAATTTGACGCTTTAGCGCTACTAACAATCAGTTCCAGCTTGCTTCAATGAGTCGTGGAAAATTTTAAAAGAAACATTTTCATCTTGCTAATAGATTCAAGATTTAAAGTTGTTTCGAACTGTTACTGTTTTTTTTTTTTAAATTGTTTAAAAGCTTTTGAGTCAAATAAGACTTTGTAGTAATTTATAACAAGAATAATTAAAGTTTGCATAGTTGAGAAAAAGAAACATTTGGAAAATTATGACTTTTTTATTTATTATTTTAAAAAATTTCAAGTTTCAGAGTTAGATGAATTAAGTTTCTCAATTGAATGGGAAATTTCATTTAATTTTGCTACAAGCTGAGCCATTTGGTCGTTTTTGCTGTCATTTGAAGACGTTGTACTCATTCCAAGATCAAAGTGAAGCTTTGATAACCGTTCTTGTTGATCACGAATATTTTTCATTTGATTCATTGAACTACCGGAAAAAGCTTTCAGCTTTCCTATAGTCAGAACAGAGAAAATTACTATAATTGATGAAATCTCAGAAGAAATTAAAACTCACCATTGTGAAAATCGTCGAGCAAGGAAATCAAATTCTTCTCCATGTATTTAACATCTAAATCTGAATCGAAAGAATGATGTTTTATACTTCGTGTTGAAAAACTCTGCAAACTACTCGTGATATGACTTTTGGATGGACTTTTTATAAGCAAAGGATAACTGGAAGTGCTTGGGAGTGGAAGGGAAATGTGTGACTTTTGAGATGGAAGTGAATTGAGTTTGTCGTGTGTCTCAACAGTTACAGTCGTCATGCGCGGCTCATCACGCTTTAAATCAATCAAATTATTGCTACATTCTGGTGACAGCTCAGATTCAGGATCTGATTTCTCTGTTCATTTGTTCGTATGAAGGTTTTGTCAAATCATAAATTTAAACCACAAACGAAACAACCGAAAAGGGAGAAATAAAAATAGAAACAAAATATAAAACAAAAACGCTAAATGAAGTTTCTAAAAAAACATTTGAATTAGATAATACAAAAAGAAAATTAAATCATGCATAAGCTAAAATTATAACTTTCTAAAAACCTTAAACAGTTCGGTTAAATAAATTTCACCTTTCAAAATCTTTTTCTTTCTTTCAACGCTTGTTTTCCTAGCATTCTCCAGTTCAATCGACTTTCTTTCATTCAGATAGCTTAGTTTAGCTTCACTGCTAACTTTTCCCAATGATTGAGATTGTTGAGAATCACTGCCAGTAGCAGAATAAACCTAAAAAATCAAGGAAATATATATTAATAAAATATTATTCAGGGTGTGTCAGTGATAACAAAGAAAATATATTTTCAATAATACATTTGGTGGTGATATTGGAGTTTTTGATTGTGCTGTGGTACCAAGACTTGTTGGCAACGTGAGTTCATCCTCTTCGTCAGGACCGCCATCAACTAATTTCTGTCGTTCCATTGACTTATCTTCGCATTCCATTTTACTCAATTTTTTTATGCTTCTTTGTTTGAAATTATTGACAGAGATCTGATAAATAATTTATGATAATCATTTAAAATAATCACAATATACGAATAATGTAACTGCTTATTTTGATGAGATATTTAATGTTAAATAATTTCTTTAAACTCTAATCGCTCAAAAAATTTCCCTTTGTTTTCACTTGAAAAAAATTACCCGTGCCAGTGCATACTTCAACACCCCCTCAAAAGGGGAATCCGAGGAGACCGAATTTCCCTTCTTTTGTGTCCACAGTGATTTTCTGCTTAAAATTCAGAATCATTATTATTTTGGATTTAGTGCAGTTAAGATCACTAGTGAAATAAATAATTAATTTTTCTTCTTCTATTTTATAAATATTGATGGATCCACGATATCAAGCAGCAGCTCCAGATGCATTCAATGCTTACTTGTACGCTCAGCACAATGCAGCATTAAATCGGAATCAAGAGTTATCGGTGAATGCACCAGAATTTATTCCACTTGGCGAGTGGAGTGGACATCCGCATCATCCAGAAGCAGCGTCTCAGGTGTTTACAGCACCTTCCCAGGTATTTAACCCCAATTCACGTTCATTTCCGCCGCAACATCAGCAAATTCAATTTGGTCAGCAACAACCGCATCAGCGTCCACCCCGGTACGTTTATCAGCAAAATCGTAACTTTGGTCGTCACGACTTGGTTCAAAATCATCATCATCCTGGATATTCAAACCAGCATCAACAACAACAACATATGTACATGATGAGTCAACAAGGACATCAGATGGGTAACAATTATCACGGTGGAGCTGGAGGACATCAACAAAGGGGAGGAATTCAGAATCGGTTGAATTTTACACCAAACGCTGTTGAATCTGTTCCCTCTGAACCAATGCCTCACAAGCAAACTGAAACCGAGCAAGTCGCGTTGGACTATCTAAGCGAGGTCGTGTCAAAACTGAATGATAATCCTGGTTTATTTGAAAATTACCAGAAGCGTTTGAGAGAAATGTTCATGGAGTTGGCTGATAATCATTTTGTTATGAGCAACGCTATTGAGATCATATTTGAACAGTCGATAAATGAGCAAAATTTCCGTTATACTGGTGCTCGTCTCTGTCTTCTTCTCGATACTTTGGATCTCTCATCCAATAGCACGTTCCGTAACTTGTTGGTCATGAAGATGGAGTTTCAGAACACCGAACAAGTTCCATTCATGCAAAACGATCAACGACGTGTTCGTGGCACAACATTGTTTTTGGCAGAATTATTTGTGCAGTTGAAAACATCCGAGAATACAAGAAGCACTGTTGACGTCGCGAGATTTGTATTGAACTCCATTCTTCTTCTTCTCACTAAACCTGGACCTGAGAACATCAAATGTGTTTGTCAGACTTTAAAGTTATCCGGTTACGATTTGCAAAAAGAAAATCCAACTGAAGTTGAAGACGCGATTAATCAACTAAGGACCATCGCAGAAGGACAAAATATTCAAACAAAGCGCTTGATTCAATCTGTTGTTGATTTGTTTCATGATAACTGGGGAAGAAAAGAAGCTGTTGATGTCGAAAATCAGATTCCATCGACATCGTCGTTACCCGATCATTTGCCCCAAAATTACAATGACAGTCCTGTTTTCTATGGACCTGATGGACAAATCATAACGGAAGAGGAGTCGATGTTTTTAAACGCCAACATGCCCGGAAACTACCCCATTAACATTGACGACATCATCGACGATGAATCGGATGATTTGGTGGAAGATGAACCTGAAATGGATCTGGAGATTCAGATGGCATATAAGGAATTCATTAAAGACGGTAAGCGTTCAAATGACGCTAAACATAAAGAATAAAGCTTGAATGAGTTAATATTTGCAAAAAAAGTGCGAAATTATTGAAAACAAACAAAAAAAATTCAAAAAAAGAAAATGAAGACAAAGCTTGAACATTTGCAAGGAAGAAAAGTTTACAACAATTTTCTTTTAATCATTTTCCGAACAGATTTATATTTTTTCTTCGAATTTTAATCTTCAACTAATTAGTTTTTGATTTGTCACGTGGTATAGGAAAAGAAAGTTAGCATCATATGGTGACAATTATTTTAAATTTTTATGACTTTTGTTACATCGACGTAAAATTTCTGTGTAAACAAAGCATGTATTCCATCCTTTCTTATTTTTTTATGTTAAAAAGTTAAAAAGTTCAAGAAACTACGCAAAATTGAAAAATCACAAAATTGTAATCCTCAGCATGCAAAGAAATAAAGTTTCAAGTTTGAATTCAAATTAAGAAAAATCGCTTCAATTAAAAATTGTTTTAATTTCAAAAATTTGATGAGATTTCATGTTGATTACAGTTATTTATTGGAAACTATAAGCGTCATTGCTTCTATTACAGCATTATTATTTTAACAACAGAGATTCTTTGAGATATTCATTAACTCTCATAGGAATAAATTTTCTACACTTTCAGAGAACGAAATAATCAAATCCTTTTAATTGATTCAAACCAATAATCTTAATTGTCATTACACTAATTGAGATTTTATTATATTTTCCATAATCGTTATTTAACATTTGATCATGCATTAGAAATTCACTTCTTTTTAGATAATGAGTAGATGAATTCAGCACTCATCAGCAGTCCAACGCCACATAAGAAAACTGTCGTTCCAAATAATATCTTATCAAAAGGTCCACCTAAAATATATGAAAGAAATCGTTAACATATCTAACAAATTTCTTTTAATTATCAAGAATATCACACCTTTCAAGAAAACAGGTAAACCGTTTCTAGCCTGGAAAAATCAAATATTTAAATCAATAAATTTTCATATGGAAATTTATATTCTTACCTGAAACTTTTCCATATTTTTCCGTAATCCTTCAGGAAGTTTCGGGGAAATGTTCTCTTGTGGAGTAACCATATTCTGAATGACAAAATAACTTTTCAAGAAATATAATGAGAAAAATGTAATTCTCAGATTTAGATCTTACGCAATAATTTTATTAGATTTTTCGCTTCTGACTTCTGCAGTTGCAATTTTTCAAAGACTGCTGCACTTGCAGTTTTTCCATTTTCTAATGTTTTCCTCAATGTTTTATTGTGGCATCAGCATAATTCAAAACAATGAGAGTTGAATCACTGTAATCCGGAAAAGAAAAGAAAATTTTGAGCACATAAAATGACAGAAGCGCCATCTTTGAAGAGCTCTTCTAAGTTCACATACAAATTCATTACAGATTGAAACTTTAATCTTAAAAGCGATTCCTAATATTTTTTGTTAAATATCAAAGTATTGAAGATTTAGATATCGTAGCTAGTTAAAGTAATAAGCATTTTCTTTTTACATATTGAAAGTGAATTTTTGCATACATCAAATCGTACGTAAGCAAATCAAAAACATGTTTGTGACAAAAAGACAACCAAAACATTCTTTCCATGCCACACTTAAAAATTGAACCGTTTTAGCCGTTTTTCATTCATAGAAACCAAAGTTTCTCGTTAGTCGTGAGAAATGTATCAGTGAAGACAGTGTGAATAATGAACAACAGGAGAAAAAGTGATTAATTCAAGAAAATATTGATAAACCACTATATACAAGTAAAAATCAAGTGAAAAAGAAGAAGAAGAAAAAAAGGAATAAATAAAACTACTGAAAAAATAAAAATAAAAGCTGTAATTGAGTGTAAGTGATACGTGGAGAAAATTTTATCTATTATTAAAGGAGCACCCTCACCGACCCCAAATGCAAAGATGCAAAGAAAGTTTCTTGGGATACTAGAAGTCGCATCGTTTTTTGATTTTGTTAAGAGATCTGTTAAAATTCAACGCAACTGGAGATTATCAACGAGTGGTTTCTTCATAAAAAATGTTTTGTTTTTAGTTTTTTCCAGGATTTAATTATTTTTACAAAGTAGTGTTCATTGAGATGCTTTCATGTGAAACATGAATGAATCTTAATTTTTTATTTAAGCTTTATGAAGTCTTTGTATACAAATAATTTCTATACAAGATTTTCAATTATTTTTTAATTAAATAGTGATTCTTAATCTATTAGTGTTCAGAAGTTCAACATACGTAAGCATAAGAGATCGTTTTAAACTAAATAAATAACAGTTTGCAGCTGAGGAATAACAGTGAAAATGGAAGAAATAAAATTTGCTAAAGGAAAATGGGAATCCTCTAAAAGTAATTGAAAATTGAAAAAGAAAGGAATAATTGGTCATCAGTCGATTCAAGCACAGCTATCAGTAAATAGTGTTAATAAAAAAAATCATTCTTTAAGTGTTGAATAAAAGAAATGTTTGCATAAATGCAAGTTCGTTTTGACGTGCCAAAAGAAAAGAAAAGAAAAGTTACAGGAGCCACAAATAATGAAATTCCAGAAGTGAAAAGAATTAATTGAAAAGTTATTTTTTGTTTTGCTCGGGTCGCGATTAAAAATATTATCCACCGTGATTCAATCTTGTGAAAAAAAGTGAAGAATAAAGTACGATTAAAAGCGCGAGATTAAATAATCATCTAGAAACGCGAATCTTTTATGAGTGGCATGAACGAAAGTCCCGGAAACCGGAGATCCGCGTGAAGTCTTCAAATAAACAAAACAGCCTCCTCCATGAATCAGTTGTGGCAAAATGGTACGCGAGACTCGACATCTTTGGGTTGCAAATTTGCCCGATAATACACGCGAAGATCGAATAAGGGAGCATTTTCAAAGGTAAAATATATTCATCCATTATGATAATTCTACATTTTATCTATGTTTGGAATAATAGGAAAAATTTTGAAACTCCTTGCGAAAGAAATTCTTTTTCTAAGATTCAATTATTAAAGAAACATTTATGTGTAAGCCTACTTCACTTTCATATGTATAGTTGAACAATTCAAGGTGCATTCAAGAAGATTCCCTGTCGTTCAAACTAGCAACAAATTAAGCTTTAGTCCCCTTAAAACTTTTTGAAAAATAATCTCACGGGAAGGGAATGATGACGAACCATATTTCTCACCCTTCCCGCTTCCTTGTCTCATAATCGAAAACAAAAAATGTCATTGTCATTCTTCATCATCTGGCAAATTTCGCTTGATGTAATGAGTTTAAGTTAAAAGTTCCTTGCTTTTCTGGATCTTTTCGCTTCTTTTCCAACTAGAATACGCACTGTCGAGTGACTGCTATGGCAAACACGTAAGAAAAAACTTTTTTCTTTTCTTTTAAAAGAAAAAAAAAATAAAATGAAAGAAATTGGTATTATAAAAATAATAACCCGAAATCTTAGCTACATAACAATTCCAAGTCTTTATATTTCGTCGTTTCATTTCTTCTTGAAGAAAAACGCTAAGAATGAGATATGTGTATATATGATGGAGATTCACAAACGACACACTATACACAGTCAGAGTCAGAGCCCATTTGCTATCGTCGTCGTTGTTGTTGATTCTGTGTATATTATTTTATTTTTTTCGGGGCCACAAAAGCAAGAAAAACGAGAAAATAATAATACCCAAGCACCAAAGCGCTCGTTGCTGCTTCGAAGCCAACGCCCGAATGTTTCTGAAAAAGTCGACACGGGCAGGCAAAAATTCATCATTTAATACGAAGAGAAAAAGAAGAAAAAAAAATGGAAAAGAAGTGAGAGAGAAAGAGCATAGCGATTGCCTGCCTCGGTTATGTACTGAAGCACGATATTTATAAAAGCGTTTTTTCAGAGTCGCAAATGTACATAACCGAATGTAGCACGAACAGACATCAGACGAAAATCGTATACAGCATTTTGTGTTGTTTCTCTTTTCCCTTGCCTTCTGCTTTTGCTGCTGCCTGGCTCTCGATGCTATAGTGTAATAGTGTTAGTATATATATTCGCCCTGAATGTGCCGATTACATTGCGCTATTTCATTCGTGCACATGGCGAAAACAAATTTTTCTCATATCATGCGCACTCACTCTAGCTCACGGGAGAATTTTCAAAGAAATTTCCTTTAAAAAAGTTTTTATTTTGAAATGGAAATATGGGCAAAAAAGACACAACATAGAACAAATACAACGCTGCAAATTCCGTTTATTTTGTTTTCTTTATTAGATGTGAAAAAAGTTTCTCTTATATGTATAAGTACCTCAAGTCTGTTGGATCCAAAAGCAGAAACTTTAATATACTTTTTCGTTTCGATTCAATTAAACTTCTTTCTCAGCGAGTTTATTCTTAAATCAAAAAATGTAAAAGGGTTTTGTATCGTCTTCCCGCCATGATTCCCCCAAAAATGGAAAATTTCAATACAAAAAAAGAAAGAATTTCACAACACCATCTGATGAGTAGTGAGAGCTACTGCTCGTATTTCATCTCTGCAATCGGAAATATAATAAAAAATTTCTTGGAATTGACAAAATCTGTGTTGTCTACAATTTAAATAAATAACAGAGTCGTCTTTCTGCGATGTAAGATAATGAGAATATTTCGTTATTACCTCCATGAAAACGAATGGATTAAAAACAATAAGAATTTGAATAAAAAGGATTTCGCTTTTTGTTAGCTTATCAACAGCAAGGCATTAAAAAATAATCGTCTCCTTGAACTTGTATCGTGTAATCTCATGAATTTTCAAGATGATTTTTATGCAAGATTCCATGACTTTCCTTTCTTAAAAGAATAAAGGAAAAAATTAAGTGCTTTTATAATAATGTTTTGTTTCGATAAGACTGAGACGAAATAAGACAAGACAAGACAAGATAAACACGAGAAATAACAACAGTAAGAAAACTCTCATAAATTTCTCTCCAGCGTTAGATATAGACGCTCAACATGGAACCTTTTCCATCGAATCTAACTCCAATAATGAAACGCGCAAAACCATCCAATGCTTTCATTCAGCTACTGAAATAACATTGCGGTTTTCTCTCGCTCGAAATACCATTATTTCTCCCTCCCCATGCCGCCCCATTAAGATAATATCGATTTCCACTTCGTAGCATCTCCACCATGATGGAAACTATTTTTGTGGAATAAATTGGTATGAATAAAAATCATGTACGGTTTGAAAGAGAAAGAACGATGATAGTTTTCCACTGTTGTAATATAGATATGTAAATAGACAGACTGGACAGAGTTATCTTCTGCTCATCTCTTGGCGTATACTGAATATATTTCATTCGCTGAAAACATAATGAATAGCAACGTTTCTGGAAAGTAATAAACCTGGCTATTATCCATTGTTGTTAGACAAAAACATAAAATTCAATTTTATTTCTTGTAAATTGTTTAACTCTCTCTACTTTCCTTCATTACAACATTAGCCTTGGTGGACAGATTTATCCTCGATTCTGTGCTTTATTCAGTACTGGTGGATCGATATTTCCCAGTAAATGTCGGTTGTTCTGAGACCTTCGAGCATCTTCAGTTATCTTCTTTTATATTTTGGAGTTTTGCTTTTAATACCTTTCCTGGCTACGTGGCAGAAGCATGAAATAAAGAATCTCGATACGCTTTTGTTGTTTTACCAAAAAAAAAACTTACAACGAGCAAATGAACGAACACCTTCAGTATTCTAGAAGCGTTGTGAAAAGCACAAAAGAAAAAAAAACGTTTCATGACCAGGGAAGCAAAAAAAGTGAAGTAAGGGAAGCTTTTAATGGAGATGTTATGTAATAAGTTTCTGAACAATCTTTGAACATTAAGGAAAAAAATATAAAATAACGATGACGCATTTCAGCGTTTTACTCGACACGCAATAAAATGATTCAAACTAAAATAAATGTGTTCAAAAGGGTTGCTTTAAGGTTTTGGGAAGTTCAATGATAAAATTAGATTTTAAAGCTTCTTTTGTGAATCAATCATGTTCGTTGTAGTTTTATTATTAGTTGTTTTCTTTTATTTTTGATTTATGAACACAAGTAAAAACTGGTTTTCGATTAAATAAATATTCTTGACTAGACATAAATACGAGAAAACAACAACCTCAATGATTCAACAAATCGAAATAAATTCAAGTTTATTGAAGAATTTACAGTTTCTTGCTTGTTTGTGCACTTGCCGCAACAATCATTACGATCAGACCGATCAGGCATATGGAAAATCGGTTCGTATGTCCATAAAATAAAAAAATAATCATCGACTTGAAAAACGTTCTAATCGAACATCAATTATGATTAATTCATGGCTGCGTGTTAGAGATTGTTTATGTAACATGAGAATGTTAAACAAATGTACACGCGTTTTCATTTATCTAATGTCGAAAAAACATCAATTCTTGCCTGACAGTAATACCATAGTTGCATGCGTACATAAGCATCAATAAAAGTTTAAATCTTTACCATTAACTTGTTTACAATCTGAATGATTAAAAATAATTACCAAATAATTATACAAACGCACATGTGGAGCTTTGAAGTCAAATTGAAAACCAAAAAACATTTTTCAATATGAAAAAAGATTTCCATGAATTACGTACATTTTTAGTAAGTAAGGTGGAATTTTTGTTTCCTTAAAATGTCACCAGTCTATGAAGTTTCATTTAATAAAAATTGAGAAAAATGTTAAATCGAGCTCTGATGAAATCAACCACAAAGTTTTTTCATATGGATTTGTTTTGTTGTTTATGTCAGGTCATTGCAGTCAGTGTTGAATCATTTGCGTAATTATTGAGCATGAAAATTGTCAACTCTTTGAATAGCACACACCATTATAGGTATGATAGCTTTGACAAGAGAGTAATGTAAAAAAAAGTAATAATTTCCTTGTCGTTCAGGTTTTTCTCGTTGTCAGCAATGATCTCGCTCATTGAAGCGAAGTGAAATCAGTAGCAAATTATGGATACACACTGAGTCATTTTCTATTGCAAACGTTGTAAACAAGCGCAATTCTCTCCCAAGTAACCAAAATTCCCATGTACGTTTTAAATCAGTCATGTGACTGCTTTCTCGTCTCCCGAATATGTAATTAAGCAAGTAGCACCTAATGGCATTCACATGCAAATTTGGGTATCTCGGGTCTTGAGTATGAATGGAAGTTTTTGTTGTCGAATTGCTTATGAAATTCTGATTCAGAACTTCAGGAACGTGATAACTTAAGCAAATGTGATTATGCAGCAGACGTTCTCTCGAGAGAAAAATTGAAGGAATTTTAGACGAAAACAAAATAAATATCTGATTGATTCTTCTTACATACGTGATTCGAAATCGTTCAATATATCTTTGAAGGAAGTATTGTGTGTGTATTGGTAGCCAAAAATCTGAAATACCAAAGCACGCGAATTAGTGAATGAAAAATAGAAAAAAATCTTAAATTTGATTCATGATTTCTTTATATAAGTTTAATATATATTTCTTTGCAATTGAATGGAATAAGATGCAAATATTATTCTACTGAGAAAAAATATAATATTCACTCGATATTGAAGAGTTGAATCTACAACAAACCAGTTGCCATGTGACGATCCACTCAAGGACACCAGAAATATGTTTTATTATCAAAAGATTTTCGAGTGGTTTTTGAAAATAAATAGAAAATTGAACACGTATACATTTATGCAGAACAAGCTCTGTGATTTCTTTTCAAACGTAAACTTCTAAGTGAATTTTCTATTTCACTGAAAAATGATAAAAGTGATCAACAAAGCATCATTTAAATAAAATTAAATCGTGACATCATCAGTGTAAAAAATTTTAGTTTAATGGCTAAAAACACCTGTGATTTGATTTCTTTGCTATTAATTATTCTGCTAAAAAAAGAAAAACCATAACAAATGGATTTACCGCAAAAGTAATTCTGAATTGAAGAAAAAGCGATAGGAAATCTGAGTGAACTTCTATTAGCAAAATTTGTGGAGAGAATTTTTTACTTGTAAATTAGTAGATATTTACTATAAAATATTTTCGTATTGAAAATTATTTTATTTGACGAAGTGGAAATAACCATTTGAGTTGTTATCTCATAAAAACTGCACAACTAATCTGACAGATTTTTTGTGGCACATGGCGCACCATGATTTACCTGTTTGTATTTGAGACTTTTAATATAAAACCTCAGACCAAGTGTCGAATAAAAAACAAACGTGCGAACAATCAGGCAAAAGCATTTTAGTGACTACCTGACATGGTAGCCAACAATAATTTCATAAGAATTACGAAAAGAAAAAGTTCAAACCGAATGTGACAATTTCCTCATGCTTTGTGATTTTTGCGTGGGTGGCAAGTGAAAAAAAAATCAACAATCTCTTATTGAGTTCGCTGGATTAAATGTTCATAAATAAACAACAGCAACCACAATCGTATAAAAATAAAGCACCAAACGTCTTGCAATTATCTTCGTAGGATTTTTATCTACAAGTTTTTTATTCGTTTCTTTTTTAATATCTCACTTGTTTTTTTTCCTACTCTGTTTGCGAAAGTTTCTCGATTGAAGTGGAGAAATAATGTTTTAATTTTTCTTGAGATAGTCTGGCAACGTGGAGAATCAATCCAAATTTATACTTGATAATTGCTCAAGAATGCTTTAAACTCAAAGCTAGAAAAATAAAATTCAAGATGATTTCAAGTTTTTTTTTTGTGACTGAAAATTTGTCACGTAGAAAAATATTTTTGGTTATTCTGTTGATTTTTTTTTGTTTCTTTTGAACAGCAATTTGTAAAGGTCCAATGATATGTGTGCGTGTAGTGTGATTTGATAGTAAAGTGGGTGTCTTGAGTCAGCATTTTATTAGTTGTCACACACAATGTTAAGATTTCTTTTACAACTATGGCCACGGCAACAAGGTTGATGATGCCAAGAAGCGTCAACAAAAATGAGTGAAACTTGATGTTGATCAACTTGTATGTTGTCATTATTTATTCCTGATGTTCTCGCACTTAAAATTCTCTTTTGGTCTCTCAAACGTTTGTTGACATTGTTGCCAAATTTTATTTCGTTTTTAATGCTAATGTGTTCTTTGAAAAACGTTCTAAATACGAGAAATTGAGAAATTTTCCCATCGACAAGCATTTTTGTTTTTTTTTTTTGGTTCATGAATAATTCATCTTTTATCTTGAATGCTTCTGCGACGCAAAAAAAGGCAGCAATGAAAGGAAATACGCAGTTTGTGATGACTCCATGATGAACGCATGTTGTATATTGTCATTATTGTTGTTGCTGCCGTCAATGTTGTTAATGTCAGACGCCGAGAAATTTTCTCATGTCTTTCCTTCGACAGATTGCTTGACGAAAACATTTTTCGTCTTGTAGTTTCATTTCACTTGAGTGAACTTTGGGAATGTATGAGTGTCTAAGTATGTATAAAAGCCCTATAATGCTTCTGCTTCTTAATTATGCCGTGAAAGACTGAAGAACCAAGCGGATTCTCCTCGCTTCACTTTTTATTTCTTTCAGCTTTTGTATGTAAATCTGGAACAAAAGGAAAGAAATTCTCCGGTTATGCCTGTAGCCTAGGAGAGTATTTCCAAGAACTCAATTACCAAGCAATATTTCGTTTGCCTTTTGTTTTTCCGCATTAATGACCGTAAAATTCACGAGCAAAGAAAAAGAATTCTTTCGACAAATGCGAGAACCATGCGAGAAATTCTGTTTTTTGGCTGTTTCCTTTTCTATTCATTCGCTTCAAATGAACAAACGATTCAAAGAAGCGATCCAGAACCATCAAAAATAGTATAAAGCGAAATATTTTAAGCACAAAAAGCAACGAAAATATTAGATGAAAGAAGAAGGGAAAGGAAATCTTTTAATTAAGAGCAAGCAATTGAAGTCAGCAAAAAACATATTTCCATCATAACAAAGACTCAAAAAATGAATGAAACAACTCTTTTGAGTTGAATCAAGGAGAAACTAAGGTCTTCAAGTAAAGAGATGTACAAGTATGTGTATGGAGCTGAACAAACTTAAGCTACTTCGATTAACAATCGTTACTTTCGTTAATCATGACTTTTATGCTTAATGATGCTTTACATTTGAGCATCGCGATGAACTTTGAAGTTCACTTTACTTTATTCAGACGAGATAAACGATCGCGACCTGCTTTCCACCTTAACCACGATTCTAAATATCACTAAACACGGCTCTCACATCAAACATCCATTAAACCTACCCATTAAAAAGAAATTATTTGCTAAAAAACGACTGCAATTCATTTTCTGTTCTTTCTTCTCTTTTTTAAGCGGAAACCATTTTTACTTTTTATGAAAATTTCTTTAATTTCATCCAAACTCGTTTACATGTTTTTTTACATGAAAGAAGAGTTTGTTTATCTTTGTATTATGCTTATCACAGTCATTATCATTTGAGATTGAGCTGCAATAACAAGCTCTTAGAATAATTCTGAAGCACTTCAAAAGCAATACTGATTATCGGAGGAAAAGCATGTCTTAGCTTCAATTTTATTCCTTCTCCACAATGCTTCGATTCGTAATCAAAGTCAAAACTCGTCTTACAGGTTTTGCCCTTCTCTCCATTTAGCTCTCATGTTTTCAAAGCATTACCATTATTGGACCGTTTGTGCTTCTTTCGTTATCAATTCTCGAGTGGCTACAATTTTCTTTCTCTCAACTTAACGAACGAGTGATGGCATTTTTGTGTTTGTAACAACTAGCAAAACCAGAATAACATCAGTAGCATGAGTAACTCAAGTGTTTCTTCGCAAATTGTGTCTAATTAAATTTAATTTCAAAATGTATCACTTAGTGATGATATCGTGACTTTGAGTTCGTTTGATGAAAGTTAAAAAAAACATCTCAGAACTTTTGAGTGCCATTCAAGTTCTTATTTCATCCTCAGACAATTTTCAACTAAAGTTTTTATGATCTGATCTGGAAATGTGAGAAACAGCTCTGCCTGTCTCTCATTCATTTAAGCTTCAATCACACAAATACACACACAATTCACTAACATTGTTTGCCTGACCTCATCCGATCTGAAATGATTCTTGAAGCGACATAAGAAAACAACAAAAAGGTTGAGCATAAAAAAATATTTTTTTATCTTTCATCCAACTGTGAAGTCAAGACAGAAAATAGCTGCAAATCGCGGCTTTTTCTTACGTTTAATACATTTCTCATTTGCGACTATCTTGGGAAATAAAATAACACAGCAAAAGCAAAAAAAGACAGAATGGATCAACAGAAACGAATTCTCTTGGGATTCTTCTTTGTTTGCTGGAGATTTTCTATTTAAATCCACTCGTTTTTCTATGTTAGCAGCCCAAGTGAGAAATCCCTAAAAAAATAAAAGCATGAACACACAAAAAAAATTGAGCAAACTTTGCACATTCGACATGAGAAAAAAAATAAAAAGGGAAGTAAAGAAAAGGCGAGATCAAGAATTTGTTTTAATCTTTTTTTTTTGTTCTCATTTCACTTACTTTACTGACAACTTCCAGAATGTCTGCTTCCCGTATTTTTTTATTTTTATTTTTGAATTCTGTCTCTTTATCATGCTCACTGGAGCCAAAAGAAAATTACAAACGAAAGAATGTTGTAAGGGAAGAATTGAGTTGCCATCATGATTGTGTTTAACATGCCGCACACAAGCGCTTTATTTTGTTAAAATGATCTTTCAGATGATGTCAGCGAGAAGTTTTCAAATTTCTTATTCAAGGCATTTTTAGATATTTGAAGCGGCGTTGCCATGTTTCCCTCCCTCGTTATCAATCTAGATAAATTTTCTTTTTAAATAATATAAATTTATATTTGAAGAATTGTTTGTTCTGTTACAATTTCAAAACTTTGGGCATTTGAATACCTTTTTTAAACAATATTTTTTACTACTTCCTCGTTTAACAAAAGCAAAGTGAGATTTTTTTTTATTTATTGACACGTTAAATGTGAAACGTTGTGCTTAGAGCGCGTGTCTATTACGCATTATGTTNAAAGAGAAAAGAAAAAATTTTTTAGTGGAATTAATGTTTAATTACAAATTTTTCATCAACTACCCACTTGCTGGCGATCTAAAATGAAAAACAATAAAGGATTATGAAAGGAAATGAAAAGGAGGTTGCTTGTTTATATTCTGTTGTTTGCGCAATGTGTCAGGCACCGTCTCTTGAAATCAGTCGCTGAATTTGAGACTCTAATATCGGGACTCAACGAGTTCCATAAACGAACTCCCATGACAAAAAATGATTTATCATATTGTTTGGTTGATCTTGCAAGGGGAAAATTTAGATTATTATTTCGCGGAAATCTCGGGAATCTTATTTCGTTGTACAGGTATTCAGGTGTTTTATTTTTTAACAACTGAAACATGAAGTAACAAGCTCTAAACTGAATGTAGTTTTCTAAAGGGCAACCTAATATTGAACATTTCATTCCAGATACCGATTCATATTTTTTAAGATCATAAACATATCTTATGCAGGCATTGAAAATTAATGACAATTTCGACCAACACGTTCTATTACATCCCATAAAAACATTACTGCAATATAATATATTTGGTATTATTAATGATTTTATTAAAAGCATGCGAGTGTTTTGTGGTGTGATTTTCATTGATTGCCTTAGCATATGAAGCTTTGAGAAAGTGTTACAATATATTTTGTCCACATGATTCTTCCATGTTAATTGATTATCAATTATCAATCCGAGACTTCTGACACTATCACTATAAAGAATAATTTCTTGACCGATATGAATTGGGGGTGCATTGTTTATTTTTTTCGAACTTATGATAATTCCAACTGACTTGTTTGCATTGATTTCTATTGAATTTCTCTCCGCCCATTCTCTCACACTTTCAAGAACATTGTTCATTCTTGTAACGCATAAGTTTATATCATTTTTTGGCGCTGAACAATAGATTTGTGAATCATCAGCGTATAAATGTAAACTGCAATTTACAACTTCAGCGATATCATTTATATATAATGAAAAAAGAAGAGCGGATAGAATCCCGCCTTGTGGTGTGCCGGAAGTTGCTGTTGTAAGTGAAGAAGAGTCAACACCCACTCTAACCCGTTGTTGTCGATTAGACAAATAAGATTTAATAAATTCACAAGCTCTACTTGAAAAATTAAACTGCTTGTTAAGCTTTATTAAAAGTTTTTCATGACTTACTAAATCAAACGCTTTTTTAAAATCGAGCAATGTTAAGATTGTAACGTAGTTTAATTCGATAGCTTTCGATAAGTCATTAACTACTTTCAGCATTGCTGTATTAGTGCTATGTCCTTTTCTGAAGCCCGATTGGCAATCATAGATCATCTTATTATCTTCAATAAAGTCTTGAATTTGATTTTTCATTACCCTCTCTAAAATTTTTGACATGCACGGAAGAATACTGATAGGTCTAAATTCAGATATTTCGTTTGGGTTTGTAGTTTTCGGAATCGGGCGAATATTTGCGATTTTCCATTGCGATGGAAAACTTGATTTCGTAATGGAATTATTAACAATATGAGTTATAAATGGAACAATGAATGGGCATAATTTTTTTAAAATAATTGGTGATATTCCATCGTCTCCAACCGCATTTGTATTTATTAGTTGAATCGCATTTATAATATCTTCATTTGTTACATTTATAAATTCAAAACTATTTTTATTGTTGTTATTAAGAGAGTTTGATGGGAGATTATTTAGGGTTGAGGGAGTAAAGACTGATGCAAAATAATCATTAAAATCATTAGGACTAAAGTAATCAATATTATTTACATCTGATTTTGTTACACCGAATGTTTTTAAATTTTTCCACAGCTGATTATTTGGTAAGTTTAGATTTAGATGTTTCATGAAATGACTCCATTTTAATTTCCGTTTTAATGTGTTCACTTTATTTCTCAGATGGCAATAGGTACTTTTATAATTCATTTTACGCACTGGATTTTTTTCATGCTTCATAGCTGAGAATAAAAAGTTTCTAGCATTTATCATTCGTTCAAGTTTTAAAGTGAACCATTCTGGTCGAGTTTCATTAAAATATCTGCATATTTTCAAAGGACAAAACTTTTCTATAAGTTCATTTGTTAAATAATTTACATGATTGACTTGATCATCGACATTAGGAAAATCATAAATTAAATTCCAGTTTTGTTCTGAAGCAGCAGATTGTATTATTTCACTAGAGATATTTTTAAAATTACGGTAATGCATTTCCTTAGATTTTCCTTTATTAATTTTTATTTTATAACACCCAAAAATCATATCATGTGAAGTGAAGCTTCCTAGAGAAATTTGTGAAAAACGTGAAAGCATATTTTTATTCTTAATGAGAAGCAAATCAATTAAAGATGAGAAGCAAATCAATTTCAAAACTTTGGGCATTTGAATACCTTTTTTAAACAATATTTTTTACTACTTCCTCGTTTAACAAAAGCAAAGTGAGATTTTTTTTTATTTATTGACACGTTAAATGTGAAACGTTGTGCTTAGAGCGCGTGTCTATTACGCATTATGTTATCTTATCAAACAAACATTAAATGGATGTGACAAACCGATACTATTGAGACTCTTTATTTATTCATTTTTTGTTTTCTCTGCTGATAGTTTTTCCATGCTTCATCATAATTTATAATTTCGGAATTTTCCACACATCAAAAACTTCAATATAAATACAATTTGATTAGAAACAAAAAACAATACACAACTTCTCATTGCGATTTCATAATACAATTTAGTAGATATGTTATCTTGTGTGTCATAAAATTTTGAAAAGCTATTGGGATGAAAACCGAGATAAAGGAAACTAGTTCACCTGTAAAAAGAATACGAATTCAAATGGAGGCTTTTTGTGCCATAAAAAAGAATACATGCAACAACAGCAAAAGTTGAAACTGCATTAAAATTGCAAAAAAAATGTGTTTTCTTCATTTCCTTTCTCGGTTTTTGTTATGCGATAAGTTTTATGCGGGGTCTAGACATCTAGACATACCAGATTACTTTAAAACGAGTGTTGGTGTTCTGCATGTGTGTTTGAGACAGATTCAATGAGAAAGAAATAAAGGAAGTCTTGTTTTTGTTGATTCCCATAATGTATGCTGTGCAAAAGGAGACAGAAATAACTTCATCATGAATAATTTTGATGATAAATGTTTTATGCAAAATATTGCAAAGGTAACGAAAAAAAAATTTCGATCTGGTTTAAATTTCAATTAAAAAATATAAAATATTTTTCTGATTCAAAATTTAGTTTTCAAATATTGAAATGAATTAATAGAATGACTTCTGACGAAATTTTCTGTATGATATCAATTTTCATCATCAGCTATGTAAGCAATCTACAATCCAAACAAAATTTCAAACTTTTCCTGAGAGTTAAAACTAAAAGGTGTACACATGATACGTGCATGTTTATGTTAACACAAACATGAATGGCCTTTGGGGTTTATTTTATTTTATCTAACTATCTACAGTGAAATATATCAAGCATGAAGTGAATATCGTCATTTTTAGTTTTACAATTTCGTTTTACTTCATTCAGTTATTGATTTATTGTGTCGCAGTAACGTTGTTTGTTATCATTTAACTTATCGTAAACTCATCGTTATCATTTTTGAAATATTTCGTAGAGGCGTCTCCATCGGTATTACGTTGTGCAAATATTTAACTTACTTATATGAAATGGTGGATCGTCATTTTGTTTGTTTCAAATATTTCTTTCCAACCGCACAGTAATGTTTATCACTTCCGTAGAAGAAATTTTGTTTCTTTGTTACCAACCGACACGTGGTTATCAACGTGAATATTTTAGAAAAGGGAGTTAAATGAAAAATGCAGATATTCATCTTGTATTAAGAAATAAAATTTATTGTTTAATTGTAAATTTTTAAGACTTTAATGTAATAAAAAAAAGCAGATGTTACAAATTCTCTTCATCACTCTTTCCCATTGCCTGGTTTTGTAATTTTCTAATTCAGATTTTAATCTCTTTGAAAGACGCATTGCGTGTAATCATTTTTCTACCCTTTAGTGTTGTTTGCTTGCTTGCTATAAAGGATCGCGCCAAAATAAAGGTTGAACAACAAACAATGAAAGAAAAAAACATGACATTGAGTGACATTAAGTTATCGATTTTTCCGTGATGACTCACACCATCCACTTCGCACCCATCAAAGTATTTCTCGAATCTAATGTTTATTTCCATAAGCTTTTCTAGCACGTTCGTGTCATTAAACAAAAATACTTTCGCAGTTCTGATGGACATAAAAGGTGCCCGTGAAAAACAGTCGCCATTCAATATCAATTGCTATGTATTAAAAGCAACGAAACTGATTGTCGACGCCTCATTTACCTTAATGAAAAACGCACTTAAGGTGATGTAATCAATCTATTTTGAAGAAGCTTGCTGAAAGGAAAATGAAGGAAAAAGTTTTTCACTTAAGAATCATGAGAGAGCGGAAATTTTTTTGTGACATTTTTTAAAACAAAAATTAAAAATGTGAAAGCATTTTCTTGGTTTTCAAATGAAAATCTTTTTAATGATTACGACAACAACCAATTGTTGATTTTCGTTGAAGAATTTTATTTCTTCACCCATTTTTCTCCATAAAATAAATAAATTCTTTATAGCATTTCATTAATTAACAATTCAAAAATTTATGAAATAAAGCAAAAACGTTGATGAAATTACGAAGAAGAAAAAATCTTTTGAAAGCTTCGAAATTTCTTGTTAATACCAAGTTGTAAGGGAAAATTCTTTTAACATGACACCTTACTAAGCTTTAGGAAATATCAGAAAATCCTTTTTTGATTGCTTTCAAAATTGTGCCCAGCATCAAGCTCATATCGAAAGACGAAATCCCATTGCAACTTAACTTTCTCCCCAATAGAAACTTTTCATTCAAAGTCATAAAGATGGAGAATGAAAATAATCCATCAAGAAGAAAGACGTTTTTATCGTGAAGGCGAAAAATAAAATTGCGAAAAGCCAATAAGAGGATTAGTAAGTAGGAACTAAAATTTTCCCAAGAAGTGAACTAGACTTCCCTTGATTTGCCGAACTGTTTGCGAAAATAGGAACAATCATTTCGCAGCTATAGAAATCAAGGCAAATCAATATTTTCTGTATCCATGTCGCTTCATGATTACGCCAAATGAAGTTGCTTCCATTCAGAAAACATTAAAAAATTATCCGAAATTCCAACAATAGTCATCTATGATTTTAATTCATTTATATCTAATTTATAATTTAAGAATGAACGGTTTAATCACTCCCAAATTTTCTTGTCTTCTTTCAGGTAATTATCATTAAAAAATCAATGCGAAGAAATTGAGACCTTTCGTCATGGAGCACTAATTGGTTTGTGAAAAGATTTTCCACATCAGAAGTACAATTGGGGATATCAAGTGTCCAATCGACAATTTTAAATGCTGAAAATATAATAGGATTTGGAAGTTAAGAAGATTATAAAGGAGAATTGTAAGGTTTTTTGTAGTTGAAAACTTGTTTTCGTTCTTAATTTATTTTTCCGCAAAAAAAGGAAAAAATAGAAGTCCACATCAATTTAGTTCCACGAAAAGAGAACTGAAATAAGTTGAATCTTATTATTATGCTTAACTAAGACAGGATGTAACTTAAAACAAAGTTTGAACAAATAATTGAACATTATTGAACATTTCCACACAAAATGAATTTTATTTGGACAGGAAAAGTTGAATTCTTTACTTTAAAAACTTTTCTCATCTGTCTATGACGTGTTTCCATCCTTCACAACATATCCAGGCCATAATTTTTTTTTAAACTACTGCAGTCAGACGATGTTGATGAACTTTAAATTTGCGCAGTTTCAATTCGATGAAACTTTAATTTCATTACTGCTACGAATTGGAGAATGAAAAATAAACTTTCATCCTAAATTATCGAGCACGAACACTTTAATCAGAAGTTGTTCGTTTTTATGTTAAGAACTTTATTGGATTAAAATTTTATGAATTTATCATTTCCACTATTTCGTAATGGTAGAAAAAGAAATCAAATTTTTCAATCATATTTGGAAGAAATTTTTGATGTTTTGAAAGCTGTCACACTGCATTTATACTTAGTTGCATATGAGAAAATTCGTTAATATACCTAAATAGGTAACTTCCATTATTTTCCATTAATGTCAAATGTCGGATGGAAATTATCCCAAAATGAGTTTTTGTGGTGGATGAAAAGGTAAATTCGATCCAGTGGGCTTTCTGAAATGAACGCAGTTGATTTTATGAAAATTTAATCTTATAGCATTGATTTTGGATGAATTTAAATCCATTTTTGTGTGTCTGCCCTGATGTCTACGATGAGCATCAGCTTGCTTCAAATGATGTAGTGATAATTCAACATCTAAACTGCTTCGTCATTTTTTTTGTTTTTTTCATCAAATCACAAAATAATTCCAAATATGAGTATTGATTTCTAATATCATTTGTAAATTGGAATATTATGGCTGAGTTGTAATATGAAAATATTTCAGAATAATTTTAATTAAATGAAATCTATTCCTCAAGCAATATTCAAACAAATTATGCTTCTAAATTTGTAATCAAACAAATCAAATCCTACCATTGATGTCAGACGAAATTTAAAAAATATCTTTAAATAAAACTGTAAATAGAAGTAAATCTCCTTATTGTGTAAGAAAGATTTTATCGATGATAAAGCTTGTGGAAATTGTTTTTACGATTTCTGTTGATGATGGAGAATCTTTCGTTACCAGTCGGGTTTCCACAAGAGATTTCCATCTTCAGTTTTCTTTCACCACCTTAACCGGAATTTTTATTAATTTCTATTTGCGCTTCTGATAATGAAGATTCCTTTATGAAGTTATCTTAACAGATGGAAAAGCATTGAAAGAAATTTATTTCAATTTATCTGACGTTTGACGGTAAAATTTACTTGCCTCAATCAAAAGCAATTACAATGATGATGATGATGATGATGATGATAGGAGAGAATTTCTCGATGTTTCAAAACTTCTTCAACCTTTTCATGCATTATTTATGCAAATGTCGGTCTTTAATTTTTGTCAATTTAATAAAGAATAAAAAGAAAGCGTAATTTGCTGATTATTGTAGAAATATAAGCAGCATTAACACAGTACAATTGATAAATCGTCTTCAATTTTTCTTTTGCTTTCGTTTCTTAAAATTAATATGAATGACAATTTTCCTTCGCCTACTTTATGGGGTCGCACAATCCTGTGAGACATCCGCGTGCTTCACCAATTGCTTTGAATAATATCAATCAACGAAAATGGGCTTTGATAAAGTAGTAAATGAAATTTATTAGAGAGAAATAAAATGAGAAAACAAGAAACAAAAAGTAAATTGACCTTCCGTGAAAGTCGCACCAAGAATGTGGGAACGGATAAGAATTTTTTTTTTGAAAGTTTCTTCATACGAAGGCGGAATTTTATATTGACTTTCGTTAATAATGTGTATGCGATCAAATTTTCATGACTTGAGAGGAGCCTTTCATGACATTTTATAAATGAAAAATTAATTTCCCAGTAAACTTCTTACTATTTTATTTGTTTTTGAAAAAGAATCATTGGGATCATTGAAATATCTGTTAAATGACCTTTCCATGCGGATATTCCAAAAAGTCGCTTCGTGAGCAAACAAAACTAGAGAATCACCTTCAAACAGCTTTAAATCTTTTTTTCAGTAGTTTTTTTAACAAACCCAGAATGAGATTCAATATTTCTCCTAATTGGCTGTTTTTGTCTTGCGCACAGCTGACAAGCAATTATTCATAGAAAACGTTTTTGCATTGATTTAAGTAGGTACAAACTATTGATTTATTTTCAATACTTCATAAACTAATCGACAAATTATAATAGCCATATGCAAGACTTGTTTAATAATGAAGCTAAGTTAAAATTATTAGGCAAACCTTCGTTGTCACTTCAAAAGCTTTAATGACACAGTTAACTACAAAATGTTACAAAACAGTTTCATTTAATTCATTGTTTCTGCCCTCTTCTCTAATTTCTTTGAATCGCAGGTGTACCCACTGATGTTTCATCACCACAGTTTGATTTTTGATTTCATATCTATTTTCAAGATTGGAAAACAATACAAAAGAAATTTCTTATATTATGTTCTATAAATGACAATAGTCTCTTGTCGTAACTTCCACCAACATAGAACTGACTTTATTTCATTTTTATATTTTCCGCTTTTTGCTTTTACAAAGACACAGTATTATTATTTTCCACAATCCATTGTTTACCATTGAAAAATAGGCGGAAAATAAGAAGGAAAATATAAAGAAAAAAAAATTCCCCGGGCTCCATTAACAAAAAACACAAAAACATTGAGTCCGTAACAAGAAAAAGCTCAATTTTCATTCTCGTCGACTTTTTTTTCCCAGATCAAGTTCTGAGCCTTGTTCTGAGCGATGTTCTTTGTTCTTCATAATGCACAGAAGAAGTTGTCAATGTTTTCATTTCTGAATTCCTCTCCAACCTATCTTCCGAGTTTTTCCAAATAAAGAAATTCTCTCTGTGTGTGAACACATTTAGAAGCTTAATCTCCATAAGACGAACAAAAAAATGATGGAATATAGAAATACAGGTCTCCACCACGAGAAAAAAAACTAATGAAAAAAGAAAACGGAGATGATGATCACAAAGAAGAAGAAACTTCTTATGCGTGCGCAATCGTTGATTTTGATTTTCACATCGGACGGAGTTTTGTTAGTGTGAGTGAGCGTTTGTAAGTGTTTGTGCTCAGTTTCATTACTCGTATGTACAAAATGGCCGAATGTACATCGAACAGCCATCAATGAGTCAGCCCGTTCGTTGTTGGGAATATTGTAAAAAAAGATTGTATACACGCATACACACAAGGGGCATCTAAACTGTATACGTTTATTATATTCAGAAGCGAACAAAAGGAGCCCCCAACATCAACGACGGAGATGGAAGGAGAAAAATAAAGGAAAAAAAAACAAAAATTTCTATAGTTATATAATGTCGTTTGTAAAAAAAAATTCTGCAATGAGCAAGAGCTCCACGGATTTAGAAAATAATTTTTAATGTTCCATATATGGACGGGAATGGGAAGACAAAAAATTGAGTGAGTGGAATGGAAAACATCGTTTGATTTCTTATCGAAACGAAAATAATTTCTGCAAATATTTGATATCAATATTTTTTATTTAGATACCTATTTATTTGCTATTTATTTGATTTGTGAAGCCATTAAAATCGGACATGTAATGAGTGCTTCGTAAATTGATTATGCATCCGCACAAATGCTTGAAATATTAATATTATTTGTTATTCCTTCTTTCAACGTGGACTGACATGTGAAAATGAATCTTTGAAGCATCAAGTAAACGTTGAAATTGTTTGTAAAATGAAAAAAAAATAAATTCTTCGAATTTACTTTGTAGCATTAATTAGCAGTCATCTTCATCACATGGCTTTTCTGCAACATTTGAAATTTAAAAAAATTAATTGAAAGTATTAGGCACAATTTTTCAACTCGAAAATTTTATGTGTTACATATTATCATCCATGAATCCGAACTGTTGTTTTTATAATTCATCATTTTTCCAATATTCTAACTTCTTCAAACAAAACTGAAGGAAAGAAAAATCGATGATGTGGAAGTGATTGCGACGTTGCCAAATTAGACTCACTATTATTCAATGTTCTATTTTGCTTACGTAGGGAGAAAATGTTTTTTACAGTTGTTTTCACACAGCCATGAGATGGAAACTCATGAAAGAATTTTCCAACATCATCTATTTTTCCTCATAGCACTACGCCAATAAACATTTAATTATGCAATTATATATGTTTTCTGTAAAAGAAGTTAAAAAATGTATTGTAACGATTTGCGATGATGTAAAGAAAATAAATTTTATTTAATTTAGACATGTTTAAGTCCATATTTAGAACACTGACACATACTTTTGCGACTGTTGTGTTGCTACTTTTGCCTAGAAACGGAGAAAAAGTAACTTAATTAATTTCCCTACTCGCCAGACATTTCGAGAACTGTTTCTTATTTTATTTTCAATTTCAAATCGTTGCGCTTGTAAACAAGACAAAAGTCATAAAGGTTGATTAATTCTCCATTTACGAAAGTTTTATCTATTTTTCAGCAAGCTATATTGTTTTGGCAACTGAAATTGTCGAGAATAAATTTTGTCTGACGATCGCTTATAAATAAATAGGAGAGGGCGATTGTATTTGACCATGCATTGCATGTTGTTTCGTCATTTGTAATATTAACTCACAACTGCATTTTTCCCTTCGAACAGTTGCTCTGTGACGACATAAACTCATGCAATATTCTTAAATCTGACAACATTGCATTAACTTTCATACACTTTACTCTCGTTCCTTTTGATAAAATCACATTGAATTTGAATTTCAAGTTTTTTCTTTCACAAAATAAATATATTTAGATTAGAAATTTGAAGCGACTTCAAACTCAGGACTTCATATGTCCCACTTTATGACTTTTAAATTGAAATGATTTAATTGCTTTCTGAAGTTGAGAGAACTTCTTACATTCCAATGACGAAACTTTATTTATTCATAGAATTCAAGAAATAGTAGAACTTATGTCATTGTTTAAAATGCAATCCTCCTTTCTGATGTCATTCCAGTCTACGACATCGCCGTTGTCAGTATTTTTGTGAATGAAGAAAAAATGGAAGGAAAATAATTGTCTGAAATGAAATTAAGCTTGATTCAATTAAAATATTGCACGTATTGGCTGTTCACTTCCATGTCGTTGTCTTTATTATTTTTTCTCATCCTAAAATTATTCTCAAACAAAATAATATTAAATAAGAACTTGTGACTTTTCTGATGACTTTAATCATCATTCTCTGTTGCCAGTCAGACGAATTTATGTCTGATTACTTTGGGTCAAGAAGAAACTTTAATTAATTCGTTCGGCATTCAGATGAATATTAAAAAGGAGAAATGTTTACTGTGAAAATTTACAACTCGTCGTTTGTTAAGACTCGATCATAGACACATGCGAATGCTAGAGTTCATTCAACCTGCCACGTAACACCATACTAAAAATCGTTTGTTAAAGAAATGTGAGCGAAAGATGAAGGAGAAAAGAAATAGAAATCATTCGAACGAAAAATCGTGTGAGAGATAAGAGATGACGAAAATGATGATGAAGCTGAAACCTACAAACCAAAGATAGTTTTCACTTGACGAAATCTGACGTTTACGTTGAATTTACAATCTTTTTTCAGTAAATAATCCAATGATGGTTCAAATAGTTTTTTTAATTGTTTGTTAGAGAAAAAGCTTTACTTTTGATTACCTTTAAACAAACGAGCTCGTCTTGTTTACATCTGGAGTTGAAGCAATACAGTTGATGTTAAATGAAAGTCGGTTTTATTGCCTTCTCCTCGTCCCTTCTATTGCTATTGTTTACTCTCAAATTGCTTTTTTTATCGTTTTTCTTTTTTCCTAGCCTCCATTATTATTACGCATTTTTCTTTATGAAACGTCTCGTGCCCATCATAAAAATTCCATTATTATGAAGTATTAAAAAGTAGAAAAGGTCTATGGAGAATTCTTTCTCGCCCCCAAAGGCTGTGAAAAAAAAAGAAATAATTGAAAAGACAACTGTCCAATCCCCTCCCTATTGAGTGTAAGGAGAAAAACAACATTTTTAGGCGCTGCTTGGCGTTCTTCACTCTTCTCCTTCGCTTAATGATGAACGACAATCAATGTCACTCTGACATGAGAAAGAAAGAACGAACGAAAGCTGTCTTGATGAAGCGGAGCTGAAGTGAATTGTAAAAATAAGAAAAAAGCAATTCGTGGCAGTTTGTTCTTCTTTATTTCAAAAGAACGAAGAAAAGGTTGACCAACAATGTAGGCAAAGAATTGGAAGAGAAGAAAAAAAATCAATTAATCGCAAGTTAATAATTTTTTTTTGTCTTCATCTTCGTATCCATTTTCTTTTACATCTTTTTTTTTGCACAACTTAGTTGTGTTATCAATGTTTCCAACCTGATTCCATCCTGTTAAATAAGATGAAGGCAGGAAACAAAAGAAGGTATTTAATTACATGTGGAACGAAAACAAGTTTTCAAAATGTGATTCTTAATTGCACGTTGTTTCTTCTTCAGCTGTAATGAGCTCATTTGTTAGATGAACGAAGTCGATGGATGGTAAATCTTCTTTACTAGTTTCCAATTTCTTCTTATGAGTTCTATTTATGATTCTTTAGAAACGCATAGATGGAAAACTTTTGTTCAGCTAACGTGTGAATTTGAAGCATTTCCTATGATTTCATGTACAGAAGCATATAAGATTTACTTTCTAAGCAATATGACATGTAAACAGTGATAATCCATTAATTTTGTGTATATAGGTAAATGAATAACTTATCAAAATGTGCAAAAATCCACACTGTTTCAAAACTTTCTTTCAATCCATGGTCTCCATCAACAACTTCCATTAATGAACTTAATCTGCTCATCTAAATTAATGTCTGTTCATATTTCCTTCTATATTTTTAATTTTTCTTCTTATTTTTCTTGAGTATACCGAGACTAAGCGACCAACTGGTTTTTATCTTAACGAAAACTTTATAAAGTTGATTTATATTTCAGTCTTGTGAAGTTCATGACTGTTTGTTTGTTGAGAGTGATAAATAGAAGTTTGACAACGTTGCCTAGTAAATTATTTTACTGAGAAACCTTCCCTTACAATTTTTTCCGCTACTGACTGCTACTTTTTTAATTCATCAATTTCATTTCTATATTTTTCTTTGATGATTTGTCATCGAATATTCAATGGTGTTACGTCTTCAAATCTTCATGTAATAAATGAAAAAAATATTGAACAACATTCCGAGCTTCACCGGAAATTTATAAAAAGAGATGATATCAGATTGTCATCGTGAAATTATTTATTTACTTCACGACATATGTTTGCATAGTCTCGTTTCACTGTTTGCATTGTTAATGATGTCAATTTGAGACATTTTCTTTTAAGAAGCAAGATTTTAGGTTATCAGTTGTTTTCTTTCGTCTCATGACACTCAACACCAGATCAAGCAGCTTTCCACAATTATTAACCGCAGTTTTTAATAACTTCTCTTACTCATTATCTTTTTTGATTCATTCACAGCTCTCTTTTGTTTTTTTTACATAATTCCAATGTTCCACTTTATTCACCGTTTGATACTTTTCTCGAACTAAATAAGGAAACGAAATTTTAAGTTAACATGTCTGTTTAAATTTTAAGAGATAAATATTTTGCATTGTTTTTTCTTCATCTTTTCAGAATTAATCATTTTTTTTACTTTTGCAAAATATCTGTTGATCGGTAACGAAAGGCAATTGTGTAATTATTTATTATAAGTTTCTCATCGGAAAGATAAGTAGTAGCAGTAATTAAATGAGCTGGATCTCTTTAGACAGATGTCATTTTATTATTCTAACAATTACGTATTGCGAAATACTAAGAATTATTTTTTCTTGTTATTGTGCTATGAGTGAAGCTTGAATGTTCTGAAATGAAATTTTATGATTACTGATTGATAATTTATTTCTCTGCCTGATTTATAAATGGCTCATCCACTTTCTCTCCTCTCTGATCCGTTTATATGCTGTCAATCCATCATTCGAACGATAAGATGAAAATGGCTGAAATTCTCTATGGAAACACATTTCACTAATGTATCGTGATGGTTTCGTAACATAAAAATCCTTTCAAAAAGCTTTTTTTTTCTCTGAAAAATTCCCCGAAAAAAGAAAAATGTTTGTGAGAAGAAAATTCTCAATGAGCTTTCAAATGTTGATGGTGTCAAAAGTAGAAAAAAAGGTCTGCTCTGATTCATCCTTCATCATTCATAGTGCTTCAAATGGTATCTCCAAATCTTTTCATTATTTACATACGAATTTGAAGAGTAAAATAAAAAGAAAATCCTTTTGTCGTTCTCGAAGCATGTGACTCGAAAACGTGAAAATTCGAAAAGTTTTAGATTTCTATTATTTGTCATTTAATCTCCTTTTAATTATCAATCTTTTGTGTTATTCGACAACATTCCTCGAAGTAAATCTAATGGTGACTTCAATTTCTCTCGTTAATTAGTTGCATTTTGAGACGCAATAGTTTGATATTTATTTAGTTACGTAATTTCTCTTATCTTTTAATTCATTTGTATGTGTTTGTTGTTCTGCAATTATAATTATTCAAAGTTGACTTTTTTCTCATAGTAAAGAAAAACATGAATGTTTAACATGCAATCAGTTAAGTGCCGCAGAAGAACCTTGAAAAAAGAAATTAGATCTTTTGAGGTGTATCGAGTTTGAAAGGAGATTCTTTAATAAATGTAAATAGAAGAGCTTAGCTCTTATGTGTACATTATATTTACAATTGAATAAACTTAAATGTACGTCAATCATTGTAACGAGAGTTGTTAGGTCTCAATTTTTTTTCCTTTTCCATTTAATCATTATTGACGACAAAGTTTCATTTTATCTCATTCAATGCTTTAGGTCATTTCTTTATTGACCTTGAACGATCTTTGGTAGAGATAAAGTTTAAGAAAATGTAAATCAAGTAGTTGGAAAGATCTTACGAAACAGCAGATAAAAAAATGTTTCATGTTTATAGATCGAACGAACGAAAAGTGTTTTTCATTTATGTAATCAATCAAGATCTTCACTGTTTTCCTTCGTAAAGTAATTTTTATTACATCCGAAACACGATCGTTTGGTTTAATAATTTACACATAAAATCTATAAATAATTTTATGCATTATTATTTCCTCAAAATGTTCTCAATTAAGATTTATGCAAGAGATGCATTTTTTCTGTTTTTGATTTTCAATTTAAAATTGTATGTTGGGTCTCGATTCTCCCCACACACCTCTTCAAATGCTATAAACAATGGCCGAGCCTTTCGCGTGAAATGCCAACAACCCGTTATTACCTGATCATCGTGAAAAAGAAATACAATTTAAAATACATAATCATGCAATGGAATGATAATTAAATTCTTTTACTTATTGTGGATCAAATGACACACCTTGAGTACATGCATAAATTATTTTGTCACTGCCAATTATTTGTTAAATCATTTTTTATTAGAAACATTGAATTGTCAGCAATGAATTAATGCATTTTTTTCCTTTTTTTCTCTTTCCAGGTAATTGTCCATTAAACCAGTTGAGTTCAGAATCATCGCCAACTTTATATTGTACATTCCAAAGATACCGAAATCAACTTTTTTTTTCTCACTTCTGTCATTAAAAATATCTTAAAATCCTCCCTTCACTAAATCAATTAAACCAAGAATTAAACCGAACAACAAAAGTAAGATAAAAATACAAAGTTAAACAAGAGAAATCATCCAAGTGATAAGTAAAATATAAGCAATTGTTTGTTTATGGATTTTATGTTTCACAACATGAACTAATTTTTCACTCATGTAAAATCTTAAGCTGGTTCTTATAAATACTGCTCTTTGTATGATTAAATTAAATGGAGAAAAGAAATTGTACGAATGTGCTTTGGTTTAAATATTAATCAAATATTCATTTTTCATAATTTACTTTTTATTTATTAATTGATAAAGCCTGTGTATATTAAGTTTGTAAATAATTATGTCTCTCTACACTCCTTTTATAAGATGTCAATATATTGAAAAATATTTTAAATTACGCTCACATTACACTTTGAGCTTGTACATAAACTTTGTGTATAGGCGAAACATAAAATATGTTGAAAGCCATAAAGACTTTGTATAGTGTATAAAAATTTTCCACCAATTAAAATAATTAAAAGAATCCCCAAGAACATCGTCAATATTTATAAGGGCACTTCAACAAGCTGTGTCATCTTTCTATGGAATTAAGAAGCTAGAATTTTTTTTAATTAAAAGATGTTATATGTATTGCATATGAAACAATCACGATAGTTATGAGGATGGCAAAGACAATGTGAAGTGCTGGAGGAAACCCTCAAAACAAAGTTAATTAAAAACATGGATGATGTTGCTGGTTTGAGGGATGATGTGGTTATTTAATTAATTTGAGATTGCTGAATGTGTTTGCTACTTCTCTTCATAAACCAATGTTAATTAGAAAACGTTTATGCTTGAAGTCATTCATGTTTGTTTTCCTTTTTTTTTGCAATGGACCTTAGTGATATCAGACAACTTCTGAGTTATGTATTTCATTATATTCAAGACATTTAAAGTTTACTTGACCACATGGCAAATAACTGCTAGCAATTGTTGGTTCTCTCACGTTTCCATTCCATAATATTAAAAGGGCTTTCTTTAAAACTCCTTTAATTGAATTCTCTATCTGTGAATTTTCAAACACAAATCCATGCCACATGCTCTACATATCTACATATTTATTATCCAAGCATTCACGGCTTTTAAAAGCAGAATTGATTTATTATCGAACAACGAAAGAACATTTTTCCTAAAGAATAATTTAAAATTTCAATTGCGCAATCCAATCCATTGTTGACCCAAATTCACAGTCGGGAAAACCCTTTTTCCCTTGTTCACAACAGCCTTTAGGAATTTTCATTTTTACATAATTTTCGTATCAAACCAAAAACATCCACAAATCCTGGAAACTTCCTGTAAATAATTTCCTCCCCAACATTGAATAGAAAATTGTCTCTTAACCGGATTTTCTCTTTGGTGAATAAAATGCGAAACTTTATTTTTTACATTACAATTCGTAGTTCCCAAATGAAAAAAAGATATTAAATAAATTCACTTCTGGGCGGATTCGAAATTGTTGTGTTGTTTTGTTTTCACCATTCACAGTTTTAAATTCCCATAAAGTGATTTGGTTTTATTGCTCGCGAAATTTATTCACAACAGAGACTAGCAGGGGAAGAAGTTGAGAACTTTTAGTGGTCTTTCAAATGAAAATCTTTTTTACAAATTTTTCAGAATTCTTTTAACTCAGCTTATGCTTTTAAAAAGATTTCGTTTTGAAATTTTAAAGTACCTTGAGTAATGTTCGGTAAGAAAGCAATAAAACAACGACGAAAGCATTAAGTTAAGGCAATCCAGCTTTTGTTCAAAGGATAGAACACAGAAATTGCATTGCTAAAAGAGCCAACATCGAAAAAAAAATGAGATCATGATGAGAAATTGCTTTTGCTATCATCCAGTAACTTGGAACATACATTAAGCTTTTCTGGGCTGAATTTCAGTTAGAGACTCTTCAATATAAATTTTAAAGTTAAGAGTTGTTCTTATGAATCCCTTAAAAGCAACATAATCCGGTGGCAAACAATTTCTTTTTCCTTCGACATCATTATAAGCTTTAGTCCCGGATTTTCTCCTTTCCTAAAAGCTTCTTTGTATTCCCCAACATGCTGCCGCATTTATTTCCACGACAATTGAAGCGTAATTTTCAAAGCTTCTTTTCCACCTTTTTGTCACTCATTCTCACTTCAATGATGTTGTTGGACCTAGGGGATGGTGACCCGATTAAATTTTAAGCCAAAGCGATGCAATATTCACTTGGTAAAAGCTTTTCTTCTTCATCGGAACAATGATTCATCAACATTGGGGGTGACAATTTTGTTCACTCTGCATTGTCGTCGTTCTGCATACTGTTCAGCTCCCCGTTACGATTATCGAACCGAAAACAGTACGGAATGAAAAAGGAAAACTTCCCATTCTAGCACATTGGCATCATCATCTTTACGCCCGGGTTCAAAATTCGAAAAATGATTTTTTTCTCCATCCTTCGCCTCACATTTTGGGCGACTGTTGCCAATTGAAACTTCGACAAGGTGGGATGAGGTTAATGTGAAACATTCCAGTCGTTCTTTGTCTGAGGTATGGTGTATGACATCATAATGATTGAGTCTGCGCATGGCTATCATAACTTTAAAGATGACACAGCGAAATTCCCAAAAAGAAATCTTACTACCAACCACCCACCCCCAACATTTCCTTTCATACATATCACACTGTCAGTTGCTTCCAAAATGGAAGCGAATGGAAAATATTTACATAATTTTATTCATATAGATATGTAAAAATGAGACTGGAATAATGTGGAAAAGTGAATGACTGATGGAATGAGTCGATTGATGTAAAATTGTTTATGTAACAGTTCTTTCGTCTTGTTATACGTAACAATAATTGAGAGGGTGGTATTTGTCTCCACACGTCTTTCATTCCCGGGAACTTGCCTTCAAGAAATTTTTTATAATTGAACGATTTTTTTGTTGTCTCAATTTCCCCCACTTTAAAAAATGGAACCAATGAAGGAAAACTTTTAATTGCTTTATTTTTCTTTTTGATTCATACGATTAACTTTATTAAGATGAAGAAAACTTTTATAGTCACCAGAAAAATCGATAAACCTTGCAAAAGTTATAAGAAAAATGTTTGTTTTAAAGTGTAAGACTGCAAATGGTAAAGGAAATTCAGAACTGGAAAGTTGTGGAGGTGAAAGTGCAGCGATGAAATGGCTGATGCACCCTGGAAAGCTTCTTATGATAGAAAATGGAATTTCTTCTCGTGACGTTACATACGATGCTCTTTGAGATCATTAGCCTTGTGAACTCAAAGCTTCATTCATTGTTCTTAAGTCACGTGAAAATGGTGATTTATTTTTTTTTTTTGCCTCATTCGTGTAGAATTCATTTGAATTTTGGATGAACTTTAAAGCTCTTTACAATATTGACAACATGAAAATCGAAATGGAAACTTATGAGAAAAAAAACTTATTTACAAATGTCTTCACCTTGCCGAACGCCTGTACAATCTCATAGCTCGCTTAATTTGAATTATAAATTCAATTGCAATCAAAATGCAACGCCAACGTAAAACATTTTCAAATATTTTAGCGTATACTTTAAGCAAGTGATGTCGTAATGTACTAAGTTTAACTCATGTGTAGCTAAACATTTATATGCGCCTTGGGGTTTTTTTTTCTAGATCATAGGTAAATGAAACGATTGAAGGTAAACTGCATTCAAAACACAATAAGCATTAGGCAAAGTATTATCTATATTTAGAGTCACAAATTCGACGTAACGTCTCAATTTTTTTGCTGTTGCATTCACGCACAAGTTTGTATTTGAATTTCTAAGAAGGTTTCATAAGTCGCGGGAGAAAATTTCTTCAACTGAATATTTTTACTCGCCTTGAAAAGGGTTTTTCAACTGAATCTTGTTATAAAATGTTAGCTAACTTCATTACAGTTTTATTCAATCTCATCTTTTATCTTTGTGAAAGTATGCTAACGACTTAAGATGATAAGTAGTGAACAAAGAAACGTATAACTGACTTGGATTAAATACTCAGATATGAGAGGAATAAAATAATGATCATAATTTTACTTAAAAACGAAATTCAAGCTATTTTTCCCAACCGTCCAATGAATGAAACACAAATGAATGGCCATTTCAAAAGCATTACTTTTAATATTGAGCAATGAATTTTTTTTTGAGCGCTTTTTCTTCTCGCACTTTGGCGCAAAAACAGAAAAAATGTTACTTTTGTTGATTTTTCTTGCCAATCGACGAACGGAATAAATGCGAACGTGATTGAGTAATCCACATTTAAGAGTTTATTGCCTCCAAATTCACAAAAGCTACCTTTGAAAGATATTTCAACTTGTTTTGTTTACATTCAACGGAGTTAGTTTCTCTCTGCATATGTTTTTATATTCCCAAATCAATTTTAAACATTTTGGGATTCGTCTTTAAAAATGCTTTAGTTGTCAGGTGCTTCACTCTGTAAATTAACGAACGAGATCAACCTGGTCACCTAAATGCCTCTCGAAAGCAGAAAAAAAAGCTTCACAACGGGTAATGGTGTAAAATTTTAACACAAGTAACTTTGCTGATAGAGAAAGAGAACATCTAAAACCATTTTGAGTCCATTGAACTTTTGTAACATAAAAGAAACATACAGCAAAACAGCGAAACGAATTTCATAGACACCGTTTCAATAAAGCACGTGAGTGTGAGTAAATTATGTCACGGAAAACAATTCGAAGCACTTTGCATTATAAAATTTATGCTGAGGTTTCGCTCATGCTCATCTCATGTTTCAAAGTTTTAACTTTCAAATAATATTTAGGGAAAATGTGAAAAACAATGAATTTCCTCTTTAAAGCATAGACTCAAAAAGTTCATTAATAAAACTGTATTTGCAAAGCTTTATTCTGAATGATAAATATAAAACTTACCTGAAATGCAGTTCGCCAAACATGCACGAGTTGTAAAGTGTAAATTATTGCAATTGCCATACTTAGACAAATGAAAAGTTTTTGTACAATTGTAAAAAATCATTGTTCGATTCTATTTACCTACTACATGAAAAATAACTCGAATGTTGATGAGCGAATCGCAAATATAAAAATAAGTCGGAGAAATAACAGTAAATTGAGTATTTCTTCATGTTTTTTTCATATGTTTATTTCTATTCATTCTCAATGGTTTTTTTGTTTCTCTTCATGCTACGAAGCTTCGAATAACATAAATCTTATGTATATGTATGTTACTTGTATTAGTCTCGGGATGATTGTTATCAAACATTACATTTATATTTCATTGAAAGGTGCTTCATAGAATAGAAATAGCACAGTAAAAAAAATAATTGGCCTATAAGTAAAGTAAGAAGAATGAGCCTCGAGCCACCGAATAAATTAAAGTTCACAACAATATCGATCTTATGACGACAATCCAGTTTTGCTGTGATGGGAATCGAAAGAATAAACATTTTATACGCTGTAAAACTAAGCATCATATCAATAATGATTTTGTCGTTGGCTTTGCGAAATAATAATAATAATAATAATAACACGAGAAGCGAGAAATCGAACTAAAGTAGGGAAAATCCAGTTTTCTATTTATTTAAACTTTTGACCCAAATTCATTTATTTTTTCCCATCGTCATCAGAGATAACCTTTAGATATTTTTTACTTACTTATTTATATAAGTATTAAAGAAAGTCTCACTGAACTTATTAAGGTAGTTGCATTGCAATTCGATCCAACGAAATTTGATAGATTTTCGAAGCTTCTCAAAAATCGAATTGTTAACAACATGATAAGAGATGAATGAAGTTTTCTGAATATTTTCATATCTAGGTTTTCATGATACATATTTTCATAACAGTTTTCATCATTCTGTTCTCTTTATCTGTCTTCTTGAACTTTAAAGACGTTGAGTTCAAAAGTTAAAAGACGTCAGTTATGTTGAGATAACTTTCGAAATCTATGAAAATGCTTGAAACATTTTTTTTTCTTTACCGTTTTAAAATGTTGGAAAATAATTAATTCGATTAAAGCATAACTAAGAAATGAAAGCTCATTCAAATGTCAAGCAAAAAGCTGTCTATGTCGATCAGTAAAATATTTTCTCGTTCTATTACCTTAAAAATAAAATGTAAACAATGATAAATTCTCAATTGCAACCTTGCCACTTTAACTTCACTTTGCATCAGCCTCATTCTCAATTAAAAGGTGCATGATCTGTGATACAATTCTACTGACGTTTGTTAATTGAAAACTATTGGGCTGTCGATGTTAACTTGATGTGAATGATCGCTTGTTTCAAAAAAGTTGGGTGTGTAAACAGTTTATAGAACTACATCATCAAATATTAACCTGATCAATTCGAGGATATCCACCGCTTGATTTGATTTTTTTTTTACTTCATTAAAACATTCAAAATCTTCAATACTACAGACTTACTTTTTGCTTTGTTTTTTTTTTAATTCCTATTTATGTTTGATGTTTATATAACATTTGTATAAAAAGTGATTTTATTTATTAAAATATATAAGTTTATAAATTATTTATGATATTCACACTTCAAAGTTATCATTTTTATTAAAGTTTATGAGTTTAAATTGTTTTCTTCTTACTTTATTAAATATGAGAGATAAAAGAGAAAAATGATAGCTTTGAACACAAAAAAATAATAAAAAACAAACAATCAACAGAAAGCTTTTATTTGTGGATATTCAACTTGAGTAGAGTTAAAAGGAAGTTTATAATAATCATACTTATTAGTCACTTAGATACTATTTATAAATACAGTGAAACTTTGCTTGCCATCATTACCGCCATTGAATCGTTTACATCTCATTACTCGCCTTTTTCCATCACCTCAAATCTATCGCCCTTCTTGACTCCTTTATCATTTTTTTTGTTTTTTTTTTCTGTTGTCTTTCTTTTCAACAAATTCTCCCGCAATTTGCCTCATTGCAGATATGGCAGAGTGCAAAGTGTTAAAATTATCGTCTCACCTGGCATCATCACAACTGTTCCGTCATCTCAGCCATCGCCAACTGGCACGATCACATCAACAAGCGAACTCATCGCTTTTGGACATCACACTGGTGATCATCACTTGTCTTCCACACATTCATCATCCGGCAGTACTAAATGTAGTTTGCAACAGCCCACCGTTCCGTCTACCATCGTTGGATCCACGCATTTGCTGGAACCATCAATTGGTGTCAATAGCTGTAGTAATGTTAGTAATAATAGTGTCAGTAGTAGTAATCACAATTGCATCACAATGTATGCTGCAACAATCGCATTTATGGATATCAAATCAGCGTCCAAAGCTCATCTCGCCGAGCATAAGTTCGATGATCGAATTCTAACGACCGAATATTATGAGCCATCATCAATGCATCATGCGAGTTTAGAGAGCGGAAGTGGATTAATGATCAATAATAAAATAAACAGTGATAGTGCTGTTAACAATTCAATTGGTGATATGAAAGATTCAACATCACATGGAAGATTTACATCCACATCCAGCCATGGGTTAGTATGGAAGTCAGTTTCTTCTGGATTTCACTTTTAATTTCAAAACATTGCCCGATGAATTCAAAAGCAAACATCTTTTACTCAGCAATGGTTTTAGATAGTTTTTTTTTGCATCCATACGATGATATTTAAAAAAATGAAGGCAGAATATAAAAAGTTGCCACAAAATCATTGAAGAGATCATCGGAAAATAGTTTTCAAATTTTTTTAAGTAGATATTTGATTAGTAACCTTCACGGTAGAAGAGATTTCGTCTATTATATTGCATGATATCCAGGTGGGCATTTAATTGCAAAGTTTTATTTTGTTTTTCAGATTTTTTTGTCTGTTAAGTAAATTAATATTTTTATAACAAAAATGTTTGTAGAATGAGTCATAAGAGGTTCAAAATCAGCACTTTATGTAGTTTAGTTAAATAATCTTCTGATTCAAATGTTTTAAATGTTGCCTTAATGTTGTTATTATATTTTTATTATTTTTCTGTGATATTTTATTGATGATAATTTATCTAAAAATGTACGAGATTTGAATGCTGTAGTAGCAAACTTTTAATTGTCATTATCTAAATGGTTTATGTAGCTTTCATAAATAATTCTTGTTGGAAAATCTTTACGGAATTAATAATGTTTGATATCGTTAAATGACGAAATTTTATTTGTCAACCAATCATCTTGTAATTGATCGTTCAAGCTTTGTTTGTTCCGTAAATATTATATGAAAACTTAATAATTGTTTTGTTATCTTTTCTATGATTTTTCTAGAAATCTTTTTATTGTTATGATTACTACTAGAACATAGTTGAATGATAAGAGAAATGGTGAAATAAATGGAAAACTTTTTTATGAGTTGTTTCAAACTTGTTTTAATTTGTTTTAGAATTAATTATAGAAATTATTTATCGCGTGTCGTATGAAATTTAAGTTGATATATTTATTAAGATAATTAAAGTTGCGTTGGATTTTTCGGTATTCTTTTTGCATTTGTTTAATGAAATTGTGATAAATTTAATTTCATTAAATATTCTTTTACTCAATTTGTTTTATTTTTTAAACTGAAAAAATTTTGCTGATGAATTTCAAAAATTTAAATCCACATCAGTAGAATTGTTTTAGCGTTAATTTCTTTTAAAAAACATTTCTTAGCAATATATTTTTTGAAGTAGTAGAACTTAACAGAGATTTTCTTAAATGTTTTATTTTATTTTTTAAATTAGTGGACGAAATGAATTTTTATCATTATTTAATATGACACCAGAAATTTTGTTGTTAAATGAAAAAATGTTAACAAATAATTTAACTTGCATTTGTAAATATTTTCTTTATTCGTTTTTCTATTTCAGATCATCTGACGATCATTCGCCCGGTAGGACAAGCTTTTACGATCGCGTGAGTACGAGTCAAAGCGGAAATAGAACCAACAGTGAAACAGCGCCAACCGAATTCATAAGAAGGACAAGTTATCATTCGAATGATATTCGGGGCCGGCAGCGAGACCGTCATTTTAGGAATAATCCTTATTTATTAGATAGGTGAGTCTCCAAATATTATTAAAAAGTTTGTCTTTGAAATTTAATATTTTAATTTTAATTTTGTAGATCAAATCCAATAAGTCATCATAGATGGTATGAAACGTCACCATCTTCGTCGAGTTCACGTAATAATCATTACAATACAAACACTAATAACAATAGCATTTTTCAACAACCTGATTCATCATATGATCGCCATAATTCGAGTGATTTGATTGATACATCGCCGAGCGCAGTGACAACATCAATTAGCAATACGATAAAGGACTCGAAAGGACTTTTTTCATCAACACAAACGCCAACGGCAGTGATAACGAATTCGGAACAGTCAAACGTAGCACCTTATAAGTCAAAGCTTTTGATTAACAATCATCATCATCACCATCATTTGAAAACGATCAAATCAAGGTCAGGCAGTGAGTCGCCGATAAGTGGGCGCTCATCGCGTTCGCATTCGAGAAGTCCAAGTAGTTGTAGCTCAACAAGTAGTCACACAACAACGCCAACATCATCTCACTCCAGTCCGGTGTCAGGTGGTGGTGGTGGCGAGATTGTAACACATAGTACACCGTCCTCGAATCATCACCATCATCATCATCATCATCATCGTCACATCAAAAGCAACAGTACAGGAAAATCATCAACGGGTAATATTCACCATCAACGACATCGAAGGAATCTTCAAGTGTCGTTAACAAACGTTCCACTTCCAAATTCCATCGATAAGCCGGCAAGCACAACATCTTCACTTTCATCGTCAGGTAGTGTAAGTGGATCAAATCCCGTTGTACATTCGGAAGATAATCGACCGCTTGCCATTTGCGTGAAGAATCTTCCACTTCGATCCTCCGATACATCATTGAAAGATGGTCTTTTTCATGAGTACAAAAAGCACGGAAAAGTAACGTGGGTGAAAGTTGTTGGACAGAGTCACGAAAGATACGCTTTAGTGTGCTTTAAGAAGCCGGAAGATGTGGAGAAAGCACTAGAAGTGTCCCAGGACAAATTGTTTTTTGGCTGTAAAATAGAAGTTCAACCGTACCAAGGCTATGACGTTGACGACAACGAGTTTCGTCCGTACGAAGCCGAAATAGACGAGTATCAATCAAAATCCACCCGCACATTATTTATTGGTAATCTCGAGAAACACGTAACAGTAGCTGAGTTAAGAAAAGCATTTGAAGTGTTTGGTGAGATCTTGGAAATTGATATTAAAAAGCAAGGATCGTCACCTTACGCATTTTGTCAATACGCCGACATTGTATCGGTGGTTAAAGCTGTACGGAAAATGGACGGCGAGCACTTTGGCTCGACGCGAATAAAATTGGGTTTTGGGAAGTCTATGCCGACGACGTGTGTGTGGCTTGATGGAATTCTTGATGGTGTGAGTGAACATTATTTGACACAACAATTCTCTCGATTTGGTGCCGTACAGAAAGTAGCGATTGATCGTGATCGAAAAACAGCACTCGTTTCATTCGATCAGATTCAGTGTGCACAGCAAGCTGTGAAGGAAACACGTGGAACAGCAATTCGTGGAAGAAAATTACAAGTTGATTACGCTTCGCGTGAGTGTGTTGACGCATTTTATGCTCGCTTAGAGAAGCTCGGTGTGCAACCAGCAAATATTAACGTTGAAAGTTTAGTGATTCCTGGAAACAGCATGGTCAGACATACATTTAATACCAGTCGTTCTAGAGCGAGTAGTTTTAGTCGACCGGGTAATCCAGTAAGTGGAGCTGCATCGCCAACAAGCACGCCAAGTGCAGGTTCAACACCACGTCATCATTCATCAAGTGGTAGCTTGGGAAAGAAGTTCAGATATGCTGCAGCAGGTTCTCCTGAATTTTATGATTCCAATGAGTATTTGGATACTTACGGTAGCAGTTACGATCATGAAAGAACAACATGTGTCGATTCTGATCTTCTAAATGATGGCGAACCAATTTTCTCATCAGTGCGACGTCGATGTGATAAAAGTCCAGGTGAGAAATAGAAAAATTTCACATTCGTCAAACTTTTTTCAATTTATTTATTTTATTTTAAAAGCAGGTGATATTAGACAAGTACAACGACTCGATACAGAGTTGGTAAATTCTGGCATTACATCAACATCAATTCGTCGAAGATGTGAACGAAGCCCAGGTGAGAGAATTGTGTTTTATTGAGATACGTAAGAACAAATTTTTTAACTATCGATAAATTATGTTTTAGGTGATATGAGAATTCTAGAGACGCAACGTCACAAGATTCTTGATCAACTAGAAAAATGTCCGTCCAGTGGCGATGAAACTGAAAGTCCAAGAAAACGTGCAAAATACAGTCAAGATATTGATGATGGTCACAATAATCACAATCATAATCATCATCAGCAGAATCATGAATCGGGTGCAACAAATTGTAATGGAAAAGTGCTCGACCATCGTGACACAACAACATCATCAGCATCGTCATTTACCCACAATCATCATCATCAGTATCATCATGAGATGGTTCATCGAAAGACTGTCGAGATACGACGTCTTTCTGATTGTAACATCAAGCATTCAGCTAGTGTTCCAGGTGGTGCAATGACATCAAGTGTTAACTATACGAAACCAAATCGCAGACCGTCCACCGATAGTCTGTCACGTTATCAACATATGGACAGTTATCAAACGATGATCCATAAGCGAAGAAAAACGTCAGCAACAGCAAGTACATCGTCATCGTCATCAAATGTAACGCTCAATGATAACGAGCAACCAAACATTATATTGTCGAAAAGTCGAGGACATCAATTGCATTCGAATCATTCATGTGAAGCGTCTGGTGGTGAAAGTGAACATGGATCAAGATCAGGTACGCCATTATTTGATGAAAGACCTGACAATACAATTGATCCACGACGTCCACCAATAACGATAAATCGATCTGTTGAACCAATGAATTTACCTCTGCCAAAATTTGCACAACAATTCCATCAACAATTAAAGCAAAACAATCAACTTCTACCTGCAACACATGCAACATCAAACATTGTAGGAGACAAGCACGAAAATTCTTCATCTTCGCAGCAATCACATCATAATTCTAGTCTTAAAAATCGTTCGATGAGTCCAAGTCCACAACAGACATTAGTTCGATCACATTCGAATTCTCTAATGCCTCCAATACCTGGCAGTTGCATGAATACCGACATGGGTTTAACATCACCACGACCACCTTCAATGATATCAAATTCCAGTGATTCAGAACAAGAACTCGGATCGATTACGGGTCCTAATTCATCTCCGTCATTAGAAGAACGACTAAAGAAGTTCACTGAAGATTACGACAGTTGGAGTAGCAATGGACGTTCGTCATCATCATCGCATTATATGAATAGCTTTCGTCATTCTGTACCGGAAATTGCTGTACCAGAAACACCTGAATTACTTCGAAATGTTTTAAAGAATTCAATGTTTGACGAAGATTCGAAACGATTGGAAAATATTGGTGATAAATATGTGACACAATCAGCACCAATTCTTCCAACGACAACATCCACGGCAACAACATTAGCTGCAACAATCACAACAAAAAATGCATTCGGTGGTTTAAGTGGAAATCCTTTGAATCTTTCTGGTACATCATCACCATTAATGACATTGATGAATTCAAATTTATCACTTGCGCATCCCCCTGAGACATTAAATGCAACAACAGCACTTTGTAATTCTCTTGGAAAATTACATATGCCAGCACAACAACCAGTAACGATTACGACAATGATTCACCAAAGATTAGGATCGTCAGGAACGGGATCGCCAATGAATAGTCCCAATACAGCTTCACCTTATAATAGTCCTAATCCGTCATCAGCTTCTTCAATTTCGTCAATCAAAGGACTTCAATATCCATTCCCAACACATTCAATGTTAAGTACGTCACCGTCAACATCAACGACAAACACTTCAACAGCTGTGAGTACTTCAACAACAGCAGTTGCAACAACCACATCAGTATCGCCTGCTTCTGGTCCTTTACCATCATTAAATTGTCTAAAACCAAAGACATCATCGTGTGCATTGGGCAAAAGTATGTCACTTCAAGAAGTTGTTGTTACGACACCAACTTCATCATCAGCAGCTTCTGTCATTGGAAGTAACAATAATTCAAATAATTTTAATGCTAGCTGTAATAAAAGTAGTACAAATAATAATAATAATATTAATAATAATAATAATAATGCCGAAAATCCACCATCGAAGCAGCTGATGAAAAGCAATTCAATGCCAAATTGCGGAACGACAATTACATGCTCAAATAATGATAAAAATGATGAGAAGAAAGATGAAGATGTTGCTGTCAATAACATTAAGAAAGAAGTTGATGTAAAGGAAATTAATGAAAAGAAGAATCATGCAAGAGATAGAAGAAAGACGAATGAATCCGATGAAATCGCAACAACAAACGTCATTAATGTTATCAAAGAAGAAAATGTTAAGAAAGAGAAGGAATCGTCAATACTTCGAAAAGAAAAAGATGTTAAAAAAGATTCTGTTTGTGTTAATGTTAATGAAGAGAAGAAATCAAAATCATCGCATAAGAAATCATCCAAAGATGAACCACATCATGATGTTGATGAAACAATTTTACTAAATCGTGAACAACAACAGAATAAGCGACGTGTAAGTTTTGAAGATGTTTCAAGCGTTGATTCAGCTAATGAACAACAGCAGCAACAAACAACGACCACAACAATGACAAATCATGTGAAAGATACGAAACATCATGATACGACAACAAAATCAAATTCAAAACATCACCACCATCATCATCATCATCACCATAAGAAAAGCAGTGGATCCACATCTTCTTCGACAACAACTTCAACAGTTGCCAAAGAAAAGATTCACAGTGGTGAGGATGAAAATAATCATGGAAAATCTAAGATGATGACGAATGACGTATCAAATTCTAAAGATATGATTTTTGACGAATTAAAGAGAAACAGCAAAGAAAATATTATTCGAGTGAGTGAGAAGATACATAAAAGTAAGAAACACAATCACAATTATCATCGTGAAAACAATACGAAAGATAAAGAAAATCAAACACAAGTTTCGAATTTTAACGACACGTCTTCATCATTGATGACGGAAGATGTGGGAAGATCAAGTGAAGAAGAAATTATTCGTCATCATAATCATCATAACAATAAAAAAGATTTTTCAGATGATCATGAGAAACGACATGATCATCAGCACCATCACCATCATCATCAGAAGTCTTCAAGACCTGACTCATCTGAAGAGAGCAGCGGAAGAAAGAAACATCCTAGACGTAGTCTCAATACGAGCTTAAGTGATGATGATACTGATGATTCCGATGCTAAGAAAGCTTCTTTCTTTGATATTCCCGATGATGCACCAAATATTTCCATGTACGATAAAGTCAAAGCAAGATCATGTAAGAACTTGAAGAAACAAGAAGAGGAAAAGAAAATCAAAGATAAATTTTCAGCTCTAAAACAATCGAGAGCAAAGCGTGAAAGAAAACGTTTAAATACATCAGATGACGACACTGATAGTGACATGAATGATCCGAACAGCAGCGATATGTTCCAAATGAAATATCGCAAGTCACATTTAAGTGGATCAGAAGATGTTGAAAACAATTCTGAATCGGAAATGTTAAATCGAACGACTTCAACAACTAATAAGACAAAAACTCGCAACCAATTTAGTGTTTGTGATGATGAGAGTAGCGAAAGTGGAATAACAATGAATGATGGACATCGAAAGCGACATAATAAATTCTTGAATCGTAAAATGTCACGAAATAATGTCATCGATTCTTCGGATGATGATGATGATGACGAGAAAATTGTCATTGTTAAACAGGAAATGCAAACGAGCGATTTTGATGAACTTAAGAAGCAAGATGATGTCAAGAATCATAATAATAACAAGCATAGTTCAAATGGTTCAAAGAAACGTCATCATGACAAATCTAAAGATGAAAAGATTAATAAAAAGTCAAAGAAATTATCAAAGGAAATTCGACATACCAAACAACAACATTCTTCATCAGATAATACACAAAAGCGTGATGATAAGATGGAAGATATTTTCGGTCCTATTTCTGATGACGACATAAAGTCAGACGTTACTAAAAATAATTTCACAACAGCATTAGCTGACATCAAAAAAGAAGAAATGTCACCAATTCTTGATAATGTTGTTGTAAAGGTTGAAGTTACATCATCATCAGAACAACAACATAATTCAAAGGATCAACTTCGTGAAGAATCAAGAAAGCGAAAAGAGAAACGTCGACGTGAACGTGAAAAGCAACGTGAAATTATTAAAGAAGAAAAAGATGAAAACGATGAGAACAACAGCGTTGATTTAGATGAAGCTGGTCGAGCGCTGGAAGCCCAATTAATGAGTGACAATGATCAACAACAAAAAGCTGTCGTTGTCAACAATAATAACAACAATAGCCATCAAGGAAAGATTGAAGATATTTTCAGATTTACTGATGGAGATGATGAGATGAAACGTGATCACAATCACGATGGATCGAAGAAGAAAAAGAAAAAGAAGCGTGCGAGAGAAGAACGCAGTAAGCATCATCATAATCATCATCATTATGAACCTACCATTAAACATGAAATCATTGATAATGAAAATGACGATGTTAATTCAAATATGGTAATGAAAACTTCAAGTGCGTTTAATAACAATAATATAACCAAGATTCGTCATGAAAATGAAGGTAAAATTGGCTTAAACAACGAGTTGAAGCCTTCTGTGCCATCATTAATTGATGAGACACCTTCAAGGCCACAACCAGTTGTTACAACTGCTGCTGTTGCTGTTAAAAAAGAATTGAAGACAAAGGAAAATGTTATTCCTGGGTTTGGTGCTGTAGTTGATGAAACAATTCATGAGAAGGCAGTTTTGTCAATAGCCAAAGAGCTTGAAAAGAAAACATCAACAGCATCGACAATATCAATTTCTGATCAAATTATGATAAAAGATGAAAAGAAATTGGCTTCAGCAGAAGATGTTAAAGCATCGTCTTCATCATCATCGACATCAACTGCGACAACGACAGTGAAAGTTGAAGGTGAAAAAGTTGTTGAAGAAAAATCTCGTGTTGTGATATCACAAGAAGAAACTGAAGATGCGGTTGCAGCGCTTCTCGGAGAAAGCTTTAGTATGGCAATTGAAGACGATTATAATGATCCTTATGATGTTCCAATAACAGTGACAAATGAAGGCGATTCGTTGTCTGGTGACAATAATCCATCAATTCCACCGGAAGAAGATGAAGAGATGAAAAAAGCAATAATGAGTTTAAATCCTGAAATTATTGATAACAAACCAGACACACCGCAATCTGAACATGAACTTCAAATCGATACTGATATTGATGAAGCTGCGGGTGGTGCGGACGATGGAGACGAAGAAGAATCATCAAATCAACCGTTTGATAATCCACCAAAAACACCTGATGTTGACATGGCACAAATGGAGAAAGAGAAAGTCGAAACACCGTCTTTGAAAATTGAAATCACACAAGATCTTAACGTCAAATGTGATTCCTCACAGCTACCGTCAACAACACCAGTAAAGGAAGTTAAAGTAGTTGAAAAATCTTCTGAAAAGAAAGACGAAATTAAAGCACGTTATCAATCACATTTCCAACCAGCATCAACAAATATTCCAACAAAAGAACAACTTCCAGCATTAAAATCTTCTTCTGTGGAATCACAAAAGAATCGTGCAAATAGTTCAACGACATTAACATCAACACCGTCACAGAAAATTGTTTTGTCACCAAATCAACCAACAAGTCCAAAGATCATTGCAATTCCAACCAAAAATGACAATAAAACGATTCTTATTCATTCACCATCAACTGTTGTTAAAATAACTCCGAATATCCCACAACAACCACAGCCAATAGTTTCTGCAAATGTTCAAACTATTAACAACACAAATTCGACTTATTCAACAACATTAAGTAAAGATTTACAACAGAAGCATTTAAATGTTCCACATCAAAGTTGTAATAAGCAAGCACCATCAACAACAGTTGTTAGTGATAATAAGAAGGTTGATATAAAAGTTCAGCAACAACATATGATTCACCAACAGAGTGCTAATAGGCAGTCTCAAATAATTTATCCACCGGTAATAGCCACAACCACCACAGCAGCACCAGCGGTTGTTCAGCCAACAATTATTCCAACTGAATCTTCTATTAAAGCATCATGTGATGTGAAAGATAGCAAACCTGAACAGTGGCAACAGAATGTCAATTCTGTAATTCAAAAAACATCAGAAAATGTCAAAGATGAGAAGAAATCAATCAGTGAAATTGAGACGAGTCATGATGAAGATGAATTTGATGAAAATTCGGCTGACAGTTCCATGGAGAAAGAAACAAACGGTTCAAGAAAAGTATCTCGTGGAACAGGAAGACAACAGAGAGGTCGTAAAGCAGCAGTTGTTACTTCACCTCAGCCATTAGCAGATGATGTTGTGACATCACGTCGTGGTGGTAAAGCAACAGCAGCTAACAAACGTGGTGGACGTGGAGGAAGAACAGCAAATTCTAGAAATGTTGTTAATCCACCACTTCAAACATCAATCATGACAGCTCCTTCAATGCCTTCACCGGCTGTACCACCACCACAACCGTCACATCAATCAAGTCTAAGGCAGCAGAAAACATCGGAATCAGACGTTTATGAGTTTCATGATGATTCGGGTGAAGAATTGATGAAAACTGGTGATGCTCAACGTCCGAGGTTGATTATGACAATTAAAAGCTCAACTGTTACAACATCAGTTAACACTCAACCAATAGTGACAGCATCATCAGCTTCACCAACAACAGTCGTTGTTCAAAGTTCACCAATTTCAACTTCAATCAACATTCAACAACAACCATCAATAACAACATCAAATGATGAAATAACTCAACAGCAAGTTCCTTCACCATCTGCTTCTGATGACTTTGCTCAGCCTAATGCCAATAATACCAATAATAATAGCAACACAAGGAAATCTAGAAGATTACAAGAGAAAGATGGAACAAGAACCTCGGTTGATGATACGATCGATGATGTTATTAGAAATATGACTCCAAATCAGAATCAACAACAGTTAAATAATCGAAGAGCGACAAGACAAACAACACCCACAGTTATTCCAGTTAACGTTGCAGTTACACCAGCATCAGCAGTTGTTGTCCCAACAAGTCAGGCACTTAATGATGGCAGCAAGAAATCGATAAGAAATAACAAGAAACAACAGAAAGATCGAAAGATTTCAGATACATCTGAGAGTAGCGATTGTGATAAGAAGTCTGAAGTTTCTACCTTCATCCAACCAGTTTCACAAACACCACCAGTTACAGTGACAACAGCACCAAAATCAAATGTTGTTGCGGTTCAAGAACAAATTCAAAAACAACATCCAGAAATTCTTGTTTCCCAACAACATCAGCAACAAAAGCCTCATCAAAAGGAAAGTTCAGAGTTGCTGCAGTTAATTGACCCAGTAACTGGTGAATTGCAAAAGATGACACAAAGTAAAGAAGGACAATACGTTCCTGTCTCTGATAATCGTCAACATCTTAAGCAACAACAACATCATCAACAAGCGATTTCATTGCCTCAAGTTGATGCTAAAAGTAATGAAGGAGATAAGAAAGTTAATCCATCTGCTTTTGTTGTACAAATGAAAGTATCAACAACACCTGTTGCTGTTCATGAATCTATGAAGACATCAAATGCTTCAATTCCATCAACAACATCTGATCTAAGTCATGTTATTAAACCGCCAGTTATAACACAAAATCCTACGTATACAAAACCACCACAGCCACTTAAAACTTATGTTCTTGGATCACAAGGTGTGGCAAAGTCATCGCATGTTGTGTCAACATCAGTTCAAACGCCTCCAGCAACAGTCATTTCATCACAAGGCATAGTGAAAATAAATCCCACAACTGTTCAACATCCATCAACAATTTATAATCTTCCAAATATTATTCCGGCAACGGGTGGCAAATATATTCAACAACCATTGACAACTCCAAAAACAATTATGATGCCAGTTCCACATTCAATCCATTCAAATCAACAGCCACAGCAAAGCCAAATTTTACAACATCAAAAGATTCCTTCAAATGGTCAACAACAGCCACAAATTGTCATTCATTCGCAACCACATCCAGTGTTGCAACAGCCGCAGCCTGGTGGAAATTTAATGATAAATATCCCCACATCATCAGCATCATCCTCAATAGTTGGTGGTCAAAGTATTCCATCCCCGCGTGGTATGCAAGTGAAACAAGTCATTCAAAGATCTGCAATTCCATCGCAAGTTTCACAACAACAGCAGCAACCTCCAGTCCCAGTGACAACAGCAAATGCTGTTCTAATGAAATCTGGTGGCACAACTCACCATGTTGTTGCAACGAATCCTGAAATAAATTCGAAAACACAAACAACTTATATTCATCAAGGTGCAAAGATCATTCAAGGACCTTCTGAAGGCAGTGGCGTAGGTGTTGGTACACCAATGAGCTACATAAGCGGTAATGGAGGAAGAGAAATAATTTACGTTGGTGCAAATGTTCAAAAGCAGACAATTTATCCAAATTATCAGCCAAATAAATACACACATCAGCAACAACAACCTTCACCAACACTGCAAAAACCTCCAACGCAAGGAAAAGTTGTGGAAAAGATTCCATCGCAACAACCATCAGTCAGTGTTACTCACATTCAAATGCCACCACAGCAGCAACAACAGCAGCAGCAGCAACCGAAAGTTTACTTTACAAATTCTGGTCAAGTGATTACAAATGTTCCACCATCAATTACTGGTCAACAACAATCATCAGAAGCGAATGAAAGACATCAGCAATGGTTGACCCATGAGAAGATTCAGCAACAACAGCAGCAGCCACTAAAGACGCGGTACATAATGGAGAATTATGATGAAGCTCATCGTACACAAATTCAATCAGAACAACGTGTCGCTGCTGTTCAACAACAGCAACAGCATCATGGAGCTCAAGCGCAAGTTAAGCGTAATTATGTGATTGAGAATCCTCCATCAAGTGGTGGTGCGCATTTATTACCATCGCCATCGCAACCTCAAGTTCATCATGCGACATCAAGTGTTGTTAATCAACCAATTATTCCACCACAAAATAAAGCTGTGATTGGATTAAATCAAGCACCACAAATACTTACAGGAGCTGTTGCATCACCACCACTTAAAGCTCATCTCACAAGTCAGCAACCTATTGTGACTGGTAAGTTTTATTTCCTTTTCTTATTAAAAAATTTTATTTGACGTTCTTCAAAATTTATTTTTATATTTCAAAGGTGCAAGCAGCTCACGCGTTGCAATTCCAACGATGAGTCCAAAAGATCATCCACGTCATTTTCCACCAGAAAGTTATGACGATACAGTTATGGTGAGTTTTTCTTCTTCTTTCTTATTTAAACTAAACACAAATTTCATTGACCGTCAAATTTCTATACAAGAAACATTCTTAGAAAACAAATTTCATAATGTCGTGGGTACTAATTCCAATGTTTCATATAGCAATTTGACTGTTCTATTTTTAATTATGCTTCAAATCATTTTGAGAAAGTCGGGAAATTTAGTCATCCGATCTTCCATTAAGAAGACAAAAATCAAAAATTAATCAAAATAGAAAACTCATTTTTCTTCTATTTCTGTTCTTTTCTGCTCCCCTCCACGTCACGTTGTTGTATGTTTGTTCTGTTCATTACCTGCTTTACATTACTAACCAGCAGCATGGTGATCGAAGTGCTTATCGCTCACAAAGCCCACCGCCAGCTCATCAAACGTCGCCCTTGACGACGGTACTAACATTTTCTTTTTTAAATTAATTCTGATTCATTTTCCTAAATATTAAGGAAACAATTTTTCATTGTTTTTCTTTTTCAATTAAAAATAAAACTTTATTTTTTAATTTTAACAGCGTCCACCTTATTTGATGACAAAGATATTCCATCATCAACAACCTTCACCACTTTATATGCGTGGTGGACCGGATTTTGCTCGATTACCGTAAGTTTCGTCTTTTGATTTTGTCTAACATCGATACAGTTCAATTACTGATTAATATTCCTTCCTCAGATCTCGCATAGAGCCACGTGATTTAGCTGAAATGGAAGAACAACGTGGCGCAAGTCCACCTTTAGAATTGAGAAGAACAACAACGATGCCACTTCAAAGTCCAAGTGACAGAATAACTGGTGAGTGTCATGAAATCATCATCATCATCATCAATAGTTTTAAATTTCCAATTTTATCTTTTAGATTCTCCAATGATGGCTCCACTTTACTTATCACCAAGAATCCCTCAACCATACTTCTATGAAGGTGATGGAATGAAACCATTGCCAGTAACAGAACCGCCACCAGCACATCGTGCACACACTGGAAATATTCCACCACCAACGACAGTGTTTACTGCTCAACCAGCTGCTGTTTTACCGCCAACTGTTGCCGCTTTAGCTCATCTCCAACGTGAAGCCGATGATAGTGTCGCTTCACATCAAACAAAAGATGCTGATGGAAATGTTCGATATCAAATTGTTTATTCCACACCACCAGCTCAAAGCCTTGTCGCACCAACAACAAATAATCGTCCAATTCAATTAACAACACCACCAATTGCAAGTCAAGTTCCACTTCATGCTGATACACTCTCAAGACTACTTGAGAGATATCCATTGATGTGGCAAGGGTTGTTAGCATTGAAAACAGAACAAGCAGCCGTTCAAATGCATTTTGTGTTTGGAAATAAGAAAATTGCTAAAGCATCGTTACCGTTCAATAGCGATCATACAACACCACCACTAAGGATTGCACAAAGAATGAGATTGGAACCATCGCAGATTGAAGGCGTTGCCAGAAAGATGCAGGTGTGTATGAAAAATAGTTTAAAGCAGCAATTTCCTCAGATTTAGATGAATGAAAAAGTTTGAGAAAAGCTTTTATTATAAAAAATCGAATTAAACATTTAAACTTAAATATTTTTTTTTCCTTCTTAGATTACCGACGAGCATTGTGTGCTTTTAGCTCTACCATGTGGCTTTGATTATGGTGACGTATTGAGACAAACAGAAAATCTTCAAGTAAGTTTCATCAATTATTTGCAACAAAAACAAGCAGCTGGAATAATCAACATAGCAGACCCCGGAAGTCAAAATGCATCTTATGTCGTTCACATTTTTCCATCATGTGAATTTGCTAATGAAAGCTTAGAGCGAATTGCTCCAGATTTGATGTATAAAGTTGCAAATATTTCACACCTTCTTATTGTTATTGCAACAGTATAAAAGTAACTTTATGTAACTTGATCGTGACAAAAGATATTTCAATCGAAAGTCTGTATTATTTTACCGAAATGATGACGAATGAAACAAGAAAAAAAAATATTAAGGTATATGACGATGAAGAGATATCTCTCGATAGACATCTCGGATATCTTAAAATTGACGCAAACATAAATACACCGATAATGGATACACAAACACACACTTACACACAAAATCATAAAAGAAAGAATAAACCTTGATCTCATGCAATTCATTTGTAAAATCATTTAAAACACAAGAAAAAAAAATTAAATTAAAGAAAGAAAAACTTGATAAATGAAGGTACGGATGGAAACAGAAGAGAAAGTGAAGGTTTATAAGAAAAGTGTATGGAAAAATGTTTCATGTTTAAAAAAATCTAAGAAGAAATAAAATGTTTAAATGTCAAAAAAAAACACGAGAAAGTTGAAGAAAAGAGGAGGAAAATGAAGAAAAAAAAATATTAAAGTAAGTTTTAAATTTCTGTGATTTTTTCAAAAAAAATGTAAACTTGATAAAGAAAATTTAAAGTTAATGAAAAATAATAAATTAAACTATTTCTAATTTTCGAGCTAAGCGCCGAGGAATCTTTGAAAGTGGAAATTAAAAAGTATTAAAAATGTTATGAAACTTTATGTTGGGTGAAAATTTTATGTCGATTCGACGATTTAATGCTTGAATGAATGCTGAGAAATTTTCTTAGAATTTCAGACCATCTTCAGTACTAAGAAATTTCGAGCCTACATTTACCATCCAATTAAACATTTCATAAAAGTGAAAAGTTTCTTTCTGTTTAAATAATTAAAGAAAAACCTTTCGGAGAAAAAATTAATTTTGTAAGAAATTTTCTTTTGTTTTCGTTCACACTTAAAAATTTATTCAGCCTCAAAAACTGCTAAATGTTGTTTCGAAACAATCTTTTTTGATGTAAATATAAATGTAATTTTTAATCAAATTTTTATGAGCCGAAGAAAAAAATGGAAAAAGTAAAGAAAAAGCGAAAACAAAAGAAAATTTTATGAATTTCAAATTTAAAAAAAGAAAAATTTTGTAAATATTCTATTTAAGTTGTTTTTAGTTGCATAAGCACGATTGATATAAAATAAGTTAAAAAAATACATTTGACGACTATAAATAAAAAGCTTTCGAATATTTTCCAATTTCTTTTGGTGAATCATCGATGGGAGTAGATAAAAAAGAAAATAACTTTTAAAAAACTTTTAAAGATTTCCCATCTAATTCATTAGAATAAATTTTCCGTTCACTTTCTGGATTTAAACAAAGTTCGATGATTTCCCAAAAGGTAATGATTTGAATATGTTCGAACAGCATCGAAAGGATTTAATAAAAGGACGAGTAAAGAGAAGAAAAAATTCTAAACCTAAACAAATGAAATCCCATGAAACATTTTAACTTAAATCTATCAGAAATACGCAAACAAAAATATTTTCTTCAAGTTTGTTTTAATTTTTCACATCAAAAAAAAATTTCCTTTATTTAAAACTTTTTCTTGGCTTTATTTTTCAGTGATTTTAAAAAAATTATCGCGATGTGAGATGTGAAAATAATTCAATGGGTAATCCTCATTTTTTCGTTTTGTGTCGCTGTATATTATGTAAATATCTAAGTACATTAAATATTAATTATGAAAGAAAATAAAAAATGAAAAACCTTTAAAAAATGCAAACAAAACTAATTTAAAAGAAAATCAAATTGTGTTTCATTAACGTTATTTTTTAAAGTTCATTAGCTTTCAGGAAGGCCTCTCTATAAATTTTTTCATTGAAAATGAGATTTCCTTTTGGCAAAGTTTTCTCCTTTTTAAATTGAAACAATGGAAAATAAAATTTGCAATGAAAAAAGTTGTCCTCCATCAAACAAAGAATGTCGAAAAGTGGAAAATAATTGATACATGGAAAGCGTGGAAATTCTAAATTTAATTGAAATATATAACGGCCTATGTAAATTTACCAGCTGAAAAATTATTATCAGCTTGAAGGTTTATTGTCGAGAACATCAAGATGTTGATGGCTAAAGTTTACATTCCCTCCATGATGAAAGCGATGAAAAATATTATGAATGAAAATTATGCTATCAAGCATTCAAAGGTCTTTGAACTTTTCTCTTTATCCTCACAAAAATATCTGTAAAACTCATAAGAGATGAATAGTATACTTGAATTTATCTCATGGTTTTGACAGTGAAGGAGTTGAGAGAATTATCCAGGAAGTATCATTGTAAGCATAACTATTTACATAAATGTGTTGCTTAGTAAATAAAAATACCTCGTGAGGGCGATGAAACTTCATCAACAGCTGCAAAAAAAAGGTTTTCAGCAGGTAACAGGAAATATCATTAGACATGAGACTGAGAGTTGAATGGCAAAGGTAGAAAAGAATTCAAGCACGTTCGAGATAATTCTTCTCGTATAGATGATATTCAAATCCTTCGATTTATATAGAAAAAAAGCTCTCAGGGGATCTGCCACATTGAATTCATTTTAAGGTTGAACGAACTGAAAAATGTTGTGCTTTTTGCTGCTTCCGGGTCTTGTTCAATTCTTTTTAGGGATTATTGATGACATTTTGTGTAATGTTTTTATATCTATCATCAAGGATCAAGGTTCCTAATTTTATTCATACCATTCTCATGCTATTTAATATCTTTAACAACTTCTAGGCAGAATGGTTCCAGAAAAAAACTAGAAACGTTATTGACCGTCTTCCATGATAGATAAATTAGTTGTAAGAAGATCTATTTTAATTTTTCAACCTTCAAAAGAAAACCTAATCGGTAATTGACACTTCTCGTATTGTCTAAGCATTTTTTGAGACTTACAAGCAATTTAATATTAATTTGTATCAATACAAAGTCTCAAGAGCGACTTCTTAACAAAATCATCACATACAATCGACTTCATACAAATTAATATTAAATTCCTTGTTTGTCTCAAAAGATGCTTAGACAATACAGGAAATGTCAATTACATACGTAATAAAGAGAGAATAATTACATAATGAAGAGAGTTTTTGTATATTTCTTTCTTTTTTCCCATTCATTTTTATGATAAATATTTTTATTTTACATTTCATTAAAAAGGAATTAAAAGAAGTCTGTGATCTTTCCGTCATGAATGAAAATAAATCGAATTTCTATCAAAGTCCGTCAAATTAAATCTCTCAGTCTGACTTTTCACTAAGATCTAAATCTTCTTTCTTGGATGATGGAAAAATGGTCGCTTGACTATGAAAAGTCGCCAACTTCGAACAAAAGAAAGTGTCACAAACTATAATTATTTAAATTGATGTTATTTTCTTTAGCTAAATATTTTCTTATAAATTTACCATCAGAATCAACGAAGTTTTGAATTTTTGAGGTTTGATTTCTGTTTTTTAAAAGTGACCATGATAGTAACTTTCTTCGAAATTTTGTTATGTCAATCTCAATATTATCATCTTCTGTTTCATCTCCAGTGTTCAAATCATCAAATGTCAACATTCTTCCTGTGTACAATGGTTTAAGAGGTGGCATTGGTCGTGATGGATGTTTAAACTGTATCAGATCTTTGCCAATTAATATTTCATTCTCAAGTTGTGCTTCTTCAGTCTCATTTGAAATCTTTGAAATAACCGAGCTCAATGGAGAGGTTAGATCGACAACAGGAGCTTTCGACGACAGTGGTGTATCACTATTGTTAATCTTTCGCTGATGTGAATGTAGTTTAGGTGCGTCATTATTGTTTATATCAAAATGTTCCTGCTTTTGAACATTAAAACTTGTCTCGATATTTGGTGTTATTAAGTTAACTTCTTCACCACTTAAAGAAAGTTTATGAATTCTTTCATTTCCCGATTCACAGTTAGCACTCATATCTCTGTTTGTTTTAAAATTTCGTTTAGAGGTTGTTATAATTTTTCTACACTTTTGTCTTTGTTTATTTTCTTCACATTCACTGCAAAATCTTTTCAATAAACGTGACGAGTTTTCATCAAGTTTTCTTTTGACATCCTAGACATAAAAGTGAAATTAATTAAGAAAAACACAAAAATTTGATAATTTTACAGTGGACGTCCACGTTTTACTTTGTAAAAGCTATCGAATGAACGTAATTTCTCGTAACTCTCATTGAACACGTTTTCCAATTTTGACATGAGAATTTTATCCATTATATAAGTATTCAACGGCTGTTTTGTCTTCAGCAATTTAGATCAATAACTTATTTGACATTCATCACTCAAACGAGTGGTTTCTTTCTACTAATGAAACAAAGATGTAACGTGACATTGAACGGCTGGTTGGAACAGTTATACGTATTGTTAAGAGAGAACAAATGTTCTATGAACAATTAAAATTAATTCTTTCTCTTCTGCGTATAGCAAAGAGAGAACACAATTGACTGCTTAGACAGACGCTAGCGAATGTGTTTATGATGTATTTTGTAATTAATAATTTCCGTAGCTCCTCAAAATGATATTTGTCCTCAAGGCAATGCACACCCTTTAAAAGCTGAATATTTTTTAATAAAATATTAGGAAACATTTGATCACATGGCGAAGCACATATGTTATCATTCATATTCATGACCTCGACGAGTTCCAATCAAATTTCTCAATCAAGATTAAATTACTTAATCTGATTTTTCACAAAAACTGACGTCATAAAAATATTAATTATATTATTTGTATCACTTGTTGCACAATGCAAAATTTTTGAAAAATTAAATTATAGATCTCATATCAAATTACAGATGCAACTATTAATATTTTTATATTTTAATGAATCTATTGCATTGATGTTCATGTGACGTACTCATAAGTCTTCTCATATTTCAAGAACCAATTTTAGTAAAAAGGTGAGAGTGAAAATAAATTAAATAACAAACATGCTCCATTGATTTTCTTCACATTTTTCTACCATAAAAGCGGAGAGTTTGAAAATTAATTTATTGAAGTTTTGAGTGAATCTTCAGGTTCCAATTATTCTTAAATCTTAAGTTTCGATAAAATTAAAAAAAAAATACCATCACAACATCCTACATAGATATAATACTTCTGAACGAATTCTAAGTTTTGCTCAAATTCTAATGAAACTTAATTTTGAAAGCTAACAGAATTGAATAAGTTGAATGTTTCTTTTTCACTATAATCTACTTTAAGAAATTGCATTCAAGTCTTTAATAAATGAAATTTGGTTTTAATTGTCAGAATATGAACACATCATCATGTTCTTTATGTTGACATTAGATCTGTTTAAGAAGAATAATTAAGGCAATAGGACAAAAAATCGAAAAATAGAATTGCGACAACTAAATTCTACTTCAATTATTTCTTTGTAAGAACAATAAAACTGCAATGAAAGCTTTTATATTTGTGTGAATAAAGAAACCTTGAAATACAATTATTTGTGCAGCAATTTTATTATCTTTAAATAGCTATTTCGCATCCTATTATAGGAAGACTTCAACTTTTGATGAACATCATATTTTTTAAACTGACTACATATAATTGATATTGAGTGTAATTTTTTTATGCTTTAACTGAAATATTTTACCATCAATTAAACATAAAAGTCTCTGCGTTCTTTCTAACCCGAAATGAAATTTATTAATTTTAATTATTCTATATCTTGTGTAACACTTTCATTCACACACTTCTTTAATGGTATAATTTCTTGCAAAAGGTCAACAACCAAAAATTAAGCGAAGGATTAAACGAACTACTTTTATTTCTTTAGTGGTATTTATTATATAATATCCTACGGGTGTTTGCTTTTTCAACCTCATCATCATAATTAGTAGTAATTTGTTGGCTTTCTAAATTATTCTAATAAAGCTACATCATAGAGATGACTGAGCGGTTAAGTCGTTCCTTGATCCCAAACACAATTATGTAGGTCAATACGGCGCATGCAGAAACTTCCATAAGAAACGTGTGGAAAAAGGAAGGAATTGAGAAGAACAAGGTTCATTGGATAGCGAAAGCATTGGGAAAGCAAACATAATTTATCAAATGCATGAGTTGTGCTTTAATGAAAATATATCTAAAGAGTTTCCTATGAAGTTCTTCATTGATGGCTCCTGAATTTTGTTTTATGATATCTGTGCGTTTGAATCAAGCTGTGTTGGAAATGTGGCATGTTGAAGAAATGAGACATAAGATGATTGATTAAGTATGAAGATCATGATAATAGTAACAACATGACACTGTGCTGAGATTCACATGTAATCAAACTTCCGTTGAAGCTTTCTTCGAAACAGTACATCCAAACCGTTTGGAAGAGTTCATTTTCATATATGCTACACGTGTTTTGTTTAAGTTTACTGCTCTTGACCCTCCAACCAATAAAGCTTTTACGGGTTGGATTACTTAAAAAGCTTTACCGATGTATTGGATTGATTACATAAAAATCCTTCAATTCTTTGCTTTTTCCAGAACATTCTCAGTTAAACGACCCTGAACTCAGCCTGTGACGTTTGTTTTCGCCAAAACGCTAAATTCAATTTATGAGTACTTTTCCTTCAAGAATATTTATTACCAATAATCAACACAAGAATTATTCTCATAACGCATCAATTCGGAAGTAAAGAGAAAATCAAATAACTCTTAACAGATAATTTTCTAGGTTCATTCAACCTGAAAACTGTTTCTATTGAAATATCGAAGAGCCCTGGAGTAATTTCGTGTAAAAATTATTAAAATATCGTAAGAGCTTTTGTATGATGTTCTTGAAACTTTACCGGAATTGAAGAACAGGAAGCAAATGCAAATATTAATAAGGTGTCGCCATGAATTATGATTTAAAAAGTTAGGATATAAACATTTAGCAAACAAACCTTCAATTCATTCAAAGACGTGTAAAGAGCATCTAATAGTTAAAATTGAAGAATGTTGATCGAAATATGCTTTTATTCATGCAAATGCAAATAAATCATCTATGTATGATGAATATTTAGGGGAGCGACTTTATTAAATATTATTATTTTATTACTTTACTTACTGATGATGGCGATTATGGTTAAAAAATCTTTCGATAAATTTTTAATATTTTTAGGAAGTGTTTCTGAATGAACATTTAATCATCTTAAATATATTTAAATGTCAATGCTTTAAATTTGTTTTTTGATTTCATTATATTTTATATTTGCCGAGTTAATCGGACACCAATGCCAATTGATGGCTGTCCCACTCGTTACGAGAAAAAATATTGAGCTGCACGAAATCAGTTTGTCCCGCTGTGTAATTTTTATTTTGATGGATTTGTTTGAATCTTATCACACACGCTTCATGTCGAAGCTTAGAAAGCACTATACACGTGCCAGAAATCATATAAATAGATAAGAATATTCGTGACAATTTGGCTTGCATTGTAAGACGCATTAATAGCAACTTGTGTGAAAAAATTGAAAGTAATGTAGCTTAAATAAATAAGACAAGTTCTGAGCTACAATAATGAAATTGAAACATTGCAATGCATTACACTAAAAATATATGAGACATTTTGAGATTGAATTTCGTGTGGTTTTAGAAATATTAACCAAAAATAGCATAGAATAATGTAGTCAGCTTGATCTTCTTTATTATATTTCGAAGAAAGACTCCCTTCCTTTTGGTCATAACTTCTAAGAGCAACATTTTCCTTTTTATGTTTATTCACCTCTAATCTTAAAAAATGAAACGAATTAAAAGTTCAATAAGAAGTAATTATCAGGGTTCCTTGCTGGGTAATAATTGTTTGAATACCCAATCAATTTCGCGCTTAAAGTTTATTTGAGGGTTCAATGAAACTTAATATTTTTCCCAAATCTTTTCGACTGCTTTCACACTTTTGTTATAAAAAAGTTCGATGGCCTATGAGTTTTAGTTAGTAAATAATAATATTGCGTCTTATCATAAAAAGTTAACTAATTATTGTCCTTTTCCTCCCACGCCGTGTCCAAAAGTACAACTCGTTGTTCGCTTCTATGTTCTGAATATTTTTACAATTATTAAAAATCTCTTCATATCGAAAAATATTTTAGGGATACGAAATAATATTTTTTGTTGGTTTTTTTGTTTCTTCTTTTATACGTTAAATTTAACTAATTTTTCCATCAATTTCACTGCCAAGACCGTCTTATGGCTTTTATTTACGTCAATTGTTCTGGTCTGTGATTGACATCATACGCATTTTTCTCTCCAATCATCGATAGATTAAATTTTTGTATCGTACAAATGAGAAATGATGAACGTTGAAGGCCAACGAGTAGTTCACGTTGAGAGTTCATAGAGTGTAACCATATCCCTTACACCTTTGTAAATATGGAATGAAGATAACACATGCTGAACAATTTCTTGCATCTCTCTTTCACTTTAAGATAAAACGCTTTGGGTCATGCTCCAATTCATTTTCTCATTATTCACTTGTGATATGTGATTCACAAGAATTTAAAATTTTCTTAGGAGGATGAAGTGTAAAAATATTTTCAACTTAACAACCGAAGATTTGTATATTGTGGGATATTGATTTTGAGATGAAAACAAATTATTTATACAACGAACGGTATGAAATGAAAACTCTTTTAATGGAGCAGAGGTGTTAATGTGAATATATAGGTTGATTGCAGTCTACTTATATACAATTTCCTGAACGGTTCTGAGAACTTTGGGTCATTAGCATAATTTCGTTAATGAGGAGAAAAAAAGAAGATTTATCATTAATGCGAATAAATTTAATATTAATAGGTGTAAAAGTGAAGACCAAATGAAAGTTAGAATATATTTTTTGAGGATATCGGTTGAGTGATGGAAACTAAACCTTTATTATTAAATAACTATCAAAAACCGACTTACCACTGTCACTCATTGAGTTCGAACGTAATTTTTATGAAATCTGTTCATATACTTATCTAACATATAAAACTTATTGCATAACTTTAAAATAAATAAATGATGATCATAAATAAATGATGATGTAAAATTTTAATAATTTTTTAATGACTTCTTCTGGAGTTCAATCTGATGTCTATTCGATTGCTAGTAGTGATTCTTAATTATTTGTTTAATGAAATGCTTTCTAATTACACCTAAAATATAAATAAGTTCATCATGCTTATACACTTAAAGGAAATTATGAAAATTTATGTAAGTTTTCTAAAGCCAAGACCATGGCCTTTGCATAGATTTCATTCAATTTAAGAGAGGAGAAAATCTATTCTAGATATTCAATTTGAAATGTATCCTACATAATGATATACCAACATTCCATTTCGAAGCCCATCTTCGATCTTTTTCGAAGATTTATTTGAAGTGTTTTCTTTTTTGAGACGTTTCTAAAAATATCTTTAGAGTATATTTAAATTAGATTTTTGCCAGCTAAGGAGAATCGTAAGAGATTTATAAATAGATGAGCTGTTCGTGGCCATTTAGCAAGCAAGTATTTCATCTTCTATCAGAGAAACAAAAGAAGTGCAAACGACGCTGTTAATGTATCAATTTATATGGCTTTACTGGTAAATTGAGAGAATTTGAAATTGCCAAAAGAAGCTACAAAAGTTGAATATGAAATATGTTCATGAAATGTTAGAAAGATGCTTCTATTCTTAACCTTGAATATTTCCTACCTTTTACTGTATACATCATTGGTCAGAAAAGGTCCTTTGGGTGTAGAAAATCCGACGAACGAGGCGAACTCGAATGCTTTGATTAAACATCCCTATTAAGGAAAATATGAAAGCCAAATGTATTTGTCGTAGTTATTGAAGCGTTATAGCAGGGAAAAAATGTTTTGAGACAGAAATAAATAAATAAATTCAGATATTGACTTAAGCTTAATTCATCGTGAAAAAATGTATCGGAAAATTCGACGGAGCAAAGGAAATCATGGAACATAAAAATTTGAACTTGAGTTCAAGTTCAAGGCCAGAATAAACGAAATCGAAATGGAAAGGAAAAAGATGCCCAAGGCGTGAAATGTTTTCCTATTATAAATATTAAGCCTTATTGAACCTTTAGGGAGCAACGTCAGAGGTAAATTCTCCCCAGTCAATCAAAAGAAACGAAATAAATGCATAAATTTCATAATGTTATACAAATTTTTAGTTTCGCTTTTTTATTTCTTCCTTGAACTTTTTCAATTGATATTACATTGAACATTTAGGCTTGATATTAGTGTTTTGTTTGTAAACATTATTAACATGAAAAGTTTAATTTTAATGTTATTTATTTTTATAATTTTTCCATTGGCTTACAGAAAAACCGCACATTTTGGTGAATATATAAAAAACTGTTCGATTCCCACCATTTCTATGCGGGTTCACTGCATCACATTTTCATTCGTATTTTACTTATTTAATCTTAAATTCAATTCACAGCCTTCTTGAATTTGACTTGAGTAATACAAGAATCTACAAGATATTTTTTTCCACCTTGCAATCGTCACTTATATTAAAAACAAGCATTAATCGTGTTGGTGACGACAAAATGAAGATAAAATTCATCAACTATCTAAACGAGCATTATAAATTGGTTGTTTAACATGAATTTGTCACGCTTCATGGCGCCGAACACTTTCATAAGGAGTCAAATATTTCTCCATCCTTAGTTGTCTGTCTAAGATTAAATAGTTCACATGATGCTCGTGATGTTGATGTTAATGAAGTAAAAAGCATTTCAAAGTAAAGTCATTTTAAAGTGTCGCAACTGGTCACAATGGCGCGCGCTTAGTGTCGTAAAACTATAGCATCTTAAATCATCGTTGACTTTCAATGAAGATGTAAGGAATTTTGTTATGAGTCTGCTATTCGTTGATTAATGCGAAAGCACCTTGAATGATCATTAGAAAACATTTCAACACCGACGAAACATGAGAAACATCGTTTTTTTTCATTTCTTTCGACTTTCTTATGTTTAACTGGGACAACCAAGGAAACTGATCGCGCGGGAAAGCAGATCATAAACAAACTAACTAAGCCAATGGGATTTTCTTCTCATCGGAAATGCTAGCTTTTCTTCTATCTTCTCATTTTCTTTTACATCTTCATTTGTAAAAAACATATTGAAATTTCAATGACTATTTGTCATTGGACACAAAATTTCCGCTGATTAAAATAATATAATTCGATTTTAAATCAACTCTTCAAGATGGACACATGAAAATTGATTTTCTTTCATTTCATTTGTTTATACGATATGCAAATAATCAGGTTAGCGATCGAAAATCACCTTGAGGAAATTTTGAAATTCAAAATCAGAAAATTTTCCGAACCTTGAGATAGAAAATTCTTACTTCACTAATTGCTTTTCAAGCGTGAAGGAAAAGCTGCGGGATTAATTGCACAATTTTCACTATATTCGTTGTCATATCTACTTAATTTATCTTAGAGACTTATTAATTTTTGAAATATCTAAAACGATATTCGATAATCATGATCGGACATATTAAACATTTAATTAAACACAAAATCTTCTTAATTATAATTTCATAAAAAACATTTCAGTTCAAACTTAATTAAGAAATTATGTAGTTCAATCTTGACTTCATTATTTCGAAGAAGCAGCATTGTTGTTTGCTTGATTTTATGGATGCATTTGTGATGAATTCACTACAATGTACGCTATGCTATGTCAGCTTTTATATCCAAGCCAGGTTCTTATTAGCAATTTTTCTTACAAAATTCTTCTTACATTTCTTCACTTATAATACATAAATGATTAATTGTTTGAATCGCACATTTCAGTGGCACAGTTTATTGGTCATAGAGAGGCAGCTGCTGTAAACGCCTGTCGTCGTTTTATTAGACGAGTCTTCTGTAATTCACTTTTATTACAAACTTGTACCGTCCCCTGATTTACTGATGGTTGACGTGTACCATTATTCCCAATTAGCGTTCCTGATGATGATGTCAAAATTTGAGTGAAATCGTCTTGTTAACTTGCAACAAATCCAATTACCTATCATTTTGCTAACCGAAAACTTCCGTGGCTTCACTGGACGTGCTCGAGACTCAACTAGAAGTTTCTCAAATACTTTGTATAAATTTGGAGAATTTTCAGCGACCGAGACCTCGCAAAAGCCAACACCATGAGATGCAGCAAGGGAAGCGCCTTCAGTTTCAGGAATCTGTAAATTTCAAATAATTTTATGTAAACTTCAATTAGAAAATCGTTTGGTTTCATATTTGTGCTCATCAATAAAAAACATATTACGTTGTTGCAAACTTTTCTCTACAAAAGTTCAACAAACTGACCTTCATAAAGTTTCTCGGACTTCACTTGATAACGTTATGGTTCAGTAATGCGTACAATGTCAATCAAAAGGAAAAAATTAAAAGGCTTCGTAAATGTTCTTGGCAGTGAAAATGATGAGAAAATTGGTCAAATTTAACGTTATACTGAAAGGAATCATTTCTGACAAGTATTTTTACATCTTTCTTATACAAAAATGATGAAAAGAGTTTTTTGTTCATCTGACACATCTTTAAAGTGACTCACTAAATTGACATCACAATAGACAAGTATGGAAAAGCGGGGGAGGAAATGCAGCACGTCCTAGCTAAAGTTCATCGCACCTTCACTATTCTCTGATTCTACTTGTTCATTCATTTTTCTATTGTGTCGTTTGATTATCCTCACAAAGCAAATCAAAGTGAAAAAATGTTTTTGAGATATGTCAAAGGAAAAAAATATTTTTACCAACGTTTGTCATGGTTAAGGTCGTGTTACGTGAACCTGAAACCTGAATATGGTTTTAAATAAAAGGTAGGAGTTTTCATATGTTACGAATACTTTACTTCAAAATATATCTCTGATCTCGAAGAGAAATGAGAATAATTTAATAAACAAAGCTTTATTTATTTATTTTTGAGACGAAACATTTTTCCTTTTGTTGACTTCCAACTTGTGAATGAAATTCTAATGAAAAATGTTTTTCTCTTCTATTTGAAGCCTATCAAAAACGCATTACGAAAGAAGGTTATTGCTTGGGTATATTAAATCATATTGAAGCTTTTTATTGACTCATTGCCAGATGTTCCGTGTGTGGAAGTTTTCTTCTTTTATTTAAATCCCATCGTGCAATTTACTTTGTTATGATTATGACTTTGTGTTCATTTCATTATTCGAATAATTCATCACTTTTTTGCTTATTACAAACATCTATTCGCGCTTTCCTTTTTCCGAAATTCGAGTGGAATAAGTGGGAAATAGTTGTCAGAAGTAATTAAGCCATGTTCTGTTGTTTAGAACATCAAGAGAAATCGAATTGGAAAATAAACAATTGTTGACATACTTTTGATATTTAATTAAAGAGAAATGAATCCGAAAAACTGAACAAGGAAGTTTTTTTTACAGTTACACCAATATGAAAGCAATGAAAACAAAATTAATCATTCATTCTCACCTCACGCAAGTGATCTAAATCTGCTTTGTTGGCAACGAGATAAGTTGCTGGTCCATTTTGTATTTGTCGAATTTCGCCCAACGACCTCACCGCATAGTTGAAACTCTCGCGATCTGTTATGCTGTAAACAATAAGTACGGCATCAGCCCATTGTATTTGGTCGATTGGAAAACCTTCGTCCTCATCATCCACCGAGACGTCGATAATTTCAACATCGAGTAGGCCGCTCTCTAATGTGACAGTTTGTTTATACAATAAATCGGTATTTGATCTGTATTCACCGATGAATCTTCGTGTGAGATATCGAACGGTTAATGCTGTAATAAGAAAGAAAAAATGATTAAAATATCTGCTTGTCAATTTTCATTTCGTGCTGTATTAAAAATTTTAAGTAGAGGAAATAATAAAAATGATGATGTGGAAATGCTCATTAATCTATTCTTTTGGCTTAAGAAAAGCGATTTTTAAGTTTGGCAAGAGACTCATCATGCAATTAAACAAGCCGTCAAGTGGAAATTTCAAAGTTCATTTGTTGCAACTTTAAGCTATGTATTCGCCTTCATTTCAGCCATCTCAAGTGTCTTACGAAATGAAAAAAAAATGCAAGATGAGATAATTTTTCATTTCTTAATTTCTCGTCTAAAATTTCGATAACCTTAACCCAGATAATAATGAACGAAGAGAGAGTCTTGTTTGTTGTTTTATTTTGTTTTGTTTATTTACTCAAACTTTTATAAAATTCCCTTCGCGCCGGAGAACATCGTAATTCATCAAAAGAGAATAAAATTAATTTGCTTTTAATTTGTTGGCAAACAGTGAAATGTGAAACCTACTTATATGCCTTTCATCGGAGGTTGACGGCAATAAGGACGAAGCAAGGCCCAAATTTACTTTGCTTTTGATTACTTTTGAGATTGTTAATGAGATTTTATTTGTAGATATATCTAATTATTCTTATCTCTGATTCATGTTTTCTCTCTTTTCTTAGCATAAACTTGTGACCTTTGAACTGACAAATTGGTTTAGCCTGAAAGCAACTCAAGTTGATGTAGGAATTTAGGTCGCTCGGTTAGATTCAAGGCAAATGTTCTCTGTTTTCTTCTTAAGGTAATAAACATTAATTCACGTTTTATCAGTTTACCTTATACAATTCGACATTATTTTAAAACCGATTATTTTCTCAATTTCGGTAGCTAGATACGAAGTTCGCATCGATACCAATTTCCTCGACCTGAATTCCATTACAAAAAGAAAATCTTATTCGACATGATTTTTCTTCTCTCTCTCATCTGATAAACAAAATTTCCAATCAACCCCAAACAAAAGTTTGTGGTGTTAGCAAAAAAAATCAAAACTTTCTTACTAGGTCAAATCTGATTACAAAATTTTTCTCTTCATAATTTTATACTCGGACGTGTTGCGATAATATTTGATGGGAAAGATGAGCCATCGTGATTGGAATATTTGGGGCAAATGATAATTCAATTGGAATTTAGTTTCACACGAGAATTAAGCTTATTGAACATAATAAAGTCTAGAACAGTGGGATATTATTTTATTTATACTTTAATCATCTTACCCGATTTGCCGACATTCATGTTGCCAAGTACTGCAATCCGCACTTTAGGTGAGTTATTCTTTTCTTCGTTCTTCATTTTGTGATAATAATTGCAAACAATGTTAATCTGTAATAAGAATGAGATTATAATAATAAGAAAATTGTTTTTTTTTTTATAAATTTTTGATGAAAATAACTTTGAGATCATAAAATACAACTGTGATAATTTTCTTTATAAACTCCTACGAGTTCAACAGTAACCTATGAATGTCAATATTGCTCAATCATCGTTTAAGTGTGGAAGTTTACACGTGCTTGAATTCTTTACAAAGAAATGGTCCCCCTATGATCTTTTAATCATTCATATGTAGATATCCACGATGACTAACATATTTAAATCTTTATTATTTTTCCTAATAAAATTTCCTTTCAAATATTTTCTCGATGACAGAAAGAAAAACAAAAACAATAACTTTTCGTCAGCTTTTTTTCTGCCAAAATATTGATACGTATTGATTTTTTATTTTGAAATTTAAAGACTGGTGGCAGATTATTGAAAGCGACATTAAATGGATGCTTCACAACTTCAAGGATAAAGGTAAGGCTGAAATTAAGCTTTAATGATGTTATCGTTCACTTCTTGCCAATTAAATTCTTCTTAGAAGTGCCTCATTAATAACTGAATAAGGAAAAATTGTTATGGAAACACATTAGCATTAAGTAGATAATAAAAGTTCACCTGAGCGACGATGAAAGGTTTCAAAACAACATAAACGATACATGCATAGTTACTTAAATTCACTTTTGTAACCTTTTGAAACAAAGAAATGAATAAGTTGAAAATTTATAGCCGTTTAGCCTTGTCACAGATCCATCTTTTGTGATTTAAAAACGATAAATTGTGGTTGTCTCTACTTTAAAAAATTTAAACATCTGCTGCCAATCAAAATTCACAAAATAGAGAAAAAAATTGAGAATTCAACCTGCAAACTGTTAAATATTTTAACAAAATTTCCTTTCTTTTTCCTTCAAGCACAGTTGAGGAAATTCTGCTCCGTTTTCGTTCTACGATTACTGTAAATAAATGAACTGACCTCAACAACTGTCTCAACAACTGCTACAACTATCTGGCTACATACTTAATAGATACCAATTTAGTAAACTAACTGCTGCCTAATTCAGCTCTTGAAAATGATATTCGGCTGCGACCCTTCAAGGCAAATGCACTGGGTCCGCCACAATNATATTTTAACAAAATTTCCTTTCTTTTTCCTTCAAGCACAGTTGAGGAAATTCTGCTCCGTTTTCGTTCTACGATTACTGTAAATAAATGAATGTTTAATGACTCACATTGAGAGAATGAAAATGTTTTCATTTCGAAAGGTTATTGCGAAGGATTTAATTAAGTCTCATGTTCGCTTTTCTTTGACAAAGTTCAAGAAGATAATATTTAAATTTCAAATGCGGTTTGAGAAACGATTATTGCAGGAAGCGTCTGAGTAAATAAACAAATACTTTTCAAGTGATTTAATTGAGCGCAACAGATGAACTACAATTAAAATCTTTCAACTATAATTTAAACCGGAAATTAATTGGGAGCGTATGATGTGTTTTGCAAAGTATACCTAAATGTGAGAAACTTGAATCATCATCAATAAATGAACAGGGAGGAGAACTTTAATAAAACGAATCATTAGGTGAAATCACTGCAAGATATTCGTGAATGTAGAATTTATGAGAAAGAAGATTTTCTCGTCATTTGTATTACTTCAGAGTCGTCTTCTCATCAGCGTCAGTAAAAGCAAAGATGTTAACGTTTTCCTTCCCTCAAACTGCTATAAATAACAAGGCACGAAAATTTGTTTTATGAATCGCTCTTCACCACGAGCCGAAATGAATAAATTGTCGCGAGGCGCCGAAAATCACGTCGTTGAATGAATTTCTTAAGTAGTTTACAGTAAGTCAGATGCGATTTATTCTCTCATGAAAAACAGTAACAAATATTCCGCCTAGTTTTTCTTGATATTAAACATAGTAAAATTTGTCACGACTGTTGATTGAGGAAATAAAAACAAAACATTTGAAAAGGAAAATATGAATTTATATAATAAAATGAAAAGAAAACATTTTTCTGGAGAAAGAAGAACGTAAGAGAGTTATGGAAAAGAAAAGTTTCACTAGAAGTTAGAAGTTATGCAACATCCATTAAGGCTTCTTTAAGGAGAAATCAGAAATCTTGACTGAACCTTTCACTTGAATATTACACAATTGATAGCAAGTCACTTTGTCGACCACGAGCTAATTTCAAGACAATAGACGAAACCCAATTATATTGAAATTCTACAGGCAATACAATGTGATTGTAATCATGACAACCAAAAGGAAAAAGTCTAACGAAGGAAAAAAGGTAAATAATTGCGCCAAGAAATTTCAAAATCATCGCATTCTTCGATGCTGGGAAATTTCTTTCTCTATTCATTCATCACGGCATAAATCACAGAAAAAGTGTTGATGAATAAGCCGCCCTTCTCGTAAAGATGCACATCGTGAAACAAACAAACATAAAATCACTCGGCTGAGTGTCGCTTACAGAACGAGAAAAAATATTTCACATTCCTTAACTCTCTTATTTTTAGGTTTTCATTTTATTTTATTTTCTTGATTTTGCTTTCTTGTCTCGTTGAGAACATGAACGGTGACTTATCGCTTTCACGATTTTCTTTTACTTTTTAAGTCGTTTAAAATTCTTTTCGTATTTTGGTGAAGGAAGGAAAACTCTAAGAAAACATTCTGATATAGATTTTTAATTTTCTAACCAAGTTTTCCGTCATCAACTGTAGTGGAAAGGAATTACTGTCAAAACAACACCAACAACATTATATTTATTCCTAATGTTGTTTTTGTGCCGTAAATTTTATTGATTTCATTTCATTTCCTCGTGAGTGAAAGAAAATCTTAAGTGAAAATTACTTTTCTTTAAATTGCTTTTCTTACAGTTTCAACATTGATCTGAGGCAATTTTCCGCTGCATTTCCCATGCACAATAATTTATGCATGATGAGTGCCAGTCGGAGTATGAAATTTGAAACTTTATAAATAGATTGACAGAGAAGCTTTTTGTTTCTTTCTCTTTGCATACGAATTAAGATCTTGAGAAACTTGCGTTTAATTTCAAGAGAACAAGATGAAAAATCAAACAGAAAAAAGTAAACATTCATGACCTGACTCGGTCTGAAATTTCGGAAGCATAATGTTTTGTATTGAGATTGCGTGGATTGCCAATAAAGGAAGAACTTAATTAAGTAGCTTATTTTAAAATCGGACGCAATAATAACATCTATTCTACAAATAAACCACTATGCACGCCCATTTCAGGCAATCCATTAAGGAATTATTTTGATTACGAGGCAAGAACATGCGAGGGTGTGAGTAATAAGAAGAAAAACTGGAGCAAATTCATTCACGAAATGACAATCAGTGAAAAACTGGAGTAAGATCGTCGATTTCTTTTTGTTTCATGTCATCAAATGTAATTTATTCATGGCGACATATTCGCGACATAACTTTCTCTTTCCGAACAATTCTTGATAGGCATTTGAGAAGATAGATTGATGTCGTTGACATAATTTTTCAGAAAAAAAAACGATAGATGAAGAACTTAATTCTGAGTGATGAAAGAATTTTCGTTAATGTTCTTTCATAAAAATTAATTTCTTTTCCTCATACATATTCACCGGAGTTTAGTGAGACGGGGTCGAGAGGCGAATGACTTCTGAGTCAATTAAGTGCTTAAGTTCAGTTTCAATTTCCTTCAAAAAAGATTTTCTTTCTTAAACATCAGATTTCACATCGTCGGGAAGGGGAAAAAAGAGAATTGGAAAGATAAAAGTTTCGTTTTTAAAGTCACTGGTTTCATGCACAAATTGCAAATTCTTTTTATTCGAAATGCATCCCTCTTAGAGATTTTTTTTTCATATCTTACTTATAAGTTATGAAGTTTCCATGTCAATTTCCGAAAAAAGTCGTGCTTTCATTTTTACCTTTATAACGAAGAAACTGATTCTGATTTTCACCTCAACCTCCACCAAAGCAATACTCCAGCGAAAAGACAAATACCAATTTGAAGAAAATGGAAGAAAAACTCCTCCAATGTATTTTCTTTTCTAACTCATTTATGGGATTATCTGCCGTCTCTTTGTCATATTCGCTTTTAGTTACTTTTTTCATGAGATAATATTTTGTGAATCGGGTAAACCTTTCAAGGGTCATTAAACTCAGGAAAACTTAATATGTTTCGGTAAATAGCTTAAAGCAAAAGGATTAAACTGAAAAAAAAATCTGTTACCGAAAGTCGGTCCCAACAATAAATATCGTGCAAAGCCCGATATTTAAAACTCCGGCTATTATAGATTTTCTAGACAAACAGTATCAGTAAAAATCTAACTCCAAAAAGGGGCCACTTTTTGGTATATTGTTTCCACCTTCGATATTCCAAATACTTTTCACACCCTCCGTAATAATTTATTTCATACCTTATTTCTGCAAGAAAGTTCGTTTTCCACTTGATTAAATTTGGCAAACAACCACAACGGAAATTCTTAAATATTCTTGTTTTTTCAAAAACTGTTTTTCTACTTTAATGATTAATTTTGTCAATTTTTTTTCTTTTTTATTTTCAGGTTCTTTTTGGCACTGAAGACACAATCAAGAACTATTCATTCATTAAACAAAATGTACTTTGTGATGGTATTTTTTTTTAATTTATTGTAACTTTGCACTTTAAAATCCAATGCACACCGGTTTAATCTTATTTCATTATTTTTATTTTTATTCACTTTTGGAACTTTGACTTCATTCAATTTATAAACAAATAAAAATCCAAAGATTTTCTTTCCCGTCAGAGTTTTTAACGAAGCAGTCAGAGATCCACGAAAATACTGAAGCTTTTCTCGATCGTTCGTGGTGTTTTTATAATTTTTCTGCTTTCAAAAAAGAATTTCTCTCAAATTTCTCGCATATCAACAGATGATTTTCCTCTAAGAGATTTTCCTTCGCAACACATGCGCAGAAGAAAAATATTCCGCATGATTGTCGCATGCTTTTCATATGTTGTTCATATTATGCGAATAAATTCAAAAGGAAATTAAACCTCGAACATTTTCATCAAATTTCCTTCCTGCTAAATTATCAAAGCAAAAAGTATAAAGCCAAGTTAACTGAATTTTGAAAAGAATTTATTCTAGATATCTTGCAGTGCAATAAATCTTAAAATCAAAACAAATTTTTGCATACAAATGATACGTATTCTGATTTAACCACAATAATGAATTAAGGCGAAAGGGAATTTGGCGCCAGTTGGAACTTTTGATTTGTCTTTTCTCCTTAAGTGTAAATTATATAAATATTTCATCGCTCAAATATGATGTACAAGTCATGAGCGATTATTTTTCACTTTTCACTTTTCTTCTTCTCAAGTTGAATATTCTTCGTATGAGGTATTAAAATGTCGACAATTTTTTCTGCGACAGAACGAACGTTTAATAACTCCATTAGGGAATTCAAAAGACCAAGGTGATTGTTGAGTGGATTTTCCAGCTGTGACAAGGGCAAATTTTAGTTCAGGGAAATTGAAGTTGCAACAATTATTAACACCTTAATATGTCACATTTATAAGTTGTTGTTCATGTTCTTAATTTTTCCAGGCCAGCAAGTCATGTTTATGAATAGCAATGGGAAATGAATTAATTAATTTCTCTTGCTTTTCGTCACTGCTCTCAAATCATGATCAAAATCTACGTTTCCACGACAAAGCTGGAAATGAATCCAATTCAAATATTAGCATGGCCTCAATTGCTTTGTTCTATTATTCAAAAAAAAGTCTTGAAATATATCACAAACAACAAATAAATAACATTTACGTCTGGAACATTTTGATAACTTTATTGAATAATATTGAAAGTGACATTTGCGAGAAAAGATAGATAATATAATATTTAGATCGATTTCCTTTTCCTGTCATGACAAAAGACTTAAGCCAGCGTGAGTTTCCAGTCATGCTGTTTTCCACGGCAGTAGGAATGTCAGGAAAAGCTCCATTTATCTGTTCTCATAGCGGAATAATTGATAATATATTAGCGACAGAAGCACCTTGTCAGTATCACATATTAAAACAAAGATATTTAAAAAGATAAAAATCTGCTACATTAATGAAGTGTCTTACGAACCAGATTTTGAATTAGACATGAATATGATTTTTATTTTCTTTTTCCGAACACCCATGACAAGGGAGATTTTTTAATTTATTCGCTGCAACAGATAAAATATATTGTTATGAATTGTAAAATGAATCAATTCAGATTATTGACGTCTTCTCGCGACTGTTATGGATATGAATGAATGCACAATACGCTTGACGTCAACCAAGTATTTAGTATATTTTTGAATTCCAAGAGATAAGAACTTTTCATCATATTTAGAGTTCCATTATGCAATAATTTCATGCAACAACTTGTAATTTAATAATAGCTAAATTAATTATTTATTTTTAATTTAAATTTTTAACAATCAAACAGAAAACATTTGTGTATTTAAATATTTGCTGTGCATAACTTTAAGGGGTCAAATATGTATGATCCTCAAATGTATGCAACATTCTTAAGTTTGTCTGCATCGATTAACAAACATTTCTCATCACAGAAAGAAAAGTGATTTGATGAGAACGTTTTTCCTAATTCCATGTGACTTTTACCTTCCTAGTCAATAGAAAAACTTTTTCAAAAGATGATGTAAGATTGTTGCTAAAACGCTGGTAATTGTTTCTTTGTGGCTTCCTAAGTCTCATCCTATTATAAAACTACTTCTTAATTAAAGATAAGGAATTTTCAAAGAAAAATAAAAATTTCGACAAGAACAAAGTTAAGCTGATTAATGTCATCAGATTAATTTATTGCTCTAATCAGACAATTTAAGTGTTTTAATAACGAATTAACTTAAAATCAGTCTAAGGCGACGTTCAAGTGGTTATTACATTTTTCACATTTATCGAACAATTAAAGCTTTCGTAATGTTACAAATTAACAATCAAACTCTTAAACTGAACAGATATAAAGCATTCGATTAAAATTCAATTGAGACTCTCAATAATATTTGATGATAAATGAAAAATGTATTTCATTGACCTAAAACGATTATTTATGTTAAGTATCGATGGCTTCTTCTTTGGGCACGAGAATTCAATTGGAACCATCGATGTTATACAATCAAACAGAATTGCTCCAAATACAAATGTCGTGTCACCTTCTCAACAGATTAAGGCTAATCTAAGTTAATCATGAATTATGGAAAGCCTAGCAGCTGCCGTTTCCTTTTTCGTTCCAGTTCACATCCTTTTATCAATGAGCAACCATAAATAAAGAAAAAAAGACCAAACTCATATTTAAACATTAACTTTATAGATAAAGGAAGACACGACGCTCTCCTTTCATTATCATAAATCACGAGCTGCTGTTACAAAAGGCGTCGAATCATCATGGTTCTGTTGGTGTTATGTCGCATTTTTCATTTGTCGTTGGCCTACTTCTTTCATCTGAAAAAACAATGAATAATATGACCTCAATCATTTAACGTGATGGTGTTTAAAAATATGAGTAATAATTAGAAGTTTTCTTGCACTTAGAAAATTATTTTCTACTAGTATTCAATGTAAAAAATGTTGCGAAAGAAATTTAACAATAACGAGATGACGTCTATAAAGATTCTTATCGAAAGAATCTAAAAGGAATTCGATGTCATCACTAGAAATGAAAGAAGATTAAGAAATCGGTGTTGAACTCAACGGTAGCCGTCACGTTATGGATCATTCATTCACGTCACGTTGTTTCTATTTTATGTATTTTTAATTCTTTGATTCTAATGTCTTTATTTGTTGTTATCAAGCACCAATTAAATTAAAGTCCCATAAACAAGTCATTAAAACATTTAAATTTATGACCCCGTGAGTCTTCAGACTGATAAGAAAATGTTTTGATCATAAACAGTAGAATAAATGCTGATGTTAATTGACATAATTAATTCGAATATTAAGTAGATTATAATCAGGGAAAAACACTTTTTTTTGAAAATATCTCTGGGTTATTATAAATTATTTAAAGAGTCAATGATAATTAAATCAACACAAATAATCTTCAATGACATTTGATTTTGCATTCCTTGTTGCAATTTGCAACTTTCAGGAAAATCCTCTAAAGTTTCTTTCGAAGTAGACAATAAAATCTTGTTGATTAAACAATCAAAGGCAATCTTCAGTTTCTATAAAACATCACGAAATGTCTGAACTTTAACTATTTATTCATAATGCAATTTTGAACGTGATGTTTATAATAATCATGAAAAATTTCTTCTGAATTATCGGTGACAATTTTCCAGTTCATCGAACATTAGTTTAAAGGTCATTGAAAAAACTCAATGAATTTTTTCTTTTCACAGTTTTTGAACGATTTTTTTGCTGTTTCTTTTAATGTGTTTGTGGGTGGATTAGGGTTTAGTGTAAATATTGAAGAGAGAAACATTTCAGAGAAGGATCAGCTGTTCTTCTGTTTGTTTGCAAATGTTTCATTTTTAGCACAGTATTCTTAATCTAGTTAATTTTTTTTTTTGATTAACGAATTGAGAAAATTCACACACATCAAAAAGCAAACAAAAACTTAAATTTTAAATGTTCGCTGATGTTTAATTATAATTAAAGCAGCAAGTAAGTAAGTAAGTAAGAAACGTGCTTTAGATATGTGAGTTAAAGTAATTAAAAACAAAAGCAACTTTCATACAATATACTGACTCAGAAACAGGCCTTTATCGAACAACACACATTTACAAAAACAAACAGTGTTGTTCGATACATATGGGAGAGCTCACAGTCGAGAAAGAAGTGAAAGAAAAATATTGTGTGTGAGAAGGAAAGGAAAAATCTGCCAGCTAGACATCACACAAGCGAAGGAGAGAAGAAAAAATTAAATATATAAACCCACTCTCCATTCGTAGTTGAGATTCGGCGGAAATAAGAAGCCGTTCCTTCTTTTCAGTTTTTATTTTGGAATTTATTTCTCTTTAAGTCTCTTTGCTTGCTATCGAAGCAGATAATAATTCTAAGAAGTTCTCATTTAATAATTATCAATTGAAAAGCATTGAAAGTTGCTTACTTTGAAAAAGACAAAACTAAAGAACACAAAGGAAAAAAACGAAAGAATTTGTCTCATGAACACCATAAAGGAGAACAAAATAATCGATATCAGAAAAATATAAAAAAATCATTTCAGTGTCAAATTATTTACTTGTTTTGTGATAACGTGCAACGAGAGATAATAAAACCTAAAGCTTGTATTCATCGAGAAGAAACTAAGGCCAATTGTGTACTCAAAAAAAATTGTTTTAATTTCTCTGAAAAGTTTAACAATTAAAATAAAAGAAAAATGGCATTAAGATGCTTAGGAGTATTGATTAGTAAGGAGATATCTGCCGGTATGACGCGCAGAATCAGTACCACAGCTACAAGAAAAATGCTTCATGATTCACCAAATGCACAACTCAACAAACAACTGTTGAATAGGTACACGCGACTTCAACAACAGATTGATCCGAAATATATTCAAGCAACTTACTTGTGGATCGATGGAACTGGAGAGAATGTAAGATTAAAGGACCGTGTGTTAGAAAAAATCCCAACTAGGCCTGAAGATTTGCCACATTGGCAATACGATGGCTCATCGACATATCAAGCTCTTGGCGGAAACTCTGATATTTCCCTTGTTCCGCGTGCAATTTATCGTGATCCATTTAAGGCTGGAGAAAATGATATCATAGTTCTTTGTGACACTTATAAGCCTGACGGCACACCATGCGACTCCAATCATCGTGCAGCAATGCAAGCGGCCTATGATCAAACTAAAGATGAAGAACCTTGGTTTGGAATCGAACAGGAATATACGTTCTTAGATGTTGATGGACGCCCCTTGGGATGGCCTGCAAATGGTTTTCCTGGCCCGCAAGGACCTTATTATTGCGCTGCTGGTGCTGACAAAGTCGTTGGTCGCGACGTTGTCGAAGCTCATGCCTTGGCATGTCTTTATGCAGGTGTTCAATTTGCCGGCACAAATGCTGAAGTAATGCCAGCTCAATGGGGTGAGTTTCAAGGTTAAAATATTTTAAACGAAAACATTTTATTATGAAAACTTGTTCCCTACTCTAGAATATCAAGTTGGGCCATCATTAGGCATGAAGGCCGCTGATGATCTTTGGGTATCGCGTTATATTTTATGGCGTATTGCTGAAGAGTTTGGTGTTGTCGTCACCTTCGATCCAAAGCCAGTGGAAGGTAATTGGAATGGCGCCGGTAAGTTTTCTTGCGAAAAATTTTATTTAAATCTCTATCTATTTTTGTTTAATTAATTTCGCATTCAAAAACACATTTGAACAGGTGGCCACACAAATTTCTCAACCAATGCAATGCGAAAAGACGGTGGCATTAGTGCGATTGAACAAGCGATCGAAAAGCTTTCGAAACAACACTTGAAGCATATTAAAGCTTATGATCCACGTGGAGGAAAAGATAATGAACGTCGTTTGCTTGGCGCACTTGAGACATCGTCAATCGATAAATTCAGTTCAGGTGTCGCTGATCGTAGTTGCAGTGTTCGTATACCTCGCGGTGTTGCGAATGCTAAGAAAGGTTATTTGGAAGATCGTCGGCCAAGCTCCAATATGGATCCATACAGTGTCTGCAATGCAATCCTTGAGACAACAATGTTGAACAAATAATTTCATTCAATCAGCAGAGAATAACGAAGAAAAATATCACAAATCACAATAAGAAGAAGAAATCCGATCATGAATGAATGAAACAAAAACGAAAAATTGGCCGCGTTATTAATTTCTTGTTTACTAGGTAAATTTTATAAAGTCTTTCGATTTTCCTTCGGTTTTTGTTTTCCATCGAATCGTTTTAATGTATTAAATAAGTTTCAAAGTACTTGAAGTTTGCTGATTACACGATGTATACTGTTTATTATTTAATTAAGTTTTCTGTTTCGAAGTTTTATGAATTTTTAATTATTAAAATTTTTATTTAGCGGGGAAATGTTAAATAATTTAATTATGAAATGTATTTTTTTGCAAAGTTATAAGTTACGTCACGATAAATAATTAAATGAAAACTTTTCGCTCAAATGCTGTCCACTTAGTTGTTAAGCTCAGAAAATTTAATTTAATGCTTTTAAGAGATAATTTTTAAATTGTGTCATGACTTTTGGATCCTCTCGATAGAAACTCAACAATTTTCTAAAATTGCATAAACATAAAATAAAAATTTAATTTCAAATATTTCATTTTCTTTATTCTTTATCTTTTAACAACTTTCACTTTTTTCTTTTTATAGTTTTTTCTTCAAAAATAAAAAATGAAAGTCAACTCCAACATTATCTAAAGAAGTCAATTAAAGTTATCAAATTTAATAAAAGAATTTAAATCGACATTCTCTGAAACATGTGACATGTCTACATAATTCTCTTCATAAATATTATCTTATCCGTAGAAAAAAATGTGGAACGCATGAAAAATATCTTTAAAAAGACTAAATTGTTTTAAAAGTGCTTAGAGTACTCAAAAAGTTCACTTAGGAAATTGACTGGAGTTGTGAGAATGAAAAGATAAATGTCAGCATTTTACTATTGGCACTTGTTTCGAGAATTTATCTTTAAAACTTCTCCATTCATCTTGAAAATGAATGAGCTTGGAAAAAGAATTGATAGACAAGACTCACTTTTCTTAAGAAGATCAAAACAGAAAGCCTCAGAAAGAAATTCTTTTATTGAACAATAAAGTCTTTTGATATTGAATTGAGATGAAAATTATAGAAAAGTAAATATCAAGAAAAAAGAAAATATTTTTAAATACTAAGACGAAGAATGATGAGAAGCAGTTGTTTCTATATTTATTCATACTCTTTTTTTCGAAGAAGAATTTTTTAACATGTTGTCAAATTAAGTAAAGTAGAGTTGTAGTTACGTGTCTGTTTGTGGTGTGCTTAATTAATATTATAGATATGAAATTGTTAAAAGTCACTTTTTTGACGAAAGACAATAAAACTTAAGTGAAAATGTTGGTTGATATGACAATAGTTTGTCACTTATATAGGAAATTCCATTCTACCTAGGCAAGTTTGACACGAGGATAAATAATTTTATAAGGTTCTTTGTTTTCTTATACTATTCAATAATTTTTAACCTCGTTTCGCTGACGAATGGAACAGGCAGAATTTTAAATTAAAATGAGAAAATGGAAATAAAAAGAAGTTTTCTTCGTTTATAAATAGAACCAAAGAGTTTTTTGTGCTTTTATTTTTTTCAGACGATCGACAAAAAATCTCACAGAGTTCTCTCGAACTCCTTTCTATGTAAAATCATCTGCTTCGGCTGAAAGCGATATGGGAATAAACACATAGATTAAAAGAGCACACTCTGAATGGGTGATTTGAACTTCTCAAAATAATTTGATTTGAGAGTGCGGGGGACTATTTAAACATATGATTTTTATTAGTTGTTATCACGAATCTTTTAACATTTATTATTTTTATTGTGTTTCTTTATGTACCAGTAATTCTCTCACATTAACTGCCACTGTCATCATAAAGCGGTCGTTCTTCTCAATGACCTAATTCTGAACAAACACATGTGAGAGCAAAACTGTGTTGACTGAACCAACTTTCATTTTTTCTTCAATTTCAGGAGATAAATATTGTGATGAAAATTTCTTTGTCACGACGAGCTATGTACGCATCTTTTGTAATCAACGTGGTAAAAAACATGTATACATTTATAAATGTCTTGTTTTTATCACTGCTTCACTTCAAATAAGGAATCAATCGCAACCATTTTCCTTCCATCGTCAAGTTCAAATCAAATTCTTTTGCTTCGTTGCTAATGGAAGAAACGATTGGATTGTAAATTTATCGACACATATTTGAGATATCTAATGTGAATTTTCAGCGATGTGGCACCAAAAAATCTTCCACAAGAAATCAATTAGCATTGTTTACAATGTTATTTTGTCGGCGTTTTTGTTAAGACAACCTTTGGCAACCTTAACAAGTCATTGACATTTCAAAAGATTCGAGACGGATATAATTCAATGAATGATAACAAATATTAAATTACGATTTTAAGTTCATTTTCTTTAACAGAAATTGTAAATCTATTTCAACTATCATCATCCATCTTATTTATTATCATTTCAAATAATATTAAAACAAATAAAGTTAATAGTTTGAGCGAGACGTCTTCTTTTTTCTTGTGTAAGACCTTGAAATATTTTGAGAAAAAGAAGAAGTTGAAAGTCAGCTTATACTTAAATCATTTTTGAGACGACATACGACGATTTCGGATAGCATCAGACATGCGCCTGATACTTTATTTCGTATTTAAATTTCTGAAAATCTTTGCCAAGTGGTAATAAACAAATTTAAAAATGTCAGAGATTCTCATCATAAATCGTGGCATGACAACAAGTTGAAACTAATTTTATTCATCTATTGAAAATATAATTTAACTCATTCTCGACATATATCGAGCGTACAATGGCTGCAAAGGAGATAACTGTATTGTAAATAAGTCATTAATAAGTAAAAGCTTAATTAGATCGATCATCTTAGTCACTACAAAACCCTTTTTTTGTGAAAACAAATTTCGACATAGCAACTTAAACCACTCATCGAAAATAAACAATTGAGTTGAGTTCGCCTTATCAGTCAAATGAATCTTATCTCTTTACAACTCGTTCTTTTTTCATGTTTTATCTTACAACAAAAACAAAGTAACTGATAGAAACAATGAATGTAATGTTTTTCTCCATCAACTAGATTTTCCTATTTAGCTAACGAACTATCAGAAATATTATATCGAAATAATGCCACAATACAACATAACTGTTGCTTCGTAACTCTAACAAGGACTTTGTGAGTAATCACATAACATTTTAGCATTTTACCGGTAAATGTCATTACGGCTAATTTCAGGTAACTAAATGTCAAGAGAAAAAAACTTTGTAAAAATAACAAAGGAAAAACTTTTTTGGATTACAAAACATCTATTTTGGAAAGTTATGCAGAAAGCTAAATAATATTTCAATTCCTTTTTGAAAGAATTTGCAAAAAAAAATAATCCTACTATTGATAGTAAGACTATTACGTCCAGCAGAATAGATGAAAAGAGAAGTTTCTTCATTTGAAATATTAAATTTATATTTTTGTTAAAAACTTCTGAGGAATTAGAAGAAAAACCTTTTTGTTTACTTATAAAAACTAGACGGAGATTTAAATTTCTAAAATATCTAAATTTCTTGAAAAAATGTCTGCAACATTAGCGCTTAAGATTTATTTATTTAATCTCGAAAGGCAGGAAAAAAATCCTATTAAGCAACGCAACATTTTTGTAAGAAAACTTCAAACTTTTCGTTGACAACAAAGTAAAATTTTTCTCAAATTTTTTTTTCCTTTTGTTTTCTTTACTTCATTTGATTTATTTTTACAGTTGACTAACGTTGCTTTCAACGTCCTAGTAGGAACTTTCCATCGGGATTCTGTGGTAATAAATTGGCAATGATTCAACGAATGATATGAAAATACATTTGCGATCATTGATCAGATGTTTGAGTTGCGTAAAAAAATGTTTTTCGTGAAATAAATTATATTTTTAGAGATCAAGTTCGTGTATGAATTTGGCCACCAATCCTTGTGAGAATTCATTCAACTTTTTGTTGATGACACACTTTAAATGTTCATTGAAGCCATCGGAGATTAAAATCATGTAAGCGTCCTGGTTATCCAGTTTCGACGTCATTACCTAGAAAATATTGAGAGCATATGAAACTATTCGTGTCGTGATGCGAATCGTTGGGGAATTCATTATTTATTCTCTGCTTAATTTTATTACCCTCTAAGTGTCTGACATAAAAACTAGAAAATAAAACTCATAAAATTACTTTAATTAAATCAAAAAGGCAGACATTCAAAAGCAGTCGATCGTTTGTTTTATTTGTTTCCCATCTCGTTTCCTTTTATCACCGACCATCGGTATAAGATTTGCTTCTTTGGAACCATCAAAAATCATTTGCACACTTCGTGTTCGATTACTCAATGTCATTTGTCGACTAACTGACGCTTTCTGATATTTTTAGTTCGGTTGCGATAGTGAACAAGCCAAAGAAGAGAAGAAAAAATTGACAACGTCGCATAGATTAAGAGTCTGTATAATTGGTTAAAGAAGATTCATCAACACGAGCAGTTTCATGAGAAAAATGCTTCTCTTTCTTCCTTCATTCAGTTCATTGATTTTCGTTTGCAATGAGTGTGTGTCTCGTTTCCTTGGTTGTAATTTCTGTTACTGACTACGTTTTTTCAAGTACATTGTTAAATTATTGAATATCTACATAAAGAGAAAGTTGTTTTCATTAAATATTAATTTTTCCTGTTTTTCTTTTCATTTCGTTTTATTGTATCAACGGAAAGTTCGATTTTTATTTCAACAATGTGAAAATGTCAAGATAATTACCTGAACATGAAGCAACTCACATTTTATCAAACTCACGTTGATTAAGATATTAAAAATGAAGCAAAAACAACAATAGAAATTGCGCTTATTAACAAAATATTTTCTTTCTTCTTGAAGCAGAAATTATTTTTCTAACTTTAAACTTTTACAGATATACTAAGAAATTGCATAAAATGATTGAAAAAAGTTGCATTATACAACGACTTATGAAAAACTGAAGCATTAAAACTCTTAACCAATAACGATAACACTCCTGATGAAAAACTAAAAGTAAAAAGTTAATTATACCCATTTCTAGTAACAAAAGAAAAAACATTAATTTGTTTACATTCGTTGTTTAAATGTCATTCCAATTAAGCATTCACAGTTTTTTTTCTTGCTATCCAATTGATTATGCAAATTCAGATTGAATAATGTAAGCGAACCGTAATCAATGTGTTTCGAAACATTTTTGACATTTTCATGTGTGATAACAACAGCGAGAAGGAAAATATCTTTAGCAATGTTGGAAATGCTTTCATTATATAAATTTATCTCAAATTGCATAATAAATGCCATTTCATGTGCATTCATGAGAAAAGCAGGAAGTTGATTGAGTCTTCATGACATTACGACATTAATCGTTGTTGAAAATATTCCATCAACGATAAAGAAAACTGAAATTCTTCAACAATAAAACATTCAAAATATTTTCATTCCAAAGAAGGTCATGTCGGAGGCGATAATGAAATTATTCACACCGTAAACACGCACTGGGGATCAACGATGAAGCCATAGAGTGTATTAAGTAAGCGTGGCGAAAAAACATTAAGACGACTAGCCAGTTAACTCAACTGTCATAAAATAGTCGTAAAAATTTTCATTGATATCTTGAGTTAGGTCAGTGATCGCTTTAAAGCCAGCTGATTTGAGCACTGTGAATGAATCATAAACAAAGATTAATCGGAGTTTTTTTAACTGCAACAAACAAACAAACGATTTCGCTTTGCTTAACTGCTTATCAACAAAACAAAGCCTTTGGACTCGCATTCACTGCTGTTTTTTATCAACATTGTAAAAATGAGTTTATGTGCTGTTTCTTCATTTTTTAAACACGTTAATTTATTTACTACGTGACGTCAGAATCATACTTACTTAGCTTTGTTTTCAATCTTTTGTTTACGTTTTATTGCACAAAACGCTGAACTAATTGATAGAGCGGCTCGTATTTTGAAATCGTGATAATGAAATAAAAAACTGCCAATATTGAAGGCAAATGAACTCAAGAAAGGTCGAAAACAAAAGATAGGCAATAAAGAGAAAAATGTTCTCGTGAAGACAATTAAATCCCTCAAGTTCCTTCTTGTCTTTTCTTTTTAAACTTCCATCCGAGTGGAAACTGATTAAGTAGATAATTTCTTTTCTGTAAATGACCTTTAATTATTTTATTTCCATTTTCTTGACCATGACATCGACCTTTAAAAAGCAGAATGAAACGTAATCGTAAATTTCCAAGTATAACGTCATTCTGATGACAGCTTGAATGAATTATCATCGATTATTTAACTATCTTGGAATGAACGAGAGAATTTATCGTTTTCAATTTTATTTTAAAACCTACATAAATATTTATGTTGTTATATGTAAAATATGCGAGGAAGAAAAAGCAGATAAATCGATGACGAAATTTCTTTATCATTTAAAAATCGTTGACATCACTTTCTTTAATGAGTAAACATTATAAAGATATCTTCTCATCATTCTGAATATATGTACACCTCCGTCTTCTTGCAATCATAAAGTTCAACGACATTCTTGTTGTGATAAAAGTTACAACTTTTTTCTTTTCCGGCAACACGTCGTCGCCATCATTCACAGTAATTTGATTTTAAGGGTTAATTCTCGATTATCGTTAAAAAAGAAAAGAATTTTTATCCCAAATCAATCTGCGTTAGGTAATTCTGTTTAACATTTAAATTTTATTTAAAACGAAACAAAAAGGGACGAAAACATTATCAAAAAGAAAGTATTATTAGATTCATTTGTATCTTTTTTATTTGTTTCTCTTCCTCAAATGATTTTCTACATCTTTTCAGATGCTCTTTCAGCAGCGCTTTTCAATTTCTTCGCAATAACTTTTTGATGCTTAATCGACTTAGATGTTTTCGATTTCTTATTTTTTCTCTTATCGAGGCCGTCGACCTTTGCACCAAAAAATTTCTCTTTCTTCTTGAATTTCTCGCGATTGTCATCACGATGATTCTGGTACATTTTTCCGCCTTTACGGAAAAGCTCCTTTTTCGACAATTGATTGGCGTCGGTGAACTTATTGAATTTAGCCTTTTGCGTTTCCTTGATCTTTTTGATAATTGGATTGTTGTTTTTTCGTCCTCTCAATAAGGTGTCCATGTGTATCTTGTGAGGTTTTCTAACTTTTTGTTTTAGGAATTTTCCAGATTTCGGGTCCTTCTTGAAGAGTTTTTTCTTTTCTTGCTTGTCTTTAGATTCTGCTCGGGTTACTCGAAGATTTCGACCTTTGAAAGGCTTGTCGTTCAGTGATAATGCTTTGATTATACTAACGCCTTTCTGGAAGCAAACGTAGGCGATTCCTTTTTTTGCAATCTTTCTTACATATTCAATTTTACCGATATCTGAGAAATGGTCATGAATCTCAGATTCACTGGCTTCAAATGGTAAATTTCCCACAAAAACTGTTCCTTTATTTGAAAAAGCTTCTTTTTTATTATTTGCCATGTTAACACGAAGATGGTGTTCCAGTAGTTTGAATCCATTTAATTGAATTGATTTTTTTGCGTCTTCCTCTTTCTCAAAAACAATGTAAGCAAGGAAACTCTTACATCCTTTCCTTACTTTTTTTGAAAATATTATTTGACCTGATTCTGTACGAAACCTGACACTCTTAATCGATCCATACTCGCTAAATAAATCCTTGATGCGAGTTTCATTGACGTTTGGACCATTGGGAATATTGCCACAAAACACAGTTTTCTTTTCATCTTTTTTATCATAAGCTAACTGTTTTGAATCGATGACAGTTTGCTCGTCTGTGATTGATATTTTAGTAGGAATTGGCTTTTTTTCCTTAATTCTTTCGGTAGAAATATTTTGCTGTTCACTGTCATCACTGCTTTCTCCATCATCTAATTCAGCGAGAATTTTCTCATTCACTTCACTTGCATCTTTGATTTCTTCACATTCTTCATCTGTATCTTCATCTGAAGAGCTATCATTGCTCATGTTATGATCTGATTCGGATATTGATTGAATCTTTTTATCAATATTTTTCTTTTTCGGTGAATCCTTTTTGACCTTCATTTTGTTTTAAACTTTTGCTTATTCTGTGTATTATTGTTCTCAAATAACAATAACTTATGACGATGGTTTCATTGAGAGTTCTTCAATTAAGAATTGGAAATTCAATTTGGTAAAATTTATAAACAAACACACGTTTATTGATATGTGAAGCGTCACTTCAGTTTTGAAGCAACGCTTCACTTTAAATTTAACGGAATTTTCTGCCAGACGTAAATAATCACAAAGTATAAAACATTTATTTCAAAATTTCATAATAAGCATGTCTGTCTCATTGACTGAATTTGTAAGTGCATGGAATGATGCTTTTACTTTTCAAATACGTGAATCTGAGATTAAAAACCCTACTGAACCGTTTTTTCGGCGATGTTTGATTTTACTGCTGAAAAGTTTCTATGTCGATACAACACGATATGATAACATGGATAATGAAATGGGGAATGACTTGAGATTAACACGCATTAAATTGGTTGCTGTTGTGAATCACTTTTATAAGATCGCTTATCCAGGAGCAAAACAGAACTTCGGATATATGGACATGATCCAACCCAGTAAGTTTAATTAATTTGATTGAATCTGAATTTCATCCAAAAACTATCATTTTTGCAGCTTTCAAAAAAGTTTTCAATGTACTAAATTACCTGTTGAATTATTACGTATTCGTTCGTCAAACATATGCACATACAATTCAAAGTGTCAAGGAAAAGGTGAATTTACGAGATGAGCTTCAAAGGAAGAAACATCAACTTCTGAAAAGCATCGAGGAAGAAAAGATTAAAGAGGAAAATACTGCAAAAGTCATTAATTCATTGGAAAGAAAAATTCCTCGTCAAAAAGAAAAAATCACTGAGCTTGCGTCTAAGGAACAAGATCTTCATATTCAAACAGCAAAGTCTCAAAAGGAGCTTGAAGATGTCGAAATGAAGTTGATAGAAGATGGTAGAAGCTTAGAAGAGGCACAGTCATCATTAATATCAGATTCGGAAGCTCAAGAAATTATAAAAACAAAAGAAAAAATTACTAAACAACTCGAGGAAGAAAATTTCATCACTCAAGCTGTTCGCCAAAAGCTTCATGAACATTCAAACACCATTCAGGAAATTCGTTTGATTATAGCAGAAATGGAACAAATTCAATTAACTTTCGATGTCGATGCAAGCGAAATTATCAAGAAAAAGAAGGAAGTGGAAAACTTGAAAGTAGAAATTAGCGGGTTGAGCTCAAATGTATCGAAGGATCATCAAGAGATTGATTTCCTTTCAAATTCTCTTCAAATGAAAATCTCGTCGATTGAACTCTTACAACAAAAAATTGAAGAAACAAAGAAAATTTATGCGATCAAAGAAATGGAAAAGAAAAAGAAAATCGACAAATTGTCAAAATCTTCATCATTGTTGACAAGAAAGGAAGCAAAAATTTTTGCGACAAATCAAAGATTGTATGATGAGCAGACGTTACTTAAGAAAATTACTGAGCACGTCATCAAGAAGATGTCGATAGATAAACAGAAGCGAGAAGATTAAAATTATATTCTTTTTATTTTTGATATTTTTAATTTCATCTGGTGTTAAGATTAACAACCACACTTACAAAGATTGTTTTTTGTCAATAAATTTTCTTGTTTTAAATATCAATGAGAAGGAAATTTTCTATCATAATTTTACATTTTATTGAAGCACCGTTCTGTGATAAAAACAAAAAGTTTTCATTTCCTTTTGAGAGAATACTGCAGATCTGAAGTAGATTTGTTAAGATCATTTCGTTAAATTAAAGATTGATGTAAAAAAGTTTACACTTTGAAGAGGTTGATGGAAAAAACAACAAATCCCTCTTCAATATATCAGGAAGATTACATTAAGTGTTAATTAAATACGAATAAAGGTTTTAATATTAAAACACAACAACAAAGAAGAGTTGAGAAATGTCAATTGGATGACATTCATGATAGTACAAAAAAAATCATCATGTTATATTATGATGACTTGTTATTATGCATTGTGATGTTTGTAACGTCCTTAACAATCATTGCTGCAACTTGCCATGCGATTTCTTGTTGCACAGAATCTTCTGGCAAATGTACAAATTTTCTAACAGCATTTTTAAAGCGATTTTGTGTACTGTCAAGTTCGAGTAAAGTTTGTGGATCATCAACATCGATTGATGATCTTTGAAGATGAAATAAAGATTTCGATGATGGGATTGAAGTGGAACCTGATGGCAAATCGAAATCTCTTTCATATCTTCCAAAAGCGTCAACACGACCGAAGAAAAGTCCATTAACAGAACTTTTTCTTCGCCATAGAAGATCAGGATCAGCTAATTGTCTCGAGTCAATATGCAAATCAGTCGTGTTTTTATTCTTTTTGTGATCTAATCCAGCTAAAAGTGTATTTTGCGTCGAAATACTTCTCGGAATAGTTTTTTTCTCCACTATATCTGAATTGACTCGACGGTGTCGACTTTTGGTTGGAAAGTTTAATGATAAACTAGAATTCCTTCGAATGATCCCGTTGTTGGACTTATTAACTGCATTTCCATCAATCTTATTGATCACTTCCGAAAGATGTTTGAAGAATAGCTGAGATTTCACGAATTTCTTGAAACAACAACGATCGAGATAAATTTCAACAATTTTTATTGGAAGATCAAAACATTGCGTGATTGATGAGTCGATTGTGCAAATTCCTTCCTCGACTTTTGTTCGAATTCCATTTGAGAAATTCAAAGGAGTTTTTGCTTGAAGTGAAAACCATTTTTCGTAAATCACAAGTGCATCCGATTTCAATTGTTGAATGTCAAGTTCATGATGTTGATTCTTTTGCTTCTGAAAGTTAGTTGCTGACAGCCAAAATTCGAGATAAGGAAGTTTGCAATTCTCTTTGTCTTGTTCTAGAAATTCCATGAAAAAGAACAAAGCTGATTCACTGTAGAGAATTTCACGAAGACTTAACGACTCACTTGTTAATACATCGACAGTGTACTTGGAATAAAATGAGCTTTCAAGAAAGTCAGATAAGAAATCTTTTTCCATCATATCAACAACATATTTTTGTGCATCTTCGAAAGCATCCAACAAAGTATTTTTTTCTTCATCTTTGTCTTCAGATTCTTCCGAATCACAAAGAGCTAATGACAGTTTTGAAAGATATTCCGCAGGCAATTCAACTTGATAAACAGAATCAGTTACGAGATATTTTCGATAAATCCTTAGAGCATCTTCAAGAATTGATGGTTGAAGTTTCTTCTTTTTATTAAGTTCTGTATCTCCAACACCAGCAACTTCTTCCTCCTTTTTACGATTTTTCTCACAAATTTTTGATTTCTCATCATCAGTCAGCGACTGTGTCATTCGTTCCAAATCGTCGTTGTAAACAACTTTCGAATGATCAACTTCATCAGTACAAATATTTGTGGCAGTCTCTTCAGTTTCATCGATATTGCTTTCAGTGAATGATGTTGTTGAAACTGAAATACAATCTTCTATGTCATGATTAATCTCGCAACAATCATCATTTGAATTTGACAACAAATGTTTAACTTCCGCTTTTGAATTATAATTACTGCTTCGAGATTCAAGTCGCAACAGTGGTGTATGTCCATTTTGAAGTGCCTTAAAGGCTTCCAAATCCAACCAGAATTTTACAAATGATAAAGAACTTTTTGTTTCAAGGTACTGTATGAAGAAAGATAAAGTTGTTCGGTCGTTTAAAATGTCGTTAATGTTTCTGTGAAGCCTAATTTGACTGCTAACCGACTCAGAATCTAAAAGAGTGGAAAGAAAGAAAAAATGATTAGTGAAAACAAATTAAAGTTTGCGAAAACAGTAAGCAAAGAATGATTAACGTTTCAATGACCTTGGTGTGTTGAAGCGAAGAAAAAAAAGACAACGAAGATGGAACAACAAAATAAGAAAAAGAGAATCGAATTCCGATGTGAAACATCTTCAGTGATATCATCGCATGAATATGAAATTGATTAAAATTTAATATTTAATTGCATTATTTTAGTTTTATTTTAAAGTAAGTGGGAGAGTTTTCACATCATTCATTGTCTATTGCGTTTTCGTTTGAATTCCTTTCACACTCACCTGGTTCACTATCACAAAATATATTTTCCACCTCTTCTAATGTACATGTCTTGTCGTTTGGATCATTGTCATCAGTAATCTTTTTTTTATTTTCTGTTGACATTTAAAGAAAAATGTTTATAAATTGTTAAATGACGTATAAAAAGAAATTTAACTTTCTTATTTAATGTAGCTCACCATTTTTCAGAAACTTAAACATTTTTATCACTGATTTTATATTTACATGATTGGAAAAATGTTTTTATTTATTTTCAACAATACAATTCCCTTTAATTTACTTAATAAAATGTCACAAAATACCTATAAGAATTGAGATTCAGTTTCACAAATATATCAACATAAGTCTTGTACCCACAATTCCGATCTTCGTGTCCCTTCATAAAAAAGTTTGACACCCTCAGAGTTTTGTTTACATTTTTTATAATTCAAATAAAATTTGAGACAGGATAATTTATTAACAAAAGTTGAAATGATTCGGTGTAAAAATTGTTTCGCTAGCTTCGTAACTAATCGTTTACGTCTTCAAAGAGTATTTCAGCTTAGACAGCTTTGTACTTCAAATGAGAAATCAGAAGAGCAGAAAGAAAGCGAGCAAATTAAACGTGAAAAATCACATGAACAATTTATGAAACAAGCATTAATTCTAAAAGGATCTTTTGAATATGTAGCAACAAAAGATAAAGGCAACTATCTAGAAATGATAAAAATATTTGAAAACAAAGATGTACATCGAAGGAATCACGTCGAGTTCATTTATGCCGCTCTTAAAAATATGGAAGAATTTAATGTACATAAAGATCTTCAAGTGTATAAAGCTCTTATAGATGTAATGCCTAAAGGAAAATTTATTCCTCAAAACCTTTTCCAAGCGGAATTCATGCATTATCCTAAACAACAACAATGTATGATTGATCTACTTGAACAAATGGAAGATAATGGTAAATAATTGTTTAAAAAATATTTTGAAATTCGATTTCTATTATTTTCTTTGGTCCATTAAAGGTGTGATGCCTGACTATGAAATGGAAGATATGTTGGTTAATATATTTGGTCGTCGTGGACATCCAGTAAGAAAGTTCTGGCGAATGATGGTAAATTGATTTAATTTTTGATAAAACATTTCAATCGATTTAAATTTTTTCCTTTTTTAACTAGTATTGGATGCCAAAATTTAAGAATCTTTCACCGTGGGTTGTTCCAAATCCACCACCTCAAGATGCTTTTGAATTAGCACAACTTGCAGTTGAGCGAATGTGTTCTGTAGATGTTGAATCGGTGATTAATATTTATAATACTGAGGATGTTGAGGATTCAGTCGATCATACATGGATTGTCAGTGGACAGAGTCCCGAACAGAAAGAACTTTTAACTAGACATCCAATAAAGTCAGCTGTTTATATAGAAGGGCCATTCTTAATCTGGTTAAGAGATAAATCGATTAATTATTTTATTCTTCGTGGTGATCTTCCAAGCAACAGACAACCAGTTTATGATGAAGACGAGTATGATGATGTCAGTCATATTGATGTTCCTCTGTTTGGTTTTGGAAAACCTAAGAAAAATAAGTTAATAGTCAAGCCGTCAATTCATGAACAGGTGACAAAGTTTCAAATTCAATGTTAAATTTAAAGTAATTCGTGATTTAATTTGTTAGTCTGATGGAATCATTTACGCGGTTTGTTGCACTGGAATGTCAACAAAAGATTCACTTTTATCATGGATTCGATTACTGGAGAAAGATGGAAATCCAACTATTAAAGATTTGGCAATACTTTTCAAGTTTAAATCACCAGCAGACAAGGAGCTTGTCACAACATAACAGTCAGCACGATAATAATTTTTAGGAGTAAAATAAAATTTCGTTTATTTAGTTCAAGTAAAATTTGTTTTTATTCTTCTAAAACTTTTTTAGATTTAAATATTCTGAGTGTATTGTCAGCACCGCCTGACAACATATATTTTGGGTTTGACCAGTCAACAGCCATAACTTTATCCTCATGTCCAACTAAGTCAAACAATGGCGCTTTTGGACTACGATAATCCCAAAGCTTAACTTGATTATCATAAGCTCCAGATATGAATAAAAATTCCTCTGTTTTTGACCAACAAACAGATTGCACCCACGCATTGTGACCGAAGAAAGTGCTTTTAACGATCACACCTTCTGAAAGAAAGAAAATAGATTAATTGTAATGAAAAAGTGAATTTATCACTCACGATTCGATCGCGGATCAAACAAACGAATGTTCTTGTCAGCAGAAGCAGCGACAATCATTCCATTCAGATTCGAATAGCTAGCATCAAAGAATGATTTATTTCCCGGAACTTCATTTTTGATTGCTCGCATATTTAAGTCCCAAATCTTCATTGTGTGATCCCATGAGGATGTTAACACTGTTGAGTTATCAATCCACGTGCATGATGAAACAGCTTCACGATGTCCTTCTAATGTCATTTGTGGTGTTCTGATATTGCCTTCTTCTGTTTTTGGTTTTTTATTAGATGCGACAACATCTGAGTTGTCATCTAATGTTGTTGCAGACCAAATTTTAAGGAAATTATCCCAACCACCTGAAGCTATTTGTTTACCATTTGGTGATACAGACACACATTCAACAGCACGTTCATGTCCTTTACATATGTAGATGCAATTTGCTTTGTTGCTTCCGATATTCCACTCCCAAATCATAATTGTTTGATCTTTAGAGCCGCTGGCAAAAAGTGCCATTCCAGTATCTTCGTTTACTGAGATCCATGTGACACCTTTAATTGGTGCTTCATGACCACTCAGAGTTAATTTATGATCACCTTTCATGTTCCAAACATTCACAGAATTGTCGTAAGATCCAGTCAAAATCCATTCACCATTTGCTTGAATTGCTGATACCCAATCGTCATGTAGCAAGCAATCTTGTGGCTCAGGTGCAGGAAATCTCTCGACATATTCAATCTCAACAATGTCTTCGAATGATACATCTCGATCTCTGAGATGTTTTCCTAAAGATGTCTTCAGAAATTCACTTTTAACAAGAAAATCAAATTCGATGTTTGATGCAGTAAATTCTGTATTTTCACATAGCAGTGTGTTTAGCAAATTGTTAAGTTCTTTAGATGTGACATTAGATTGAATAGAAACTGGAACATCAGGAACTGCAAACCTAATAAGAAATATTTTATTAATTGTTTAAAATAACCTAAGAATTCCTTCTCACTGTGCTTGTTTTGTTATTAAATGTATTTGAAGCTGTCCATCACTTTTCTTTTCATCATATGATGTCATTTTCCTTCTTAAAAATAGATTTATATATTTATTAACGTTTCTATCTCTTAAAGAGCAACTAAATTACAGTTTTCTAATTATCCGATGAATTTACCGAACTCAAACACGGCAAAATCTTCAAAGAATCTAAAATTGAAGCGACGCTTTAAAAAAAGTAAAGCATTGCAGTTGCAATAAACTGAATTTCTTGCTTGTCTTTCATATTTAATAATTATTAGTTTAATAGACTAAAATTACAAATAATAGGTAATATTGAAGTTAAGAAGTGTTTGAGAAATATTTTGGATTGACAAGTTACTCAATAATAACAGATTAATCGAAAATAAGATACAAAGAAATTTTCTGCACCTTGCTTAAGTCTTTCGCAAATTAATTTTGCTAATTGGGAGTTTGAACAAAGTAAAATTGTATTGGCTTTACTGTTCGAAGTCTCGAAAGTTAATTTCAATTGTCAGACAGCCGGGAAGATATTGGTATGACCAGTAAAATCTAAATCAAATATAGATTTATTTGTCTTCAAAATGGCTGATATTGGGCTCCATCTCTAATTTTGGCCACTAACAAAAATCAGTCTTTTCTTGCAATTTCTGTAAGACCCGAGCTACTTCCAAGATGTTCCTTTATTTCTTGTATATTTCTCAATCACCGTAAATATAACTTTATGTCATTAAATCATGACATGAGCTTCGATGATCCCTTCAGACTGGGAGAATTTTTTTATTTTTTTCTTTAAACTTTTTTTTCCTTTCTTCAACAATGAAGAAGAATTTTTGGATGAAATTTGAGATCAGGAAGCTTTTGAATACTTTCATGAGAAGTTATGTTAAATACATTTTGCAGCTTCCTATATTTGATTCGCTAACCATGTTATAAAAATGAAGAATTGATTATAAATCATATTTGGGTTAAGCCGCTTAATAATTTTCGACCCACTGAGAGAGTTTCAAAATATTAATTTCTTTCGCCTTCAAAGGATGAACTGTTTTGTTAATGGCCCAAATTTTAAGCAAGAACAAAAAATAAGATTCTGATTGCAAAAAAATTATAACACGAAGAATACGGAAAGAAGGCAACGAAAAATCAACAACAAGAACACTCAAAAAATGGTTGCCTGCTTTTCATGTATTTAAAGACATAAACATACGGTTGCTCCTCTCGTTTTCTGACACGGTAAGAGAATGAGAGGAGGAACTTCGTTTTATTTATTTTTTTTCATCATTTTTTTCAATACAATTTCAAAACCATTTGATAAGTTAGTAAATTTAAGGAATTTATTGTCTAACAAAGAATTCTATGCTTTGTTTACGTTTATTAATTTCAAACTTCCATTCTTTTCACCTTTTTCACTTCAGACAAAATTTTGTTTTCCTTTCGATTTGATCTCAACGGGTCGTCATTTTTTTATAATTAAGGATCACATTCACATAATTAAAGAAATGTCAACTTCTGCTGGAAGTGGCGCCGGTTCAAGTGGCGGTGGACGTCGCAACAATGGTGCCGGAAATTCTGCCGATTCAGCTCCAAAACCAGAAACCAAGGAGTCAAAAGCCAATCCAAAAATTTCAAAAGCGCTCGGCACATCAGCAAAACGAATGCAAAAAGAGTTGGCGGAAATCACACTCGATCCGCCTCCAAATTGCAGTGCTGGACCGAAAGGTGATAATTTGTACGAATGGGTGTCAACTATTTTGGGGCCACCAGGTATGAATGAAAATATTTTTAAATGAAACAAACTTTGATACCTTTTTTTGCTGTTTCAAGGTTCCGTTTATGAGGGTGGCGTCTTCTTCTTAGACATTCACTTTCCTCCAGAATATCCGTTCAAACCTCCAAAGGTGATAAAACGAATATTTAGGTTTATATTTTATTTTAATCAAATATTTTTGTCGTTTTTAGGTCCTATTTAGAACTAGAATATACCATTGCAATATAAATAGTCAAGGCGTGATTTGCTTGGATATTTTGAAGGATAATTGGTCACCTGCTTTGACAATATCAAAAGTTCTCTTATCAATTTGTTCATTGTTAACAGACTGCAATCCGGGTAGGTGTTAAAAATTGTTTAATGTTTCCTTTTTTTTAAAAAGTTTATTTTTGTTGCAGCTGATCCATTAGTTGGAAGTATCGCAACACAATATCTTCAGAATCGAGAGGAACATGATCGAATCGCGCGCCTTTGGACTAAAAGGTAACGTAAACCAAAAGATTAATAAATTCATTAAAAACATTCTTTTTATTTCGTCATTATCATTATAGATATGCTACGTGATTTCCCAGCACATATTATAATCAATCGCCAATCGAAGTTATGAGAATACGTCACTTCAACTGTAATAATATTCAAGTGAAAATATAAAAACAATGATATCAAGTCTAAAAAAATTTAAGAATAATTAATGAAAAGGATTTTTTTTTTATTTTGCTGCGACTGTCTCTATGAAGAGAACTATTAAAATCAACAAAAGCATATAAGTAATATTTACAACAATGTATTCATCCTACATAAAAATAACCATAAACTGATCTGGTCTTCGTAAGTTTTCTTCAATTAGATTTTCAATTCAATTTTCTTGATGTAAGTAAGGTGAATACATGGAAATTTAAAGTAAAAGATGATGAAGTAGAAAAAAGTCGATGAAATTCAGGAAATTTGAATTTAATATTTTTATGATGCAATTTTCCTTTTCATCAAAGCATCTAAGCGATAATTGTAACTTGACATTTCTGACTCATTTTTTTATATGAAAGAAAGTGAAGAAAAAAATTGTTTTAAGGCTGTTGTTGCTTTTCTTAATTAAACTTCACGTCTTGGTATTTATCTGTGAACAGAAAATATTCTTCAACTGATGTGTAAATATTTTTTCTTTCTTTCTTGTCCCATAATAATGAAAAATATAAAAAGATCGTTTCTCTTCTTCTTTTTATTAGTTATTAATTGTAACTTAATCTAAATGTATTTTTTAATGATGAATTAGTGACGGAAAATGATGATAAATAATTCAGAGACAGAATGAATAAGAAAAAATTTTGAACCATCTCTTAAAAAAATATGACTTGACAGGCAAGAAAAGCATAAATCGTGAAAAACTTTATTATGATGATAACCTCTAGAAAATAACAAATTTCTTTTAGTTGATAATTTTTCTTTGTTTTTTCCGAGATTTTTTCGAACTTTGAGAAAAATGATGCAAAACAGCAAAACTCCTAATTGTGGTATATAAATATACCAATTAAAATAATTGTGAGACATCATTTTCTAAGTTTTGTGAGAGCTATAAAACATTTAAAGAAGTAAAACATGAAATCAATGTGTAAACAGACTTGAAATAAAAAATAAAATGAAAATTTTGAATGATGTATGATAACATCGCTAATTATTTTTAACGGCTATGATTGATTTGAATGGCTTGTGTAAAGCGAAGCTTTGTAGTATAAAATTCTTCAATATTTTTTTCCAACATTAGAAAATTCTAAAATATTTAATTAAATAATGGCATAGATCGAATGAAAAGTGAACATTAAACATTAAAACGTTGTTTTCAACAGCAGGCATATGAAGTTAAATTGAGATATTCTATGATTTATCTTGCTTAAGAATCTTTAAAATCCACGTAATAAATTTGTTCTTATTAGAACAGAAATTAGTCTGAAAGTAGTGATTAAGTGAAATACTTATAGCTTTCATTGAAGAAACTATCAAAGTATAATCACCAGAGAGACTGTTTAATTCAATATAACAAGCTAGTTGCAAAGTCTTAGATTAACCTTAAAAGCACCCGGAAAACGACAAAGTGGAAAATGATCAATAACAGAACATATTTTAAATTCCTGCTAATATCTCTCGTAATAGCTCAAACGACAGCATATAAAGTGATTTATGCGGTGAATTGTGGTGGTGAAGAGCATATAGATTCTAATGGAATAAAATATGAAAAAGATGTTCTCAAAGTCGGAACATCGTCAGATTTTGGAAAAAATCTACCAAATATTGCTAGAGTATCTCAATCAGATGAAATTATTTATCAAACAGAACGTTATCATACATCGACATTCGGATATGAAGTTCCACTTGAAAGTGATGGCGATTACGTATTGGTTCTCAAATTTTCTGAAGTTTATTTCAATACAGTGAACGCAAAAGTCTTTGATATTGTTTTGAATGGGTAAGTTAATTAACATTTTAAAATTTGTTACTTCCTGATTCTTGATTTAAAGTAATGATAAACACTACATAGTAAATTGTGCATCATCATTTTCTATTTTTATTTAATTTAATTTTTTGCATCTTCTTTCAGTGATCACCAGATTGTGTCGGATTTAGACATTTTCGCTCAAGTCGGCAAAGGTTCAGCACATGACGAGTACATTTACTTTAGCGTGTCCCGCAATCGACTTTATTACAAAGAGGAAGAGTCTGAAATTCGTGGGGGAAAAGTTAGAATCGAATTTATCAAAGGCTACAGAGACAATCCAAAAGTTAATGGAATTGTACTGATCAAAGGAACGGACGTTAATAATATTCCTAAATTGCCACCACTTACAACAGAAGCTCCTGAAATACCTGATACATTTGAGATGCCAATTGAAGAAGAGAAGCCGGTGATTTCGAAACCTCGTAAGACAAGCGGCCCTAAAACACAAAATCCATATTCAACGATGGATGATCAACTAATGATAAGCATTTTCGTAGGTATCGTTCTTTTTATCCCGCTCCTGTTCTGCCTCTGTCGACTCTGATTCATTAACATATTCAATGTGATGAACTTTTGTTATATCTTATGTAGTCTTAAACGTCCCTTGTTTGTGCACCTCTGCAATGGTCTCGATTGATATTAGATATAAAAACAAACATATTTAAATTTTTAAGATTCACAAGCTTTACTTTTAATGACTTTTATAAAGTGTCTAATATTTTTCTTTCCCTTTGAATTGAATTTGTGAATCGTTCTTATTGTACTTAAACTCCTAAAACGTGTAACATGAACTTAGCGGTGAGGGGAAAGTTGAGTGATATCAAAAATTAGCTGCATGGTGTACAAGATGAAAAACGATGATTTTAATTTACGATTCAACAAATTTAATTATTAAATTGTCCTTTTTTCCAATAAAGAATGACTCGTTTTAACATTTTATTCGTTTTTCCTACATCAACTTTATGATAACAACAAATTAATATTTTCGTGCAATAAACCAAATAATGTACAAGGCCTCATGTAATTTAACTAAGTTCCATGATGATATTTTTTCCCTTCTTTATTTATTGCTGACTAATGATTTTCGAAATGTAACTTCTTGTGTTTTCTTTGAGAGCCCGCCAAGTAAATTAAAAGAACAAAAAAATGTTTCAGTTGCTTAAAGAACAGTTAAAATGGAAAAGTAATTTCAAAGAATTCCTTAAAATTGTTCCAAAACTAATCATAATTTAACTCGATCATTTGATGTGATAGCATCGCATGATTGAATGGTTTTTTTTTCTATTTCAATTTATTATATTTTTTTTATTTAAAAACTTTCATTCCCTTGTTGATTATTATTACAATTATTCAATTAATGAAGTTTTGGGAAGGGATTTTTATTGAAAGAAATTTTAAGAAGAGCGAAGAAAAGACATTTCATTATAATTATTTTTTTTTTTGTTATCTGCAAATCATGTTTTCATTTTCGGTTTGGTTTCTCGGACTGAATAATTTATTTTGTTAAGATTTAGAATCTTTGATTTATTTTAAGCTAATTCAATTACGAATAAAATTAGTGATTAAGAAATTCCTTGCACAAAGATATGATTATGAAAATTTTGGTTCTGGTTCATTTTTAGCTATTAAACATTTTTAATGTTAGTTTTTGAAGAGCAAAATTCATTAAGCAAATATGTTTTAAAATGATATCGAGAAATGGGCGTTTCAACGATATCAGAATAAAAAATAAAATTAACCAAGTCATGGTTCTATTTGGATAATATGAAAATATGAAATAAAAATTGATATCGGAGAAGAAGAGAAAGAAATGAAAAACAATTTGGAATTTTTTAATTCGAAATCTTAATTTGATTTTTATTACAGTTTCATGATTAGTCTCATAAATGTAATTTCTTCTTTGATGTACTTGTCAATTGTGGTTGATTTTTCCATCATAGTCGGACGAAATCATGGTCAGTTTTTTCCAGCCTTGAATGATGAGAATAAATTGAACAGACGACGTCTAAAGAAGCAACGAAATTGAGTTAAAATCATGAGAAGAATGAAACGAAAGAATTTTATTATCATTGCATTATTCTTACAATCCCGGGACGCCACGTCTTGATCGCGGCTTTTGGCGACAGCGAGCACCGTCTCTGTATTCCCCACGATTACAGATTCTCACTGTTGGATGTTCAATGTCATGAACTTTAACACTTTTAATCTGTCCATGTTCGTCAATTATTTGTACTGATGGTCGTTTATGGAAACGTTGTGATGATGCAACAACTTGACGACGATTTGATGGAGATTTTTGCTGTGTTCGGAAATATTGCACTTCAACGGGAATTTCTTCGTATTCAATTGTTGTTTCTTTTACAGGCTTGGTGTCGTCATTAGAAGCCGGGTTTTCCTTCTCAGCTTCACTTTCAGATTCTGGTTTGTTAACTGCTTCTTCTGTAATTGTCACTTTTTCAGTTGTTGATGCTAATAAAGATTCTGATGATGTTTCTGGAGCCTTTTCTGTCGATGCTTTTGTTGTTAAAGGTTTAGCGGTTGTCGGCTTTGATCCAAGAAAGGCAAAAACTGGATTAACAGTTAGATGTGATGAATCGTAGTCTGTATCTGTGCTTCCGAAGAGATCAATGTCAGCATAATCATCATACTCAGGATAATCTCCACCAATTGAAGCAAGAGAATCACTTAAGCTAAAGAATTGCACATCTTTTATGTTAACATGTACATTGTATTTCCCAGTTTGTCTCTGATCATATGTCGTTAGACCAGCTGTTCGCTTATTATCGTCAGTGCTGTTAGTTTCGACAACAGGATTTGCATAGCTGACCATTAACAGCGAAAATAAAATGAAATATTTTCTTAACATTTTTAACTGGTGTCTTAAAAATTTCAACGCGATTTCTTGGAAAAAAAGCAAAATAACGGAATGTTGTCGTAAACTTTTTTCTCGCTTCTGTGCCAAGGGAATAAAAGAATAAAAATAATAAAAAAGAATTTCATTAAACTTTGTTGCAAATTATTTTTTCAGGAGAGAATTAATTATCTTGATGATAATCTTATGACAATTATTCTTGTGCCCAAAAGTTCTTCACGAAGGAAGAGGTGATTTCAATTCTCAGATTTCGTATGAAATCCGTTGACGACACATTTTGCAAGCAAATTTAATTTTGCAAGCATTAAACGAAACTAATTTTACTCCCGCGACCTACCTCAATTTCACTCAATCTTCAATAACGTTTTTATTTTTTTCTTCACTATGTTATTCTTTTACGGCTTTTAGTTTCTTTTTCGCAAATATTCTGACTGATTTGGGATTTAAAAATCTTTTACGTCTTAACTTGTTGAATTCGAAAGAATGAATGAAGATGGTAAAGTGAAAGAACATTGAAAGAAAAAGTCCCGGCCATCGCCTGCGGGTCAATGAGGAAAGAAGAGAAAGAAAAACTAGAACTATTTCAAGATATAAATGTATCGAGAGGTTCAAATACCTTTTCTATACTCTTAGATATCTTAAATGATGATAAGTTATTGAGAAAACGTGACTGCATGATTTTTATTGGCTCTTATAACTGGAAAAGATCTGTAAACATATTAAGTAATTTTCTAACAAACATAAATAAGAAGCTGGTCAATATATTATTAATATTTATTATTACAAAATATAATCTCTCATTTTTTTTAATTTATTAATCTGAAATTATTAGGTACCAATTCTATTTTTCACTCTCAAAATTCTATGTAAAATATGTAATAAAAATTTTAACGGTTTTTAACATGAAAATTTCAAAAGTGAGTCGTCGCTTCTTTATAAATATTTGTTTATCATCCAGTAATTTTTGATATTTACATCAAAGTTAGTATTTTATTAATATAGAGACACACCACATTCCGCAGCATGACAGATACATCTAAATTAAATGATGAGATAACTGAAAGTCAACAGAATGCGAATAAAATTAGGTAAACTTATTATCAACATTATATATAATTTTTATTATTAATCTAAATATCATTCCAGATGTCAGTTCTGTAATTCTCTAATTTTAACACCGAACAATGCTAAATTCATAGAAAAAGAGGTAACTTAAAAATTAAAATATGTTTTGTGAATCGAATAACATCGAAATACTTTCAGTTTTCACTTCCGTTAATGCATCAAAAACATTCAAGAAATCTTGACGAGCTTGAAACGGAAGTTTTCAAAGATTTTTGGGTTGTTGACGACATGTTTACATTTGAAAATATTGGATTTTCAAACACAGTTGGAGACTATAAGTATCTCATCTGTGCAGATTGTGATATGGGCCCAGTAGGCTATCACATCCTATCAACGAAAAAAAATTATATCGCGTTAGTTCGAGTGAAACATGAGAAATAATTTTGTAAATTATCATCATAATAATAAAGAAAAATTTAACTATAATAAAATCAATTACATTAAAATATATTGGACTTTTGTTCTTCTAACATCTTATGCAGATAAGATGTGTCATCTTTTGCTAAATTCCAGAATTCGCCGCTTTCAACAAGCTCACCATCACTGATGACGAGAATTCGATCAGTGTTTTGAAGTCCATTCAGTCTGTGGGCAATAATTAGAACTGTTGATGTCTTAAAAGCATTCCGAAGAGCGATTTGAATAGCTAGTTCCGATTCATTATCCAAGTTTGACGTTCCTTCGTCGATTAAAACAATCTATGAAAATTAGCAATAAAATTTAGTTAAAAACTCAAATTTCAGAGAGAACTTAATAATAAATGAAAACTTACTTTGGCACTTTTCAATAAAGCTCTTGTAAGGCACAGCAACTGTTTTTGACCCGAGGATAAGTTTGATCCGCCAGATTCAATTCGACCTGAAAGTCCACCAAGAGAACTCACAAGCGGTGATGTCAAACAATGTGTTATGGCATTCCAAATCTCTGAATCAAGATGCAGTGATCGGGGATCTAAATTATCTCGAACTGATCCCGAGAATAGAAATGGCTCTTGTGGAACAATTGCAATTCGATTTCTCAACACACTCAATGGCAAAGTGTCAATGTTGACATTGTCGATAACAATTTCACCACGAGTTGCATCAGACACTCTCAACAATGCATTTATGATTGAACTCTTTCCAGCTCCTGTTCGTCCAACAATTCCCACACGTTCATATGATGACGTTTCGAATGAAATTCCATTCAATGCTGGTATCAAATGCTCGCGATAGCTCATGAAAACATTTTTAAATTTAATGACACCTTGATGTGGCCATGAGAATGGTGGATCTGACGATCCATCAGCATTTGGTTCTTCTGGTAACTTTAAGTATTCGCTAACACGTTCAACCGCAATCATTTCTTGTTCGGTCTCTGAGAATGCGCTGAGAACGCCGCTGAGCAAACCACTGATCGAAAGTGCATAAGAAATCGCTAATCCAACCATTCCAGGCGATGTTGTATGTGCTGAAGTCATTGCAGTTAAAACACCAGCACCACCAACGACAACAGCGCCAAGAAGTTGAAGTCGGATTTGAAGCCAACAAGAAGCAGCTGAAGCAGTGACTTGAGCTCGTATGCTCTCTTCAAGTTTCACCGTGAAATCTTGTTGAAATCTTCTTGTTGCTCGCATTGCACGAATCGTTGTCAGCCCTTGCAATGTCTCAGTGAAATGAATGTAAAGTGGTGACAACGCATTCGAACTCAATCGTTTAATATCCCGCGATGAATTTCGATACTTTGATTGAATGTCAAGATAAATCGGACAAAGTGGCGCTATAATAAGTCCAAGCCATGGCAAAGCGTATAAACTCACACAGATCGAACCGAGAAGTCCGAAAACTTGTGCCAGAAGAATATTGAGAATGAATGGAAGTGAATCGTCAATTGTGTATGTGTCAGATGAAAATCGATTCAAAATTCGTCCTAACGGAACGACATCAAAGAATTGAAGTTTGGTTTGAAAAACTTTCATCAAAAGACGTTCGTGAATTGATTTCGCTGCTTTGATGCCAGCATAAGCGAAAAGAAATGATCGAATAAGTGTGATGAATGAATTAGTGACAGCAAAAGTTGTGAAAGTTTGAAGGTAAACTGAATTTGTCTTGTTTGTGTGATTTCCATCACTGACACTGACCCAATGAGCCAACCAACCGTCAGTTAAATTTCTTGAAGCTTGCATCAAAAGAACACTGAGAAGAACGACAAATCCGAGGAATCTTCCCATGGATTTCCAGTAACATCCAACAACGTTCGACGATAAATTTCCTTGTTTCTTCCCTTCATCCATCAAACAACTGTCAATCGATCGATTATCACAATCAAGTTGCGTGGGTGTTTGTCGTAATACCGATGAATAATTCATTTGATCCATTTCGTCATCTGTGTAGTAATCATCGTCATCATTTATCAAATCAAGACACGAAACAATTCCATTTTCAACGTGAATGATTTGACTCGCACGATCCAACAAACTTTTATTCTGACTCACAATGATTCGCGTCTTCTTCGATAACAATCCAAAGATGCAATGTTTGACGATGTAAGCAGCAACATGAGCGTCTAGTGCTGACAAGAAGTCATCAAGAATGTAAATTTTCTTGTCTTGATACAAAGCTCGAGCAAGTGTGCATCTCAATTTTTGACCACCGGAAAGTGTTTTTCCATTTTCGCCAATTCCAACATGATCGCCACCAAGCTTTTCAATTTCTTCACGTAAAGCACAACAATTAATGATCGAATGATAACGCGACTCATCATAAATTGCGCCCCAACAAATATTCTCCCGAATTGTTCCACGTTGAAGCCATGGAACTTGAGAAACATACGCGAAACCAGAATTCTTATCATTCAATGCAACAACTCCTTGCGTTCTTTTCATGTTGCCGAGCAATGCATTTAGTAAAGCTGTTTTTCCACCTCCAACTGAACCTTCAATGCAAACTAAATCTCCGCTATGAACTTCGATGTTAACATTTTCCAGTTTGAAATCTTCAACTGTTAAATTTTCCGATGTTTTATCACGATCTTGATCAAATCGAAATGAACCATTTTTGACGGATAAAACAATTGGACTTTCGCTTGATTTTGACGTGAAGTTTGATAAAACTGGAGAATAATAAGCTGACAAATTTATGTCATCAAGATTGATTAACTCTTGGACACGTTTCAATGACACATAAGCCTCCATTAAGCCATTGAGAATCCACGGGAAGGAATTCAAAGGTCCAATAAGAAGATTCAAAAGTGCAACTGAAGTGTAAGTTGTTGACGCTGTTAATTGTTGACCCATTAAAACTAATCCACCGAATGTTAGAAGACACATCAAGACTGGTGTTGTTGCCCAAAAGTAAACGCACCTAATTTAAATGCAACAATTTATTAACAACAACTTAATGATGACTAATGAAAATTACTCACCATGCGTCGAGATATTTTCTCTTTGATAAGAAAACGAGTTCATTTTGTCTCAAATCTTCAATCTTTTCAGTGAATAAATCTTCAAGCGATTGCATTTTAATTTGTTTGGCGCCTGTTAATGCTTCAGTTGTTAATTGAACTCGTTTGTCTTTTGCAGTCATGAGATGTGCTGACAGTTTTCCTATCTTTTGAGCGATATATCGATTGATTGGAATCAGAAGAACAGCAAAAATCACACCAGAAACGAAGCCAACACCAAGTTGAGTGTAAAGAAGGTAAAGTGTCGTGAATAATTGAAATGGAATACTCCAAAAGCTGTGAAAGGAAATACAAGAATTGACGATCCGATCTGTGTCAGTTGACATCAAGTTGAGAATTTCTGGCTTTGCTTCGTGAAGTCCTTTTGCTTCCAATCCTTTCATATAAATTGTGGAGACCAAAGCACTTCTCATTTTCATTGAAACCATTGAAATCTTCCAATTGAAGTGAACACCAGCGATTGCCGAGAGCAATGTTGTGAAGAATAATCCAGCAGCATAATAATAAGCCTTTCCATTGTCATCATTTTCAGTCCCATCATCAGTTCCAACACGTAACAAACCACCAAGTAACAGAGGACCAGCAAAGTTTGAGATATCTGATAACAGTCTTAAAATTCCTATTGAATAAAATTCAACTCCGAAAGATCGATGAAGAGCTTTGAATAATGATTTACTGACATCGAGACTTCTTTTCAGTTTCTCGAAGAGTTTTTTTATGTTTAAAAATTCTGGCAAGTCGAACAAATCTTCATTTCTTCTTAACTTTCCAAGAACACCTTTCTTAATGAGTGGATTCACCCAATGAAAATTAAGTTTACTGAAGAAGTTAAAGCCATCGTAAGCAGATCCAAGAATCCAAGCTTCTTCACCGCCGTCAACTGACAAACGATGATAAGTGTTGATATGAACATCGCGTTCTCTTTCAGCTTCATTAATTATTCTTTCTGATTTTCCATTCATTATCAATGTGAAACCATAAAGAATATTTAAGATCATGCTTGATAAACTATAAGGCCAATAGTAAAAGTTCAAACTCGTTTGAAACCAAAGAATTGATAGCGACAACGATCCCGACCATAAAACGAGAAGAATTAAAGGTCCACGATGACTTAAATTTCCATATTTCTTGTAACCAGTTATCAAAGCTAGGAAATAAATGATAAAAGTGAAACTCAGGTAAATTTTTTGATACTTTTTTCATTAATTTTTATAACTTTCTTACCAAAGTGAACAGTCCAAGCTAGAAACTGTACACACGTCAGTAAAATATCAACAGGCCAGATTTTGACTTTGTCCATGCTATTTAAAATTTGAATTACTGGAACCACAGCTAAAGCAAGAGCAATTAATGCTCTTAAATTTAGACAAATCATTTGAGTTCTGTTCCTGTACATTTCTGTTGATAATTTCCCATAATGAAAAGCTGAGAAAATTGAAAGCCAAGCGTATGTTGGTAGTTGAATATGAATTTGTTGAAAACATGGCGCTATGGAACTTATATTTGATGTGATATTTAAGCCTGTCTCGCAGAACTCTTCCCAGTTCCAAGTAAATCCTTCATTATTCATTTTCACTTATTTTTGTTTTATCTTTTATGATTCATAGGAATATTTTTTTAATGTTTATGGTTTACAAATTTAATTTACAAATATTCCATATTAAAATCTTAAATTCTTACAGTGATAAATCAATTGATAATTATTATAAATTTCACTACTTCTTGTCGCTTTTAATATTTTTATAAAACTGAGAAAATCTGCCGAAATTGTATGTAAACAAAGAATGATGAATGCGTTGCTTCAAAACACTAAATGAAGTATTGCTTTCAAATAACAAATGAAGCGTCGCTTCATTAAAGAAGCGAAACAGTAAGTAAAGCAACGCTTCACTGTTTACATTGTAAACAAAGTTTTTAAAATATCTACCTAGAAAATTATCCATAAACTTCTCAACTGCCTGTCTAATTTAAGTGTATTAAATAACTATATCAGCTAATTTTCAAATTAAAATAATATCTATACAAAACATGGCCAATTTCTCCTATGGAATATTAACCGGTAAAAAATCTTTTCCCTTTTGTACTTAGTTATTTGATAACATGAATGAGTCATCACATTTCATCTTTGCTTCATAAAGTATCAGATACATGTCACCTTGGAACAGCACAAGATGAATCAGGACCAACTTTGAAAATGCTTCTTCAACGATCATATAATGCAATGAAAGTTACTCAATCAACTGTGCCTGACGAAAGAAATGAGATTGAAAAAATGCTTTTATATTATGCTGATGATTTGAAACTTCACTGTGTGCTAACAACAGGTGGAACAGGCTTTTCGCCTCGCGACATTACACCAGAAGCTACTAAGAGCGTCATTCAACGAGAATGTCCACAATTGGCTTTAGCAATGGCTTTGGAAAGTCTGAAGAAAACTTATTTTGCAGCACTCTCACGGTAGTTTACCATCTTTATAAAGAAGATAAAAAGAAGAACATAAAATACTTTCTTATCATATAAATTCCAGTGCAATTTGTGGAATTCGCAATGGAACATTGATTATAAACCTTCCTGGAAGTAAGAAAGCTGTTGTTGAATGTTTCAATGCGATTGAATCTATCATTCCACATGCTATCGAGCTGATAAGAGATATGAAAGGGAAAACTATTGTAACGCATGAAAATCTTCAAAGAGATTTTTCCTTTTCCGTGTCATCAAAAAGTGAAGACGATAAGGTTGATTCGGCTGTTTTTGTTGACAGTATTAGAACAACAGAAATATCTGATCAATCATCAGAAAGTTCATTTATTAAGGTAGTTTCAATTTTATTCTTTTAAAACTTCTTTTGATAAAATTAATTTAGGCGCTGTCAGTACAAACAGACAACTTTCAAAGACAATCATCAGAGATCGATCAGAAGTCAATTAAAGTTGAAGACGATAGAAAAGAATTCTCTAAACAGTCTTCTAAGTCTGATAGCAAAGACATTACACATCTTTTGAACATGTCATCATCAACAATGAATGAGGTGAGTTGAAAATAAATTTAAACTTTTATAATCACTTATTTTTTTTATTCTTTCCCTTTAGATTATTCTTGACGATGAGATTTTGAAAGTTCCTACGAGAAAAAAGAGCAAAGCAGAAAAAGGGGAAGAAAGAACCAAAGTGGAGTCATCGAATCATGTTTGTCCACATAAAACAGCAGTAATTGGTGACGAAAATGATCGTAATTCGCCTTTTCCTATGTTGAACGTATCAGATGCATTGGAAAAAGTTTTCTCAACAGTTAAACGAATTTCTGACCCGGAAGTTTTGAATAGTCCAATGAATTGTCCACCTTTTCGTGCAAGCATCAAAGACGGTTATGCGATAAAGTCAACATCGTCATCAAAATATCGGAAAGTTATTGGATTCATTGCAGCAGGTGAAAAAATTGTTAAAAAGGATTTTGCTGGTGATGAATGCTTCAAAATTAATACCGGAGCTGCTATCCCCGCATTTGCTGATTCAGTTGTTCAAATTGAAGACACAAAATTAATTAAAGAGAAATCAGATGGAAGTGAAGAGGAAATTGAGCTGTTGACAATTCCTAAAGCCAAATGCGATATTCGCGAAATTGGCGTTGACTTGTTGAAAGGTGAAACTTTATTTACAACAAATGGATTGATGGATGTTCCTGAAAAGACAATTCTCGCTTCTGTTGGGATTCAAAAAGCACAGAAAACACCGAGAATTGCTGTGATTTCTACAGGTGATGAACTCGTTGATCCAAATGAAGGTGAATTGAATGAGGGACAAATTTACGATTCAAACTCGACAATGCTTAAATTGTTGCTTCAAAAGCATGGATTTGAAGTTAAAACAATGAAAATCGCAAAAGATGATTACAAATCATTGAAAACTTGCGTCGTAAGTTCGATGAAAGAATGTGACGTGATTATCAGCAGTGGCGGTGTGTCAATGGGTGACAAAGATTTCGTTAAGCCTTTAATGAAAGAACTTGGCTTCGAAATTCATTTCGGTCGCGTCAATATGAAACCAGGAAAGCCAATGACATTTGCATCAAATGGCGATGGAAAGTCTTACTTTGCTTTACCTGGAAATCCCGTCTCTGCTTATGTGACATTCCACATTTTTGTACTGCCTGCCTTGCGTTTCATGTGCGGTTTTCCTAAGACTAAATGCCAACTTCCAACAATCAATGCCATTCTTCAGAAAGACAAATACACGCTCGATCCTCGACCTGAATATGCTCGAGCGAAGATTTCTTTCGATGTCAACAAGGGATTGTATTACGCACATATGCCCGACAATCAAATGAGTAGTCGATTAGCAAGTTTAATTGATGCTGATGTGTTGCTGCATTTGCCAGCAGCAACCACAAAAATTCCATCAGTTAATCGTGGATTTAAAGTTAAAGCTTCAATTTTAAATCTTCATTTCATATCTGACTATCAAGGATAGGAAAAAATTGTAGAAATAGAACAAAAAATTGCTGGCTAGAAATTGTACTGATAAATTCTTAAATAAGCTAAAAAGAATCAAAAACAAATTTTTTATAATTTCTTAACAATAAAGCAAACTTTAATAAAAATAAACTTAAAAATTGCCTTAAATACAAATTGAAATTCATTAAATGATAACAGAATTGATGAAAAGGTGATCAGTCCTTGCAAAGTATTCCATCACAGCTTTCAATTGATTTCTTCCCCTGACTTTATTGAAGGTTTTTTAATTTCTGGCAAAACTCTATCAACAGAACATTCTCGAATTATAGAAAGTTCACGTTTTAATTCTACATGTTCGTTTAAAATTTTGTCAATTTTATTGCTGAGAGCTGAATATTCATGAGATGCGTTTGATGGTGATTGTTGCGTATTTGAAGTTTCATACACATTCGTATTGCGCACAGTGTTGAACATTCCTTGAATGAAATGTTTAATGACATCTTTTACTACAAATAGCAAGAAAACTGCCAGCACAACTCCACCAACAACCCAAATTAAAATCCTTGTTATGACATTCGACGACGATGATGCATTTGTAAAAATATCGAAAAATTGACCAAATATTGATGAGAAGTAACTCATTTGAATTTTTCCTATCCATTTGGAGAAGACTTCTAAAGGATCACAATATTTTTTTGATGTTTTAAGTGTTTTTCGCATATGTTCTAAACATTTGTTTTCAGAACTTCCAAAAAGAGTGACACGAAGAGATGAGAAGAAGTTTTCACGTTCTCCATGATAATCTTTGCATGGATTATTTCCTGATTTTTCTTTTGATAGTTTAACCAACTCTTCAACTTCAAGATCATTGAGGCAGTCAAAATAACTCATCGAAAAACTACAAGCGCAGATGGCTAAGAAGAGAAATAAAATACGAGCTGAAAACGTCAACTTTGATGAAGAATAATAGACTCGGTTTAATGCAAAAACAATAATCAGTAAAGAAACCAGCAGCATAATCGAAGATGTCATCGATGGCAATGATTCAATGAATTGATGGCTGTAATGCTCGATAATTATCTGCGCTACTGGCAAATCGTAATTTTCAACACTTTGTTCAAACACTTCTGCAATGATATCATCAATTTCATTTAAATTTAGTCCATCACAACCCATTTTCACAATCATTTCATATTGCTCGTCGGTGATTTTCAGAGGAACATTTGCGTTGTAGAATTTTGAGTTTGAATTTGATTTCTCAAATCTTTTTGGTGCAAATATATATTTAACAATTCGTCGGTAATATGAATCACAATCTAATGATTTCTTTTCTTTCCCTTTTTCCTCTACAGGTTTAAGCTCATACTTAAGATCACCTAAATCTATTTCGTAAGGGTGTTTATTGTATTTTGATTTCACTTGTGATGCTGCTAAATGCGATGACAATAAAATTGTTATAAAAATGTCTGAAATATAATCATTCTTAGTATCATTATGAAAAACAACAAACAATGTGAACTTACAAAACTTCATTTTGCTTAACTTTTTTTTCTTAGTTTGCTAATTTCACTTTTAAAATATTACGATTTTATTTACGTTCTTGTATGTAAACAAATATCAGGCAACACTAAATTTTCACCGGATTCTAATAAGATTCAAAATCAGAAGCGAAGCTTCATTCATCAAAACCTTTCTAAAGCGAATTTTTTCTTAATTTCACAATCGTAAACAAAACATTAAAAAGCAACTCAAAACCTTTTTGAAAATACTTATTCATTTAAAATGATTCTTGATCAGAAGCTTGAATTAATGGATGACGACCAGAATCCAACAGAATCATTAAATCTAGAAGAACTCAAAGAAGCCCTGCTTACTCATATTTGTACAGAAAACAAAGCATTTTTTAAAAGTCAACAGAGAGACGAAGCAGAATTAAATTATAATGATAGAAAGGAAATTGCCTCTTCAATTTTAGAGACATCCCATTCAAAGTTTCTCCAAAGATTCGGCATGAACTTAAAGAAAGAGCATTTAAAGTTCTTCGAATCACAATCTTATATGAATGAAAACGAGAAATGTAAAGTCACCGAAAGTGTGAAACATATTTGTTGGAATCTCGAGCATCACACAACAATTATCAGAAATCGAAGATATGCAGCGTTGTTGAAACTCATAAGAGATAAAAAGTATTTCAGTGAAAATGAAATGAGAAGTCGAGATCCACTTTTATATGAACAATTGATTGGGCAATATCAATCGCCGGCTGAGAAACGAGCTAATCGAAGACCAGATGCTAAAACTGATACACTTGTTGATGTTCTTCTTGAAGGAATTGATTACGATTTAAACAAAGAAATGGAGAAGAAACAAAGAAATGAAGAAGAAATCATGCAACAGAATGAAGACAGTCAAACATCAGTAGAAAGTATGAAATTCAACAGTGATGATAATGACGATGCCGACGATGATGATGATCATACACATTGGGGAAATTTTGAAAATGTTCAGCAATCTAGCACAGCAACATCAGGAATGAAAGCAAAGAAACGACCAGCACATTTGATTACCGCAGGAGAAAGAGATTTACTAAGAGAAGAATTTCTGGGCATCATGTACAGCAATTTTTTGTCGGGTAAAGATTCAGAATTCTTTGATTATGATACTGTTGATAAGAATGAAGAATATGATGATACGTTGGAAGTCGAACAAGATTTTGAAGATAAATATTTTGAAGGTGATGATTCAAATGACTCGTCAATTGCAGATGAAAATCAAGAAATCAATGAAGAATCTGAGGATGAACTCGACATTTACATGAAACATTTAGAAAATAATTTAAAGCGAGAAGAAAATGAAAAGTTTCACGAGGAATTCGATGAATAAATTATTTATTTATTTCAATAAAATTATTCATTCTACAATTAGTCTTTTGTTTCCTTGTTCATACTTATGTTGTTGAGATCAAATGTCTTATAATTATTATTGTTATTATTAAAAAATATTTAAGTTTTACGAAGAACATTTTTAAAACAAATTTGCATTGCCATTCGATTCTTATGCTTGAATTAAGTTTAAAAAAGTTCATTAAATGAAATTTGTACGTTTTTTTTTTGATATTTCTTTACCTTAACAATACTTATTTAGTTTCAATTGCCAAAGACTTGGAAATGATTTAAGTTTTTATAAATTATTTAAAAATTGCAGGGAAAGAAATTTAAGAAATCATTTTGTTTGTTTTTCAATTGATTTTTAAGCGTAACGAGCTAATGCAGATTCAACTCCTCGTACAAATCCCCAAACGATGCTTTTTAATTTTGTGTCCATATTTTGTGATGAATTGAAATGAATTATGGCTTTAGCATATTCAGCTAACATTTTAACATGAATGAAAACATCACAGATTGACTTCCAGTTTCCTTTTTGGATGTTATCAATAATTTGTGTCAATGAAATTTCATTGTCGCCATGAATCAAGTTTGGAATGTTGGGAAAGTTCAAAGCTTCTGATGGTCCCAAGAATGACAACGATTCAGGCATTGACATTATTTGATTCATCAAGCAAATGACTGTTTCAGCTCCATTTTCACCGAATTGCATTTTTAAAGCTTCGAAGTTAAATGTTGAACTCTTTTTAACTTCTTTATTGCCTTCTTCGGAATTCAAAAGTTGAAATCCTTCCATTCCAACAGCAGAGAGTTCTTCAACACCAAAATTGCGGAATTGATCGCTTAAATTCATTCGCATGCGCTCACATGTTGGCGTTGATTCTTGTACGCCACGCTTATACAAAGGTTTTGGTTGACCTTTTCGTTCAAACGCTTCGTTGTCTGAAATGATGTCGTCGAATAACAATTTCAATGAATTCAAATTATTTGAAGTGTCTGGTGAGAGTGAAGTTGATGTTGACCCTTCAGGTGACGAGACAGGCCGATAAACAGCTGACTTCAAATATCCACCACTCAATTGAATCTTTTCGGAATTTTCAGCAATCATCGGATCGAAAATTGACTGAAATGGATCGCATTTCATTTTTGAATTGGCGAAATTTGTTGGTGCTGAACTGTTCTCCTTGTTCAATTTTCGGTTTCCATTTTTCAAGTCCTTGTTATGCAAATTTTCGAATGAGTTGACTAAAGTTTTTGCCAGTTTTCCGGTTACTTCTTGCCATTCCAGGAATGCTTCTCGAAAGTTGGGATCGAGAGTGTCCTGGACACATTGCATGCCTTCAGATTTACTGTAATAGTAATCACGTAAAATCACCCAGGCATTCATTATACGATTGAAGACGAAAATGTAATCTTTGATTGCCCAAGTAATGCCATGAGAATTAATGTTGACGACAGCTTTATTAGTAACACTAAGATCTTGGGAAAGCCGGTCACACAACAAATCAATCTTCTTGAAAAAAGGACGCTTTGAGTGGTATGCAAAGAGTTTGGTTGCTTTGTCACATCCAATAACTGCAATGTCCTGAACATCACAAAGAGATTTTGTTTCAGGATTTGTTCTTGATGGTGTTTGAAAGTTTCGAATGTTTGAAGCGTCATCACTAAGTAAGGAATTTAAAACGAAAGTATTAATTATCTAATGATTTAAAAATGTTTAAATCTACTTACTGCTTGCTAGCATTGTATAAAGAGTTGCAAGCTTCGGCTTGATTCTTTACAGGAGTTTTCACTGGAAATAATTTTCTATATAAAAAATCATATTAAATGCTGATAAGTTCAAATACTTACATTCAACTTGCTGTTGTTCGTTAAGTTTTTGATAAAGTGGATAAGCTTTGGAACTTGTTTCATAAACTTGAGGTGAAAGGAACTTAAACCTAAATGAGGAAATTATAAAAACAATTAGAATAAGAAAAATTATCGGAAGATTTGTTATACGTACTGATTTTGTTCGTTTTGATATGATGAACTTTGAAAATGATTAACGTTATGCGATACTGTAATAAAAAATGTTTCGGAAATATTTAGCTAATAATTTAAGTTTCGCTGGATGATGATGAATAACGTGTTCAACATAACCTCAAAACTCAAAATTAAGATTTACCTGAACCTGAACTTATCAAATTTTTTGGGGTTGGAGGTTTCACCAAGAAATTATTAATTCCTATAATACAAAAATAAGTAATGAAAGTTTTATTTCGTTTCAATAAGGATTACCGTTCTGAGCCATATTTGAAATTTGAAGCAAACTGTTATTTCTTCGCTTTTCTTTTTTAATTTTTCAGAAGAATTACGAAAACCATCCAAATATTACTTTTACTCTTGTTTACTTTTAATGTAGCTTCTTAAAAATAACTTTACGATTGATTTATTTATTTAAAACCTTAGAAATATAAGAAAAGCACTTGTCGCTCAGGTTCATAACGATTATGATGACGAAATTCTGAGAAACTTCGACTGGTTTCGGAGAATTGTGTAACTTTTTCGGAGAATTTTGAATCTTTAACGGAGAATTTATAAAACAAAATGAAAATTAGTAGAGAATCTTCCGATGTTTCTTTATATAAAAATAAATTAATGAATTTGCTTAGATATATTGCTTCAGATACCTTCCAAACTATTTTATTTAAAAGTAGATATATATTGCGATATTTTATTGTTATACAAAAGATTATTTTCTACACATTCGTCATACGGTAAGCTGAGATAAATTCACCTACTATATAAATCAGAACTTAAAGTAACAACATCCGGTATAAACTTAATTTTTGATATATTCACGACGCTTGTAAATCTGAGAAAAACTTTAAAGTCTGAGAAGTGTATTCAATTTTCAGTTTATTGCTCTTTTTTCTAGTTATTTATAATTTCATAAGAAACACCTCATTTTGTGCAACATAATTAACCCAAGTGATCAGTTTCATCCTTTTCGTTAGAATGAATCGAATTATTTATGTTTCCAACAAATTTTGAATGATATATTTACATATTTTATAAAACTCAGTATAAAAAGTTTTTAACAACTACATAACTCACCACATTTAATGATTCTTTGCACGTTATTACTGAAATTCGGTTATTCATTGTCACAATTGTTTTTCAAATAGAAGCAAAAAATATTCCAACTGATTGGTAAAGGAGAGAAAAGACACAGAAAGAGAACAAAGACGATTATGAGAGTGACAAAAATCTGTTCGTGCTGTGAAAGAAAATTGTTCCCTCGCATATTTCATTCGTGTTCGATTGCTCAAACTGGCAACTTGACATAGGAGAACAAACTTTCCTTTCGGTTTATTAGTTCGCGTTTTGAAAGTAGATAATTTGGTGATTGAGAGTCAAAAGTGTGTAAAATTAGAGAGAAATGGCATCGTTTCACTATATGATAATGATAGTTGCATGTGCAACCGTTTTCGCAATGATGTTTCATCAAGGTGAGAAGCAACCGTTGTGAAAATCAGAATTTCTAAATAATTTAATAATTCTCCTAAATTTGGTTGTGTAATCGAAGACGTTAATCAAAATATTTGTTCATAAAGTCGGCTCAACATTATGCAATCTCACGAAAGATTTGAAAAAAAGATATTAAAACATTTTCTTCATTCAATTTCTAGTTGTAACTTACAAAGTTGATCATAAAAAGGAAAATAATAATGTTTTACATTAGCTAACTAAAACAAATGAAAGATTCTGTGCGTGTCAGCAATATGTTCGTTCAGAGATAAAATAAATAAAATTCATATAAGATTGAATCTTTTCGAAAAATAAAAGATTTTTTGAAGAAAAAATATCTCATCGTGGAAAGAAGAAAATTATTGATTCGGACCAAAAAAAACGTAACGTGAAGAATTTTCTTCTCACGAGAGAAGAATGGGCAATTCGGATGCGCAGAAAATCGAAGCGCACATGTTTCCATTTAAAAAGATGTTCCTCCGATACGAAATGTATTAAACACATGATATTGAATTATTGATGACATGAAAGAAGTCGTGGAAAATGGGAAATTTATAAGACACAATCATGTACCAGAATACGTTCGTGATCATATTTTTTTATCAACCAAAGCTCAAGTTCCACTTTTAACTCAATTGAACTATTATTAAATCAATTGTAACAACAAAAACGCAATTTACTTAAATGATGATGATGAGACACTTACGAAGTCTTATCACTAACCTTTTCATGCTTGATTGACCGAGTTGAGAGTAAGGTTGCAAAATGTCGAGATTGTTTACTGTTTAAATCATTGCGATTACAGAAATTTCCTTCAATAAAAATATCAATGATCCTAATATTATTATTAATGTATTGATTTTTCTGTATCTCATAAAAGGTGAAGCAATAAAATGCTTTGTATGTAATAGTCATAATGATACAAGATGCGCCGAGAAGCCACCACCTGAAGACCTTAATGTAGATTGCAGTACAACAAAAGGAGGATCAAAATATACTTTCTGTCGGAAGATTATTCAAATTATTGAATTTTCAGTCAACAACTGTAAGTAGTCGACGTTCAATATTTAATGACGTTGCAACCTTGTAAAATTACAAAATTAATTAACACATTTCAGTGCCACCTGATACAAGAACAATTCGCGGTTGTGGATGGGAAGAGGGAAATTATAAAAACAAATGTTACCAACGTTCAGGCTTTGGTGGTCGTCAAGAAGTCTGTGCTTGCGATAAAGATGGATGCAACGGTGCAGCAACAGTCAAAGCCACATTTGGTGTTCTATTAGCAGCAGTTGTCGTGTTTTTCGCTCGCGCTTAAGGATTTTTCAACTTATTCGATCTTCAAGGTTTCTTTGTTCTCTATCGCTCGGTTTCTTAGCAGTTCATTTTAAGTTAGAAACTATTTTCACACATATGAAATCGAGAAAATCGTAGAAATATTGCTCAAAAGCCATGAAATGTAAGAATTGAAAAATTATGAATCGTATAGCAAATATTTAATGAAAATCATAAGTTCTACCTACTTAGAGCTTTAATTAACGAATAGTTTTATCTCGTAAGCATGGAGAAGCTAATTGAATGAATATGAATGACTTCACAACATGAAGGAATATAAATATTTCTGTTAATTGGTACATTAAGATGACGTATGCCTAAATCTGTTAAATAATAAAATCTTTGTGTTGACGATAATTGAAGGATGTAGTCGACGATTAGGCCAAATAAATAGTAGCTGTTAGTCAATTCTTTTGAACATTTGAATCTGTGTCCACAATACACTTGACCATAACTAAATACCTATTTTACTGTAATTGCCTATCCTTCTATACCTACTTTACAATTACACAAATTTACAAACTACAAAAATATCTAAATGAAAGAAACAAACTGATGTTTTGAATTGTTTATTCCTCTTGAGATTTTTTCACAATGCAGCTGTTGTTGTTACCAGAATAAAAAAAACTTTGAATAAAATTCATTTCGAAAAAGAAGAAAAGATTTTAATATTCAGATAAATAGAGTAATTCATGATGTAAGTAATCACCATTGTGGATAAAAAAATTAGTAGAAAAGTTTCTAATATTGAAACGGTTTGTTTTTGAATAAAACGTGTCGCTCAAAAAGTTGAACCTGAGATACCTGTTTGAACCGTTAATAAACTAATTTTAACGGAAAAACGATTTTTGATTTTGAACGTCGCCGTCTTCATTTCATATTTCTAAAAACTTGTAAACAAACAAATTTTTGATAAATTTAAAAATTCAAAAATGGAATCGATTGAGGCTTTTGTTATAACTGGAGGAAGAGGAAAAGGTCAAGCTACAAACGTTCCGGAACGTGAATTAATTGACCAAATTAAAATAAGACCTTTACTATATGACAAAAAGATTAAAGATTACAGAAAGGTAAAAAAAAATCTTTTCTCTTTATAAAATTTGTTATAAATTTAATTTATACTCTATAGCCTGGTGCGTCAGATGCCGCATGGAATGAGGTGGCTTCAGCTTTGCATTCTTCAGGTATGATTGTAGAAGAATAAATAAGAAAAATGCAAATTATTGTAGCTTTCTTAAAGATTAACAATCGATTTGCGAGTTTGTGATTAATAATTTTTCATTTATTTTCTTTTATTCACAAGTATTAAACTGCAAAAAGCGATGGAAAAGCCTTAGAGATACATTCATCAAATACTATCGAGCAGATGTTTTGTTCAACTTAGGCGATTCGAGAGGGAAACAAAAAAAGTGGCACTTCTATGATGATCTTAAATTTCTTAAAAGTCATGTAGAGCTCTTTAGGTGAATATCCATCCTTCTTATTTTAATTTGATTAGATAATTTTCATTTATTATTAAAGGCTGGAAGGTAATCCTAAAGAAAGATCTGAACCTAAAGCTTACACAAATGAAGAGAAACATATATTTATTGAAACGGAAGGAGAAAATGAAGTTTATGAAATTAAGGAAATAGAAGAAGTATTTGAAGATCATCTCGTTACTGTGGAGGAGGAAATTCATGAAAATACTGATGAAGAACATGATATAGCTCAAAAATCAGAATGGTACAGCGAATATCAACAAGAGGAAGAAGAAAGTGAGAACGAGAATACGATTGAGAGCCAAGAAATTATTGTTCAAAACGAAAATTCTCCAATAGAATCAATAGAAGAAAAAGACTTATTACCTATCAATACTGAAATCTCGCAATCACCATCTAAAAACATTGTTGATCCTGATGAACGATACCTGATGAGTTGCTTGCCAGCTTTTAAACGTTTCAATCCACAACAAAAAGCATATGTTCGCGTGAGAATTGAAGAGCTTTTCTATAAAGTAGAATTTGAAAATATCACAGAACCAAAAACTAAAAGAACACGATTAAGTTAGTTTAAAATTAAAACTATCTACTTTGAAATAAAGAGTTTCTTTTTCTTATAAATATCTACACATGAAAATATTATTGACTGTTTTTCAGATTCACACAATATACCAAAATATGAAGGTCAGAGATTTGACGACACTGACGCCAGAAAAATAATTTCATACGAGCCAATGTGGCGACTAATACAAATGGCATTAGGGACATCTGAATTCCTTGACATTTCTATTACAGAAGATATCTAAACTAAATTCTCGCTTGAAGTAAATTTTAACAATAAAAATGTTTAGAAGGAAGATTTAATGATATCTAACAAATGTGAAATAAACAAGCATCGTGTTATTTATTTATTGATAATCAGCAATTTGATATCTAGGAAAAACAACATTTTTATGATTAATTCGGTTATTTATGAGCAGACACAGTGCTTGCTTTCCTGTTAATGACAAACGATTATTGACAGAAATAAAGGATAATTAGATACTAATTAAGAACAATGAGCATCGATAAATTATTTGTACATCCTTTTGATAGTTAAGGTCAATTCGTTCATGGAATTAAAACCGAATAAAAATTTCATTTAGTTGAACATCTCCGTTAACAACATCAAAATTTTGTATTAAAAATGATATTCGAATTAAATTATGTTCGGAATTTCAAGTTAAGTGAAATGGAGAACTTATGTAATCGCTACGATACTTAAGTCACGAGGAAGTCTGTGACGTATTTTTCTTTCGCATATAGAAAAGAAACTAACGAAATGAAAAATAACACAAATTCCTACACATGCCAGCCTTAAGGAATGGCCCACAATGAAAATAAAATGTGTAGAGAAGCAACATTGTCTGACTTGAATTATTTTAGGGTGAAGTAAAAGCTCATGTTAGAACTCCCAAACGTTAATAATCCTTCGAACGTTCCTTGAATTTATTTTAATATGATGCCTGCTTTAGCCTGAGCTGCGTAAGCTTTTTATCTATTCTCTTTTTATGATAAAAATAAATCTGAAAATTTCTTTACCTTTTCATTCTCACTCCATTAATTTCTTTATCGCCAATTCTTGGCTCAAATTTCATTCCATGCGATATTGAAAATTCCTAGGTGAAAGAAATATCCAAGTATATGTTGCGTGAAGTTTACGCCTTTCATTATATTTTAGCCAGAAAATTATCACAAAATCTCAACTCCCTCTTTAAACAAGCGTGACTGAATGTTTTTGTGTTTTTGCTTTCGATGGACATAAGCAACGTTAAGTGATTAGTTGCTACTACAAAAATCCTCGTAAAATAGCGGGAAAGCCGGAAAATGACAATTTGTTTTTCTGTTTATTAAGGCAAAAATAAGTCGTAAGTTTATCCGAAAGTTTTCCCGACATTTATCGTCATTTACTTGCTTAAAAATGAGAATATTGAAGAAATTCTTAGAAAAATTCTAAAAATTTTTATGCATTTTCTGTACGCTTTTTCAAGGACTTTTCTTATCAGTTAAGATCAATGGGAAATGAATTTATGCATACGTTAAAAAAGTTCATGTTTAAACTATTATTTCATAGGTTAATTACTGACCTTACCTGTGCCTTTATCCTTGAGTTTAACATAATTTTTAAAACTCTATCATTACTAGACTGAATTCGAATAAAAATTAAGCAACAACTAAAAAATTAAGCATTGCAAAATTATTCAACAATTTTAATGCATTTTATATGTTTTGTTAATTTGAAAAGAAGGAAAAACAACTTCAATGGCAGATATTTCAATAAACCATACTTTATGATTAAATGCATTCAGAAATGTTTCTTTCACCATTATAATAACCTTATGTAGAAGAAATGTTCTTGTTGTCGTCTCAATTTTCCACCCATTTTACTGTTCTGAACATGGCTACAGAAAGATTTTTGGCGTCATTATGGCTGTTGTAGAATTTAGATTGGGTCTTCTTGGCGCCATACGATTTATTCTTATTGGATGTATCCACATTTCTTTTTTCCTTTGTTGCGTCGAACTGTAATAAAATTTGAGACACATGATGACGATTCTTATCTGTGAGTGTGGATCGTCGAGGGTTTGACGAAAATATTTGTTTTTTGATGTAACAGCAGGAAAATCGATGATGTTTCTAGAGGGTGAAAGAAGAAGGAAGAAAAAAAGCTTTAATCATTGAGATAGTTTGCTGAATATTTTTGATCAACATTCTTTATTTAGAGTGATGCATAGAAGAAAACATTTCGTGAAAATATTCGTCACTAATAATTTTGTTGACGTAGACATAAATTCTTAATATTTGTAGCATGTTTTAATCAATGCTTTTAATATTGAAGGTACTAATTCAATTTAATTAATTTCACGCATTCATAATTATTTAACTTTGAAAATGTATGAAACTTTTTTCTTTGCTTCAGAAGTTTTATGAGTAAATTTTCTTAAGTAGATATTATGAATGAAATACTTTTATAAATGTTTGAAAATAAAATAACATGACGCGCGATATTCTCGACAATTCCTTAAATATAAATTCATAATCCATCTCGATGTACTTTCAATTCATATTTTGTTACAATCATTACAGTAAATAATGTTTCAACAGTTTTTATAAGTGATAAAAAAGACGCACCAATGCATCATAAGACACATATCAGCGTAAAAAAATTTATATCCAAAAATTTTACCACGTTTTACTCAAACTTCTGACTCGACAACTGCGGCTTTCATATTACAAACGTTTAGAAAATTGCCAAAGTTATATTCTCTTGAATTTGTGAGCACAACGTGTCGTGAAATACAACACAGTAATATTTATTGAAGAAAAAGCTGGGGTAAAAGCAGAGAAATAAAGTTAAAGGACGTTGTTATGCTTCTTTAGAACTTAGGCGAAGCCTATGAATTCGGGAGAATATTTCAACAACATGCTCATATAATTTTTAAGGGAAGAAAAAGAACCCATTTTAAACTGAAATTGAATTTCTTAATTAAAATTTCTTCGCTATTTTCTCTAACATAAAATTTACATACTTACTGAAAGTGAAAGGGTAGAAATGAAAGGAAAAACAAATAAAAAGTATCATCAAAATGTAAGAAAATTGTATTATTCTCACAAGTATCTGTTCACTTTTGAACTAAGCATTAAATTAAAAGTAAAAATAGATGAATAATTTACAGAAATATTGAGAGGATGTAACAAGCTTTGTGTTCTTACTTCTATAAACTAATTTTTATTTCCTGAACAGAAGAAGTCGTTTTAAGGATAAATAAATAAAAAATAACAAAAAGAATGGCTATGGACAATAAATAAATGACGAAATGATCCACGCACTGCCCTTCAAATTTATTTTTACCTAAAAATAGCTTTATAACACAATAGGAGGAACAATGATAGAAGGGCATGTCTTGCACAAAGCATGCAACATCATGTTAAAAACATTAAACATTCAACTTTCTTTCATTCCAATGTTTTGAAGGTCGCACTATGCGAGGAAAATTGATCATCATAGAATTTCAGCAAGGAAATTTATTTCAGTTTACTTCAGAACTTCGTCTTGAAAAGTCGATTGACAACAAGAGAAAGAATCTCTGTGGCATCTTTCTTGTTTTCTTGTCCTTTCAAAATTCAGTAGGAATTTTTTTTTGAAAACTTTGTCTACTCATTTCCTGACTCACTTTCAAATTTCAAATCAAATTTGTTTGGATAAATATTCTTAGTGTGAAGGACATAAAGTGAATATAAAATTATAAAAACAAGTCAATTAAAGCAGTAAAATGAAAAAGTTAGAGCAATTAATATTGCCGGTTGTGCTGTTATCGGTCCTTACAATCAAAACTGGTTAGTTTCGTTTGTGTGCTATGAAAACGAAATAAAGTTAATATTAATCAAAATAGAAAGTAGAAACATAAATTGTGGAACAAAATGAGAAGAAAACGTGATGATTTAGTCTCTGCATACAAATATTTTTTCTCATCTTCAGAATCACATAAGAATTTGTTCCTATAAGTTCTTTGATGGATTTTGGTTTATCCAAAAATTTACTAACTCAATCAGCAACAATCTTCAAACTTTTGTTAGTTTGCAGTTTTTCTATTTCGATTAAATGTTAAAGTTAAGGCAGAAGTCATTCGGAAAGATGACACGAACGTGCCTAGAAATTAAAACAATTCTCATAAACTGACAAGAAAAGAAAAATCAATTTTATTCATTTTTTAGATTTTGGTTTCATAATCATCACGAAAGTTTAATTTATTACGTACACAATTAATCATAATTTATCACTGTGAAGCATCATTTCGAAGAATTATGAAGCATTTTGAAGTTTCTTGATATCGATATCTCTAGAGACCTCAATCGTCATGGAAAAGTGTGGGTGGGAATCAGAATCCTTTCAGGAAATACTGAAAAGTTTAGGTGGAATAAAACATTGAAGCTTGATTCAGATTTTTTTTATTCACTATGACTTTGGAATTTTTATGCACGCGAATATGTTGTCATTCGCCTATCAAAATCATGACCCTTGGTTCACATGTGCCGAATTTTGTTTGAAATAATGTTTTAATAAAGTTGATTAAAATACGACATCAAATCACATGCATAACTTTCACGAATATCTGCAATGTTTATTAAGTTTTGATAACATTACAATTGCTTCTTTTCGTCAAACCTTTATTAACCATGAAATACTTTAGTATCTCTCGTCTTACATTTTTTCAATTTTTACTTCCTCCACAATCGCAATTAATATCAAAAAAGTATTGACAAATTGAAAATCAAATATGCATTGACAAAATTACAATTTTAAAGGCTTTGCATTTAGTGGGAAAAAGATTGAAGAGAAAATTACATTTTTTGAATGAAAAGATAAAATGAGAATTTTTGAAATTGCGACTTCTTGAAGCCAAGAAATTCTCATCAAAGTTTAGCCATTCGAAAAATCAGTAACATCAGAATTCAATCGAATGGAGAAAAATGTGAAATTCTAGCTTTGAATAAAATGCTTACATTATGTAACTTCTGACTTTTTCAATTTGGTGTCTTTTGTTACAAATGCAAAGAAGTTTCAAACAATAGTTTTAAGCAAAAGATGTCATAAGAATTCATCGAATTTCGTGAAATTGAATTGTCTGATGATATAATAACAAATCTCTCAACGTATTCCCAATTGTTTCAACTTCAATAAAATTTGAATTTAATGGTTAAATAAAATTTCATTTCAACCGTTTATGATAAAGTTATTGCATTTCCATGCGATTGAATTTTAATTAGTTTTGATATCTATAATCTTTATGTGATTATAAATGAAATATTTGGAGTAAAAGAGCCATTCATATGAAATTATTTTTCAGGCAATGGATTAGATTGCTATACTTGTGACTCAACTGTGAATCCAGATTGTCTCGACGTCAAGGACAGTAAGACATTGGATCCAGTGGTAAGGATATAAATGATTAATTATAAATTCTATACTCAAACTTTTCATAACGCTATTGCATCGTAGCATTACAAAAAACTTTTTCTAAATTATTAAATGCAAACCTGTAAAAGAAAAGGTTTCCATTAATTTCTTCTAAAGAAATGTATGATAACTTATTCAACTAATTAATATATTAAAATCTTCTTCTTCTGCTCTTTTCTTGAACTAAAAAATGATCAACTCAAACCAAAGTTTTTCCGTTTAAAATTTAATGAACAAAAGCAATCAAAATAATTCTCATTCAGTTGATTTCTTAGTCTAATAAATCTATGCAAGAAGTTTCAAAATCCAATTATCTAATCAATCAACATGAATTTAAGTAAAACTTTGAAAAGACATGAGATTGCCTCTATCGCGATGTATCGTAAGAATGTTATTGGGAATTGAGAATTATCGACGTCTACTTCGTTTTATGTAACCTTTTAATTCATTTATTCTCGACTGTTGGGAAAAATTTAATGACCTTGAAAGTCTCAAAATATTTTTTTGTCTTTTTTTCTGTTAATATGTAGACATGTCGACCATCTGTTATTGGAGATGGAGTTGGGATCTGGCTTAAAGAAATAATTAAAATAGACTTCTTCGATGCTGGAGAAGTCTCTGTACCAATGCTCTGCCAAAAGATTGTAGCCACAAATGGTAAATAAATATGACAAAATTTATCAATATTTAAAATGTTTCATTGAACATTTTTGTAGAACAAGGGGACAAACATACTTTCCGTGGATGCCAACTTGACGGAGGGAAAACAAATGTTTGCGACACGATTACAAACAAAGCTGCGAAAACTAAAATCAAAATAACAGAATGCATTACTTGCAAAGAAGATAAGTGTAACAAAACCACATCTCTTCATCATGTCAATCCTTTGCTGTTTCTCGTTCCATTAGTCCTTATAACAAATTTCATTCGAAATTTCTTCAAATAAAATAATCTCTCAACGTTCCATTCATCTATCATTCTTCAAGCTATAAAGTCAATTTAAAAATTTATTTCGAAAATTAAATTAAAAGTCTATTGAATGACAAAAAAATTAAGTTTTATGTTGAAATCAAAGCAATAACAAGTCTTTATCTTTCACTAATATCTAAATTGATTTGTGAAGAAATAGAAAGAAATAAAAGCTTTCTAATGGTCAATTGAAATGACTAATGCAATATATAATTTTCAATTCTAAAGCTAGCTTTTTTCACTGGTTCACGCCATGATTGCCTTGGTTACTTTATTCACTGTAGAAGCAGAGCAAAGGGAAATAAAAAATAGGAAACAACGCCATAAAACGTGAGATTCTATTTCTTATGTGTTGCTTTACTCAAGATAAAAGCTTTCAAGTGGAACACCCACATGATGTCATGAGCTTTATTAGCAAAGCTTTTGAAATTTTTGTAAGTAAAGCTCTACTTATAAATATGTTTATGATGAGCAGAATTTCAAGTGTCTCCAAAGAACAGACGAAAATTGTTTAGTAAAAAATTAAATATAACTCATTAAAGAAGAAATGCAATAGATAACTTTTATGAAAAATTATTAGAGGGATAGAAAGAAAAATAATTATTGAATTGTCATCTTATAAAAGCACATCAAAATTTCTAATTAAGATTATATAGAAAAACTTTGTTAAGTTACTTGTTATAATGTTTGAAATTCATTGAATAAACAATACTAATAGATAAAAACATGAAAATCTAATTAACATTTTGCTTTAATTAAAGTGAAATAATGAATATCATCACGATTTTTTTTGGTTGCAATAATCGCTGTAATATGCTTTAAAAGCGTTAAGTTATAACATTTTTTGTATTATCTCTAATTAGTCATACAAATATATTTCTTACTTATACTTAGAACTTACAATTATATAAAACTGATAAGAATTTCGACTAAATTAAATAATTTTTTTAGTCATAACTCAGATAACTTTTTGTCAATGTGATTAATTTTCTTGATTTTTGATAAGATATTAAAGATGACGAAGAGTTTTTGTAAATGTAAATTCAAGTGTAAACTTAAAGGCAAGAAAAAAGTTGAAATTATTTAGCACTTCAATAAAATAAGTTTCAAGATTTATTTTAATTTCTCAAACATTTCATTTCGTTTGTTTCAGATTGATGATTCGAGATTTTCTATTTCACTTTAAATATCTCAATCATGTTTACATGCGTAGATGTATTTTATTAATTAACACTGCAAATTTTTATGATTCAACTTTATCAAAATTAATTAAAGCCATGCGGGTGCACTTTTTTCACGGTCTTTTCATGGTTGGTTTTATTTGCATTTTATATTCATTGCATGTGCTGATATGTCAAACTATTTCAAATGCAATTTGGTTTCATTAAAAATCAAGTTAATAATAAAATGAAAATTATTTCATGAAATTTTCAATTTACTTCGCACAGTGCCCCAAGTACAATGTGCTTCGCTTCTGTAGTTTTATCAAAGCATGGATTTTATATTTATCAAGCATTAGTTTTCAATTAAAATCAAATTTCTTGTGAATATTATAAATCAATCTGTAACATTTGTTGACATTATTTAAGAAGTTGCATACTCAATCTAATCTAATCTAAACAAATCAAAGAATATAAACGAGAACAGAAATTTGTCTGAGCAATTTCTTTTGTGAGTGTTGTCGCTATAGTCATTGACTGTAAAAAAGAAACGATAAGCGTAAATCTCTTAGCTTAAAAGCTTAAAGGAATTTATCGAAAAATTTGTCACATTTCCTCTTGCTGATTGAAAAATATCGCGTTGGAAATCGAGCTTGATTTAGTTTGTAATCGACTATTGCAGTATAATGAAGTATATTTTATATTTTTTGGGACTTTTAGCTGTGACGCATCAAGGTTAGGAATTATTTAATCCTTTTAATAATGCAATAATATTTTTCGCAATACCAATTCAGCATCTGCTCAGTTGCAATGCGTCAGTTGTACAAATTGTGCAAACGTTGCAAATCAACCAAGAGTGACATGTACTGTTCCGACACCACCAATCCCAACAGATCCTCCCACAACACCAACTGGAGGAACGACAACAACAACACCTGTAGGACCGACTACAACGACTGGTCAGGAAACTGCACCTCCTGGGGGACCAGTGACACCACGTAATTTGAAAAACATTAAAGATTACAAAAACCTATTAAATTTTCTCTTTTACTCCTTCAGCCACAGTCAGCTTGACACCAGTTCCCCCGACAACGCCACCAGTAGCAGATCCTACACCACCCAATACGCCAATCACACCGCAACCTCCTATTTTGACCCCACCTGGTGGAATACCTGGAACAGATGTTAATAGTTTTAACCATTCTTTCTAACTTTAATTTCTGTAATGCTTATTCAGCCATTGACTTAATAAATTAATATTTTACAGGTTCCAACCACAGTACCAACCACAGTACCAACCACAGTTCCAACCACAACACCTGAAGATCCAAATGCTCCAACTTTCACTCCCCCGGCTATCCAATCAAAATATCAAAGAAATATAGAAGAAGCCACTGCAGCACCAACAGTACCACCAAATCAAAATCCAGCACTTTTCAGCTGTTTCACAACTGTTGTTCAAGGTTTGAAGCTGGAATAAGAGAGAACTTGATTTCAGTCATAATTTTATTCTTATTTTTCGACAGTTGGCAATGAAGGTCAAACCCAAATCAACAGAGGATGTGTTAGGAATGGTGGAAATACTGCACATACATGTAGGAGAACAAATAACTACAATGAACCTCAAAGTTGTGAGCTTTGTTCATCAAATGAATGCAACAATTCAAGTTCAAGTGCATTATTGTCGTCCATTTTACTGGTTTTTGGATCAATTTTCCTAATTAATCGACTTGTGTGAATGATGTAAAGTGTTAAGTTCGTAATGATTTGTATGGAAAACTGTATGAAACTTTGTTGGAATATAAATAATTACTTAATAAAAACGAAAAGAAAATAAAAAGATTGAGATATCGTATTATGAATTATGAAATGAAACATTTTCGAAGTTCTATGATTTCTTTCATTAAATCTAGAGAATTAAAAATCCTAAACTATAATTTAACTCAGGTTAAGAAATTTTGAAAACGTGTTTGGCAGACGAAGTTTTACAAGATTTAAATTTCACTCATGACTCATTCGTTTTCAATAATTATTGCAATCTTTTCTTCATGTAATATTTGAATGATTAAAAGAAAAGTCATCAAGAAAAACTCTTTATGTAAAAATTGAGTCATTAGTCATCACTTGAATGTCATTGCGACATTTGTTACACATTAAATTAAAGTCACTGATAAAAGAGTTATGATTAAATGGAGTTACTGTTGGAATTTGATAAACTGATAAAAATTTATGTACGAGTCTTGAAATCAAATCTATCAAATCAAAAAAATAATGAAAGTGAAAATCACAAACTGGGACTTCATTCTCGATGTTCAGTTGTCTTTACGCCTTCAACAAGTTTGCTGTCAAAATATTTTAAGGAAGAATAAAACAAAATGAAAACTCTGCTTTGTGTTGTGTTGATTGCTATCGTAGCCCAAGGTAAGACATGGAGATTAATTTTAATCCTGCGTGGATAAATTATATGATAAAATAAAATTACGTATTTTACCGCTTAGTCACAAATCCAAAATGAACCATCTTTTGATTAAAAAGTTGATCTTCTTAAGACTTATTCAGAACATTAACTAATACGTTTAGAATGTGATCAGAATTATTTCTAATTTCTTTCAGCATCTGGTCAGCAGTTGAGATGCTTCGCTTGTGACGAGTGTGCAAGTGTTGACAATAACACTCCACAACGTCAATGTTTCTCACCAGCAACACCACCTTTGGCTCCATCAACTCCTCAAACAAGTGAATAAATTCATAAAAATAAGATAAAAATTAAATTTAACAATGTTTGTTATAGTTTCTTTAACGTCTTCTACCACAACGACTACTGCTCCGCCAAATGTCGCAGAGAATGTTGAACAGAATGTTGAAGGAGAAGATTTGATTCCAAGTTCAATGTATGATTTGTTCCAACAATTCAGAAGAAATCAAGTATACTCATGCTTCACGACCGTAAGAAATAGTAAGCGCTGGTTAATCATTGACCTATAAAATATTCCTTAACGTTTAAACACATTGTTTTAGTCGGAGGTCGTTCACTTGTAAGACGAGGATGTGTTCTTCGTGGTAACGACGAAATGGAAACTTGCAGAAATGCTAATTATAACGAAGATCCAGATAATTGTCAAGTTTGTGACACTGATGAATGCAACATTATGTTTGCAGGCGCATCAACAAAAGCATTTGCTTCCCTTTTCTTAGTATTTTCAGCTTTCATTATCAGTTTGAGATTAAATTAAGTCAGTGTGGTAAAGAATAGTGAATTATATTTAGAATTGAAGGAGTTTTATTTATCAAAAATATTTTTTTTACATTTTCTTCTCTTTATCGCAATGATCAACGTGAAAAAAATTATCGCAATCTTAAAACTACTTTATTTTGTTATCGTTATCAAGTGACAAAGAATGAAATAAGAAATTAAAATTGATCGCTACTGAAATTTGATGTTTGATTGAACGAGTTTTGGTTGTCTTCCATAAAATATTATGAAAATGTTTCTTAAGAATTTTGAAAGTGAATAAAGAAACTTTTTATAAATTGAATTTATTCTTTCACTTCTTGAATTGGAATAAAATTTTTAATTTGTTAATTTTACTTATTTTAAATATTTGCAAACTTCTTTCTTATTATTTGAGTTCTATTTACATAGATTCCAATAATGTAAACGAATTGATAATAAAATTATGACTCAAATTTACGTCATAGTAATTGATTCGAGACATAACGTTGACAACAATATTCATCACAATTTTGACATTCTGATCTATTTTTGATCACCGCCAAATGTAATTTCTCAAATGTGTTTCATTCTTGTTGTTTTCTTTTAAACTAAATTTTTTTGTATTATTGAAAGAAAATATGAAATTTCCAGCATTTTATTCTATTTAAATCATTATTTTAATTAGATATAAACTTTTTAAAAAACTAATAAAAATTCTTTTAAGCTAAAGTTATGGAGGCAACAAAACATCGCTTTGTTAATTGAAATAACAAACAAAATTTTCAATTCGAACACTTCGAAATGAATTGGACCATGAAAGTGACAATTATTGGATTTACTCATGAATATGTTTAACAGAGAATAGAACTTTCATCATTGAAGATTGATATAAATATAAAGATGACTGCTGCTTAAGATTTAGTTAATAAAAATCCATCAAACATTTGAAACTGTTTTAGAGTTGCATAAGCAATAAATAATAACGAAGTGAATGAAAAATCGTTTAAAAGTAATGAACAGGTGGCAAATAATATCAAACAATGTTTAGTCGATTAATAGAAAAGAAATTTTTAGGACAATTCTTATCGTCGCTTTGATGTGTGCTGAAATTCTTGCATCTACAAGACTGGAACTAAAAGAATCCAAATTCAATCAAAGTGAAAAGATTTTGTCGCGTGATAAACGATATTTGCTATATGTTCCTAATGGTGGAACTGCGAAATTTGTATCAGGATTTCTTGGACCTATCGATAGTATGAAATAAAAATGAAGTTTTCGATTTAAATTTTATTTATGTTTTAAAATATTTTACAGTTCCTTTATGGCAGAACATAAATTGCTTACGAAACATTCAATATCAATATCCGCTGCCTCAGAATTGGACAACTTTTTCATCCTTCCCAGGTTTTGAATCCGTCGGCAACTCGTCACCAAGTCAAGGAAGACACTTCGGTGGTGAAAAATCCAAAGTTAAACCTAAACCAGACTCATCGCGTCAAATAGCTTATGATTTGATGGAGACACAGCTTAATAAGTTGAACATGATTCACTTTTCGTTGAACATTTAGATACTTACGATTAAAAACTTTCAGAGAAGGTAAGAATGGCCACGAGTGCATGTTAAGGGCAATTTGTGAGATTGCAGAAACTCCAGTGAGCCACAATGGCCTTGTTGGTGAACTTATTCAATTATTTTTCACACCTGGACGACATGAGAAAATCCAAGATGATTACATTTATGCACGAAAAGCTGGTTTAAATCGAGTTGATTGTGAACAACTTTATCCAGATTGTCCATTGGGTCATGGAATTTTGGATTCCTTTTCTATTATTAAGAACTTTGAAATGTACAACTGGTTGAATTTTAAATGATCACAAAAGTGACTTTTAATTGTAATTTATGTCATAAATTTTGACAATTGAAAAATATTGTTCTAAAGATTTTTTTTGCACATTTGTAGTTCAAACTTCTATTTCAGCCTGGCTGTCTGATGTTCATTTCCATCATTTATTAATAATGTAAAATATTTTTTAAGTGTTTGTCAGCTTATAGATTAGATTAAATTTAAATTTTTAATTTCTTAACGCATAAGTTCGTTCTTTTGGATAACTTTTGAATATGAACACATTTGTTCAGCAAATTTCTGTTTATTGAGAGTTATTTAAAGTAATTTTCCTTTAAGTATCTTAGTATTGGCACATTACTTTGATCATTGTCGTTCAACTCACACCTTTGAACATCTTATTTTTGAAACAGAAGTGCTCTCTTCAAAGCCTATTAAAATAAAGTCTTATCAGTTTATTATCCAACATAGTGCTTTGCACACTTATTTTTCATCGTATGCTTCAAATGAAGTTATAAGTGCATTGAGAATTGTGTGTGGTTTTACATAAGGTTCTACATATCTGTGATAATACCAATGTTTGAGACCACGTTGAACTTATCGAAATTAAACATTATTCCTTTTAAGTATTGTTAATACTTTCAGTGAGTACAAGACACATTGACAATTTATGTTACTTAAAGGCTTGCAAGTTTGAATACCTTTTCAATAACCGATTGTCATTAAAGTGAAGACAACTTTTTATTGACATTTGAATTAAAGTTTAAGTGTGACACAGTCAAGTTCAGTGGAAAATTTCAAAAGTTTTAGGAATGTTTAAAACAGCAATGAAGTTTCTATTTGAACTATTACTCAAAACATTTGTAATACTTTTTATTGTTTTTGGATTATTTATAAGTTGCGGTAAGTTTTAATAAGCAGATGGAATATTTTAAGAGTACGTAAGGGAATGAATTGAGTTATTGTATTGAAATTTGAAGGTTCATGACAGCTCAATTGAAGGTTCTGTTTATTAGAAGTACTAATATTGACACTAGAATTCTTCTTAATAATGTTCGATGTTTAAATACGTGGATAAACCGAATAAAAACAAAAGTTTTCTTTTAAAACGAAATTGTATGCTCCGATAAATGAAATTATGTATGTCGGACTAAAACCACAACATATGCTGATAACATAGAAAGTTACGTCGAAAAATTACTTAAAAATTTATCAACATTTACACATAAATGATCTTTAATAACATTTAGATAACTAAATTCTATCTAACATTTTTGCAATGTGCTTTTCATTCTTCAAATAACGTTTCAGTTAACGGTGAAAGCATAAGTCGAGCAAACAATTGCATCCAATGTGACTCAGCAAATGAAAATGAGAGAAATTGTGGCAACATAAAAGACTCATATGAGGTGAGTGTTCAACTGTGTGATCCAATTCTTGGTTGTTTCACGGAGATTTATCAGGGTGAGTGCAAATACAAAATATTTTCATTTGAATATTTACTTAAACTTTACAAAATTATGCAGCAAATGAAAGCGATCATCGTCTTAATGGCTGGTATACGAGACGTGGATGCTTGGAAGAATCGACTTCTTGTCTTGAACCAAATTGTATTATTTGCAATGATAACAATTGCAATGACGATTTGTTTCCAAGTGATCGAAAAAAATGTTTCAAATGCACAAACGAGAATTGTTTTTCTCCTAAATCGGAATATTGTGAAATGTATTTGTCAGGTCCAAATGAATGTGTGACATTATATGATGGAGGTTTGTGAAAATATTTTGATTTGTATAATTTTCACATAAAATTTTCTTCTGAAGATGGTGGAGTTATATTGAAAAGCTGTTACTCCGACATTCCTGAAACAATTCGTGAGCTTTGCAATGATTCTGATGTTATTGATTGCAATCGATGTTCAGGAGATAATTGTAACGACGACACTGTCAGAAGAGGAACAAAATGTTACACATGCTCTGGTCTAAATTGCTTAATTATTGACTCGCCAACAAATATTGTTGACTGTCAGTCGTCTTGTTACATTGGAATAAATGGTGAGAAGTTTTGATAAATTTTATGCAAAAATATTCTTTAAATAGTAAATTAAATGTTTGTAGAAAATGGTGAAACTACGAGAGGCTGTGCAAGTGATTTTAATAATCCTGATCAATGTTCATTTGATAAGAATTCTCCAAATGAGTGTTTTGTGTGTGCTGAAGATAAATGCAACGCAATAATTTATCCTTTAGCTGGGAGACTTGTTTGTTATAATTGTCGGGAAGGTAATTGTGGTTTATCAGATGATAAATTGCAGTATTGTCCAATTTATAACCAAGATGAAAGATGTGTCACTGTATTTGATGACGGAGCTGATGAAGTCATTGCGAGAAGCTGCTTGTCAGTTCTTGATAATCAATTTAGAGAAGCATGCTACACAAAACCCTCAAACTGTTTTAAATGTGATTCTCCGAAATGCAATATTGACGAATCAAAATCCAAAACAGAATATTGCATCGGATGTGATTCCGAAGACGATCCAAAGTGTTTGGAAGATGATGTCACGCAAGAAAAAAGATGTTCAACTAATAAATGTTTCACGAGATTAAAAGACAAAAGTGAAGATTACTTTGGTCGACATATTGAACGTGGTTGTTTAGATGATCTCGAACAAACGAGAGAATGCCTTGAACCAGATTGCATTTCATGTACTGGTAGAAATTGTAACAACAAAATATTTCCAGAAGATCGCATTTCATGCAAATATTGTGAACTGAGTCAATGTGAAAATGAAATGACTGACAAGATATGCAATCAATATGTTGACAATGAAGCTTGCTTTACATTTTTTGGGGAAGAAGGTGAAGTCATTTATAAAGATTGCTTCTCGGATGCTCCATTTGAAACTCGTAAAGTTTGTGATAATTCAACTGATCTTGGATGCACGAAATGTGAAGGAAATCTTTGTAACATTGACACTGTTCGAAGGGGAAGCAAATGCTACAAATGTTCAGGAATTGATTGCTTCATCCCTCTGATTACAAACGTTATCGAATGCTTATCAGGATGCTATGTTGGAGTCAACGAAGATGGTTTCCCATTAAGAGATTGTGCAGATGCAATTCCAGATTCACTTTCCTGTGGAACAAAAAATTTCTTCTGCATGATTTGCTTCGGTGATTTTTGTAACTCGAATGTCTTCCCAATTCAAAATCGTCGAACATGCTTGAAATGTAAGAATGAAGAATGTGAAACATTGCAAACAATCTCACAATATTGTGAAAAATTCAATCCTGATGAGAAATGTGTCACGATTTTTGATGAATATGAATCTGTCATTGAACGTGGATGTTCATCGACTTTAGCAAACTTAAACATGTGCAGTTATGATAATCCAAACTGTTTGCATTGTGGATTTGATGAGTGTAATGTCGAAACATCTCCAACTGAAAAGTATCATTGCGTCTCGTGTTCATCTTCGGGAAATGCAAAATGTGTGACAAATCCAATGGAAACATCAATTCAAAGTTGCCCGGTCGAACAATGTTACTCCAAACTTTTACCAGCAGATGGAAATGGACAACATATCGAACGAGGCTGTGCGTCACAAATCTCATCATGTTCAAGAGATTCCTGTGAGATTTGTAATGGGGAAATGTGCAATGTCAATATTTTCCCATCAGATCGTCATTCTTGTTTCTTTTGCTCTGGTGATCATTGTGCATTTGGCCATTCAACTCAACAACAATGCGTCCTGTACAATCAAAGTGACAATAAATGTGTGACAATTTTTGGTGACAGTAAGTTTGGAAATTTAATTTAAATTTATCTTTAAACTAAAAATGATTTAATCATTTCTAGAAAGTGAAGTTATTTATCGAGACTGCTATGTTGACGCTGCACAAGGAACGAAGAATATTTGCGATAATTTGAATGATTTAACATGCACTCAATGTTCAGGAATAAATTGCAATAATGATCTTGAACGAAGAGGAACGAAATGCTTGAAATGTGAAGGGCTCGAATGCTTCAATGTCATTGACACTTCAAATTCAATCGATTGTTCAGGTAATGGATGCTATGTTGGATTAAACGAAAAAGGAGAAACAAAACGTGATTGTGCTGATGAGGTTTTCAATGAAAATTGTGTCACAAATGATGATGAAGATGGTGTCTGTCTGATATGTAAAGATGACTACTGCAATGCTATTGCTTTTCCAATGACTAATCGATTAATGTGCAAAACATGTGTCAGTGATTCATGTGAATATAATCAGCTGGATAATAAATATTGTGAAACTATCAGTTCAGTAGAACGATGTGTGACTGTCTTTGACAATAATGAAAAAGTCATTGAACGTGGTTGTTTGTCTACAATTCAAAATATCGCTCTATGTTCAGAAAATAGTCCAAATTGCATCAAATGTAATTTCAGCGAATGTAATATTCAGGAATCAAAAGAACAAATGTTTTATTGTGTCTCTTGCAATTCTCAAGATGATCCAGCATGTGTTTTGAGTTCAGAAACACCAACAATCACTTCATGTAAAACAAATCAATGCTATTCAAAGTTGATATCAATTTATGCTGAATCACCATGGCAATATGTTGAGAAAGGTTGTGTTTCTGATCTTCAATCAACAACAACATGTTCAGATGAAACTTGCACAATTTGTGATGGTGATCGATGTAATAACATTCTTTACCCATCTGATCGATTTTCTTGCTTCAGTTGTCACAGCAGCAGTTGTGAAATGCCATCAATAACTTCATCAATATGTAAGCTTTACAATCGAGAACAACAAGGATGCATCACACTGTTTGGAATGGAAGATGAAGTGTTTTATCGTGGTTGTTATTCAGATGCAGCTGATGGCACGAGAAAAGTTTGTGATGATGAATCTCAATTACTTTGTTCGTTTTGTAACACTGACAATTGTAACTCAGACACGAAACGACGAGGTAGAAAATGTTTCCAATGTGAAGGTCTTTCATGTTTCCAACCAGTTTATCCGTCAGATGCCATTGATTGCCTTTCAAATTGTTACATCGGAATTAATCAAAATGGTGAAAATGTCAGAGGATGTGAAAGTAGCTTCATCAATACGACTTCTTGTGGCAATCGTGATGCTGATGATGACCAATGCTATGTTTGTGATGATGATTTCTGTAATGGAATACAATTTCCATTAAGAAATCGCCTCCAATGTCACACTTGCAGTGAGGAAGATAATTGCACTGATGATGATGAAAATTTGGAATATTGCCAGAGATATTCAGAACATGAAAGATGCGTCACTGTTTTCTCGGAAGATGACAAAGTCATTGAACGTGGATGTTTATCATCGATTCAAAATCAACAATACTGTGATCAGAATTACGATAATTGTCTGCAATGTTCATCAACTGCTTGCAATAAAATAAATTCAAAAATATCTCGAACTTGTGTTACTTGTGACTCAAAACAAAATGTGGAGTGCATTGTGGAGCCTTCATCAATGCCAACTAAAAATTGCAGAAAAGGATGTTACACGATGATCATAAATGGAAATCTGATTCGTGGTTGTCTTGATGACGTAGATGATGACTTTAAATGTAGCATTGACAACAACTGCAATTACTGTAATGACATCGAAAAATGTAATTCTGAAAATTATCCAAAAGATCGAAAAAGATGTTTAACTTGTAATGGGACAAACAGTTGCAACAATCCAACATCACAACTTTGTACTAGATATGAAATTAATGACAGTTGTGTAACAATATTCAATCGATGTAAGTAACAGACTCGAGAAACTTTTTTACTTTTAATGATTTTAAATGAATTTACAGATCAAGTTGAGAAGAAGGGATGTTTAGCTGATCAATCTTTAGAAGATCAAGTAGTCTGCTCTGACTCAACAAATGGTTTATGTGCCTCCTGTTCACATAAAGACAATTGTAACATTGCAACTGTGCGAAGTGACGAGAATTGTATTATTTGCAACTCGGCTTTGGATTCAAAATGCGCTCAAACACCAAATGAGTTGAATGTTGAGCATTGCTCTAGTGAAAGTAACGGAGAATGTTTTGCAAGAATCGAAGGCAGTCTCACAATTAGAGGATGCAAAGGAGATTTATCATTGCCAGATTTCATTGAATGTAATGACAACAAAAACTCTTCACAATGTTTGATCGCTTTCGGTCAAGGTTCAAATGATGGAATGGTGCCCAGAAATAGATTGACCTGCTATCACTGTGACAGCAAAATTGACCCAGGTTGTGTAGAAGATCAAGTTGAACAAACCAACAACAAACCTTTACCTTGCAAAAATTATTTAAGCCCTGAAAAATGTTTTATTCTGAAATATCACGATGGAAATAGTGAGCGAAACAACAAATTAAAACAAAATTTCATTTTCATTTAACATTTCATTCCAGTTGTTCGTGGTTGTGTCGCTGATTTCAGTGCTGATATCTGCCAACAAGGAACATGCACAAAAACTTGCGAAGAACCAGACTGCAATTTCAATCACAGCATAATTAATAAAGTTGATGTAATTTGTTTGTCATTGTCAATCATTTTTTATCTGATTATGAAATGAGTTGCATTTTATTAAGATTTCTTTTTTAATTAAAATATATTTTCTTTAACAAAATTGAAGAAAACTTTTGTTTCAACTTTAGACATTAATAATCTGTCCTATCGTCAAATTTGACAAACCATCCTGGTTTTAATTTGAGAATGAATTCAGCTTCCAAGTAAATGTCTTCAAACTTCATACTTGTGGATAAATGAAAATTACGCAAAACGTGACATAAAAAGATTTTCATTACCATCCACGCATATTTGTATCCAAGACACTTTCTAGGGCCGCTCAAAAAAGGAATGAAAACTGAAGGGTGGACTTTTGAATAATTTTCGGGCGTAAATCTTTCAGGGCGAAACATTTTAGCGTCTGGCCCCCAGAATCGTTCTGAAGTTTGAAAATAAAGAGGTTGAAACATGATTGCAGTTCCTTTTGGTACAACACATTTTGCTGTCAATTAGAAAATGAAAGTTGAATTAATCAAATGAAACGATTCAATCACTTACTAAGTTTTAAATCATTCGTTGGTGCCAAAACATTCATTGGTGGAAAAGGAAACAATCTCATGCACTCGTTTATCACCATTTCAAGATAACTCAACTTTCCCAAGGCTTCGATATCCATTTCGTCTTGATTCGATGGAAAAGCTTCCTTCATTTCTGAGATGACTTTTTTCTGAACATCTTGGTGAATTGCAAGCATCAGAAGAATGTTTGAAAGCATGACAGCTGTCGTATCATATCCCTTGAGAAAAGATTTTATGTTAATAATTTAAAATAATGTTACACGTGAAGATAACTCAACTGCTATTATTATGCTATCAATTTCACTCTTAATGTCATCGTATTCTTCGAATTCTCGATTTTTGTACATCATGTCAACAATTGTTTCACATTTTCCTGTTTTGTGTGATTTCAAATAATTTTTCTCGTTATCCTTCATTAGATAATCAGAGAGAGTATTTGGTCTGTCAAATCTATGTTTAGCTGCTTTCTGATAAAGGTTTGAGAGCCTAAAGATTGGATCAATCGTCAACCAAATCTTACACATTCGCTGATTTATTATTTCGAACATCCTAAAAAGAATTTCAATAAAGTTTTTAAGAACTTGTTTAAAATTATTAATTGATACTTCATGCAATCTTTGTGATATTGAGCAGCAAGTGCATTTGGAATTCTTTTCAGTCCAAATAATGTTCGAAGAAGATTTTTCATAGTGAAGTCGAAAACATGTTCAGAGATTTCAATTTCCAGTCCATAAAATTCCCTCCTAACTTTCTCAACGAAAATCTTAGATTGGTAATTAATTGTTGATATGTACGATTGAAATGATTTTACACTGAAAGCTGGCATTAATAACCGACGATGTAATTTATGCTTTTCGCCATTCAACGTGAATAGTCCTTGTGGAAATCCAACCTTGCTATAAAGTTCATGCTTCTCGCTGACTTTTTTCAAAACTATTCCCAGGTCATCAGGATCACGAATGACGTAAATCAAAATCGGACCAGCCCAAGTCTTGAATGATTCATCATATTGATTTGCTACATTATTTAATGTCTTGAAAACATCTGAAAAATGATGAAAAGTTATTTCGTTAAAAAGAGTTTCACTAAAAATTTGATAAAAACGAAACCTTGATTTTTTACACCCATAAAATTTGGGAGAATCCCAAAGATTGGCCACTCCTTAGGTCCTGGAAGCTTCGATGCAAACTTGTAAAGTCTCCTTCGTTGAAATCGAAATGTTATGAAAATTGTTATTAGTGCTATTAAACACCCAAACAACACGTCTTCAATTTTAAACATTTTAGAACAATATGATGAAAATAAGTTAAAGAATCTTCAAGAATTCTTTGTTTAAAATTTATTCCTACGAATTGCTTTAATTTATTAAAATAGTTTTCAATCATAAATAATTGATAAACTTGTAATGACTGACAAACAGCTGATGATGACGACAAGACGTAATGAACAAGGAAATGTTTTTCAGATTAGGTTTTCAAATTTTTAAGTGCTTTTGTTCATCACTCACTGTGACTAATCTGACAGTTCATTAATGTATGTATGTAAGAACAATTAGTGACAGTGTTAATATTTATGTTTTTATCCATAAATTTTGAAAAATAATTTAATTTGCAACTCTCTACAATCAATGAAAATTCAACATTGCGTAACGTAAACAAAAAAATTAATAAATAAACTCAACAAGAAAATCTTCACTTGCGGATTCGTTGAATCATTTCATGAGCTGGCGACGTCATGCTGAAAACATAAGTAATTTAATATCAAGGACGTGTAATGAGTAACTAAACAACTTTTTGTTTTAAAAATAACAATTTATTCACGTAGAAAATAATTCACTTCATGTTCACAGAGAAAAATTATTTTAATCAAATATCTAGTCGCTGCTTCGTATTTTTTAAAAAATTATAATTTACACAAATCTGTAGTGAACTTGTATGAAACCGATTAATACAATGACTAAAAGATAAATGCATGTTAGTGAAAAGTAACTTTAACAAACATGTTATTATTGAAGAAGTGAAAATAAGCTTAAGATAATCTGGCAGACACTTTGAGCGTAACGGTGAAGGTCGAGAAGGTTTCATTAACCTCACGATATGTGTGAGAAATGTTGAACTAATAACGACACTAAACACGATTTAATAACAAATGGTGATAGTTTTAACATCTTCTTGAAAGGTTTAAATCATCTTAACAGAATCGGTAGTTGTTTTTATAACTTCCAACATAACGATTGCACTGAAATTGAGAAGTAATTTGATATTAAAGTGACAACTTGTAAGTTATTGTGAGGGTTCATTTACCTTTTGGCAATAATGACGAACAGCTCTGCAATCTGTAAAACCAAAGAATTAACATCATTAAATAATGTACGTCAGATAATAAAAGTCTAACCATTGATAGTATATGGCAACCAAGCACATAGACAGCATCTGAAATGTATGTGATTTCATGAAACTTTATGCCACGCGGAAGCTATAAAATTGTTTTGAAAGTTTACCCGACAAGACACATGAGAAATGCAAAGAAATGGGTCTTGTTGGTGTTCTTTACTTCTACATTTGTATTCGTAGGACTGTGACACTTTGGGCAGACAATATGTGTAGGTGTTGTCAGTAATTCAGGATTATCTACAAATCGATATCAATTGATGAGTGAGTTTATGAAACACTTAAAACTTCCTTACAATAAACAATTTCTGCAGCCATAATTTTGGAGAAACGGGAAAAGAATTTTCTGCACACGAGATATTTTACTTCCACTCCGCCGAAAATCTAAAATTGACTAGCTGAATGTGAAGTTATTCATGCACACATGAAGAACTGATTTGCCTAAAAATATCATCTTTGGATTTGTGTCAGAGGTGGGAAATTGAATAAGTTCATCATTGATCATTAATGAATAACATTTTTGTTTTTATAAGATAAAAACCTGAGTAGAAGAAAAATGAAAAAAAATGAACGTCTCGATTTTCTTTTCTGCGGGAATCGAACCCGTGTCTTTCAGTTTAACGAACACTTACCTACGAAGCTATAGAACTATTCGTGTTAACATTTTTGACAATTTTTTATCATATTTAGGTTGTGAAATTTTTTTTCTCTCGTTAAGATTGAAATTTCAATGTTTAATGTTTTTCAAACAATAAAACTCGAGAACTTTTTGTAAATAAATACGTGGTTGCAATTTATTTTTTACCCAGCTCTGATTAGTATTTTTTCTAATTTTTCACGAAAGAGTTTTCCGAAGAAAAACGTCGAATTAATTGCTTGAAGACTGTTTATCACCGCATTCACAATCTCTCGTCGCCGACACACATAAGATGAGACTCGCTTTTACATACTTAGGGATAAACAATATTGGATTTTCTAGAGAGACCATTGAGAGAAATCTTTAAAGATGTTTGTATCAAAGAATAAACATTAAAAAGTGAAATTCGAGTAAATCACGACTGGTGAAAAGAAAAACTGGGCAGCTTGTGAGAGAATAGTCTGGGGGATGTCAGTGGAATGAGAAACGAATTTTCTTTAATCTTCAAAAGCATTTTCATGTCACAGTCAAACAAACATCGGCTTTACGATCTAAACTTGATCATTTTTCAGCTGATTTACAGGATTAGCATTTGTGTATCTTTAAAAAAGATTTTCTATTAAAATAACATTTTTCTAAGAAATATGAGAAGGCAGTGGTTTTTTGATCATTTATCTGTTGACAAAAAGATTCTCACAAAAGTTCGCTGTAGACACTGACCGACAATTTTTTTTCTCACTCGTTAATCAGCTTTAATCTCAGGGAGAATAACAAACAATGAAAATGTCTGGCTGTGAATAAAACGATCTAGCAAATTATTGACTCATCAATATTGAATCCTCGTTGAAAAGCAAACAAAGCCACAACTCTGACAATGTTTATTTAAAAATTCGACATAAATGTAATTAAAGACTTTTTCCCATTTCGCGATCTTAGGAAAAATCTCGCCACATGTTTATCGATCGTCTACTTTTTTTCTATCAGACAAGTAAGTAAAATGCAAGCTTACAATTTTCTTCTCAGTGGCGTAGAGAATTATTTAATTAATGTATTGTTGAACCATTTGGAAATGCAGTTAACGAGAAAATCTAATTGAATTGTGAAGTATTTTAAAGAACAATTAATAGGATGATCCCACTTAAAAACAATTTCACGCTTTCGATTTTGGATTTTAAATACCAGCACCAGATAATTTGAATCTGTTATGGATAATTACTAATCTAATTGCAATTTTTACAAATTTATGCCATACTGAAAAAGCAATAAAAATTTGTAGAAGTAAAACAGCTTCATTTGTTTATAGCTTTGCTTGTAGAAAACAAATAAAATTTTATGTCTTTATTTTGTTAATTCGATCGTTCTTTTTGTTTTAAAAAGATACTCGTACATTTAGGAAAATAGAAATTATCTAGTTAAAAGACTTTTAAGACAAAAGAATAGCTTTAACTTATATAGAACTGATGAATATAGAGAAAAATTTTCCTTACAATGTTTCACATATTTTGTTGTTTTCTTTTCGCAATTTTTTTGCTAATCTGGTCTTTTCTTCACGTTATTTTTTATATCACTTAATTCTAAAAGATTTGATAGATTTATGACGAAATTTTCTTTTTATAAATATTGAAAAAACCATAAACACAGTAGAAAAGATTGAATAGTTCACAAATTTATCAGCAATCTCTCAGACTGTCGTATGTCAACACTAACCGACACTTTGTTTATATTTTAAAAGCTTTTTCTTTACATTTTCAATTTTCTTAAATATTTAATTTTAATGTTTTTTTTTCTTTCTTTTTCTATTTTCTCACAACTTTTAAATAAATTTAGTTTTAATGTTTTTCTTTTCTTGTTTGATGTTTATGGGGTTTCAATAATAATAATTTGATGCTTCTTTAAAGGTTTAGTTCGAAGAAAAACGATGGCAATATTAGTATTTATAGATTAATATTTCATGATGAACGTAACGGCGGGTGACAAAAGTTTTATTTATTACGGATTTATATCAATTCAACTATTTCCAACGGATTCATGCAACACATCATGTGATGATGATTTTCAGATGATATTTGTAAACTGATAATCCAAATTTCATTTTCTTTTTAATTAGATTAGGGTATCCGATGAAATAGAAATTATCACATTGCTAACCCATGTAGGTTCCCAAATACATCTCACATCTGCGGGTATTTAAATAAATATTAAGAAACATTAGAATTGTTTTGTGTAAGTTGTAAAATTACATACCTCGGACAGTAGTGATGCTGTAGAATAAGAGAAAGAAAAATGATCTTTTTAAACAGAAAATTTTAAAAGTCATTTTCACATTACCTTCTTCTTCCATGTGTCAACTGCGTATGGCAGCCAAATCATTGGGCAACATCTGGAAGAAACAAAAGTTTGAAAGTTAAATGAAGCTTAGAGTAGAAAATATTTGAGTTCTGCTTGCGATCTTTTCATCATGAAAATAATTTTTTATCGTTGAAAAATATTTGCGGGTTAGTCCAAGCAAATTTCAATGTTTTAATTATGTGTAATTCGCATTTAAACAGAAGGCTTTGCTAAAGTGTTTTAAGAGGTTTTAAGCTGAAGATGAAATAATCACAAAGTGTTTGGAAATCTTCTCGACTTCCCCGAGATTTTTACGAGATTGAAGACATTTTTTATACATATTTTCTTTCTCGAGATGTAAGATGAAAATCTCGGTTTGTGATACAAATTTTTATGAGGTGAAGGACGTTTAACTCAATTTCTCGAACTAAACTTAATAGGCTCAGTCATGGAATCGGACAACATCATGACAACCGCATGACAATGATGTCATTCAAATTTCCTGAGTGACTGTCAAAATGAAATTCGAAAGCATCTCATGACAATTGACATTACAGTTTAACTTACACGATTGTCATTATCAGCGCTGCTGCGCAAAAATGTGTTTTTGAATAAGTCTCTGTTTCAATTCGTGATGAAATCTGTTTCAAACACGATGGACATTTAATGTTGATAGGCGAGGGTCCAACTTCTGGCGCATGTCGAGCGATTAAAGCAGCTATTAATTAGAAGAATCATTATCTCTAATAATATAGTTTGTCACAAAAGAAAAGTCGTTTGTATTAGATTTCTCACATTCTACAAAGTTCCACCCCCGTTTATCGACAGCTTCACGCTTTTGACTTTTCTGAGGGTTCATGAAATTATTCATGATTGTTTTAATATTTTTCTATTTGCAAAATGAATTTTCTTAATGATTTTTTTAGTGTACCACGGCGTGGCAATCCTCTAAAACAATTCTTTAAATTTTTAACGATGCGCCTTTTCAAGCAACACTTTGTATCACAATAGATAAATTTTCTTTTTTTAACTTCTTAAAAAAATTACAACTTCACTTCAACGTTATGCGATCTTTACATGACCAACTCATAATGAACAATTGAGAACTGAGTACAATGAATTAGATTTTCTTGTTTTGTAAAGATTTCTTTACCTCGTCGAAGGCATGAAAGTAACTGAAGTCAAGAAAATATAAAAATACAAGTGAAATGTGTCTATAAATACCAGTTTCGTTCAACAAAATGAAAATTAGTATGATAAAGAAAATTTGATGTGGGAAAATCTTTTTTCTTTTTTTCTGGTTGAGAGAAAGGCAAGAGAAGATTAAATGGTGAGTCTATTTAACCGACGTTTTGGTTTCAACGTTCACTCTCCTATTCGACTTTCAGTTGATGTGTTGACGAGAAGATTTCTTAATTTATTTATGTTATTTTTTAATAACAGTAGACATGACAACACATACATGCATGAATATGTATAACACGCGGAAAAATCACAAATATTTTAGTAATTTCCTTGTTTACAAGACAAACTTTATTTAAAATCATTTAATCAACGTGTTCATAAGATATCAGATGTTAAAAGGTTTTTGTTCTTTAAAGCTTTGAAGTTTCTTTTGAAAGTTAAAAATGTGTAGAAAATTAATTCCAATTGATTTTAATCAGAATTTAGCTGAAATTTCCACTTTTCCTTTAATTGCCTGTTCCCAAAAATGATCCACAGTTGGGACAAGTCTAAAAACAAAAATTGGTGTTAATGTTTTTGAATCAGAGTGATTTCTTTTAAAATTCGTCCTAAAATTCATACTCACATGATTTGCGTTTTGACATGAGTCAACACAATATGGAATCAAACAACATCCACACCATAAACCCAAAAGACAGAAAAGACCAGCAAACAAATGAGTTTTCGTTGCAGGCTCATACTTAACAGATGTTGAAATAGACGCTTGACATGATGGACAAACCATAGGTTGAGAGTTTGGCCCCAAGTGTTGGGATTGGACTATGATAGTTGCTGGAATTTTCAAAAAGATTGAATCAATAAAACGAAAACAATAAAAACTAAAATTTTCCTACTTGGTTGTTGAGTCACTACTGGAACTGATTGACCTTGAATGTATGGTGGTGGAACTGCCTGCCCATGACTTTGACCGTATGACGGTGGAACTGATGACATGTTTTGCTGATGTCCTTGTTGGGAATCGATAGTTGGATAAATTTTTTGTCCTTGTGTGTCTATAATTTGGGTTTATTTAAAAAGAATTGGAAAATTTTCCTTTTTTCTATAGAAATGAGTAATTTTTGAACGTTATCATACCCATCGCTACTGATAAATATTACCTACAGCAAGAATTCAACTTGTTTTAGCTTCAAATATCAAACCAACAATGTTTACAGTTAATTTATAATTTCTCTTTGAAAAGGTTTACTCTGCCCTGTTTGACGTGTTCGGATTTTGATAAAGAGTTTCTTATCTTAATAGATATCAAACATGAGTCAATACTGAAAGAGTTTTGCGTGTCGTGTGCATCAAAGTGCACGCTCTTTAACATTTAAAACAATAGAAGCACGATAAATGAATATTTCACAGATACTTTACATGTGATATAAATTATGACGTTACTTTGTCCTAGAATATCCTCGCAAAGCCTTGAAGTGAATGTATGAATATTTATGATTTATTTAAATTATTTAAACACTTTCAACAATATATTCAAAAGTCAATAATCTAATAAATTTTATGAGAAACTGTTAGAGATTCATTTCTCTTGTTCTTCAAATGCCTCTAACTTCAGTCTTTGAACATTTCTGAAAAATATTATTCAATCATTGCCAATTATCTTTTTATTTGATCAATAGAATATTTTATTGCATAATAAAAATTCAAAAATTGTTGCAAAAACTCTCGTCATTGAATTCTGACATTTCTAGAACTCAATTTTCTTATTATTTTTGTTGTGGTCAACAAGCTCACATTTTAGGTCATGCAACGAAATAAATTAGAAATTACGAATAATAAAAAACTTCATTTTTAAAGCTTATTGAACGATGATTAAAAACTTCCAATGTAGTGCCGGCAATTTGGGCATGTCTGTGTAAACAATAATAAAAATAAACAATTTTTATCTAATTTTACGATCAATAATTTCTTGTTAACGCTCACATGTACAGTTCTTTTGCAACATCCACCACAGCAGAGATATGGAATTGGAATGCAAGGCCAGAAACTGAAACAAAGAAAATTTTAATGTGCGAAATTTCTCAGAATCAAAATTGTTCGTCTCACCCAATTAAACACAATCCTAAAGCACACAAATGAGTTCTTCCTGATATTTCGTAATCGACTGTTGTTGTTATCGTTCTTAAACAATTCGGACATGTCATCAGAGATGGTCCTGGACCAACTTGTATTGTCTGCAGCACAACATGATTAGTTGGAACTATACAAGAGAGGAAAATGAGTTCAAGGAGAGTTACGAGAAAATATTTTCATTTAAGCAGATACTCGGTTGATGTGTAATCACAGTCACAGGAGCTTGATACGTTTGATGTGAATTTTCTGTGTAAGGTGGTGGTGCTGACATTTTATTTATTAATAACTTGAATAATTAATCACACTTTATAAAATAAAAACTGACAACTAATGTTGTGAGCGAAAAAGTTCCTACTGAAACTTGCTATCTATTTTTATTGAGACTTTCTTATCATTTCTGTGTTGATCCATCAAGTTATCTTTCAGATTTTTTCATACAAATATGGCTTACGAGTAAAAACAAAATATTTGATAGATATTTTCATATTATAAATCAGGTTTATTAGATAAATTTAAATAGATTTTCAGGAGATTGTTTAATAAACAAACGTGAAGATTATTTATATAAATTTTATTTCATTAATTATCCCCTGTAGCTTCCAAGGTATGCACCGCAATGAGGACAATACTGTAAAAAAGAAGAACATTAAAACACTTTTCATTCAATTTACAAGGAGAAGAAAGTTTTACATGGTTTGCATTTTTGCAAGAGTCAGTCAGATAAGGTACACAAACACATGGCCAGAACACCAGACAAATAACAGCAGCTACCAGATGAGTTTTTGTTGACGACTCAAAATCGACGCGTGTAACTACATTTTGACGACAACTTGAACATGTGATTGATTTTGGATTAGGTCCAAAATAGTCCCCAGTAATCACTTTAAAGGAAATTCTTGTCTTTAGATAAAAGTTCTACAATGAAAAATTACTTTTTTATTACCTGTAACAACTTGCGGTTGGTTCTGTACAGGGATTGAATGCTGCGGTATCGACTGATGTTGATATGGTTGCTGAGGTTGAAATTGATGTTGATCATAAGCTGGTGGTGGTTGAAATCCGATATGCGATGTCTGATCTTGTGGAATTTGTTTTTGATCCATTTTGTCTTTTATTCTTCTGGAAATCTTTCTTACAAATGTGCTGTGAAATTATTTTTTTCCACTTAAAAGAGTCTTCTTATCTTATCACAATTATTATCACTATTTTTATTAGACGTTTAGCGAATTATTTGCTGTTTACGTGTGCAACACAATGAATGTAATTTGATACTGGAACAATACATCAAACCTCGTTGGAATATTTATTTATCTTGGCCGTGTATAAAAAAAATATCAGTGAATGACGTCATATTGATGAAATCATGAGCGATTATCACGCAATCATTTGAATCGAACACGTTTGAATTTTTGTTGTTTATGTGAAATTATTTCAATTTTTTAAACAATGACGACATACAATATGTAAATCATGATCTGGTTTCCTTTAATTTCCATTTGTTGAATCTTTCTTTTCCACATGTGGTTATCGAATGATTTCATGAGATGAGAAAACAATTTCCCAGATGTGAAACTTGTTAGTGGGTAAACCAAAATTTGGCACATTTGCTGCAAGAATTGAAGTCATTCGATTGATAAATTTTTTTTCATATTAAATTTCTAAAGAGCATTAAAAATGATAAGAATTGAATTGTTTTAATTTTCACATTTCATGAGTCACAATCATTATCTTTCAACTTTGATCGTCATCTTTCGTCATCCATTTCGTCAGATTAGATTAGAACAAATTTTTTTATTTTTTTTCTTTTCTTTGCGATCTTTTTATAAAAATGTGTAAATAAATGACAAAATAAAACAAGAACATTTTTATTTTCATCTTAAATTAATTTCTTTATTGTACTTCTTTCCTTTTCAAGTTTTAATCATGTCTACTCGTTGTTGGTGTAAAGTAAACAACTTTATAAGTTCAGAGTATTAAATAATTAAAATTCAATATTATTTATTAGTTGCATACATTAATTCACACTCGCTATAAAATTTATTTCTTATTATCTATTAAGTACCATAAACTTATGAATTCTTAAATACAAGAAAGTTCACATAAATGCAAAGAAAAAATTTGAACTTTACGTAGATATTCGTTTATTAAATTGTAATTAGAAAAATGTTTTGGCAATTGAGAAGAGATTATTTTGATTTTAAAAATAAGAATCTTAAATTCATAATGTTCCATTTGTTCTAACTCGATCAATCAACTCTCTTGGTAGTGATCATCAGAAAAAGTGTTGGAAACTGAGAGAGTGAAAGAGAGCGAGTCTTTACGATTTAATTTGATAATACTAGAAAATTGTGTTGTTTAAGTCTTTAAACGTTAGAATTAATTTGTTCTTTTTGATGTTTTTAAAAATGTTGAAGTGAGATGCAATCTCATTGATTTGAAATTTCAATAATTTCACACAAAGAAGAGATCCAAACTGACCTGAACAATTTTTTTTACTTCTTGGCGATGTTTAATGTTCTTTCTTTTTAGGTTTTTTTGGATTACGTGAGCGACTTTTAGCCTTACACAATGGACATATTGGAGCATTACGATGAATCTGTTGATGGCATGATAAACACGATTTCATTGGCGGTGGTTGTTGTCTGTAAAAAAGATTGTAAAGAAGAAACGAGAATTGCTGTTAATACAATGAAAATAAATTCGCACAATTTTTCGAATGAAATTAAAGACATAAATGACAGTAAAACATAAAATGAAACCATAAAAAAAGTTAAACAAAAGAAAAAACTACCTCAATGAGACATTGAAATCAGACCTGAATGTCGGGTGCATTCCCATAGATGTTGGTGCTTGTTGAATTCGTGAAGCCGGATTGTTGATTTCATTCGGTTTACTTGCTGAAAGTCCTCGCATTCCACTGGTGACAGATGGCGGTGCAGGTGGTAAAAATCCATGCGATGGGTTTAATGGAGTAATGTGTGGCGAGTCAGTTGATGGCAATGGATGATGTGGAGCTTGAGCTTGATTTGCGAGCGCCGAAACTGGCGTTGGACGTGTGAAACTTGCAGTTGGTGTTGAGAGTTTTCCAGAATAAAAGTTTGCATGTTGCTGTTGGAATCGACTGTTGGAAATAAGGAAATATTGTAAAATTTTGATAAAAGAAAACATTAAGAGAAATTTACTCTGGCGTAACAATGGATCCTTCTTCTTCATGTAATTCCGGAAGACGTTCTAAGCCTAAATATTCCCTTCGCATATTGTCAATTTCTGACTTCAATGGAACGTATTCCTCATGAAATCGATTAGCCATGCCCATTGATCTCGATCGATTTTCTTCAGCTTGCTTTATGACCGTTTCCATCTAATCAAATAAATATGTATGTGTATAAATATTCTGGATACTTTTTTAAAACGTTCATTTATCTTACCGCATTGATATCCGCATGAATTTGACGAAGTTCTTCGACATGGCTCATTTTTTCTTGCATCAACAATTCAAGTTCTCTTCGATATTCAGCCAGACATTTTTCTTCTGCATCAGAATTTTCGACCTGATTTACAATTCGAAGTTTCAACTTCTCCAATTGTATTGTTTTCATTCTTGACATAGAAATAATTTTTTTGCGATTACAATTAAAAGCATTAATTAAAAGTTGTTTGCTTACCGAATATCCTTCATGACTTCAAGTTTCGCAAATATTGTTCGTTCTTCAACAGAAGTCATTTTATTTATTTCAACTTTGTTGAAATAAATGTGTTATAAATGTAAGCTTTAATTTAATTCTTTTATATTCTTTAAAATCAACACAATGCTGAAATAATTATTTGGAATAATTTGTTTGAAAGAAAATTGAAGTTTTTGTGTTGCAAGCGTTGACCTAAAAGTGTTACCAAGGAAAGTCATTTATGAACGGCGACGTCTAAATTCAAAACTTTTTTAACCGTTAATTTTTTTTAATCTTTACATAAAACAGTTGTTTTTCCTTGACTCTGTATTACTGCGGAAATGATAATGAATCATCACACACGTCATAAAAATGGAGATAAAAACTTTGCACTAAATAGGTGTCAAGATAATCATTGCGATTCAATGTTTTTCTGATTCACTCATTATTTACAAAATAACCACTCAAACTCTTTAATCTCTTATGAAATGAATGTGATAGATAAGAAAGCCAATTGTCACCGGTGGGTGTTTAATCTATTGAGCCAGGTGATAAATTTTTTTAATAGGAATGAAATTCCATAACTGATAAGATTCTTAAACTTTTAATAGAGTTTTAGTTAGATAGCGTCGTTATGAAATTTAAGATAAACATTTCTGAGTAATTTTAATTTGCAGAAATAAAATAAACAGGTGATAAGGTTTCATTATTCCAATACATATGTATGTAGAAAGGTAAAACTACAAATATTTCAATGTTATTTTCATGAAACATGACTTTATTTATGTAAATATCTCCATTAAAAACACATATGCATGTTCACTAGCCACAATCATCGATTTTTTGTTTTTATTTTTATGCGTATGATTCACTTGATTGACACTTCAAAGCAGCAACAATTATTATGTTTGAAATACATCTCATCATAAGTTATACTCAAAAGAGAACATCTATCAAAAATATTTATATAAAGTTAAATACGTAATTTGTTTAATCAAAGCGTGCCTCCCACTCTGCTAATATTTATTAAAAATTGTCAGCAAAACCTTAGAAAAAATATTAGGTCTGACATGAAGCCTTCTATTTGTAAGAGCCAAGGAATGAATTGCAGTTTGGGCCTGAAATAGTTAAAATTATATTCTGTTATCTACAAAAAAAGTTGTTGAGACCATTATACTCACAGTAATGGTTTGCGTTACGACAGGAGTTTGTGCAGTATGGAATACATCTATATATATAGATAAAGATAAAAATAATGATTTAATCGAAATTCGAGTATATCTAAACACTTCAACTTACACGCATGGCCTGAAAAAAATTGGAGAAGAAAAGAAATGTTATAAAAAGCTCGATTAGTTTACTCAGATATAATCATACCAACAGATAAACAGACACAAAATCAATGCAATAATGTGAGTCTTTCCTGAGGCCTCATGTTCGACTCTTGTAGCTATTCTGTAAACACAAACAAAAAATCATGTTAGGAAATGTAAAAAAGAAGTTTTGCATTTTGAAAACTCACGATGCATGACAACTTGGGCATGTCATTCGCGTGCTATCAGGCCCAACAGCAACGCTTGTTTCTAAATATCATAAATTGTGTAATTAATGATAAGATAAAATGAAAACTTTTTTATTTTCCATTAATCATAATTCAAAGAAACTTTCAACTTTTAAACTTCCTGCTTAAATATCAAATCTTAAATTTTTTTTCACTGTTTTACTTACGCTGAATGATAACAGTTGGTTGTTGCATGTTGAACTTTTTTGTTGTAAATTTTAGTAAAATACCCTTAGAAGAGGAAAACGTTTCTGAAAACGCCTGTAAACTTGAAATGTACTTGCGCGACTATTTCCTTGATTGTTTTATTCAGTTGTTCATGTGAAAAATACGAAATAAGCGCGCATGTATAAAGAACCGTGACATCATCTAAATTGAACCGCTACAAACAAACAAAGAATTTAAATCTTTCTTTACCGTTAAATGTTTATTAATCCATAAGATTGTGCAAGCATTTTGATTTACGATACATTGACATCCAATCATGTTAGTTTTTAAGGTAAATAGGTAGTTTTCATGCAATATTTTCTAGGAATTTATTTCATTGCATATATATCCTCAGAGGTAGGTACCTTAAATTATATTTGTTCATAACAAACCTAACTCATTTTAAATTCTATCACATGAAAATCTCTTCTCAATAAATGACTTAGATTTAGTTCTTATTTAAAACGAATCCTTTGAGGTATGAATTCCTATGCAAACATGGTCATTGTATTTATTTGTATAAAGTAGAAACCTGTTAGGGACCTTTGTTATTTTAATAACTTAAGAGTAAGAAGCACTTCAGAGAAGAAGTTGATAAATATTTATGTATGAGAACTGAGAAGTATCGGTGTTGATCCTTTTAATGTACTTTTATTTGTTCAGTTTTTCCATGACCCGGTTTTATTGGCTTTCAGTTAGCGATGGGATTCAGATTTCGATTTTAGATGAGAGAAAAGAAACCCACGTCTTCTTTTGACCGATATTTAATGACACTAAAGGGATATAAAAGCATCATCAGAGCTTTACTGTTTTGTTTTATTTATAAAGTGAAACTTGTTATGGTTTGAAACATTCTAAAAATTCGATTGAAATCAAAATTTAAGTACTATTGAAGACATTATAATTAAGAGATGGCATGATTGAATTTTAAATCTTTAAGTGCACAATGCATGCTGCATCACGTTTCATTGCACTATGGATTAGTCTTAAGCTGATTTATGAAACCAACGAATGATTTTATTATAAAACAATTCATAAAAGAGACTGAATCGATAGATATGGATACACATCTCTGATGTTTGTTAATTCTTCGATTCCAATTATACTTCAACTGGAAAATAAATATGGTTCATTAAATGATTTAATACTTGCCTGAACAATAAAGCATATTGGACTGAAAATAGATGCGCTTGAATAATAAATTATGATAAAGCTCTTTTGTCTCATTCTAGTCAATGGTGTGTATGTATCAACTGTTTAATGTTCAATTAAGCTTATAAAAATCGATAGTTGCATAAATTATAGTTTGAAACATGTTAAACAGCATCGAATCTTAATTTTGAAAGGATCATGAATTATAGCACAATGTGAAAATGTTTTTAATAGACGATTTTATGTTAGAAAGTGTCAAATTGCCTATCGGCTAAATTATGTGTCAACAGTTTCATTTTGATCAATGACTAATTCTATTTAAAACATACAATGATGACTCAAATTGTGTTTTCAAAACTGAAAGATAAACCAAATGGGTAATGTAATCGTTTAATCAATTTTGTTTGGAAAACAATTCAATACCAATCCACACATATCGCATGGTACGTGATGACAAACTAAGTAAGATTTTTCGTCTAAAGATAAAACCTCGAAAGTTTAGTTCAATTCGGATTTGATTGAATATGTGTCGGAGTTTGCTGGCGTTAAATGGACACTTGTATATATATTTTATATATACATACATGCCACGCTTTTGAGAAGAAAACTTTTTTCCCTGTTCAATTTCTCCTTTCTTCCTGGACAAAAAAAATTATATTGTTTGGTATATTTGTGATAAATCACGTTTCCGAATGTTTTCAATGGGATTGAAAATAATATAATAGACGGAAAAAAGTTTTTAATATAATTTTCACTCCATTTGAAATCCGAGAAAAGAACGTTTGTGTATTTTCCGACAACGGCGATTGCAACATGTGAAACTTATCCCACAATTGAGTTATCTCTTGTTGAAGAGCGAACCATACACAAGTTCGGAAATTGATTTTGATTTTATTTTCTTCATACATGAGAACGTCTTTTGTATTAAAATGTCTAAGACTGTAGTCTGCAGTTGGATTAAATGATTTAATAATTTTTTTCTCTCTTTAAACGACACTCCCTTCAATATCTTTATTTTATTTTTAACAAAATATCTTTAAGAGTTTCTTAGACCCCCATCAATTTCATTAATGAGTTGGTAGCATAATTGACAGAGGTTGACGTACCAATGTTTATTCTTATTATCGATTAAATAGACTTTTTCAATTCTTTTTAGATTTCCAATTTTCGTTTTATTTGTTTTGTTTGGAAGAAATCTTTATTTTTCCTTTTATTTAATTCGTTGCTGACACAGTAAATTAAATCTAATTTTCTTTCCCCTTGAGACGTTCCATACGCTTTCTGCGGCTTAGAAATTTAAGCTTTTCTCCATAAATTAATTTTTATGCTGATACTCACATTATGATTCATACTTCTCTTCATTTTCCTTCAAAAGCTCCATAATAAAGCCATTAAAATGATTTACTCTGCCTTTTCTTGTAAAATTATGTAATTCAATAATTAAATTATTCTGAGCATGAAGTCGCCTTATTACGATGAATAAGCAAAATAATTTATTATTCATTTGCAGAAAATGTTGAGAAGGCGAAGATAATGAGAAAAATTAATTCTAAATAATTTTTTAATTCATTCTTTAGCAAAATGTTTTCTTCTTAATCTAAATATTTTTATTATTGTGAATGAATGAATGACATATTTTCCTTTAAAAGAACTGAATGAATAATTTCTAGTTATGGAATGATGTAAATTCATACACCGTTTAATAATTTTAACGAGTGCACTAACGATCTGTGCTGTTTTATATTTCCCGGCGAAACTTTTTCTCTGAGTCGTTTACCCTGTTCGCAGTGGTGTCGATATGAACTTCTTAGAAGATTTTAACATGCCGCATATACTTCACTGAATATCTGAGAAGAGCAACTACTTCAAAACTTGAAAGTAAATAAACAAATAAGTTTCAACAACAAAATAAGTAACAATTAAAATATATCCAGCATCAAATAATTATTATTTTAAGGGAAAATGGAGTTCTTACTTGGTGGTTTATCTGGATGTTGTGCTGGTTTTTTCGCAAATACTTTTGATGTAATGATAAATAAAAAATAAATACCTAATAAATGTTTCAAAGTGATTACTTAATATTAAAATAGGTGAATTTTATTTAATAATTTCAGGTAATGAAAACGCGACAACAACTACAAGGTAATATTTGTCAATGAAACGACAAAGTTTAAAAAAAATCACCAAAATTGTCTCAGTTTAGGAATAACAAATAGATACTAAAATAGTCGATAAGTAGCTGAATAATTCAAATTAAGATAAGATAATTAATTATTAATTACAAAAGCTTCATTGTTGGAAAATTTCAACTCTTTATGATAATCACTATCAAATTACAAAATACATAATAAAATATCTTTAAAAATATTTTGATAACAATGTTAAACGTGAAAAGGCAAATAATCACGTCTGAACGATTTGGGAGCTTGTAGAATTTAATCCAACCGAAATTAATCTGCAATAAATCGTAAAATATCTAAATTGTTTCAGTCTTAGAAGTTTAAAAGAAGAAAAGTTTTTCTTTGACTTAATACGCTCTAAATTATTAACTAAATGTTATTGCTGATAAAATGTTTATCTCTTGTTGCCTTAATCTCATAATAATGTAAATAATTTTTTTCCTCCCACTTTGTTTCTTAGGTGAACTGATGAAAGATGAACAAGTCAAGCACAAACCTTACAAAAATATTTACAAATCTGTGCAGAGCATCATTAAAACCGAGGGACTTAGAGGCTTACAAAAAGGTTTATCAGGGCAGCTCGCATTCCAATTTGTGTATAATAGCATTCGTCTAGGCACCTATCAGACAATAGATGATCTAGGATTTCTGAGTCGTGACGAGAATGGAAAATTATCGACATTGAGATGTGTTGTGGTTGGAGGTTTTTCGGGTTTTATTGGTGTTTCATTCGCATGCCCTTTCTACATGATCAAAACTCAACTGCAATCTCAATCAAATAGCGCAAAGTATGCCGTTGGTTACCAGCACAAGCATAAAGGCCTTGTCGATGCTTTAAAAACAACATACAATTCACATGGAATGAAGGGACTTTGGAAAGGCTATTCAGCAATCGTTCCCAGAAATGTTGTCGGTTCAAGTGTCCAATTATCAACTTTTTCAACATGCAAAGAAATCATTGGGCGCTATGAATTGTTTTCAAATTCAATATTTTATGCTGCTGTTGTCTCAAGTTTACTTACTGGATTTATTACATGCATATTTATGACTCCTTTTGATACAGCAGCAACAAGAATGTTTAATCAACCGGTAAGCAAAGATGGAAAAAGTTTAATGTACAAAAACATCTTTGATTGCTTCATAAAAGTTACGAAAACCGAGGGATTCTGGCATGGATTCTACAAAGGCTTTTGGCCAAATTATTTTCGAATGTGTCCCCAACATCTTCTCAACTTGACCTTTTGGGAGCAGTTTAAGAAATGGAATAAAGATTTCAAGAGGTGATGAGTAACAATTCTCTTTGTTGTTCGAAAATCTAGATTAATGTAGTGAAAAGGGTAAAAAAAGAATAAAGAGCGGAACAATACAAAAGCTTTTATGCTTTAAGTAAATAAGATAAGTGAAGTTAATCTTCTATCACACTTGTAACTTAAAACTGCCACTTTCAACTTTGCACAAAAACTTTACAATAATTTTTTCTTGTCACAAGGAAAATCAAAAATTTATTTTCTTGTTTTTATATTATCAAGTTGTGTAAGTTTGTTGTTGAGAAATAAGAATTTAGATAGAAAGAAGAGATTGTTAAAGATGATACAACTAGCATTACATTGAATTTTTCAAGGATTCTTTTCAATGTTTCACATAGAAATCCACAACTTCTATATCGTTTTTCGAGAAAATATTAAAAGTGTTAAAAGGAAAGCAACAAATTTCACGTTTCTTGGAAAACTTCTCCTCGACAAGAGTGCGACAGTTGATTTTAGATTTTCTCTCTAATTCTTCGAGCCACTCGAGACTTTGTTCTTTACGTATTGGTGATTCACGTCGTGGCATTACAAGAGTTGCCCAGTCAGATTGGTGTTGACTTTCAACACATGTCGTGGGATCATCACAAGAACATTCTTCATTGACTTCTAAGCAACTTCCACATCGACGTTTGTGATAATTAAATTTGTTAGTTTTACTACCCAAACGAGAATGAAAATTAAACCATGAATCTTTTTTCAGAGGATGGTGAAGGTTGAGAAGACTTTCACGTGCTTTTAAGGTACTTATTCGGTTTAAAAAGTCAACTGCATCAAGATGATCTCGATCTCTTAACGGGATAGAACTTTCATGAGAAACTGTCACATTTTTCTTTTTCTTATGGTGATTTTGATGAGATTTCTTCTCTTTTTGTATAATTGGGAGTAGATCTTTAATCGAGTTACTTTGTTGAGGGCCAGAAGGTCGAAAATAAATTGTATAACGAAGATTCTGATCAACTGAGGAATGTCTTCTTCCTGGTTGCAGTTGTGACGAACTTCTCCTTGAAATCTCTTTCTGAATTTTTTCTATCGTTTTATTTTCCTTTTTTTGCTTCTTTTTCTCACGTCTTTCCTTTTTCTTGTCTTTCTTTTTGTCTTTCTTATTATCTTGTTGTTCTTCACTTCCAATTGATTCTTCATCCTTTTGACTATCGCTCATAATTTGTTAAAGTGAATATCGAACTTTGAATAATAAATATAAAAGATTTAAAATTTTACTGACTCTGAATGTTTTTTGTTTATTTCTTTTTTTGTCATGCCTTCTGAGTTAACCACATATTAATTTAAATAAATTTGACACAGAAAAATTAATTAAATTTATCCCTTTTACCTTGTTTAAAATCAAGAGAAAATGTCTGAAAGTTGTTAGTGCTTTGTTCTTTAACAAGGTCTATTAACAAAGTCATTCGTCTACCAACCCTTTCTTGAACTTTCCCCACCTTCGAATGGATAAGGAAAAAGTAATCTGGATATGTATAAACATACCAACAACTTATGTTATCCTCCCATCATCATCAGACCCCTGAATATCTCGTCTCTAAATGTATTTTCATCTTCAAAAGAAATGAATTTCTTTTTCTTTTTTTCACTTTCTCGTTTGCCTTTTTTCTTATTTTTTCTTGAAGATAACAAAGTCAAGCAAAAAATAAAAAATAAAATCATAAAATTTGAAAAATTTATTAAACTTATTTGATTTTTCGTATGTTTTATTGGAGAACTTATTGATGTCATTTGTTTTCAAGAATTCTTACGATGCGATTTAAATATATATGAGATGCTGAAATTGATATCTTTGGAAAATTTACATTTCTGATTTCTAAGATGTCAACAGTGACTTTAAAGCTTTAAAAAGGGGAAGTTTAAAATAATATTTGTGTATCTGCTTTCAATGGTTTTTCACTTCCTCTTAACTCATGTTGATAAGTATCAGGGTTATTAAATATGGGTTATAATTAAGGATCCCACTTTAAATCCCCTCAGTTTCCATTTTGGTAATAGCATTTGAGTAGAAGCTTACACAAAAAAGGAAACTTTTTGATTACAAACTATCACAAAATAAACAAATAATTCATTCAACGCCAAAATCACCACAGAAAAATATTTTTCGAGAATTGAATGTAATGATGTTACGAACATACAATAAAATATAATTTAATTCAATAAAAGAGTGCAGTTGCCAGCAGAGTGAATGAACGATACATAATGAAATTAATGAGATAACAAGAATATGTTGGCAGAAAAGAGAAATAAAATATCGAAATCATCGAGAAATTCGTGTTTATTTGTTTCGTTTATTGAAAAATTAATCATCTGAAATTAAAGTTAAAATTAAAGAAATTATTATCGTGTTTACTTCAATTAAATACATTTGAGTTGTATTTAGGTGAAATAAATTATTTTGTCTGATCTCATAGAAAGCAGTCATAAATTGTTGCAAAAATTTTAATTTTTCACACGGGGATAAAAAATGTCAAAGTTCGTTTTATATGAAAAAGATCGAAGATTGAACATGCAAACATTTGGAATTCTTCATAATCAGCAGTCCAGGGAATTGGCAAAACAATATTAATTGCTTGCAGCATTATTTTTTTAAGGTTTCTTTCTTTCCCATTCGTTTTAATATTTTAATTCACATATCTCTTGCAACATCAAAAAACCAGACTTGTAAAGAAAATTATTCATATCATCGTTTTCGACAGTTCTTAATTTATCAGTCTTGTTACTTTAGTCTCCTAAATTTCCGCCCCATCTAAAAGACGAGAGTAAGTGGATAAAACGAATACGATGCGAGAGACGAGAAAAGAAAGATGGAAAGTATAATGTAATGACTTTGCATTTTACTTGTGATGTTTGCTAAATTGATCCACATTTGCATAACATAATTTCTAAAGCTTTCATTTATACACGATTTTATCATACATGATGTACAATGTTGAAGCATGGATGTGAAAGAAAAATAAGTAAGGCAAGCTGAGAAAAACGAGGAAAAAGAAGAAGAAAGAAAGAAAAAGTTGCTTGATGGATGGAAGATCATGAAAGAGATTTTATCGACGAGATTGCTTTATTTAGTTCTCATCATGAAAAGGGCAATCGATAGAGGGATAAACATAGAGAATGAAGTGCTTTGAAATATTGTTAGAGATTATGGTGAGGAAACTGAGGGTGATTCTCCGGATGTTAATGAGAGTAAAGGGAATAACAACAACGGAAAGCTAATTTCACAATTATTTTAAAGTATGTTACAATTGATGCTTAACAACAAATCGTCACTTAACGCTCAATGTTGACGAAATTATCGGAAACATGGACCATGAACTTTAACAAACCCAATTGAAACTTTTGAATTTTTAATTTTTAATTTTCATCAACTTGTTCATGAATTGTTATTAAAATAAAATCTTTTTCAGGTACAAAACAAACTTCATACTTTTTCGAACGAATTCGAATCATTGCCAAAATATTTCCTTCTTCAAATGCTTCTCCAACTTCACAACCACTCTTGATAATATCTTTTATTTGCGAACCCCAAAAGTTTGTTGTTGTTTCGTTGAGACTTGATTTAATTGCAATTCCATCATGGTTGAACACCATTGTACCAAGAATACCTTTGTGGCGTGAGATCCGGTTGATCATTTCATCAATTTCGAGTGACTGTTTAAAGAATTAATTTAATTCTACGAGAGTTGTAAGTTTTTATTAATTTCTCACCATTTTCCTTGTTCCTTCTTTTAAATTTTAGTGAAATCAAAAAAACGTCTGAAAATAAAGCTTTCTAAGACTAACTTAAAACTTTTTGCAACACAAAATCGATTCGTTAAAGTAGATAAAATGTAGACGAACAACAAAGTTCTGTACTTCATGTAGTCGTCAAATATCATCTGCCAATTTCAATTCATCATAAGTTGAATAACAAAAATCTTTTATCTCAATGCAAGTAGATAGAAATGAAACCAACTTTCATATCTAAAGTTGTGAACAAGGACATTAAATTTTCAATACACAAAAATACCTCGTTTCGTTCTCGTTCCATAAAAGTTTAACTGTCTAAGCTTACATGATAGAAAAACTCAATCTGATATTTTTCACAATCCTCTATCTGATTCTTTGGCAGGTTTCTTCATTTCTTTTATTTTTCTCTTTACTTTTCTATTTCTGATTCGACTTTGACATCACAAAATTGATTTACAGAACCTTTTCTTCTGATGTTAAAAATGGGAAAGTTGTGGCTTTGTTACTTTGATGATTTTATTGGCCACATCAAGCTATTAAAGTCGAAAAAGTTTCGGGATTCCTTATCACCGCACGATAAATTCAAAGATGCTGTCAAGGTTTACTTATGTATTCTTATCTAATTTGCGTAATTTTTTACAAGTGTCGTTCATAAATTACAAAAACCATTCTTAAGTGCGACCTTTTTTTATTTTACGGCAGAAAAGAGAGAAAAGTTTTCCTAATAATAGCCTCTTAATTAGCACTTGTTTCTTTCCACTTTCCGACCATTTTGCCGCAATTCTCGTTAATTTCTAAACTTTCTTGCATGATAGAAAATGAAACTGTGAACACAAGAAATGAGTCGGGGTTTCCTTAATCTTCAATTTTTGTTTGAAGTCAAAGCGACTAGAGTTAATATCATTTTTTTCTTTCTTTTTCTTATTGTTCTTGTTTCTCGCCATCAAGCCCAAAGCTTTGGATTTGCATTTCTCCGCATTTCACTACAAATTAGATAATTTGAATCCTTAATACAGAGAGATGAACAAAAAAAAAAAAGGTCCGACAATTTCTTTCTTTATCTCTCTCACTCACTCTTCTGTCTTGCCATAATCTCGAGAAATCTCAATATTGTTTTGTGTCGAGATAAAGCGAACATAAGAAGAGAAGAAGAAAAAGTCAAAGAGCTTGAAAAGTTTGCTTTTGGCTAAGAATTTATAATTTCTGACGACACAATAATAATGATAATAATAATAGAAAGAGGGAGGGGGCATTGGACGACTGAATCTGAAAAAGATGAGCTGTAAGGGAATGTTGAACATCATTAGGTCATGTCAGTCCAAGAGCGATGAAAACTTTTCATTTATGTTTGGATTTCAAGATTTTCTTCTATTTTTATTTCATTTGTGTCGCTTGTCGCACAGACATTAGCAGAAAAGTTACACAATTCTCGATCAATATTTGCACAAGATGCTCAGTTAGACGCTCATTTCATGCTTTATTTTTTTTTATTTTCTTCTTCTTTTCTTGAATAAAAATCTCTGCTGGAATCCTTTTTAGACAAAAACGATTCTCATGTGGCTTCGCCTCCCTCCGGTGTGCTAGTTCTAAATTGTGTTTTCTCTCATACGGCGTCTTCACAATATGATTCAATTTATATGAGAATGTTTCGGATGAGATCAAGAAATGAGGTTTTTACGTTTTACACCTTTATGTTATTATGGCGCAAAAATAACAACTTGGATTGTTGAGAAAATTGTGTCAGTGGATTTGGATTTGGAAAATGGGATTTATTGAAGAACAGAAAAGTTGTTTGTTCCTTTTATAGCAAACCGAAGCATGCATAACTGCCAGTGATTCTGAGGCTTTTTTACGACACACGTGAGGCATTAACAGCTTTTCAACGTGGAGCGAATCTTTCTATTAAAGTTGACAAACTTCTGTTTCTTTGTTTAAGGTGTGACTTTGTTAGAAAATATCCAAATATCCAAATACATATCAACATCAAGTGATGAGTTTATAGCATTAGATGTGATAATTGAAGTATTTCTTTATCTTTATTCATTTCTATTTCTATTCTATTTCAACTTTAAATCATTCATGAGCATCTGCTCATCTTAATTTCATAAAAAGAAAAACTTTTAAAATGTCTTATTTTTCTTGCTTCTTATATTTAAGCAGCCAGTCAGCGACGACAAAATTTTATCTGCAAAAATAAATTAACATCACAATACCAACTATTGATAGAAACGACATTAATTCCAAAACTAAGCTCCTAAATATTTAATGCTCATAAATCTTTAATTTGTTTAAACATTAAACTGAATCATCTTTCCAAAAGAGGAAGAATAAAGACGAAAAAAAATAAAATTTAAATTTATTAAAAAGTATTTTTGGCAGTTTTCATATTTTGTATTCGTCTCAAAATTGACCGTAATTTTGAATGACTTATTCCAATGATATGCCGCCGCAACGAGAAGTAAATTAATTTGATAACTGGAGGCTTCCGAAAGCATTTAAAATTCTTCAATACAATCTTAAAGATGTATTCAAAATGAATGGAATGCCATAAATCAATTCCAACAATTACCGCACTCACTTGAGTTCAGTTTCAATATGCATGTAGGCATGCACATTGCTCGATGGTGGGTTGGAAAGAAGAATCGATAGAGAAAAATTGTTTTTTTTCTTTGGGACTTCCAAAACTTTCAAGAATATCCCTAATCGGTATGTCGAAATTCTGAAATCTTATAAGTTCCTTTTACTGTCCTAATTCCCTTCCAGACATCATCCAAAGACATTCAATAATTCTTCGTCTCTTTTACTAAGTCTCAAGTATCCCGAAAAGTTGTTTAAAAAACGATAAATCAAAGTATTAATCAATCTTTTTTGCTAACAGTTAATTCAATGTCAATTTGGGAACATTTTGTGTTCATTAAAGTGAATGATTTATTCGCTTCTAACCCAATCACATTTCATAAACGATTTGCACTTAACTTCAAATTAAAGGCTCTTCCCTAAGATAATTTTTGTACGTTAATCGTTCTATAAACATACAAACAACATCGACCCACAATTTAACCTTTTGCAACATGTATAATTGATATATTGCTTTACTTGACTCCGACTCATTCAATTTGATTTCCTTTCTCTCGCTTTTCTCTCTCCTTCTCTCTTCGTTCACCGACCACGTTTCAAGTCGAATACGAAAACTAATCGATTAATTTTGTAGGAATCCTCACGATAATTCTGAATACGCCTTTTAACCATAAACCATTCCCTGAGATGAAGGGAAAAAGGTTGCCCACAGAAAATCAAAAAGTTTTTCTTCACATTTCACAGGAAGGGATTTAGCGGATGTTTCAATTCAAAACGAAGACGAACAAAAAAAAATGCCTTAATCGATCTACGTAGTATACATACATTAACTTGGATTTGAATTGAAGGGAAGAATCGATTGTGGGCCGATGACAAATTGAAAACTTTTGAATGTTGAGAATTTTAATTCATTTGGGAGATTTCTCAACTCATAAGAAGAATTGAAGAGAAAAACAAAACGTTGAAACCTTTAAAGATGCTTTAAACAATTTTGGAAGATTTACTGATTTCTTGAAGATACCAAATATTTGCGGGATCATAAGTGTTTAAGATTTTTTTCACATGAGACGACAATGCACGAGCAGAGAAGGAAAATATCAATTTTTTTGACTGAGATTTATCGTGAACGTGATATGACATGGAAGAATTGTGAGACGAATAATTTCCTATTCATGTACATGCATAGTTGTGGGGGTGGTAGTAAAAAAAAGAATAAAATATTTCGCTCTTGATATGCTGCGTAATTTGTTTAGTCATGCATAAGAAATCCGTAAAATTAAAGACGGAAATGGAAAGTTAAAGAGTGGAAAAAGAGATTCGATGATGTCATAAACATGCATAAACCGATGGGTGGTAGAAGCACACAGAGCAATGCTTTATTATTAAGAGATTTTCTGCAACTGAATCATTTCAGAAATGATCATTTTCTTACGACATAAGCAAATGTTTATACAGTCACATCTCTACATAACATTAGAAGCAATACAAATTTTAAAAAGAGATTTTTTCAATTTCTCGAACTTTTATGTTGTTAAACCTTAATATTAATCAGAGACCTTAATTTAAGTACAATAATTTGAATGATCCTTGAAAAAGGGTTTCACTGTACAAACATGTGCACATCAAAAGAAGAAATCGATGATACGTTATTACAAACGACAGTCTCGAAATGTTTAACCAATGAGCTATAAAATTACACCGGAATCAAAATTGATCCCGAACGAGGTTCAAATCGAGTCACTCGCTTTCTTTCTCATAATCGTAATTGACCTTCTTCCTTCGATAATATTAGTCGGGGAAAAAAGAAACTTTCAAAGACGAAAAGCATGGAAAGAAGAAAAACAAGTAGTAAAATGCTCAGGTCACGTTCCATTTTATCTCAACATTTATTGACCATTTAATGGTAAATATACATGAGGGGCTGCTCTTTATTCAGCCTTAATAAGCTATCGTTAAATGAAATTGTCAAAAAAGGAGAGAAATGAAACCGATACTGTCATTTATTCGATTGAATCAATTCGTGATTATGATTAAGGATAAGAAATGTAAGCTTTTCTATAACCAAAACTTCGATTGTCTTCGAGTATGCTTACTTAAAAAACTATTTCACTTCTGCTGATATTGAAACTTTTTCTTTCTAATAAAATAGAATCATTTCCAGTTGTAGTAACCAAGTTGAGAAATTTGTTCTTAACAAAAATTGAATTTATTTTCGCCTCTTCACTTTATGTATTTAATCTCATTCCAATACCTTTTAATCTCTACTGTGAAATGTTTACTTAGCACCTGCCAATTAGTCCAACTTTGAGATACTTTGAAAACTTGGCATCGTTTTTCTAACTTGAGGGTGTTAAGTGAAGTTTAGATGAAGAAAATAATCAAACAAAGGTAAATCGAAGAAGAAATTTCCTTGTGTCTTAGGAATTTTAATGAGATGGTTTGAGTTAATTAACGGTGCTGATGGAAATGTTACATTGAAAATTTTTGTTGTTGTTTTTTTCTCGATTTTGACCCCTAGGGAATAAAATGTCGTTTATCGATTGTTTAATTAAATAAATAATTGTTTCACCCACGAAGAATCTCAGATTTCCTTACTTCTGAGAATGAATTTCCCTTCAAATGATATCGAACAAGTGGGTCGTTGTCAATTGGAGACTACCATTAAACTAAGTGCTCTTACAAAAATAAAAATAATTTACATAGACTCAAAATAAGATGAATAAGAAATCAATTCTCAGATAAATGAATTTTATTTATTAACTCTAAGATCAAAAAACTGATTTTCTTTACATTTTCCATTTATTTTTCTTCAACATCGAATTGAAAATCACAAGTAATTTTTAAGAACATCTTATTGTCAAATTATCGATTTTGATTATTATTTCCGGATCAATATGAATTATCATGAAATGAAAATTCTATGCATAAAAAAAATTTCGTTATTCTAACCAGGCAAAATAAAGCTCTATAAATGTAAAGAAGGAAAACTTTCAATTCGTAAAGTGAAATGCTTTGTGTCAGATTGAAAGGAAGAACTTTAAAAACAGTAAACATTAAAAAAACAAGCACTGACAACATTTTCGTAATAAAACAACTGAAGTTAAAAAGATTATAAAAAGTTCAACATACCAGTGAGTTATGTGATTGAAAGGTAGTAAATTATTCAATAGCTTGATCAGCCATCTGAAGACAAAGAGATTCCAAACGATTGTTAACGTCGTTGACACTTGCTGCTGTTGAGTTGAAACTCATACTTAAACCAGAATCTTGGGTCTTCTCATGCGATGATAAGTCACTCGACGATATGAAAGTTGTGCTCAACAGATTTTGTTGGTCAGAACAACTGCTGTTTCGAACCTGTTGTTGATTAATATTGAAACCCATTGGATTATTCATAGAATGACGATAATATTGTGGATTTAATTGGGTAATCTGTGAAAAGGTTTGTTGGTTGTTGAACTGAAGATGATGTTGTTGCTGTATCAACGAAAATTGATTGAGTTTCTCACGACTTGCTGATTTTTGGAAATTTGACAGGTTCACTGATAAGTTATTACCATAACTTTTATTGCTTTGATTTAGAGATGGAAAGCCATAATATTGCATCATATTTTTGCGGCAGTATTTCACTTGACTTTCACTACTTTGCGCACTTGTCTTCAATTGTTTCGAAGTGTTCCATCTGCATAGAAATAATATTTCTGTAGCCAATTAATAAATAACTATAGATTTCTACTTACTTTAATTTATTTCCTTTACTGCCACTGCTGAAATTAAACTTATTATGGCCATATTGAATCTTCAATCGTTGTATCTTATACTTGAACTCTTTTAAGCGAGTGATTTGTTGTGCGAATGAATCATGATACAAAGCTTTGTCGACAAGCCAATTAAAAGCAGAAAAACATTCTTCGTCGCAGTTTTGAATAAATTTTACATTCATCAGTAATTGGAATGCTGTGAGAAGAGAAAGGTTAAGTTTTACGTACGTCATGTACGTCAACAATGATCAACTTACCACAATCAAGAAGTCTCATGACATGTGACGCAACATCTTCATCGTACGGAACTGTGTTTATTGGCTTCATTGGAGTTAAAATGATGTTTGTAAGCTCATCTAAAACTGTCTTTAGAGGTTTACCATCGTCAATCAAATCTTGAACCAATTGCTTTAGCACTGGAACACGATCAGCTAGTTTTTGAATACATAAGAAGAGCTTATGGCGGGCACCTTTTGTAACTCCTAAACCTTCCAAAAATTCTTCTGTAATTTCCATCATCTGCTCGTAGGTCATATCATTGAAGAGCCAAAAGTATTTATGCAATCGTAAACTCTTTAGCCATACACAAATATGTCCCATGCCAATGTGATTCGATGGACTGGCGTATTGTAAATTACTCATTTTATTAAGCTCATCAATGCGTGATGAGGTCGAACTTTCTGAAGAACGCGTTGTATCAGATACCTTTTTGATCTTCGTAAATTCTGGAGCATTATCAGATAACATTGAGATTCCCGAATCACCACTTATTGAAGTTGTCAAACTATTTGTACTTTTTGTTAAATTATTTACATTTTCGTCACCATACGAACCATAAAGATTGATGACATGATCACTAAAATGCGCTGGTTTATCATCTTTCTTTTCTTCCAATTTAAAAATTTTATCAAATCTCGAAGTTGTTCTTTCTTTCTTTTCTTCTTGATTTGATAGTCCTTCAATGACAATTTCATCAGTGACTTCTTTGCCATTCTGCGAGAATGATGCGTTGTGTTCACTGTTAGAAGTGGAAGAAAAAGGCTTTCCAATGCTATTGAAGTTGGTTTGCAATGGATTTTTATTTCCAATTGGTGTTGGATAACCTGACTGAGTTTTATCAGTATCAAAACTGTTTGGCAATGTAAATACACGAGAATCCCACAAATCTTGAGTCTTAGAAAGATGCCAGTCAGAGTCGGGTGTTAATGGAAGCCATGACGAGGATGTCGAGCTTGAAGTTAATAAACTACTACAAGATGAAGGAGCTAAGGATGAATTGCTATCAATTGTGAAGTTAAAACTACTGTTTGTAAAGTTTTCAATGTAGGCAGTTGCAAAATATTCTTCGAGTTTACGTTGCCATTGTTTCAACAACAATTGATCGTCATTTTTTATCATAGGATGGATCATCAAATAAGTTAAATATTGCTGAATTAGAATAGCAGGTAAGACGCTTTTTGTTGTATCTTCAAGTATCAGTGGTACGAACTGCATGTAGGCTTTCTTACATTCGTCATTATTTGATCGTAACAATGGCAGATACATCAATAGATCGGAAGCAATTTCTTCTTTGTTTGAGTATTTAGCGACGAGATTGTCTTCCAAATTTTTTTCTTCTTTTGTTTTGTCTTCTTTTTCGCAATTTTTGTCATTTTTATCACTGGTTTCAGTTACTGTCAATGTTTTATACTTTTGGAAAAGCTTGTTAAGGAAGGTTGTTGCATTAGCAGCGTCTTCCAAATGTGACACTCGATGTGGTTTGTTGAAATGATTTTCCAAATGATGATCGATTGAATTTGAAAGTAATTTAATATTTGCAAATGGAAGCAGCTTAAAAACTGTATTAATTACAAGTGTCTTTTCGCAATCATTCCATTGACTATACATAGCTGCGAATTGATTATAAGTATGACTAAGCGTTGCTGTGTCACATGGAGGTGCTGTGGCCATTGAGGGTTTCATTTTTAATGAATTTTGAAGGTTTCGTCTGAACCAAAAGTCAATTTTTTAACAAATATATTTCTATTAAGGACACAAAGGTAGACAAATCGATTTGCAACTACCCCAAGTTTGATTATCAGCAATTAACTTTATTCAATGTTACAATTGTTTGATGCTCTGAAGAAGAAACGAGAAAAGAACAAAAGATTAATTGAGTATGTAGGGAAAAGGCAACGTTTAATCATTTCCATAAGTCATCCTACAAAATGCTTTCTGCAACGTTTTTCCCACGTACATCGTTTCGCGGTAACATTTTTTTTCAAATATGAAGCATCTTTTGTTCTTTTACGACAAGAACAATGAGACATTTTGTAAATGAATTTTGTTCATTTTTCAATGTCGCAAATCAAATATTTTATATATTTCAGCTCACCTTTGTCTTAAATTATTTGATTATTATATTTCAAATATTAGAGTTTATTAATTAAGGTTTAAAATTACAAATTAGTTAAAATGCTGAACTTGGGTCAAATTCTTCTTTTCGAAGTACAGGGTTGAGTAGAAAATTTATGAGTTCAATTTAAGTTCACAAAGCACTTTTAGAACAATCATCAAAAACATTCGAATTGAACCTCAATTGAACTCTTGATCATTTTCGAAAATTATTTTAATAATTTAAATGGTCACAAAATGCTGACTTCTTTATTCAGAAACATTTAAGTACTGATGAGACGTGTTAATTAAATCAATCTTTGCCATTTTCTTATAATATTTAAAATTTGCAATCTCAATAAATTGTAACTAAAAAAGATGGAATCATTCACACGTTCTATATCAACCTAATTTCAATACTTTGCAAAGATAGGACAACTTGTATCTTGTATTTATTAGAAAAGAAAACTTTGGGAGAAGTTTTTTCTGGTGCCTGTTTCCATCAATTGTTTCTCAGATAATTCAAATAATGAATTCCAACTCTCTAAAATATCATCTAAGTTGAAGCTTTTGAGTTTAACTATAAAAATAGACAGGGAAGTTGGAAAAGCAGTTTAATTCAATGAAAATCATGACTTAATAAATAAAAATTATCTGATTCCCCATGATATAAAAGGTAACAAAAAATATTAAAAGATCTTTATCAAAAATACTTTCAACACTTGCATCATACAATGATAGATACATAAGAGCTTTTATTGATAAATGCTTTTACACAAATAACACGAGCTAACGGCATATGTTTTATGTAAAATATCCGAGGGGAGAAGGTAAAGGGAGAGAAAATAATGAAACAAATTGCCGCAATTTTCTCCCAAACTGCTATTGACAGCTACAACAAATCACTGAACTAATTGTATTTGAATCAAGCGCAAGGGCTTTCGTAAACAACTTCGTGAAAAAAGAAAATCTGTAAGAGAGTGAAAAGAAAACACCTTTTTCATGAACTTGGGTGGAGGAGAATGTTTGCATGAATAAATATTTTATTGTATTTTTCACCTCATTCTATCACGAGCACCTTTTTTTTCACCACATAAAAAATGAGTTTTCCATTATCACAATTTCTATTGTATAAAATATTTACATTTTAATCAAAGTGAGGCATGAGAGAATGAAGAAGTAAATGGAAAAGAGATGTCGATTGGAAATGGATAAATTGTATAAGTAAATTTCTTCTTTTCTTTTGCAACTGTCTGCTACTTTTTGTATGAAATAAAGAGAAACTTTCTACCGTCATCAATCTTTCTCTTTTCTCGTGATAAAGGAATAAAAGCACAATAGTAACAAACTGATATATCCATTTGCACGAGGATTTTTTTTCCACGGATTATTCTCATATGATTCAACTAGATGAGTGGCGAGAGATGAGAAATCCTAACAACTCAAACAATATACAGATTTCAACCTTACAATAGGAAGCTGACTTTGCTTACTTATGCAATTGAAATTTACGCTTAAGGGTGATTCATAAAGAATTTGATAACAATTTGCGCAATCCAAAACCGAGAACATTTCATTCGATTGTAATGAAGCGTTCAGAATAGAGAAGCATCTCAACAAACTGATTTATATTCACATCGCAACATGAATCTTATTAAGTTTATCGTTATTTTATTGTTTGCTCATTTATGTTTTGTAGATAGCACAAGTTTGTCTCCCTTCCGGACACTCGCTTTATATTCCATTACTCGTACAAGGCAAGGCTACCGAAAGAAGAAGAAAAAAGAAAAAGAAAGGCGAGTAGGAAAATGCCAAATGATCCGAGATAAGAGACAAGCACGACACTGATAGTAAAAGAGACGCATTAAGTCAGTAAAAAAACCAATAAACACAAAAATGTCTATTAAAATGTATTAGGTTGTTTTGACACTTACATTCTCTGGAAGATGCTCCAGTAAAGTCCATTCATCAAGGATAAGGAGGGCGGCGTGACACTGACAATGAGAGTGTTTCGCTTTGTTATGTTTTGTTACAGCCTATTTAACATGATCAACCATTCATTAACAATGCGTTGTTCATTCATGTCATGAGAGATCACACTTCTTGAGTATGATTGTTCCTGGTTAAGCAAGTTAAATGGTTCGTAATAAATTTATGAAGAGCTCTAGTTGACATGCATACGAACGGATGAACGGGAAAAGTCTGTTAAAATATTCAAAGAAGAATCAGATATCTATCTACAGATTAAGAAATTTGTATGGAAACCAAAATAAAGCTCTTGATAAGCAAACAGAAAGCAATAATTCTTCACTCACTCAAACCCATAAACTTCCTTTCTGTTCTAGCCTAATGCACAAGCCAAAGAATGTTTTCACTTCAAGGCACTTTGTTTAAAGTAATTTTTTGTGTTTTCTTGACTGAGACCAATTTCCTTTCGCTTTTCTTTTGCAGTCTTCTCTTCACTCTTCAGACTTCTCACATAGCACTTTTTTTTCCTTAAAAAATATGTAATTTCCATTTTTACATTCCTTAACATCGACTAAATAGAGATATCTGACGACATTTTTTTTGTTCGTCTCTTCTTTTTAAATTCACGTATTTACCTTAATCCACCCTCGAAAAGGCGATAAGCCGCGTCGAAGATATACGTTGTGAATATGCTAATAGCTTTATCAGGGTAAAGCCAAGCGGAATGTTTTTTCGCTGAAAGTTCTTTCATTCTTTCGCTTTCGCATTGTTTGTCAAATTGGCTTAGATTTTTATTTGCATAATTTTTCTTATGTACTTTCACATTACTCTTTTATAGAGATGCTGAGAAGAATATCGTCAACGATAGATAAAAGAAGAATCGAATTTTCATGAAAGTGTTGTATCATTTCTCCCATCTTCATACCTTAAATATAGATATGTACATAAAGCTTATACAATCAATGTTGTAAAATGAAAATTTCCCTGTAGCAGATGATATTGTTTCAATCATGGAAACAAAGTGTATCATGGTGGAAAAGAGATTACGCTAAATAACGTTAACCTATATTAAATATTGAGTTTGTTGCTTTCCCATGTTTGACAATGAATTTTTCGAAGTTAAAAGGTTTAAAATTCAAAAATTTCTTTCTAAAATATTAACCGAGATTGGAATTTGTTTTAATAACCTAGTTTTAATTTTATGAAAAGCTTGCAGAGAGTCGACAGTTGATAAGCTTTATTATGACAAGCTTTCGTCATAGTGAACAATGTCAACATTGTTGTAGAAGCAGCAATAAGCATACATATTGCAAATATATTGCTGATTCTAAAAGCAACAACAGAGCTTTTAAATAATCAATTGCTTTAAAACATAACTGCTACTGAACTTCTCAACAATCCCTTGAAGAGCCCTTATGGCACTTTTTTATTTTGCTGATCCATAGCTAAACTTTAATCAAAAGTCATGACAACAAACTCCTACGAAAAGCTTAAAAGTATCTAATTTCAGGTCGAAATTGCAAAACAAAAGAAAGCAAGAATCAAAAAATGGTTCTGATTCTCTTTTATTACCCACTCGGTCTTATGTCGAAGCCATAAAAATAAATCGTTTCTGTTATTTTTCTCTCTTCTCGATTCGTTTGTATGATATTTTCTTTTTTTTTATTTCAGAATTCCATTTCAAATAATCATAATTTTTTTGCCTCTCAATGAATATCATGTGTATGATAAAAATAAATACGGAAAAGCAGAAAAACCTATTTTTTGGGTGGGAGGAAAGAGAATAAATGGGAAATCTCATTGTATTAGAGCATAATATGATCATAATGCTGTCGGTTGTTCCCACAATAATGACGACATAAAAAACCTTCTTTTTTTAAAGTATCTACATCATCTTACATTAATGCTAACATTTTGAAAACCGCATTAGACGCGAAAATATGTACCTAACTTGAATTGAATGTGGCACGTAAAGTGATGCATTTGGAAGCCAATAAACCGCATGATGAGTGTGAAAGCTATTACAAGAGTCTTAGAGGTTTATGATGAATGTCTCAATTAATGTATTTACTTTCTTAGTTCTAAATATGTACCCGAGGTTGTTTAAATCTTATTCACAAACACGCAACTTAATTAAAATTAAAATAGCATCATCACAATCATGGAAATGTATTAGCATTTGGATATTTTTTTATGAGGCCACAAAATATGTAAGCATATGATTGGCGTAATGACTACATCAAATATGCTCATATAAACAACTCAAAATCACATCATATAAGCAAACATATCAGAGGCAATAAATTTTCCACAAAATTTTATGATTAATGAGCTTTAGAATGAGTCTAATCGGCAGACATGTATCACTTTCTCGATTGCGCGCACACACATAATAATGTTAATGCTATTGTAAAATGTTCTCACTGTTTCAAGGAATGCTCTTAAACATATTGTTGTGATTTCGCCATCCATTAGAACTGCTTTATTCATTGTGAAGATAAAAATAAATCTCAAAGGAATGCCAAGTGTCGTTGAAGTTGTTGAAGGGAAGATGCAAACTTGCCTTTTTTGTCAAGAATTAATTAACGCCTTGGTGAGTTTTAATTGCTTTTAACAAGTTGTTAATGAGCTGTTCGTCGGCTGTCATCAATTATCTCGTAACGACGACGCTCAAGATAAGGCATTTGATTCCATGTTAATGATTTAATTTAATGTGAAGAAAGGAGAAAGCCAGAAAGCGAATGAAAGCAATATTTATATAGAAAAAAATAACATCGTTTAATCATGGCAATCAATCTAGTTCAGTAGACTGATTCAACTGGTGAAGTTAGAAAAGTCTCGATGAGATCATTTAGTGGCACAAGAAGAGACCACAAAGAGCGAACGAATCGTTTCATTTTGACAACTTTATAAGAATCTTGTCGACATCAGAAGAATGTTTAATGTTGTTTACTTCTAAGTCACAAATTATTGGGTTTTCTTTTCTCTTTAAATTTTTCATCTACATTAGTCACTGAAACGGTATTCAAACCAATTTATCGTTTCATGTCTCCACTTAACATTATGCATCTCGATACTTTTATAAAAGCATTTCGAAAGAAAATTAATGACATTGAAACATCTGAAGCATTCGACAGAGTGATTTCATTTCAACGACTTAAATTTGAATATCTATGTAGAATGTGGATATACGTGGGAGTGTTCAAAGATCACGTTGCGTTGAAGCGAATAAAATTCTTTTTCTTTCAGATAACCATGCATTAAAATAGAGTTTTTCTTAGAATGGTTCTATTCAATGTTTAGTATGAAAACTTGTTTATTTTCCGTAACATAATCACAAACCCCACATGACTAAAGAATTCAACTTTCGAACGACTTTCATTTAAATTCTTTATCACGATACTCAACCAATATTGTTGATGTACAATATGTCAAGACTAAAATTATTGCTTGCTATGCTACAGCTTTATTAGACATTGGATTAACAATTACCACTATACATGCTTCTTATGCTCGTTAATATTCAATTTTTCGTCTCTCATGATAACCCATTTTATGCCAGTTTTGTGTATACTTTCAATCACGAATGAGAAGGGATAATAAAATCAAGGTAATCCGGAGGATGAGAACATCGTAAAATGCTGAGATAATTAACCCTAATTGAAATTTTGTATTAAAAACTTGAGAGAAGAAGCGATTTTTTTTCTTCTTTTTATTAAAAGGCTTCATACTTAAGAGCATTTATGAACTCAGCAGAAATGTACAAAATATAAAAAAGGTTGCACGCCGAAAAAAGAAAACATATTCTTAATGAAGCTGTTAATCATTGGTGTGTTAAAGATAGCATGACGAGTTGTAATTCGGAGAAATTTTGTGTATACATAAAAATTATTCATGATTCAATTTGCAATTCAAAATCTCAACTTCCATTTAAGCTATAAAAAATCAATCATTTCTGAAATCGTAACTTAATGCTAATGTTTTAATATTGTTTTCTTGGTTCAGTCATTTTTTCCCACTCTCAAAAACTGCAAAACATCTTTAATGCTTTTCTGATTGAAGTTCAAAACTTTTCTCAACACCAGGATAAACAAAACAGCGTTTGAAGTATCATAAAGTGATAAACCAATCAAACAAAGTTTTCCCATGGAGTAATTCGATTGCACTTCAACTTTCTTCTACTTCCTCTTTCAACTCAGTTTTTATCAACAACTTCATTCTGAAAAAAAGGAAAACTTTTCCTTTACTCTTTGAGCTTCTTGTGCTGTTTTGAAGTCACAAACTTTGCTGTTTGCCAATTTTTATTTATGGCGACGAAAAGTTTTCGCATTTAAAAAAATTGGGTAACAAAAATATTGTTTGCCTTCACTCTCTTCACATCTTGCTTAAATCGGTTCATTTAAGGAATTTGAAGGAGCAGCAGGAGATGGCAATAGAAGAAGAAGAAGAAAGTTTTTGATTCCCATAAAGATCTTTTGTTTTCTGGCTTCTTCAACGCAATTTCAAATGTTTTCCTTCACTTTTGCCGCTTTCAATTCTCGCACCGTGCCATATTTTTCACCCTCTCGATTTTTATTCCATCTGCCTTTTTTCCACGACTGTTTTATGAAGAGGCAAAAGTTTTAAAGATCGTACGTGAGTTGGTGCTAAATATCAAAATTATGTAAAAAAAACTTCCTTCGTTATTTCTCTGTTGATGTTTCACTCTGCGTTTTCCAACAGTGCAAATTTCAAGTTCAATGAAAATAAAAAGTTAGATATCCCTTAGGAGTTGTACGTGGATTAAGAAAGAAGGAAAGAATTTTTCTAATGTTCCATGTTCCACTGACTGATTTCGTGTCTAAACATTTAAACATTCCACAAATCACTTCATATTTTCAGGATTAGAAGTGAATCATAATTTGATTTATTTGATTCGAATTTGACAGAGTGAAAATAAAAAAGTTGTGGGAAAGTTTCACACGCTCGAACTTTCCAACGAGCTTGAATGAACTTCAGCCGAACAAGGAAAATTTTGTTTCAATGGATAACGAAACTTTTCCGCCATGAAAATGCTTTTAACTTGATGAATGAATTGTTCGTCACATGATTTCACCAGAATTTTTTCACTTCATAGCGACACTCACCAAAAAGAGAGAAAGAAAAGAAAAATATGTCGGCATTGCTATTGAATTATAAAATTATTTTGACAAATGAGAAAATAATGTTCACGGATAAATGAGTTGTTTCCTTGTCACGTTTCAAGATGAATAAGTTATCATTCAATTTGACGTGAACATTTATTGCTGTTCCGAAGTACTTACTGCTCTCTTATTTTATATTTTTCCTTCAACAACTTTTTTTCGTTTTTTTTTGTCATTTTCATTATGATTGATTCCATCGATAATTTAAATGTGGCTGATGATGAAGAAGAAAAAGTAAGTGAGTTAGTGGAAGAAGAAAAGATCGATTTAGCTCATTGGAAATTGAATTAATCAGTAGAACTGAAAAATGACTTCATAAAATTTATAGCAAGCTTTTTAATTTAATTTATTAATCTTTAGATTGGAGGGTTAATTATATTAAATTATTACTTCATAAGCGGGCTTTGACTTTGTTAGTCAAATCGTCAAATGTTTATTATGAAGGCGCCGTTAAACACGCGCCTGCGGTTGCTTTTCACCCAAAGAATCCTTTCTTCAATAGCAGCATTCCAACAATCCAATAAATTTCAATTTCACTGGCACAATTTTTACTTGTTAAAATATTTAGTATGATATTTTTATGAGCCATAAATTATCACCTTTGATTTTAAAAGCGAGGCCGCAAAAGGTTCGTCTTCTGGTTGAAATGAAAACAAGAAAGGAATGAAAGATATTCCTGAACATCTCGATGAACAATGGAATCCTGCTGTTAGTCGTAATGCATTTACACAATTCTCATCTTCCACATAATGTTAAAGCCCAGAAATTGCTTTCAACAGTTCATTATAGAGAACTGTTCTCGGAATTGTTTTCAATAAATATTCAGAACCTTCTTCGTTCCTTCGATGTTTTCCTTTCCTTTGAAAGAAATCTTACATGAGGATTTTTTTAATTTATCGATTCTAAATATTTGATTATCAATGCGTATAGCATTAGAAACACTAAATCATTTTAATATAATAAATGATGGAAATTTAGCGCCAACAGAAATCGCTTTTTTAAAAACATAAAAGAGAATGAAACAAATGAAGTCGAATACAAAAAAGAAGAACATTTTTCGATTAACATAAAAGACTATTAAAGAGTTCTCAGGTTTCAAGAAACTTTCCAAATAAATTCTTTAAAGAGTTTTTAGTAAGTCAAAAATTCTTCTTCTTTTAGATAGATAAAAGTTTGAATTGTTTGTCGAAAGCATTAAAATCCGCATCGTTGCTTCATTGAATTCAAAATGCTTTTGTTTTACTTTCTTTGAGTTTTTATTTTTTGTTTCATTTGTAAAGGTAGAATATCTTCGAGCAAATTAATGAAGTAAAAGGTGAAAATGTTAAAGGGCAAGCTTGAAAACATTTCTCGTTAGGAACAATCATAAATTACGATTTTCATGCTTCGATGAGTTGGAAAAAGAAACTTTCAATCAAATACAAGGATGAATTTTATTTAAAGGAATTAAATTCAATTAACATTATTTGCAAATACCTCCCAGATGTTTCTCCATTCATTGCACAAGCATTGTTTTGATATCTCTTCAACGCAACGCACAAATTTCGTATTTTCATTCGCTTATTTTATTTATTTTTTTTGTTAAATTGAAAAATGCGCTGTAATCAAATCATAAAACTCATTTTGATGACCCCGAAGGCTGCTTCATTCGCCTGTCATCACATTGTTTAATAAATATACTTCATCATTATGTCAATAATCTGTTTAATACTCAGCCATCTATTTTGTTCGAAATAATGAAATTAGAAATGAGAGAAAAACTTCACCGAAGCCTAGAACCTACACAAAAGATTATTAAAGAAGTTGGTGATTGAAAAATTATTCGAATGCTCGTTAATCAGGCCCATCAATCTACATTATTCCATGTCTAATGTTTAAAGTTTTTTTTTTCTCGTCTTGTCTCTGTTGTAAGACGTTGTCAATGGCAAGTGAAAAGCTAATGAGATGGTAGCAGAGCCTTCTGTTCCGTCATCACTTTTTTTACAACGTTAATTTCATTTTTAAAGATTTCAAAAAATTTTGATGATGGGAAGGGATTAATCGAAATACTTTTTTTGTCGTTTTAAATCATTTGACGATTTAGCATGTGACTCATTGGTAAGCTTAGCACAATGTATGTTGATACTAAAACGATTCAAAACTCTTTTACCTCCACCGACGACTTTAAATATTTTTATATTTTGTAATAAGATTTGATTTTTGTGTGAGCGCTGCTAGAACGTTTAAAAGTCACACAAGTTTTGTGTAAATTGAATTTTTTGAAGTTTTTAGTCTTCAGATTAAATACAAAAGAAGAAACAAAAGCCTTATAAGAAATGACGAAATGTTTGCCTTCGTTTGACTCTCTCGTTTGTAAATTCGTGAATTGAGAGTGAATTTCACGCTCTTTTAAATTCTCTCGGCATCTTCAATCTTCGGTGAAGTGCTTCGTACGAAAGCATGCGATGTTCGAAAACGAGCAAAACTAAAAAACCGTCTTATGTATCGCTCGCTCTTCACAATCATTCGTGTGTCGATTTTTGATTTGAACGGAACGATTTATTATCAGATGAAGGATAAATTGATTATTGTTGTGATAGGACCTTATTAGGACCTGATTATAATATTCAAATTGTGTGGTGAATAGGAAAGAGTTAGGAAAATTTATAACTCTAATAAAAAAATTTATAGCAAAATATTCAGATAAAAGAAAAAATAAAACGCACCTTAATATTTAGATATCGAATCAACAAAAAAACACAAAAAATATAACAAAAACTTAATTATTTTGCTTTTTTTCTCTTACATCATGCAAAATTGAGATTACCTGCAAATTGTTATTCAGTGGTGAATTTTCTTTAATATTGATTTTCTCTACATGGCATATGGAAAAGTGTTTTCCGGTGTGAATAATTCAATTATCTAAAAAGAAAAAGAATATTAAAACGCGGAACAATATAAATTCAAAAAAGTAGGCAAAGAAAAAAATAAGTTTATGTGCTGGAAAAAGGCATTTAGCCAATGAATGTTATTTTCTTATCAAAGAGAAAATTAGCAAAAATTATGATAATGAATGTAGAGAAATGAAATTAATGAAATTAGTGTTCTTGATATGCGAGTGTTGAAACGTTTGGAAAGGAACGTGCAAGAAGTTATAAAAAGGAAGATTTAATTATTAATGATAATTTTTGTTCTTTTTGGTGAAAATTAATACCAATTATAAGAAAGATGACAAGAGTTGGACATAAATAAGTGCTTCGACTGTTTAATGTGCTTTATTCTCTCACTTACTTGGGATTAGAGAAATTCTTGCAACTTTCTGCCATATAATATCGTGAAACACTCTTTATTGGATTATAAGTATACAACAGTAACATCAAATGCGAATATCATAAATGTGATTATGGTTTAATCGTAAGTCTCGGCGAAACAAAATTCTTAACAATATAATTTGATAAAGTCAGGAAATGATAAATTTATTAAAAAGATTTTAGATATTCATAAGAGATAAACTCGCTATACCCAAGCAGAGCGCACGGCAAATAATGAGCGCCTAATTATTTATGTTCTTTGAAGTGCTTTTTTATTGAATTATTTTTCCTTTTTTCATCTCCCATCTCATTCAAAATCTTGACGAATATGAAACTAGAAACATCTTCAGAATTCATAATTGAATAAAAATTTCAAGGAGAAACAAGACTAAGTTGAGATACATACAAAGATAGATTGATAACTATCGAATATTTTATGGAATGTTAAATTAATAATGAAATCACTTTTCTTCATTAATTGCCTTATTACAGTTGAAAAATTTATTAATTTCATCTTCAGTGTAACCGCTAAAGCTCAATGAAGCTGTAAAGTGTTCTCAATGCCATAAAGGAGAGAAAAAAGTATTTTTATTGAAATAACTAAACTAACGAGGCCAATAAAATTTTCATTTCTTACTTCCTTCATAGCACACTTTCTTACATTTGAACGACAAATTATTCATTTGATTTCTTTGGTGAATTTTTTCTCCCTCATCTTGCTACAGAAAATAATTTTCTTTTTCCTTTTTATTTTCAATGGAAATTAAATATAAATTGATTTTTTCCTTTTAATATTTACATACTTGTGGGAGTAAGAAGGAAAGAATGATAGACAGAGAGGGGGAAAAATGACTTATTTCTCGATTATCGATTAGAAAAGCTGCTCTCGGACCCGACATTTCGATGTGTTCATTTTTCATTTCTCTTAACTTTTTATACAATTTGTGGCCTCAGTGTTAATGCTTACAATCAATCACCAAACCATAAAATATTAAAAGATTGCAATCATACTAAATATCAAAATGATTCGATCGATATTATTGTAAGGAAAAGTAGCTTTGGAGCTTTTCCTCCTTTTGTTTGTTGGAATTTCTTTCGAATTTTCAAAGCATGATGTAAATTTATGTGAAGAATATTGATTTTAAACAATATTTACACGCCGGCGGTTGTTTTTATCGGTTGCGATGAGAGCGGAAAAGTCAAATGTTTCGTTTTGTTTATTGTGCGAAAAAGAGGAAAACTTTTCTTCGCCGTTCTGAATTGTTGTGGCATGTTTTGATGTGTAGGTTTGGAAACTACTTCCGCACGAGGTGAAATGAAAGGAATTGCGTAAGAGAAAATTAATTTCATATCAAAGATCTTGAACTTTCCTTTCCATCACAAAACCAAGTCCTAAAAACGCCTGTCATGAAGTCATCGAGTAAATAAATAAAAGTCAAATGGAGTCAAAGCAATTTTCTCCCCCAAAAACGGAACCAAAGCGCGTCTGATCGCAATTTAATGTCGATTTGAATTTCGATATTTGTATACTTTTATGGGTGTTTGTTCTAACGTTCGCAGGTCGATTACCATTCTCACAGTCGTCGGCGGCTAACAGAAAAATATTCAATTTGATTTACGAATCGTGTCAATATTATTTTTGTGCGTTTTTTTTCTATTTTTCTGTTTTTCCATCTCACTTTGTCGCCCTATTGAAATCAAATAAAACACTGTATCAATTTTCATGTATGATAACTCATAAAGTTTTGTAAACACGTTTCATCTGGTGCCAATAGCCTCAGACATTGACGTTTAGAGAACGTGTGATAAAATAATCAAATCATAAAGCGAGAAGAATAAAAAAAGAACTTTTTTCACTCTCATCTGTCGCACTTATGCTTCGTTATAACACCTACGGCTGTGCATTTTATCAACGTTTTGATTTTATTCGAAGTGAAAATATTTATGTTGATGTTTCTGTTAAAAAGCAGGAAATGTGACATGACCATAAAACTTTGTGATTGACTCCAAACATAAAAGTTGAAGAATTTTCGGTCGCATTTCTCCACTCACATGGATAATCGTTCTGTCACCCCGAAAAAGGTTTAAATATTTGTTCTATCGCTTTTTAAATGTTCACTAATACTAGATAGGACTTGTTTTATTTTGTTTCAAATTATTGGGGAAGAACTTTTACCTGGTATCAATTAAACTAACACATGATGTCGAATCATTTTCTTCCCTTCAAAGTAATTTAAAACTCATAAATATCATCGCACCATGATGTCGACATACATTTTTTATGTCCATCACAAGGGATTCTCTTGATGTTCCTTTACCGTACATGAATTTTTTTTCATTCTTCTTTGAGCCTCTCTTAGTCGACTTTATTTATTGTTCAAGGCGGTAGGAGCAATTCTAGCGATGTTTCTTTGTTTCTTTCCTTCTTGCGGTATCCTTTTCTCATAACGAATTCGCTTAACGTATTTTAACATTTATCTCGGAACATTGTTTTCCTTTTTCTTCCTTTCGTTTTCATCTTTCCAATGTTTTTTCCTCTCCTGATAAAATTTATTATGTCTGAGTTTCAGCGAGACAGATTTAATATCAATTTTCTCTTACATATGTATGTCTACTTCTCGTTTTTTTTCGCTTTATTGTTTCTTCGTCTTCATCCTTCTTGCTTAACTATATTTACTGATATCACTTTATTTTTCTTTGTTCGTTCATTTCTTTCTCAGAGTGGTTAACGTCATTTGACTGCTTTCCTGACATTTGACAGGCACAAGAAGGTATCACAAAGTAGGAAGGAAACCGATAAATTTTTCACAACTCTTAATGGCTTTGCTTTTATTTTTTTCCCTTACTTTTTTGTTTTTATCAGATAAAGTTTTGTTGATGGCACAACGAAGACAAATTTTTCTTTTTTTCTTCCTTTCTTGTTCTTTTTCGGGTTCATCTTGATGACTTCTAGGCCAGGGTAGATTTGCGAAATTTGTTTCTTACTTAACTCAGTTGATTTAATGTAATAGTTTTAGGCTTAGTAAATTGAGCACGGAAGACTCATGCTGGGAAATCAATTATTGAATGCTCATTGACCACATGCCTCTAAAGGATTTTCCCTTTCAAAGGTGCTACCGTTCGTATGGACATCGAACGTGCCTTGTTCATTACAGGGCGTAACTAATTTACTTTTTGGCATAAATTTTATGAACAGAAAATGTGAGAAGTACAAGTTCCAACTTAATTTTTAGTGTTGAGAATTTAAGGTACTCAAACAATAACAATTCTTCAAGCACCATAAATTACCAGACGAGGCACCTTTTCAACAGTCAGTACTGTGAATTACGCACAATAGTTAATAATTTTCAAAAGCATTACACGTAGAACGAAACGAAAAGAAGAGAAAAAATTGAAAAATTACGTTTCATCTCTGAATTGAATGGCAATTGTGAAAAGTGTCTGCTTCTGTTGAAAAAAAGGGAAACCAAATTACGAAAATTGTTGTGAGGGGAAGAAAAAAATTAAAATTTCTTTGAGAAGTTTAAGAGTTTAAATACCATTTAAAGAAAAACAAAAAAGAAATTCATTTCGTTGAGAAATAATTTAAAGTTAAAATCTTTTGATGCGAAATGTTTATGTGATAATAAACAGCTTAGGATTAAGTAGATGAAAACATTAACTTTTCTCTGAGAAATGCTTGGAAAGTTCGAGTTGAAAAAAAATTACTGAAATCATTTATAACAAATGAAATATTTGCTTGAGGCATTTACATGAATAAAAAGAGCAAATGTTAAAGGTTTCTTTATCAAATTGTTTGAGCCAAAGAAAATTTGACCTTCTAGAGTAAAAAAGGCTTTTTCATTAAAAAACGGAACGATGAAAATTCTTCTCATTTTGAAAATTAAATCTTTTCTTTCTGCAACAAAAAATTAATTGTTTTCATTACAACTGATTTTGACTTTCAGTTCTTAGAATTTGTTCATCAATTTGAGTTTTCACAAATTCCCAGAGTATTCGAAGCTTAATTATTTTAATGTTGAAAGAAGATCTTAGAAATACTTTTCAACAGAAATTTTTGAATCTTCGGAATGATTTTGTTTTTCTGTAAGTGAAAGAAATTTTCCATGAGTTTTGAACGACACAAAGTTTCTTTTAGAATCTTCTTTTCTTGTTCTGTTACCAAGTCGTTAAAGAAAATTCTGTTAAAAGCTTTAAGTCTATTCAAAAAAAGAAACATTTAAAGTTCTTTTTCATGATAAGCAAAATAAAATACGTCAAAAGCAAAGAAATTTTGGTGGTGCTTATTAAATCTTTGTGAAGATTTAATCATTTTATAACAGCCTATAAGTACCTAATTAATTGAACAAACATTAATAGTTGAAAATTGTCTAACACAGCTTATTATGAATTCATGTAATTATTGACACTTCCAATAGGAATAAATTTTTCAAATCAAACACATCCCACGACATGTCTTATAATCAATGATAATTAATAACGCTGATAAATATATATTGAAACATTAGACATTTAAAAATCATCAATTTGTCAAACGACCAACAAAAACAAATATTTTTATATAAAATCAGCTGGTGGCGGGAGTCGTAAAACTATTACGAATGTTGTCTCTTCGGAGATAAAATTTGAATACTCGATTGAAGTCTTCTTCGTGGTGGTAATAAATTCCATCAAAAGTTTGATCAACTCCCGAATCTGTCCTTGAAAATCAGCTTTCAATATTTCTTCATCATTCAAGCTAAATACGACAAGAAATACGTTTCCTCTAAACGGTAAATAATTTTAATATTATTGACAAAAATTTCCATAACCCAAATTTCTCAAACATAAATTTAGTATGAGTTCTGCAGGATGTGTTTAACATCGATAATGAATTTGTTCGCGTAGAAAAGGAAGGTAGTAAAAATTGTTATTCCATAAAGTTCAACTCTATAGTTATAGTCTTAGCCGTTAAAACGGCACTTGAATGAAGAAAGGAAGAAAAAGAAACGAGAAATTAACTTGACAACCAGCATGCTCATACAAAATATTTCATAAGTCTCGAACTGAATGAGTTCTTATCACGCACTTTTTACATTTCGACAGTGGAGGCTATAAAAGGCTCATAAAGCTCGTCTACGAATGATTCGTGGACGGAGGGGAAGTTTAAGGCCATGTCGGAAGAGTTTCGCTGTTTTGGTTGGCGCAAATTGAAAAAGGCATCTAGTTTAACTAAAATGATTTATGTGTGACACGTTCATTCGATTTAAAGTGAATCGAGAACAGCGTGAAAAGAAAGGAAAAAAGCGAAAATAAATTTCTGTTTTTGATGCAACATTTATACGGTTGGTAACAGCGTGAATATGTTTAATGACATTTTCGTCAACACTTTTGATTAGATTATGTGAAGCCGAATGGCTATTAACGTTTCTTCAACACCTAGAAATTTTTTTCCGAGATTACGAAAGACTTGGGGAAATTTACGAGTTATTAAAAGAGTTGGCGAGTTATGGAAAAATTTTATTTCTGTTTTCTTCAACATGAAACATTTTTTTGTTTTTCAGCTTATTTTTATCTCATATTAAAAATAACAAAAATTAATTTATGAATATATGTTTTCTGTGTCGATACATAAAAAAGCACTCTAGAGAATGAAGAAAAATATTACGTGAAACAAACTTTATCATTAATTTTTCACTTTTTTAAGCATAACAAAATCTTGCTTACAATAATTTTTGTATTTTTCAATTTCCTTTGTATCAAGATTGCTAATGATTAACGATTGCATATCTTTCATCGATTTTCTCTCATTTGTTTTTTTTTCAGATAATAATCAGCAATTCTGAAACAATGAAATATTTCGACGGATGAAAAATGGAATTTGTGCATTTATTACTGTACCTGGTGAGTTTGTTTTATGAAATCGCTATTTGCCCACGTCAACATATCGCATTACATCTGAGTGGTTTTTAGCAAACATTCTCGATGTCGGTCGTTCTCTTTATTTACCTTTGGCTTTGTTTGATTATAAAAACGTTTGTTAAAATCTTTGAACGTTTTAAACACATAAAGTATGAAGATGTCTGTCGTTGACGTTTACTTTATTTAAATAACGCTCGTTAACACTTAGTTTTCAATCAAGAAAAGTTGCCAAAACCGTCTCGTATTACAAATCAAGTTTGTCTAAGCCCTTTACCTTATACATACACTTCAAGTTTATCTCAAAGACGGAAAGATAGCTCAATGCTAACGAGTAACGAGATGACTACATAAATAAAACAAGAGAAGTGAACTTCTACGAAGTCATTCTACGTTTAATCAACGTAATTAGAAACAAAAGTTAAGATCGAGTAAGAAACTCTCGTCTTTAAATTAAACTCTGATTATAAAATATTCATAAAGAGTTTACCTTTTTTCCCCCGTGTTGCCAAAAAAAAAACTTTTGTTTACTGATGAATACTTTTTTTTTTCTTTTGTACTCCTTCTGTGCTGTAAATCAATACTCTAGACTTAATTATTAATTAATCCAAGGCAACCATTTTAGCAATCGAATTCAGTATAATATTGTATTATTCTTTTCTGAAACATTGGAATGAGTTTCACTCGAATGAATTAGCTTTCGCATTATTCAATTAGTATTTTTACATCATTATGCTTCTGCCCGAATTGACGTTTTATTCATACAACAAATTAATAATAAATAAACTAAAAAGTTTCGTTTCATTTTATTCACTTCTGCTGAAATCAAATTGAAGTTGAAATCAGAATATTTATAATTGAGCACTTGATTGACTTGTGACTTTTATAAGTAAGTTATTTGTGAGACCATGAAACGAACTTTGTCATTTAATTGAAATTGAAACTAGAAATGTTGGCTATTTTCTATCGAAAATAATGTTTAAGAGAAGAGTCAAGAAGAGATTATTCCTTCAACTTCAATTTATTACATCATCTCTTTAACAAATTGCATGACTTGATATCATCTTTTGTGCTTCCCCAAATACTCGTCTTAAGTTGATTTTTTTTGTATGTTTAGTATTTCATAGTTCCTTTCTTTTTCATTCTTCAGGGCGTACTTTTTACTTTTATAAATACAAACAATAGTAATAGCGATGTCTCCAAAGCAAAATCATCATTATTTAGTTCAGCATCACTTCACGAAGAGAATAAAGAATCTGAAGATGACGAAATACAAAAACGACCAAGCAATAACAATCACAAAATGGGATGGTCGGGTTGGTCCGACTTCTCAACTTGTTCGCGGACATGCGACGGTGGTGTAGCTTATCAATTAAGACGCTGTCATTCGCCTTCTGGATGTCGTGGAGAGTCAGTTCGCTATAAGATTTGTAATATGCAAGCATGTCCTGATCAACAAGACTTTCGTGCTCAACAATGCGCTGCATTCAATGACGTTCCATACGACGGTGCTTTATTCGTATGGTCGCCACATTATGATTACTCAGAGCCTTGTGCTTTAACTTGCCGGTAAATATTTGAAACGAAAGAAAAAAGAACAAAAATGTTGAATCAGGGCTCGAAAAAGGAGTTTCAAATAACAATTAATTAATTTTTTTTTGTAAACGAACTTTTATAAAAAAAAGTTTCACAGTTTACAAGATAAAAGTTTTTATTTTTTATAAGAATTCTAAGCCCTGTCTTAAATGCACGATAAAAGTAACATGCAAATCTCTTGCTTAAAAGTGAAGTAAAATCAGTGGTGAAACTGCTTCGCTCACTTAACGTAAAAGTTTCCAACTTTTTTCATTCTATTCTGACTTCAACTTTGCTGCTTTTGCTGCAAAGTGCAGCGAGCGTTTGATGGCTTCTTCTGCTCTTTGTCTCACAACCCCTTAACTTCGTTTTCATTGACATCAACAAGGAACATTGTAGAGTTTATGCTCATTTATTCATCTGCATAAAAGTTTCGCGTTTAAAATTGGAGGAAGAAAAAAGTTAAGTTTTCTATATCAACAATTTTTCTGAATGACAAATAGAAACTTCCTAGAATGTTTGCTTTTCGTTACATCAGACGCTCTGCTTCGTCTACCTTCGTAATTATGGAGTCAGAAAAGTTGTCTCTTCTTTTTTGCTAATGCCAAACCATCCCCCGCCCTCCTTCAACATTTATATTCGTCACTCTTGGGAAAATATTTTTGTAATTTGTTTGATTTTCCTCTTGATAACTTTTTTTCTACTCCGAAACAAATAAAAAATATCTTTTCAGGGGGCGACCAGAGCATTTACGTAATGAAAAACATTCGGAGGAGCATCAAGATGAATCCGATGAGGATTCAGAAGAGACGAGTGTGATTGTACAGCTGACAAATCGGGTTCAGGATGGTACACGTTGTAGACCAGGCAGTTTGGATATGTGTATTCAAGGAAAATGTCAGGTAATTGTAAATGTCAGGCGACCATTAATAATTGGACTTGTTTCATGGGAGTGTAAATAATTCTTCTCGTTTGTTATTTACAACGTAGATTGGTCTTCTCATAATAAAGAAAGAACGCTTTTATTTCACTTTTCCCTCTTTAAAACATTTAAATGAGAAAAAAAATTAAATTATTGAAGTTTTTATATCTATGAATGTAAGTTTTAACAACAAGCATTCTTTATATTATAACTTTTTACAAGAATCATTAAATTAGAATATCAATTATGTATGAGAAGTATGGAATGATCGTACAATCGTTATTAGATGGGGAAGTAACTTAGTTCCAATAAAGTATGATTAACTTTAATTCATCGTAAATATTTCATTCATACTTGAATTTAATTTTGTACACAAAAGTTTCTCTTTCTGTTCATTTTAATTTTCTTATGATTCATGAAATAGTCGGAAGTTGTTGTAATTCTTGAATCAGTTTAAATACACTTGAAAAACTCGTTCAAACTTTTATTTTCTACTCAACATTTGCATGGAGTTTGTTAAATATCTTAAAATTTATGTGTGATAAATAATAGTCTGAAGCTGAAACTTAAGCAGCCATAAGCTTCATCACTGAAACAAACCCATAAAATATCATCAACATGTATAACATATGGATTCAAAGAAAACAAGTTTAGTTGACACTTCGCATCACTTAAAGATTCATTCCAGTTTATTAAAATCTCAAAGCGTCTCCTGCGAAAATAAATATCAAGCAGCAAGTAAAACACGAACATAATTACCTTTAAACTTCTTTCTTGCATTATTTCCACTAAGTGCAGGAACTTACATATAAGCACATTCCTTTCAATAAAACATAATCTGTAAGTCTCCGCTTTCTTCACAGTTCATCCCCGGGAATTTTCAAAAGAATTTTTATTTCTATTTTTATGAGAATATAAAGCAAATTTCTCAATTGAGAAATCCTATAGAGAATGTCGAACAAAAGCTTATATGAAGTTTGAGTATGATGCAAATGATTCTTTTTCAGGTGAAAAATAAACCGTTCTTCGTCAAAAGCCCTCGAGTGTGTATGGAAAAAATAAGCACACTTCAAACAGTGCCAGAATAAAAGTTTGTTTTTTCATCCTCTTCCTCTACTCGATATGAATAACATCACTTACTTTATCTATCTCATCCGATATCAACCTATGAATAAAGAGAGAAAAAAGGCTCATTCAAATTTTATGCCTTTCTATACACATGTGACATTTACTACTCATGTTGTCAGAGAAAAAAAAAAGAAGAAATGAATGAGTGAAAGTGAGGAGAAGCTTTGAGAAGAGTCCATAAAAAAAACAACACTTCATTTGAATAATAAAATCTTTTCACGGTTCTTTTCTTAAACCTCTTTTCCCGGGTTACCATTCCTGCTATCAACATCCGATGATTGTACCTACATATATATAAATATATATATTTATGTATGTCGAAAACAGCGAGTTGGATGTGATCTTCGAATTGGATCAACAAAGAAGATTGATTCCTGTGGGGTTTGTGGTGGTGACGGTTCAACTTGTACGCAACCACTTTATCATTGGGAAATTGCTGGCATGTCAGTTTGTTCAGCGAGTTGTGGGGGAGGTGAGTAGAAAAAAAATAAATAAAATTCAAATCAATTGCGAAAAGCAATTCAATCAATAGAAAATCAATTCATTACATCAACTTGAAATTTTCCTCTCTTTTGAAATATAAAAGGTTACAAGATGGCAGTGCCAACGTGCAAAAATCGTTTAACTGGTGTTGACGTTGAAGAATCACTTTGTAATGCTGCTTCACGACCAGAGTCAACTGTTGTTCAGTGTAATACTCATGCATGCCCACCAAAGTATGTATATAAGTGAAAAGAGTGAATCGTCGGTCTCAATAATCATGAGAACTCTTGATAATTTAAATTGACAGATGGATCTCGGATGAGTGGGGGCCTTGTAGTAAGTTGTGCGGGGGTGGAGTAAGAGAACGCTTAGTGGTTTGTGCGGAAGAGAGTAATGGAGCGAGACATCGTGTGCCCGACGACGCTTGCAGCAATATCAGACCAAAGGTCCAAGAGATTTGTAACACTCATGATTGTCCCAAGTGGGAAGTCACCGAATGGTCGGGGGTGAGTTTAAATTTGACCTTTCCCTTACTCATTTTCCCATTCAATTTACTCATCGTTTACTTTACAATCTTGTGCAACTGATAAAAAAGGAAAAGAGAGAAAAAAAATTAACGAAAATTATACTTGGATATTCTTAATGCAGAAATGACGGCCTTGACGGCATCTGTTTGATATGCGTAGCCTCCTTTTTATACTATAAGAAGGTTTTTCTGTTTTCCCCATTCTATCGTTCCAACTTTTACAATTTTTTCCTTCGTCTCTGGAATTGTTGCTGTGAATATTGTACATGTTGAATTCTGTAAAATGATTCGAAAACAGACAAAGTTTAAAGCACGAGTTTACATCGCTTACATCAACAAATAACATTTTCGAGAAATGTGCGTGGGAGTTAAAAAAGAACAGGGAAGCTAAGAATTGTCAGACGTGGGCTTAGAGCAGTCAAGATGACGATTGTGAAGTTAGAGGATTTTACCCAACATGTATTTTTTTGATCACGACGTTTTTCGGATGAAAATATCTTTAAAGCTTTTTCGGATATCTCACGATGTCTAAAGCTTTGAAGCTTTTAACTTTTTAATAGGAAAATGTTTGTGAATTAAATTTTCCAGTTAAGACTTTTTTCTTCATCTGTTTTCATATCGAAAGTTTTACAACTCCTTTCAACACTCAATGAACGAAATTAAGAGACATTTGAAGTCATGTTTTGATGGAGAAATATAATCTTAAAATTTCTTTTGAATTCAATTTAACTTATGAAGCATTCAAGACACCAAACTCAACTACTTTCTCTTGTTATCTTTGTTGCTCATTCGTGCATATTTTTTCTTCATCCTCTTTAATAGTACTCTCGTGTACTTATGAAACTTCTAATTAGGAAGAACTGAGATTATAATGAAATCTCTTTATGTTTGCAAGTCACTGCTTTTATTTGTAGCGTCTTATTAAAAAAAAATCTCTTTTCTTTCGAAGTGTTCTTCATCTTGCGGTAGTGGAATACAAGTCAGATCCGTTGAGTGCGTTGATATTCATGGAGCACACAACACTCAATGCGACCCAGAAACTCAACCTCCTGCATTTCAAAGTTGTGCAGTTGGGATTCCTTGCACAAGTGAAATTCCAACAACCGAATTTCAAGAATCTTACTCAAGTGAACGTCCAAATGGAGGTACTTTGAATCTAGACAGTGATGACATCACAGAAGAAGAAGAAGAGGATGAAAGTGACGGTTTGAAACTTTCAAAAGAATCAATTGGCAAATCAATATCTATTGAGAATGACAATGTTGAAGAGAATGATGATGATGAGATGGATATGCAAGGAGATGATCCAAGAGACCGGAATAAAAAAGTTCCAATGGCTTATCAGTACCGAATTCCAAGAGCTGAACGATTCGTTGACCCAAATGCGCCTAACGAGCCAACGTGAGTATCATTATCAAAGCAATATTAAATTCAATTCGAAAAAGCACTTCAAAATGCTTGAGCTTTTCAGATGATTCATGAATACGATTTCCGATTTCCGATTTCCATTCTCATTGGCCATTCAATTTAGAAGTTTTTTTTATTATATTTTTGAAATATTTTTATTGATCGATTATTTTGATATTCATTGAAACAGCTAACAAGCCAACGAACTAACCACTTAACTTGCTAAGAAATCAATTAAATTTTGTTTTTTCCTTTTTTTCTTTTGACTAAATTGTTTCAACTTAAAAAATTTCCGTTTTGCATTTCTCATTTTATTTCCTTGGCACATTGTGACTTTGCATATGACATCATTTCAATCGATTTTCTTTGTGAAATAGATTTAGGAAAGAAAAAAAGGAAGAGGGAAAGAAAGAAAGACACGATTGATATTTATTGTGAGCGCAATAATGGCTTTTCTGTTAAGTTGCTGTTACTGATATTGATTTGAATATGTTTTCGCCTTTTCCCATTGTGCAGTGACGTAGTTAAGTGTTGATCGGGAATTACCTTCGAGACATAAAATCATTAAATATCGATAGATATCAACATCTATGAATCTTACAGAGAAATAACTTTTAATATCTCGGCAAGTTGCTTAACATAGCGTGGCCTTTAGAAAAAGACTTTGATTATATTTCTTTTTGCAATCGCTCAATTGTAAGATCCCAACGACTTTCGCCTCATTGTTTATTTTGTTGTGCCTGACAACAATCCATCATCAATATAAATAGAAAAGTTTTTTTTAATACATTTACTTTCAACATGAAAACGTTCTTTATCTACAGACGACTGAAGCCTAGGCATGAAGAATTTGAATATTTATTGATACATTTGAGGGTGAAACTTTGTAAATTTATGGTCGGAGATTCTCGATGTCGCATGATATATTTCAGAAAAATGAGCTTTTATTCGCTTGTGCTTTATGCTCGTTCTATGTACACAACTCAGATATGTGTACTCACATGTATAACAATTTACCCGCCTAATTCATGAACGATTTTAGCTGTCGTGGGTGTAGAGCGAATGAAAAATCGAGTAATCGTAGCATTGTTCTAGCTAGCATGGGCAGATTTCGTCTGTCAGCAGAATTTAAAAAAGCTTTCCATGGTTTATTTAAACAATTTTATTCTATAAACTGAACTCTTTCAGAATGCAAATAAAATAAAAACAAAATAAAAATAATAAAATTTCAATCCTCAAAGGTACTTCAGTTTGTTATCTACATTCCCTTTATGTTGCTTCGATGGTGAAGCGGATTGAAAAAATTTGAACATTCTTTTAAACTTCATTTAAAAAGTTAGAAAATTTATTGCATGTAAAATATTTTTAGAATTTTTTTACACTCAAAACGCAAAAGAAAATATTTCTAGCATTTCCAGTTCATTGATCCATCCATTTATTTCCTATCTCACGTTTTTAAGTAATAAATTCTTGTCAAGCCACCATCGTTGCATCAAAATCCACTACACTTAAAATTTAGCATTGGTTTATTTTTCAAGTGACGCGATATGATGCATAAATAATTCAATTTCACTTTGGTGGATTTTTACTTCTCGCTGCATCGCGATGAAAATCATTCTGATGTATGATGAGAGAGAAAGAAAAAAAAATTTATAAAAATAAAACGATGGGAAAATATTTGCAATCATTTCAATTTTGCTTATGTTTGAGAATGCAAGTACCTAATGCAAGCATAACGTTGCATAAAATCTTACTCCTTTTTTTTATTGAATCAGAGACCATTAAATGTTGTGCAGTGATTCACAACTGTTGGAAATGTTGCATTTCAACGTTATTATTACAAGCATAACGCAATCCAACAATGGTTGAAATCCTCTGAGAATGTCTCGTGTGACAGAATGTATGATGATGTACCATTAAACATTTTCTTTCTCTCTTCTTCTTTTTACTTAAATCATGCGATATATCAATCAGTCAGACACTTCTTTCTGCTGATTATTGTTTATGATTTGGGTTTACGTTTATTAAATTGAACAATTTCCCACAGCAAGTACAAATTTGATTGAATTTGTTATAATCTACCTTGAAATCCCACCCACGATGATAACGAGAAGACTTAATATGATAAATTGAATTTTTTTTTTACAGATTCATCGTAGGTGATTGGGGTCCATGTAGTGTCACTTGCGGCGAGGGCATTCGCATTCGAAAGTATGTATGTAAAATCTTTCTGGAGTTTTCAAAAATTGTTGCGACGATCGATGACAGCAAATGTCATTCAATGAAACCAGCTGATGATTATGAAAGATGTTTCATGGAGCCGTGTTCCTACGCTTATGGCGGTTATGATGATACATATCGTTCATCAAACCGTGACAGATTAAACAACGATCAAATAAAAGTGCAAGCAGCTGTTCCTGGGAAATCATATTCATGGCGTGACGAAGGCTATACGAGTTGTAGTGCTTCGTGTCTTGGTGGTGTTGAAGAGCTCATAATCAACTGTGTTCGTGATGATACCGGTAAAGTCGTCTCACCGTATTTATGTTCACCGGAAACAAAGCCAGAAAATCGTATAAGAACTTGCAACGACATTCCCTGTCCACCACGATGGAATTATTCTGACTACTCGCCATGCACTAAATCATGTGGCATTGGGATTAAAACAAGAGAAATTAATTGCATTCATGAAGTGACACGCGGTGGAGAGAACACAATGATCGTTCCAAACAGCATGTGGTAAGCGAGATTCTAAATCAGCTTAAGTTGTTTTAGTTAGCTTTTGTGCATTAACATTAACTGCTTATCTTTTCTTCTCAAGTCCACATCCAGCCCCACCAGACCGTCAGTATTGTAATGTTCTTGATTGTCCAGCTCGTTGGGAAGTTGGTGAGTGGTCGCGTTGCACAAAACCTTGTGGCGGTGGTCAAAAGGATAGGACAGTCTTATGTAAACAAACAATGGCGCAAGATCATAAAGTCGGAAGACTCGATTCAATGTGTCCGGGTTTAAAGCCTCCAGATAAGAAAGCTTGTAATATGAAACCATGTGCACCAGAAGATGACAGACCAATCATTTCAACAAGCGAATCAAAATACATTCAACATGATCCCAACATGAAGAAAATCAGCTTGAAAGTTGGGGGTGCTGCCACAATTTTCTATGGCACGCAAGTGAAAATCAAATGCCCTGTGAAGAAATATAATCGTACGAAGATAAAGTGGAGTAAAGATCACAATTATTTGCCAAAATCACGCAAATATAAGGTGTCGAAGAAAGGAGCTCTTCGGATACTTGACGTAACATTTAAAGACGCTGGAGTGTTTACATGTCATGCTGGTATGTCTGTTGCCGATATCACATTAACCATAAAACCCAAGCCCGGTGAATTCCCTTCAAGTGAGGAGAATGATAGAGGTCGGGATATAGGTAAATATACTTTCAATTAAGTCAACATCATCTTTAGTATCTTGTTTTCTCTTCACCAACGTAATAAAACATTTCAGGTGGTAAAATTAAATATAGCGACTCACCGCAATCTTCAGTGCATGGACGAAACTCAAGGTAAATAAAAGCATGGAAATTAATTTCTTTTCTTCTTCCCTCTTTTCCTCCCATAGCTCAGTGTAGCAATTTCATTAAAATGTTTTATTTGACAGCTATCAGAAAACCCGTCAAAGACAGCGGCAACGTAACAAACAGCGAGTCAATGACAATCCAGTTAACGTGGATGGACAACCAAATCAAGAAGAGGTAGCGTTTTCCCTTTCTTCCTTCTCCTAGCTTAATTAAAATGAGCTGCAATAATAGACATGTTCTCTAATCCTTGAAGCATCTGTAGTTTTCCATGCTGTTCACATCTACATAAAAATTATGCTTCTGTAAAACTACGAGATGCTTCACAGCTTTACTCAACCATGTAATTTGTTTTCTCATTTTCCTTTTTTTTTTCTACTTCTTTTTTTTCTTTCTTCTCGTGTTTATGCTGCCATTGATTGATTTAATTAAAAACACTGAAATTAAAATTAATTTGTACTCCCACGCGCTACGCGATTCCATTTTAATGCTAAATATTTTCATTCGTATTCGGGTGCTGATTGTGTATTGTAATGCAACTTGAAACAATGAAATATCTGAAAAAATTAAGGAACCATTACAGTCCCATTCACAAATGACTCATTCAGACAGTACATCTTTAACGCCGACAACGAGTTCAGGCAATCGAAATCTTCCTCTATTGCCTCATTTAGAGCATTTGTTGGCTAGTTTGCAGGTGAGAAAAAAATATTTCTCTCGGTTTCACATATCTACTTAGTAATTTTCTTGTAAATTTATTTGATTTGAGTTTATTTTTATATTTTCCCTTCGAAGATGGTTAGCGTCGTTCGTTCATTCTGTTTAGTGCGACTGAGAATCATTTTGTTTTTCTGTGCATATTTATTTTATGGTGATTCAACCTTTATTAACCTTTCAAATGCTCATTTTCGTGTTCGTTCATGTAGCAATATTCAGCATGTTAAATGATTGTTATGTTTTGTTTCGTTTCTTTCCTTCAAGCACTTTATTTTTAACATCAATATGATGTAACCACGAGTGCATAAAATGAATTTTGAAATTTTATTATTTTCTGTTTTTTCTTAGAACGAAGAGAAAGAACTTTCCTTAGAATGCGTTTTTTATTGTTGAAATAATTTGTGTTATTATGATTATCCCATAAATATGTAGAAGAATAATTCACACAAAACCTATTCATTTATTATTTAATTCTTCTTTTACTTGATTCCATTTTTGATTCAACTGCAATGGAATCAGACTTGGAAAAAAAGTGAACTGAAAAATGCAAATGCTGTGAAAGAACCTTGTTCGTTGTAAGACGGAAAGTCTTCATGAATATTTAAATTACTAATTTAGGTTCATTCGCAGATTGTGTCCGAAGCGGCATAAATTTGAAATTAAAATATTCTAAACAAATTACAATTTCATAGAATATTTTTGGTAAGAATATGAAAATTCCATGAATTCTAGATGGACGACTTGTGGTTGTCGCCTTAGGGAAAAAGGTTTTTCATTAATACCAACGCACATTTCTTGCTCTTTTGTGACTTGTGAGGTCGTTTTTTAAACTTAATTTTCGTTTTCTTTTCACCTTTATTTTTGATCAAGAAAGAGGGACGTAACTTGTTTAAATTTCTTTCTCCCCAAATTCGTTTCTCTCACCTGAACCTGATTAAATGCAAACTTCTATAAAAGGACATTCAGTAGAAAAAGAACGATAAGAGTTGGATTTTTCTCTATCCGAGGCTATCGTTCAGAGTTCCTTTTTTTAATGAGAACTTTATTAATATAAAATTTAACAAATGACAACATAGAAATCTTGTGATAAAATCCTCATTAAAATGCAAAAGCTTTTTCTCTCATTTTTTTATATTTGTACAATTTCAATTATGCTGTTTCTGTTAGTGAATCATTCATTTATTTAACATAAACAAGAACTAATGAATTAAAATAATAGTAAAATTGATGTTTACATAACATATTTGCCTCCATATCAGTTGTTTACTCATTTACTGGAATCAGTTAGTGACGATTGTTTGCACAAACATTATTTTTATTTCTAACCATCCTTATTAAATAAAACATGTTTACGTGGGTGGTATAATCACTCTGATGATGTTCACATGTCACATTTTACACGGATATGGAAATAAGCAGCAAAAATGGAAACAAATCTGATGGGTAAAGAAGAAGATGGAAGGATAACAAAAGCGATTGAATTAGTTGACAAAATACCATCATTAAACATTCACACATCGTAAAAAGCACAAAAGCTTCTCTCTTTTCATGTTTTCTTCGTTTTAGCTAAAATATTTATTCCTCCTTTCTTAATAATCATAACAAACCTACATACAAAAATTAATAAAGAAACACTCAGCGGCTCATTGCGGTAGGCAAACATGAATCTAAAACGAAAAAACTTTTTATTTACAGACAATCAATGTAATTACGTATCATTAAGCTATTCTCCTTTTTTCTCTTTCTATCTCTTTAATTTATTTGTACACGCATTCTCATATAATAAAATTTTATTATTCTATAATTATTGTAACCAAAACTGACTAAGTAGAATACTTTGGAAGATTAATAAACAAAACACAAACATACATCCCACCCACACAATACATATTAATAGGTAAATTTTCAATTTTATTGATAGAATTTCGGATTTAATAATCAGACCTTATATTATTTCATCGGTTATCATATTTTTGCTCGAATCTCTTTCTCTGTTTATGTTTATGATACTGTGCCACCATTCAATGAAATAAATTTTCCGAACGTTCGATGATATTTTCCAAATTTTCATATTTTTCGTGATGAAACTATCTCGGCACATTTTAATCATTTTGTTATTTTTTTCACCATTTCAATTCAACTTGATAGTTTGAGAGAAATTGGGACAAGAGAAGTTGTTTCCATAAATATAAATATTGCCTTCAATTATTTATTTATGACTTTTTTTTGTGTGGTTTAAATTTCGTTATTCATTCAGCCCTCATGATGTCACTCAAATTATATTTTGCTTCAACAACTTTAATATGGATATTTACTTTTTTTAATTAGCATTGAATAATATATTTACTTAAGCGTCTTATTTAAACCCAATTAGAGTGAAAATTCCTGTTGTGTCATTTTAGTCGTTTAATTTATAAGAAAAAATTTCTAGCATGCATTGTGGTAACTTAAAAGCGTTTTTTCATCGATTAATTCCTCAAACGTTGTGTGGAAAAGAAACTCATCGTTAGAAGAAATTTCCACATTTAGGTTAAGAGTCTTTTCTGTTTCTCAAAATGAAAGCTTTTCGAGCATAAACCAATTGGCAAGAATTTTTTTCTTCTTTTGTATTTCTGTTTACCAAGAAAATTTTCATCACAAATTTATTGATAAAGAATAAAAAGAATTCTTTGCTTTTAGGTTGATTTAGGTTTTGAAAATCAAATTAACTAACATCCTTTTTCTCGTTTAGTTTCTTTGGCCTTTTCAGACATTCAGCAATTCGAAAGGTCATCAAACGTTGATGGAGCAACATCTTAAATATTCAATTGAACCTGGAGAACGAGCAGAACAAGATGATCCGTTGGCAATGCGACAAAATTCTCCAAAAATTCTTGACAAAACTATAACTGATGATATAAATTTCGAGTACTATGTTGGTCCGTGGTCAGCATGCTCGCAAACATGCGGTTCGAACGATAGCGGTTATCGAGTGAGTAATGAACGTACTTAGCAAATCTCAGCTTTTCATCATCAATCATTCATTCATTTTTTTCTTTTTGTTTCCTCTCACTTCTATCTAGCTTCGAACCGTTCATTGCATGGTGCGCATTGAAAACACTACGAAAAATGTTGATAACATATTATGTGAAGACGCCGGCTTAAGGTCGCCTGATACATTTGAAAAATGTGGAAACGATGAATGCCCCAAATGGATTTCAACTGAATGGTCGCTATGTCGAAAATCAAAATGTTTCGCATGGCATACGGCGCTTCAAAAGCGCGTTGTAAGCTGCTCTTTCAACAATCAAAGTGTCAGTGACAAATGCGATGAAAACGAAAAGCCTACAACTAAACAAGAGTGTTATAATGAACTGTGCAAAGGTGTTTGGCGTGTTGATTCGTGGTCAGAGGTGAGTGTTGGATCCAAAACTGTTGAATTATTCATGAGTATCAGCTTATTTTTGCACTTTAAGCTGTTATTGTTGTTGTTTCTGTTTTTGTTAGAATTGTTTCTTATATTTTGTGGGGGAGTAGAATTTAAGAAGCGTCACAATAAAAGCTGAATTTTCCTTTCATCCCACTTGAGTGTCGAATATCATATTCCGACATTTTTCCGGAATTTATTCCAACTTTTAATAAATGTTTAATATTTTTCTCTTCATAGTGTAACGCTCCATGCAATGGTAAAGGAACCAAATACCGTCTCTTACAATGTGTTTGGTATGGAACGAGAAAGTCAGCTGGAAATGCTTGTAACAATCAACCAAGACCGGCAGTTATGAAACCTTGTCGTGGCCCACCTTGTGTCGTTGATCGTAGGTGTTTCTTTTTCCTTCGTCGTCTCACTTTCATCGACTTTGGATTATGCTAACAATGTTTCTTTTTTTTTACCTTTTCTATCGCCTTATAGCAATGGATTGTAAGGACATATCAAAGTATTGCAACAATGTTAAGACGATGGGACTGTGTCGACTTCATAGGTTTCAACAGCAATGTTGTGCGACTTGTAAATTCAATATTTATAAGAAAAAGTAGCTTCTATGATGTGTTCGTTCTTCTATCTAGCAAAAAAAAATGCAAAGTGAAAGAAGAAACATTGCGTTCTGTTGATGTATGTTGTTGTATCACTGAGAAGTTAAAAACTGATGTAAATCATAACTAATGAAACATGAAACAACCCCCGCAATGAAAAAGAATGAAAAAGCTAGCTCCTTAAAACATAAAAATAGATGAAACAATTAAAAATTTAAATAAGAATCAATTATACGCAACTAAAATCTATTTGTCGACAATGCATCATACATCACTGTTCTTGAGTTTAACCGCCTTTCTTTTTTTTTGTTCCTCCAAGCATGTCAACTTCCCTTGCAGAAGAAGAAGGAAGAAATAAGTAAACACATTTAAATTTATCGTTCATAAAGCTTCGAAAAAAAGAGCTTGAATGCTCATAAAAGTATTTGCAATTGTTCCGAGGCTATAACAATACAATGACATGAAAGAAATAATTAAACAAGCGATACTCAGTTACGGAACTAAGTGTATATGACAAAATAAAATAAAAAAAAGCACATCATGCATGAAAAAGCTCTGTACATATTATGCCATAGGTAGTGTTAAATTAATATTTATAAAAAAACATTAATTAATTTTAACGTGTATAAGAAGAAATGAGCAGAGAAAATAAATGAAAAATATTGAAAACGAAATTTAAATTGAAATTTGTACAAATTTGACGCCGTTTGGCTTTAAAGTCACGCTCATTTACTTTTTTTTTCAGGCTATGTAGTGCTTGACGAGAGAAATTGAACCGTTCATCAGCCTTTCAGCGATTGTTAACCGCATCAAAGTTCGATATTTGCTGTCATCAATGAGTTATGTTAACATGAAGCGTGTGAATAAAGGTTTACAACCATTACGTCCTATGATATGTAAATGATGGGAATAAAGCAAGTAAATTTTGATTTAATGTAGGTGATGCAATTGAACATACATGCAATCAAGTAATCTCATTTTCTATTTTAAAATTAAATTGCATAACATATTGGCAATTCATTTGATATTCTCCATTCGCAAACTAACCCAACATCAGTCGCCTCACTACCAAACTAAATTTATTAATGAAAATTCACGAAAACTCCTAAATATCGTTCCGGTATGTTTGGTAATATCTCGTTGGGAGATTTCCGTAGGGAATGAATTTTAAATGGAGCGTCATGTTTGAATAGGCAGCTGATTATAATTCAAACGATTTCAGTGTGAAAATTTATTGGATATCTATGGTTTGGTTGTGTAAATATCTCGGTTACGATTTATTGCTGACAAATTGTTGATCATCGATTTCACGTGTAAAAAACATGAACACGACATTATAAAGATAGCTTTAAGCCTTACATCAACAACATGGTTTTATAATGTTATTATTAAATTTCCTTCAGGGTTTTATTATTGGAACTTTGGAACTTTTTCTCTTCGTTCATGTTACCAAGCCATCGATAATATTTTTTCTTTTATCAATGACAGGAAATTGCATTAAATATTCATGTTCATATTTAAGGTAAAGAGGAAACCTCTTAACTTTTGCATGGAAAACAAAAGCTTCACGATAAAAATAATATCATCTTGAACCATGACCTAATTTTCATATGTAAATACAAGGAAAGCATTCAATTAATTTTCTCTTATAAATATTAAAGTCCGATGAGAACAGAAAATGTCATTTTCAGACTGTAAAACATTTGGCGCCAGTGCTTGCAGATTGATTTTTTTTGCTTTTTATTTGCTGGCGAGATGGAAAAAAAGTTTTTAGGCGACTATATGGCTGCTTTTTTTATATCTTTTTTTTATAAAATTCAATAACGTGTCTGTGTTGTGTGGTTTGTTGAGACTTGAATGACAAAATTTAATGCATAAACCAATAAAATGTGATAACTACATTGCATAAACTGGAAAAATAATTTCTTTGGTAGTTTCAATTACCTACCTAATGAATTTTATAGAGAAGGACTTTCATCTTGAGATTTATGAATTCAATTAAAGGCAACTCAAATATTTCTCAAAATTTCCTTTAAGACTCTTACAATAAAAAACTTTAAAATATTCAAAATTACGATTCAAATTCAATATTTACAAGTTGAATATTCTTCTTAAAAGAAAACAAATTTCTTGTTCAAAATTCTTTTCATAAAAGTAAATATTTAATGGAAAAGGAAAATAATTGTTTTTGATATATCAAATTTGTATTATGAGACGCAAAGTTTACTTTTCNGCGCAAGGTCCTATTTAAATTAAAGAATGTGGACATTTAAGGTAATGAATAATTAATAAATTTTGCAATGTAATAGATACTGGACAATCAAGGGGGCAAATTTGCTTCATTGGCCTAAGTGTCTGTGCCATCGGATTTGTATCAGAATTCGTATCGATTCACTAATCGGTACGATCCTGGTTCCATTCTCGGTGGTGGTCACTTGGGCTGAGGTTTTCAGAAGTTTAGATACTTCGCCCCTGTTTCATTTAAAGTGGAATTTTTCACTAGGATATAATAAACTGAAATGTCTCTTTGTATCAAATTTGATAAAAATATAAATTTGTCAAATATGAACAATGAAGAGTATTCAGGAATATACAATCCTGTGGAACGCTACTGAAAGTGGAACCTTCATCATTCAGGTGATGAGACAAAGGGAGCGAAACAAGTTGGAATTTATATTCCTGTATTCTTAATCGCTTTAGTGTACAGTCGTGCACTCCCTACTCTGATGATGATGATGATGAAAAACTTTAAAATATTCAAAATTACGATTCAAATTCAATATTTACAAGTTGAATATTCTTCTTAAAAGAAAACAAATTTCTTGTTTCAAATTCTTTTCATAAATGTAAATATTTAATGGAAAAGGAAAATAATTGTTTTTGATATCAAATTTGTATTATGAGACGCAAAGTTTACTTTTCACGAATTTTTAATTTTCTTCATTACTTAAACATTTTATTATTATTCGTAAAATATTTGAAGCGCATTTCTTGTATGCTGTGACATTCCTTGGCAAGCAAGTGAATAAAGAACAACACAATTATGCTTAATGTTTGATATTCTAGAATCATGAAAAATAAGCATTTGGGAATTACGTTGTTAAAAACTCTTCTTCGTGTTAAGTTCACTCACTGTGTGGTCGTTTGATGTAAAATGTTATCAAAAGTATTTTAATGCAACATGAATAATTTTTGTAAATTAGTTTTATATTATATAGTAAATTCTGAAAAATTACCAACATTAGCATTTCACCATTTAAAAGTGAATATATTCTTGAGTTAACGAGACAAAGAAAAAGCAAAACTCAAGTTGAGTCATAGTGTTTAGTTCTGATGTTGTTGAAGATCATTAATTTTGCATGACATATCTAAACAGTATGCACTTGAGTGCAATTACTACTAATTAGTAAACATTTAGATCGATTTTCACGGCATTTAACGTTCTCTCTTGTTTTCAGATGAATGATGGGAAAGATTTTAAATTGTATTGAAGTTGTGGAGGGAGATGAAAGGCAATTTGCTTTGATGTTTTCCGTTCGTTGTTTCGACAAATAAAGAAGAAAGAAAATTATGAATAAATGTTGATTTATTCAAGAATCTTACTTAAACTTTGTCCAACATTCATTCATTTATTTGCAGAAATTTCAGGGAGGAGAATTTGTTTAGACGAGTAAATTTTGTTTTACCTAACATCGTCTAATTAGGGTCAGTTTGGCATCAAAAGTTTTCGGTTATTGCCATTCTTTTTCTTACATTTTTCCATTCCTATGAAATACCGTAGCCACTCACAACCCAAGAGAAAATATCTTGATTATATGATAAGGATTTCAGTTTACTCATTCACAAGATAAACTGAAATTAACCCTTGAAAGTTTTCGAAGGAAAGTCTGGAGGCGAATTCTGCTTTAACCATTTGATACTTTCTGCTTTTTCTTTTTTCTTTCTGATATGTAGCAAAAGAAATTTTCTTTTTTCTTTTTGCATCGTCATGGATGTTTTTCCTTACGCTCTTAGCATAAATTATTCTGAAGATAGAAAAGGCTCGTCGTTGATAGTTTTAAAGTCATTTTACTGTTCGAGAATGTTCTCGTTTCTTTTTTACACTCTTGCTTCTACAATTAACTTTAATCCGAATTTCTCTGCATCAAGTGCGAAAAAGATTACATGAACATATCATAGAATCGCATGGATTTGTTTTTAACATAATTCTCTTCTTATATTTTCTTCTTGCTGTTCTTGTTTGTATGATAACGAAGGAATAAAACGAAAAAAGATTTTATCATGAAGATTATTTCGCTTCGCTTGATTCGCAGCTATGTATAAGAGGATGTGGTGTAGAGGTGGAAAGATGCGTATGTTTAAGGACGAGAAAGAAGTTAATTAACAGATGGATTAAATGTAATTCTCCATCGAGCTGTCGAAGCAAACAAAAAGTTAAGAGAAATTGTGAGAACTTTTGTTATTTCTTTTAATCATTGCAAAAAGTTACCACTTTAAACTTTTCGTATTATTGATTTCAGAACTTTGAGAACTCTCTCAATCTTTTCTAACTTCTAAATTAGAGAAATAATAAATTTAACTGCATATCTTTAGAAGTTTCTGTTTTTTCCACTAGATATTCATTAAAACTTTAAAAATTTCCCAAAAAAAGTTTGTATTTTGAATACAGCTTGCACATATTTAATTGCAGCAAAAACTGCTTTTATATGAAACTGTTCAGTTTTCTTTTCTTTTTTGGCAAGCAGCAGCATTAAGAGCGTCATTGTGGCGTCAGACTTTTGGATTTGGCGACACATTTTTTAGTTGAAAAGCTGAATTATTCGAGAACGTTCTTACATGCACGATGATAAGTCACAACGAGAATCTTTCTGTAGTAGGAGGAAATGCTTGCAAATCTCTCTAAAATTTTCTTAACTGACTTTCAAATAAATTTCCTTATGTAGGTTGATAGCCCTAGAAACAACAAAACAATATTGTGATAACGTGATAAAGTTTGAAACTTCATCGCAGGTGCTTTCATTTCTTACAAAAACCACAATAAAATATTTTTCTTCATTGTTCAGTGAATAAAATTTGAAAATTTACCATAATTGATGTAAGCAAATCAGAAAACAATTACGAAGTCAACTTCAAACAGAATTTTCTTTCAAGCTTCAAGAAAATTTATTTCTTACTTTATTATCTACATAAGTATGTAAGTAGATATGCGAATAGGATTTAAGATTTTATAACACAAAATTTAATTAGAATGTTTGTGTAGCCTAAGAGCTCTTGGTTGTTTGAAGTTGTAATCGATAGAGCGTAAAACCTTAAAGTCAACAATAAGCAAAGCCAATTTAAAATCGATAAAATCTTGAAATTGAGTTAACAAATTAACTCAGTCACGCGTTTGAGCTTTAAAGCGAATTTAACTATTGACAAGCTGAGATTTCTGGGAAATTTTATGCATGACTTGATGTCGATAAAAAAAATTCCTTTCATTGCTCCTTTATTATATTATAATAAGGCAAACAATTGCAGAACATGCATATGGTAAAACAAACCAATTAACTCTTGTAGTTTAAATCTCCCTTTTTATATCTCGCAATTAAACTGTGAATTTTCCTCGAAAGATATGCCACACAATATTTACTTACATTTCATATTTCCTCATAAACTCTCAAGTGGGTGGGAGAAAGAAAACAGTGAATACAAAACACACAAAAGTAAATCAAAGGCAATTTTAAGAAATCCTTAGGTTTTATGAAGGCTGGGAACATAAAAGCACCAGCCAGAACAAAAAGCGATTTTCATAAAATGTTATAACTCACAGTTGACTTATCCTTATCATAACTGCCTTGACTTAAAAAAGCACAAAACGACGCAATCCTGAAAAAAAGAAAAATTCATAAATCCTTTTAATTATAATATTCAAGATTATTTTTGTCTTTTTTAACGACATTCGAGAAAAGTTATCTTCTCTAAAAATTATGTTTTTCGGGCTGACATTAGGTTAGATTTATGATATGTTTTTTTTTTTGGGACGAAGCAAAAGAATAATAAAGATATGGCAAGTTAGATAATGAAGTAGAAGGTTCATGACTAGTCATTAAATGCATATGATTAAGTTTTCGACATACAACTTCAACCTGCACGATAATAAGATAACATGTAAGAGATTTTACTCGTACGATCTAATGTAGATCACTTCCAAAATAATTCATTCATCTGCTTCGTCACGTTGAGTTAAATACACGTTCATGTGGTAAATAATCAAGTTTCAATTCAATCATTGTCTAACGAATCCTAGAAAGTACAATAGAAAAGATTCCCATGGTGTTCTCTTCAATTCAGAATTCGTCTACAATCATTCAAAATCCAACAAGATTTGGTTTATAAATTTCGTAGAAATCTATCTGAAGAAGAAAAAAGAAACTTTTCCGAATGACAAAAGTTTTGGTGAAATATCCTCATCAAAAAATATATTGAAGTATATCACGACATTCAAATGGCTTTCCATAAACAATACTGAAAGATTGAAGGTTCAAGTTTTGTGTCTCTTTGTTGTCTATGTATGTGATTGTGTGTCGACACAAAGCAATCTTTACATTCTCTTTGTTTTTTTTTTATTTTTCTTACGCAGAGCTTTTCTCGTTTACGTAGCTTGAGGATATCTTGAGGCTAGATGGATCATTTACTTTTTATTCGAACGTATTTTGTGTAACAAACCTTAATGATATCAAACGTTTGCTTCGAAAGATTCGATATCATCACCATGGTTATCTTGAATCTCGTTTCGTTCTTCTCCAACATTCCCTCCCACTCCCTTGATTGCCTTGATGATGTTGATTCAATTTCTCTGTATTGTTTGAAAATTATCGTTGTTGGATAAACATGACGATTTTTTGGTTTTTCTTTTCAGCTTTCCCTTGTGGAAGGATGAGCTGTGGATGAGAAAGCAAGAAAAAAAAGAAACAAAATCAACGACACTTTGTTTTTCTTCTTCTTGTTCCTTTCAATTGATTTTATGGAAATGTGTTGTGTTTGTTACGACATTCCCGCGATTGCTGAAGTGTGGAAGGAAAAAAAATCTTCTTTGATTTTGAGAGATACAAGGCTTTTTATGTGGTTTTGATTTTAAATTCTTTAGATGGGAATTGTGAGAAGAATAAAAACAGTCATGGATCGATGTTATTATTTATCTATATTTCATGAGAAATGTTTTGTTAACGATTTTATGTCTTCTGATGATGTTGAATAACAAACATTCATTCAGTTGTCTTCATCAAAGTTTAAATTTCAAGAACCTATTTTTAGACATCAAACAATGTAAATAATACCGAAAAATATTCAAAGAAATTTGAAAATCAATCCATTTCTTCAATTAATTGAGTTGAAAAAGCAATGAAAACTTCGTAATTTATTATAGACTTTTTGGAGTACTTGAAGGCTTTTTAAAAAGGAAAAACAAAATGAAAGATTGATGATACTGGACTGAGTACCTGGCATTGACTTCTCATCTCAATATATTTAGTGAGAGTCATTTACTTTTCTATTTCATCCACTCCACTTAATCCCAATCGACATCTTTCTTCCATTTACATTTTGGTTAACACTGTTCTGATTAAAATGTAAATATTTCATTGCAATGGAAAATGTGATAATGGAAAACTCATTTTTTATGTATATTGAGGGGGTGAAAAATAAAATAAAATATTTATTCATGCGAAAACTCTTGAAGGTTTTATTTTATTTTACTTTCATTGCTTCGCCTCTTCACTTTCGTCTCTCTTTTTTTATTTTTTTTATATATACTTGAGTGTGAATTTTGATTTTAGAATACAATTAGGTTTCACCACCAAGAGTTGCTGAGATCATGAAACTTATCACAAAAGTTAAAATAATTCTCGATTTTATAGATTATCAATATCCGCGCATTTGCATTGGAAAAAGATTAAATATCACATTCCAAATCTAACAAGAATCTTGTTATAAAAATATTGAACATGAAAATATTATCAAGTTTTCGATTCAATGTAATGGAAATGCATAAGTGAAGTGTGAAATTCATAAACTTTAAAACTTGAATCTTTTCTAATTTATTTGACTTTGTATCTTTGCTGAATTTAGCGATTGTTATAAAATGATTTCTTTAGTGGATAATTTGACGAGCAGAATCGAAGTCAAAGAATGAAATCGAGCTAAAGAATAAGATTGAACCAAGCATCGAGCAAACTCAGTCAAAGATACTCTGAAGATAGAAAAGGAAACATATGGTCATGACGTGACAAAAGCAGCAAAAGATTCCCGTTCTCCTGTTCGAATCGTAGCGAGCATACAAGTTAGTAGAAAAATTATTAAATTATTCAAAAATAAATTAAATAAAATGTGACTTCATGACAATACATCATTAATGTAGTCGATAACGTGAAAACTTTCAATTTCGAAATTTGCATACTGAGAAAACGAGAATGGGATCTTTCAACATTATACACATGAACCGCAATAAATTAAAAGAAGGTGAAGTAGGAAAATCAAGAAAACCCTCCAATCGTAAAGCTAATAAAAAGCTGCATAACAAGAGTCGCATGCATATACATGAAGGCAAATCTTATCGTTTGCGACATATTTCAGTTTGCTTGAATTCTTTTTTCCAGTTTTTATATGTACACAGATTTCGTTTGCTACCAGACGAAAATGCAGACAGACTTTCCGGCTCCATTCTAACATCCTACAGAGTCGAAAATCACAGAGAAAATCTCACAGTAGAAGAAAAATAAGCTCACTCGGATGAAAGGAATGAAAAGTTATTCGAGAACACGAGAGGTAGTAAAGGCTTTAGAGTTTGTCCAAATTGAAATAGCGTCAGTTACTTTATTATTCATCAAATACATTTTTTATACATGATTGCAGAGTAGTTTACAACAATGTTGCTTTGAGTCATTGTAGAAATTTTAATTAACAGCTTACAATTCTTGGAATGTTTGATTGCGAAATTAAAATTACAGGTTCGATGAACAAGATTTACAGAAACACTTCGTTAAGAATTTATAATGTGGAAAGTTTAAGCTTTGAAAGTTCCATGGGGCCTTCAACAATTTATTGGGATATTCTCATTGAAGTGATGTCGTGAGATGTGACACGAGAGAAGTTTTCTTTCGATTTAGAAAATAGTTTGAGATAAATCACGAACATGTTCGAAAGAGAGCGAAACTTCAAAGCATGCGCAATATGTAAAGGAATTGTATGCAATAAAGCAAGCAGCGTGAATTAATGAGATATTCTAGATTCAAATTCACGCAATCTGTGTTAATGCAATGCAAATTTTCAAAATTTCCTGCTCTTTTATTTAAGCTTAGACAATTTAGGAAAAAAATATTTCTACTTAGAGTGAAATTGAAAGTTCTACGAGCTTTGTGATTGAATATTTTTATCAATGTATCGCGTTATGGTTGAATTCATTGCCTTTCGTTGACACTTTTCTACTAATTACAGTTTATTATATATTTAGGGCAGATAATTGAAGGGTTAACGATGACCTTTTTACTACATGGTGGAAGAAAATTACTTTTTGAAATTGAAGGGTCATCTTGACGATAAAATTTGGAGTTAATAATTTATGATTAGATTTTACTTAGATCATGAAAGTCATTATTTCTGTACTTGTTTTAAGTTTAGGTTGTTTCAATCATCGAAGCAAGTAAGAAGTCGGACAAATTTGATTATTTAAAGTTGAGAATTGCTTGAGCATGATGGTTTCATTGTTTTCCGGCTTTGATAATATGTTCGTAGGATTTTCAGCATGTTTTTTGTCCATTGTGTATTTAAAGCCCCAAAAATAAATTAGATTGTTTGATCGTTGGGTGAGCCAGATAATGGTTTCTCACGTTAGGATTGTGAATAAGCTTTGTGACTCTTCTTCGAAAATAAAACATCGAATAAAAGTGTCGACTATGCATTTTAAATTCTCGAGTTTTATACGAGACATCTAAACCGTGTTATTATTGACTGACATGTTTTATTTGCATCATTTTCCAATAGTGATTGCGTGATCAATTAAATTGTTATTGATTTGACTATCTATTTATAGGATTTCTGAAATAATTGGAGCGATGAGTTGAATGGCATTAAAGTAAGCAATGATACGAATGTATTCTTTGTTATTCATCATATTTGATTATTTAATCTTAGACACAGTATTAGGAATAATGTTTCTCATCTCTTTACAGCTTGATTAAAATTGTGTTATTTAGTTATCCAAATGAATAATCACTTTATTACTTATACATATCACTCATGTCAAGATAATTAAATTTGAACTAAAACTCTCAATGATTTGACAGCAAATATCAACATAGGTTTATGTATTATAATTAAATAAGATTAGTGCCTTGAAAATTATCAATGAGATTATGAAGTTTAATTTTTTAAGGCTCTATGAATATATTTAAAATCAAATTGATTGGATTTTAATATTCATTTGGGTTATTTCGTTAAGAAGAAGTTTAATTGATTAAATAAACGACTTTATGCCACTCAAGATATTTATCTGTCTAACAGGCATTTTATTTTAATTTATTCACTTTATCATCATCAATATTTGGCTTTTATATAATGAGTGATTGAGAGAATATTGAAAACATTAAAACAGAAATTTTAATTGGTGTTTGGCTTAACAGATCAAAAATTAAAATTTCAAGCAAACTTTTTTTTCGTTTTCGGTGAATAAAAATGTTGTTTAGTCATCCAAGTTAAAGCTTGTCAATGGCCTCATCAGTCATCAGTTATTCACATAAATTATGTGCATAATTGATCCGCTTAGGGATCCCAACCCTCAAAAGAGCCTTATCGGTAATAATTAGAACAAAATGAAACTCATGTTTGTTGTCGATGCAATTTTGTATGCTTCAAGCAATGGTTATTCTAACGATGAAAATTATTTCCAGCTGAGATTCATATCTAAGGTTAAAAAATAATGAAATTAGACATGTGTCCAATTGACCGTAAATTTAGCAACGAACCACTCTCATGTGTATGCAATGCACACATTTTAATCATTAGGAAATCTCTGAAATATAATGAAATGAAAGTCTTGTTGAGTTGTCCTTCGCTTCGTTACAATTCGTATTTCTTGAGAAAATAAATTGATTGCACAGTTTTGTATTTAATGTCCACATAATCAAACAAACCAGTTAATTCCTGTTGAAATATATGAGCGGATGAAAGGGACAAAGGATAGTTCTTGTCATGTTGATGTTACTAGTAGAGAACATCTGAACTGATGGAGAATTTTAGGAAATCAAATAACGAGACTTGACCATTTCAAAAAATCATCTTTATCGATCACTTAATTTAATTTAATTCATAACATGCACATAAAAGTTTGCTGAACCATGAAAATGTTCAGAAATATGGAACATTTATTCTAGCAGACAGATTTTAGAGATAATGTGAGAATCATTTGAATCACATTTGCTAATGTCGCCAGCAGTCGATAATAACTCGTCTACATTTCTCTAATATCGATTTCGATTTATAGTTACACAATGAAGAAGGAAAGAAGTTCTCACGGAAGTCCACGAAAGTTTATACATTCAATTGCATGCATATGTTTGCATATTGATTTCGACATAAATTTAAAAACTTCCAGAAAACACAATCCTAATGTTCTAAAGGGGACGGAAAGAAGAAAAAGAAAACAAAGTATTTCATACAAAAAGAAATAAACGACAGCGATGTGTTCTAAGTGAATTTCAGGTGAGAAAATTTAAACTAAATCTCAACCCATTTAAATAATAAATTGAGAATTCTTTTCACCCACATCCTAAATCACTTACTGAATATTTTCACCTGAGCTAAAGATGAAATAAGTGTTAGTGGGTGGAACTAAAAGTTTTTTTTTGCTTTTCTCTTGAATTTCTTAAGGAAGAAAAATTTCAATAAACATTTGGCGAGAAAAGCTTTTCACATTCAATTCACGTAATTTATGAGCGAAAACGATCGTAATTAGAAAGCGAACCGAAAGGCAAACTCAGCGCTTTTCCAACACTTACAATGCGAGCTTTTTTTCTTCATCTATTAATCTTGTTGCGCTGTTGAAAGCTTGAAAAATGTAATTTGTAAATCCATATCAAACATCATTAATCAAGGTATTTTCTTTCTTACTCAGCCTCGTCATGTATTGAATTTCAATATTGACACATTCTTTCGATAAGAATAATTTCGCTTTTTAAACTTTTCCTCTCATTTTATTCCCACCGACTTTACGATCCATCTTTTCTGCTATCACTTTTTTACGTGAAATTATTTATGACAAAATGTGAGATGAGTGGTGGGATGACGTAGAAGATGGAAAGGGGAAGTGAAAGGCATATCATGTCGAATCAATTTTAATTTCAAAACGAAAGGCAATAAAAGTCAGCTGCAAAGATTTTTCATTGAATCAGGGCAATCCATATACAAAGCGTTATTAATTTTATTGCCATATATCAGGTTAGATTATTTTTTGTTACAGATAACTTCATAAATTTTTAAAGCGATTATGCTGGATGAAAAATTTAAATTAATTTATCCTCGTCTTAACCAGCCATTCTCGTTGTTTTTGATATCATATTTGAATTGAATCAACAATTTTCCTCCCACACAATATTATCTAAAAGTGCAAACAACCACAAACCAGTTAAAGTGTTGGAAAACCTTGAAAATCGTGTTGCGAGACCATAAATCATAATCAAAGAATTTTAACGCTCGCACCAAATAGCACATATTACAATTTCTCCAAACAACATTCAACAGAAGCTCGAAAGCACAAATCGAGCTCTTTCTTTTCTCACTTTAAAATCATATTTAATAACGATGCTTATGCTGCTGTAAAGCGTAAATTGAAAGAGAAAGAGAAGCGATAACTGCAACATATTGTACATATTTTTCAGTTTGCTTTGAGAATGAAAATTCCCAAATGAAACCTTATGCATTAATAAATGTACAAAGTTTACCGAATTAAAATGTTAATTGAATACAAATTGTTTAACGTTGCAGTTCATTAGTAAAAAAGCCAACGAAACTTACAAAGGTACTGCCAGAGTAAAAAGTTAAAACAAATATCCGAAAAAATATTGTTTTGGGAGTGAAAGGCAAACAGTGCTTATGGGGGAGGAGAAGTCATCTGGGAAAAATTAAAATCTGATTTTATTGCTTGCTCATTGCTTCATTTTATCATGGTGGCGAAATCGGCAGCTAAAGAAGAATGAAACAGTGTAAGCATGTAACATGCTCAAAAGGGGAGTCGTATGGTTATGCTTTCATTAATGAAAATTTATGGAATGTTTTTATTTTCACTAAAAATTTCTTTTTGAGTTTCGGAAGCAAACGTTCCCCCGTGTGAAATGGTTGAAAATTGAGAAATTTCATTCGTTATCTGGGGAAAACATTCTTATTAAATAAGACACATGTTTTCAAGTAGGAAATCATGTTTTTCAGCTAAAAGCTAAATTATGAAAAATTGTTTATTGCAACAACAACCAGTTAAAAGCTTTTCCCATACGAACGAAATATCTGAAAAAAAGCTTATGTTGTATGTTCATTTACATTCATTGTAGGTACTAGATAAGAGTACGGAAAAAATAACAAATACCTACTTGGAATTTTTGAAGAGTCTGCATATGGCGTTCCGTAAAAGATGAACAACGCAATTTATATCTATTTTTAAATTATTGTGAAATTTAATTACACCTTCATATCTTTCAAAGATTCAAGTATGATTAATGGTGACATTAACTTTTTAATAATTTTCTGTTTCTAAGGAATTGTTACGAATTTTATTCAAGTTGAATTGAAGACAAAACATTGAATGGTCAAATGCGAAACAACTCAAAATAGTGGCCAATGTGAAATTATTTTTTTACTGAATTTTTAACGCTTTCTGATCTTATCAGCACAAACCTTTTCTTAGAAAACTGATGTCAAAAAGCATTTATAAATAATAATGCGGGTGTAAAAAAATAAAACCAATTGAATGGAAATTTTGCTTTATGACACAAACATCTCTTCGATCAAAAATATCTTATTGTAAACGTTACAATGTTGAATACATTTGGAGATAAAAACGAAAACATTGACTTAATTCCATAGAATTATATTAAAGAAATCAATTTGTATGAAAACAGTTTTATCATGAAAAATTTAAAGCCAATTGCTTTAATTTTCATGTGCATCCCAGAATGTTTGTATCTTACTAAATAAATAAGAGTCCGCAAATTAAATACTGAATCTGTACATAGACTCTATGTTGAATTATACTTTTTAAAATGATACAAAAAAAGTTTGTTTCTATATTTAGAAGCGAAAAATATGCCACGGTTATGGAATGTTAAGTGAGAAAAATCAACCAAAAAGCACATTAATTAAGATTCATTCTGCAATTTTTGTATGAAACTGAATTAGACAAGTGAACAATTGAAAGTTTTTAGGCACAATAAAATGTGTTTTGTCTCAAAGTTATTGATGAAAACTTATTTCCTCAAACGAGTGACGTCAGCTACAAATAACTCCTCAATATTTGTTCTGCTTTTCGCAGATTCTGAAAAGCTCAATAAAATTGTGTATATGTAGAACGAAAAAGCTTTTTCTCTTGAGTTTTGCTATTGACGTTGATATCGAGACTGCTTTCATATTTTTTTTCATTTTCTGGAAAAAATAATTTCAAACAAAATTTTCATGCATAAATAAAGGCTCATATTTCTACATGAATTCATTCTCAACAAACATTTTCCGCACAATGCAACCTACCTCGAAATTTCTTTCCTTCTTTTTTGTTTTGAATATTATTGCAATTGTTTTGTTTTCCCATCCACTGCATGAATTTCTCGAAAAAAAAGCTAAAATCATTTGGGAATGCAGCGACGTTTCTATTTAGCTTCTTTTTTCGTACATTTTTAAAAACTTTTCTGCTCATTTTCAAGCTTTCACTTTAGAAATTTGTTGCAAATGCTCATCCAAAGTTTAATTTAGTTTCTCTCTCAACTCTTTGCCATCTTCTCGAAGCAAATTCTAAAGCATTAAAATATTTCATGAATTTAGTCACACAAAAGGCAAAAAATTTAATTAAATTTCCAAAGCAAAAACACAATAAAAGAAGAATAAAAAAATGAACGACAAATATTTAAAATATTAAAAAGAGAAATCCTTCAATACTTTTAAAAAACTTCTATATATAGAATTTCAAATCTAATTATTTTCCAGAAAATATCAAAATGGAAGAGATTTCGAAATACTTTGGTTTCCTATTGTATGTACATTCCCTCACGAGTCTTAATGTTCAAATTTTTGTTAACTCATTCGATTCTATTTCTTCTTCCTCCCACAATCCAATTTGTTCATTTTGTTTTGCATTTTAATTGTTGTTGACAATTTTCACAATCCTTAAAACTTTGTTATTTCAAATACATTTATACATATTGTGGGGGTGGAAAATTGGGAAGGTTAAGTGTATTTAGAACTTTGTGGCTCTACCTGGATGAGTTTATCAATCTAGAATGTTCAACTTTTGATTTAAATCTCAACTGATGTTGTTCTTTTTCCATGTTAGGCTGACTTCATTTAAATTCAATTTAATTTACACGTACCAAGTATCTAAATATCTATTGAATGCTTATAAGTATACGAGAAAATCGAGCCAATTTTCAACAACAAGTTATCTATGTACATATCGAAGATATAAAACAACAAACTTTAAACATTTCCCCTTCAGCTTTGTGTCGGTTCATCTCATTTGTGAGATGCCTAGACAACTCACTAAATTTCAGGTCGTAATGTTTCATTCTCAAAAGGAAAGTTCATAAAATATTTATTGAATCAGAAAAATGTCAGAAATCATTCTAAATAAGCAGGAAAAAGCGATGACGATGACGGAAAAGGTAAATTGTGCTTGTATGGATTTAGGGATGCGCTGCTTCGCCTTTCTCTGTCTTTCCATCTTCCTTTCTCTTACTTACACTCGTATGCTTTACAAGCAACTGGATTCGTTTTAAATTGAGCTCGATTTACAGTTGATTGGATATACCTTTTTAATAATTCACATAGGTCATGTACGGTAGATTTCCATTTATCATTCTATCTCTCTTCTTACCTACTTCTTTCACTTCATCTCTCATGTTTCCTTTAAATTAAGTAATTTCAACTGATGTGTAAAGCACCTTTATACAACGTTAGTAGTGAATGGATTATTGATTTTTGATACATAATTTTTTCTCACCCTCCCTCCACAGCTTCTTTTCTTCCACCCCCAACTCTTAGCCCCCACATCTTAAAACAAACATTATAAATTTTCCTCATGCTTCTTTGACTCGACTCTTGCTCCCTTTCTCTTTTTTTATTTTTTCTCTTTTATTGAAATTCCCATAAATGTCTAAAATGTCAGAACATGGATATCATAAGCGTCTCAAAAAACCATTATGACTGAGAGTGGGAAAGGAAATTTGATTTAATGCTACGTTTAAGACTAAAGGGATGCGACTCTGAAATAGAGACCACGAAATGTGAAAAATGCGATGAGGGGAATTTATTTTCCAATTAAACTCGTCACTTAATAGACAATTCTTTTGCTTGCTTTTTTTCCTTTGTGGGTCAATAAATCTCATTGGCACCGCGGTGTAAAGTCATGAATATTAAACAAGCCGTTCTTTGGAATCAATAAAAATACACTTTTATCATACGAAAGGAATTCCATCCCGCTTTTTGCACCCGAAAATATCCATAAATAAAACATTTTATGGCGTCATTATACTGAAATTAAAGTGATTGCACCACTGGCCATCAATGGACTCGATCACCCCCCTTCGTGATGTTAAAAAATGTTTTTAATTGAAAAATAATTTTATTGGGATCGTATTTTTTAAAACGTTGTGTTATGTTGTTTCGGGACGAGCGAGTTTATGACGTGAAATTAATAAAGGTTTTTACGGTTAAACGGTAAAAAAATTGTTTTCGCAATAAAACTCATGTTTAAAACTTTTATGTTACTGTTCTCGTCATTGACGACACTATCGAATGTCCCTGCCGTCTTTTGACTTTTAAATACAAATTCTGATTTTAATTACCGGTATCATGAGGTGTAAAATCATTACAAACGCCAACAAAATAATATTTAACAAGATTTCTTGCTACAAACTTGCATCATCATGCTTCTTTATTGTCTGCCATTAATCTTGTTTCTACAAAGTTTTCAGGAAATTATCGTAACGTTCTAGTGAAGACTTACAAACTTTGAGAACAAAATCCTCATCGCTTCCTTCAAGAAACATTTTGAATGAGATGTAACCGGGTTTTGTCTCATCAAATTGTGCTTTTCCGAGAAGTTTCAGAAATTGGAAACGTTGTTTGAGGCGACTCAAGCGATTTGTTAAAATTTCAGGTGACTGCAGGATTCTGTCATGTGAAATGTCCATCCAATTATGAATGTAATCAAATCGATCAAAGATTGTTTCACGATCTGTAAGGTATTTCTATTGTATATTGATTGATTGAATGTTAATTAATTTAAATACTTACTATTCATCCAAAGTCTTGGACAACTTAAAAGTAAAATTTTGACTTCATCACCATCAAATCCCATTTCTTCTTTTATACAAAATGAATTTTCTCGAATGTGTTCTAAATTGTATGTAATGAGTCTTGGTTGCTTAGTTACAAGAAATCTTAGATCGTTACTGGTAAGTTTAAAGTTTTTTTGAAACCATCCAAGTCTTCTGTCGATTCTCCTTGTAGAAAAACTTAACCAGTACGGATTCTTTCCCACGATCTCTTGCACCTGCTCCAATGAGAACTTTTTTGATCTAAGATAGAAAATTCTTGTTTCCAAGTCACTGATTGATTCTTTTAATATTAAAGGATTTTTCGTGAGCATGTATCCGTAACACTCAGGTGGCAGTCCCAAGTCGTGCAGGAGAATTAAATAATCTTTCACATTTTTATCAAAGTCTAACTTTAGAATGAATTGTGCTATTCCTTTCTTTTTTTCAAGTTTACTTAAATCCACTCCAAGTTCTACAAATTTTCTTAATGTTTCAGATTTATTGATGTATGCTGCAAAATTAAATGTCGGAGAAAAGTATGTTGGCAAGTCGTCAACAGTTTCAGGGAAACTCTCGCTTGCATCTGAAATCTTTTCAATTGAATTCACTGGATTCACAGTTACAGATGAACAAAATCCTTTTGTATTTGTTAAACATTGATTTCTTGTCCCTTTTAAAAGTTTTGTTACAGAAATAATTCGACTGAAGTTCATTTCGCAATGAAATTCTTTTACTTTGTTATGATTCTTGTTGAATTTGTTGATATAACGTAAAATTTTTTATTTAGGATGTTACCACTTATTTTATTATGGCTTATTTATAAAAATGTTTTGTGATTCTTCTAAAACATGTTTTTGTTTGTTTACATTTTTGTATGAAACACAAGGGATCAAAATTCGGAGCCGGTTCAATTTCAATTTTAATTGGTTCCCAACTCTGTTGTGCGTCATATTTCGGTACATTTTGTGCGCTAGATTATTCCTTCATCTTCAATTATTATTTTAAAATAACAAATAAAGTGTCAAACATCTTACAAATTATAGTTCAAATAAATTAGATTTTTTGCTGATTGATAAAACTAATCACTAGCTATGCCAGCAGTTCCAGGCAACATGTATCAGCAAGGCAATCAGCCGTCATGTTTCGATAAAATGAAATATGGTGAGAAGTTGTTTAGATTTAATTTTAACTTATTCAATGACTTTCTTTCAATTTTAGGTTTTACTATAGGATTTTGTGTAGGAATGGCAAGTGGAGCTCTTTTTGGAGGATTTTCAGCACTAAGGTAATCATTATAACCATTGAAATTGTTATTACTGGATGTTGATCTGAAATTTCAAAAACTTCAAGCAAATTGCGTAACAAAAATACTATTAACATGTCGACTAGAGGATCAATCTTAAGTGTACACTGAAGTAGTAAAAAATCGACCAATTTCTTGAAATTTCACATTTGAATGTTTTTCATATCTCGCTTTGATTTTGAACTGAAAAAGTAACCAAATTATCTGATTACAGATATGGACTTCGAGGACGGGAACTTGTAAACAACGTAGGAAAAGTTATGCTTCAAGGTGGTGGAACATTCGGAACCTTCATGGCAATCGGTACAGGATTGCGATGCTAATGAAACCAGTCAACAAAAAATATAATATTGTCAACACAAATTGCTTTTATTAAAATGAAATAAATCTAAATTTAGTGAAGAGATAAAGTTAAATAATCAAAGAGTTTCATTTTGCAGGCTTAAAGTCAAAACTGAAAGTGGCAAGAATAAAAAACAAAAAATTTTTGGTGGTTCATAAATTTAAGATTTGTAAACATTTTTTTTATTCTCAACGACAAAACGTCGCATTTTTCTTCTTCATTTTTATTAAAAAAAACTATCATTCAACATTCTCACACAATACTCGTTTCTTTTTCTGGTTTTGTCGCGACTGTCGGTGGTTGTTGTTGCAGTAAAATTCCACTTCCGTTCCTTGCCGAACTCTTCAGTCCGTTACTACTTTGAAAGATTCCAACCAGCCACGACTTGATAATGTTACGACCTAATGACTTTTTACTGTTATCAATTAAATCCTCACAGCCACTGATTTCATGATCGGTGTCAGCACGCACCATCTCAAGCGAGTGCCAACGTTTACGATTCGTGTTTACAAGAAGTGGTATGTGATCAGATCTTTGGCTTTGTGTGCATATGCCACCATTGCAATCAATAGATTTGACTGGTTCTGTTGCTTCGTCGTTTCGCTTTCTATAGTTGTCGGTGATGCGCTTTTTCATTTGACAATCGGGAAATGGATCAAGTGAATAGCTTTTAAACTTTGAATAATCGTCATTTAATTCATAAGATCGCAAGGTTTCTGTAAAAACATTGGAGAAATGTGGTGAATGAAGAAAAATTATAGTTAATTAAACTTACTGATTTCATCTGCTGATGAATTGATAGAGTTGAGAATATTAGCAGGTCGAACAATGGGTCCAACCTTCGCTACTTGCTTTTTCAAATCATCGGAACCTCCATTGACACACTCTTTACGCAGATCTTCAAACACCTCGCCCATCGTTTCCATTTCTTCATTATTATTAATATATAACGGAGTGTGATCTAATTTACGATGTTTTGTAATGAATGGTGATGAATCTCGAAAATGACTTGTTAGTGATCCATGTAGACTTATCGTTCCATCTCCGTCAATTCTTTGGGCGGCATTTGATTGTCTTCGACTTTCACATAAAATACTTCGATTATCAGATGCGCCGAAATTTGTGATGCATGAGATTGAAGGTTGTTTAGAGTCGCTAACAAATTTAGGACTTTTTCTTGGGCGGCAGAAAAGTGGCGGTGGAAGGTCTCGTAGATCAACATTACGTTTCTCAATTGCGCCATCCGTTGTGCCTGTTCAGAATGTTTATTAAATTTTATTCCATAATTAACACCTCATTCTTACCTATCAGCCAATAAGTGATAATCTCGCCTTTTCCCTTCATCGACACAGCACCACGTTCTTCAGTGATGTAGCCGCCAAGTTTATCTAATTTTTCTTTGCACTGAGGTGAAATATGAATTTTTAATGGTTCTCCACATGATTCCATTCGCGACGCAGTATTGACTATGTGATGATAAATTTCATAAAATAACTTAATTAATGACAAATAAAAGCTTACCCGTATCACCAAAAAGACAATAACGTGGCATTGTCAGACCAACAACACCAGCAACAACAGGACCTGTGTGTATGCCGATTCTCAGTTTTAGCGTCTCATTTGGTCGATGGGATATTCGATGGGTTTTGACAGCTTGCAAAAGCTCTAAAGACATTGATGCAATTTCACCAACATGGCGATAATCGTTCTTAATCGGTAAACCTTTCGATATTTATTAAGAAGATATGAATAAGAAAAAAAAAACCAAGTTGAACGATGGATTATTACCTGAAACAACCATGTAAGCATCACCAATCGTTTCAACTTTGTACACATCGTAACCTTTGATGATTCTATCGAAGACTGTGTACAAATCATTTAAGAAATTAACAACTTGTAATGGTGTGCTGTTAGCTGAAAGCTCAGTGAATCCAACAATATCACTAAAGTATATTGTGACCTGTCAAAATGAAAATTTACAGTGAAAAATCGATTATTGATGAGAAAAAAGGAACTTACAGAATCATAAGAAACAGGCTCAATGCCATGTCCCATTGTAAGCTTTTCTGCCACAGATTGTGGCAGCATCCGATTGAGAAGATCTTCAGTTTTCCGTTTCTCTTCATACAACAATCTCGTCCTTTCGTTAACAATATCCTCAAGATTATTTGTGTACTTCTCCATCATTTCCATAATTTGATCCATGATATTCTTCGACTTTCCGCCACGCATCTTTTTAAGACGAGTTCGAATAGAGGGAAAATCTGGTCGCATGTCAGGATTCTCATGCCAGCAGTCCTGAATGCAACTGATGACGTAGTCAGCGACATTGTCAAGATCAAGTAAACATTCAATGTCGGGACGAAAGGGAGGCTTGTCTTCAGTCGGAATCTCTCGAACTAGATCAATAATTTGCTTTGGTTCATATTCGGTGCTTCCGAAAGGTCCTTTACGACCACAAATCTCATAGAGAATTATAGCAAAAGCGTAGACATCGCCCTTTTGTGATCCATAAATGTTTGGATTGCGCAGCAGTTCTGGGGACTTCCAAAACAAACCTGTGAAGGTGACTCTTCCGATTAGCAATTAAATTTATTTTAAAGAAAAAATCATTCATTTACTTCTGTAATATTGATGTTCACCAACGGATCCACCATTCTCAGAGCAATGTCGTAGGTCATGTAGTCCAAAATCTGTTATTTGAAGCATCCAACGTGACGTGATGACGCAATTTGATGACTTGAGATTTCCGTGGAATACTAATGCTGATGCATGTATGTAAATCATGCCCTGTGAAGATAACAAACTTAGAATTTATAATAATTGATGTCAAGCTACAGACTTACTTTGATCAGATCATTGATTAAAGAAGCAATAAAAAGATTATCTAACTTAATGTCTTCATTCTCAATAATATCGTACAGAGAACCCTTGGCACAATAATCCGTGACTAGTAAAATTCTCATGGGCTCCACACAGGCTCCTGAATAAAGAAAAATGTTAAATAATTTGTAAAAAATGTAAGTGAAAACAAGAAAATCATTTTACAAACCTATGAAACTATTAATATTATCATGTCTTAAATCTCGAAGCGTCCGAAACTCTTTCATCAGTTCACGTGACATATCTTTCTTTCTGGTGAATTTCAATTCTTTTATTCGAACAATAACGCCACGAAATCGACCAGTTGTTGTCCACACTTGATTTGAACAACGTGATCCATAACTTGCAGCACTGACAAGACTGAGCTGATCAAGGAAGAAAAGAATTTTATCATTTTAAAACGATTGAGATGGAAAAATAATAATTTGATGACATACTTTACTTGGTGACGAAACGATGTCATTGTTAAAAAATCCTTTGATCTCATGTGGCTCAATCTTCCACAGAAGACCTTCAATTTCAAGTTCAATTTTCCACTTGCGGTAAATACTTATTGTAATCACAATCGAACAAAAGAGAACCAAACCCAAAACGCCGGCAATAATCATTGACAACACATGGCCGTCATCTTTCGTGCATAATTCATTCTCGAAGCCACATTGTGGTTCATCATATGGAATCGATCCACTCGGCCAATCAATACGCATGATATTGTTGAATTTGTATTCCTTGATTAAGAAACAAAAATTAATTAGAAGAATCAGAAAAAGTGCCGAAAAAAATTTTATTTTTGTTTTTTATCTTGTCAGTGATGAAAGCATTGACAACTTCAACAAAATAAGATGAAAAGTTCAAACAGTTGTGAATAAATCTTCATCTGAATTATAAAGCTTGGTTGTCAATGTTGAATGAAATGAAATGACAACTGAAAAAAAGAAAAAAAAATGTGCGCCAACTCACTTACTGGAAATGCATAGTTGTCACTGTTGCCTTGCTGAAATGTAGCGACAGCAATCATATGCCGATCACATGTGAAGTTTGAATCTTTTGTCGAAAAATAAGATTCCTTCAAAGCCAACACTGAAAAGTTTCCTTCAGAATCGCCATTCTGATCAATTCGAATGTTAGCACCGGTGATGCCTTAGATTATGATTAAGTAATTAAAACGATAAGAAGGGAAATAAATTAATAAATAATCTCACTTCTATATGTCCGATTTTGAATAATAGCATCGATGATCGCTGTTCCATTGCTTGCAACTTCTCTTATCACATCTTCCGTTAATGGTCGTTCTTCTTTTGTTAGTAATTGATGCAACGCCAGCGCATATAACTTCACCGAATCATACAAATATGCAGCATAAATCGACACAAACTTCACGAACTGTTTATTAGGAAAGAACGGCGTAACGAATTCGAAAGGTGGCTTTGTGTTGTATGTGCGAACTTTGTCCGTAAACTCTTCATATTTTGTTGTTGGTGGTGTTGAAGCGACGACGAGAAGACTACGAGCTCGCTTTGTAAAACCTTCTATCTCCGTGCACGATTTATACTTGTTCAACTGATCCACGCGATATAAATATTTTTTTGCTTCCCTACGAATTATTTGATTGACATGGTTACTAAAACCCGTTTAAGCGGGCATAAAAAATATTTTATTCATACTCGGGCGAATAACTCATCATATCGACAAATATCACCATGTATTCGCCTTTGTCGAACAACTGAATTGTCTCCATTGATGCCATCATCTCAACAAGAGTCTCTGATGTCCCCAGGAATATATAAATTCTCGTCTTATTCATCGTCGTTTGAATGATCTGGTTTTTAAGAAGAGATAGGTAATAAATTTATATTATAGAATAAGAAGAGATCCATCTTAAAGACTTTTGTTGTAATCTTCAAATTTGAGTAGTTTTGAGCTCTTAAATTTCATAGTGTCGTAGTTGATAATTATTTCAACCCATATGATTAATTTTCAGTAAATGACATTTCTCATTCAAAGGAGAATTTCCTTAGATCTCAATCATCAACACATGTTTCGTTGTGTTTCTTTCGAGCGGGAAATTTCTTCTTCAATGTTTAATAGAATCAAGATAAATACGAAATATAATCGTGTGGTAAATAAGAATGAATAAATTGAGAGAGATAAAGATTAAAAAAAGCTTACATTGTACCAATAGCCTGGCCTACAACAGTCCATATTATTCTCGCAGCATTTATGTCGAACGACCACCTGCTTTTTATGATTGATTGTCTTGTTCCATGTCTTCGCTTGAAGACTTAATGCTTCGGCAACCTTCCCCCAAGTTTCCTCGTAAATGATCGAGAATTTATTCCATCCATAGTAGTTTAAAAGCGACATAACTGACTTGATCACCTGAAGAGTTCGAAAAACCAAATAAAACGTAATGAAGAAGCGAGTTGAATGATAAATGTTGATCATTTATAGCAAAAGTTTGCAGTTTTTTAAAGAATTTTTTTACGTCTTGTGACTCACCTGAGTGTCGGGTGGTTCAGTCCGAGCGAACGTAGGAATTTCCGATGCCTTATAATCGGAACATTTCTAAACAAAAAAAATTGTTGAAATGGTTTTTCTTACTTAATACTCTGCCAATAACAAGTTCAGACACTTACATAAGCAATCATTGGAATGTTCCGACTCTGCGTAACAATTGCTTCGACATGGCAACTTCCTTCCGGTCCGAAAATTGTTGCGACACCATCACAAATCATTTCGGTTATGGCACGTGTTGAGATGACAGTGTCACCGCGTGTATCATTCCATCGAAGGACGAGAGTGACATTTGGCAAAATATTTGGATCATTATTGATTTCTTCTGAAAATTTTCAATGATTTTTGTTCTTCGTTAGTAGATTTATAAAAGAATTTAAATTTGAACACTTTGACTAACCTAAAGCCATTGTTATTGCACCCGATATAGCAAGACCTTGACGATCTTTGAGGTCACCTTTGATGGCGGTAAGGTAGCCGACAGTCAGCTTGGTTTGTTTGTAGCTGCCATCAACCGATGTCGGCAGGTTGATGGTAAAAATGAATGCTAGTAAGATTAAGGAAAATGCTTGTAGCGATAACATGGCCCCTTAGTTAAATCACGGGGCCGAACACGATGCGGCCAGAATGTGTCAAAAAACTGCTGCGTGAAAAAAGAGAAAGAGAAGAATAAATTAATCAAAGATTCTATAAATGTGAAACGTGCACGACGCCCTAAATAAATCAGATCAATGACATCATGAAGCTTCTTATGTCTCATATGTACAAGTTTCACAAACAATTTCCAGTTTCTCACATGTTAAAGTTTCATTATCAACGAGCAAGATAGCTACGCGAAAAGAAGATTACTGGGAAAAATCTTTATCAAAGTCGAGATTTAATCAAAGAATTTTAGTCACTGATTTCTGACTCATTTCCATCAAACACAGAATATTAAATCTTTTTTTTTCTTTTTCTTTTTCACCACATGCGACGATCAAATCTGTTGTGTGTTTATATTTTCCTCTTGTTTCACGAGTGATGTTCGCATAATAAAACATCTTCATTTCATTCATACATTATGTTTGTGATAGTGAATAAATTTTGAATTTTTTTTTCTTTGAATCCACAAAAGATAGAAAGAAAAAAAAGTTCTCAAGCGCGCGCGAGAAGAAGAAACGATTTTTTTTATTTTTGTTTTGTTTTCGCAAATCTTGCACAACACACATGAAAATATTCAAATGAGCCATTTGATCATTTATCCTCCATTTATGTTCTCATTCTGATGGTTTCGTCGTTTGAATTTTGTCGTCTTTCGTTGGTTTTATTCACAAGTCGCGAATGGATTAATTTTATGATTTATACTCGGGAGAAGAAAACAAAAACCGTAAAATAAAACGATGAGAACCTGAACATTAAAAGCTTCTTCTTGATCACATCGTCGTCTTGTGTGAAAAAAAGTCTCCTTTAGGTTTGTTTAGCTGACTGTTTTTTTACTTTTAGTTTTTGAGAATTCGTTTAGATAAAGTGGACTTATCTCTATGGTAAAATTTCTTGAATTAAAACTTGAAAAGCGTAAGATTTAGCTTGAAACCCTCGTTTAGAGAAGACTTTGTAACTTCAAAGTTCATAGTGTGCTTTAGGAAAAGTGTTTTCAAACGAATCTTGAATCTTCGAGTCTTCTTTCAAGTCGACAACGACTTAAACATTTAAGCTTCGGCAAAATTCTTTTCCCAGAATAAAAATTTATTTTTGTTAGAGAAAAATTTAATTTATTTAAATCCTTATCAATCCTATGAAATCGGATGGCGCCAATCTTAAGAAGTAACGTTTTCTCTCTACAATAAGGTTTCATTCATTATTACACACTTTTATACGACGTCAACAGACCTTCGAGTTATGTTAAAAAGAAAAAAAGTATTAAAAATCTATTTTTATCATTCCGGTTTTCTGCTCATTAAATTGAAGCTTTTTTTACAGGCAGAATATTGAATCGGAATGAAAAACAGCCACCTTATGTTGTTGAGAGTTATGTGAATGTCTTCGAGCTGGCGAACGAGCAAGCAAGTTCATTCATGATTAAACTCGCAAATATTTCAAATCTTGGAATTAAATAAAGATTTTTCTTTGTCGACTAACAGTTTCTCGATTAAATTCTTTTAGAATGCATGGCATTTCCGACCAATGAGCCACCTGAAAATGTTTCATCTTCTTAATTGCAAATTAGCGAGTCTCGCGCGAGTCTTTCTTATTTAATAAACTATAAGATTTATGTTTCTTTTTTTCTTTTTCGTTTCGCAAGAAGGTGCAGTGCACATTTATCATAATTTTTTATTTCTCATTAAATCGATAAGCAATCACCGGAATAATTTATGAATACGAATTCACGACAATTAACTTTCTTTCGTCTTCACGAGTGAAACTTTGGAAGCGACGTTTAAAGCTGCTGAGACAATATCGAGAATAAACATTGTGTCGAGAAAGGTCAATTTCTAGTAAATTGATTGTATTGTTAACAAAACAAGGGATAACAACCTCCGACTTTTAATTAACTAGTGTTTGCATAACCGTGCCCACGAAATTGTAATGTAATCACTTCTTGGGAAAGCGTTGCTGCGTATTACAAGAAAAACTCTTGAACTTTTCTCCCCTATTTAATGAGAACAACTTTGAAAGGAAAATACAAAACAATTTTATAGACTTGCTGATGTAAAACCCTTCATTTATTAATGAGATATAATAACACATTTTAATTGTATAACTTCAGACTATCAGTCATGATTACCGTGGCTATCGGCTTCAATAACAAAACAAAAAAAAAGCAGAGAATGATGTCGGTTGATAGCACAAAAGTTTCACACGTCGTTGAGAATGAATTAAGCTGCAAACTGTTATCAATTAATTTTACCATAAAGTGTTGTTGTAGTAAACAACGGCAACGTACAAGCATCTGAGTATGTGAATGATAAACACATTAATAAATCCAAACAATCACCGACAGATTATAAATCATCATACCATGTATAGAAATTTATTTTTATAACACTCGTTATAGTTCAAAGTTCTACATACTTACATATCTACATATTTAGTAGATATTTATACACATAAATTTTTCTACTATTTATTTATACATTAAAAAAGAGAAAGAAGATCCGCTAAAACAGCCGACAAAAAGCTACTCGTACTGCTTGTGATCAGCATGGTTATTGTTCAAGAAACAAGGTCATTTTACGCTTTTTTTATATTCTCCATGCGTTCTAAAAATAGATTTAATCATATACATATCGGCATTGTTAACAGCAGCTAATGTATGCGACAAAAATACTGGTTTAAGTCGCCTGAAAATAATGATGTTCATAAAAGTCCGTAAAAGAAGAGATCCAAGTTGATGTGTAAGTTCTTTTCTGTACATAAAAAATACTCGTTCAAGAGTGTTCTGCGAGTAAAAAAAGTCTAACATATGAACAGTCGTTGAAAGTTTTGAGCGATTCTAATGAAAGCTCAACCAAATGGAGAGAGAGAGCATGAGCTACGAAACTAGATGACTGCACTCTCGATATTCTTCTCTTCACATCTTTATAACTATCGTTTACATAAATATGATATTTATGTTCATGCCTAGGAGTGTGCGTTGAGAGAAGATCATTTCTCATGATTCATTCAGATGATGATAAAAATATTTTTCTGTATGCTTGTGATTACACTCTGATCATATATATTAAAGAAATTTTACACTTTAAGATTGTTTTTCTCGTTTCGATGTAAATGCATACAGTTGCATCACAAAAGAGACGAAAATTAATTAATTCGATCGAACGTATAATGATCGCCTTAGGATATGAAACGCTTTAATTACATTTACATATTTCTGCTTTTTTATTTTTAATCAATTCTATTTCTGTCGTTTACGAGGAAATTTATGCTTGAAACGTCTAGATGAGCACAAATGTGAAGCGCATCGTGTGAATAATGAAAAGTTCAACAATAAGTCATGGGTTAAGAAATCGAATTATTTTCTGTTCTTGACAGACTTTAATTTGCTATTTGAATTATATCACTCAAAATAACATTTTTATGCACTGTTAACATAAATAATATGTTTTAGATCTACTTTTTCCCTCCTTCCTACACTACCTAGTTACGTTCTCGTTCTTCCTATTTGCATTGAAATACTCGTCTGATACCACTCTAAGTAAAATAGTAACTAAAAAGCAATTGTAAAGATTCTAAAAATAGTTTGAACCTGAAATCTTTTTTCGAACCTTTTTTTAGACAATGTCAAATAAATTACATAGTTTGTGTGTTAGTGCAACTGACGTTATCATCGTTGAATGTTTACCTGATTTCAATACCTCATTCATGTATAAATCGTTTACAAACCCTAAGAAGCTTCACAAAAGCAATAATAATATTTTAACTGCTTTTAAAATTATTCGATTCCAATACGATTCCGTTAGAATAAAATTTTATTTACCTTTCATAAAACGTGATTGTTTACTTAAGCTACAAAGTATCGTTTAAAAACTTTTTACATAAACATCCCACCTTTATACTTTTAAATTAGCAAATGTCAGGGAAAGAAAGAGGAAGAACGATTCTATCGAGGAAATCTGGAAATGTTTTTCTCACAAGGTGATTGATTTCAGATTTTGCCTGTTTAAATTTAGCAAAAAAATGTCTGATTTAAAAATAGAACAGAGAAGCTTCATTGACTTTAAAGAAACCAGAAGATGTCTATGAATAAATAAAATCTTGAATAACTTTTTTTGTCGCACGTGATCGTCGTCTTTTTAAATAAAAAAAAGAAATAAAATTCTTGCGTAGCTAAAAACAAAAATCAAATAATTGCAAAGAACGCAAAAGAAAAAAAAGATTGAAGATCTTAACCACAAACAATCAAAACACGGTGGAAGCAAATCGATATTAAAAGTAATTTATTATATTGATCGACAGTAAATAAATGATTACATTTAAAGGTCAATTGACTTCACTTCAAAATTGCTTTAGCACTTATTCGCGAGGTTTTGTTGCTACATGCGCTTCGAAGATGATTATTCTTGTTCTAACAAGCGTAATCTATAATTTGAAATAGAAATATCTTTAACATTGATGAAGATTAAAACTTGCTACTTGCTTCTTGGACACTACGTGATATCTTTAATGTTGCAATGGAAAGCTGAAAGTTGTTTTCAAAACTTTACTCGAGATCTTATCAATAGTATTTCATCATACTCTGTTATTGACTTTTCGTATTCCGAAGAAGATGTTAATTGAATTGGCAGAGTGATCTAAGGATTTATCAGGTAAAATTGATAATAATGCTTGATTGCAATCTTAATTTTTTCTTTTATGTTGGCTTATGTCGGCGAAGATTTAAATTAGAAACAATTGAAATAATCAAAGCTCCTTTCTATGTTATTATGCTTTTAAAAAAACTATACTTAACACTAATTTACAATCAACGATTAAATAAATATTACAGGAATGATTAAGATCACAATTAAAGTTATGCGATAGGAAGGAAACCTTGCACTCAGCTGAGCGACTCGACTAATTTACTAGAAGTGACGATGATCATCAAGTGCAGTCCACAAACTCGACAATAAGTATAAATTTTTTTATTACCAACGAAGTAAATAAAATCATGCTATAAATAGATATACTCTAATCAGTTTGTAGCAAACGATGCAAAAGAGACATGTGACTTCAAGACGCTCTTCTTAGCTTCAGTTGAGACGACATCGACAACGTTTATAATACATCGACGGGTGCGAAGACAAGCGAATACGAGATAAACGAAAAGAACTGGTTAATGAATAAAATGAACGAAAATGAATATTTTTAGCCGCGGAAAATAAAAGAGCGCGAATGAGATGAAACAACAGCTCAAGAAATGTTCCGTTCACATATTTATTTCTTTTCACTGTTGTTGTGTTCTGAGCTTCTTGAGGTAAAAATATTTTTTAGCATAAATGCTTTGCCGTCTTATGGCATTCCGAAGGTATTTTGTATCACTTTTATTGAGCCAGAGAAGCGAATAAAACGCTATATCGATGATGATATCGTGGCATGAAAAGCATTTCAGGTATTATGACTTTTCTTATCTGTTTGCACAACTTTCATTTAACTTGTTCATTAAAAAGTTCATAAAAGAAAAAAAAGCGTGGGGCATTGTTGTTTCTATACAAAAATAACTCCACAAGCAATTACGTTGGCAAACAAGATGATATAAGATTGACTGTTTGTTCTCGCTTGAAAAGCTTTTTTATGGCAATAATTCTATGCATTCTGCAGCAAGAGTTATGAAGATTAACAAAGTTATGAAGATGGGAATGTAAATAAAATTTGAAGTTTTCTGATATGCCTTCAGGGAAATGTCTGCTCAGTTGATCGCAAATATATTTATGATGAGCTTTGAAATTTAATGTTAAAATATTTACAAAGTTGAAGATTTGCTAGTCACAAGATTCTCACAATAATCATGTTAACAGCTCCAATTAACAGTTCTTTGTGAAATTATTTGTATTGGATATAATTTTCAATCCTTAATTGCCTTCACAATCAAGGTTCTGATACTCTTCGAAATAAACTTTTGAGTTAAACGTAGTTTGCAGAATTTTATTAACATTATTATTTCTTTTTTAATGCTCAATGTTCATTGAACCCTGCATCGTAACGGATTCTTACGTTGACAGATCCATTTGAATCAAAGATTTCATTGGAATTCTTTTTTAATGAATCTTTTTCAGATCTTTGCCATTTAACACTTTTAACTCTAACAAAGAAAACGTGTCTAATTAGTTGCTTTGTTATTTATTTAAATTAAGATAAATAGGTATAAGATTATTAACAAAGTAAACAAACATCGGCTCTTAAAGATTTGTGATGTCAATGCAATAAAATGTATGTTTGTTTTGCAAATAAGCTAATTTAGAGACATTGTTGTTGTTGTTGGTAAAAGATCGTGACGAAGGGAAGGAATAATGCTTGAAAACGACATAAAGAACAAGAATAGAATATTTTCCAATTAAAGAATGTGCTAATAATTTTTCAATATTCCACGTGACAAATAAGCTTGAAACTCGTGGGAGATAAAATAGCTTAAAATAGTTTGTAACTGCGTAGTCAAAAAAAGTCAGTCATGTCTTACTGTATCATTGGTAAAAATCAGCACAAGTTTTATCTGCTGAAATCGTTTGAGAAAAAACTTGAAATCAATAGTAATAAAGTTGTGTTTTGTGCGGCATCATTAAATATCTTGCAAAACATTTATTTCTTTTTTTTCTCTTTTTTTTGTTTTGTTGCTAAGATCGCACACATTGAAAGTAACACTTTGCCATGTAAATAGATAGAATGATCTTCATCAACATCTCTCCTCTCGTCAGGGAAAAAAACTTTTAAGTAGACTACCAGCCATCAAAAAAACTGCTGTTAATTAAATTCATCTCACAAAAAAACAGAAAAATGCTTTGAAATCGTTCAATTTAAATATCAGAAATAATTCGCGTGTCTTGTAAGGAACATGAGAATCTTAAAATCGTCTAGGATTTCATCAATCGCTGAACGAAAGGATGACGTAAATTTTAAGTTCTTCTCACAATCAGGTTTTTGCCTTCGTCATTGCCCGTCGCTTTTGTCTGAGATGATTTCTTGTTTAAAGAACAATTTATGAATTGGCTTTCAGTTTGATTCTTTCGATATTTTTTTCTCTTATGATCATTAAATTTGTTGGTGTTCCGTTCTATGTATTGATATTATTTAAAGAGGTAGTAACAATCAAAAACGGAAATATAAATTGAAATACAACTCAAAGATCTCATAATAAGGCTTAAATAATATAGAATGATTAATCACGCTGGCATCTTAAAATCTGTAGCCACACCGGCTCTATCACGTCTCGCAGTCGATGTTGCGGCTTTTAAATCGAACCACCATGCAATCAATCTCGGAAATCTTTTACTTCGGATTGTGTATAAAGCAAAACAGCAAAAGAAAAAAAAACCCAAACGGATGACGTCAGAAGCAAGAATTTCGTACATTACACGGTAAATGATTGCACATTGTTTGCACCTTTTCGCATTCGTGCCTCATCATTTAATTGATGCTTGGATATATTATTTATGCTTCCTTTAAGGTGAGATTTATGCGTTCATTCTTTCTGCATGAACATGATCGGCACTTAAATCTTTTAAACGCTCGTAAATCTTGTAAAATATTTGTTTTTAAACTTCTTCAAGTAAATCTTGAGCTAATTTATTTATACATATGAAGTTTAAATTAACTCTAATTGAAATAATTTAATTATCTTTTATTAGACTAATTTGGAAAAAAGGTGTTTAATTGTCATAACAAGATAAACATGTCGGAAAAAAATACAATTTGATAAAAAAAACATTCCGTAGATAAGAATTAAGTTCGAAGAATTTATCAGTAAATATATTTACAATTTGTAAATAACTTATGATCGCTTATGTAAGTGTGACGCGTTGATTCAATGTGCTTATCAAAGATTTCAAGTGTTTTCCCTTAAGGCTTTAAATTAGCAATGATAACAAATAAAATGTCTCCTTCAGCTGCCATTCTAAATATTAATTCCATGTCCGATATATCAAATACTTCCGTTGTAAAATCGTCACAGAGAATTCGAGGAATAAATATTTCCTAACAAGACACGCTCAAAGCGAGTCCCACAATTGCACAACCTGGGTAAACTCTCTCCACGCGTTAACATTCCTCGACACATGTAGGCATGGAACGGCAACAACATGTTGTTGCATCATGGAAATAAGCACTCAGACACTAAAATATTTTCTCCATACCTTTCAGACCCAAAAATATTTATTTTCCTTCTTTTGCCGTATGAAATATGTGCAAATTAAATTTAATTTTTGCGGGCGCATATAATTTGAAAAACAAACATTTTAAATTAAAATTGTTGACTGAGCTCACCATGAGGTTTTTGAGTGTAGCGAAATTGTTTTTATCTCGTTTTTATTTTTTTTTGTTTGTTTGCTGTGACTCCGACCTTCCGATTTTCTTTTATGTTTTTTAATCTGTTGAGTCGTTGATCAGTTCAATCAATGCAGTTCTTGCTTCTTGCTGTTGGTCATGTAAACTGATTTTAAGGCCAATTTCATTTATTTTTCTTTCTTTTACGATAATTAACTCAAGATCATTTATTTATTTGATTTTTGCCTCATTCGATTCACTTATCGTTATCGTACACACTTCACTAATAAAGCACATTACAAGCGCCTTCAACCAAATGGAAAGCAAAAAAAAAGCAAACAACTTTGCTTTTAAGCAAGAAACGGCGACGGCTCAACACACTCAGAACAATAAACTGATAACTGATAACACTTTTTAAAGCGCATACAATTTTTCTTCCACTTTGAATGCGTCTTTTAAATTTATTTTTATAATTTTTGTATTTAGTTTTAATAAAATAAAATTAGTTTTCTGTTTGTTGAGACCACTACAAAAATTGAATTATTTTTTTGTTGTCGTTTTATTTTTATTTGGACTTACAGTCGCACAAACATTTCAAGTTTTGTTTCTTTCTTTCCTTTTCGTTGTATCAACGTTGTTTATTGTTAGTTTTTTTTTATTTTGCGATTTTTAAAAATAGCCGATGAAGAAAAAATTCACACTAGAAGTTTGCAAATCACATCGAGCAAGAAAAAAAAATTAATACACTTGTGAGAGACAAAAAAGAGAAAAACTTTCTTTTTGCCTTCACAAACCTAAGTGAAGGAATCGCTTAGAATATCTTCTTCTACACAATGTCGCTCGATCGCGTGATGATCGCGTCAGTAATTGATTTAAAGTCTAATATCACTAGAGCTGATCACAACGCGACACTTGTTTTATTAGATTTAGAACTTTTTTTTCTTCTTTAAATATTTTACTCAAGCGAGACGATGTCTTGAAACGTGTACAATCAACACCACGACGAGAGAAATACTAAAATGAGCCTCTGAATCAAAAGCATTTGAAACTGCCCCAAACTGTCTGAGAGAGAGCGAGCGAGCGAGATCACAAATATTCTTGCATTGGATTCTCACTAGTGTAGTTTGTCTTGTGTCTCCAACACAGTTGAACTTAAAAACTGTTTTCACAACACTTGAAAAGCATGAAAACAGGCAACACACTGATCGGTTAACGAGGAAATTTCTTCTCTTGACTGTCGTTCACATTGTTGCTGTCTGACGATTCGATGACACAAATAGTCAAAATTTGTAAGTGATAAGATATTTCAAATAGTTTTCATGTATTATTAAAACTATATTTAGATTCTTTAAAGTTACACAATGAAAAAATGTTCGTGCATTCAGTCATTAATATATTTTAATTGAATATTATAAGCAAAGGTAATTAAAAACTGCATTATTTGCAATCGTGAGTCCAATTATTTCACACCTTTTTTTAACCAAATAACTTTTTATTGCACCGTGTCTCCGTGCATTTTATAAAATTGTTTACTTTGAATAGGAAATTTATCAGCTGCTAATGAAAATAAAGTTGTACTCCGTTGGAAAGTCGAAAGAGAACTGAAGTCGCAAAAGATAAACCTGAAACATACTACAAAGTAAAAGATTTCAATCACAAATACATAAAAGTTTTTTCTCTCAAATCTCAAGTTTCTGTAATTTTAAGCTTTCTTGTGTAAGAACACGGCATGGGAGAAACATGTTGCTTCACTGATATCATATGTTTTCATGATAAAGTGGGCGAAAATTTTTAAATCTATTTTTTTCTTCTGGTTTCCTTTTTGCTTTCTCCAAAAAGTTTAATTTCTTCATCTTAAAACAATAAAAAGGATTGTTCAAATAAATACGATTCAAAATATTGTACATATTTTTCCAAAAATAACATGCATATTTAATAATTTAACATAAAAAAATGATTTCAGCTATATCAATGTTCTTTTTGTAGGAGTGAACTTCAGTGCGAAGGAAAATAATATTAGGTGAATTTTAAAAAACTTAACGGTAATTCCTTTTTTAAATTTAAAACATTACAATTCCATAGTTTTGGCTGTTGAAAAGCTCAAAGAACTTTTATTAACCGGGGGACGTGGACTGCCCTTGGATTTCGACTTGCGTGGATTTGACTTTCCATACTAAACTTCTAAACTTTGCGTCCGGATCAGACAAATATTTCCGGGTCAGATTGCCTTAGTGATTTTTAAAATAGTCGTTATTAGCGTTGTGAAAAATATCGATGAATCGATCGGCACTCATTGATGTTTTTTGTAACATCCTCTGTAATTTTATTACATTTGGATTTTAATCCTAATTCCAAATTTGGAATTTCAAAGAAAATAAAATTCAGACGATTTTTAAGATTGATTTCAATATTTTATGCAAAAGTGTACATAGTTAAGTTAAAAAAAAACATTCGTTTTAATATCATTTTTAAGCTTAGTTTACCAATTAAAAAACTTGTCGCATTCAATATGTCTAGGTAGGCAATGAATCAAATCCTTGCATAGCAGAATCGTGTGGATATGTTCACCGATAAGATGTATGCTAATATATATCATGAATATTCAATTATTAAGAATTTAGAACACTTAAAATAATTATTCATAAGAAAGAAATGTTATCACAACCTTGATCGTAATATTTTCATTGGATAGATAACTAATGAGTCAATTTATCTTCCTGTGAAAAGTAATTTATGGCAACATAGTAGGATGCATAAACATTCTACTTTTCTATCTTCAATTACAGAGTTAAGATCAAGTCTGATTAATATTGTCTGTAATTCTATATACTCACTCGAGATCTTTCAACAATATTCCTGTTTTCTAAATTAGACCTTGAAATGAAATAAGCAATTGTTTTCCTTTAATAAATAGGCCTCAAGCTCAAGCATATAACCGAATAACCCACTTTCATCTAGCCAAACAGGATTTTATAATAGAACAAGATGATTCTATACCTACATAAGGCTAAGTCACATTGCATTGAGAAGAAAATGATGTTAGTAAACACAGGTAATATATAAGCAATGAGTTTTGTTTAATATTGTTTCTTCTTTTCTTTTTTTGAAGTCACTCATTCACTATTATGCTTCTTATTTTCAATGTACACACGTTCCATCGACATTTATGGGTGTGAGAATTTACTTTTCTCTTCACTTCAGCTTTCCTCGTATCATGAAAATTCAATTTATTCGCATTTCTGCATTCGAACAGTTCAGCTCAACATTGAGCATTAATCCGATAGCTAATCGAGTGCCGCAAAGAATAAAAACTCATTAAAAAATTTAGTGAAATTTGGGAAATCGAGGAAGTAATATAACGATGAGATAATTAAACTTGAAAGACATTTAATGTGAGATCAACAAATAACTGAGTAAATTAGAGTGATTGAAAAATAAGAAGACAAATGAAACTTTTTCAATAACGAGAAGTAAAACGCGGGTAATTCACATTCGAATTGTGTAGTTAAAATTGAAGTTTCATGTAGAAAAGAAGTGAGAAAAAAAATTGTAGTGAGATGTTCATTCATATGCTTAAACTGAATTGAAATGTTTCTACTCGTTGGATTATTTTGACTTGTGGGTAACTTCTAATTGCATGCTTAGCAGTGTTTTTCTCCGGAAACATAAAATAAAAGAAAATATTAAAAATGTAATGTAAATCGATACAGTTGCTCCAGATATTTGTGATGAGCAATCGTAATTTAATGCTGAAAACGTTTTTGTTTTACGAGAAATGCAATTTTGTTTTTGTGCTGTTAGATTCTGACATTAATATTTGAAGTTATAGCATTCAAAACATTCATTTTTATGATTCTTTGGCTTTCAAAACAGCTATTAAAACTCGTGTACATAAATTATCTGTTTATGATATCTTGCAAAACTTAGAAGTCATCAACCAAAATAAATTTATTTTATCTTCTGTTAAAAAATCTTTTGAATGTGCCATCTTCACGTATCCTAATTAAACTTACAACTGTGATCATCATACGACCTCATTCAATTGTATGAATTTTACGTTTATAAATTGTCACAGAAAAAGACACAAAGTGTTATCAATCTTAATGCAAAACAATCGCTTTAAGCTTGTTATAAAATTATGGAAATTTACTGTTAACAACGTAATCAAAATGAATGTCTTCAGATTATTGAGTAACACAAATTGCTATTAGAAAATTTTCGCATAATGTAGGCCAGATAAAGAACAATCCAAAGAAGAAAAGAATAATTATTAGATTTTGCTAGCAATCTCAATTGCCGCAGATCAATGAGAAAGTCAATTATATTTCATTCACGTTCATGAATCGTGATTACGAATGTGGATACAAATATCGATGACAATATCTGAGTAGTAATCGGATAATGTAATTAATAACTCAAAATGACCTTGCCAGCTTATATCATTGTACATTTGAATGAATGTAATGAGAACAAACATCTTTTTACCGGTTTGAATTTGAGTGCATTTGCTTTCATTTCACTGGGAAATTTCTTTAATATCTTAACATAAATTAGAACATTGAAAAGGGAAGCGAAATGCAACCTACATTCATTCCTTTCATTTGAAATTCTTTTGAAAATCCTTTGTGAGAGTGAAAGCTAATGGAGTGGAAATTTTGTCTAATGATGCCAATTAGATATTGAATTTTCTACATTGAAAGTCATATTTTGTTACTAATTTTACTAATCTAATTATACACATAGAGTGCAAAAATTGTTCTGCAATTTTTCAATTAATTCATGTTTACATCCTAATGCTTTTGTTAATTCTAATGAAATAGATTATCACATTATACAGTGCTGATTTCAAACAAAATTTAATCAACGACAAATTGTCGTTTACGTCGACAAACAATGAAATTTACACGAGCAAAAGACTTGTCACAGACAATTGTGTTTAGTTTATGTTTAATGGGACACAAAAGAGATTGGGAAATTTCATAGTTGTCAATTTATTAAGGGTAACCTCTATGGGAGTTTTAAATTACTTTTCATTAAGTAGAACATGGCATGACACCACTTTTGAACTGTGATTTATTTAATTGAAAAGATTTGTTTCTAATGTAACATTCCTTTAACCTTCTAAAATTTTGTTTCTTCTCATAAATGGTGCACTTGTTGAAATGTTATTCTTTCATTTCTAGGCCTTTGGTAATGCATGCTAAGTGCTTAAGATTTACATAACAGTTTAAAATTGATCATCAAACAGAGAAAAGCGAATAATTTACAGTATGATTGTGATGCAAATTAAAATGAACAATTAAAAATTTAAGTGCTGCATTACGGAGAATGTTTTAAAATTATTAACGACGACAAGTTTTCAAAAAAATTAAAAGAAGTAAAAGTAACGAAATGGGAACTACCGTTTCAAGCCCAAGTGGCGGTTCAGAAATTTACGATCGCCAAACTTTTCCAAGAAGTGAAAAAAAGATTGTGATGCAAAAAGCAAATACACTTGAAAGAAATGATAACAGGAACACTAATAATGGCAACCAGGAAAACTCGCGAATGCTTTTTTTGATGTACTTAATCAATCGAACGTGGAATGTAGTAGTTGATGGTAAAGGCGGTAAACGGTGAGTGCGTCCAAATATATACTTACAAACTTTCATCAGTCCATTAAACATCTTTCATGTTTTACGCAACCATTTATTATCCGAAAAGTTTTAATGTAAATAAAATATAAAAGAAATAAAAATCGAAACTGAAAACAAGGAAATAGATAGTGAAAAAAATGTTGACAGACTTTTCATTTTCATTTAAAAGCAGGATTACTACCTAGTTCATGTTGTTTCCGTTCTTGTATTTACAAACAACATTCTTGCGTATTTTCATTTTCTTCTTTACAAAAAATATTTTAGCGACGATGACTTGAACAAAACAAGATTCTTAGAGGAGGCGGAGGGGAAACAAGACGATGAGTATTCTTGTGTGTATGGTTCGGAATGTTCTGGATGCAGTTGTGGTTACTGCGAAGATGAAAATTGTCGGATTAACGGCAATTACTCAATTTGTGAGAGGTAAGATATTTTAACGTATTTTAAAATTTCAAATTTAAGCTTTTTCAAAAGCTCTACGAAAGCTTTCGCTCTACCAACTGATTCAATCGTCGCATGTTTTCTTCATCTTCTTTCTACACGCTTTGAGTAAATCTCGGTTTGAAAATACCTTTAATTCATTTCATTGGTATAGCTGCTCAGTTTATGTTTCATATCTAAGCGGATAAGTCGTGCTTCACTTCTTCAGTAGAGGATTTATTTTTAACCGTATCAGTGCTAATAGTTTGTTTAATGAATGAAAAGAATAGTTCAGTGATTTCATTAGTAGCAATTAATTAATTTTCATGATACCCAAAAAAAGAATTAGAACGAAAAGGTACAGAAAGGTGTAAACATTTGAATACATGTATCTGTAATTAATTCTGATAATAAAAACAGAAGAAAAAGAAGAAAAGAAAAAGGATTGTCATTAGACTAAACAGTAAACATATATTTATTTAAATAGCGAAACTTAGCAACTGTTATTTCTATCTAGAACTTTTAATGATACAGTGAAAATGGTTTGTGATGCTGTGCTCCGTCAGATGAAACAGTTATTTCACAAAGTGTAGATCTCATAAATTTAATGTTATTCGACACAATCGATAGCAGTTTCTGTGTTGTGTTTTTCTCTTAGAGTTTTCTGTTTGTCGATCGATATACCAAAGTAAGTTCTTGTTCTTTTAACCAAATTAACTGTTATTTCTCTTCATTTCGAGCGATGTTATTTGTTAAAATTTTATGTGATGCTAAAATTGAATAACAAAAATTTTATTTCAATTTAACTTTCGTGAATTTCTTTTTCACTTAGCGGATCTTTTTTTTTTTTTATTTTAGCGATGTTTTGATTTTGAGTCGTAATTACTTAATAATCTTTAATACACTTTCCACTTCGCTTTGTCTTGTTTGTTTTTTTTTTCGTAAGTAAACGAAAGATAAAAATTATTGTCATTGCTCGCTGGTTAGAAATCGTAAATGGAATTCGGAAAGAGCTTTGCTTTAATAACTCTGTAATTATATTTAAAGTAAAGCTAGCTATAATAATCAAGGCATAGTGTGCACCTCTTTAGTAAAAACTTGCGGTGATCAACGTAAATAAAAAGTCGATTCGGCTACGCATTGAGTTTGAAAATTTCACAAAAACTAATTTTTGTATATGATTTGAGTTTCACTTTAGAGTTAAACTGAAGCGTAACTTTTGATAATAAATAAATTATTTTTATTAGATGGATAAAAACAAGTAGTAAATTTCGAGAATATAGCGAGAAAAACCTTTTGCGAATGGAATCAAAGAGAAAATTTTATGAATCCGAATCCGAATGAATCATTAAATTAACAAATCTTCAATGTCAGAATTAATTAAACTACGATTATAAGATTGTTCTGATGTAAAAAGTGTTCATCATTCGCTTAAGCTTAGTTCCATGAACTTTCTCTATGGGTCGTTAATAACGAAAACAAATTTTTAATTCGCTTAAATTGAAGAAAAGGAAAATGAAAATCGGAAAAGGGAAAATGGAAGCGAGCACGAGGCTGATCATTGAAATAGAAAAAAAAAGTTTGTTTCATGCCTTTTTAATTTATTTATTTAAATGATATAAAACTCACGAACTTAGAGTGATATAAAGACGACCTCGTGTTTTGTATTGTTTCAATTGTTGAGGTTCCGAGATTCGTTGTTATGTCTTCACTTTCTTTGAAGTAAAGTTATATTTTAATGAGATAATAATAAGATAATGTTCAAAAGAAATTATGACTTCAAAGTTCAAAGTGTCAAAACGCAATGCAAAGTGGCGCTTATTACCATCAGAATTATTCATTGAAGTCTTTCTTTTTCTCAATTATTCTCTCATTTTACATTTTGCGGTCATAATGAACAAAACAAGTGGAAAGATTGATTTAAATTTCCATCTACATAATTTAGTCGAGCATAGGAGCAGTAAATTAACGGTTTCCCCGACTCTTCCGAAGCATATGAAGAAAAATGTTTTTCTGAATCTTCTCAACTTTATGTGAGCCACACGTTGGTGATGTTACTTCGCTTATTTTACGATTCCTACACCGCAGTGAAGTAATTTCTTCTTTTTCTTGTAATATTTTGTACGAGAATAAATTTTCTTACCATGTCCGAACAGTGAAATCAACAAATGTTAACGGTGAATGCTGGCGCATCGGAAAATATAAACTGAACAAAACAGCACAAACAATCTTATTAAAAATTTTATGAAAAAAGTTTCGACTATCTAAAGTTGTTAAATTTATAAAATAAGTAAAGAAGTTGAACGAGAAAAAAAAGTATTACATTGAAACCATTAACGATAGTTCTCGATTACTTTTTAATTTCATTCCTTTTGTTTCCCGTAATAGTTTTATTGGATTTTCGCCACAAAGTTTTCCCACTCTTCCACAATTTGTCTCGGTTCTTTTAATGTTTGTCTGGTGGCTGAAAAAACTTACTTATCTGAGACTTTTAAATAAAAGCAGAGCGAAGAGAGAAAGAGAGAATCAAGTGCAACGAATTGAAATGAAGATCTAATTAATTTGTAAAGAAATTAACAGATCAATAGTGAAACTGATTTTCTTCCGAGTTCTCGTTTTGCTTTTGTAACTGAACAATGATACTGATTGGTTTTCCTTAGTCATTTGAAGCTTACATATTCATTACTTTATTCATTGTACGTGCTCGACTTTTTTATTGAGAGTAACAGTTTGATTATCATTGCTACATGCCGTACGCGTTTCTTACTCACAAATTTTCTTAAGTGATCTGTGTACAGCCAAACAAAACACAGATGATAACAATAATTTTCTCGTTTCACGCTTCTAGAGTTTACGGTTGATTTAACAACATGAAAATACGCATTAAGCTCTTGCCTATTTCTTTATTTATCTCAGACTTTAACTTATTAATGTTCGCTTTGACACCAAAGAAAGAGAAAATTCCTCAGTAAATAATCTTAAAAAGCGAATGACACAACAGTGATAAAATGAGGTGGAAGAAGCAGTGAATTTAATATCGTCACTTGTCTAATGAATTTTCTTGACAGGATGAAAGCATTCCATCTGAGGTCGTGTATGTGTTAGCGTTAATTTCTTAGCATTAAAAGGGAGAAAAAGAGAGAGAGAGTTACAAAGAATGTTTACTCATCAACGATAAGCGAATGTTCTTTGTACCAATGAATGAGTGAATCAACGATAAGTAATGATTTTCATCGCACAAAAGCTTTGTGATCTCAGATCAATGAAAGAAGAAAGAATCCGAAGACTGTGCGATAAATTAAAATCAAAGACAAAGTTTGCTGAATGATACTGCAAAAAAAAAATTAAATTACATAAAAGGGAAATTAGTAATGTCTTTGAAAACTTTATCTTTGTTGAGTTTGAAGAAATTATTGAATGTAATGTCACAGTAGAATGGATTTAATTTAAATATCCTTTTACATTCTTCAAGCAAACAATTAAAGTTCCCTGCTTTATTCACTCTGATCATAATCAAATGGAGGAACTTTTCCAACAAATATATTTCTATAATAAAAGAAAAAAATAATTTAAAAATTGAGCTTCATTCCCGACAATTTTCCGCATGAGGTGAAAATCTTTTAGTCGAGAGAAAATTGATAAGTAAAAAAGTTGAGATGAAAACAATTTTTACGAGTCGAGTCGAGTCTTGCTTGTGCTACTGACTTTAGCCTTGACTAGAACGAAGAGAAAGTAAAACTCGTTTGTTATTGCACGTTCAAAATGAAAAAGCTTAGAACGAAATGAAATAATCGACAATGACTTGCTAATTCTGTGACTTTCGATATCAACATAATGTTGAATGGAAAAAGGACTCAGCAGACTCTCATTTTAAACAAAAACTTTATGAGGTGTAAAGCTTCGGATAAAGCAAATTAGCTTTTTTTCTATAATCCTCGAGTAAGTTCTTTCGACCACTGAAGTGGATTCGAACTAATCGTTCATTGTTCTCTCAAGATGATGATTGTTCGTAAAGACAAAAAAAAATATTGCAAATCATACTTTTTGATGAAACAGAAAATGCTGAGGATTTGTTTGTGATTATTTAATAAGAAGATTATTACAGTAAAGATTTGTTGAATTGGTTTTTATGTTTAACACCATCAGTGGCTTTATTCATTGCTACAGTTAAAGCAATATTGCAGCCAAAAAGTAATAAAAATCTCAACCTTATAAGACGCTGTTGAAGCTTCAAGCTGGATAAAAAAACTTGGCGACTAAAACAACTTCAGACACGTTTTTATCGAATTCTAAAAGCAACAAAATTAAGAAATTCATGAATCCATGACAGCTAATGAAATGCCGGCAAAGTATTCCAGATAAAGTTGAATGTTTATGTTCATGTCCATGGTTCACAGTTATCCAAGTTAAATAATTTAACATCGGCCATTGACTTTTACTTTTCACTCATCTTCTCAAATTAATAATATAACAAAACCCATGATTTTAAAATAATTTCCATTAACTACAATAAAAAATCTCACATGGTTTTACATCTCTTTAAAAGATTCACAACATGCGAACGAATGAAGGAAATGAATTTAAATACAATTGTTTTTAATCACCAAAGATTTTAAATACTTTTCTTTTGCTTCCAATTTTTCGTAGAATAAATTTTTGTAAAGAATAACAAAAAGTTCTCGACTTCCAACACTTTGTTGTTTATTTCGTTTTATTTTATGAATATTTGAATGTAAATTGAAGAATAATTTGAGGTAACAAATTTATTCCACACATCAAGCGTGGAGGAAAAGAAGCGAAAGAAAGAATGAATGTTGCTTTGGCTACTTGTTTCATAAAATTTTTCCCAGCTTATTACTTTACAGCTTGTTTCTCGCCTATCAATGCCATTGCGATTTCTATCTCGACAATGTGTCAAGCGTTGTGAAAATAATTCCATCAAAACTTATTGTCTAGATTCTGGTAGCGTTATTAATGTTTGAATGACCTCAAGTTCGAGGAAAGGAAAATTATGTTAGCGAGAATATTTATAAATTTCGAGCCATTTATCAAGCTTTCAGTTTTGTTGAAGAAGTGTAAATAAATTGTCTGATCGGGTTAACGTAAAATTAGACATTGCTTGTAACAATTATTGACATTGCTGTCGATCATAAAAATGGTAAACGTCAATAACTCTTGTCAATTAACATCTCTTCATTCAATCTATTGAAGCACGGCATATTGATCTTTCCTACCTTGAACTGATGATGATGATGATGCTTTGTGTTGAAGTTATTACCGCTATTTTTCATCCATTAACCTTCTATTGGAAGAATGTTTATATTCTGATAGCAGCATCGTTGGATACTTTTTTCCTACACTAGGTAGCTTTTCATATTATGATAAATTTCATTGAAATACAGAAACATGTACACGAGAGAATGAATGATGTTTTCCACCTCCACCACCACCACCATTGCCACCTCAATAGAAAAAAAGAGAAGAACGGTAAACAGTTCGTGACATTATTCACGCAAAATAGAAAATTCTGTGAAATTATTTACCAGAAATGATCGATAACATTTCCTGAAAATCTCAATTCTTATTTGTTTAACTTAAGAATAAGAATCATAAACTTTTTTGAGATTGTACATGAATGATGAAATTTATGAGCTTTTTCATGAAAAGCTTTTCTGAAGCTGTGCAAGGTCGAAAACTTATTTTAATGGATAAAGTTACAGTGCGTGAAATTGTTGATTTATGTTTATTCGAGGTTGTTCACTCTTGAGAAAAACTTACTCAGCTCTCGCCTACTTTAAAATGAATTTATTTGCAAAGTTTTTAAGTAGTTTTTCTATTCGCTTTTTGAAGTTGACTGTTAATTTCACCACAACATGCTTTTAATGGAAGATCTTCTGGAAATTAGCAAAATTGATGTTAAATTTTCTAATGCAGTACAAAATGAATTTTCACAGAAATGCTTAATGTGGTCGCAATTTCCACATGGAAAATGAACGCATTCAACTATTTATCAAGTTTCAACTTCGTTTTAATGAGAGCCGCAGATGTAGCAGAGTGAACTCAAATAAATTTTAAGCCGCAAGAAGTGTTGCTATTTTCCTTCTTTTAACAAACCATAAGCATTCCAATTGATTCCACATGAAGAAAATGAAATTTGAAATGAACATTTTGCTGCATCATTCAATGCTATTAGCTTAATCATTTGTGTGGCTTTTGGTGTATTTATACATTTCATCCACTCTCGTATGTTATCAATATATAATGAAGATTATTTGGTAGAAAGCTATTGTTTTAATAATAAACAATATCGCAATCACAGGAGTTGCAAAAAAGGAAGAACGAGATAATGAGACGCCATAATTTCAAGTTTTCATGATTCTCCAAATTCTTCATCACAAATCAATCATTTGCTTTCTTTCAAGAGTCGAGAGTCTGACAGGAGCCATGCGGTAGGATAAATTGTCTATGCACAATGCTTTCTCTCTTCCCCAGGGGTGTCGTTTTGAGAGAAAGCTTTTCTTCGCTTGGATAAAACGATTGCAAATGTCAGAAGTTCAAATTAATCGTGTCTCAAGCCATTTTCATCTCGAATAATGAGTGTGAATAAATCAAAGTAAATTTTGTCGACTCACTGAAGAGATAGAGAAAATACGAGGGTTAAATGATGAAAATAAGAAAAAAGCTTTGTTTAATTCTCCAATGTTTTATATTGATTGTTATTGCTTTTAATGAGCATAAGTCGGTTAAGGTTTTCTAAAAAAAAAGAAAGAAAAATGAAAATAGAAAATAAAAGAGTGAAATCATCATTCCAAGTTCATTTTAAGACAAATTGATTTCACCTGGTATGTAATTCGATTATTTTGGTAAATTTCAAGTGAAAAACACTGAATTTAAGGAACAAAGCAGAATGAATAATTATATTTAGAAAGGAATCATCATGAAGATGCTCCGAGTAATGAATAGAGTCAATGCTTGAAGAGAATAGAAATGAGGAATACAGGAAAATCCAATTAGTTTTTTTTTCGGCCCTCGCTTTCTTCAAGCAAAGACAAAGATGATAATGAAGTAAATTCGAAGGAGCACGAACTGAAATTTACGCGGACGAATGTTTAACTAGACAAGGGAAATCATTCTGCAATATTTACTTCTACTCAATATTTTTTTAAACAAGGGAAACGAGGAGGAAAAAAAAGCGTTTTATGTTCTGAAATTTTAATTACAAAACCTACATCGGCATCTGACAAGAGTCCAAGTTTTTTTAACCATCTGTCCCTGTTGCAAACTTTTAATAGTTTTTCATTAACAGCATTGTTGTTAGCAGGTTCACAAAGCCTCTGACACCTCTTCTGTAACAACTTAAAACATGAACTCATCATATGGTGGAATGAAAAACTTTCTCATCGTTCTGAATAATCAAACTCAATGAACAAGAATGCAGGAAAAAAAACTTTCTAATTTTATCGTTCTTAAAGCATCTCTCGAACTTAATTAAATGAATTTGTGCTTATGTAACGAATTAAGGTTTTAAGTTTCAGCATTTTCCCTTCGAATTTTCTTATCCTTGTGCAAACATTCGGGATGAAGATAATGCGAGGAAGCGTCTAGTAGAAAAATCATTGTAGTAGCAAATTACATTCGGAAGCATCCGTCGAGATTAAATCAGATTCATTAACTTCTCCTCAGCGTTTTACAAAGCTGTTTCTATTTCTTAAAGAAAAAATAAGAAAAAAATACTAAATTATTAAAAGATTTTAATCCAAAGCTTGAGCAATTGTTGGTTAAATAATAAACATTTAACCAAAGACAAATAGAAACCAACATCATTGTGCTGATAAGATTCATTAAGTTAAGAAGCTTTTAAGAAACTTTTTGTTGACTCGCCTTTCTGTTTATTTTTCTTCTTAAAGCTTCTATAATTATATATTTAGTAACTCAAGATTTCTTTACTACCATCATTGATGTCATCAAAATTCTCTAACCATTAAAAAGAAATAGTTTTGATTTATTACTGTTGCATTTGCAACCATTTTCATATTTTGTTCTGCTACATTTCAACTCAACATTAATGATGATGAAAAAATATTCTTTGAACTTAACGGTCAATTAATTCGCGAGAAATTCTTTTCATCCATTACAAGAGATCGTGCAACAGTTCTTCGATGTTCTTTCCAACTTATTTCATTCTCTTGCTTCCTTTATGATGCTGGGTACAGGAAATGAAGCTCCACAGCGTGTTCTTGTAAATATTTCGGATTCAAAGTATTTTAGTGACATTTACCAGACTTGGAACATCTTCAATGTTTCGGTACGATAGCTTAAAAGCTTCGTCTTATTAAATTCCTTGTTACATATGTTTAAGACAGTAAATTCGTCTTTTTTTGTCTTCATATACCTTCATCTAACATTTTCCATCAGCATATTCGTGCCGGAAACGAAGGAAGTATGCATAAGAAATCTTAAATGATGGATAAGCACAAGCAATATGTCACTCTTATGAAAAACGTCCGCCTTTTTCTGGAGTAGCTTTGCCTTTTTGCGGTATTTTATCAGTGAGCTTACACACACATAAGTAAGCTTACACCCTCAAAAATTGTGCAACCACATGATTCAAATTAAGTTGTGAATCTTGGAAGTTCATTGGAGGCAGATATTTCAATTTTAATACGCTTTTGAGGGAAATAAAAATGAAATCTCATTCCGACGTGTCATGTGTCGTTAAAAAATTGATTTATGTGGTTTATTGATATCGATAATGGTTTGAGTTCTTAAAGCTGAGAAAAGTTGATTTCTTGAATTTCATTTTCACAATCGAAAATGTTTTTCTAGGTTTCACAAGCAACGAAGATTTTCGACACGTTGTTTCATGCATGTATCTTGCATTGTAGTTAAAATCCACTATAATCAATCTAGATTAACTTTATCTACACAATTTACTTCTGTCACATTGTTATCATGGATTTAATGAAACTTTACGTCTTTTCCATGTTTTCCCTTCATCGAGCATTTCTTCCCTTTCGCCACATTCATAAGGGTTAACAGCAAAATATTTATTCAAGTTTAAAGACCTTTCTTCGGGTTGCGTGATTGCTTATATCTCGCATGATATGTTTTTATGAAAATTGAAATTTATAAAAGCTCTCATATATGTTCGACGAAGAAAATCGATTGCGTGTGTGCGTATGTAGATTTATTTATGCAAATTTTCTTCTTCATTTTCTAATTTCTAGTTGTGGATAAATAAATATCTGTTAGGAAATGAAAATTCATGATGATTAAGTGATGAACAAGTTCAAATGGTCTCAGAAATGAAAGCTTCAAATGAAACTGGAGAGATGAATTGAAAAGTAATTGCAAATAATGCTAAGCTTCAACACGGTTTTATTTCATTTCGCAATTAAATGAACCTCAATTAAAATGTATTGAGAACACAATGGAAATAAGAAGTAAAATGAAGCTTTGGGCGATTGATGCTGACTGCAAGTGAAAGATTAAATCAATTTACGAGCAATTAAATTGAGTCATTAAGTGTAATGCATAAATAATGGTTGGACCTTCCATCAATCCAGGAGGTTTTCGGAATAATTCAAAATGTAACAAGAATCATGATGATTCATTATTCATTACAAGCTATCCGGAAAAACCTTTCATTAACACCCGATTCTCGTAGTAAGAACAAAGTTTCGTTTATTCCATTCAGCATTCGTACCTTTGGTTGGTAATCACAAAGTGTTACAGCGAGAAACTCGATGAAGAAAAAAAATACTTTTAATGAGAATTTCACGTTGCTTCAAATTACGCTCGTTCCCATTTGGGCACTTTATCAAAGTGTTGAATACAGAGACGCTTCTTTGAAGATCATCAGACAAGATATAAAATTTTATTACATCTTAATTATTCAAATTAACAATTTGAGAGTAAAAAAAACTGCCAGTTCATAAAGTTACATGAATTTTTCATTAATTAGGGTTGCAGACTAATTTGTTACGTCCGACAAATCATGCAAATTTCGGAGACATAAATTTCACTCCAATAATTTAATACATGAAAAGTATTCATTGAAATTCCCAAACCTTGGCATTTTACCCTGTTTTAAATAAAGTTTTTTCCGCGACTCAAGTTTTTTCGCTTGAGGTTTTATTTATTTAGAGTTTTGATTGAACAAAAACGAGTGTGAATCAAGGCGACAAAACAATATACGGAAGAATTCAATTTCTATCGAGTTCTAATATCCTTTGTCAGACGAAATTCAGCGGAAATATTCCAATCTTTCGATTGAATTTTTACGAGAGCTTACATGTCACGTTGTTATTGTTAAAAGGGAAGGGAAAAAAAATTGAAAATTCAGTGAGTCTTGAAAAATCTCTTACCATCAATTCTGCGTGAAAAATCAATAATTGAATGAATGAAAAGGTGTTCCTTCTGTGAAAATCTTTTTAGACTGAGCATACATCGCATATGGAAGCTTTTTTGTTGTCATCACTCGTATTCACTGAACTCAAAGTTTGTATTGAGGTTCATCGTCACAACAAAAGCAATAACGAGTCTGTCTGCATAGGAGAGAAAACTCGATTAACATTGAATAATATTTTGAAAGTTTATTTACGTTCAAGTAAAATAGTTTCTCTGGATAGGAAGAAGAGCGAAAGACAAGATAATTTGATTTCATCGACACGTTAATAATTTAACGATAGAAAAGCTTTTTCCATTAGAATTCTGTGCTGCAAACAGTGAATTCTTCTTTTCAAATTACTTTATCCACTTAAGTAAGATGGTATCATGTGAAATGTTGTTAAATACTCAATATCTTCGAATGATAGAAAATTGTTTTAGTTATTCGAGAATGTTTCACATATTTCATAGATGGAGAACTTTTGGTATCTCAAAGTGACAATTTTATTCATCTGATATGTCACTCATGTGTCTAATATAAATATAACTTTTATGAAGTGTTTAAAATTCCAATCGCTTCTCCTTGTACCACTGAGATATCTTAAATATCGAGAGTAAACATTTAGAATATTTTCCAATCTAAATTCTTGGCAGAAAACTTGAAACTTTTTTTCTTTCTATTTTTGTTCATCAATTCAAAACAAAAAAGAGTTTCATGAACAGTTTTGAAGTCAACTGACCAGTGAAATTTCTCATTGCTATTGAAAGAGTGAGTGGGATGTTCTTTCGACATGGCAAACATTTATGATTTGGAAAACAAAGAAGATAGAAAAAAGTTCACACTAACTTATGGGTCAAGCTGAGTCTTTTAGTGACACATAAAAACAGTTTGAAAAATCTGTTGCAGCTGACTGTTGAAATTAAGTAAGGCGTAACGACATAAAATGAGAAATGTGGAGCGTGAAAGACAAAGACAAGTAAGAAAAGACTCTGTCGGAATTTAATTAGAAGTGAAGTAAGACTTGAGAGGCGAAAAACGTTTTTTTTTGTCTTCATTGTTGTCTGTTAAGATAATTTCACGGTCGCTTTGTAACAATTACAAAACAATTAGAGAATCATAATTGAGCGTCGCGACGTGACTTATCATTTAAGATAATAAATCTGTTTGTGTTTGTTAAATAGAAGATTCTTATTAAATTAAATGTAATTCCTGTGTTAAAACTTTCTTCGTTCCTTTTTTTGTTTATTTAGCTTTCGTGTGACTAGATTTTGCACGATTTCTCCCAGTTTTTGTCACTATTTTACCTTCCACATTGTTATTTATTGTTTAACTCTACTTCTCTCCTTTCGTTTACTTTATGCCATCAAACATTCAGAAGGAAAACGTGGCATGTCCTGCCATAAATATTTCCTTTCTCACAGTTTCCATTAAAACTTTTCTCTCAACTTGAAATGGGAAATGAATTGAAAGTTATGTATAGAAAAGGAAGAAAGATATGTTGGGACACGGAAAGCATGAATAGATCCATAGAGTTGAAACTTATTCTTGTTGTGAAAAATTTATCATTGTAAAATGATTTTGATCATGTTTGAATGCATTGGAACTGTGAGAGGATTCAGTAGTGCTTGTCTTCATCATGGGAATCGAAATTTTATCGAAGCTTCGTCTGCAAGCAATGTTCGTATTCACTTCTCATCCGCTTGGGAGAGAATTCAGAAATAAATCATAATTTAATGGACTTTTCTGTCAAACTGAATGATGTATTACAAAATTGTGACAGTTCTGATGCAATGTTTAAAGATTCTGCGTTGAATTAAAAAAGAACGAAAAAATATTGACAATTTCTCTCGCGTGCATTTTATTTTAGTCCCAGCATCCGCCTTTAAGCTGCGGAAGGTTCAAGATTATGATTAATCGTCTTGATCCAACAAATCTGTGTCAGAGACGTTCTCTAGTGAGATTGGTGATATCTAATGTCAGAGACAGTAAGTAAATGATACTTCTTAGTGTCTTCATCTGGGAACTAAAGTGTCAAGAGAAATTAAATTACAATCCTACTTGATAAAAAGTCTTGAATGTGTTGCTTTCCATTTTCATAAGAAATGAATGAATTTCACCCACGCATCACATTTTTTATGGTTTTTTCCTCTGTTGTTCTTTTTATTTCGGATAAATTATTGCCCCTTAATGCTCAGAGCCATGATAGATGGAAAGGTAGCTGCTTAGCGGAAATTAAAATCAATTTGATTGATTACTTAGTGCTTCAAAATATCGATTCGTATTCGATTGTGGTAAACTCATTCTTTCCATTTCTAATATCTTTGCAAAGAGATATTTCTTTAATTACTTGACATATCTCATAATAGGAACGCCCTGATAAAATAGTTTGTGATGAAAAGTTTTTAATTTAATAAGTTTCGCACGAACAAGTAAAGAGAAAAGTTTGCGATGAATTGAATTCAACTAAAAGTAAATTCCAAAACCATCGCAATACTCACCCTTAGGAAGTGAAATAAAATAAAAAAGAGCTAAACCAATACCTTAGAAAGTTAACCACAAAGTTTAAATTATTAATTATGAGATAAGGCATCTGGAGGCATCCTTTTTATTTCAAAGCTGATGTGAATCTTTTAAGCAAATTAAGAGAACTTTTTTTAAGGATGTTTGTTCTTATAAAATATTTATATTCACAAGGGAGATCGCTTGTGTATTCGTTTAGCTTTCCAAGTTAACATGATAAGAAAAGCTTTCGTTTTTATAAGTGATGTCGAGACAGAAAAGTTTTTAATCTTGTTTATTTTCGAGATGAATCATTTAAAAGTTAGAAAGCTTCGATTAATCATAGCAGTAAATTTATGTTGACTTAATACTTAAGTATTCAGATTTTCCGTGTTTGAAAAATCATCCCCAATTTCGATTGAATAAAAAAAATGCTCACTTAGAATATGAAAAGCCGAGCAAATGTTAGGGATTCGTTTTTGAGTACATGACTAGAGTATTCTTCAATAATAGATCTTATTCACTATCTTTCTACCTCATGTGTATGCAGGAAAAGAACTTATAACGAAATTTGTGAAATATTGATCAGAATACAATTTTACATCACAAATATTGAATGAATAAAGGAACGTGTGGGTGGCTTGCAAATTTCAAACCTATTTCCAGATAATTTGTAGGAAATTTATGTACATACTTCGACTCGGCATCTATAAAATAATTTCAAATTAGGAACAAATCGATTTTACATTGGCTCACCTCCGTTTTCTCGATCCTAGACGTGTTGTCAGTGAATTAAATGTGCTATAAAATTAATTTCTTCCAAGCACCTGCTGGTTGATAAATCGGAGAATTCTTGATCAATAAAAGTGCGCTTCGTAGCATAATAAACGCCGAGTCAAAGCACCAGAAGTACAAACATAAAATTTTTTATTTAACTTGGGGGAAATTCAACAGGAAATTTTATTGTTGATCGAGAATTAAGGAAAAATCACAAACGAAGTGAAGTGAAAAATCTGAGTAGAATTTTTAATGCATTTTCATCACAGTAACGGGGAAAAAATTCAATTTAACTTTTTTTCTCTTCTCAACAAGCCGTCAATGTTTTTCTTTCTCCTTTTTCTTCCTTCGATGTATTTATTTACAGTCTGAACATAAATTCAAATTGTGGGAAAAATTGAATTGAATATTTTATTATTTTACTTTGTTCATGAACATTTGAAAGAAAAATATTTTTTAAAAGTTCACGAAAAGCGAATGGAAAAAAATTGAAAGCTAGGCAGAAAGCCAACTTAAACATTGAAACATAAATAAATAAAAACAAGCTTAAGCCACCAACTATAGTTGTTAATAATGATTTTAGAGAAAACATCTTAATTTGTAATATTTTGTCTTGTGTAAATAAAAATTTTCAACGTTGCAATTTCAAACTCGATTTTATTTCACCATTTTTAACAGCAAAAGAACTTTGTTTCGGAAATTGTTTCAAAATCCATAAAAGCAAGCTTGTGCAAATATTTTCAATTATAAATTGGAAAATTTTCCCAGCAAATATTTTTTCCTGCAAGCATCAAACTCAACATTGAGTGAAAAGAAAATTTATTCTCCAAAAGATTTCCTCAAAGTCCGACAATTTACGCAACTTAATAAAGCTAAGAGTAAAGTGAAAAAGAAAATCTTGAAATATAATTTAAATAAATAAAAGAAAAACTTCTCCTCTGGCGTCGGCTTTCGTGTTAGGGGACTGCTTCATAAATGATGTTAAATATATGGAAATTAAAGTCGAGAATTTTTCTTCTTTATTCGTTAGTTGTGAAGGTTTAGCAACTTTGATTCGTTATAAATATTTAAAATATTTTCATGAAATTCAACAGAACTTCTTAAGCGTTCCCTTTACGAAAAGGAAAAATCAAGAAGATACTTTTTTATTTTATTGAATTTTTGTGCGTGGAAAAAGTGAAGAAAAGCTGTTGGTTGGACACATCACTCGACCGCCCTTTTCCGACTGATTTGATGGACTGCTCAGAGAATTTAAATGAGGATTTATGTCAATATTATGCCTGAAAATATGCTTAGGACTTGTTTTATTAACCTTCAATATGAAGATCCTTTCTCACTTCTCGACAGACTTTTTTTTTATCAACTTCCTCAAGAACTCGCGAATTATGACCCTTTGTACCTTTTTTCTCTATCAAAGCATTTTACAAAATCAAATTGACACATTCCATCATGTCTCAGTCTGACAAATGGTGATAGGAAATGAATTCTCATTTTCATTCTACTTTCAATGCTGCAGGAAAAATCCACAAAATTTTCTTCATCGTTGCTTTCCGTCGAGCTCTTTCTCAACAATGAAATGAATGAAGTTTCGTATGACAGATACAAATCACCTCATTACCATTTCTATCGTAAAGTCTTTTTTCGGCAAAGGACATGTTATTGTTATTATTGTTTATTATATTGTGCTTTTAGTAAAAGCTCTGTCGTTATATCTTGACCCCTTCAAGTTTCCGTAGTTTTCTGCTTCGATAAACATCGAAATGAATGAACAAAAAAAAATTATTTATGTTCTGCTGCCTTCGCTTTATTTATATATCGCTAAGTAACATTCTCGTGAAGTTTCATGTGAACTTTTTATGTTGCTGTCTGTTGCTTAAATATGTTCGAAAAACAAACAAACAACGATCTGAGATAAACTTGTGAACATGGTTTAATGAAATTGTTTTTTAATATTTGTTGCTTTTTAGTAAAAATTTAAATTGAGTTATCTAATACCATCAAAGCGCCACAATGTCAAACAAATGGTGCACGTAATTTGCAATAAAAACTGAACTGCATGTATTCAATTCATTTTCACTGTTCTATTTTTAATTTAAATTTCAAACTGTTGCTCGACATGAATACTTAATTGAAAATTGTAACATTGTCGCTTTTTTTTATTCTAGTCAAATCTCGTATTGCTTTTATGAGATGTCACCTAGCGCCGGACAGACCGAACATCTTACATCAAATGCCGGCAATGATCCGTGGAGTCAACAAAATGGAAAAGAAAATCAACGCCCACCCGTGTTCTTTCCCGAAGATTACATCGCAGCTCTGAAGAAATTTAGCAAATTCGGTAGTAACAATGGAAGTCATAAATCAATTTACGATACAATTGACGATGCGAAGGCTGACAAATCTGTCGTTATTGCCAACAAATCTCGCACCTTGCCCTTTTCCAAAACCTCTGAATACTCGTAAGTTTAATACAATTTTTCTGTGATTTTAAATACGTTATAAATATATTTATTGGAATCAACAGAAGCCCTATCACTCCAGCTGACACAGAAATGACATTGAAGCAATTTGGTTCAATCACTGAACTTCTCACGAAATTGAGGGCAGACTTGAGGCAATCATTTCAAAGGTAAGATTTCAAATATATTCGCTCACGTTCTTACAAACGATCTGTGCTTAACAACTATAATAAGTGTATCCAATTTTCAAATGATTCTTGTGAAATATTTTTTCTTTCTCTCGATTACAATTTTTTCTTTCTACAATTTACAAATTCTTCAATCTAACTTTACGGTAACGAATCATTTGTAAGAAATCTTTTCTTCTTTCTACTTTTTAAACTTTCACCAAATTTTTGGAAACAAAACAATACACATACACACACTCAAGAAAATATAATCGTGGAAATACTTACAATACTCATCATCATGAAAATGTCTTGAAACATTAAATTTCAATTTCTCGTAATTGGATAAATTATTCAAGGCAGAAAGCAAGCAAAAAGTTGAAGAAAAAAAGCAAAAGCAAGGTAAATGTGAAGAAATCTCTCGTGATTTATCATTTGGCTTTATTTGAAATTGAAAATTACTTTGAATCATCAACTTTCAAGCTTTTGGTGAAGATCATAAGATTGAAACAATGGATAAATTATTTCAGATAATCATGCTGGAATGACGCGCCAATTGATTGACAACTTCCGATTTTTCGTCGTCTTTACTTCTTCCTCTCTTAACCACATCATCTTCACGTACAGATTTCCTTTGTTTGAGTGATTATATCGACTAACTTTAGTAATGATAGCTTCATTAAAGCACGAATTCCGTATACGTCTCTATTATTAGCATCAACGTTCAGCATAATCTTTTCAATTTTCAACCATTAACTAAATTACGATGACAACGAAAGAAGAAACTTCTTTTGTCACATGAAATAGCAATTTCACAAATGGAGAGAAGAAAAAAAAATACGAAATTAAACTATGTACAAAAAAATAAAAGTTTCAGTTAAGGTTGCACAATGTGTCTCTGGGGTTTCTTAAAGAGCGTAGTTATCTAGGTTATCGTTATCTGAAATCAATGGCATGTTGATTGAGGAGAACGACAGAAACGAAGATGAAAACTAGAAAGAACATTCGATTAACCAAAGCTTTGATAGAGGCTTCAGAGGAAGCAAGGGAAAGAGCTTTAGGGGATTATTCGTGAGTTATGTGTTGTGACTTCTGATTGTAAGATATCTACGTCAGTGAATTATTTATTTTGTTAGATTTTCTTCCAAGTAAAGTTAAGTGAAAGTTTCATGAAGATTTCTCATGAATTTTACCACAAAAACATGCTTTAAAAGATAACTTTTTTTGTTCCTTTAAAACTTCATATAAATTGAAACATAAATCAATTCATTACTCTTAACTGACACAGTAATATATTTCTCTAACCGAAACAGAATTCGGTTTTCTGGGAACTTTAAAGGTTGGCCTGAATTATTTTAAATTTCGATTTTGATAATCCAACATTTGGTATTTGGATTGCAGTTGGTTTCTGATATTCTGTTAAAATGAATAATTTCCGCTCCACTTAATGATATTTGCATAAAAAATAATCCAATAAATTTTCTTAAATTCCATTTTTCATCTAATGAAATTAATTTTCATACGATTCAACAGTTTTATCCAGGAATTTATCGCAAGTCCAATGGATGGAGTTAGCTTGTTGCTGGAAGTATTACGAGCTGTACAACTCAGTCAGAACACAATCACCGGAAGTAGCACGCTGAATTCTCAAACCATGGAATTGCGCAATAATCAATCATATCAACGCAGAGCACAATTAGATGAACTCGCTTGCTTGTGAGTGTAAAATGGAAAATTCCTTCTGACATAAATGAAAATTGATTTTCCTTTTCAGACAATGCTTAAGCATTTGTTGTTCACGTTCACATGATGCCGCAGCTCGTTTGGGAACAACCCCTGTAGGACTGTTGCCTTTGGCATGTTCAGCAACAGGAACAGGCATTCGAGCAAGAATTTTTTCACTTCAACTTCTGACAGTAGCATGCGATAAAAATTCTTTGGGTGATCACGCTCCGAAAGCTGCTTACAATGGACATCAGGCGGTATCAGAATCGTTGTCTACACTGAGACTTCGCTGTGCAGAGCCCGTGAGATTTCGCTTATTGATCGGAATTTTAAACAGCGGGGGTGGTTCAGGTGAACTTCAATTTGCTGGAATGAGATTTCTCAATACTCTTATGGAAAGTTCCGAAAACCTTCAGATAAGATTATATCTACAAGCAGAATTATTTCAAGCTGGTCTCGAGCCACATCAAATGTCAAAGCTGATTTCATCAACTTCGCCATGGATGCAGAAGCTACTCGATGAACTCAAACGATGGGACGCGATAAAAATTGACATTGAACGACTTCAAAAAGACGTTCGAAGTGCTGAACAATGTAGAAGTAAAATGGTCATCTTGGAAAGAAAAGTTGAAATGTTGCAAGAAGAAAGAAATGTGTTTACATCGATTGAAAGACGCTTACAAGAAAAGTGTGCTGAACTTCAACGCGAGCTTATGCAATTAAAAAAATCCAATTCAACAGCTTCCACTTTAGAAAAGCGACCTGTCGCTCTTCCACGTCAGACAATAACGGCTGGGAATGTTTTAAAGAAAAATTCCTCTGAGAATGAAGATGAAGGAATCAGCAGTTCTGAGACGGGACAATCTTCGAGTCCAATTCCACCGATTGATTATCATGGAAATCATAAAAATGATGCTACAAATAAAAGCACGTACGATGACGACTTGACTACAACGATAGATGATGTCATTGAAGAACTCACAAATATCGTTAATGATGCTGAACGGGAAATAACAGAAAAGCAAAATAACAATAAAAACATCATTAAGCCGCTTGCTAAATCAAAATCGGATGATGTACTCACTTCCGGAGTTGAAAGTGAAATTGTTGTCAATTTACTTCCGCAACCGCCGAGAAAGTCGAATAAATCATTGGTTCATATTTTGGGGGCACAAAATGATGCTGATGGATCGGATTACGATCTTTATTATGCTGATGTTGATGAGAATAATCAACAACAACTTCCACAAGAATCGCCTTACGAAAATGATTATGAACTTGCTAGAGATGAGATGGAACAAAAATTAAAACAGCAGAATCAAAATCATCCAGACATCATTAACACAACGCAACAGTTCACATGTAAAAATAATCGAGCGAGAGATGACAATCGACAACTTTTAAATGTCATCATGGATGCGAGAGAGAAAGAACAACAGAAAGCGTTCATGAGTAGAGCCCATTCATTAGAACGCGATGGTTTTCCATCTCAACAGTTCAGTGGCGGCGTATTTTTCATGTCTGACATGATGAATCGAACGTCAAAGTTCTCCAAACCAGACATCATGGCAGCCATTGAAGCAAAACGAGTGTCGAAAAACGTTTCCGTTGACTCGATGATTGATGTCGTGATGTCAACAGAGCAAAAGCCTTTTCATCATCAAAAGCCTCGACAAATCTTTCTACCAACAGCGGAAAAATTTTCACCCCCGCAAAACGTTGCGTTCAATAATTTTAAGTTTAAAAATATAAATGTAAATCCCACGTTGTTCGATCAGCAACCCCAACCGAGAACACAATCAAATAATGGTTCAAAAGTAACAGACTTGATTTCTGGCTTGTACTAAAGTACTCAAATATTTATTTTTATTATCATTCCATGTGCAATAAATTTAAATTTTTAAGCATTTCTTTTTCTCCCTTTGCAATATTTTATTCTTTCCCTCTTTGTCTCTCATTTTTTTTCAACTTGATTTAACTTCTTCGTTTTGACAAATATATAAATATGATGAAGAAATGTGTTGCATGTAGAATCACAAAAATATTTCCTCTCTCTTCCGGGTGATGGATTATAATTCCAAGAAGGAAAGAAGATGAGCTTACAATGCGTTCGTGTTTTACAAAAAAAAGAACAAATCAAGTCTTACGAATATGCAAAGAGTAAAGATTTCTGAAGCTTTCGAAAAAATAAAATATGTTTCATATTTCGTCGTATATAATGTCAATCATAACATGCAAATTGATACAAAAAAGTTGTAATAAAAATTTTATTTTATGTAAATTTTTTCTTGTCTTTTCTCGTTCTTGAACTTCGAAGAATAGGAAAAGTCGCAATGTTTCCAAATATTTCAGAATTATATATTTAGGTACCTACTGGAATAAAATAATTTCTCATAAAGCTTAAGTGCAATGTCATGATAGCTGTCACATATTCATTTCGATCCCACGAGTCAAAAAGTTCTGTATTAAAAGTACTTTCAAAATCAAGAAAGTCGGAAATAATTTTTCCTTTTTAGAATTCAAGAAATTTCTTCTTGTGAGATTTCTTCTAAATACTGAAGACATGTCATTGCTAATGAATGCCTAAATTTGTTGAAAAGTTATGGAGCGCAGGTGAATACGAAACAAAAAGACGAACAAGAGAGGAAAAAAAGGTAAAATCAACGACGTTGAATGTAAACAGACAGCCGTTTTAAATAATTTAAGACAATGACTTATATCGCTGAAGGGGAAGACAAGAACACAAGGAAGGTTTCAGATGATTGACTTTGTCATTCTTCTTCGAATTTTGTTTGCATTTTTTTTCATCTTGAAGCACTTCGTGAGATGTTAAGGATTGCATCATTACACTTTAGTATTCAACAGCCAACGTTCATTAAATTATAATTCATCATATTTTTGTTTCCTTTTCTAATTTCCATGTCGGTTAAACACTTCAAGGTTCAAAAATTTAATTTTATTACTTTTTCATACTAAATATGACATTTCCCATTTAACTCAACAGAAAGATAAATTTTGCGACGGTATTTAAAAAATAAATCTGATGAAAGGAAATGAAAATTTTTAAGTCAAATATTTAAGAAAGTGAGAATTTGAAATTTATTCTTTTAAAGAATCTCAAATAAATTTTACTTTTCTTTTATATTTTATTAAACATTCGTGAATGCACTAAAAATTTTCATTCACAAAACATTTTTCACAATAAAGTAAAAATTTTAATAAAAGAAAGTTGAGTTGAAGTTGTAAATTTTAATAATAAATATTTGAGTACTAAAATTATTATTTTAGAGCGAGAAAATTTGTTTTGATGTGAAGAGTTTGTTATTATGGAGCATTTATGTTCAATGTGGAACAATAGCATGATTTTCACAATATTTTATCATCTTTATTCACTAATTTACGAGAAATGTAAATCAACTGATGCAAGAGTTCACAATCTTTGTACTTTTTCCAAAATCGAAGAAGCTCGTTATAGACTTTATTTAATATTTATTTCATAAATATTCTCCTGCTTTTTTGTACGCTACATAAATATGAAAGATTACACAAACAAAACATATTTCTTTCGAGGAATATTTTGCTTTACTTACTTTACAAGAAACACGAATTCCTTAAACGTGAACAGAAAAATATAAATAATTCTGTTTCAATCTTCTTGAAAAAATTTGTCGGGAAAAGTATTTTTTCATTTGTGTGTGTGAAATCTTAAGAGATTTAAGCGAAAGCGGATTATTTAAATCAATTCTAACAAGCGAATTTGACAGAATATTTAAAGTATGTGTCTAAGAGTAAAGCTTGAATTGAAGAACATTTTGACAAATATCAATTTGAATGTTTACAAGATAAAAGCTATAATTTGATTGTTTAAGACGAGACATTCCAAGTGCTTTTCTTGAATAATCTTGAATTTACATTAAGCTTGACATTTTTTCTTCTTCCGGGATCTTTCAAATTCCTTTTTTATGCTGGATTGCGAATATCTAAACGCTTCTTTTTTTATTACATTTTTTTATTTCAGTGCATAAAATGCACATGAATATCAAACGCGAACCATAAAAATTCAAACCACCAACTTGCGTTGTTAAAGATCATAATAAAAATATTCAATTTAGATTCAACGACAAAATTTTTTAATTTATTTATGAGTAAAATTTTTTTGTTTTTGATATATTTGAGAGACCTTCGTTTCAAGTTGAACTGCTTAACTAAATTAAACTTTGAAAAAATAATACAACAATGCTGTTACTTACGGCTGATTAATAGCTTCAAGAACTACGGTGGAATTGTCATTTGAAATGATTTCTTAGCGTCGTTTCCCTCGCACAATATTGCTTTGACAGATTTAACGCTGAAAATAAATTGGATTTCATGCAAATGTTGTTACTCTCAGAACATAAACTTTTCTTTGCTTTTTTTCCCTTGAAATTTAATGAAGCTTCTAGTGGACAGAAATAATAAGTAATGAAACATTTTCGGTATTCAAATAAATTAAATTTTTGAAATAATGATTCTTAGGCACTCATTGTTCGTGAAGTTTGCAGCTGTTTGGTGTTTTCTATTCGAACAGAGTTTATTTTGTTGAAATTTAATTAGAGAACGAAGTTGAACAAAAGCTTTTTGTAAAAATAAGAAATAAATTTCATACCAAATTCAAATAATTTCATGTCGATGTTCATGTGCTTCCGAAATAGTTTTGTTCATTGTTCAAATTAATTATGAATAGATTAATTATTTGATTCCTAAAGTTAGACATGGAAACCTCATCATATTCATTTATGTGGGAAAGTCATTTCATTTTTCAGTATTTGCCAATAAAATAAAAGGAAATTTATGTTAGATATTAATGAAAGTAGATTCGGAATAAAACAATCGCATATATTATTATTTTCATAGTTTTACTATTCCTTTATTGTTTTCTTCATCATACAGTGAATCACATTCAATTTCATTTATCAACCGAAAGCTTATCGATATATTTTATTTATCATAAATTTCTAAATATTTAATTTAATTTTTAAATCTTTGGATGCTTTTTGAGATTCCAACATTTTTGATATCATTTGTTTGAAAGTGAAACGAGAAGATTGTTCTTAATACTTTTAATGAAATAAAAATGTTGTAAAAAGTTTCGTATTCAGAAGGTTTGAGTCTTGAGAGGCTTAGAAATTTTTTAAAATTGATAGTCTGAAAATTCTTTTTATTTACCCTGTAAGATTTTGCATTTGTGGTTATTCAGAGAATGCCTAAATACATTTTTTGCTTTGTTAAAAATGAGTTGAAATGTGGTTTTGAGAAAGCTCATAAACATTTAATTTCTTCAGAATATCTCGTTGAACTATTTTTATGTTTCAAGTTGTTATTGACACTCAATATAGAAATCATTTAGATTCTTGTCTAATCGTTACCGTCATCATTATTAATTTAACTTCAATTAATGTTAATCTTCCTACCACAAACAGTGACCAGATGATATAAAAAGACCCGAAAAAATGGTGTGCAAAAAAAGAAAGAACTTGAGTAACTGCTAGAAAACAAACAAAAGCAATCTAATGAAGTAATATAGAATAATGCGAGCATATTACCAGCGATGTATCGAGATAAGCTTTGGGTAGCGAAATTGTGCCATTGACTATCACATTATAAGAAATTTATGACGTCCCCTTATTTCAGTTATTCTGATATCTCGAAATAGCTTTATCGCTTTTAGAAAAACGGTGAGCTTTACCTTTTTCACTCAAGAGTTGAACTCAATTTTTCTTTATCGCCACATCGACTTTTATCCTTTCTCTTTATTTTATGAGAAAGGAAAGAGTTGGATGAGAAATTTGATTCTTTGAGGCATTAAAACTTCCGATCAATTCAGAACTCAAAATTTATGACAAAAGACACAAAGAATGATGTTAATGTAACTTTGTAATTCTTTGAATTTCCTACAGAAAACTTTTCTTTCTTGATTGGTTGAAGATTCAGCTCGTTTTTCTGCAGGAGACAGAAACAAAAAAAAATCACATGAGCACCCTTGAATTTAAATTCATGTTTTTTTCCCCTTGTTATGCAAGAAATAATCATTCAACATTCTGAATCAGAGATAAAAGAGAATACAAAGTTGGAAATTGTGACACATCAACGAGAATTGTCAGAAGTCAAAAAGACACAACCATACACTCAAGTTTTGTTTAGATGGTAAGCTTTTATGCAAATGGCGAATGAAAGCCGCTCAAAGAAATTCTTTTTATTATTCCCTCTCTTTTTTAGCTTTTTCCATTTTTCCACTTCTGATTTTGATTCAAAAATGAAAAATGAATAAATTTTTCATTCAATTCTTGGAAACTCGAATGAAATAATTTTTCAAAAGACAAACGAAAATTTTCAACCGTTACGAGTTGAGTTTTATCTTGCTTCGACTATTTGATTTTACTTGTTTTATGATTAACAGTTCTAAGTCAATTATACAAATTGAAAATTCAACAAACGAAGAAAGAATGTTGTTAATTAACTTAATCTTCAGTTTGTAATCTTCTTTACTTTTACATTATATTTTTGATAGCCATCAAACCCCAAACTTTCGACAAACACTCGTTAATTGTAAAAAGAGATGTGTTGACTTTCGTCTTCTGTTTTCCTGCTCTTAATGTATAATAAATACATTTCATTTCTAACAATTATCAAAATCTTTACCAACCATCGAGTCCCGAAAATAAATATTGAAGGAAAAAGTCTTTGATATTATTTTTAGAATTAGTTTTTGTGTTGAAAACATTTGAAACTGATGAATTTTCGTTTTTAAATGAAGAAAAAGCGAAATAAATGCAAGAGTTTTAAGTTTCGTACAACCAAAATTGATTTTAATCAATATAAGAGATCAGTCTTTTGATTTGAGTTTCATTAAAATTAAAAGAACTTAAAACTAAAAACTTTAGAAATAGATAATTATATAAACATAATCTGCATAACTTTATTAAATTACATCTCATCTTCTAACATTAATAAATAATTCCGTTTGAAAAGGATCAAAAATATTCCTTTGGAAGATTCAATGAAAATTTTAATTTAATTAGTAAGAATTTCCATTTTAAGATGGGAAAAAGGTACATTGATTTATATGTTAAACATACTTTTGGGTGGGTTTTTAATTACATTTATGCATATACATTCTTATGTATCTGAAAATCATTAAAATTCTACAATTCTACCATGATATTGCTATCTTGTGTTAAATAATTTTTCTGTCAAGTTTGCTTAATTAAACTAATATCATTGGTTGAGATTCTCTTAATTATTCATATCATTCATTCACAATTTAGGACGAAGTTGGTCATATTTTGACTGCTACTTGCCTGTACTATATGGCTGAGACCTGCTCTAAGTCAGCTGATGACCTACCCGAATGAATGTGAGAACACTTTGCTGATTGATAATCTGTGACAAATCGCTCACTATTGCGACAATGGAGATTTAAGTCGTCTTCACAGCAACATCCAGCTTTAGTAGTTAAAATTCGTTTGAAAGCTTCTCGGAATTCCGTATTAAAAATACTATAAATGATTGGATTGAATGCTGAATTTGAATAACCTAGCCACGATAAAATCTTAAAAGTTTGGCCACCGATGCATGTTTTACAAAATGCAGCGACGATATTGACACAGAAGAACGGCACCCAGCAAACTAAATTGATAAAAAAGCGACATATGTATGATAAAAATCAAAACGAGAAAAGTCAATTTCAAAGCTTTCAAAACGTGAAAAAATAAAAATCAATATGATTGTCGCGTGCTTTCTCTAAAACTGTTGTTTGCTATCTTCAGATTGTCACGCAATTTCAACCTTAGTATAACATGTAAATATTGAATTCTCTTGACATCTACAAAAGCTACAAAAGTAGAAAGTTTTGAAGGATGGGAGTGGGAAAATTATTCCGGCTCTTAAATATTTCCGGTTGAGTTATGTAGCTTCAATGTCATGGCTTTACACTTGAATATGTGTCCTTTGATATGGTTTTAAAAGGCCTTACATGAAAACGAATCCAGCTTAAGTAATATTTATTTAACGACACTATTAAGAGACGAAATGACATTCGTGAAAGATTGTAACTGCTTCTGAAAGCTTTTTAAGTTGTATCTATGTAAGTGTCTTTGTTGTTTTCCTTACACTTAAGATTTAAGAAATATTTCATGAAAATTTTGTGAATGTTTCTGAAATCTCCTTTATATCCTCGACGTGCTTTTGTAAGCAGAGAAATATTCAATAATTGACATGTGAGATTTATAAAGAAGAAAGGAAAGCGACGAGGGAAAGAAATCGAGAATTCCATATTAAACGTAATAATAGAATTCCCAAAATCCCTGAAGGAATTTTTAAATAAACATTATATGTATTTATGTTGGGAGCAAATAACTCAACTCACCTAGAAAAACGCCCATGATTACCCCAACTGTTATTGCTGCCTTGTGATCTGATACGTGATATGGTGACGAATGATGAAAATTGCGTATTTTCAGTTTTTTATTCGGCTTATTAATGCGTCTAATGCTTCTATATCTCTTTTCTGTTATCTCGCCGGGATCTTTTGTAACAGCCTTAATCGAACGGACATGTTTTTGAGCATAACAATAGAGTCTGACAAAGGAGAAAAATGAGAATGAATGAAACGGAACGTAAGTGGATGAGTTGAAGTACACAACAATTTATTTAGTATATCTCATTATTATTGATTATTGTTATTGTATTTATTAGAAAATAAGAGCACGAAAGGGCAACTCACCTACAATAAATGCCTATCATAACTATACACGGCACATAAAAACTTATACAGCTTGATACGACTGCGTATGTTGGTGTGAGATCGAGTGCACATGTGGGAAATTCTTTTCCGTCTTTATCTTCAAAAATCAGCGGCTGAGCGGGACGATGAAGTGACAGTGAAATTGGCACAAATGATACAAAACCAGCAAGTATCCAAATTGTGGCAATTGTGCCAACAGCAATGCGTCTGGTCACCCAACGTCCATATCTAAGTTGGGAATAAAAGTGAGTTTGTTATTTTAAGAACTTTTCACTTTCGGACAGTCAACTTGGACACGAATAAGACAGCTTTCAATCTACTCTTAAGTCTCAAGTCGAGAGATATGATGAAGTTATAAATTTTCTTATTACCTTAATGGATCTTTTATGTGAATGTATCGATCCAATGAAATGGCACATAAATTAAGAATTGATGCTGTTGAACACATCACATCAAATGCAACCCATGTATCGCAAAATTTAGCACCAAAAATCCAATAACCTGTCACAAGAAATAAGCGCAATGTCACGAAAGAAAAAGTTTTAGAATAAATTATTCAGTTTAATATGATATCGATTGATCACGTGCAAGTAAACAAAACAAGCATGTTTTGTTAGTTTTTGTCTCTTGTGATAGAAAATTTGGAAAATTATTTGTTAAACTTCAGTCGTGTTTATTTCAACTCAGAAGCTTTTAATATCTTGAAGTTTGTTTAGTTGTTTGAAGCAAAATAGGGACAGATTGTATGACATGCACAAAAGTTTTGTTGTTAAAAATATTTGTTAAAGACAAAGCTTGAATTATCTTACCTAAAATATCATTCACACCAGCAAATGTCATAACAAGTGATGCGACAAACAAATCGGCAATGGCTAAAGAGGCCAGAAAAAGATTGCCAATTCGTCTGAGACTTCGTTCGGTGTAAATGGCAACACACACAAGAATATTTCCAGCTATCGATAGAAAAATCAGAAGCGCTAAAATTGTTCCTGGTGATGTAAAGAAAATAAAAAGATCTTAAAGCTTTTTCCCAAATTTAGTAAAGTGTGAAAATGAGGTCTACAGGTCGATCATAAATCAGGTCAATAGCAACATTTATGGTCACATTTTTATCAAACAACTTTTACAATCTTTTTTTTCCTTTTCACTTTTTAATTAAATTTAGAAATGGTTGTTAAGAAAGTCTTTAAACATTTATTTCTTGATTTGAAAGACTCACTAATGTATCTTAAAAACATCCTGAAATTTTACATGTTTCCATACCTACAAAGCAAATTGTTAATGACGACAGCGCGTCTGGTAATTCAATGTCAGCGGGCTCCACTTCTGAATTTGGCCACGAGTCATTAACAAAAATTATGGAAGTCTTTTAAGGCGTGTAAAGTCGCCATCGAGAATATGAAAAAGAAAAAGAGAAAAATCTTAATTGGATTTTTAATATCAAACATAAATTCAACTTGAAAGTTTTTATTCGAGGGTTTTTTTTATGAAGCGTAATTTGTTTCGTTATCAATTTAATTCCGTACTAAATTGAAATGTTAGGAAATTCATCTGAATGTCAAATATTTGAGTGAAATGTCGTGCTCCCCTCAATCTATTTGGGTAGAAAGAAAAATTAAACGGGACAAAACCTTCGATACGATATTGGGGAAATTCTTGAAGCTTTCCTAAAGGAATCTCAGCAATATTAAAGATCAAGTTGGAAATTCAATAATGTATGTCCCACATTTATGTCAAAAGTAGATATTTGTTTGCATCCAGGGAGAAGAAAAGATAAAACCCAACTTAGCTTTGAATTTGCGATTGAAAATTCAATTTCTACAAAGAAAAAAAAATCTTTCACTTCCATCAAGCACCATAAAATGTTGAAAGAGAAAACTTTAAAAACATTATAAAATTTATTTTCGCTTCAGTTTTAAATCCCCATGAAACATCCAAACACAGCTTGACACACTTTCAAACAACTTCCATGATATAACCCAAATATAGACAGTAAGAAAAAAAAAGTTTCGTCAAGGGGAAATTAAAAATGCTTCGATGAATTTTGTTTATTGGAAATTTCCTTTCTAACTGAAAATACCTGAAATAAAAATTCATTAGAATTTCACTACGATACATCTCATTTATGATCATTCTCTTAACTTTGTGTGTTCAATTCAAGAATTTTATTTACCAAATCGATTTTTTCCATTCCAAGAAGCATCCACGTGCTGAGGTTTTTTCCTCCTGACTGATTCTCTCGATTTCCCTCTACAAACCTTCGTTTGTATACAAACAAAAATAAGAACTCTTATAAAGAAGACCTCCAGAAAGGAGAACAGAGAAAGAAGCGTCGTAAAATAATCAGATCAACGTTGACGACCAGGATGAAACTTCACAATGAAATTTTTATTTTATTTTTCTGTCTTTTCCCTCAGCGACGGTACGAAGCGCAATGATCCGTCGAAAAATAAAAATATTCATAATACTGTAAAGGGAAAACAACTTTTTTTTCCTGCGGTGTTTTACACATCTCAAAGTTACAGCCTAACATTTTTCTTATCAAAACCAGATGTGGTTTGACAATATTCTGCACACCAATTTGACCCAAAAACTCATCGTCTACTTTTGCTCAGACGAGCGTAATGTACCCATTGCGTTTTGATTTTGTGACATTTTTAATCCTTCGACCTAAAACAACCCAGAGAGCAACTTTATAGCCTCAAACAGGTACTCTCTGTTCTCAGCTTTTGAAAGTTTTTGATGTATTCATTAATGTCGTAATTGAGTTTCATGGCTCATAAAGTTGAAAGGAAATTTCTTAACTCGAAAACACTTTTCCGTTATCACAACGAGAACATGATTTAATTATCAGAAGAATTACCCAAATCACTTTATGTAAGTTATTATGTAAATAATATGTTCTATAAGTATCACTAAGTAGAAACTTACATGAAAACATTGTCTTTGAGCTTTACGAGAAATGTTCTCGTAAAACTTTCCTTTCAAACTTTTGAACAAAAAAGAAAGTGACTGGAGAAAATAAAGATCCATGATAGCTTTCTGTCTTGCTCCACTTTCTGGTCAATGATAAATTGTGATGTGAAGCATTTAAAAACCTTTTGGAATTATAAGAAAATAAAAATCACTCAATCTGCCGGAACATCGAGCCCCAAAGTTGTGTGTTCCTCAGCCAAGCCTTAAATCCATTTCCGATCCTAATCTAAAGCTGCATTCGCTTCAAGCTTCAGATGTTTCATATAAATCTCATGCGTATTTTCATTGAACCGATGTGAAAGGAAACAATTTATGATTCCAGCAAACAAAAACTAAATTCCTTGACATGAAGAGTAAGTTGTATGAGTAAGTATGAAGCTGAACAAAATTCCATTTCCCAGGAAATGTTTTCATAGCAACCTGTAAGTGGATTATTTCTAGAGCTTTTTTGTTTTATTTCCATGTTGCTTGTTAACTTTTGTTTACGTTTTCTTCTTTCTTGCGTTTGTAATTTTTTTCTCTTTATTTTACACTTTCTGTTAGCTTGTTTAATAAATAATAACATTAAACTCTTCTCTTCATTAAATAGTTTTAAAAGCTAAGCCGTTATAAGGAGCGTTAACTTCATGAAAGGCTTAAAACAAAAATATCTCAGACAATATTACAAAAGCTTGTCGGGAATACAAAACATCTCGACATAAACTTGAACACTACTTGAAGTTGAAGTTTCATTGTTAATATTATAAAGATAAAGATAATAAATTATAAAACTCGATACTTTCAATGTAGAACTCAAGATTTAAAATTAAACTGCCTTCATCAAGCAGGCATTTGTCTTCTTCAGAATCTCTGCTATAAATAATTTGCTGTGAATTATTATCGCACATAAATATTTTCTTATTAGGGTTAAGAGTTTTCGAAGCTTTTCTAATATTTCATGTCATAAGTAATCAAGAAAAGTTTCTTAAAATTAAATACAATTTAAGATCAATTCCAAGCTTAGGTAATCCGTTTATCTCACTAAACAATCTACTGTAAAGAGGAACTTCATGTCACTGTCATTAATTTTAGAGTAAGTAAATTGACTTCTTAATCAAATATTAAATTCTCAGATGTCAGTAAATAAACATGAATCTCTCTCAGCATATCAATGCTTTAGCTATGTGAAGATTTAATAATAGAGTTCAAGGTTTGTTTTATCATATCGTTTCTGTTTCGATCTTCGTTTCCTGCTTTTGAAATGAATCTTGTTAAATTCAGAAATTTAAATCTTCTTGAAGTACTTTATAAAGTAAATTTGCGATTTTCATTTCCCTTCTTTCATTTCGAAGCAAACATGTATCTAAAACAAAATATTAAAATATAATATTTACAAATCTTTTTGAGCTTTTCACATTCTTTTTTATTTTCATCGTGAGTCGCAACATATGAATCTGATGAATGGTTTGAGGGAAATAAAGCACTCATATGATTGTCAATTTAACTTCACAACCACAATAATTGCGCTGGCTCAACCTAAAGTTTTTGTGAAGGGAACCTAAATGTTAATTGAAACAGAAAATAATCGGATCAATATATTTAACCATCATCAAAAGGAAAAGGAAATTAAAAGCTTCTATTTATATTCATTAGGGATTAATTTAGCTAGCTAGATACCTGGGTTCATGATGAAAATTAAAAATATTAAGAAGAAAGAAAATATATCACAGTTAATTTAGTCGATAATACTTGAGAATTGTAAAATACATAAATATCCTCACTTCCTGGCAATATTCCTAAGTACAGAAGAATCTCGATAAGAGAAGCTCAAAGGGACCGAAAAGCATTGAATGAGTTCGTTTATCGAGATGTCTGTTATCGAAGTTCAGCTGTTCAAAGAAAGCTTACGGAAATATAAAAAGTCTAATTAATGAAGACGCCACTTTCTTGAATGGTAATGGAGAAATAGGAGTGAATTCTTAATTAATTTATCACGTCACAGTCACATAGAAGATTCCAACAAAAAACGAAAATGTAGAACGAGATTGGAATTTATAAGAAAGAAAGCCCATGAATTGTATCACAGTTGATATATTTCTACATCTGACAAGATAACGAAATTATCATTTTAATTATCGTAGCTTTTGAGTCAAGAGATTATTCATGAAGGCAGAAAGTTGTGATCTCTTTAAGTAATTCTTTCATCCAACCCATCATGTCGTAAAGCTTGTTTTAGGATCGCAATATTATTTCTCATGAAATATTTGATAGGCGGAAACGTACAAAAGGAGAGTGAATTAAAAAACAAAAGCTCATTTGTTATGTGGTTTTTTTTTTCAACAATAACACTGACCAAAACGCTGCTTTTCATTAACAAATAATTTCAACAAATCACATAGTTTAACGTCTGACCCATGAAGATAATATCTGTGATCAGAATAAATGTCGTAATATTTCAGCTTCATCACATTGGTATCGAATATCTTCACAAAGTAATTAAAGGCTATAAATTTCCTTCCAGATCAAGAGAACCTTTCATTGCTTCGAAGTTTTTGGAAGGAAATAAATAAAAAGGAAAAGAGAAAAGAAGTTGCAAAACTTTTGCCTTAATAGCAAATCTCCAGGTTGTCATAGATAATTGTTCCTAAGTTCCTCAGTTAAATAGAAGAGAAGGGAAAGAAATAAAAAAAAGTTGAACAGGGAAATCTTAAATCAGTTTTCATATCCTTCGTTGTTAAAGTTCAACAACAAACTTTTGACAACAACACTTGCTAACATACACCTGCAGTTAGTGAGAGATTCTCTATCAAATCCTAGGATTTAAAGTTTATTATCCACTTTGAAAAGTGTTTAACTTTAACATTTTACATGTTTAAAAATAATAATAAAAAAAACCCTCAAGAAGTCGATAATTGTCTGCAGGAGCTTTTAAAAAATTTACCGTGCTTTCGTAAAGCTCCATCCAATTACTATCAATCTCCATTTCAGTAGATTCATTCATTTTGATTGTGCATATATTTGAATTTTTTGCTGACCGAGAATTGTGTATATGATGTTCATCGTTTCAAACTTCAACATAATTGATTCATTCCAACATAAAAAGCTTTTTTATTCCTCTTGTGAACATTCAAAAACATTTGTTCTCATTTAATCACTTTGGTGCTTTGAATTCTGATGACATGAAGATATTTAATTTAATTCCATTCACTTTAAACACCACAAACTCTTTTATGTTTTCCACTCAATTATTGCGATTTTCCTCGCATTAAAATTCAATCTTGAAAAGCTCTTCAAGTTATACCGAACATGTTTCTATCAAAATCTATAATACATTTTGTCATTCTTCAAATCACTTTTCTATTTTTAGAACTTTCCATAAAATATTAAAGGTGATCACTTGATTTGTGAAGAGATGATGATGACACACAATGATAGCAACAAGCAAAAACACATTCAACTCACTTGACGGTCGCGTTGATTTTGAGTCAACGATTGAATTTTCCTGACGACCGATTACTACTGTCGCATGTTCACAATGTTCTAGCAGGATTTTATAACGAAAATTTCCCCTTACGAACTATCAACGCTTTTGTTTGTTTGTGGTGGTGTTATTGGAAGGCTGGAAAAAAAGTCGAGAGAGTAAAAAATGCATTTGGAAAGCTTTTCCGTGACACATGGAAGTGCACAACATTCTCTCATGACACAGTGATAAAGATTCAGTTTTAATATTCCTTTGTCTTTCCATATTTGCCTTGAACGCATGTCAACGTAAGACGAATAAAAATTCGCACATGTACGACTCAAGCGTGCGAAAGAAAACTAAAGATTAATGATATTGAAACATGCGATGTGATGCCAACGCAACGAAAGCTTAGACACATCAAGAAATAAAATTTACATAAACGGCTCATTGCGAGCCTCTGAACGGTAAACGAATCACATGGCGGATATGATAATGTGATTTCTACACTGAAATGATTGTAAGTAATTTAATATAATCACATGAACCATATTTTTTCCTCTTACAATTTTGTCATCTGTCCTAAGACAGTTTCGTCTTATCCCATCTTGGTTTGAAGACAGTTTTTTTTTGATAGAAAGAAAAAATCATAAATTTATTTAATAAAAACTGACGTTCCACCTCAAAGCCACGTCTCTGTCGTTTAAGTCGTATCAACTTGGATCATTTTATATTATTCAATTTATTCTAACTGTAGAATAAGCGAAGTGAAAAATTTATTTGCCAAAGTGATGACTGATGAAATTACTTCATTTAGAGCAGACAAGTATTGTCGATTGAATGAAGATATTTTTATTCAAATTGAGAGTATTTTTGTAAATAACTAAGCGGAAATCCAGATGTTCGATTCAATTGCTATAAAGATTCGTCAAGATCGATAAAAATGTTTTGTTTTAAAGCTTTTTAAAAGCTGATTTTTTTTTTCTACAACGAAACGTAATAGCTTTAAACAGATTCAAGCGATTAAATCAGAAATGTCGTAGGAGAGATCTTTACATTTTGTCAACAAATAAAAAATGTTATTAAATAACGAACATTGATATCAAAAAAGACGAGAAAGCTTTTAACGAGGCAATAAATACAACAAGTGAAAAGTTGATTACAGATAAAAGTTCAAGTTCAAAATAAAATTGAAATGAAGCTTTACGACGAAATCTATTTAGTTATTCATTCAATGTCAAATAAGGGAAATTAAAGTACAAGTATTGATGATGAAATAAATGTTGCAAGATTTAGAACTTTTTATTCACATCTGCTCTCAATCTGTTGACGTTTTTCTCAAGTGGGGCAATTATTTAAGAAAGTTTTTTGAAAGAATGTTTTTTGTTTCAGACAATTTAAAATTTTCAGTTGAAAAGCGCTGTTTAAACTCAAATGCATACCCGAGCGGCACAAAAGACGATGTCTCTCACAAATCTGGCATACGAGTATCGTCTCCATTTAATGGGAAGGCTTTCCTTTAGAATCCGCCATATGAAAGACATTTGGCTAAAAACTACTGGCTATCGCCTAATTCTATCACCTTAAGTTAGTTATGTGTTGGACTAGTGAAGAATTTCTTAAGCTGCCTTATGGTAGCCTTATTTAGAGTTAATGGCATGTGGGGAAGCACCGTAGCGTCAACTGTTAGTGGTAAATTGATACCTCGGTTATTTTCGCTGATTTCTGAAGGAAAAGCCAAAGGAAGTGCCAACTAAAAATCGTCGTAGTGCAAACGTATGCCTCCGGCACGGCGAGTGTGTGCCGCTCGGGATACTCGAAGATATGCTTAATATAATCGAAGGAATGCAAACTGCATTTCAACACACAGCAAAAGTTTAAATGTTAATGCAAATGTAATGTTTCAATGTATCCACATGTGTGCTGGAAACTTAATCTTCCACAACACTTCGTCGTATTTCAGACGAGAGAAAATTTCACATAAATTTATGTAATTCATCTTGCTGTGCAAGATTTGCATAAACTTTGAAATAAATGTAAATGTGACTTTTTTATTATGTTACTTCATTCAGTCAGAAAGTCTTAATGCGATTTGGGAATAAATGTGACGTTGACTAAACTCAATTGAAGTTTTATTGAATCGTTTATCGTATTTTTTCAAGTTTTATTACATGGAAGATGCATTGAATATAAAACTCTTCCTATTGAAAGTAGAAATTTTGAACGCCTCAGGAGTGATTCAAATGCAAATTTCAAAGTTTTTGTGTTTCAAAAGTTTTTTCTTTCTCAAAAAGCTCAAAGTTTTCAAGTTTTCATTTTTAAGTTTCCCAAACTTTAATTTGAAATTTATTTCAAAGTTATGACAGAATTGTTACTAGAATAATTTTTGTAGGTCTTTCAATATCAAAGTTTAATCAGATCCAAATCAAATGTCATACATTTCGGTGTCAATTATGAGATGCTGATCCGAATGCTGAAAATTTCTACCTACACAATATCATGACGGATTGTAATACAGCAAGATTGATATCAAGCCATAATGTATCTCCGTATAAATATTACGACATAAGGCATTGAGTGAGGATCTTTAAAAGGATAAAAATAATGTCAGCGCAGTTGGCAGCAAAAACATTTTCATTTCAGCTTTAGGTTCAGTCAAAACAGCGATGACATATTCCATTAAAAATGTATGGAATGTGCATTTCAAAAATTGAAAAATATTTCAAAAGAACAGTTTTTCCCTTATTTTTGATTAAAAATGAAAACAGATGATTCTGACATTCTTAAAATTGAAGTTCTTTCACAGGAATAATGACATAAAGTATTGAATCTTGCAAATATATATGAATCTATGCAAAATAATGACACAACACTCAGTTTAAACCTCATACATTAATTAAATATTTCAACAACACACAACTTTGTTTGTTTAACTGAAGACAAAAATTATTCTTTAAGTGGAACAACAAACACGAAAACAAACCTTCTTTCAATTAATTTCCCTCTTCTCTTCCATTAAAGCTTTGGTTAAGGAAAAGCACAAAGTAAGATTGGGAACATAATGAAATGGGAAACAAAAAACAAAGTTTTTCTTTCTATAAATTTTAATTAAATGTGAGCTCTTACTTACCTTTTGTGAATATAGAAGGTTCAAAATTCATTTTACTCATTGTTGTCAGATAAGGATTTCTTTTAATGCCTCGCATTTCTGGTTTACCAAGCTTTAACATGTACTTTTGTGAAAAGCTTTAAAATATTTAAGATAATCGATCAAATAACAGATTTTCTTCTTTTCTATGCTTCTCATTGTATAGAAAATTTGTCACTTTTTCCAAGCTCTTCCCCAAGTGCATTAAAATGAATGAAAATATTATAAATTTTAAGAAGAAGGAAAAAGAAACTATCTCCGATATAATCTTTTAGAAAAGCTTCTTTACTTGCATCTCTATCAATTCCTCAGACAACCTTTAAAGTTTATCTTTAATGGATAAAAGTTGTTTGCTATTCAAGGTAACTTCGAAGTGGAGCACAAACATAAACAAAATTAAGCATCGTTTCATAAAATCATTTCCTTCATCTTCTTTTTACTCAGACTAATTTTTCTCTTTATCTAAAGAAACAGATAAGCAGATAAGCTTCAATTTATGATGTAACTGTGTTTATTATGGTGATATCTCTAACACAAACTGACGCAGCTTTTACACTTCGTTAGATATCGAAGGTTGGTTGAGAAGAGAGAAAAATTCTTTCAATTTTACTCGACACGTACAGCAGATGGCTAAAATGCTAAGATATTAAATTCTCTTCTAATTTCTTTTCTCATTTTTTCTTGACAAATTATGTTTATAAAAGCATATAAATCGAGCAATAAAGAAGCATCGAAATGTATCATAATAAGTCTTTCTACTCAATAACAAAATTAAATTGAGCAATAAATCACAAGATTTGTCATTTCCAAATGAACACTTGACATTGAAAGGTAGCAAACGATTTAAGCTTCAATTAACAAAATCAATGTCATTCTAAAATTATTTTCGAAATCTCAAAATCCAAAAGAGTTACATAAAGCATGAAAGAAACTTTGCTCATTCAAAACGAGAATTTCTGGAATCTATTTAAAGAGTGAATGTTTGAAACTTTAAGTAGATGAACAGTAAATGTAACATTTTCAGAAAATAAAATAAATTCGAATGCTTCGTTGTCAATTTCCTATTCACTGATGCTTTCATTACTTACATGGGAAGTGAATTGTAAAGCATAGTTCACAAAAGTTTTAAACTTTTGAACTTCTATGAGATAATCTTTTTCCACTCTATAAAATTTTCAATTCACACAGATGTAAGCATGTAGAAAACTTTAAGTCTAACTTTTATGAACTTTTGAAGAAGTTCTTGCAAGTTGTGAGTTGTAAATGTACTTGAGGCAACCACATTTTTGCAGTAAGTATGCACTTTACCCATAACAGAGAATGTAGTGAAATTTACAACATTAAAAATTTGTTTTCCCAATAATGTAAAAGTTGATTTTGCTATGAGCATTTCTGGCAGTTATGTGGATAGAAATTTTGAATAATTTTACACAAAATTAAAATGTTTCCTATCCTTTAATGGGCAGTGAAGTTTTAATAGAAAAAAGAATCAATAAAACTGAAGATTATGCTACAAGCTTTTGAGAATAACAGCTGGAATAAAAACTTCTCTGTTTGATTTTAATTAACGTTAATTATGAAATATGTGCCGAAATTTCTTTCAACATCAGTTCTTTAAACTTCAAAAGTTCTTTCAATAATCACATCGTTAGTCTTAAATGTCATGTTAACGAAAGTTAGCGAGTTTGTAATGCTTTTCACTTAAAATGAAATTCATGTCGAAAATGTTTTTTAAGCTTTCAGAATATCAAGTTTGTTGACACTACGTTATGGATTAAATTCATAGCGCTTTCATATTTTCGCAATTTTTAATCATTTCATAAAACAATTATAGTGATTGTGAATTATTGATTGAAATTGGTTTAAACATCGTTGAAATCGTTTTCTACTAGAAATCCAATCAATATTCATCGATGATGCTAATGAGACTGTTCGTTTATAATAATTGACATGTTGCTCTATGAATTCATATTCGATGGAATTTTAAAATAAAGTCAAAATTATAGAACGAAGTTCTGCTATAAATTATAGAAAAAGAATTTAAATTAATTCTTTCTTCTCATTTAAAGCGTTGATGGTTTTACCAACTCTGTCAACATTGGAATCAAAAGCTTGCAGGCGATTACGCGACATTCATTAATGTCATCAAAATTCATTAATAACAAATAAAAAAATTAATTACACTAAATGACAGAAAGCTTTTCGTTTCAGTTTTATGTTTTGAGAGACTACATCAAGTTGTCTTAAAAACTTTTCTAAAAGCCTTTTAATTAAATATTTACAATCTTTTTGAGTAGATCGCTGAATTAGAGTCAATATTTAATTGAAACATTTGTTGCCAGTTTTATGTGATGGACTAAGCATCGATATTAATTTCCTTGAAATATTTTTCAAGGCTATATTTGTACATGCAGCTATTTTATTAGATTTGGTTTCCATCAAATAAACAACAATGATTTGGAAATGAAATTTTGTTTATTAACTTTACGATCCTTCGAGCCGAATCAAGAAGAAAACCGAATATTTTTCTCTGCAATATTGAATTATATTTATGTTAGTGCCAAATTCAATTTCCATGATGTCGAGTTCTTGTAACTTATGCAAAATATTTTTCATTGTGAAATTCTCTGTATTTGAAAACATGCGAATTCATTTCGCGACTTTTGCTCAGCTTAATGTTTTGTTATTATTTCAAACATTCTTGGAATCCGGGAATTTATCATTTCTTACATAGCCTGTTGACATTCGCATGTGCTTTTTCCTTTTATTTACAACCACAAAAAGTGCTTCTTGTACTTTGTTCTTTTAAAAGTAAGCATGAAAATATTTTAGAAAAGATGTGCTTAGTGGAACATAATTCTAAATAAAATAAGAAAGTAAGGAATAATAAAAGAAGGAAAATTTCTTTTAAATTTATTGTGGCAATCACAGACTAAAAGAAAGAATGAAAATAGTTTCCAAACTATAAAGAGAAGAATCCGAAAGAAATGTATACAATAATAAATATTAAAACCTTCTGATGGTTAAATCGCTTTTATGCTTTTATTGCTTCGTAAGTTGGAATTGAATTTCTTTTCAAAGCATTTTTATAATGCAACTTCTTTCAAATACATGTGAAACTGCTTTTTCTTTAAGGATGAAGCTTTAAAAGAAGCAGAAAAAGTTATTGGTATTGAGTTGTAATCAATCATGCAATGAAAAAGAAAATGAAAGCTCGGTGGGAAGGAATAGAAATTTGGAAAATTTAAAGCTTTAATTTGTACTTATAAAAGAAAATGTTGAGGTTCTAAAAGTTATTTTTTTGTTCAGCAAGGTTGTACAAGCATAAGGAAATATCTCAGTTTACAATTACACTAAGTGCAGGATCATATTTGCATTCATATATTCAGAGATGTTTGTGTCAGGATGTTAGTTATGTACAAATGTCAGACGAGGGTAATTTTGCTCTACCTCATAAAGACTTTCAGTTAAGATGAATGCAGACGATTAAAGGTCTCATTTCAAGCAATAAAAAAGATTTTCATTTCTTATTTTAGAATAACTCTTCAGACAAATCTCCAGAAAAAAACGAGAATAAATTTATCTGAATATGGTTTGAGTTCATGTCTGAATTCAGCTTTCATATTTGGTTTAAGGTTACGAATATGATTTGTTCCACATTTTCTCGTGTGAATATTTATGATTAAGAAGAAGTTGCTTTGCTTCTTCATGTTTCCAATTATCGTTTCACATGTGTATTGATTGACAAACGTGGGAGTTTTGGTTGCTGTGTGTACTTCGATACTTTTATTTTCTTTTGACACATTTGATAATATTTTTATTTCACTCACTTTATTAGTTTAAGGAGTGTTATTACAATAATAATTGATGCGAGTACACTTCAAATTAAGTCTTCAACCTTCGAAGGGAAAAATATTAATTCAGAAACTAATCTCAAATAATGGAATATCAACCCTGGTTTCCAACTTGTTCGTTCTGAAAATAGCTTTTATCGATCGCTTCTCGTCCCTTAATCAATGTAAATAGTTTTCACAACGCCCACACAATCACCCGACATAACAATTTACAACAAAATTGGATATCAAACAATCTTAAAATTAGTAAATCAATAAAGTTTTGCACAATGACTTTTATCATATGACACATAATAAATGTTTTATCATCACCAGTCACGTTGCTACTGCTTTCTACCTTTTTCTTTCACCCAATTTTACGACCTTACGACAGACATGCGATACCAAGCTGTGAGAAAAAAAATAGAAATGAGATTGACTCACAAAAATTTTCAATTTGGCAAGAGTGTTCTTAATGGCCGTGGGCTAAAATGAACCTTTAAGTGCTTTTGAACTTGAGACGAAAAAAATTTCTTAAATTTCTTTGAATTTTTTTTCAATATTATAAATCATTTTACTTTATTCTACGTGTTTTATCTATATTTGCTTTCATTTGTTGCAAAAGAAAATAACGCCGTTCAGGAGGTTCATTTACGAACAATGAGATTAAAACAGCTCCAAATAAAAATAAAAATTTATTCCCATCATCCATCATCAAAGTGGAGAATTTCCCAAGCCGGATGTTAGGATTGTCTTTGTGAAAATTTATACGATCTTAGCTTAGAAGTTGAAAAATAAAACAAAGAGAACAAACCCTTTCCATTTGCAATGCTTCATCTCAAGCATTGCTCATACTTATTCCTCTCGTTTTCATTTGAAGGAAAATGATTCGAAATGAAGTTTATACAAAGAATGAGATATCTTGAGTAAATAACTGAACCTTTTTTCGGGTTTTACTGTTTGCGCTTATGTGATCTCAACAAGGTCAGATGAAAGAATGATTTTAGTCATTCACATAACGATTTTGAAAATCAAAAGGCGAAAAATTGCTAAGCATCGATAAATAGACGGTTGAAAATTTCACGCGACATTAAATTGTCTTCGTTTCCGAACTTCTTGCTTCAAAGCCTTCAACAAATATTAAATTGAAAGCTTGAAAAAGCAGGGAATCCTCTGCAGGTTAAGCATTTTTAGAAAAGACTTGAGCTAAAGATAGAAAACTTTTGAGACGTTGATATTTTTTATTTAAATTTATGTTTAGCTCACATTTTGTTTGTTAAAAGAGGATGAAAAGAAAAAAATTAATGGTTTGTTTCTTAGAAGTCAGAATGTTATAGTAAGAGCTTTTCTTAAAAGATTCAAGATTATATACCTAAAAGGTTTTATGGCATTGATGTCAGATAGAGTGACATTTTCGCTAATCCGCTTAGACATCGGTCAGAACAACTTCCGTTGTGTCCATGGTTCCAACACCTACAACTAGATGTACGACGCTGTCATCACGCCAAAAGCAATCGCGATACTTTCTTTAAAAATTCCGTCTTATTTATACAGAAGCTTTAGTATAGAAGAATAAGCTTTAGAGCGATAAAGAAATGTAATACAGTGAACTCTCGTTATAACATACTCTCGTTATAACATTTCTCTCGTTACAACATTCATTTCGAAAATAATTTCGAACGAAATCTAGAACAAAATTTTCTCGTTACAACATTTCTCTCGTTATAACATCTAATGCTGTCAGTCCCTTCGAAAATGTTATAACGAGAGTTCACTGTATTTTACTTCTTAAGCAGAGTATTGTTGTTGGAGAATTTTTTATTCGATATTTTATTAGGAAAAAGTTGGATAAAATTAGGTAGTATCAGATTCTATTCTAAACTTATCTGCTTTTCATATAAAAAATTATTTCACCCTCGCATTGAGATCGATCAATGAAGCAGCTCGAATTGAAAAGGGTTTTGCCTTTGAATCTCGCTTTCCTCTATTTTCTGAATCTACAGGAACGATTCTATTAATTTCACTGACATTGTTTATTTTGACTTCAAAGCTTTATTCAATTTCATTGGAAGAATTGCAAGACCTTTCACTGTATCTCAAGAAAACTTTCATTGTTGAATAAAATTTGTAAGAGGCGCATGTGAAAGCTTCAATTATACGGCTTATTTGCCTGATTGATGTCTTCTAAATGTATGTGAAGATGAAAAGAAAGGTTATTCAATCCAAAGCTACTTAAAACCGTTAAGGTTTGTTTTCTATAGAGTCCACTCCAAATGAATTCCGTTTACAAGTGCTGATTATTCGATTGAGTTTCGTGAAAACGAATAGAATTGAAGGCCACTTTTCTGAATATCAAAATAGGCAGAAAGAGAAATTGAAAGACGATTTTCATCAAAAATTTCCGCATTGAAATGCTTTGAATTATTCATAATAAACTCCGAGACTGATAGCAAAACATAAATTGTGTATCAAATAAGCATTTAATTGAAATCTTTTGATATGTGTTTCTGAAACATCTTGAATTAAAATTCTTCCTTTGAGGTTGCTTCCATAGCAAGGCTCATGCAAATAGTTTAAAAGCAACATTTGTAAGCTTGTAAAATTATTTAAATTTATAATTATACACAAACTATAGTTGTGATGTTTAATTACAAATTCTGGCAGTTCATCTTTTGATGTCTGTATACATATTTATGAATAACTAAACATACAAATTAACAATAAACAACAGAAAATTTAATTCATATTAATTGCTAATTGAGAATTATATAAGTCAAGTATAAATGCACATTCAGAGCTGAAATGTCAAAATACCTTTAATTGTTTTGCAAGCCAACTACTCAAAATCATCTCCTAAGATCCTCAACGAATTTTATATTCGAACGATTTTGTATACTTTTCAGATTTCTTGCGATTGAATTGAGAGTACACACAATATGTGAAGTTTGGGCACGCGTCAAATATTGAGAAATCTTTTCAATTTCAGCGCGATTTGTAATGTTTTTCTTCAACTTTTTTTATGTTTTCTTTTCAGATATAAAATACATAAGACGATTGATGAGAAAGTAACGATATCGATCGCTCCTGAGACTGACGAATCAACAATGTATATCAATATACCGTAAGCTTCAGATTCAGAAGTGAATTGCTTTTCTTACTTTTACTTTGCTCGCTCTTTTTCCATTTATTATAACAAAAAATATGATTCGTTAACTTGTGTGGGTGGTTGGCGGGTGAAAAATGAAATTGTACCTTTGTGTAATAAAATGAATCATTGTGTTATCATAACAAAGCGCAAGGATCTCTTACACATTATAATATCTTTTAGTAAACTTTTCCCCATTTTTATTTCTTCCCCTAACTTTTCTCAGTCTCAACGGTTTATTCCCTTGTGCTCCGCAAGCTTTTTCATTGCGATATTATTCACGACGATGAGAAAGGCGAATTAGGCAACAAGCCTCAAACTCAATTGAGAAAGTTGAAGAAAAACGAAGTCGAGCAAGTGTTCGACTTAATCGTTTCAAAATTATTTCCTTCAACTTTATGCTCCGTAATTGATCCATGATGTTAATTTAGTTTAAAAGTTGGTTGGTGTGGAAAATTGAGAAATTGCTTAACAAGCGAAGGGTTGATAAGGTTGTTAAAAAGAAAGCCTAAAAAGTTATCGAAAAGAAAAGTATTTCATCATCCAATCAATGTTTATGGACTAAATCTGTCATCATTTTTATTCCAGATATCATTTAGGTTAAACAATAATACGATAATATTTATAGAAAAGTATTAAAAGCTTTGCCGATTAATGGAAAACAAGATCATTCTTATAAAAGTTTCTTTTGTAACTTACGAATCTAGGTGAAAATGGTAATAATTTTATTTTTGTCATTGATGATGAATGAAATAATTATGAATGAATGAATGATGAATGAAACGTTGTGGTACGAGGAAATATTTATAACTTTTCTACGTCATTATCCAATCGAATGGTGAATTGAAATGGAAAATCAAGCCTTCTTTTACGATTAATATCGTAGATATACATATTGTAGTAGGTTGGTTTCTTTTTGAAGGTTCATTAAGTAGAAAATGTAATCATTGTGAATGGCTCGACAGATAACCGACGACGACGATAGAAGGAGAAATAAAGAGTTTTGTTGTTTTTCATGTGGAATGAGTTTTGTCATAATTTGTGTGGGTGGAACGAAATAATTTTGGTTCTTGTTGAACAATCTTAACAGGCAGAAATTCAGAATGTAGGAGATATAAAAAGGGATTTGTTGCTTTAATACTTTACTCAAGTCTTAAAAGGTTTCATGACAGAAAAGAAAAGATAAATTGGCAATGAAGTTCCAACCACCTGATACTTTCAGATTTTTCACTTCTTTCTATTCATATTAGGTACGTTATAAGTCGTTGATGTAGGTAGCAAGTAAGAAATTGGGACATATTTTTAGATAATTGTGATTCTCTGAACATTAAACAATGAACATATCATTGAACCCAATTGAAAAAAAAACTTCATTAATCCCGAGACAATGCTGACGGGGTAGCATTAAAATAAGCTCCTTTATTTTTAGCTTCATTTTGCTGAAAGATTTTTATGTTACTTGAAAGGCATGAACATAACAACAAACCACTGTCAGTGTGCTTGGCATAATGATATTTCTGAATAATATTCCTGCCTTGTCTAGGAAGTTCTACTTAAAGGAAAAAAGGTCAAATATTTTAGTAAATACTTATTGGAACCAAAATCCTTACTGTCGTGACTTGCGTATTTTCCGAGTTAATTATCTATCGCTTATTTGCGATACTAAGATGACAAACTAACTTCGAGCATGACAAAGTTAACTGATTTTTTTTTGAATTTTAATTAACTACCAAAAAAATTTTAAATCTGATCTTGATCTACTTTTTGAACCGTTGCTCTGTTGTTTCGGTTCAATATGACATTTTTTCAGTTCATAAAATTCAGTGCAGTCAGTAACTGATCATAATTGTGAAGCCATTCATAAAAAAATAAAAAATCTTCTATAAAACTAAGTTTAAATTAAGTTCTTTAAATTAGAATAAGAATTCTTCTGTTACCTAATTTCCAATTAAATAGAAAATGGTTAACAAAAATGAAATAAAAGAGATTCAAATGGAAGCAGTTGCGTGGGTAAAAACTGTCGATGATATCTGGAAACACTTAGAAAGAAAGCATTTCGTAAGTTTTATATTATGAATTTATGAAAAAACGCGTGAATAATTGTATTTATTTCAGAACCCCCAATTGGAGACTAAAATTGGATGTGGAATTAGATTCTTTGCAAAAAACATTGAAGCGTGCGGAGAATTCAACGAAATTATTTTGAAACTTGCTGATTGCTTCAACGTATGTAAAAAATTCAATTATATTTCCTTATTTTGTCACAATCTTTTCCTATTATAGGTTGCCTTGGATCTGAAACTAGTGAAATGGACTGTTCGAGATATAAATGCAATGTTAATGATGATAACCTCATTACTTCTCAAACGCAAAGATGAGGTTATAATCAGAAAAACAGCTTCAATATTCAAAAAGTGTATTGAACAGTTGGATCGGGACAGAAAAGATGATTTAACGACTATCATTAAATTACATACGAGACCAGTAAACTTAATATTGCACAAAATGAGCAAAGTTTCAACTTTTTACACGCAATTAAAAATTCTGGATCTTTTCAATCTTACTTTGAAACATTTCGAAGATGGCGGCTTCGATATAATCAGCAATTATAAACTTTTTGCATCTTGCAATGAAAATGTCATTCAAAATGCAATACAAATGTTCAAGGCTATTGATGAGAAGCATTTTTTTGAAGTAAATATAAAAGGAATTATTTTGTTTTCTCAACTAATAATTTAGTTTCCATATTTTTCAGACTTCACGTCCATTTCTCGAAATTTTCAATCGACACAACCTTCCTTCGCCTTTTATTTATTCTTTTAAGGGATTCGTTATGGATGTTAATAATGCTTCGCTTCCATTGCAACAAGAAGTGACAATTGACTTCAATTTGCGACAACTTTCAATTTCCTTCTTTATTGAGATTTCGGATCAAACATTTTGCTTAGAAATGGAGGAGTGTGAAGCATTCGCTGAGAAAAATAAGTTTATTGATCCGAATCAGGTTGAATTGAAGCTTAAACCAGCCCGTTTTCATTTTTTGAACGAATCTGATGAAGTTGTTCACGTGTTTGATCAACTTGATGCTGTCATTCTGGTGTTCACAGATCAAGATGTTTTCTTTTCAATTATTTATCCCATTTTGAAGACCAAATCTTCATTAGCTGCTGATATGACTGATCAAGAATCAATGTTCAGTTATCACACAATTAAATCGGTTATTACTGCAAATAAACAGAAGGAACAATCGAAACCAATTGTAGCTCTTGATAACATCAAACAAACTGTTGATCCACCAAAACATGTCCCTGAAGCGATTGTGCCAATCGATTTGTCGAAATTAAACCTTGAGAATAAAACTCAAGATACAGTGAAAACACGTCAAACAGCTAAAGTTGGACCAACTTTGAAACAAACTACAATTTATGATGAAATTCCAACTGACAATGATCCACTTCCACCAGCACGACAATATTTTCAACAATGTCGCATCAATCGTCAGAATAAACGCCAAAGTAATAACATAAATAACATAAACAAAAAATATGAAAAATATTTGATGTCACCAGAAATGCCCACTAAAATGAAAGGAAAAGAGGCTAAGAAAATTTCAATTAAAAGAAATCTAAAAGCAAAAACGAAGACTGTGAAAAATCCACCGAAACCTCGAGGCAAGACTGCGGCTTTTAAAAAAGTTGGTGAACGAGTAAAAAAATCTCCGAAACAGCAGAGTTTGCAGAAGGAAAAGGAAAATCAAGAACCGGAATTACCAACAACCAGTCGTGGTCGTGGATTCAATGCAGAAATTATGAAATTGAGAAACACAATGACAAACGTAAATCGAACTTACTCCATCAACTATTCAACTGAGGATGAAGGCAATGATGCAGAATGGAAAAAGAATCGTGAGAAAATCATTGCAAAGAATTCCCGCAAACGACCATTGAAAGAAAAACCAGAGAGCGAAGTAACCCAAAAACAAGCAATAACAGAGGAAATCTATGCTGATGTTCTAATAGAAATAATTCCAAATGCTAATAAAAAATTGAAAACAACTTTAAAAGATGATGAAATGAAGATTGAAAATTTCCATCAAGAAAGCCGAAATGTCTTCAAAATTAATGAAAATAAAGAAGAAACTAAGATTGTTAAGAATACTCGTATTGGTGTCGAGAAATTGCCAAGTACTCAACAAATTACTGATTCTTATCGACAAAACAAAGTGTCGTTCAATGAAAATTTACATTTCTTCTCAAAAACTCCTTCATCATCGCCAAAATCTTTGAAAAACGTTGAAATAACACCTGAAGATGAAACAAACAAATCTACAATGATAGTTAATCACACTCAGGTTGAACATTCATCATTAATTCCTCAAAATCCTTCACAGTCTCCAAATGATGAAATTAAATTTAATTTCGAAACTTTGAAGAATAATGAAATTCTTCATAAATTTATTAATGACTCTAATAACAATAATAATCAACAATCAGAGAACGACAACAAAGTTCACGACAATAATGATGGAGTTGATTATCAGATTGTGGCTAAAACGCAAACAATTCAAAAAACGCAAACAATTCAAAAAACGCAAACAATCCAAAAGTCAATTGGTAGCAATTTGACTCAGGATGTCAACATTTGTATTGCTGAGCAGAAAATCGTCAAAGACAAACCACGAGATGCAAAGAAACTCGTTCCAAACAAGAAAGAAGAACCACTTTCCCTGCTTTACAAGAAGAAAGCAAAGGAAATGTTACAGCCGATTTGGAACGAGATGAAGACATTGAAGTTGAATAATTCTTCGAACCTGATAAACGATTCATTAAAAAAAGAAGTTTCCAAAGCAATGCAAAGAAATAAAGAATTAAAAAATCATTTAAATCAACATGTGAAGCTGCTCAAACGACTTCAACACTCGAAGACTAAATTGAAGCAGTTGACTGATGAAGATGTTGCTAATTCTGCTGCACTTGTAGTCGCCTTACAGAACGCTGAAACTGAAAAGCAAAATAAAATTAAGGATATTCAGATGAAACTTGATGCTCTTAGCAAGAAAGCATCAAAAATTAATGAAGAAATTAAGCGAAAAATTTGGAAGAAATACGTTGATAAAATTTCTGCAGATTTGCAATTGATGCTTCAAACGAGTTCCAAAATTTAAATTCGCTAGCTTCGAATTCTTTTTTCACTTTTTCTTTCATTTAACAAACTTTTCATTTAATAATTTTTCGTGTAAGAAAACTTTCCTACTTTATGAAATTCCAATTTTCATGAAGTTCTTTTTGAATAATTGAGAACTTTAATTATATTTAAATATTTATGCGAAGAGAAAATAATTTGTAAAAATTTCTCATTGAAAATTTTCTGAGCAAATAAAATATTTCATCAATGATAATTTTTTTCTTTTTTTCTATTAGAAATTTGCTTGCGGCGTTTATTAAAACCTACGACAAATCTTTTGAAAATCGATTTAATTATCTTAGAAGCACTCAAAGCAAGAAAATCTAAAAATTGACCTTCGTTATACTTGAGTGACATGAAATTTGAATAAATGCGAAAATCTGCGGAAAAGGAAAATCACCAGCTGACTAATGTTTCATAAACTGTCAAATCTTTTATGGTGGGCTGAACAGATGAATTTAACATAATGTTATGAAACATTAAACATAATGAAATGTTCTCAAAAAGGAGCAAATTATTCAATAAATCGAAATTTCTTTTAGAAATCTTTCGAATAGTTAAACATGAAAATTCTAAAATTAACTTTTCATTCAACTAATGTCGTTGTTCTGGAAAATCAATATATTCACTGAATAACCAGCAAAAAGCTTAACTAAATGAATATGTGAAAGCAGATAAAGAAAGAAGAAACCTCGAGCTAAATTAAAGGAACATTAAAAAACTTTCTTTTTATCCCCACTCTTGGGAAATGTTCATAAAGTACGTAAACAAGTAGAGATAAAAACATTGACGACAATTCTCATTTGAACTTTTGCTGTTAGAAAAAATTTTCCGTCATTAATAAATATCAGACGGAATTTCCACAAAATTTTCCGCTATACTTACATCGGTCGTTCTTAAAACGAAAACACTAATGGAAAGGATTAAAGACCGGAAGCGAAGCTCACAACACGATGGAAGTGAGATAACTAATGAATTTTTTATTATTTTCTTTCCTCCATCGTCACTCTTCATATTTTTTTCGCTCCCAGGTCACTGCTAACAAATGTAGTTGATAAATATTTTCATTAAAATTTCATTATGGAAAGAACGACGTTTATTACTAAATATCGAATCTAGTTTTCCCAGGATGGTAAATGCATAGGGAATTTATATTAAAAGAAATATTCAATTATCGTACGAGAGGCAGAAAAAAACTTGATTCAATGACTCCTGTTTTCCCGTTCATTAAATATCTGCTGTCGATCAAGTTTTCTAGATGTAAGCAAATGATTACAATTTTTTTATAGATAACGTTTTTAAGTCATTAATTCTTTTTTATTTAATAACTAAATAAAAGTCCATTATAATTCAATAAGATCTTGATAGCAAAGTTTTACTTTTTACAATCTCATCATCAATAAACAATAAATATTTATTTTCTTTCAACCGAAATCAATTGTACAGAAAATTTTAATGCCATCAATGAAATAAATAAATGAGAAATTATTTTTCCCATAAATTATTCTTGTTGTTTTTCACAGCTGAACTTTTTACAACAATTTACATAAAAATTGTGGTTGATTTAATAACCGAAGTAGTACGAATTTATTTAGATCATCAAGTTCATCACAAAAAAAGGATTTCGGATTAAAACGAATGAAACTTTCATAAAAATGTTCATTGGTGATTTTTCTTTTTTACATTTCAGTGCAACAGGTTTAAATCTCAATTAAAAGCTTCATTGTCCTATTCACATATGTAGCTACAACACTATAACTCTGTTTGTTCTACTCTTTATACATATTTCTTAATTAAAATCTTCATGAATTCAGTCTTCAACAGTTACATTCTATATGATATATAATTTGGAATGAAAATTTATTACAGATGATTAGTGACTTCCTGTGGCTTGAAAGAATAATGTCTTCTTGTCTTCCTTAAAAGCATATTTGAATCCCTGTTGGATTTTTGTATGTATGAACGTCACATACGAATGTTATGGGGACAAATTCGTAAATTAAGTTAAGGAAGTTTATGATATCTCAGCTAAATAACATTGTTAGTTCCTCTTAAATAGAATATGTTTTAACTAAATTTCCTTTCATTATTAAACAGAATTAATCACGTTACATAATTCACGAATTTTCCCTCGAACTTTATCATACTCAGCACGATGGTAAAGTTTGTCATGTGAATTTTTGTGAGATAAAAACCAATTCATTAGTCGTAAAGTTCTCATTTTTTATACCACAATTACTTACAAATTTTAAGCAAGATCCTAAATATACATTACCCACTGTTGGAATGGTATGTAGGTAGAAATGAGAGTGGAGTCACTTAAGAAGCATAGTATCTACTTTCATTTAATTGAAATTAGTATTAAATAAGTCCTATGTCAATATTCGGATCTTTTTCATTTTATTTTTATTTATACAGTCGCTTCCTCCGTCTCATCAAGGAACCCATTTGTCGTGGGTTCAAATCGGTTTAATTATATGGCCGAAAGTTGTTCAACATCTGTTGTTGAGTGCATACATCGACCATCGTAGTTGGTAATAAATTTGCTATCATTGCTACTATTTAAATAATAATCGTTTTGAAAGCTACAACAGCATAGCAATTTTGGCCATTGGCGTCTGAGTAGAATGCGTTTAAATGCTTTCCTAAACTCTGTGTTGAAGATGCTGTAAATAATTGGATTAAACGCTGAGTTTGAGTATCCGAGCCAGGAAAGAATCTTGAATGTTGTTTCACCGATGCATGTCTTACAAAAGGCTGCGATTATATTGACACAGAAGAACGGCATCCAACAAACTAGAGAGAAGAATAAATGAAATGTTGTTGAGAAAGTAAAAAGAAGCAGAAAAATTTAATTAATCTTTAAACTTTCGCTATTTTTAATTACAGTTGAGAGTGAACAACGAGTTGCAAATAAAATATGAAGAAGAGTTTAATTGTTCTTTCAAAGGGCTGATCATTTATTCATTCAAGTAACTTACTTAACTTTTAATAATTCCGTTTTATTTTAACAATGAATTGTGAACTCAGAATTTCGATAAACCTTATTATAGAAAAAAGTTTTGACATTGAAAATTGAAGTTCAACAGCCCCTCAATCTTCTCCATTTTCCAACGATTTAATGAAAAAAGCACTTTAGAGTTAAATATTGCTTAATAAATCACAGAAATTGACAAAGTTCGCACTTTTTTATGTTTAAGAATGTTTCGCAAATATTTAACGTCAAAGCACAAAACTTCATTTCTGCAACAAATGTTCCCGACTCTCTAATTATTATCCATTCATCTACTCTGATTACCAAGAAAAACTGAGAGAATAACTCCCACTGTGACAGCTGCTTTACGATCTGATGTATTATACGCGGCTAATTGATGGGGAGATCGTTTGATGAATTTCTTTTTGCCAACAAAACGACGAGTCTGTTGATGCTGGCTGATACGTTGCTGTGATTCATCATTGCTTGATGTTCTCGTTACAGCTCGAATGGAGCGAACATGCTTTTGTGCATAGCAATATAATCTGAAATATCAACAAAAACGCTTAAATGTCAGTCTGTGTTAGGTAATAAAGACGTAGAGATAAAATAAATAAAATCTCTGAAGAGTTACTTATCGTCAGTTTTTTGTTTTTTATTGCAATGATAACATTCACAATTACCTGCAGTAAATCGCAACTAAAACAATGCAAGGAACATAAAAGCTGATACAGCTTGAAACTACAGCATATGTTGGCGTTAGATCTAGCGCACATGTTGGATACTCTTTTCCGTCTCTCACTTCGATAAATAACGGCTCGTTGGGACGATGTAAGCCTAACGAAATAGGAACAAACGATACAAAAGCCGCAAGTATCCAAATTGCCCCAATTGTCACAACAACGACATAACGTGTCACCCAACGCGTGTATCTGACATGGAAATGAACAAACAAGAAAGAATTTTTGTAAATAAATTGACAGTAAATCTCTTTATGCTTTTTTAATTTATGACTCGTGCGATTAAAGGACGTTTAATGATTATCCATAGAAGCATCTTTAGGAAGTAAAATCATGGAAATTATTTGTTGAAAGGTTTCGACCCAGGTTTAAATATATTACAAAGTAATTTTTCATGAAAATTGATTCAGGGCGATGCAGTCAATAACATGATGAAGTTGACATCTCTAAATTTTACTTCGACATACGTAAGAGTAAAACATAAAACTGTAAAAGGTTTATGAATGGTGATGTTACCAACAACCACGGTCTTTATTCTCTCTTTTGTAGTTGTGGTCAACCAAAGAATCTTTAAAAGATAAAAAGGATTTCTGTTCTTGAAAGTTCCTGATGGTTCTACTTAAATCTTATCTCTAATGTCATTCACAGAATGAAATTAAATTAGTTATTTTGTGACCTTTAGTTAGTTGGATTGAAGGCATTGAAGTTCTGTCAATAAAGAGAACATTTAGGATGGAAACAAAAGTTTATCGTAAGAAGTTCATTTTCTCGGCTTCAAGGTTTAGTTCTTATGTTAAGTATGTATGTAGGAAGCTTTCCGACACTTTCTGTTATCAAGCTTCTCACAGTGGGTTTGGAGAGCATAGAGGGTAGAAGCAATCTTTTTGCCCTGTATTACCTTAGGGGATCCTTGATGTGTATGTAGCGATCCAATGATATGGCGCACAAGTTTAAAATGGAAGATGTCGAACACATCACGTCGAATGCTATCCAAGTGTCACAGAATTCAGCACCAAAAATCCAATATCCTTATCAAGTGTAATTCGTAACCGGTGGCAAAAAGAAACAAAAAATAAAAGTTAGCATGAGAAAACAAAAACCATTGATAATGATTTATTTTTTCTTCTTTCTCCGTGTTTTCTTTTTCCCGAGCGATCTGTAGCTGTGCGTGGTTAAGAGAAAATTGAATTTTCCATTCGCGAAGATGACCAAGTTTCTGTGTTATTGTGTAGCTTGGGGATTCTTTTCAAGTGATGTTTTATTCAAAACTCAAGGATACAATTCGTTTAATGGATTCTTGAACACAATCGCACTTCCTCTCTCTCTTAATTTCATTCTACATAATATTAAAGATAACATTTTTTTTATTGTTAAAGTTACCTAAAATATCGTTAACACTTGCGAAAGTCATCACAAGTAGCGAAACAAACAAATCTGCTATGGCGAGTGAAGCTAAAAATAGATTTCCAATTCGTCGTAAACTTCGCTCTGTGTAAATGGCCACACAAACCAAAATGTTGCCAGCACAAGCTAGAAATATGATTGTTGAAAGAAATGTCGCTAAAATGAAAAGATTGAATGAGAATAATGAATATTTCATGAATGTTTAGTGTCCACTTAGGGCTGGGATTGAAATGAAACCATTGCCAGCGGAATGCTGGAGATTGAAACAATTTATGTAAAAACTGAAACTACTTTGGCTTAACTGTGATTTTATTCAGCACAATAGACTTTTCTAAATGTTTCTTGAGGGGTTTTAAACGAATAATTTATTGATGCTGAAAATGCTAGTGAATGGACGAAGTTCTATTTAAAAAAGAAAAGGAAGAGAAAATTGGCATCGTGGTCAGCCGCAATGAAGTTTACCATTTGTAATAGAAAATATGAAAATTTGGTTTATAAACTTCCTTCATAAAAGAATGGAAAAGCTTCTGTTGCAGATGTGGAAATATCATCAAAATTTCATGAATTTGCACAGTATAAATACAAGAAAGTATTCAATTTCCATCCCTGCTAAAAATTAATTTTCCCTTGATGAAACATGATTTACGATTGAGAGATTAATAGAAATAAAAGCTCCGAAATATTAAAATGTAATCGGAAGAACATATTTTGTTTTAAACAAACCAACATATCGTATCTGGTTTCTGTGGTAAGTTCGAACAAAGCGAGCTTTATGTTTCAATGTTCAATTTTTGAAAATTTGTCAGCCAAATGTCGGAAATAAACCAAACTCACCTGTCAACAGCATCGTAACTCTCTCCATTGTGTTCGCAGCGTTTTCTTCTTTCGTGAAGCAGGTGTTATTGAATGGCTCGGCGTAAGTCTTTGAACAAATAAATTGGAAAATAATCAACATGAAAAGCTATTTAATAACGTGTGGAAATAATTAACTGATCGAAATCACTGAAAAAGCGCTTGTAGGAAATTTCTATCATGATAAATCAAGATGAAAGCTTCTTGTTTCACATGATAGAAATAAATAAAGGATACAAATGTTTACTAAAGGCATTGAATATCATTCGGAATGAGAAAAAAAATGTTTGTTTTGTTTATTTGCCTTTTATTTCTCTTCTTTTCTTATGTCAGAATGAATAGTAAATTGAAGCGAGTTGTTGTTGAATGGAAACTTTTGGGAATATATCAAGAATGCTAAGCAGCAAACCTTCACAAATTGACTTTCTTTTATGTATGTTGTAAAAAGCGAATACAATCGAGTTTTTATTGTCTTGTTGTTTGAAATAAAAGTCTTAAACATTTAATCGTTTAAAGTTTATGGCAGTAAATTTCTGCTTTACAAATGCCAAGGAATAAATTAAAAAGTTAAACACTTCCGTGATATATTTTTTAGACACTTTTTCCATTTCATCAGACAACCAGATTGCTGTTATTTTAAAATGGATCGATGGAGGATTGAAATAAAAAGTCTTTTGAGAATTTTGATTTCCTTTTATGTATATCAAACCTTGGGAGATGAAAGAATTCAAAATTAGCATTTCGTTCAAGAATCGTCCACAATATAAAATATTAAAAAAACTTTATGAAGAAAAAAAACTTTAATGATTTTACAATAATTAAAAAACTTGTAACAATAAATGTCTAATTCGAATTAAGAACAAGTCAGCTGACACAAATCATTCAAAGTTTTGAAACCTGAACAAGTTTAATTTGAAATGTTTTTAACAGAATGAAATAATTTTTATTCTAACTCTTGACCCCAATTAAAATAAAATAAAATATTTAAATAATTATCTAAAACTTTTATTGTTACATCAATTCGTAAAATTTCTAAACTCTTTTTTTGTGTTATACTTTTCATCATTCATAACTCAGATATACAAAGATAGTTGAGAATATTCTATGTAAACAACATTAAACGGGATCAAATGAGTCTTTGGTTCCCAAGAGCCTTTTCATGGTTTCAACAAGCAAATATCCTTTTATCATTCTTAAACCAAATATTTGCACTTTAGGCTGTGTGTGTGTTTGGCATCGCATTACATTTCTCCACAATGATCTCGTTCAAAGTATCTTCTTATATTATTCACGATTCTGGGCCCACATATAAGTCTTTCGATGATATGTCTGAGGAGAAAAAAGCTTGTTATGTTTCCATATTTTTATGCTTTTTAATGGTGCTTCAATATGTAACACATAAACATTTAATTCCCTCTACACAGTCATAAGAAGGAATGTCACATTGATGCCGAATATTTTCAATTTTTTTTTTCATAAAATGTTTCAACTACATAAGTAGATCTAATCTATGAGGTGAATATCTCGAAATATTTTCTTTTATTGACATGTCTGAGTTTTTGAAATTGAATTATTCGACATTACTTCCAATCAACTTCCACATAAGCATTTGCAAAGCGTATTTTTATAACTTTTCCGAAAAAGTTCAAGAAAAGCTTTCAAAGCTGTCATAAAATTCACGAACTGGTGATGCATAACAAGAAGAAAAACATGAAAATGCTTCAGAGAGCCAAATGATGTTGGTTATTCCAAAGACGTAAGAAATGTCAGTCAGCAAGAAATATGTTTATTACCTACATCTTTTTAAGACACTCCGAATCAATGGTCATTCAACAAAACGTGCCCCATCAAACAAGATCAAAGTTGAAATATTTGTTCTGATTTATGAATATTGCAAGATGTGTGCGTGAATGTTGGTCGGAATATCTTTCACACTTCTGAGCTTGGAATAATGCTTCAGATATTCTATAGCAGGCAGTTATCGTTAGAAAAGCAACATAAGCTTCGCAATTCACTTTTATATATTTTTTTGATGTTGCCATATTTATCTACACAAAAGCTTCTTTTGTTTTGCAGTTTGATGAATAATCATGAGCAACTATACAAGATGTTTACGTGTGTTATTTCAAGAACATAAATAAGAGAAAATAAGCAGGAAGTTGGAAAACTTTATCGTAATCTTGAAGGGCCTTCTTCGAGAAAGCATCACAACTTTTTGAAAATATTTTATTTTATTGAAAAAGTTTCTTTGTAGATTCTCATGATGAGATGAATGCTAAATGAGAAAAAGCTTATTTTATGTTTTTAATATCAAGATGTTGAGAAGATCAATCATTGAAAGCTTTTTCACCTGCTTCTTCTTATCAATTTTTCTTTCATAAAAACATATTTTTTCTTTATTTTTAGAAAAACATGCGAGAGTTAATATTGGTTGCTGTCATTGACATGAGTTTTATTATGAAAATCCTTTGAAAAGAAATCAATAAATATTTCCGAATTCAAGATTCCAATAATCTCAAGATTTACGAGGATTGTGTTGGTTTTGAGGATTTTCTTCTTCCGACATTAATATCTTAAGACGTTAAAAATAAATTGAAACTCACTCGCGCATTTCCCATCCGATGAAGCTTTCATGGAAACACAAAAATTTAGGATTATCAAGAAGAGAGAAGTGTTTCAATATCAATTTCACACACTTTAATTGTTTATGTTAGTTCAAAGGAAAGTTTTGACATAAAATAAATTGATTCCAATTATAAACATTTCACAAACCTTGACGATTAATTGAATTCCCCAAAATATTCTTGGAAATTATGCTTAGGTTAATGAAAGTAATGAATGATTAAGAAATCAAATTACAGATTTAAGTTTTGGTTTTGTGATGCTGACGCTAATGTTTCAACAGCTGTCAAGATTTATGGTTAGTTCGTGTGCTCATTATGTAACAAAACTTTCTTATTGCTGAAGCAAAACTTTTGACCTTAGATGTGGATTAATAATATACGAAATGAGCTTGAGTGACATCAGAAAAAAGTTGGGAACGAGAATCTATTATTCAATTATCATCAGGAAAATTCAGATGTTGAAAGGAATTTCATTGTCTTGTGGACAAAATTTATCATTCGGTGGATAATCCTGGATGTAATTTTACAATCCCCTAAAGAAGAATTTTATTTACAGAATCTCCGACATCCAAACATTGCATTTCTGACCTAAATTGGATTTTTTTTCGTTCAATTTTATTTAAAGTATTTATTTACGTCGAATGAAGTTAAATTAAAATTCCCAGGCCACACTATGTTTGCTTTGAGCACTTTTTATTATCTCGTTGAGCTTATTCATTTTTCCTTTCACACGCACAGGTAAAAGAACTCAACTCAATGTAATCATACCCTTGGGCGTCATTTCTTCCGCTTTAACATCGAAAAACGATATAATCTTCCCTCCCTTTCCATTAACCTTCCTCTTACATTATTGACACGATTTCTATTCATTCTTGTTTTTTTATCGATTTCTGAATTAGTCGGAACGAATACAAATCACATCCAAAGCAAATCGATTGCGTGCAGATCAAAAGTCTTAGCCCTTCAAACAATGATTTGTTTTCTCAGTGTTCAGCTGATGTTCATATGATTGTTTTATCTGTTAATACCAATCCAAAGCCTAGCCAAACAACGCATCACATTAAGAGCTTTAGGATGACAGCTTCTTGTTGTCACTTCTGTCCATAATTGTTCAAACAAAAGCCAAATGGTTAAAAAAGCGGATTAAAGCAGATTTGGAATTTTGTGATTTCCGCTGGTGTGTTTTTGAAATATGCGGGAAAAAAGTGTCGGGAATTGTCAGTTTCAATTAATGTAAATTAATAAAAAGTCACTTCGAGTTGTCAATTAATTTGAAAACTAACTGCAAATTGTTCAAGTTCAAATTCCACCTTCTTAATTATTTACTTAAACAGAAAAAAGTTTTCTTATTTTTGGTTTTACTTGAATAAAAGTTCATTTCAATGTCAATTAAATGAGAGAAGAAAAAGTAAATTTGACTCTAACACTATGTCCTCCCACATAAATAAAACATTTTCCTCCTATGTTGCTTAGCTGCAGTGTCGACCAATTAATTTGAAAGCTTTGTTGACATTGTGTCTCGAAAAGCATAAAAACCGACACTTCCGTTCTTAAAATAATCCTATGAAGAAAACACGAAATTCAAATTGATGTAAATGACTTTGAAAGCAATTAAAATTAGAATTTGTTTGCATTTTAACAAAAAAGAAGAAAAGAATTAAATTCAGAAGCAGCAAAAGCTTTTTTTAGTAATTAATTCTAAAGCTTGTATTCGTAATCCTTTCAGGTAGCCGAGCATGTTGAAGCTCTTTTGAAGTCTCCGAAGCATAGAAAGAACGATTTATGATAACAACACTCATGTGAGATCGTTAACGAAACATTTGTGTAATTTCCACAACACGGATCGCCACTTCTGTTCGTTTGAAGCTTTCACTGACTCTATTTAGCGTTTTTCGGATGGAATGTTTTGTGGTTCTGCTTTCAGTAAATACTTATGAGAGTTTCACTTCTACTCTTTCATGATGGATAAAAATTCGAAGGATTTTCATTGAAATATCGGGAAATGATTCTCCTAGGATTTATCTTAAAAATTCTTGATATGAACAAAAGCTTCAACTTTATCTTTCAAGTAGATTCTCTTCGAGAATTCTATGCTTGCCCCCGATACATATTATAACAAAAGATTATTCAGACTTTAAAATAAATCCAAAAAAGCTTAGGTGGAACTAAAATTGAGACATCATAGTGTAACAATTGTATGAACCTCTCTGCGCATAATACATAAATAAATTACACAACATCGCAATCTAATTTATGCTTCGCAAATATGTATATACAATGGCGAATGTTTTATGTTGGGATTATGCAAATGACAATGTGCTTTTTGATTGCGACTTTCGCTCACTCGTCCCGCATCACGCAATCTTTATGTTCATTGTTGCGAGAGATTTTCGTTTCACAAAAGCCTGATTAAAGCTCAATAAAAATTGATGCTACTTTTAAATAGCATTTAAGCCACGCTAATGGCATGGAAATGTTTTTATGACAGAAACTAATTATTTTTTGGTTTTTGAACTTGAATTGAAAAGTTTCATCAGAACATTTAGTGTAGGAATTAAAACTTTTGCTTTTAAGTTCATGAAAAAAGTTCATTTATTAGCTTTGAAATTTGTTTTTGGTGAAGCCGACAACTAAAAATATTTAATGGAGAGATTAATTAGTCAGAAATAAGTGAACATCGTAGCTTAACAACTTAATTCGAAACATTGGTATTCTAATTCAGACATTTTTTATTATTGTTATCGCTTATAAAAGTTAAAACTACATTTAGTAAAAAATGAAAGAATTTTAATGACTAAAGTTAAAAATAATTTTCTGATAGAATTTTGAATAGGGAAAGAGAATATAATTTAATAAATCTCAGCATAAATCAAATCAGAGCTAATAAGCTTTTCACGCTTATTTGGAAGTTTGTAAAAGTTTACAAGAGTTTCCTTAAAACTTTTCGTCTTTTCTCGATTGTTGAATTGGAAATTGAATTCAGTTTGTAGAAAGTTTTGATTTTGAAAAGTTTAAAGCAACATAAATTGAGTAAAGTCATCTTAAGTTCTGAAATTCGTAGGCTCCTCGCATTTCTGATTAAGAATTACGTTTTCAACGTAAGACAAAGCGACTGCCTTATTAAAGTAAAGTTTTTTTAAACAAACACAAGAACAACAACTGTCCTGCCACTCTCAATCTTGGCAATTAAAAATAAGAACTCGCACTAAAGAAAACTTTTATTATTCTCCTCCGACCATCAGAAAATAAACAAAAGAAAAAAAAGTCTTTCATTTCAACAACGTTTTCAAGAAGTTTCTTACAAGATAATCAGAAGAGAAAAAAGTTTATTTAACTGCCACTCAAACAGCTCCACTTTAATGTCGATAAAACTTCAGAATCATTTGAGAATTTTAAAGAAACATGAAGAAAACTTTATTCCCATCTGAACACGCCTCAAAAACTAAACTGCCACAGTTTCCGAATCCCTTTCGGTCCTATTTCAAAATTTATTTGAATCGATTAATCAAATTTATTTGGGAAATGATTTTCACTCTCTTTCTCTGTCTATTTTATACACACATCCGAAAATAAATTTATTTCTTCACTTCATATTTAGGGATCTTTTTGCTCGGATGTAATAAAATTGATGCTTTTTAAGCACTAAACGATAACATTTATTATGTTTTGTATCAACAGATTTCACTGCGTGTGCTGATGGATTTCTCATTGATAATACTTGATGAGAATTTTCCTACGCTTACTGACATTTTACATATCGTTTTCAATTAATCGATTTATGTATTTACCAACGCCACCGCTTAAAAGGGTCGCGTCTCCTTCATAAATATTCGCGGTTTAACAAGAAAAAAAAGGGAAAATTACACAACAGGCTGTTGTGGTGCGACTTAATGGTGTAATTTATGATACGAATTTATTTTTTTTCGCTCTTTCAATTTTAAAAATTCCATTCTCGCTGAATCATTTCTAATCCTTACCCGTGTAACTCCATCAATTTCATTCTGTTCCATCATTGTTCGGATACGTTCTTTCCCTCCAACAACTCACGATTCGACGAATCGTCGGAAATTTATTTATGGAAACTCAATTTATGCTTCAACTCGATTCTCAACCACCTCTTTTTATATTTAATATTTTTTTTGCGCTTCTTACGCCTTACACACACTTCAAACTGTGATCTTTACTCACAAAAAGCACTCAAGAGACGAAACCGCGCGAAGAAAATTATTGGCTTTAATCACTCGTTAAAAATTCCATTACCAGACGTGGTGGAGCGTGACTTGTCGAAGTTCCCCACCTGATTGCCATTCCCCACTTTTCACTTAAATCCTTCGAAACATTCTTCTTTGTTTGCACGAGAAAATTGTTCGTAATCGGAAGGAATAAATTATAAAGCAACAGGAATTTTCGGAAATATTTTATCGTCGTTATCAGATGTGAAATGTTGAATCAAACTAAGTTAGAATCAACTCGTTATTAATAAATCGATTTTCTTTGTATCTTTATTCCATTTATCGAGTCAGTATAAGACGAGTCTTCGACTTCGCAGCTACAACACACCACGGAACAATAAAAACTGAGTAATATTTCCTTTTTCCTTCAGTCAGCTTTATCAACACACAAAATTACCGACAAAAAACGGAAAAATTTTATGAGGAACTTTCATTCAATGTAGCAAAGCGCTCAATTCTTTCCAGCACCACAGAGAATATGTTGACTCAAATCCAACAAAACAATTTTTACTTTATGAGAAACTCGCGCGAAAAAAGGAAAAGCGACAAGCAGTCTATGAATTTCCTTCAGCTTTGAAACAACGACGACAACACGACAGCCAAGAACTGCAATATTTTGAAAATATTTACATCGCTGACTGGAAATGTTTTACCCGGTGCATCATTCCAAAGCTTTTTTCCTCTCTAATGGAAAATTTGCGCATGTCTAATAATAAAAACAACTTGTTAGAACTTTCTTTCATCAGCTGGAAACACAATGAAAGAAAAAAAAACTTTTTCATGTGATCATATCCAGGAAAATGCTTTGCAACAAGTATCTAAGATATTTTTTTTTTCTTAACTTCGGGTTTATGTTTGATTGTTCAGGTAGCGAAACCTTCTCGAAGCGTAACTTCTTCTCCCAACCCGGTGTAGTCAAAAAGTTTCTTTTATACATTTATTACGCTCAAAAGAAAAATCAAAAGGATTAAGAACGCAATTCTTTCATGGTGCTTAACTTTCATTCCATCCGAAGTAGGCACGCAACCTTTTCCTTTCTTTTTTTTCCCATTTTTTCATATTCTTCTTCCTTTGCCTTTGTTACTTCCCCATCTGAGTAATTTGAATCGGAAAACGAATAAATCTTCTTTAATAAGTTGGGATGTGGATGCGGATGGTGAGTGTTATAATGAGGGATGATTTGGGAAACGAAAGAAGTTAATCAAAGCAAGTCAGTTCTAACGACTGTGTCATCATTTTGAAAGATTTATTTTATTCAAAGTTTAATTATGGGAAGTTCCTTTTGAAATTGAAAAGAAAATACAAATTATATCCATTCAGATATCTGACTAGGGTTTTTTTTGAATAAACTAAAAAAGTTTCATGACAAAGTTTTATCTCAGAAAAAGGAAAACTTTTGAAAACTTTTGAAAGCTCGAGTTAAGCTCAAAAGCCTTAATAAGATTTGTTAACATTTTTCTTGAAAAATTTATTTTAATGAAATTTATGCTTCGATAACGATAATCAGCATGAATTACTTAAGTGTACAGAATATTTACATTTTAACATCCAATTAATTTTTCACGTTACATCATTTCTTTCTTGTTGAAATTCGTGGTTTTTTAGCATTTCATGTCGAGTGTGTAAGCGGTTCAGCATAAATTCAGAAACATAAATTATTTTGTGAAGAGGCTTAAGAAGGATTTAAAAATATTTTAGCAATTAAAAAAGTCTTTTGGACGGTTGGCTTACGATATTTATGGTTGCTTTTGCAATTATCTGTTGAGAGTTTATTCTTCAGCTTATAATTCATTTGCCGGAAGAAAAATCCTAAAGATGCGCAATAATAAAAAACCATTGGATTGTTTATCTCTTGCTAGCATTCAATGAAATACGAGAAGGAGGCGAAAACGACACCAAATAGAATTCCATATAATCTGCTTGTGTGCCTGCGTTTCGTAATTTGATGATAATGAATGAATAAACTTATTTACAGTGAAAATATTACTAAAGCTTTTATCCAAAAGGAAATCTGTTGAACAGGAAATTTATTTCTTTTAGGGAGGATTAAGACCTGAATTGTTTAAGAGTCTTCTTCTTAATTACAAGAAAAATAAACCTTCATGTCTTCACAGTCTTTAATTTATTAGGCTCATTTCTTATGAGGTTTGATTTATAGTCATGCATATGATGAAAAGAATTTATAAAGTGTGGGTGGAAGAAAATTTTGCATGTTCATGTCAAAGATACATGCGATTAAATCATAAAATGCTCCAAGACTTCAACACTTTTGAAACATTAAAACAAAAAGTTGAACTTTCTGCACTTCGAATAGCCACAAAGTCTAGACGTAAATGTTTGAAAAAGTTGTTGAGCGGAAATCCAAGCTTTCGTCCGATAACTTTGTAAAAAAAATCTTTAAAGTTTAAACTTTCTGTGAGCAATACCACATCGTATTTGTTACTGAAAACGAAAACTTTAATGACCATTAAAATTTCTAATGAACACGAACATGAAAGAGGTCAGGAAATTTCACACAGTCATGACAGTATTTCATGAACATTTGAAGAAAATGTCTTTTCCGAAGGATTTGTATGCTGCAAATATTGTTTAATATAAAACGTTAGAAATAAGTTAATTTATTTTCAATTACAAATAGCCATTATTCAATTTCTTAAAACAACACCACAGGAGAAAATCGTCAGGAAATAAATTTCCTTTCATTTAAATAATTTTCTTCGATTAGACGGTGTTAGAAAAAAAAACTTTTCTCTGCTTGCATGGAAACCCTTCGTGAAGACTAAAAAATAAAAAATAACAAAAACATTTTCGTTTTTTGTTAGAATTTCTGAGCTTAATTCTATTAACGGGCCTTCGTGATTTCTTTTATTAAGTTATTTACTACTCATAATTCTTGTATTTCCTTGACAGTCACCACCATCAACGAATTCAAGGTCAAATCTGTCTTTACAAAAATGGATGTTGGTGCGCAGAGAAAAATAATTTCGTTAAAAAGAAATTGTAAGGTTTCAAAATCAATTCGCCCTTCAGATTCAAATATTTTTAACGATTCTTCAATTCGCACCCACATCAAGTATAAGTTGCGTGTTTTCCACTTCACTTCGAATCGAATTGCTTCTTCGTCATTGTGGTTTTCTTTTCCTTACTGACAATTTAACATCAAACATATTTACCGGTGTTGATTTCTTTATAGGATTACGCATCTTTTTATAAAGCCTGAGAAAGAAGTTAAGAAGAACCTTAAGGCATGTTGAGAAAGAAAAAAATGTTTGTACTTAAAAGCTTTTACCATTTTGCGAAAGCCTCTTCATTAACCCTCGCCAAAAGCTCTTTTTGCTCCATCTTTTGAAGTTCCTTGAATTGCTGTTGTTGTTGCTGCCTAAGCTGGATATACTTTCGCTTCTCGATCTCTTCCTTCGAAAGTCCATAGTTGGATTTAAATCCATTATATTTTGGTAATTTTTGTTTATACTCATCGGTTTTTTTATATTGACAACACGTCTTTCCACTACTGGTGTTGCCATTTTGATCGTCACAGACGATTTGCTCTTCAATCGGATTGACTTTTGTAGGACGAAAGATTTTCTTCTTTGGCTTATCGACTTTGCATTTTATTTCTTTTTGCGATTCACTGCTGGGAACATCGAGATGTGTTTCTTCATCTTTATCGCTGATGTTATCCTCATCGTTAAAATCTTTGTTCAAATCACTTTCAACAACTTCAAGCTCTTCAATTTCATTCGCATCAATTCTTTCACAAATGTCTTCGATTTCAATTGTCGTCTCATCTACGATATTTTCTTCAATTGGTGTAATGTTAAGAGTCTCATCGTCTATGCATTCGTCATCATCTGATTCAATATCTTCCTTTCGATTAGGATCTGATTGCTTCACCTCCATTACATCTTCTGGTTCGAAATCAACTAATTTATTATCACGAAATCTCACCTTTGGTTGTGATTGTCGTTGAATGAGTTGACCGTTATACAACTCTTGATTGGCTTCTTTTATTTTCTCAATGATATTGTACTGATTACTTACTGGTTGTAAGACTTGCGAATGAATAACAAGCATGAATATTATGAAACAATGAAATGAAAGTTTACTCACAATACAGAGAATCATCATCGCTGTCGTCTGAAAATTGCGACATTGACTTGATTGTCGATCAAACCTTTTCAGTAAGCAATATTTTTTTGTCTATAAATATTTATGTGCGTTTTTACTTTCGGAAAAGAAGCTTTCGACTCGCAATATTCCAATGTTTTCTTCTTTTGTTGTGATTTCAAAATTGCGATCCTTCCACTGCGACGTTCACTTTAATTTGAGGCGCTGTTTGACTTTGCTGACGGGGTTTCCGCAAAGAATGAACAAAAATCGGGAAAACAATTTGACTTTCATGTGGATTAATATTGATTTCACGTGCTTTTCATGCACCAAGCGTTGCTTTGGACACGAATTTATTACAATAAAATTATTTCCTAAAAGAAAAAAAACACAAGTGAAGAACAAAACAACATCACAGCGAGGGTTGAATCCGCCGCATGGCATGACTTCTTACCGAGTTCTTCATGAAGAGAAGACATGACTGTAGTGGATTAAACACTTGATATGTTGCTGTTCATTGTTAGGTAGTAGCAATGAATATACTTTTTATATGGTGTAATTGTTATTGATCAAGCCATGTTTTATTGCAAAATATATTTGCATAAGATTGTCATTTTATATTTCAGGAAATTCCATGAAACATGTCACGGTGTTGTCAAGAATTCAAATTTTCCACTTGATAGAAAGAAAAATGATGAAACTTTGTCTATCTAGAGAATTGCACAAGTCATGTTTGAAAGCAATAACATGTAAGGAAACATTGTAGTGGAATTTTATAGTTTAATGTCTCGAACCAACAAAAAATGATCCTTCACTCTTTTTCTAGACATTGAGAAGTGAGGAAAGAAGCAACCAAGATGACATTTCATATTTTTGTCGTGTCAAAATATTTGTTATAAAATTGTTTACACATTCCAGATGAGGCTTGGGCTGCTTGAAATATCAAACAAACAGGATATTGAAAAATTTAAAATTACTTTAAAATTGATGAAAAATAATTTTCAACTTTATTCTGCAATAAATTTAATAAAATTTTCAATAATTTTCTGTGAAAAACGTCTCTGAATATTTAGAATTTAAATTGCATTCTGAAAGTGTCGTCGATTAAATCACCAGCTGGGATAATCCAAAGTAAATAAATTAAAACTGAGAGAAAGAACATTGAACTCAGTGGCAAGTGAAATAAAAACCCTGGAAAATTTTGTAATAACTTGAAACCTCCTCCGCTCTCATTGATTAATTTCCGTTGGAAAATTAGCATAATCCGCTTTCTTTAATTTAACTTTTCCTTTCTTTGTGAGTACTTTAAGCTAGTGGAAAGAGCGTCAGAAGTTGACAAGAAACAAGGAAGGGAAAGCTGAAAAGGAAGACAAATAGAATCTTGACTAATACAGTAATTCTCAACCTTTACCAACTGACGTCACGATTGATGTCTAAATTTCTTTTTCTCTGAAATATTTGAATTGAAAACCACAGATTAAGCATCACTGATAAATAAAAAGACTGGAAATAATTACTTTTTATACATAAATATATTTTACTTTGTTTTTTTTTATCATTTTTCATCATTATATTGATTTAGAGTTTTCCGTCATAATAATTCAGTTTCATTGTGTTTTCACTTTTAATTAATTATAAGAGTAATCAAAAATTCTTTCTCCTTTCATCATAATTTTTTTTTCACTTTTTTTGGGATTTTCTCATCCATTTTTTTCTTTTTCTTATTTTCTCAAGATTTAATGATAGATTTTAATATGTTTTTAGTCAATAGTAATGATTCCTTCATATCTCTCCACCAATCATGTGGTTGTCATAAAATATATGTATATATATATAAATGTATTATAGTTAAATTAAAAATCCACCATTTGGACATTTATATAAATGGATTTTCTTTTTGTGTTCCGTTGCTGATAAAATTTTATTATAATTTTTTTGATTATTTTTATTTTCTTTTAAGATCTTAGTAATCTACAAGTATATTGAATTTTTTCATTAAGAATATAAATTTTATCCCATCCATCATCATTGTTTAGCTTTTTGTCCTATAACATTCATTGTATCATTGCGATTCATCGTTCAAATTTCCATGAAAAGGAAAACTTTCTACAGATAATGAAGACGAAAAACGTTCGTCATGTATTTTAATGTTAGGAAAACTTATCGAAATACAAAATTAAAATAGTTATTTAGATATAAAAAAAAGAAAGGAAATTTTGGCCATAGCGGATTTTCCGCAATAATTTCCAGAACATTCATTTTTATGCTTAGAAATATTTTTAATCTAAAAGCTTTCATTTTTCTTTGTCTGGCGAGTTTTCAGATAACTTTTTCCACCCGTCACCGGAACTTTCCTGTGGGATATCATTCTTTGTGTACCTTTCGACGAGAATGATTTTTAATGCTAGATTTTAAATTCCATTAGATTAATTTAAGCATCGGTCATGTAAAAAGTTTATTTAGTCTTAAATTTTCCATCATAAAAACTGCTCTAAGTTTCATCTTCATTTTTTTATAATTTTTTCCGCTCATTGCATCCATTTTAAAGCGTTCAAAAGGAACCGAATTGAATTTTATGCTTTCATATTTTTCATCTGGGCAATTTTCCTAACTGTAATTGTGGAAAAGCTATAGAGAGAATGAAATTATAAAGTCGACCGAAAGTTCTTAATCGACGTAGAATTAAATGTTTCTACCCCTGTAAAGTTTTATGCATGAGTTTGTTTCATATCTTTTTATTCGTAGCGATCATTTAATAAAATTTTCATTTTTATTTTGCTTCTTATAAGTTCATTGGATTTCGGTTTCAAAATATTAATTTCATGAAAAGCTTGACGAAAATTCAGAATAAAACTTTCTTCGGCTAATGTTAAAAGCTTGAAAGGAGCAAGCAAAGATTACATTTCATTATTGCAATGTACAAACATGTATGGATACATAACTTCTTTTCAAACAAGCAAAATATTGCACAAGATTCTTCAACAGTTTTTGAAAATTTCTTGAATTTTTTGATCAAGTTTAGTTTTTACATTCAAAAGAAGATAATGGAATAAATTTTTCAAAGATTTTTGTATACAATTGAATGTATTTAATTACATGAATATGTAAAGCTCTGAATCTCTTTCCAATCAAAGGCATGTACAATATAAAAATCATATTAAAAAAATATAATTGCAACATTTTTTCTGCTTAAAGCTTTTAACTTATAAAATAATTTATTATTTTCATTTATTTCTTGGACTTGCAATGTTTCGACTTCCATAATGGAATAAAAAATAATTAAAATTCTTTGCTTGCACAGCGAGACTTTATTTTTCATCCATTGCTCGCTCCTTTCATATTGAAAAGCAAAGAAAATAAAACTTTAAGCTTCATATTTTTATGCAAATCGTTTCTAATCATAAATTGTGTTTATTTATTTTATTCAATTAGCACCCTCTAGATATTTTACTTGTAAAAAATGTATTCTTGTAGGTTCTTGTCTAATAAATCATTTTCTTTCTTTCTTGTTAATCTTAAAGGTATTAACAATAAACATATAATAATATTGATAATAGATCTCTAGCTAAATGAAGATGCTTTCATTTTTTTTAATTTGATTATAAATCATATTTGCGGCTTTTTCTTCTCATCGACATTCACTTCCATCGAAATGATGATTCAAGTGCCTGAATTGAACTTACTTAATCTTCCAATTTCACGATATTCAATATCAAAACAAAAAATAAAATAAAGCGAATAAGATAAAAGTCTTTTTATAAAATCCTTTTCCTTATTCTTTTTATCGTAAACGTTTCTCTATCTTCTTCTTCTTCTTATCTTGTTTGTATAAAAATATATCTTTAGACAACTTTTTCTTCTCTTCCTTAATCTTCCTGAATGTAAATAGAAAGAAAGGAGACTTCGTTTAGCTTCTGAAATCATTCGGAATTTTTTTCCCTCTTTGTCATCTTAAAGATGTTTCATTTAATGCTTCTTTATCGAATTTCAGTTTTTGTGGGTGGTTTTATGGCAGACAATTTCATTACATTTTTTTTCCTCATCATCAACATTGCAGGGTAAGAAATAAGAGAATAAAAAAAAGGTGAAAAGCAGTTAAAGAGAAGAAAGAATTTTCTTCCAGTTATTACACAAATAAATCTTGTTTTTGTCAAATTCACGACAAAACATCAACTCATCATTTCAACGTTGAGATTAAAAGCTTTGAAATCATCAAGGAAATTTTCTTATTTCTTTATGAAGTTAATACAATAAAAAGTGTTAAAACAAGACGAGAAAGGCATTGGAAAAGGCGATAATGTCCATTTATGTGTGTGTTTGTGTGTTTATGTGACAGTTTAATACTTTTTTCTTAAATGCAATGTTGGTATCAAACATGAAAAAAAAACATTTTCAACGTCATTGTAAATAATTTTTCATTTTTTCTCATTTCTTTACAAAATAAACAAAAATCATTGGAATGTTAAATTTCATAATTTTCTCATATTCATGTGACTTTAGGGATAAATTGTAATTGTTTATGACGGCATACTATTGGAACGTACATTAATATATTGTTTCATGTCCACCAAACGATTCTATTTCTGTTTTCAACCTCAGGTAACGTTTTAAATTGTTTAATTTGCATTTCTATTTCATCTGTCTATGAAAGCTTAAAGTTTTCTTTTGTTTCTGAAACAGTTTACTGGAAAATGAACAGATTGGTATTTAAATGACTTAAATAAAGTGTTTCGTCTGCGTTCAGGGTTGAAAGAATCCGCAAGACATAAATCTTAGAAAAATCAACAAAAATTAAATTCTTTGAGAAGATTAAAATGATAAAAGATACAATTCTGGATTATGGAAGCTTTGAATACTGAACATTAACTATTTAAATTTATTTCTTTTAATATATGTTTTGCTTGTGTGAGTGTATGTGTGTGTGTGTGTTTGCAATATTTATAATATTATTAAGTTATAAATCGCATTGTTAGTGGATTATTATACTTTAATTTCTTCTTACATGGAATGTATGCTTCTTGGAAAACATTTTACACAAAATGACAATAAAAATATCTATTGAAGTTCATCCCACATGTTGATCATTGATAAATGATTATTTAGTACACAAATCATTATTCCGGGAAATATTATTAGTTACTTCAGTTATCTTAAACTTATAATAGTTAATAAAGAACAACAAAAAGAAATGAATGACGTTGACCTGCATTGAGACACGATGATAATTGTTGGTGGTGCTAATTTTTACATTTTTTTTTTCGTCTTAATGTTGAATTTAAAAAAAGAAAAACAAGAAAAAAACATAGAAAAAAAATCATTTTCTTATTTATGCCATAAGAAAGTGAAGAATGCATCCGACAACAACCGCAAAAAACATAAAGCCGAACCAGATGATGATACTTTCTTGCGTTACCGACCAGTCTTTGCGATTGTAAAAGAATTCACGAATTGTATTGAGTAATTTAAGGAACAGACTTTGATTAGCATTAACGACTTCGTTTGTGCTTACGTCAGTTGAAGTCGAGTCAACCGTTGTTGATTCATGAACTTGGTGATGATGATGCTTTTTATTTGATGCTATTAGAGATTGAGCTGATGAAGCTTTCGTTGATAATTTTGCACCTTTTCTAGAAGATCCGACATTTTGGCTGGAAATAATTGTCGTTGTCGTTCCACTTCCACCATGTACAGGTTCTGCTGACTTAGGAAGTTTATAATGAAGAGCGGGTGAAGTTGCGCCATGAACATATTCGAATGTGACTGGTTTCACTGGTTCCTTCTCATCATCAGATTCATCGTCTGACTCATCGCTGCTTCTTTCACCATCAACTTCATCATTCTCGTCACGAGATGACGCCCGTGTTGATGTTGAACAGTCTGATGTGGTTCGTTTTGATCTCATCACACGAACAGGAATAACACGGAAGCTATAATCAGTGTCGTATTCAATGCAATCAATTGTAAATCTTGTATCCGATCCGCGGTAAATCTAAAATTGAGAGAGGAAAACAAACAAAAGTTAGAATTATTTTCACCACAAACTTTTTCACCACATTCACCACAAAAGTATAAACTCACCTCGTCATATGAAAGATTTTTATTATTTCCATTACTACCAGATGCTGCTAATGCTTTCTGAAGAATATACTCGATGGCATCATTGAAATGATTATTCTTACTATGCTGCCACTCAACCGTTAATGCTGGAAGTGCATCAACATGCGATTCATTTGTACCACTGTTAATCAGCGGAAAATTTTCAATGCAACGAATAATTTTCACTGTATTCGGTTGCGCTGCTTGCGTCTTAAAGAGATATTCATCCGACCATCCACCAATGCCAGCATGTTCAGTTTGTGCACATATGCGGAAAGCATAAACTGTCGACTCGTGAAGTTTTTGTACTTTAATGGAGTTTCTTGTGCCAGCATAAATATTTTGAAAATCTTTCGATGAACTTTTTATCTTCATGTCGACCTCGAAACGTTGGAAGTCCATGAGATTAGCACTCTTACTCGATATTGTTGCTCCATCATTTCCCCATTTCAACTTCAATGAGTTGTACCCATATTGAATACATTCGAGACGTGGTGCCTTTGGTGGCAGAGGTTTTGTGGTAATTTTATGTGGTTGCGTAAAGGCACCAGCACCAATATTATTCACAGCCTGTACTTTCACCTTATACACTTGTTCAGGAACAAGTTGTTCCACCAACATATCTGTTCGACACGATTCAATAGTCATTTGACGATCACCACATTCCAAAACATAACTGATTATTGGATCGCCATTTGATTCCGGCTCCTTCCAATATAAATGACATGTACTTGATGTAATGGCAAAGAGTTCGGGCAAAAGTGTTGGTACACCAGGCACAGCTGCTGGTGTTTTATGACAAACTGTTGTTGAATTTGGACTTCGACCAGCTGCATTAACAGCATGAAGACGAAAATAATAATTTGTGAATGGCAGTAGACCTTTCAAGTCAGCAAATGTTTCAGTTCCATGATAAACAACACTAAATGCATCTTCTTCTTGCTTTACCGAACTTTCAAGCTTGTAATCTAAGATTGGTGCTCCATTACATTGTGGCTCACGCCATTGTACAAATAAATTTGTTGATGAACGAATTTGAACATCAGGCGCAAGTGGCTTTGATGGTGGAGCTGAACCAGCACGAAAACAAAACTCTTCCGACCATTCACCAGCACCAATACGATTCACAGCACGAACGTGCGTCGTATAGGATTCACCTGGTAAGAGATCCTTTACAACACAATATGATTCCTTTCCACGATAAGCGACCACACGTTGCTTCGTCTTCTCAGCACCATCATTTAAAACACCTTCAAGTTCCAATTCATATTCAGTAACTGGTGCACCACCTTGATAATGTGGTTTTTCCCACTGAAGTACGGCTGCATATGGACCAGGAAGATTACTATAATAAGGAGTTTGCGGTGGATTTGGAACGATCGCTTCAGTTGTTATCGTACATGTATCAGATGCATTACTTAATCCACCTGGTCCCTCACATATCACACGAACTTGATATGTTGTACCAGGACTAAGACGATCACAAAGCGCTTCTGTATGCGCTCCACTGTAAACTCTCTCGAAAATTGCACCCGAACTGATCTCAAGATGATATAATTTTATATCAGCACCACCACGATCATGTGGCGGATCCCATTTTACTTTGAAATTATTCGCATGAATTTTTCCTTTTACTTGTGGCTTTGATGGACGTCCCGGTTGTTCTGGATGTGTACTTACAGTGATTTCATCACTCCATGCTGATTGACCAGCTTCAGTTTTTGAGCTTAAGCGAAATTGATAAGCAGTTGCACGTTGAAGTCGTGAACATTCGTAGATAATTTCCGGTCCATAATAAACATTCATGTAACCTTGTGCACCTTGATTTGTCATTTGAAGTATGAAGTCACCATCTTCACGTCGGCGATGCCATAAAAGTGTAATTGATGATGTCGTGACATTATGAACTTTTGGTGGCAATGGTTGTGATGGTGGATAACCGTCAGTTACATATGAAACAATTTCAGAATAGTCTGAACGTCCACATTCATTTACCGCTGCTAATCGGAATGTATATCTTGTTGCTGGTGTTAATTTACTCACCGTAAATTGTTTACTTTTAATCTTACATAATTCATTAAACGTATCTCGATCAACATCAGTACTCATCTCAAGAATGTAATGAATTATATGTGAGCCATTATCAACTGGTGCATTCCAACGTAATTGAAGTGAATTTTTGTTTTTGGCGAGAACTTTTGGTGCTGTTGGAATATCAGGTTCACGTGGTGGTGTTTTAAACAAAACTGGTTCAGTTGTTTCACCATGAACATCATCAAGATGTGCTGCAAGACAAACGTGATATTCTTGACCAGCTCTCAAGTCTTGAATGCGACATGAAAGATTTGTTCCACGAAAGATTGATTTATATTTGCCATCTTTGCCACGATCACCTAATAGAATCTCATAGCGAATATCGTTGGTGTTGAGATTATTTAAGGCATTGTCGGTTGTTTGTGTTGGTGCTGGTGGTGCTTCCCATGTAATGAGTGCTGTGTGTGATTGAATTTCCTTAACGGTTGGCGATTCAACTGATGATAAGAAAGTTATGATTTGTTGAAAATCATCTTCTTCATCAGGCACACTCGATGATTCTTCGCCATCATCACTCGTTCCAACTGATGATGCACCACCACCTGCTGAATTCGTTCCATTTCGTTGTAATGTTCGACGAGCGACACTTGTTCCATTCAGATTATCATTATTCTTGTTATTGTTATTTCTCGTTGTCGTCGTTGTTGATGTTGCTGTTGTGGTTGTCGTTTGGGAATGAACTTGATTATTAGCGATCGTTTGATTTCGTGACTCAAGCTTACGTATCATTTTGTCATATTGTCTCCTCGCTCTCTCATTATTTTGATAATTATTATTATTACTAATGTTGTTGTTGTTATTAATGCTGCTGCTGCTATTGGAATTGTTGTTGCTACTGTTATTGTTGTTGGTGCTATTGTTGCTATTCGGTGGCGATGGCGAATGAGATATCTGCTGTTGTTGAGCTTGTTGTTGATGATTCATTGTTGGATATAATTGATTTGTTGTGCCGGGTGTTTGATTAGGATTTGTTGGTTGATAACCGGAAATTGGATTGTAATAATGTGGTGTTGATCCGTTGGCAGTTATCTAAAATAAAAGAATGAAAAAGAGGAACATTTTACATTAGTCGACGTCATCATTAAACATTTGAACAAATAAAAACATCTAGAAATGAAATTGTCAGAAAGAAGAAATAAGTCAAAAGCTGAAGCTTTTTATTATTGTGTTACTCGTGTTACTTAACATTCAACGGAAACACGATAAGATACGGCTCATTACTTGGAAAGCGTTTAAGAGAGAGGGAGAGAGAGGAAAATAAAATGTATTTACAGTTTTTCCGGTAAATTACAAGTTTTTTTTGCCATAAAAAGAGATTTTTCTTCTTTAAATAAAATCTATTTGGCGTTGTTAAACAACTCACGTTGAGCTTCAGGGTGAAACGAATCAAAAGATGAATAGAGAGAACAAAATGCAATTGTGAAAAATTACTGAAACTTATGACGTGTTGAGAAAGTTGCTTTGAAGACAGAAAACTTCATCATGAAATCACCGAAACGAGATGAAATATCTCGATCAACAACAGTTGATTTTAAAACGACTGATCTACTTTCCCAAATAATAAAAAGCGCATATCTAACCCACCAGACAAGAGACGTGCCTCTCATCAACCAAACGCAATTATTCCTGCGTAACGATTTAAATTTTCTTTTTTATTTTGTTCAACTTGAAAAGTTTTCGTGTTTGCTTAATTAGGAAATGAATTATTAATTAATTGCTTAATTATTAATTAGGATTTTAGAAAATTTGAAAGACGATTGAAGAAAGACTTTTGTTTATCAATAATTTATCCTTCATTAGGTTGTTTAATGAAGAAATTAAATTGGTAGAACAATGAAGGAATTTGAAGCTTTTTCCTTTGATTGATTGACTAAAACGATTTAGTCAAACATCGAATAATTGTAAAATACCTTTTTTTCAAACTTCACCAATGTTATTGTTATTATGAGTTTTGTGATTGACTTCACTTTAGAATGATTTTCTTCTTCAATATTGTCACTTTCTCTTGAACTTGACGAAACATTCACAGCTGATAATAGACGAAGATCTTCATCAATAAAGTTCAAACTACTGCTTGTTGTACTTGAATCGTAGCCGCTTGACAATGCATACGTGGACAGTTCACAATAACGACTGTTCGTTTCCATTTCTCGTCTTTCGTCTCGTGCTGTCGAGAAAATGAGCTTTTGGTTGTATTTGAGTGTTCTGTTTTTAATTTTTTTTTTTTCGTTTGTACGCTTAATTAAAAACACAATTGGTGTGTTAACTTTTTTCACTCTCCCTGTTTCGTTTTCCTTATCGCAGCAAATAAAAAAGAATAAAATAAAATATAAAAGTTTCTTTTTGAATTGTCGTTTTAGTCCCGGCTAGCTTGATATCGCTTTGGGTGGAGTTCACCGGTGTTATCAGTGAGGAATAATTGTCTTCGTGATTTATTGCATGCAAATTTTAAGTGCAAGTTTATTTTGTCCACGATATTTGAAATGTTTTTCACTTCTCACTGGGCTGAAATATTTGTTTATTTGACTCATATCTCTCCGTCAAAACAAAATTTAATACCAGTTATTATTTTATCTCTCCACCAATACCAGAACTTTTAAGTTTTAACAAAATATTTCCAGTTGGAATTGCTGTCGAAAAGTTGAGCGCAAAAAAAAACAAAACTTTTTCCAGTTTTTTTTTTGCGGACGTGTCAGTTGATGTTTAGATTGTTCAGGAATGCGCTGTGACTACAATTTAAGTGATTCGTCAAAAAAACAATTTCATTCCAACAAGATCCAGCTAACTCTTGAATGTAATGGCACGATGAAGCGACAAAAAGTAACTGATAACTTTGCGCAGCTATTTTTTTATAACGAGCTGAATCAAATCTTTTTTTTTCTGCTTACAAAGTATAAGTAGGAAAAAAGTGATTGCCCGGTTACTTTTTAATAATTTTCTCTCGTATGTTGATTCGTTTGGGGAAAATTACTATAAATGTAACAATCCGCAACGAAAACCAAATGTTTTTGCTATTTTTGTTGATGACTGCGTTTATAACAAAACAAACTTAATAAACAAGTTTCGATTTTTTCCGACACCAAAGCACCGTTGTTTTGATTGAACTGATTGTTATTACGTTTATCATGGAATTCTTTCTTTAATTCCCTTTTTCATGTCTTGATAACACCACAAACAAAACCATAATAAATGAAAATTTTAAATCAAAACTTGAGGTCTGCTCTTCAAAGCGAGCAGTTGTGATTTTTTTTTGTTTTCCAGATAATCTTTAATTGTTTTATTGCCTTCCCTCCCATTTCACTCTATGATACAATGCATGAAAAAACCAACAGAAGATTTTAATTTCAATCATTTGTGAGCTCATCGCACGCGAGAGAATTCAGATCCAAAGCAGATGGTTTACATTATGGAAAAAAATCTCATCAGATTTCGTTATGGCTCGAAAAGCATGCAGACGTGATGGAAGATAAAGAATGCAATTTAATTAATTGCTAAAATATTAATAAATAAAAAGTATAGAATTGGGAATTTTCCTCGAAACTGCTTAGAATTCATTGCAAATTAATTCATGACTGAAATGACTTTTTAAGACAAATCATCTTAGCAATTGAAATGAATGATGTAAGTCATGACTCTTTATATTTCAGCATCGTTTATCTCCATTTGATCAATCTGTTACGAAAGACGTTAAAATATGAAAAAAAAATCTTTCTGGATTTGGACTAACATTGCTCTTTACTTTGTATAGCGCCATCTACACGTCATATTTAACAATCTCGTCTTATCCAGTTATTAGCTGAAATATGTCTAAAAGTTAGTTTTCAATGATTATCTGGTTTGTTTCTATTAGTGTCTCAATCTAAAAAGTATTTTTTCTAAGTAGATTATGACAAATTGCAAGTTTTGCTACAAATTACTTTTTTATTCTTTATTTTTATAGGTCATCAAAGAAAAGAATAAAACATAAAATGACGATGCTATTGTAAAACTTTCTATATGCTACACTAAGTATAATATTTTACAAAGTGACACTTGATATGGCAAATAAAATCATCGTTTACCTGTTGAATATGAGCTTTAAGTTATGTCTTTGAAAAACATGAGAGAAAGAGAAAGAAATTTACACGCAACAGAAATGTGTTTGTGAGGTGCTTTATCATCATTGTCGGATCTTTAAAGAATAATGAAACGTAATCACAAGCTCTATGAACATTAATATGCTGTGCATTACTAACAGACATGTTGTGGGTGCGGGATAAATTGAAATCATGTTGTAAACAGTGCAATTACAGGTCGCTCACTTATTTTTCTTTTTACATAACAAAAGAACGTTATAAAAGTTAATGATCGTTCAAAATGTTAATTCAATTAAATTATTTTTCACAACATAGCTATAGTCGAGTTGAAGACGAGAATTTCAATTCTAGTTTAAATAAGATCAAAAGTGAATTAAAATATCGTATGGATGATCTTGATAGTAAGAAAAAGACCGGAAAAACTTTTATATTCTCAGTTCTTCTCAATGTGCGCTTGTATGCGTTGAAACATGTCGTGAAATAAATGCGAGAATGGAATGTAAAGTAAAAGCAGCTTGAGTTGAATTGAATTTAGTTCATCGCATTTCTAAAGCGATTGCGAAGTTTTTTATTGAAGTATTTTCTTTCTTGCTTCCCTGTTGGGTTTTCTGAATGCCATGATGGTTTTTGCTGTCGTCAGACGATTTAATGATAAAACTCTTACAGTTAATGTCACTCGCATTAATTTTGATATTGATGAATTATTGTTTTCTCTCTCTTTCACTGTTTTGAAAGATTCAAGAACAACCAAAATTGCCACGCAACTTGCAAAAATATTTCACGCGTAACAACATCAAAAACGAGAGAAAAAATGCTTCAATACATTTTAAGAGATGAAATATAAATAATGTTGCATGATTGATGATGTTTGAATTGTTTCAGCTTGGTTTAAACAACATAAAAAGAAAAATGTAATTAGTGTGGAAACATCGAATGCAGTTTCGTCTCGTCACTTCTTTTTCGGTGAAATCTTCAGATCGAATCACGACATCGAACCGCAAACAAAGCATACATGTAGAGAAACCGTACTTTCCATACCTTTTTAAAGAGAAAATTACTTCCATTTACGGTACTTTGCGTTATTATTTACTGTACATTCGGTATTTATGCTCCGTTCGGCGTCTGCACTGCTTTGCTCTTTGCTTCTCTTGTAGCATATTTTTTCTTTTATGTTTTATCAAACTTCAGTCCGACATTTTTTCTTCGCCGAAAACTTTCAGTGAAGCGATAAACTTCCTGTCCAAATGCAAATTGAAATTTAAGAATGTCTGAAAATCTTTTTTCCCGGCAATACCAATTGAAAGTTTTTAAGATTAACAGGAAATGGAAAAAAGAAAGTTCCAGAACTTTCCACAACCACGAACATATCGAATGAAGAAAACTTTGATTTTTCTCAACATGACGAAGAATATTAAATTTCATCTCAGGTTATTTGCCTTAACAACAAGTGCAGTTTGTGTTGGCGGAAATATTATTCAGCTTTTCTTTCCATCAATGAGAAGTGTTAATTGAAATGATCATTATTAACTTTTACATGAATGTATCCACAAATATTTGAAAACTCTTTTTCGGTATTGACAAACAATGATTTGAAATTTCTCTCGAATGTTTCACTCACTTCTTGTAAGCGTATCTATTTGTAAACATTTTAATATCGCACCCAAAGTTGTCATGCTGATAATTTGCATTTCATGAATCATTCTGGAAGTTTGAAGGCGGTTGTTTACGAGTGTAGAATTGAACGTATTTATCTATCGACAAACTGAATCATTCAGTTCATGTTGTCAACAATTAATAACTTTTCGTCATAGAATTGGAACAAACTCATTCAGAAGTCAATTGAAAACGACAAAACTGCTCATTGCCTACGTTTATTGCAGTTGTTGTGAGTGAGTGAGTGATATAAAGTCAGACTGTGATTAGTTCGGGCAACAGTAAGCCGGATATAAAGACGCAAAAAAAGACAACATTTCACGTCACAAGCACACCGTTACGGAATATTAATTCAAGTACATTTCTTTTTCCTCTTTTGTGATGCAAACATTTTAACTCGTAAGCTATTTTTATGTTCTCCTCACGCCTTAAACTGTTCCACGAATCAATGACTAATATTCATGTGACGTCAATCTGCAACCTCATTGGGAATTTCAAAGAGTTTTCATATTTGGTGCAGATAAATTTCATTCAAGAATTCTTCATCGATTCAACATTCTTAAAGAATTAAATACTTTTGGTTATTATGTCATTGATATACGCACAACTTGGCAACAAAACCAGACGAGAATGAAAAAGAAATTTCTTGTGATTGAAAATGTGTAAAAATTTTGCGATATATCAAAGAATCACGTCATCATTTAATTCACATGACAAAGGCAAATTGTTATGAGATATCAACTGAGATAGATTGAAACTTATTAAGATCTTTTGATAGAACTTAATGAATGAATGAGTGCAGACCAGTAGACCAGACAATTCAGACAACGAGGGGTGGAGTAACAGACAAATTAAGTGAAATTTTTTCCTCTCTTTTCTGAATTCGAGTAATAAATTTTTCTTTATTCATTATCTTGAAGTTGTGAATGAGTTCGTTTAGCATGCGTATGAACACATATTTCTCTTATTCTTCTTCTTTCTGTTTATTTGTTTGTTTTGTAACAACCACAACAACAGAAAGTGAGATAAAGCTTGAAATCGTTACACAATATTTAATGTAAATGAGGAAGTTCTATCAACTTCCGTGTACATATAAATCTTTCCGTTTTTGTCTTTCATTATTTGTGAATCTTCAAAGGATTCATTTCTGAATTACTTGAAAGAAAAAAGAAGAAAGTTGTTGGTGATTGTCAATGATTTTATTTGCTAGCACGCGCACAAAACAGGAACAATTTGAAACCACAATAAAAAATTAAATCAAAGTTTTCTTGTGCCAAGCATCATTTATGATTAAATAAAAAAAAATAAATACGAAAAGAAGAAACTCTTAATTGACATTTTTATGTGGTCGAGTCTAGTCGGTTTTGCAATTTCCAATTATTATTTGTTCAAGTCGGAAAAATCTCATTTTCCACTTCGAGTTCACTTCAATCACCCATGTTGCACTTAATTCATCGCAACATTTAATCATAGAATTATCTTTTAATTCAAAAAATAAAATTGTGAAGTGAATTATTGTTCATTGCTTCATGGGTGCTCTAGTTTCTTTTTTATTTATATTTCGAGCTTGACGTAGTGCACTTATTTATTTATTTACTGATGGGAGGCAAAAATGTGATGAATAGAAAAGATTTTATAATTTAAATCAACCGCAACAATGAATTGTACAAATCAATTAAATGTGGAGTACTTTGGGGATTTTATCATTTACATCTCGAGGCTCGACAAATGTCTCGTCATACATGAAAGCTCTCAAAATTTTCCACTAAACACTAAATTTCCCTTTCTAAAAATATTCTAGACACAAAATTGTGTGTGTGATGACTTTTCATTTATTTCCGGCGCATCAAAATAAAATCTACGTAATTTTAATTAAAAAAGAGATGACGTAAAGTCAGCATAACGAAATGTGAGCACGCCAAAAAAAGCGAAATTAAAAAGAGCTTCACAAATCAAATCACACAAAACAATGAAAAAAGAAGAATAAAGTTTTTTTATTTCATTGCCACATCATAATAATGGCTTCACCATTTCCAAAGAATAAATGCAAAAATTTCCTTTCAATTAACTCTCGTGCTGATTCTGAAATAACTTCACGAGAGGTAACATTGAATTTACAATATTTGGTTCAAATTTTTGTAAACAATTTTCTTCTTACTTAAATCGTCTTTTCAAAAGAAATCTGTAAATATTTACATTCGAAGAACGCCGCTTAAAGTCCGAAATGGATGAAATTTGTTTGTTGCTTTAGACTTCTTTTTTTTTGAAGATCTTTGAACAACATCTATAAAAGTTGAGTCAATCAGAAGTTTTAGTTATTCAAATCGTATTGGTAGACTGACTGTTCAAAGTTTATTAAAGATTCATGAAAAAATTGTGAAATCGATTTGACTAGAATGATATTCCAAAAAAAAGAATCAAGGATTGTTTGTAGTGACTTGGCGCCACTTTAGTAAAAAAAATAACAACAGGAGAAGAAAAAAGCCAAAAGGCGCCTTGCACTTTATAAGAAATTCATCGAACGATAAAAATCACTTCTAAACGTTTGTTGTTCTCCAAAAACAAAAAGAAATTTGCAATGGATTTGCAAGCGATTCGTTTCACTTCATTAGCATTTTTATCATCTTTAGACTGCAACAAAAACAATAGCATTTGCTTTCTGCTATTCAAAGCGTTTTTTATGACACGATTTCAGTTACTACTTGCAACAAAGTAAGGAAGGAATGATAATTCAGCAGAAAATAAAATTAACACATTGCAACTGAATGCATAACAACAACGAAGGAAAAAAAAAAAGAAAAAGAAGTTTTTAGTGTGAATCAAATGAGTTTTTAAGTACGACGGCAACCCATAAAATGTAAAGATTACAGTTACACAAAATCATTCATTTGCGTGCTTCTTATTTGCACTTTTTTTAAGTAGGGTTGTCGATTGTCAAACATGTGTAAGTATAGAAATTATCAGCAGTTTGGAGAAGAAAATTGTTGGTTATTGAAAAACTTCACGTTTTAACTTATTTTCTGACGATCACCGCAGTAGAGTCTTAAGAATAATAATTAAACTCACATAATGTCCATGAATATGATGTTGAACACCTTGAACACCGCCCTGTATTTGTTGATGCTGTGTAGATAGTATCACATGCCTCAACGTCCCATTTTCATCAACAATTTGCTGCATTACATGCCCAGGTGGAACTTGAACGGGCATTGGAATCGGTGGTGATCCACTTTGTGAAACCATTGGCACTGTTACAGGTCCTGGAATAAATTAAAATAATTTCATTGGTTAATTTTTTAAACAAAGTCATTAAAAGAATTTTTAAAAATATTAAAGCCGCAAAAAATGAATTAGAAATGCTGATTGCTGTTTTTTTTTTTATCATTTGCTGGTGTACCACAGCATTGGAATGATTTGGCTTCTGAGTTATTTCATTAAAATCAAGTTGAAAGTTATGTTAGGAGAGAGAAGAAATCACATCAATATCTGCTTTTTAAATTTCATTCATAAACAATCGTTTGCGGAATTTATGGTGAATTATAACTTTCCATTTGTTTGATTACTGCATTGCAGCCATTTCTAGACGATTGTTCACAATCGTTAGAAGTAACAATGCAATCAACGGAAATTATTTATGAAAGTGATTTGTTGCGAAACTAAAAGCTTTGAAAGCTTCGAAAGCTTTAATTAATTTTTTTAAGACTTTTATGAAGAATTAATTTGAATGCTTTTCGTGCTAAAATATTGCTGATTTTTAATAAATTTATTATGAACTTTTATATGAATTTATAAATTTTTTATGATTCTCCTTTTCAACCGAACGAATGTGTCGATTCGAACTTTACTGCAAATTAATGAATCTTGAAAGGTTTGACTGCACCCCGAAACTAGTCTTGCAGTTAATTTCCATTTTAAAATCAACCCAATTTAAATTTAATTCCTTCAAAGTGTTAACACTCTCTTGAAACAATAACATTTTGAAATTTCCTTTGAAAACGAATACAAGAACGTGATTGCTTTTTTAGTTATTCTCTCGGTGATGAAATTTACATTTCAAAATGTTTTATTCATTGATTTTTGACGGAAAATATTTAAGAAGGCTTCAGGTATAGACTTTGATATAGATTTTGGAAATGGAGATGATTTTAGCAGCATCTTAAATACTTCACATTCAAACTGTTGTTGTCAAGCCCAATGAAGAATTCAAAGTTTCTAATGAGATAAATTTGAATTCAAATCGCGTCTGATTTTATTTACTTTTTGCCCTTCATTCTCTGAAGTTTATATTCGCATCATAAAGTTCTTTCCCCTCGAAGTATTTCACTCAAGTCGACTTAACAATTTGTTTCATAATTTTCCTGCTAAATATCTCATCGCAAGGTCATTAAATTCATAATTTAACTTCTTCTTCCTATTTTTTCATTCTTTCATTTGAAACTTTTTTTCTTTATAACAAACTTCAAAGCTTGCAAATCATCCCACACATAAATTTCACCATGACCATTCCAAGTTTACCACGCCAATCCACTAAGTAGCAAATTCTGATCTTCTTCCGACTTTTTTTAATTTACACAAGACCAGCAAGAAATTATTTTTAATAACAACGAGAATTGCTGAAGGCAGTTGAAGAAAGCGGAAATTCTGACATTGAAACTCAAAAATTTTCTAAAGATCAAATCTCGGTTTTTCAACTCTGATTCGTCAAGAAATGATCAGCTGAAGATTTCTACATCTGATGATGAATTGAGATGACAACAATGAAACGTAGTAATGATTTCAACAGTCCAATAAACACTTTTAATTATAATTTTCACTGTTGGGCTTAATTAAATAATTTCCAGCTGTCGCGCTTTGCATTTTATCATATTAGATGAATATCCGAAAATATGGAAAACAAAAAGCATTTTATGAGGCTTGAAAATGGTCTATTGTTACGAAACGAGATGCTTTTCATGTGTTGCAAATGTAATAAAGACATTTAAAACCAGGCCAATGCCACAATGGAATTCTTTTTTTGCAATTAAGCAAACGAAACTTGAGATTTGAGTGCAAGTTTAAAAGTCAGATTTACAAGAATGATCTTTCGACGAACATGAAAGGAATGCAGCTGCGATTCTTAATTCGTTTCGAGTTTTTTTTTCTGCATAAACAGCAAGAACAGCAAGTCAAATGAGAATATGAAGAAGCATTTAAAATCTTAAACAAAACGAAATCCGCATAAGCAAGCAGTAAACATTCTCGACAATTTCTACGAACGTGGGGATTTTTATTTTTCGATGCGATGATGGTGACGAGAATGCCCTTGATGAAAGACTTCTTTGTTTTGCTTTATTTACTTATTATTTTGATTTGTAAACATGATTTCTTAACTTCAAAGCCGCCTCAAACCAACAACTCTTGACGCCACGGGAGCATAAAGCTGTGCAGTTGTGATGACTTCATCAACTATCAGGTTTGAGCGACAAATAAAGCGAATAATGATCGACACTTCAAATAATTTATTATTTTTGTGTTTTTTCCGTGTCATAATCATCAGATTTTATATTTTGTTTGCCTTCTACACCATCATAATAACCGAGTGAATAAGATTCGACACATGAAAAAGACGACGAAAAAGTTCAATAAACTGAGCTTCAATTTTAGACCTCAAATGGCGGAAAATGTTTTTTTTTTACATATTTGCGATTTTTATTTTATAATTTCATGTTAAAAGCTTAAACAGCTGAGGTTGTTGCTTCTCTGTCTCTTTCAGCGTTGTTGTCAGAAATAATATAATGCAGAGTCCATTGACGTCAAGCCGAGAATCGCAGAAGAATTGAAATTTCAGCAAAAAGCGATTTCTTTACTCATTTTTAAAGTGATTTGTGGACGAAATATTCAGTCACTAGAATCATCAGATAACCGGTTTGTTTGGAAGACAAATTTTGAATCGAAAGTCTTTTTTTTTGGGGCTAAAATATTAGCGAGATGAAATATTTCAGAAAAATTTCACGTTTATTTAAAATTCTAACTTCTTGTTTAGCAATTTTGTGCGCTGCTTTGCTTGCGGTCTTTCCTTCTCGTGTGCGACTCTAATGACCTTGACGCAGCAAATCTTTCAGCGAAATGTCTTCAACGATGTGTATGCTTGTGAATAAATAGAAGATGTTTATTTATGAATATGCCTTAAGTGGCTTTTGGCCTTTTCCTTTGCGCACATTTAAGATTCAAGATCATGGATGGTTCTAAACCTCTCATTTATTCTTTCATTCTTTTCCGAGCCTCCACCTCTAAATAAAAAATAAGCTGAACTGATGAGTGCTTTACGATACAGTTATGAAGTTTTTATTTTGTTTCTCATTCAACACATTCGCGTAAAACTTCAAGATGTGAGAAGTTGCACAAAGAATATTTCCAGCACTGTCATTTATTCAAAATTGTAAGTAAAAGCAGGAACGAACGATATGTAGAATTACAAATTCGATATATTAATTAGATTCACTTAAATATCTCATTTTAAATATTTTCAACTCTTCTCTCTTCTTATTTTTATTTCGCACACGCTTTGCGTATTTTTTGTTTATTGACCTCGCGCTGTCTTTCTTTCACTCTGTTAAGTTTATTTAATGTTGAATTGACAAGGTTTTTCCCCTAAGGAAGGGAATGCGGTACTGACTAGACAATTCTCGCTGATGGCTATGCTAATTTGTAGCTTTCATTCTAATAGCAACTTGTGTTTGCTGCTTAGAGATATTTAAAACATTCCAATGTGAGTGATTCACAAGCCTTTCTGGCCTATTGACATTTACGAGTAATACATTCATCGCCTCTCTAACAATTATTCAAGATTTTTAATCGAGCATTTCACATTCGTTTTTTAAATTAAAAAGAGCTTTTTGTCCCCGAAATAAAGAAAACCTTTAAAAGAATTAAAAACATAATGCAAAGTTTTTGCTATGAAAGCATGACAAGAATTTGCATTGTAATCGAAGCATTTCCATTTTTGTGAAAATGACAAAAAAAAAATTGAATTTGTTTCACTTAAAAACTCATTTGCGGTGTTTGATTCTTGTCTTTTGTTCGTTTCGTCATTAAACACTTATGATTGATATTTGATGGTGGCATTTTGTAATTGTAATTGCCTTCAAGACATATTCACGATGAAATTCATACATTTGCTCTCTTTTCATAATCGAAATCAAGGGGTGATTCATATAATTTAATAATTAAATATTTCAAACCTTTTCTGAGTAAATTTCAATTCTTTAAATGAAAATATAAAATGTCAGCTCAATATCTGATATGAGTCACCCCTTGCTCAGCATACTGATCATAAAATGACTTTATAAAATCTTGGAAAATAATTTATTTGCTCTTTGGCTGTTGTAAATATTAAGCGTGTTAAGAGCGACCAGTGATGATGATGATGGTGTTCACATTCGTGCAGTCAGAGATGGAATATGTGTATGTGGGGAGGGAATAAACGAGAAAAGAAGAAAACAACTAAACAAGGTCACATGTTTATGGCATCGGACGAGGACAATCAACTCTCGAGCTGCTTTACCAACAGCGAAATAGAAGAACAGCATTTCTACACATCCACCAAACAAACGTACATTGCTGATGTTACTTTATGCTGTTTTACTTTTCTCTTCTCTTTCAACTGCACAGTTGAACTATTTCTATCCGCTTCTTTCTCTATCCCTCTAACTCACTTACTCTACCATACTTTGATCAAAGGCACATTCCAAAGCTACTTTATCGATTTTTTTTTCCTATGTTTCTCGTTACAATGTTTATGTATGGCGGTAATTCCCTTGTTTTTTTAACGACTCTCCCTAATGCACATGCTGTTTGTTCCCCAAGTAACAACGCTCCAAGTCTAGTAGAACATCAACAAATAAACATCTGATCTATGCTCAACTCTTTTCATCATTATCGAGAAAAACGACACAAGCAGAATAAAAAAATCATTTTCACTTCTAAAAAAAGACGACCAGAAAAAAAGAAATGTAAATCATCACATGATGTAAAGCGAGATGGAACAAGACGAAGGAAAAAATTTTAAGAAAAAAGCAGATGTCGAGAAGCGCACACCCAGTCAAAGATTTATTAGTGCGGCGCGAAAGGAAAGAAAAACTCTTAACATGTGAGATGGAAAGTAGAAAAAAATCTTGCTAAGAAAAACGTTTGAATGAGTCACGATGAGTGAAGTTTCTTGGGCTTCCTAGAAGTTCAAAATCGCGTGACAGTCGTGTCATTATGACACTTTGTTTTAAGCATCGAAAAAAAGATTTTGAAGGTGAAGTCGTTGATCTTTCTCTCTCTCATTTCTTACTCATTAGTCACTAGAATAAATTTTCTTTTACCCTTGTGAAATAAAAATATTTATGGCACAAAAATATTCAACGTAAATCATTTTTTTTATCGGTGTGCACGGAATGAGTTTGATTTTCGCGGAAAGAAAATAAATATATTAAGTGAATAAATGAAGCCGATGAATAATCATTGTGAATGACTTTTAGTGGCTTGAGAAGAATTGACTTGCAATTGGCGTGGAACATAATAATCAAGAGAGGTTCTAAACATGACTCTTGACGATCCAATTTATCTTATTGAGTTCCGGCATGTGACGGCTCAAGTCACAAAACAACCTTCGAATTTCATTTGTACGACAACTTTAGTTAATAAAATATTTGAAATCTAAAGCGCAAACTTACGTTAGCGAATGAGACACAAAAACAATAAAACAAAAAGAAGAAATAAGAGTTTAACTTGATTTGTAACCTTGGCCTTTCCAAATCCGCTTTAGGGAGATTTTCTACGGCGCAAGTGTACCACAAACGACGATGAGACATGTTTGTGAATATGCGAACGGAAAAAGCTTCAAATAAAAGCGAAATTTTCACCCTCAGCAAAACAAAACAGATTGAAATCTAATTTAATTTGTTGCTAAGCTTTCCTTTTCAAAAGTGTTGTCGTGTGTGGGGAAATCCGAAGGAATTCTTTTCGTCGTCATTTAATTTACTTTTTTTTTCCCTTTAGACACTCATCGATGAAAGATTACAATCATCAAAATGATTATTTTATTTCTTTCCATTCTTCTTCTTTCGCCATCGACGTTTCAATTTGTCAGCAATTTATTCTCAATTGAGAAAATTTATCGGAAAAAGTCGATCGAAGTTGTGTGACATTTGTGGATATTTTTATATTCTCATATATTATCAAAACCATTCATCACGATTTTCGGTTCTATCCTCAAGATTAAAACATTTAAAGTTTAATGAATCACGAATAAAATTTCCAACACATTGCACAATTCTAAATAAGTAAAAGCATGCAGTGAGATAACGATTTGCTGACACAACAAGACGCCGCGAAATTTCCCCAATGAAAGTGTTTGCGATGTAAATATTTGCATCTCTAACTACGGTTTCCCTCTTATGAGAATTGAACAAGAAACCAGACACAAGCACTTCGTTACAAATCACTCGTGTACTTCAAAAAAACTGTTTAATATAAGTACACATTTTTCTCCAGTAAATTTATTGGCAAGCTTTAAAGATTACGACGATGAAAAGAAGAATAAGAAGAGATTTAATGTAAATAAAAAAATATATTTATATGTGCTTCCAAGAAATTCAAATCGCTTTTTTTTTGCTCCAGATAAAAAAGACTGACGAAGCTTGTCGCTTTCATACAAATGAAGAGATTACAATGACTTGTTGCTTGCTTTCAAACACCCTACAGTAGTAGCATTGAGATAATTATGTGCTTCAAATTGAAATTGAAAGCAAAACTTTCAATTTACAAGACGAAAATAAGAAAAAATAAATAAATACGAAAACAACTTCATTCCAACATCATTTTTTCCCATGAGACTAGAAACTGAAAACAAACATCTTGCATAAACTTTATTTTGTGTGTGATGTACAAGAAATTGGGTCAGTTTTTATTTCTATTTTTTCGTTGTGTCACAAATGAATATGATTTAATACATGTCGGTTAATTAGTTGAAAAAGTTTGAGAGACTTTACAACATTTCATCTGCGTCGTTTTGAATATTCAGCAAATGAGAAACATAACGCTGACGTTTCAATGGAAGATATCTCATCAACATGTGGTTTTATCGTTATTAAAGTCATAATTGAAAGTTTCATTTTAAAGTTTTCATTTAGTTTTCAATGTTATTTCAAAAGAATCTTAATCGACAACCAGCTGATCATTACAATCCCCCAATCGATGGCTTGTTATTACTTACAATTATGGAAGTCATAAACTGCTTTGCCAATGCAGTCTATTTTCAAGTTTATTAAATTAATTACATAGCTATGCAAATAAGAAAAAAATTATTCATAATTTACTTTTAAACTCTTTTTAACGGAACGATTTCATTACCTTATCGTTTTGTCCAAGTTAACTTTAAATATTTTATCAAATCACGATGAATGAGTTGAAGATAAGAGCGACATCGATTAAATTATATTTTCAAAAGTTCAACATTTTCATTAATCTCAAGGTCACTAATGACCGCAAGAAATGTCGATTAAAAACTCAACTGGGAATTGTTAACGATAACATCAAAACAAATAGTGCTGGATGCAATAACTCTACATAATAATCTAAAAGCTTAAGTCTTAAGAAGTTTATCGTCTAAAGCTTTCCATCTGACAGTTTGATCTATCAATATTTTCAAATCTTCAATCGAAACAAAAAAATCTAGAAGTGTATCGAATTCTTCTTAAACCAGATTAGAGTCCAATGTTTCTCTTACGAAAAAGGTCTTACCATAAATTAATGATCACTGTTTCGTATCAAGATATTATTGTGAGAAATACCACCAAGATCGGTAAAAAAAATTTGCTAGTCTCCAGAAATTTTGTGATTGTTTGGCATTTGGAAAGAAGAAGAGACAAACTAAAAGCTTTTTTGTCATTGTCGTCATCAATTTATCATGTGGTGGAATGCGAATCAACATGAAAACTAGCTGAAGCATTTGCTGTTATTTTAATGTCTTCCATAAAACAAAACTCATTTCATCGTTTTTTGGTATTTTAAAGGTCACATCAAGAAGATTTAATTTTCCTCGCAGTCACTTGAATGATTGTACGAATGAGAATCGCCTTTTAAGATTCAGAATAATATTTTTAAACTTTAAATGCTATTCTAAGACGTTTATAGCTTTTCGATAGATTCTTTAGTGATGTTAAATAAACTCTGAGGCAATTTTATGTTCTTTCATTCAATATTTCTTCGAAATTATTTAATTTATTATTTTTTCTTTTCAAAGACGCCACAATCGTCTTGGTTCATGACATTAATTTAATAGTCACGTCACGAGAATGAAAGGAAAGAAAAGGAATGCAATTTTGTGTTGTTCTTTTGCATAAAAAATGACTGAAATTTGAGTATCATAACTTAGAATATTTTACGACATTTGTCGCCTTCTAAATAAAATGAATGAGAGCGAAATTGAATCGCTTCTAAAAAATAATATCGCTGTGTCCGACCCATGTCGAAAGCCAAATGAATGACCTCGGAATAAACATAACGCTGATAATCATTAAGAAGCAAATAAATGTTTCTTTTTTTCTTCTTTCTCGCCATGCGCATGTGAATCTCTTAAAGTTGTCAAGACGTTCTTTACCGACTGCTTTGAGGTGATTGCTTCTTAAATTGCACAGTTCAACAGAAATTAGCATTCAATGGAGTCTCATTTCGAAGGTTTTATAACATTCACTTAGTCAATCTGATTAATTGCACTGTGTTAATTCGTTTCACTTCTACTCGAGATTTAATTTCTCTTGAGAACTGAAAAAGCAAACAAATCTTCATCACAATGTTTCAGCAATGGAATTTTTTTCTGGCATTGAACGAGCATGAGAAGATTTTTGGGACGGCAAGTGAAGACTCTTAATTAAGAGACTCTTAAGAAGGAGAAAAATTGCTTAAAAAGTTTTGAAGGATGGCAATAGAACAATTCGTTGCTTACCATAATCTGGATGAACCGTACAAAGTTGGGTATGAGCTGGGCATAGTTCGGGAGGAATGAAGTAGTGTGGTGGTGCATCAGCACCTGGTGAATAAAATTCATTTGCATATGCTGGTCCTATATATAATCCATTGTGATGGTGGCCATTGTTGTGATCATGAATATGAGCTCCATTAGCTCCGCTACCATGAGGATGGTGGTGAAATGGAGGCATGTGATGTGGAGACATTTGATTTAATGGAATCGCGCCGGGCGGAAGATTTTGCGTCAATTGATGACTGTTTTGTTGAGTCGGAGATGTCGAGGCTTGTGTTGGCGGAGTTGTTGTTGATTGTGCATTTGTATCCATTTGATGCACATAACTGTTATTGGCAGCAGAAGCTGATGCGTTTGTATTGTTCGTTTGTGCAATCACTTGCGCAACGCCGCCATTAAGCGGCGGTGAGTCTGGCGTCGATACTGCCAGACGTACCATCATGGGATCGGGCATTAAACAAGGATTCTTAACACCAATTCCAATCTACAAATAATGCGTAGACTTCGATGTTTCAGGCAGTGATGTAACTAAACTATATTAAAGTTCGTTTCAATTTTTTCTATTATTTTAAAATTCCACAAACCGATTGGAATCCAAATGCAAGAAGAATTACGTAAACGACATCATGTGCTTTCAGCACACTCTTTCCATTCGTACACAGCAAATTCGTTCAAATCCGCCTTTCTAATTGCTTTATTAATTCTCTTTTCTACGGATATTCCGCTGTGCCTCCAGTTGGTGGTTCGGTGAATTTTTAATGTCTTTTCGTTGATGTTTCTCGCGACTTTTCTGTTACAAGATGTCAGATGTCACCATTTAACTTTTCACTCGGGAAAAATTTGTCGAGTACGAAGAAAATTAATTGCCAACTTCTTAAAAATTGACTCTTGACTCGCTTTAATTACTTTTTTTACTTTTCTCTTTCTTTTTTTCTAGACACCACATTTGTTATCTCATCATCATCATTAACTTTTCTTTTCTTCTACATGCAAAGATGTAATATTTTTTATTCTTTTCGGTCTAATTTGCTTTCTTTTGTTTTCTACTAATTCTCTTTTCTTTTTCTTTGCACTTTATTTAAAGATTTTTTTTGTTTATTACGATGGATTCGATGAATTTCCTTCCTACTTCTTTTTGCAGCGATCTAAGTATAAAGTATGGAAGATTTTTGTATCTTAATTGAACTTCTTAGATGTCAAACAAGAAGCATCAACAAGATTGGCACTTAATTTGTGAAATTTCATTATTCATTGAGTTCTCATTTTGCAAATCAAAATCACCCGGAACGATGTAAATGACTTCTAATCTATGACATAAACTTAATCTGTTTTCGATTTTAATGACCTCAGATAATAAATGTTATTATACAAAGTATTTTGTGTTAATAGACAATCAGAATCATTGACCTACGATCCAACTTTACACTATGGTACGAACTTCATCACTTATTTGCGACAAAAATTATCGCCATCGTCGATATTTTTGGAAATGAAATTTTGGTTTCTCTTCATCTTCTCTTATCAGCAAACAATTTTGTTTCTTTTCTTGTGTAATTATTTTTCTGTGTCTCTCGGCTGTTTATTTTTGGAAACATCCGTTCTCGATACCGCAATCAACAAACCACTTGAACTTTTTTCCCTCAAAAACATATTTAAAATTCGTTTTTTTGTCAAGTTTGGCATTTTTAACTTATAAAATCACCTCAGATTCTACCTCAAGGAATGTGAAAGATAGAATCAAATGGTAAAAGCATGTAATATCATAAAAATATTAACTTTTCTACAACAAAGAAGAAAAATTCGTTATCTTTAGATTTACTTCACTTCCAGGAAGCTTAAGCTTATGACTGTAGATGTTTTCATTCAACACGTGCTCTTAGCTTAGTTAATCAAAACAAGAGCCAAAAAAAAGAAATAATTAAAATTTGATACGCCCAATTGATAAGTTTATAAAAAATCTTTGCTAAGCAACATCGTAGAAAAATAATAAGTTTGGAATTGAGGCAAGCTTTAAGTAACGTGTCACTAAAGCAGTCAAGAATTCTGTATCTTTAACTTTATTGCTTTCTTTTTAGAGTCTGCAATTAGAGAATGTTTTCATATCTCAGATATGAAATAATTTTGTTTCGCAATTGTGACGTTGTTTCTGGATAGATTTTGACTGAAATAGATTTTAATTGAATTTTTATTTACTAAAGTTAGCTGAGCATGCTCATGATTATAAGACAATTTTTTATTTCGAAGCAATGTTAGATGGAAGCAAACGTCATTGCTTCATAATATCGACATGGATTGAAATTAATCTATAATTTGTTTTATGTTACGCAAGTTAAATATTTTTAGTGTTGTCATTAATTTCATTTAAGATTTTACAATTGCTTCATATAACGCCGTCTCTGAGCCTTACGAGAAATGGATGGGAAAGGTTAATTGTTTGTGATTTATTTGAAGATTTGTTAAAACTCATTCTAAAGTGATCTCATTCGTTCTCCCTTTTAAGACGAACATTTTGGCGACGAAGTTTCATTTTCATTCAAAAACTTCTTTTACTTTTGCGACAATTGATTGATATTAATTTGAATTAGATTGTGTTGACATCACTTAGCGTTTGTGTGTCTCCCATCAATGTTCATACATTACAATATTCGTCGTATCATTGTAATGTTTTTTTCTTGTGTTCATGAACACAAAAAGACGCAGAAGAAAGCGGAAACTATTTATTTACAAAGAATTTCTTTTCAAATGATACTCTCCGGTCGCTTGTATGCATTCGTGTGAGTTAATTTAAAAATTCAATGAATTTTTCTTTTTGTTTGCGTAGGCTCGTTACGATTGTACGATATGCTTAGACAAGAATTGATTTCGTTTCATTCGAAAACATACAAAAAGAAGAACTTTTACGTGAAAAGCAGACGAGACGGGTTTTATATTTATTTTAAGAATGTCGTCGCGAAAAAGAGTGTTTCTCAAGTAAACAATACGAAGGAAAATGTCTCGCGGGTCACGATATCTTTCATGACCGAGAAAAACTTTCGTCGAGACGATGAAATAAAATGAAAGCTAGACTTGCATAAGCCAATGAGTGGACTTTTTTTTTTATTATTTTATAAACTGACAAAATGCGAAAAAGAACGACAACAAAGTCAGTTTAACGACGCATCAATTTTAACGGTACGTGATGATAATTTTGCTTACGATATTAAATTGAATGCATTTTTATTTCGAAGAAAACTGTTCGGATTGTTGTCAGTTTATGAAAGTTTTGAATTAATTATTGGGCAGTGAATAGCGGTACTAACTATGGTTTTAAAACCGAGACAAACTGCAAGCTTAAAAATGTAATACATGTTCGATATCATGTGAATGAAGCGTGATCGATTGTCGTTACTTACGAATCAACAGAATAAAAGTTGCTTTTTAAAATCATGCAAACAAGGGACGATGTTGTGTTATTTGCAAGTTTGAATGTAAGATAAGCGGGCATTCCAGGAAAATCATTTACTCAAATAAGAAAATATAAAATTAAGTTATCGTGTTAATTACGAGTTCAGCTCCCGGGAAATTATGTGGTGTTCATTTTGAAATCTAATGATTTACGAACATTTTTATTATCAGCTATGGTTAAGTTGAGATGACGTAACATTCATGTGGAAGTCATTAATGAAATAAAGAAATAAATATCAGCTACCGACACGAAATCTAAAACTGAATATTGATAACCTTTACGGATCATAAAATTTTTCACGAGAAATGAACTTTGCGGATGTTTTTGGCTTTAATTAAATAAAATTAGGTATAATTTGAAGAAGTGAATATCAGAGTTTCGCGAAGATTCGAACTAACGTAATTATTTAAAATCTGGCTTATTTTTTTTTTAATTTTGTCATTCCTAGTTGACTCATTTCCTTATTTTCCTTCTTGAAACTTTTCGGTAACAATATCTTCGTTATTGGCTTTTAAAAATAATCTTTTTGTGCCGAATTCGAATCTCATTGATCATAATCTGTTGAATGTTGACAGAAGCTTAATTGGCATCTCGAGAGATCAATAAATTTTAAGGCTTGGCATGCTAGCGGTTACGAACGATGACCGAAATTAAGGATCAGTTTGCAGACGAATCTCATTTCTCGTTCATTCACTGATGAATGGAACACGAACCATGACAAAGATAATTGAATGTTAATATCTCAAATTCTAGGAAAGCATTTATTTACTTGCTAATTTTCAGCGAAGTGTTGAAACTCAACAGTTGAAGATCGTTTCAACAATAAAAATAAAAATAATAAATAACAGCATCGATTGAACCGGTTCAAAATCATCAATAATCACGCAATCAACAACGACATTTACATAAATGAAATAATATAAACTGTTATCATGCCCATGTGGAAGTCTCGAGCATCACAAACTCTAGAGAGATTCAGTAGAAGAAATATTATTTTATTTTTTTACATTTCTAATTCCGTTATTTCTTCTATCAAAGTATTTTCTGTTTCATTTATTTATTTTTCTTTTTTCACGAATAAATTAACAAAACAACACATTCAAAGCCAAAGTAATTTAATTTTTTTCAATTCTTTCATTTTCTCGTCGTGATGTTTGTGTTGGGACTCTGAGAAGTGTTTGAATGTATTAAGCACAAAGTGACGGCGTGGAAAATTCCAAGTCTTAGGGGTTTTTGGTTTAATTTCAAATGGCAATTCATAATAAAATAAATTGAATTGAAAAAGATTGTGAATATTTTGCTGAATTTCAATGAAGATTGCGTTGAGTTTGACTAGGACCTCACGCTTTGCTTTCCTTTGTCACAGTTCGTTCTCAATCACAATCACTATTCAAACGGACACGTTTCAATTTTTCTTTCCTTTTCACAAAATGCTTCTCGTTCTTCTTATTCACCGCTAACAGCAAGCATACAAAAAAATATCGAAATGGAATTTTTGGAGATTTCATTTCCTTTCAAAGCTCATAAATTTAGTCTTAGAGGAACTTCAAGCAACAGATTCTGTTTAAAAATTTCTCATTCAACATGAAAGTGATTAATTATGGTCGAAAAATTGCACAAACAAATCCAAACTTCAGCAAAGTCTGTGAGAATAAAAAAGAAGAAATTCAATTGAGAACTTCACTGCTAATTGGCAGTCATTGTTTAAAATGTTAGTTTTTCTTCTTCATTTTTTATAGTTTAATTATCCACAATGCACATCGAACTGTGAGTACGTTTTACACGAATGCAATTCTTCTTCTTTTTCACATTTCCCTCGACTTGAACATCAGAAAACAAAAAACACAAAAAAAAAGAAATAATAAACAGAGAAGGGGAAAGAAAATTTGTGTTACGTGCAGTTATCGACTGTTATGTCTTTTTTTTGCAATCTTAAAAGTTCTACAAAAGAATAAGTTGAAAGGCTGTTAGAAATAATACAAAGTTGCAGAATTGGCAACAAATCTAGATCTTTGAAACTTCAAAGAGCCCTTAATTTCATTAAGCTATTAAAAATATTCGAGCATCGCTCTGCTTCTTTTACTTAGCATTCAAATGTCTTGGAAATCTTGTAGTCAAAGCCCGTTTATATTTATTGTGAGAAAATCCGGATTTTTGTTTTTTTATTCATCCCAACTCTTTGTATGACCTCATCGTCAATGTTTTTTTTTTCTTCTTCTTTAGTGGCATTTTTAGTATGCTTGCCTTCTTTCTTGCATTAATTTTTTTTCCTATTCTTATTATTTTGGAATTAAATGAAAGAAGAATTTTCCTTTTAAGTATTTCTTTTCAAATTGAGAAATTTTTCTGAAAAGAAAATGCATCAAAATGAACATCATTCTCATCACTTGAATTGTACTTTCAGTCATCATCGATAATTCCAGTCGTGGTGAAATCGACAGAAAAAAAACGAACGGTATTCGCTGAAGCATGTAAATCTGCGCTGCTTTACCTCTCGAGGCCGTTTCAAAAATCAGGTCTCTTTGCTTATTTTACTTTTTTTTCTCTTCATTCGAAAGAAATTTCTTTTCTACATTTTTTTACTTCGCTGTGCTTCGAATCGAAGCCTTCGATCCAATCGCATTAAAATAACTTCATATATGACCCAAATTCACACAACACACCGAAAAAAAAATACCAACAACAATGAGCTATTGAAAGGTAGATGGAAAAAAATGAAAGACAATTGAATAAGAAGAAACAAGTGGAATTCATTTTTTTTTATCTTTTACTTCATGCCAACGACTTTGGCCTGTACTAGAATTTCATCGTGTACTGCTCGCTTATTTTTCCTTTTTCACCGATAAATCCACAACTTAATATTCTGCCAACGATTTCACAATATCCACACGATCGTTCAGGGTGATTTGCAATTTTATTTTCTTTACTCCGTTTTCCATTTCTTTTTTTTACATGGAATTCCTTCAAGTCGTCAAGCTTTTAATTTACGCTACACTCAAGAATTCTTTTCAATGAATAATTTCACAATTTTATCCAGTGCCGAATCGTTTCTGTTGATACTTTATGTTCAATGCTTATTTCAACTCTGGCAACACTTACAATCCAATTTAATTCGTCCACAATTGATGAGTGTATAGCTGGAGCTTATTCCACAAAAAGATAAAACTCGGTAGTATCAAATAAGAAAACTACACAGCGTCCACAGTAAAATATATTAAATTGAATAATAAAAAAATTATGAATTAACGTCTTAAAACCCTCAAACACGACACCAAAATTTAAGTTTCTTTTTATTTCTTTTTCTTTCTCGACTTTTTTTTCTTCTTTTGCTTAAATGTCGAATTAAATTACACCGAAATTATTATAAATGTTTCACACAATGATTTTTTTTTATAAACTTTATGAATAATATATCAATTATATGCAGAAAAAAAAGTTAAATTTCAAAAAAAAATTATAACTAACAAAGTAGAAAATTAAAGAATTGAAATTAAACTATAAATTGAATGTTTAAAAAGTTTTTAATGCACTTTTTAGATATCGAAATATTTTCGTTTCTTTCTTTTTTAATCCTTTTAATGTTCACAGTTCAACAAAATTATGAATATTTGTGAGAAACGTTGTGACCGATTAAAGGAATCCGATTGAACTGAAGGGGATCCGATCCATAAATTGAATACAAAACCCGAAACACGAAATAATGTGAAAAAAAACAACAAAATAAAACAATATAATAACGATACAAATTACACTGAGATACCCAGGCCGATACCCAGTCGAAAGAACACTGGCAAAGCATAATTCCAGCAAGAAACTTATTGGAATGTTGTTTCGATGAGTCTATGACTTGTGTTTTTCTCCATTCACTCACACCATTCACTTCAAATGTGTTGAATTATTTCTTTTTTCTGTATTTCTCTTTCATGCAAGCGACAAGCGTGTGGGTACCAGATAAACGAGTTTAACCTCATGTTTAACATTAGAAGAAGAAAAAAAGTGACTGGAACTCTTTTTGCGCGACTTCTCTCATTCTCATTTTCTCATTATGTATGATGTTTAACGAAGACAAGTCGAAACAAAATCTGTTAACGTGTAATTGTCAAAAGGCATACACACCAGCAATTGAAGGAAAAAAAATAACAAAATGTTTATTTGAATTAGTGTAGTTATCTACACAATACACTACACCATTCATCAAAGTTGTGAAGGCATTTAAAATTCATTTCATTACATGAACTCATAAAAAGTGAGATTGTTTGATGCATGAAGCATTCACTGTCTTCTTACGACTCGCTCATACATTTTCTGGGATTACATCACATGATGATTGCTGTATTGATAATGCATAAAAGCTTCTTGTCTCTGTGAGACTTTCATGTGGCCTTCTTAAGGTGAATTTAAATATTCAATCTTTTATATGTGTAGATTAATCGAAAAAATCTTCAACAATTATGTCCTTGCTGTTGCAGTACAAATCATGATGAAGGGAAGGGATGAACGTGTAACAAAATCGAATTGCGCTTGGAATTCCCCCAGAATGATGTCGTGGCGCAGTCATAAAATGTTAATTTAATATTCACCGGGTGTCACCACATTAAAAAGTAGAAAGAGAAAGAAATGTTTTCGTGCTTGAGTGGAGGAGAAAAGCTTCATCGTATGAAATTATTAGATAAATTAATTAGTAACAAATTACAAACAGTTTTTATTTATGTAATGGATTGTAACATTAACTCATTCATTCTTTCTTATACTGTACATTCTGTCTCAACTCACCATTCAAGAAAGTTAAGTTTAAGTGCTCAATGGGCTAGCACAGTAAAGAGCAAAAGCACACATACAATCATTGAGCTGCTGCTAACAACATTCCATTATATGTAGACTTTGAAACCATCTCACGATTATTTCGCAGCGCGAAAATGTTAAAAAAAAACTTTAAAAAAGTCTTGCATGAAAGAAGAAACAGAAAAAGAATAAAACTAAAAGCAGAAACAGAAATAACTGTTTCAAATCTTCAACACCAACACAACAGAATTCATTCGATTGTCTTCAAAGATTAAAGGTTTTTTTTCCTTCTTTTTCTTTAATGAAACTTATCATGGTGGCTTTTGTTGCTTTGTCGTTTCCATGCGACTAAACTATTTGAATGACTTTAATTTGAATTCGGATAAATTTTCTTTCCACGTGACGACGTGAAGAAGTGAAGATGAAAAGCAAAATTCTGGCTCGGGAAAATAGAAATTTGTTTCTCCACTTAATTTACCATCGTTTGCTGAAAGAACAGAATCTAAATACGTCTGCTTGTTTATTTTTTATACAAACTTCTTTAATTTTTTTTTGTATGTTTATTTAATGAAATTGTGAGTGAGGCGATGAAGATAAAAGCAAGAAAAAACGAAGTAAATTGACTTCAAGACGATTTTTATGTTTTCAGAAAATCTTTTTCACTCCACTCCCACCTCAGACGTGTTGCCGATTTTCGCAGAGGGGCTTTAAAGCTCCGCTTTCTTGTATATTTATTTATTATCTGCTTCTTTTGCTAAGTGAAAGTTTATTGAACTGTACGATCTCGTTAAAAAATGTTTTTGTTTTGTTTTTTTCTTTTGCTTGAAGTTCGGACCAAGAAATTACAAAAGAAAATAAGAAAATAAATTTTTAAGTAATAAAATTTTGGCAAAAGCCAAAGTATTTAATCTTTAAATGAATTGTATTGAAAGAAGAAAAGTTTGCGAAAATGTTTAAGTATCATAGCGATTCTCATTACTCATTGAAGTACCATAATTACGTTCAATGTGAAAAAAGCACTTCAAATGTAACTTTAACCATGTTCCCAGTCATTTACAACGATGAAGCATAACATTAAGTAAAACAAATGAAACTCTCATGCAATTTGTTGAGTAACAAATCACTTTTCGTGGCATCTTCAAGCTCCATGACAAAGGAATAACATGAACGAAAAATGTTACAAAGCTTTTAATATGCAACAATTTCTGACGTCAACATTTTGCTGCATTTGTCTTCTTCGAACAAAACAAAAACAAGAAAATGTTGATGATCATTGAATTAAAAATGTTTATTTGTATCTTTTCCGTTTATTTATTTATCAAGAAGTGGATAAAGAGAAGACTTTGTTCATCAATTTTTATTTAAGCTGCTTGCGTCCATTTAAATTTTTTTTTTGAACTTTACAATTCATAAGATTTGAATAATAATATTTGATGATAAATATCAAATTATATTCTTTTTCGCATTTCGACATCACAATCATATATTGAGATAAAAAAATAATTTCACAATCGTCAAGTATTATGATTTGCAATTACTTATTTAATGCCGTAAGTTTTGCGGCCTCAACTATTCAAATGACTTGGCCATTGTTCTCGCATATCGACATGAGAGTGAAATTATGATTGACACGAGTGAAGGAAATTTCTTTACATTCGCAACAAGAGAAATATGTAACATGGAGCCGTTGAAGGCGAACAAAAATCAGAGAAACTTTGTGCTGCGTAATTGATTGAGCACGACAGGGAACCGTAAATCAATAAGTAAGCGAAAGGTTGGCTTGATCGCAGGCTGTTGAGAAACAAGAATTCACCCGAAGCGCCCTTAAAATTTTAAACTCACTTACATAATCAACTGTCTGAAATGTTCGTTCAGTAAGAGCGCGACTTATTGTGAAGTGTTGCAACGAGAAGTAAAGAAAGTAGCAGCAAAAGATTCGCGTGAAGTTATTGTAATAAAAATAAAATGAAAACAAGGCGACAAAAACAAAATCACATTCGATGAAAGGAGAAAGAATTTTCGTTGCCATCGCAAACTTTTATCAACAATCTTTTAGTCGGGATTTTAAGTGTCGCGTAGTGCACGTCAACATCATTTTTATGTCTTTATTATGGATATAAAAACCAGTTCAGAATGTCACCCTTGATATTTTATGCAACTTTTTTTTCTTCTCACATTTTTGCTCTGCTTAAACTTATGAGAATGGAATGCTTCAGATAAAAGAGTAGACAAGGTTGTCGTTAGCAAGGCGACTCGTTGTTGTTAGTGTCTATTACGCATATTTTCACCGAGTGTCACCGAGACTGAAGCACTTCTCGATGAGAATCGTTTTCCTTCGGTGTTTTTCATTTCTTCATAGTAGCTGACTGAATCAACAGGTCGCTTCTTTAACTTAAGGAGTAAAAGTCAATTTAACGTCTCAGTCAATAATATTTAGAATGTACGTGTTGCTGCTATTTAAGTGGAATCAACAATATTTTAATGAAGCTTTTCTGTCATCAACTGACTCTATGTTTGTGTCAGTTGAATATACGTTTCAAAATACGCTAAAATGTGTCATCGAATCATTTTTCTACACATTTCTGTCATCAACAACTTGAAATTTATTATAATTATTTTTAGTCACCAACCGTAGATTTAGAAATAGAATGAAAATCATGAACCTTTAATGATGCTCATGATTGAGTCGTGTCTTCAATTATTTATATATTTGAATATTAATTACAATTGAGTGTTACTTAAACTTATGACCTTTATCCTAGCTTCAGGCTTCCTTTGTGCACATAGCTATTGAATTAATATATTCAGAGCTGCTACCATCCATGAAAACAAAAGAAACGAAAACCTTTTAAATCATTTTCATGTTTTAACTTTTCTTAATTATTTTTATTTTTAATACTTCTATAAAACTAAATGATAAAAGTTTCGTTGTGCTGATTACAAATTAAGAAAAAATAATTTTTTAATTACAGCATTATGTTGTTGTTTTATTTATGCTTCAAACCTTTTGCCAAGCCTTAAACTAATTTCTTGATTTCCCGCGAAACAAGTCACTCATATGTAAAAAAATAATTTGAACAGAAGATTTTTCTGCTGTCGTGCGCAATGTCATTGGCCATAAAATTATAATTAATTACAATTTCCCATTCATAAAAAACACAATCGCATACGTAGGGAAAAGAAAAGTTACGATTTTGCCACCGCATTTGAACCCACACGTTAGTTTGATATCGTCGCGTTTCAGACTCGCGCAAATATCGTACAAATTGTAATTAATCTTTTGTCAGATTTTTTTTTGTCGAAACAACAACTTTGGATTTCGATTGTTTGAACAAAGACCTTGTCACATCTGTTTGAAAACGATCATGTCATAACACGATCAAGAGTCAATTCAATTTGGATAAAATTAACTAAAGTTTTGTTTCATCAAAACACTGAAAAGTTCAACGAATCTTTCCTTCCTTTAAAGTTGACTGAGAATTCAAATTTTTTACAATAATTTTCATGCATCAACGCCGTGTAATTAAAATTGCTTCACACGACAATGTTTCACTTGAAATGAAAGACTTGTGTTTCGAGAAGAGGGTCGAGGGTGTGTTTAAAATCAACTCATATTGGTTATTGTTGTGGAAAATTCAAGAAGCTTCTGCATTACATTGTGTTCATCAAGTGCGTCTAATAAGTAGCAACGAACAAATGTTCTCGTTTTCTGTCCCGCACATGTTAAGTTACGATCTGTGAAAAGCCATGAAAAACGAAAAAAAAACGTCACAGAACAGAACACAACCAAATACCGCACACGATGGGCTCAAACAAAGATTTATGAAAAATAAAATCGACATAACAATAAAAAAAATTGAAACAACGATGTGATGATTGACACATTGCAAACATGATGCTTATATGGATTTTCAATTCGACGATTCAATTGCGCAAAAGAATGAGAAAATCTAACGGTACTCGATGACATTGAGCAAGCCACAAAAATTCCATCCTGCTAGGCTATTGAAAATAAAACATTAATCGGCCATCAATTTTGAATTTTTATTGCACAACAAATTCATGGATTTCGAATTAATTTTGCACACATACCGCGGTGAGAGAGCACAAGAAGCATTGTTCATTACATTCTTGTTGTTAATTTGGTTTAGACACGCAAAAGGTCAATAGATTTTTTTCTGTTTGGATCTATCTCCAGTCGTTAGTACAATTATTGTTTGTTGACGACTCATTAAAATTTGCCGAATGAACTTTCAGTGGATAATGTCATTGAATGTGTATATTAAATACGATTTTTTTCACAACATTTTGGGTATTAATTTAATAAAGGATGTATTAAAGCTCAGTTAATCTTTCTTTTTTGAAATTATTTCATCGACATTTTCATTAATTATTCGTTTTGATTTAAACTTTGAATTTACGAGTGGAATCAACGTAAAATTATTAATAGTAAAAACTTGACGTCAACCGTTCGTCATTAAAGTAGCAATAAGCATTAATGCACATTAAATTTACGATTCGTGTCCCACTCTGTGATATTTGACACTTTGAGGATTGTGAATGTGCAGACTCGAAAAATTAATTTTATTTAATTCGTTTCTTTTTCATTAAGTTATGCAAATTTATAAATTTTCCACAAACGAAATGCCTCCTAAAACTAGCGGATTTTATTAGATGAACGCAACGATTTATGAGATGCCATTTAAATGATCGCAATATGGTAAAATCATCTTCATTGGAGGCTCTTGAAATAAATTTTTTAATCTCCAAGCAAAAATTTGTTGAAAACCATGCAAAGTTTATACTTTATTAATTTTATTTTTGCATAACCGCATCTTGAATTCATCTTCACAGCTTTGAAAGAGTGAAAAAACGATGTCTACCGTTAATAGCCTTTTGGTAATAAAAAAGTATTTTTTCTTCTTATTCTTGTCCTAAGATTCGCTTTTATTTGAAAGATATTCGTAATGCTTAAAATATTTTATTTATTTTTGATTCTTATTTAATGCGAAGTTTGTCTTGAGCATATGGAAAAGATTTTTCCACCAGAAGACTTGCGAATGTCGATTGGAATTGGTAGTTTAATTACTATGCTCATCAATTATTGTATTCATCGTGTGGTTGATGACTTTCGGCAGATAATTACGATTAAGAAGAGATTAAATGTTAATAGCAAAGTTTTAGGGAAAGTTAATGAATCGACATCTCTATCTAGAACTGAGAACAAGTTAAAGCTTATAGGAATCTTTAAAATCAAATAGAACTTTTTATGGATTCATTTTGTGAACACATTTTAACATCGAACTTAATATGCTGCTTGTGAATTGTGTATAAGAAAAATTCTTGAAATTTTCCACATTTCGTTTTATGACTTTTTGCCATTTCCGTGAGTTTAATCACAAAATAACTCCAGTTTTAACTCAATTAAGTTGTTTTATGCTTAACTTCCACCAAATCGACGAATGCATCTGTTAAATATGGATTTTATGCAATGAAATTTCTATGATTTTTCTTTTCAACTTTTACATTTTCTTTCTCTTCAATTCTCTTATTTTTCAATCAAAAAACAGTTTCTTTGAACTCTTTGATGATCAAAATCTGTGATTATCAATTTATAATACAAATAAATTGTAGAGTAGCAAAATAAAAAGCGAAAAAGTTCTGATTTTGAACTCACGATGATCTCAGTTTTAAAACTTTTCTTGCGTGTCACGACTAAGATCATGATTAGAATTTCATTTTGATATTTTAAAACGTTTTTCACACAGTAAATATTTCATCAGTGTACATGGAGTCGTTTTAATAGCACAGCGAGGAAAGATTTCTTGATTCCTACAATATTCAAATGAGATTTACAGAATCTGCTAATTTACTTAGCAATACGATGTATTACAAATAAAGCGAAAGCTCCCAACTTATAAATAAAAGATGATGAAGAACAAAAGAAGATTCTTTGAAGTCGAAATTTGCAGTCAATTGTTCTATCTGAGATGGAATAAAATCTCAAATTTCCATTTCTAATTTCTGGATAGATTGAAGAACAAAATGTTTTATTAAATAATTTGTTTATTTGTGTGTGTACGCGAAAGTCAAAGTCAACGAAACTCCGAAGTTTAAGAAGGGAATGACAGTGCTGGAGATAATCACGGAACATGTTTGTGTATAGTTCCACAATGATGAGTTTGATAACCTTTTCGAAACTGTTTCGTCTGTTTCGTAACGTTGTCTTTCTTTCCATTTCACTCTCCCCATGCCGCACATATGTTGGTTGGTGTTTATACACCAAATAAAGAAAGCACGATCTCCCGGATTTATTACGCCGGTTTCGTATTCGGTTGGATGTGTGTGCAACAGTTTGGTTGGTACAGCGATGAAGACTTTCGTTTGTTCAGATTCTTCTTAACAATTTTTTAAAGTTGTCATGGTACAAAAAAGAAGAATAAAGTTGAAAAGTATTAAGCCGACGACAATACGAATGAAAAACACATAGCAATGATGTTACGTAAGTATTTCTTTTGATACGAGGGATGAGAATTATTATCAAGTAAATTTAAAGCTTTTATTTACATTTTCTGATATTTTTTTAAAAGTTTTATTTAATGTTTAAATTTAAAGTTTAAATTTTTTTAAAGATTTTCCCAACACAAACAAATGATCTGGTTATTAATTGGATTTTTTTGGAACAAGAACTTTTACGTGTGTTTGTTTGACTACTGTTTAATAAGAATTCATGTTATTCAACTTTTATTCTTCATTCGCCTTCTTGGTTTTCCTTTCTTTCTTTTCACCATCCATTCAAGAGCAACCTCGTTTGGCTCGATTCGTTTGTAAGAACAATTTTTAAAACAGAAGGAAACAAGTAAATGAGTTGTCATGGAATTCATGATCCACAGTCCAATCAACATCATTCTGCGCTTCATCGATCCTCGATTTGATTTCAGGTTGAAAAACATTTTGAAAAGTTAAAAATTGAATAAAAATTTCTTAACATGGAATTTCTCATTACGCAACAAACGATGCTTTTGTATTTTCGCAAGCTTTTCAGTCACGTCACTCAAGTAAATTAATTTCATACAATTTATAAACCGACAGACTTAAATCAATCATTCCACCACTGAGAGCTGTGAACATTTGGATTTTAATCTCTAAACGCAAAGTGCCATCATCATGTGGGTTGAAGTTTAAATATTAAGGCAATTTGCTTGAAATGTCTTCGAACCAGAGAAAGACAATCATTGTCATTTATTACGCAAAGAAAATGTCATACATAAAAGTACATCAGACAGATACGCGATGAATAAGAAGATTCACACTAAACTCATTGACTTTGCGATACTTTTACTTCATTGTTTCTTTCGAGGCATTTTCAGAAACGTATTGAGCTGGGGGGGAAATGTAAAAAAAGAGCCTTTCACTTTGCAGTTTGTTTTGCTTCCATTTAAAATCGTGAATGAGGGAGAAGAAGAAAGATTTAGCGGTGCTTTTGAGTCTACATACTTATGTATATCTAACATATTCATGCACAAATAATATTCTCAAAAATAAAATTCTTTTGGCACTAAAGAATTTCATGATGCAGATTTATGTTGTAACTTAAAAGCCGATATTTCTCTGTCTGACATTATACAATGTTTAAATATTATTCCGATGATTTAAAATTAACTTAACTTCGTTTTCGAAAGAAGATCACGAGAACATTTAATGGAGCAAAGGTTATGCAATAAATAATTGAGAGAAATAATTTTAAAATTTTGCAAAACTACCGAAAAAGAAAGAAAAAAAATTATTTATCGATCTGAATAAACAGAAATTAACTTTCACATTTTCCGAAATCGAATCGAAAGGAATAAGAAGGAAAAATTGCATTTCACTAAAATTGAGGCGTTATGTTAACGAAACTTTTCCTTACAATATCCAACGAACCAACCACAATGTTGGGTTAATGTTTTCAATGTGCGCCAGTTTAATGCTTCTTTCTTTTTATATCGTGACGGTTTCGGTGCCAAAACATAAATGTAAGAAATTTTCAACAGTTACTATATGTCGAACCTCCCGCGATGAACTGAGTTGAGATCATATCTTCTGTTTTCTTTTTCTTTTCCTTTTCAACCGGACACAGCGTAATGACCAGAAAGAAATTGAATATTTCACATACATAAGTGTAGTGGAAATTTTTGGCAAGAAACTCCAAAGCAACAAAAACAATTTCTTTATATAATTTTTCTTTTGAATGTAAGAATTAACACCGACACTTGGTCTGTCTATGCCTTGATACGTTTTGTTCAATAAAAACCCTCAATAATTCAATAAATGAACGGTGAACCGCAAAGCTTTTTCGTCAATTACTGAGAGACGTTTGAAGCCCTTAATCCATTTATTATTTATTAATGACACCGACGGTCTTAGTCGCTCGATGGAGGGAAAAAAACTTTGAACCTTTTCGTCAATGTCAATCATAATGAAAAGCTTGATAACAAGAAACAAATTACCAACCAGCATAATCGCGTTTGATGTATTTTGATCTAATTTTAGATAACATAAGTTTATGTTTTCATTTTTGTAAGAGACATTAAGGAGCTGAGCTTTGATGAAAAGGAATTTCTCTTCATCCCACTCAAGTTGAGAATCGAAAATATTTTCTGCTTCCCTCGTAATGACGAAGGTCGAGTTTCGTTATTTGATTTTCACACAATGGTTGGCTAAGACAAATCCCAATCGATGATGAGTGAAATTATTAAAGTGCCATCGATTAATCTTCAAATTTGAAGAGTAGGAAAGAAACTTATGTAAGAGCTTCAATTAACAAAGCAAACATTAAAAATCTTTCTTCCTTCGGTACTACTTTGTTAAATTAAGTTTTGTTGTCCAATGTTTTGTTTTGAGAAATCTCTGCAAGCTTGCTGTGAATGTTGGTCATCATAACAACAAACAAACAGGCGAAAAAAAATGTTCCGATTTCAAACTCAACTCTTTAGCATCAAATTTCTTTTGTAATCAATCCCATTATTAACTTCAAGCCTCAAATAACAAAAAAAGATCTTGTAAACTCCAATATTTCTTATATTTTATTGCCGAAGAAGTACCAGATAAAAGGTAAGAAGAAAGCAAAGTAAAAAAACTTCCGACTTTCTCTCTTTGAACAATTGCACTCGTGAACGAGTGAATGAAATGAAAAGAAGTTGAAAATCTATTTTGATGTTTCGAAACTTTGAGCTGATTTTCCAAAATGCTTTATTTTGACTACAAACACTCAAATCGTATTTGGAGTGAAAAGGAAGACATTTTTCATTTCAATTCCAACTTTTATTTTTCTTCTCTCGATTTCATTTGTTTGACGGAAAGATGTAAGTAGTGAAAGGAAGGGTAAGTTATTGTTGCTTCAACTAAAGCCATTGTACTCAATCGCGACATAAAATGCGTCAACTTATGGTGGCTTTAAACCAGACACAAATTATCAATTCATTTTAAAGCTGAAAGCAAATCCGACAATGGAGGAAAGAAATTGTTATTAATTAATTCATTGCATTGCTTTCATATCAATCAAATAACAATAATAATAAAAATCAAATCCAACATTTGCGAAAGATAATCGTCGATTACTTAATTGAAATCACCTAGAAATTCAATTGCTTTACAACCTTCGACCTTTCATTTGACTTTGTTACCATCAGCTCGATACTTTAAGTCTTTCATTTCTCGATTACTTTAGCCTCGAGATTTAAAAAAAAAAACAACGAAACGAGAGCGCAAGATGACATGACTTGGAATGAGTATAATAAGTTTAAGACGGTAAGAGTATATTTAATGCATATTTTACATGTCGAGAGATAAATTGGAACAAGTTTCTCCTTCAACTCTCGACTTGACTTTTGAAGAAACTACCGAGAGGTATTCAGTAATAAGCAGGGATGCGACTTGACTTTTAAAAGTTACAAATTGGGTTAAGAGACGTCGATTATCAATATTTAAAGTTTTTCTCTTTTTACGCTTTTATAAAACAAAAAACTTTAAATTTTTATGGAAGATAAACAAATAGTTAAAAGACTCACCTTGGAGAATTTTATGTCCACCAGCGATTTGGAATGAAGCAGCAACGCCTGGCGACAAGTAGAACATGACGATGTGTTGATCCGCATGGGGACGTGAATGTGTTGGACAATACGATTGATGGATTTCAAAGCCTGGTCCGAAGTGAAAGGCTGGCTCTACGACAGGCCAGACTGGAGCTACCTGTGGAGGTGGTTGAGATAAGTTGACAGTTGTCGTTGGAACATTTACTGGATTTTGCGGTGGTGGAGGTGACAACGTAGTCGATATTTGAACTGGTTGAATATGGTGAATGTGATGTTGAACGTGCATCGTTCGTGGCATAGGCGGTGGAACACCAGAATGTGCTTTGCAAGGAGGTGCGACGGAGCTACTTAAGCTCATACCATGATTTGTTGGATTGCGAGCTGTTGGTGCAACAATTGCAATCGCTGGAGGTGCTGACGTTTCAACTAGCGTTGAGTTTTCACCATGTGACTCAGTCGATACCATTTCATCAGTTGAATGCTGAAAGTAGGATCGACTGGTCTTAGGATTCTTGTAAAATTTCTTTGAATTTTTCATAAATTGCGATTTATTACACTCAAGTGGAACATTGACCATTAGAAACAATACTTTTGTTCACGATTTACAATTACAATTAGATAAAATTCTTTCCTTTTTTATTCTCTCACTGCTATCATAGTTTATGTGAATTAATTAATCGCTTAATGTTTGAGGACTTTTTTTATTTATTTTTTTGTTTGTGTCCAAATTTGTTCGCAACTTCATACACTTTTTTTCAATTATTACACAAAATTTCACTGAATGTTTGCGATTCACAAGTGTTGATTATCTACTCACGATTCAAATACTTTTTCTTTAACTTATGACCGTCAAATGATAACCGTTTGTCACTTGCTTACATCTAAAAAAGAAGAAAATGAAGAAAAGAAATGTTTAATGATTCTCAATTATCAACCAACACGACATTTGTGCAATCAGATGTCGAACTTTATTATTTGTTTGTAATCGTGCGACGTGTTAAATTCGGTAATGTTTTTCTTTACTTTCTTATCAGTCATTAAAAAAATGTAAAAGGCAGTTGAACAATTAAAATAAGCGAAATATATTCGAAACACTTCTCACCTTATTGTGAACATTTGTTTTGTTTTCTATGACATAAACAATAAATAAACATCCTTTTCAAAGATAAAGCGAACAACTGACGTCATAGAATTGTCTCTTCACTCTTTTTGTCGTCAGCTGGCGAAAAAAAGGTTCGAAAACTCCCACAAAAAGAATTTCGAATCGCGCCTACACATAGACAAAGATTTATCGCTATTACGAAACATATGACGACAAAATCCACATTTGATAAATGTAATCTTTCAGAATGATATCGTGTCGATCACTTGTGTTCGATTAAAATTGTTTTTCTTAAACAACTGCAAATTCTTTTTGCCTTTTAGCAAATCAATCAATTCTAACAAAACTTTCCGTCTTGTAACAACATCATACACATTGTTAATTTTGATAATATTATTTTCTGTTATCAATTGGTCTTTGAACACCGTTCACGACGAATTGCGTTGTCGGCGACCTTCAATCAAAGCAGCGACGTTTATGCCGCATGTCTTCCATTTCTTTCATCGAGGTCTATTTAACAGACTGCGTACATCAAGTTTCGAGGAATGTTTTCTGATAAAAAGAACAGCCAACTATTTATGTGGTACAACCATTTAAAGCTTAAAGCATTTAAAGAAATGGAACGAGGAATGAGTGAAAAAGAAGAAGAAAAAAGTCTAATGGATCAAACTTGTTGGATATGTACCGCTGCTGGAATGAAAATTGAATTCTAATTCATATGTGGGATAACCAGTTTGTCTCCCTTGATTCTATTTTAGGTGACAACATTTTTACTCTTCTTTTGAACTGTTAGACCGGATTCTATTCACCAAATGATCATGTTTAATATTTTTGTGAGCAATAAAACAGATCGAGTTAAGTTGTCTTGTTAATGATCATCAAAATAAATCTTCAACAAAAATATCTTTTTTATTATTTTTTTTTTTGCTTTTATTTTACATCTTCGCACTTTGATTCTTCACTTTAAGAAACTAAATGAGAATTGGTAGGATGAAGACTTGAAGTATTCTTTAGGTTTCGTGGAATTTCTTTGTTTAGTCGGAGTAATTGGAAATGTGAAGACGAACATAATAAAGTCGATTAGATAATCTGACTGTCGTGAAGTGCAACCTGAGATATTTAATTCTGTAATTAATTCTTTTTTTATCAGCTTCTGGTTATTGTTCAAATCATTTGTCAGCTCACACTAATGTTTCCAAAAATAAATTAATGAAGCTGCGATCATCAAGCAGCAGGAATCATGCTCCAATAAAAATACCGCTCAAAAAATTCGCAATAAAAAATAAATAAAATTTTTTCCATGGTTTGATTCGTGAATTTGTTGAGATTCTCTTGTGATGGGATATAATTTATAGATCTACTGATGTTATAAAAGTATTTGAGCTTAATTCCTCTAAAATTTCCCTTGCACTTGTTTCGAACCTCAAAAAGATTTAAATGGAATTTTAATGATTCATTTCGGTGTGCTTTTAAAAGGTGTTTGTTGCTTCGTATTGTGTTAAACATAAAACAAAAACTAAAAACAAGAGCTACGTCTGCTAACAGACAATAAAAAACTGAAATCAAATTTAAATAGATGGATCCGATAGAATACATAAATAAAAATCGCAAAGATTAAAACTCTGTGGGACTTTTTCACGGGATTTTTGGAGAATGAATAAATTTCTAGAGAAACAAAATAAAAAACATTTCGCTGATGACTGGCTCGCCAACTCGTTGAAAGAAATAAAAATCAAAAATTATACTAAACATCAATCAAGTCATAAGTAATTAACGATAAGAACATATCGATAAGCATTCAAACAACTTCTTAATCTGATCAAGTTCGAGTAACAATTAAGCGTCACATGAACTTTTATTTTGATCAAAAAATTACAAAACAGCAACATCAACAGTCACCAAACAAAAAAAAAGAAACTATAGCAGATCGAATTAATTACCATATGTTATTAAATTGTGGTTGTATTGGATGTATGTATGACAGCACGACTTTTAGTGCGCTTAATCCAAGGGCGTTATTCATGCACGATGAATTCTGAATTCTCCAAGTCATAGTCAAGCGAGGATTAAGAAAATACATTTTTTGTTTCTTATGATGGTGTGTGGATATATGCGAAATACTCTGGCAATTACAGTCAAGGATGTCTTAAACCATACATAAACATAATCACAAAAAAAGAACATCAACTTTTCAATTGCTTTGCTATAAATTTAAAACTCAACTCCCGCAGCTCATTCTGTGTAATTTGAATTCTTCCAATAACAAGATAGATATTTAATATGGAAGGGTGAATGAATGAAAGAAAACAGCCAAACACTTTCACTGATGTTCTCATGAGGATTACATTTTATGATCATGTTCATCCATCTTTAAGATGAGTATCGTTAAATTCACTTTGAGTAAAAACCGGCGTAAGATCCAATGAAAAGCTCCCGAACCAATATAAATATTAATAGGACGAATCGTGACGTAAGCTTCGTCTCGTTTTCGTAAGAAAACATCACATAGCGCCAGACGCTACACCAACGCACTTGAATCGAATAAGTAGATTGACTCCTGTTTTCTTTCTCACAGAATCTTCTCGGCAACAGATTGAAGTTAAAGAAAATTAACAAATGAGTTATCGGCAATAAGTAACTTGAACTAAAAAAGTCTTCCAATTAACACAAAAGTTTGCTCTTCAATAACGTTGTTGAAAGAGAATCAAAGCAGCTTAATATCGATTTGCAAGAAGAATACTTGAAAGAAGCGTCAATGAAGCCAGAATATGATTTATGTTTAACATATATCAAGTTACGTCAACGAATAAAATATGCAATAAAGGCTCATAGTCAATTTTCACCGCCAACGCTAGGAAAATTTGGTGTAAAATGAAGAATTTTTCCATATGGTACATTGATAGCAGAAGATAACATTGGCATTTAGAATAATTTGAGACGCTTCCACTCCAACTACTTTCCTGACTCATATGTCTTAGAAGCCACTTAAAAGCTATCTTGAATTCAAGTTTTGGTCGAAAGAAGTATCGAAATCAAACAAAACAGTACAAGGAAAAATCAATTAAATTTCTTTTCATTTTTTTGTGTGTGGCTACGATGCATTCACAACTGTCCGAATGACTTTTAATGAACGCATATGGACGCTTATAGAAACTGTGTACTGATTGAATAAATGATGCATTGAACCTGGCTATAAGAAAATATGTGATTCAATCGAATGGAATGTTGCAGGAGAACTGAGAATAATGCATAAGTTAATTCCTTCAACAAAATGAAGTTATGTTTTTTGAGGAGACTTTCGAACGATATCTGATTGCACATGCAAGGAAATGGCTTTTATTTTAATTTCGTTGGTTTTATAATATTATTTGCAATATGTTGTAGTCCACGGACAATATGCTTGTATTTTAATATTCGGTGAAAATTATAAAAGTGAAACGCCCAAAGGCTTCCTCGAATTTTCCCGTATTTACTCACCGACTTCAAATATTATCATATTCCTGATGATATTCGTCACTTTAATAAAACATTGAAACACTTTTCATACAGTTTGGATACTTATTATCTTTTAATTTTAATAATCCAAAAAAAATTCTTTTTCAAAAGAATGTTTTTCATCCACGCCGAGTTTGTTCGAATGATAGGTTGTGTCTTTTTCCAAGGAAATTGGGGCCGAGTAAATTTTTTTGAAAGGTTATCGCTCAAGTTTCATACCCCTACTGTGTTTTAACTGAATAATGTAAAACTATTCAAATCTTAGAAAGTTCGTTATTTTTTATTCTTTATCAAAATAGGTGTCTAAATCGAAATTAAAGGCGATCAGTTAATCTTAGTCAACTTTTCGTTTTTCGCTTTTCTAAAATATATATTTTATATGATGGGAGATTCTTCAAGACAATCAATAAAACACAGAGTGAGTTCTTTCAATTTAAGTTCAGGTTAATTCAAGTTAATATCTTTATAATTTTTCTTTAAGCAAAGCCGTGTTTCGATTCGCTCCATTCGTCAATCACAATCTGGTGGTGGAGACTTTGACAGTTGGTCACGACCAAATCAACTTGTGCGTCCCGATAATCAAGTAGATGTTCCAGAAAGTGATCTCTTGGAAGAAATTCCAAAAGTTTTATCAACAGAAAACAAAACATTGCCAACTAATCTCGTAATTTATAGTTTCAAAGATAGTTCATACATACCAACTTCCAGAAATGTTAGTGTTCTTACAATTTTTGATTGCGATGGAAATTCAATTCATATCGAAAGTGACGAAGCCAAGAAACAAATTGCAAGAGATGGTGGATTTGAAGGTGAAAGAAATTTTTAATTTGATGAAAATTGTTAAAACTTTTTTAAATTCTCTTAGTAATTGAAACTGAAGTAAAACAACCTTCAGCTTCAAAAAAGAAAAATCGTGAAAATTTACCTGAAGAAGATGGCGAAATTGTTCCTGATGAGAAAGCTGAAGATGATGAAGATGAAGCTGAAGCTGGTGATGATGACGATGACGAAGATGAAAAAGTTGTGAAATCACAATTAGGATCAAAGAAAAAAATCATTAATCAATTCAATTTTTGTGATGGTTCAGCTCTGACACGTAAAAATCCAACACGATCTCTTGATACTGAAACAATTCCACCCCCGCGTTCAAGATTCGGTGCAAATGTCGCTCAATGGCATATCTACGATTCATATCAGGAAGATTTTGCACGTCAAACAATTGAAAATGAAAAGGAAATGATGAAAGAGAAGAAAATTGGATTACAAAAGCAAACAGAATCTGATAAAATTGAAAAGAAATTCGTAAGAAAATTTTGTCAAAAGTATTTCAAGAAGCATCAAATTTTGGAACGAATGGTGAATCGAAATATATTCGATGACGTTTTTCATGGTGGAGAATTTATTTCTATAATTCATCATAAGAAGATTTTCTAATGAGAACTTTCAAAGATTACAGATATTATGAAGATCCAAATGATGAGTCTCATGAAGACAGTGCAACGTTGTTGCTTTTATGGAAGTTTATGTATGATAAGTGCAGGAAAATGAATGTGACTTACATTTGCTTCAACACTTATTACTTTGATTTGTTTGCTGTTTGCTTCGGATCGTACAATTTCACGAAACAAATGGATGAAGGTTACGTTTGCTTCTTCTCAATTAAAAATCAATCATTTCCCGAATATCAGAGTAAGTTTAAAAACATTCAATGCTAGATTAATTTTATCGTCATTTTATTTACAGTCAAAACAGAATCGGGAGCGATGTGTTGTGATTCACATAAAGAATATCCACATTTACTTGCAATCGGGACCTATAATGGCAACGTTTATGTTCATAATCTGCAAGTTGGAACTAACGAACCGGTTTACGCTACAAAATATGGCAGTGGAAAGCATTTGGAAGCGGTTTCTGCGATTAAATGGAGTGAAAATTTGCATGACGGAGAATTAAACTTTTTCTCATTATCTTCCGACGGTTCCGTCTTAAATTGGGTATTGATGGAAAATAAATTGACATTATCAGTTGTCATAACTTTATTCATGGAAATGTTACCAATTTGTAAACCTACTCAATCGGAATATAAATTGAAAGCGAGTGGAACTTGCATGACTTTTCATCCAAATAACAAAGAAGTCTTTCTAGTGGGAACTGAAGACGGGATCATCCTAAAATGTAGCACCACCTACAATTCAAAATATTTGATGGTTTATCATGCGCATTATCTTGCAGTTCATTCCATCGATATAAACAAATTTAATTCAAATATTTTCTTGTCATGCTCCGATGATAATCGAGTTAAAATTTGGGAAGATATGAGAAGTGAACCGTTGTTTTCCTTCGATCTTGGTGCAAGCGTTGGTGATGCTAAATGGGCACCATACTCAAGTACGGTCTTTTGTGCTGTTACTGCAAACGGACGAATTCATGTATTCGATTTAGATGTTAATAAATTTAAAGCAATATGTTCGCAGCTAGCAGAGCCACGCAGCAGAAATAAACTTACACGCATTACGTTCAATAATAAACTTCCTTTCATTTTGGTCGGAGATGAAAAGGGCGCTTCAATATCATTGAAACTTTCGCCCAACTTACGACTGCCTTGTAAGCCCCCGAAAAAACAAGAATTTATGGATCAACGCACACTTCAAGTCCTAAAGTTAAATAATTTAATTTCAATGGCTAGAGAAGCGGATGAAGGTGAACAACTGGCAAACATTTCTTTACGCAAAAACTGAAACAATTTTGGAACAAAAAAGTTGATGAAACTTCCAAAAAGTTTGCATGCAAAATTTTCTTTTTTTTAATGTCATCAAAATTACAATTTTTTTATTCATTTTTGTTTATTATTATTATTATTATTTGATAGCATTTTCCCGAGCATCATTACTACTAAATAAAATGTAACACTGTTGTTTTGATTTTTTATATTTTTTCCTTCCTTTTCTTTTATATCCTTCAAATCCCATCTTTGATCTAATTGAATGATATTTAAATGTACAACGTGAAACTATTGAACATAAATCTTATCACCTAAATGAAATATTAAGCAAATGATTAGATAGATTAAAAGAAAAATGAAAATTGAATTCAAATCATTGTTTTGTTTTACTTCCATCAAATTTTCTTATTATTATTATTATAAATTTTCTTTCAAGTTTCCCCTTCAAGTTGTTACTAACATTAACAAAAATTTTACTGAATTCAAGAATTTTAAACTGAAGAGGAAAGAAAATAGCAGAAACATATTAAAAAAAAAGATTCCAATAATTTAAATATGCGTGTGTGTGTTGATGTATGTTATGTGTGTGTGGGCTTAATTTGCTGGCGCCTTTCATCCTTCTTCTTCTTGCTTTTCTTTTGTTTTATTTATTTTTTTTCTCGTGAAAATATTATTTTTGTTTTAATTTTGTTTTTCTTATCATCTAAAGCATGATGTTGGATTCTTTATGCAAATCCGAAACCTTCCGAGCATTCGTGGATTGCTTTCAGAAGATTCGTTCGCAATTTATCGTAAGATTTGTAGACTGGCAAGTCAAGTTGATTAAAGCTGTAAAAGTATTGAATTAGGATTTTTTCTTTTGATTTTTATTTTAAACTTTTACCATGTATGTGCCGACGGCAAACGATCTGTTGAACGGTCATCACGATGAATCTGGAATTTCTGTATTCCGTTCATTCCTTCTAACGCGCCGAAGCCTTGCAAAGGTACTTTTGATGTTCCTGTCACAAATTGAAGGAATTTGGCACGTTCTGCTTGATCAAAACTTCTCAATGCTCTCCAGAACCATTGAATCTAAAATAAAAACAATTAATTAATTATTAAAACATTTTTGATAAAGTTTTATGTTTCATACTTGAATCGATGTTGCTTGATATTTATGATATTCTGTATTAGCACGCAAGTCTTCAATGTCAATATTTGGTAAGCCAGAAATTAACAATTCCAATTCTTGTTCGTTGAAAATAGAAATCAATCGTTTTGGGATAATATCGTAGAAACCTTCCAAGAAAGCATTCAATCTAAAGAGAAATAAATTGCAATTTTTCAAATCATTCATTAAAATATTTTATTCTACTCACTGTTGTTTGATTGATCCACTCATCTTTAACTGACACACCATTTGAATGTATTCCAATTTATTTTCTTCTGTTACTGCAATATTTCCACCATTCGGTATCAATTCTCTCACTTCAGTGACGCCAAACTCTTGAATCTCCAAGCTGAATGTTAAATCATAGCCAAGTGTATCGACACGATTTTCAATAAGATAAACTAAACCTTGATAGAAAGCATAATCTTCACTTTCCATATCTGTGTACTTTACTTGAATTCCTAAAATGTGCTTATAGAAAGCGCGCGTGAAATAGCATTCGAGAAGTTTGTTGTCGTAAATAGCTTTGGCTGTGAAAATTAAAACATAATTAAATTGATCCATCAGGCTTTGAATCGTTTCAAATTTGAATTAGAACAAGTCGAAAGTGAAATGGAACAATGAGAAAGTGGAACATTTCCTTTTCATTTCTCGATTTGTTCTAATTCAAATTTGAAACGGTACAATTCCCACTTCGAATGAAACTTACCAATGACACGTCCAACGAATTTAAAGTAACACAAATGATTTGGATTACAATGCGATGATGGATTTATCATGTATGTGACACGATCCCCAGGCGAAACAGTGAAAAGTGCATACATTGGATTGAAGATTTCACGTGATATTATCATATACCATTCACGTAATAAACCGCCAGCATCTTGACCCTCTTCATCTTCAAAGACAATGTAGAATCGGTTCTTCCACTCTTCTGGATTACGACGATAAAGTTCACGGAACGAATCTTCAAAAACATTCACACGATGAACGTGAACTGCTAACTCTTCACGACGTATGCCATCATCAAGACGTTCAAGTTCAATTCGGAAGTAACGTCGCTTTACATCGAAATCTAAGACTCTCGTATGATCAACTAAAACAGCAAATGGACCATCAGCTAAATGTGTTGATGATTGTCTCAATATTTGATTCAACACAACACGATGAGTTTCAGCAAATTGTAAAAACTTCTTCTGATCAGCTGACAATGGTGGTGGTGGCTGCTGCTGCTGTGCTTGTTGAGATTGTTGTGAAGCGCTCGATGCTGTAGCATTTGATTGTGTTGTATCCATCGGTGATAAACGTTCAGCTTGATCATTATCTGTTGATGTCACAGCTTCTCCATGTTGGCTTTGTCTTGCAATTGCAATATCATCGATTGGAATATTTAGATGAACCGATGGTTGATTATTATTAGCATTCTCTTCACCACCACTTTGACTTCTATCTACACTACTTCTACTGTTGTTATTTACAATCTCTGCAGTTGCTGATGGTTGTTGTTGTTGATTAATACTATTATCACTGGATCGAGAAGAAGCGGCAGGAACTTGAGCTGATGATGATGAAGATGCTTCTTGATTTGTATTTGATGTTGGTGCGACACTTCCAACACGACTTAAACGACGAGCTGCTGTACCTGCACCACTTCCTGATTTCACTTGTGGCGCAGAATGAACGATGAAGAAAGCTTCAACAGCTGGTTGTAAAACTAGCACAGCATGATGATCTTGTGTCTCTTCCAACTCTTTCAAGCAATCACTTAAAGTATTCCAAAGTGAATCTAAATTCAAGAGTTCACTAAGTGGAACAGTTTCCAACTTTGTCAATTGTTGTTCGATGTAACTGTCACAAGTTTTTGTATCTTGACGAACAGTGTCACGAATATTTGTTATAACTTTAAGGATTCGTAAGAAGAAACTTTGATTTGATGTTTTTGAGAGTAAAGGAGCCATCGATGGTAATTGAAGATCATTTGAAGTCTTAACTTTCGATGGTGCAGTTATAATAACAGAATCTTTAGTGAAACGATCACGAAGCAAACCTTTCGATGTGGATGGTCGTGACAATTCATCAGAATCATCACCAGTTGTCATTATTCCACTTTCAGTCTTCTTATCACCTTTTAATGAATCATTCAGTTGACGTAATTCCACCATCAGATTATTGATATGCTTTTGAACCATATGGGAAAGTTCAATGACACCTTTTACGAGAAGATTTATTATCATGTACTTTGTCTTACTTGAACATTGACTCAAATTGATGAGAAGTGCTGTCGCATCTTCAAGTCCATCTTCCGAACATGATTTTGATGTTAAAACTTCAACTGTTAATGCTAAATGATCTTCAGATTCTGGCAATCTTTCCGACAATTCTTTCATTTCATTTAAATTACTTTCAACTGTGGTCGTTGTTGCGGTTGATGGTGGAATATTAACAACTGATAATGCGCCACTGTTATTCACTTGCTGTTGTTCATTTGATGACGAAGATGGCGATGATTTCGATAAATTATTTTTATATTTATCATCTGTCAACACAATCGAGATCAATGAAAGTAATCGTAAGAGTTTATCAGTCAACATGCTGTTTTTACGAATAATATCGAATGAAAGCATTATAATAAGTTGTCCAAATGGAGATTCGGTGAATGTTTTAATGTCTTGTTCATTAAAGTCTTTAATTTGCTTACAAATCGCTTTAAATTGTGCTGCGCCTTTCTTCGATGAACGTTCATCAATTTCATTATCTAAGCGCATCAGAATATCCCAAAAATCATTTGAACGATCACGTTGAATTGCAGCAGCGGATGTTGATGGCATTGGTTCATCATTCGATTCATTTGTTGTTGTTGCTGATGTCGTTGATGTTGTCGAAGTTCGCTTTAATGGCAAAAAGTGTGCTGGGAAACTTTTCGCAAGGAAAATCAACAAATCAAGCGTATGACGACAAACAGTTGGTGACGCTTTAGGATGAATTGTTAATGGACTTCCACTACCACTGCCACCAAGTGACTTTTCGTATTTCTTTAAGAAAACATTTGCACGTCCACCAAGTGCTGAATCGAGTCTCAGTTTCAACCATTTGACTTTATCATCATCACGTTGATTTATTTTGTTAGTTCTTGATGTGTTTGGGCTCGGCTCAAGATAATGTTCCATGGATTCTTCATTGCATCGTGTAATGATGCTCAACAACGATTTGATGATCCATTTACGTGTCGGAATATGAAAGCATAAATTTCTAATCACACGATAGAGTCGTAGTGTCGCGATGTTTGTGTCGTCAATGAAAAGTAAGACAAGAATTGACGCCAGTGATTCTTGATCGAGTAACGGAGCTCCGTGACGTTCCATATTGGCAGCAATTGATGTCGCATTCATTGCTTGTCCACGCGTTAATGCAAATGAATGTCCACTTGCAGTACTGAAACCCAGAAGATTATGTCGGGGCACATAAACTCTTGGATCTGCAAGACCACTTTGATTAGTAACAGCTCGCAAATGATGTGAATGGTTTAGCAAATTGCTTAAACGGTACTCACTGCGATTGCCAGGATTTCTCAAAGCATGCGTGAAACTTGATGTTAAAATTCTTTCTTGCATTTGACGATTTCTCGTTTCCCAATCACGACGAAGATTTTGTGCTTCAGCTGCTAAATCGGGTGGCAGAGCAGCAATTTGTGAGTCTTCCATGTCAGCTAAAATCTGTTTGAAGAAAATTAAAAATTAAATCAAATTTCATTACAAAGAAACTTTTCAACTGACCGTTTGACGAAGTGACGGCTGTAAATTCTGGAAGAACTCAGCAGCATTGACAGGATCATTTGGATTGGCAGCAGCGGCTGCTTGTCGTTGTTGTTCCATTCGTTGTTGTGCTAAAACTTCTTCTTGAATATTAAGCGGAAGTGCAGCTAAAAATTCAGGATTAACATCAGCTAAAGCTTGTGCTTCTTGTAACGCTGACGTTTGCTGTGCACGTTGTCGAATTCTTTGTTGTCTAAAAATACAAAAATATTTAAATTAAAATCAAAGGAATGACAAAAATTCTTCACCTTAAATGTTCTTGAATGACTTCATCTCTCATCTCAGGTGGAAGTGCTGCAAGGAACGATGGATGAACACCTTCTGGCACTTCCAAATCGCCAAGAATCGCTCGAATTGCTGGATCCATATCTTGAATAATTCCACCAGTTACAATCTCGTCATTTGCATTTTCTGCTGTTGTTGCAGTTGCTGTCGTTGTTGAACTTTCAGTCAGAACATTTGATGTGTCAGCTGTTGAGGCTATTGGAGCTTGTGCTCCACCAACAGCGCCACCATTTTCATCATGTTCATCTTCATCCTCTGTATCATCATCATCAGACGAGTCTGAATCATCAGAATCATCATCGGTTGGAAGTGGAACTTGACTTGCTTGCATTGTCATTGTAACTTCCTCTTCATCACCTTGACGATGACGACGATCCTCTTCACTTTCAATATCTGTGTCACCTCTCATTGGATGATCGTTATGACCTCCAGTTGTTGACTGTTATTGAATATTCAAATTATTCACTTGTTGTTGCTGTTGTTGATCATTTGATTGCGAAGATGTTTCTCTATTCAACATATTCATTACACTTGTCTCAATTTGATGACTGTTTGGTGAATAATTTGGCGAAAATGATCGAGAATTGTTTGCTGATGCTGACGATTCTTCATTGTCTGATGTCATTTCAATGTCAACATCAAGATTGAGTTGATTATCAGTTGTAAGATGTTGCGGTTGTTCAACGACTTGCGTTGAGACTGTGATTGGCTCGTGCGATGACGATTGATGACCTCCACCAGCTTCTTCATTAACATCCATGAAGGAAATGTTGAGATTGTTGGTGGCACTTTGTGATTGTGACACTGACGACGTCGTCGTTTCATCATCAAGCTGAACATATTGCATCGTCTCAACATTTCGATCTTCATTCAATTGATTTACATCTTCGGACGGATCAGAAACACGAATCGGCTCAACCGGCGTTGGAACACTTGCCAATGCGTTCGAAACTGCAATTTCACGTTGAGCTAGAATCTCATTGATTTCATCGTCGTTTAATTTCTTTCCATCTTGATTGCGTTGCTTCATTTCATCTTCTTCCAAAGCTTTCTTCTTCCGCTTCCCACGAATTTTACTCAATTCAAGAGCACGCGCTGCATCTAATTCGGGAATCATTTCATCACAAACGACCATGCATAAGTCAGAATTTGAATCGGGACCAGAAATTTTATTTTCTTCTTGCCACCAGCCAAGTGCTGATGGATGATTATTCAAATGATTTGCGAGTGTTCGTCCAAACCAATACCCAGTTTGATCAAGCATCTCAAAATCTAAATCGTCATTTGAGAAGATGCTGAAACCATTGTCCATGACAACAACTCGAGTTCCATCGCGGAAATAAAGCGGATCGTTGCCTGGTGTTGCGCCATTTCCTGAAGCAGCATTTGCTTGTCCTGGTTGCCGATTCTGACGAAGTTCAAGCATTCGTTGAAGAATCACTGGAGGATTTCTTGAATTGATGTTGATTAATTGATAGCGACGAGCTCCACGACGTCTCGCTGTTTGTAAGCCGCTTCCTTCACTCACATGAAGACGATCATCAGCACGATCAGTTGAGGATGTTCCATCAGGTCTGCCTGATAACAATGGATGATTATTAGGTGGTGGAGCATTTGTGTTAATCGGAGCTGTGGCAACTTCATTCGATGCATTTGATGGAGCACCTTGAGCTGAATTTGAATTGTCATTTCCACCTTGTTCACTGTTTTCATTGTACAGAAGTGGGAAGTTTGCATTGAACAAGAAATTTTGTGGTTGTTCATTAATGTTGTTGGCATTTGCGCCACTTGCTGCAGCTGAAATGTTAATTCCTCCACCAGCTTGTGCATCACGATCTCTGACAGTTCGATTCTCACGTGCTTCAGTGTTGTTATTCGCATTTCCATTATTCTGAGCAATATTTGAATATTGAATCATTAGAATATCTTCATGATCGCGTTCAATTTCCGGAATTGATGGCGACAAATGACGTCCATACATGTGATGATCATACATTTCAAATGGTTGAGTTTCTTCATCTTCATCAAGCTCTGAACGTTCTTCAGCTTCTTCTTCCTCTTCGTCATCGTTTTCGATTTCTTCTGAAACAAGGAAATTTTGTAATTTTGAAGGAATTTTTCTTTAAATAATTTTAGGAATGTTAATTATCAATCAACATCTCTAATTATGATAAATTTCTTTATACTTACCAACTTCATCCATTTCACGTTCTTCATTATCGGAAGCATTTGATTCCGAATCTCCCGAATCACTGCTCGATTCTTCATGAACATTCATCAGCTCAACGTTTTCTCTCAACATTCGTCGATTATCGTCATCATCATTGTTATCATCATCATCATGATTATTATCATCAGCGTAATCATTAATACCTCGAAGTTCTTCACTCATGAGCGTATCAAGAATTTCATTTAATCGCACTTCACTCAGCTCATCTTCACCAACAAGTGAATCAATCGCAGCACTCGACATATCGCGATCAGTATTCTGTTCCGAATCATTAGCAAGCATTTGTTCATCTTGAGCATTTGTTGAGTCACTGTTGGTTGTTGTGGTAATCGCTGTCGTTGCATTTTGATTATTATTTGATGTTGTAACATCAGAAGCTGTCGTTACAGTTGCATTAATTGCTTCTGAGTTCACTTGATTATTTTGTTGCTCATTTGTTGTCAAATTGTTACTGATAGATGAAGCTGTTGATTCTTGATGGTGTTGATGATGATGGTGGTGACTTGATGACGATGATCCCGAAGCTAATAATAGTAGTGGTGAAACACAGCAACAACTCGCAGAACCGCCTGCCATTTTCTTATATTTCAATGGCATTGAAGGCATCGGCTCATTTGTTAATCGAAGAAGAATCTCCAAAGGTTTCAATAAATGATTAATTGTTGTTGTTGTATTTGGACCACCAAGTTCCAAATATTGAACAGCTCTTGCAATATCTGTGATAATTCCTTTCTCGAGCATTATATAAAAGATATTATGACGCAATTGTGAATGATTATTGACTTTAAAGAATTGATTATTCTCATTATTTCCACCATTATTCTCAATCATTGCTGGAATGAGTGTTGCAAGACCTTCGATGTGAAGATGTTTCTCATTAGTTTCCGTTTCATTTAAGGCACGTTGAAGAGCCCATTTAACTTCTTGAACGACTGTCTCTTGTGCTTGTGTAACATCTGAAGAAGCAATTGCTGAAATGAGACTTTGAGCCATTGCTGGACATTCACGATCCATATTCGCATCATTTATATGAAGCATTCGATCAAGAATAAATGATAATGCTGTTGTATCTTCATTTATCATGGCTGACATACCAGCACGATATTTATGTTCAGTTATATAGAGTGCAACTGTCTGATAACTCTTCACAGATTCAGCCAGAATCTTCAAGATTGCTGATTTTGATAAAAGTGGCTTGTCGCTGTTGTTATTGCCGCCATTTTGTTTTTCCTTCAAATCATCAGCTGATTGTTGTTGAGGCTGCTCATTTGTTGCTGTAAATTTCTCTTTTCTCGGTCCATCTCTTGTCGATGTTTTTTCTGGTTGTATCCACATCATGTTACATGAATTTGTATCGGCATTTCCACCAGCGCCATTTCCAACATCATCAGGTTCAATTAATGCTTTTAATAATTTACAAACAGCTGACATTGCTGTTGAATGTTCCATGTTGTATTTAATATTTGTTGATAATGGAATTGATTTCATAATGAAACGTTTCTCATCAGTGATTTGTGAACGTTTCATTGAATCAAAGTCAACACGAAGAATCTTTAAAGCTGCTTCTTTAAACAATTGTGGATCACGATAAACCGCAGAATTTAATTGACGAATAAGAAATAAAAGTTCACGATGACCTGGCGGAATTGTTGTTAATGTTCGATTTGCGAGAACATTTTGGATTGAAAGTGATAATGTTTTTGGTTCTTCAATCACATGACGAATCAGAAGTGTTGCAAGTGTTGTAAATCCAATGTAACCAGAATTTTGTTTCATGTTAAGTAAAACGTCAATTCCACCGAATCTTGCAAACACTTCAGCAAGTGAATAATTCTTTGTAAGACGAACAACAACTCGCATTATTGCATGTAATGTATCACGATCTAACTGTTGATGTGCCATCAATTGAACGCATGATGAGACAATTTCCTCTGGACAAAAATTACTCAACGGCTCCAATTCAATCTCTTCGAGAACTTTCGCATAAGTTTTAGCTGGCGTATCAACATCCATAAGATTAACACTTTCAACTTGTTGTGGTTGTGGTTCAGTTGATGTCGATGGTTATTGAATATTTTCTCTTGTTGATGTTGATTGATTGTTGTCATTATCATCTTCATTAGCCAACGAACCTTCTTCTTCTTCCGCCTTTTCATCAAAAATTCCACTTCCAATTGTTGGATTATTCATCGTCTCAATTGATCTCAAAGCCATGATGATTGGACGATGATTAGAACTTTCTTCATTTATTTGTGACATACATTTAAAGTTAATGATGTAACGATGACGACTTAGAACAAGATGAATTTCACTTTCACCCGCCATATAAGCGTCATTAATCATTTTGTTATGTTGTGGCGAATAACTATTCCATTTGGATGAGGAAATATCGTACCATTGCCATGTTGTTGTACAAATCTTATGCATTTGTTGCTTTTGTTTTGTTGATAATGCAACTTTGTCATATAAATCTAAAAGCAATGCTAAAGGTGCAAGCCATTTAGGTGTTGGAAGCACTTTATTCATCATCGTGACAATCATTTGATAATCAGTGAGAACTTTAATGAGACGTGGGATGATGTTATACGTTTTTAAAGCATTTGCACATGGAACTTTCATATCTTGATAATGTCCTTGAAAGAATAATGTGAATAAATGAATTCGCACTGCTGTTTTATTTGCCATATCGCCAGATACTAATTTTTCACTCTTCTCTTTGTAATTCTTTGTTGATCTTTCATCATCTTGAACCAGAATTCCAATTAAATATTGAATACATTGATAGATTTCCTTGCACAACGTATCCAACATTTCATCACGCCATATTGGACCATTTCGCTTTGTCACAGTAATGAGAAGATCACAAATCTTGTAAACAGTTTCCGGTAATTGATCGAGAACATTTAAACACGTCTTTAAAAGATTTTGTGTGAAGTCATCGAGCGTTTTCTTCGGTAATGGTTGTTCAAGTAAATATTTTTTAATTACTTCCTTTTGCTTTGTCTTCGATGTTGCTTTCGATTGTTCGTCATCATTTGATGTTGATTTATTTGCATTTCCACTTGTACCTGGTGACAATTCCATATTTGTTGAAGGGTTTATTGGTGTTGATGATCGTGAACTTCCCAAGCTGTTAAGGATCGCACGAATCACTTGTTCATCTTCTTCACCCACATCAATGTCCATATTGACAGGTGTTGCAATTGTTGCTGGATTTAATGAACTTGTGGTCGTTCTTTCGTCATCACTTATGACATCGAGAAGGATTGATGTACGATTTCTAGGGTTTGTTAAAAGATATTCTGTGGCACCTTCCAAACTCAAATAACGTCGCAATGCATTTATGCTGTTTTCACATGAAAATCCCATATCAACAAGTTGTCTTAAATGTTCTTGATTAACATCCAAAGCCGATGCTGATGTCGATGGTTCTGTTGTTGATGATGAAGTTGATGATGTTCCAGTACCAGTAACGCCAGCGACAGCAGCTGCAGCAGCAGCAATTGATGATGTTGGTAAAATTGCTTTCGGTTTGTTATCCAATGAAATTGCAACGCCTTGTCCGTTCTTATAATATTTCGATTGAAGAACTTTCTCACCTTTTATGATGTGTTTAAGAATTGAAAGCATCGATTCAGTCATTCTTAAGCCATATGATTTTAATGGTTTATATCCCCACAAATGTTGAATACTTAAGAATGCATTACGATGCATGTAAGTGAGATAATGTTTTGTATCGAAATCAGTTTTAACGCCGCGTGTTTTTGATGTTATTTGATGTGGTGATTCAATGATGTACTTTAAGTTGACCATCTTTTCAAGTAACATCAGCCAAGCGTCTAAAGCTTCACCAGTTCCATCAGGAAGATTTGGATGTTCAATTGCACGATGAATTGGAATTGTGTAACCAGCAGTCAAAGTCCAACGAAACATTTCGAAGAATGCTTCAAGTCCACCTTCTTCAATAAACTTTTGAAGCATCAAATGATAAGCAAAACGTTTCTCATCAAACAACATTGGACTTGTAAATCCAATTGAACAAATCAAAAATGTTAATTTCAATTTGGGAACGGGCGATGATGGAAGTTTATTAAATGAAAGTCCATCAACAAGAATAAAGCTTAAAACTCTTGCAATCTCACGTGATGTTGGCGATGTGAATGGTTGTGCTTGAATAAAATTCTGTCCACGTCTCTGTCTTAACGGTGATCCAACACAAAGTCGAACAAGAAGACCAAATAATTCAGCCAATGCTCTTCCTAAGCGTGATGATGCACCAAGTAATGATTTTATATATTTGAGTTGACTCTGCGATGCAATAAATTTCACATTTTGAACTTTTCTAATCGCACCTGTTGACGATGTCGTTGCTGATGTTGTTGTTGAGTTATCAACATCCATCGTTGAAGATGTTGCTGGGCCACCACTTACGCCACCTGGTGTCAAATTCTCCATCACTGATAAATTCGAAACAATTTCATCCCAATTCACTTCAATATTATTCTTCAAATCACTTGCAGCTCCAAGTTTCTCCATTTCATCTTTTCCAAATTCTGATCCTGGTGGAATTATGTCATCAGTACAAAGTGCAAGTAAAAGTGTTGATTCCCATACAAGACCAGTGTAAAGCATCACAAGTTTCTTTAATAATTGCATCCCATAGTTGTTGTCTTGTCCCCATTTCATTAAAGACAATGTACGAATGTCACTTTGACCACTTCGACAAACATGAACCAACATCACAACATAGCCATGAACAGCACTCATTGCATGTAGTAATGGAGTGTAATGAGCGTTTGTAAAAGCGTGATTAATGTCTTGACAATTGGCAAGTTCTTTTAATAAAACGCTGCTACTTGTATGTTCTTGATGATTCATCAGTGGCTTCAATAACTCAACAACATTTGATAATTGTTCTAAAGCGACTTGAAGAACTTGCGATTCATGAGTTAAATTCAAGATTGACTTACAAACTGAAGCAACAGCTTGTGCTGTCGCTGTAATAGGTGAATTGAAGCTTGTAACAGGAAAGTTTTGCAATGATAGTATTGTTAATAAAGGACGCAATCCACCTAATGTCACAAATTCACGACAATGATCATCTGTTGAGTTGTTACTTAGAATAGCTTCAAGAAATTTCATTGTATTGAGTGTGTAATCAATTAAAGCAATGGGAACTCGTTCTGATGATTGTTGCACTGCTGTTGCAACATTTGATGATTGTTGCACATTATTGTTACTTGTTCCACTGCTACCAGCAGCAGCAGCACCAGCAGTTTGATTATGTGATGACGTTGAAACTTCCTCTTCATCCTCATCATCCTCATCAGAACTTCCACCGTTGTTATCATTGTTGTTATTCTGTCTTGAATTTGGAATTTGCGGTGACACTTCATTTTTATTTTGTGCACGCCAGCAAATATATTTTGGATCAGTTCCAAGCTCAACAATCTCTTCAAGTAACTTTATAATCGCTTTAATTGCTGGTGTCTTTAAACTTGGTTGATTTCTCATTAATTCATCCATTGCATTACCGATATTTGATGCTGTATCACCCATCGGATCAGAACTACGACGACGACGCATTGCCGAAAGATAAACCGGTGAAGTAAGAACACGAAACAACTTCTCAAATGGATTATATTTGACGAAGCTTTCCAAGCCACGAGTATTTAAACATAAAGCACTGAATACATTAGGCAATGATCCAAGCACTTCACGTGTTGCTGGCACATCTTTCTTGAGGAGTGCTTGTAAGACAACATCAGTTAGGCCATTATCTTGCAATGATGATAGCAATGATGGCTCTTGGAAGACGTAAACAGTGACAACATCAGTTGCAAGAAGGAAAAGTGACGGTCCATAGTACTCGGAATTGCTGATAATATGCTTAAGTGATTCAGGTAACGTTCCTTCCATTATATGACGTATTGAGTCAGAAAATGCGATGTCTTGAATCGCTTTCTTCAGAAAGTTCAACATCGACTTTAATAAAGCAGCACGTTGAGGTAAACATGTGCGATTTGTGATTTGACATTCATTTGTTGTTGTTTTTATACTGCTCGATGTACTAACACCACCTAATGATTGCGTCGATGTTGTCATTAGATTTCCACTTGCACCAGTCATAAAAATATCATCGTCACCATATTGACTTCCAGTATCCATCGCTTCATCAATATGCGTGACATTCTTGTCATGTTCAACATCAATGTTTGGCTTTATTTCATACGATTGCTCTTTACGACACAAATTAACTTCCATGTTGAGGCGCTTGATGAATGTATTGAGTCCATAGTTGGATTGAAATGATTGCATATCTATGTTGGTAATCAAGTCTATAACTCTCACAGCACGCGTTACAAAAGTAATATGTTCTAGCTCCGATCCCGACCAATTTATAACTCTCAATAAACTTTCCATCATTCCACATGAAACGAGAGATTCAGCGCCAGGCTCATAGCTTGCTAAATGATACAAGAAGCTGAACAAAGCAGTCGCTAATTGAAGTGGAAAGAGATTGTCATCAGTTTGATCAATTGATGACTTATTTGATCCTGTGAGATTTGCAATGCAATTTCTGACAAGTGTTGGAAGGAAACCGTGATAACTTGATGCACCTGTTACTTCAATTATTGTATTGAGACGTGATTCAGATTTTCTAAGAAGAAATTTAAATTTATTTAGTTTTAGTTTAATGTTTAAGAATTTTAAAAGCTCACCGTTGATATTGTGAATTTCTCTCGAGATGAATAATTGCTGTTAATGTTCTTAAAGCAGCTGCACGTATCTCAACCAAATTTATTTGCTGAAGTTCAAGCAACTCAACCAATTCTTCGAGGAAACCAGGATAGATGAGAGTTGATGTGTAGCCCATGAGAGCGTCTGAGTAGACGAGAATTGAAAGTGCTTGTAAACGAGCTTGGACGAATAGAATGCGATTTTCATAGTTCCAGAATCCAGTTGCAAGACGAGCACGTGCAAAGAGGTGATATTTCTGATCATCATCTAAATGCTGATCAAGATCTTTCCATAATTTCACGGTTATGCTTTTTGGATCGTGCTTTGAGATGTTTTGATGATCAATCACTTGAAGAGCGCCACTTTTTGTGTAGTATTCGTAATAGAAATGATAAATTGCTTTCGGCATCTTCTGATCAGGACGGCAGCAATCGGCTAAACCAAATCCACACTCTTTACCACCATAAGGCTCAGCAATATGCTTTAAACGACTCAACAATGTACTTTTCTTGTGACTGCTCAAACGAGAAATGAAATTGCTTCGTTTTGAGAACATGTAAAGCAGATTTAAAACACCGAGAATGATTTCCAGATCTGTTGACAGGAGAAGTTGTGTGAGATGTTCAACAGAATTGTACAAATGTCGCGAAAAGCTGTGCTCAATGAGAAGCGTTGTGAAATTGAGGACGAGTAGGAGAAGTTTGCGTCCCTATAAATAAAAGAATATTTTAACATGAATCATTTATGAAAAGAAAAAAATTATTATTTGCTCTTTTTACCTTCTCGAACTGTGGTGAATCACACATAATGTAAATCTGATTATCCTCATAATGCGTCGCTTCTTCTAAAATTTCATCGAAGATATCTAAAATATCGATCCAATGGAATAGTTCGCACTTGCCGAACGTCCACGTCTCAATTTTACTCAACTCCTCAATTAATTCTGTACGATCGCAGGCTTTTAATTTGTCGATTAGATTCTGACATTCTGGCGGCACTTCCGATGTTCCTTTCTTCAATCGACTGGTGTCGACTTTCATTCTTCTTTTCTATTATGTATTTTTCTTTTCTTTTATTATTATCTTCAAGAAAGATTCAAAATGACTCGTCTGAAAAAAAAAATTAGATTGCAAAATATTAGAAACTTTTGTTTCAATGAAAATCAATAAGAATTGAATTTATACTAATAAGTCGATGCTTGAAAAGGTAAATTGATTGTTTTAAGAGGGGATTATTTTGCAACAAAACTATAGAAAATTAACTGTGAAAATGGCGAAGTATTAATGGCGATTAAAAGAAAAATAAAAACATAATCTAGAAGCTTGTACTGTTATCATACTTAATTAGCTGTTTTAAATTGTTTTAAATGATTAATTATTTACACAATGATATGAAAAACATTAAACAATTGTCCGATTTAAAAGCGATTTCAAAGGGTTTCTTTGTGAAAATTTTTAATCAAGAAGAAAGAACTTTGGCAATTTCGTTCTAGGTTATGGGATTATGATAATAAACTTATACAAGACATTTCATTTTAATCATTTTGATTATAGTTTCATAATAAGTTGCGTAGATTGCGTTTTTGCAACATGAGCACAAAGAAAATGGGGCGAAAAAGTCAACACTCACCAAAATGCTTCATTCCAACAACAACAATTTTGAAAAATTTTAATTTAAACACTTTTCTGCCGCTTTTAATACCCACTTTGATCAATTATTTATTTTATGGCTTACTTTTAACGTATTTAAATTGTTTTCTTTGTGTTTGACTGCCTTAAAACTTATCAAAACTCGTATTTTATATTTTTTCGACAATTTGAATAGTTAGAAAGAATTACAGCTTTGTTTTACTTCTACCATAAACACTTGACTTTTAAGGTAGAATATCGCTCGTTACTCAAAAGTATTTTAAAACTTACAAATGATATGCGCTTTTCTCGAGACTCAAACCATTTTGGTTTTGATTTTTTAAATTCCGTTAAAAGTTTTCGTCGATATTTCCATGAAAAACTTTTAAATACGTATTTTAATATAAATATTATGAATGATGAAAATACGTTGCAATTGAATCCATAATTAAACTTCAAATGAGTATGATCATCATTCATTATTGATTCTTCCTTCTCTTTGACAAACAACAATAGCAAAGAAATAAAAAGTTCCGTTCAACTCAAAATTTATAATAAATTTTATCATAAACAAAAACCACGAGACATGAGTCATAAGTCTTGAAATGTATTCCACATCAGAGCATGTCGGACCGAAAGTGTTCTCTTTGGTTATGGTTCTTTGTTTTGAGAAATAAAAGATCTTCATTTCACAACAAAGTTGCTTTTAATTTTTATTGCATTACTAATGTAGGATGTTTTGAAACGACAAACATTTTAAAACAGTCTAAAACATGCTAAAATTTATGCAGCGAAGAACATGAAAATTTTAAAATGTCCAAGGTTTGTAGAATTTAATCGAATTTTCAGTATGAGGAACATCAAAGAAGACGAAGTATGTTAATTTCTCCATTTTCTGCAATCGTTAATTACAGTTTTGGTAGATCATTTTAACGAATAAAAATATTCTCAGACATTAAGAACTTGTCTGCATTGTTTTGCTTGGATTTCTTCCTCAATTTTTCGAGCCATTGACCTTCACGCCAACAGAATGGAGTCGTCTTTCAAGCTTGATAGTTTTGCGAATTCATAAATTTATTTTACATTCTCGAGAGCTTCAAAAAGGGAAAAAATGCAAATTGAAAACTTTAATGTTCTCGAAGTGAAGAAGATTGGAATTCGATGATAATGTTGTTAAAAGTCGTTCTCCCATAAAATTTTTCGGCAGCTGATGAATGCGGATGGTTCTTTGACACAATTCTTCTGTTCTTTTACGCGGAAGCTTATACCATTAATCGATTCCTAAGGGCATGAAGAGTTCACAGGAAATTACTGCAAGAGTGTAAAGTGAAAGTCGAAATGAAATACAACTTGCAGCTGTTGATTCATGTTGTTAATTATATATAACCACAGGTCAACAGTTTCACGAAAATTGAAATTCAAGATCAGGTTCTTAAAGATCAACGTAACACCAACATTCAGTGCAGAAATTGCATTTTTTTTGCTTTATATAAATAATTTACACCTGTTGTTGCAGGTATGGTATGCACTCCCAATACATGTTCGTGACAACTACTCAATGTTATGAATACTCATTGATTTGATAGACATTTTTATAGATCGTAACACAAAAGCAGATTAAAATAAAAACCAGAAGCTATTCAATTTAAAGAGAAAATGTTATGCAAACATTGCTAAACACTTTGAGGTGCGCACAGACAAATTCATGTTGAACATGATTTATGATTTTTCACCAATGAAAAGCGAAAGAAAAATTCAATGATTTTAGATTGGTTTTTATTTAAATTTCATACATCTTTGTCCCAATATTTCCACAGATTAATATAAGTACTTGTCAAGTGGATCAAATTACAGCTCAAAAAGTAAATAATTGAAAGTATCTATGAAATGTCTAAGGCCGCTTAATGCTACCAAATAACATTAACTTTAATGAATTATTATTTTTTTCTCAATTTCCAATGAATTATTTGATGCTTTTGGCTCAAACTGTTTTCATTGTTGAACTTTATATGATTTATTATATATTATTCGTATTGTGCACACTAACTAAGCAAATAATTAATAGAGTGCAGCTTTGATCTCGGAAATCTAAGTAACTGGGTTAAATTCAAATGTTTTCGATATACACCGAAAGATTTCTGCAGAGCTGCAAAAGAGTTAAGTGTTAATTATGCAATATTTGTTTAATGCATTCTCATTTTAAGCAGCACCTAACAAGTTAAACTTGAGTTTGAACTAATGGCTCAACTTATTTTTCAAATAAAATGGTGCTTTAATGGTTTAATTTACTTCGAGGTTTCACTCGTAAATTGCTGAATGTCTGTTATTTAAACCGATTAGTTCAACATGTGAAAACTTTCCACGACAACGAAACTTCCATTCGACAGTTAAAAGTCGCGATGAGTTTTTTTTTCGCTTGTGGTAAGCCACTGAATCTTATGAGATACAAGTCAGGCATTTCCGAACAGTTTCACTAACAATATTTCAACTTAAATTGATATTCTTTGTCTATTACAGTATTGAATGTTTTGGAATAAAAAAATCACCATTAGCAAGAGTCTTTGTTGGTTAAAGTTCAAGATGCTTGTTCGTGGTTTAAATGAAAGTGAAATTGCAAAAGAAGAGAAACATTTGATTTATCAAATGCTTTGAATTACTTAAAACGTTGAATCTTTTCTCATAATTCATTTCAAAGGTCGCAAGCTATTCTCATTAAGTAACAAGACAGGTTTAAAATGTTGCAAATACGTGAAATAAAAAGAAATGAATCGCTTCTCTTTGTCAATTTTATTTTGAATGAATCTAGACAAATGAATGTTGAGAGGAAATGTATGCTAAACATTAATGTCATTGATGTGTGAAAAATTCTTCTTTGCATTAAATTAAAGTGGGAAAAAAAGTTTTGTAAATTCATTTCTTTAACAAATGATAAATATTTACACAAATTAAAATTTTCCCGAAATCAAGGCATATCATTAATCACTGAAATTAGCGAGTTGTACAACATTGTAATAATATTGCTTCATTAACTGCTGATTCATGCTTTTGAGTATTTATTTAAAAAGAAATAATGTAAAATCACTGTAAATTTTATTTTAATTTCTGATTTTAATCTTTGAATGTCGCCTTTTTCGACACAATAAATAAATAAAAATGAAATGACACATCGCTGCATCTTATTGACAAGTGTCTACGCAAATCTTGATAAGAAAATGAAAAATTAACAATACAAGCATGCATTAGCATAAGCAATTGTGACGAGTTATCTCCTTTGACACCATCATAAAGCAGACCCTTAAACATTTCTCATGAAATTGAACAGATTTGAAGAAGGAAATGAACATTTCTAGTAGCTAGCTACTGTCTTCTTCACTTCAAAGCTTAAGTGACCGGTTGAGAAAGACAATGTCAGTTGGAAGACAAACAAAGAAAAAGAGAAGACAACATCAGGCAGGGATGTTGTTTGTAAATCAATATAATGTGAAATTTTTATATTTCAGTTCAAATATCCAAATGAAGAATTCGGAGAAACAAACATTTCAGTCATCAGATCTCAACTCTGCATGAAAATGACACATAAAGAGAGAAAGGCTTTATTTTATTTATTCCACATATATGTACACTCTCTTCAGAGTTGCCTGATTGCTTCAAATAAAATAAGAAGTGAGCTTAAAGTTGACTAAAAAACATCATGTTTATTGTTCAAAAAACAGACAGAAATATTCCTACATTGCTGTTTAATGACACCAATTAATGGAAAATTATTCGTTGTTATCATTTTTAATGCCAGATCTTCTTCTTTATCTTCCTTTCAAGCACCAACACGCACTCATTGCAATCAACAGATCATCAGATCAGGGTCATTCAGAAATCTGATCGTTTCGAGTATTAAACTTAGCAAATAATGATGGTAAAAGTAACCATAACAATAATTTGTTTGATGACTCTCTTTCAAGAACGAGTCGACATTTATGGTATTGAAGAAACAATAAATCCAACGAAAATGATTAAATTACAGATTTCCACTGTCATGCTGAGTTGAGGCAACCGATTTAACCATTCACCACAAGAAAGTGACTTCTCATCATAGCACATAATTGTTTTCACGGAAGTTTCTATCATATTTCCTGTTTCTCATGTCTTTGCGCAATGATAGCTTCAAAATAAAAATCAACACATATAGAGGTTCATCGCTTACAATCCCATTTAAGTTTTTCATTACTTTTTTTTCATCAAAATCTCCCCCTTCCATCCACCCGAGTTTTCATCAACTTTGAGCTCTCTACGATACACATAAACCATGCAGAGAACCTCTGAAGTCTTCTCTCACCGTTGTTCTTAATTCTTCGTTTCTCTGCTTCTACATTTTCAATCTTTTTTTCTTTATTTTATTCACTCACCTCAATATGAATTTTTTTAACTGCGAAGCTTTGCGGTACAAAAATAAAATAAGAAAAACAACAACTGTTGACTATACATGTATGAGGCTCCGTAAGCGTATATTACTCTCGCTGGTAACTTTTTTTTAAAATGACTCTACTTATGAAGTCAGTTTCATTCAAGTATTGGCTTGCTTGTTCAGCAGTACAATTTATACTTTTTGTTATAATTTTTCTTGCTTTTTCGTTGTTCAGTTTGACGAGATTCGCGAAGTTTTTGCTCGCTGTTAGCGAAATATATTTGGAGACGTTATCCTCATAAAAATTTTAACTTTTCTTATTTCATTTTTTTGGTGTTATCGAAGATAAAATTCGATCGGTGCTGTCGTGTGTTTCGTTGGCGTTTAGTTTAATATTTTTCTCGAGATTCTCGCTACTTGTTGTGTTCGTTTCTTCAAAGTAATTTTACTGATGTTTTTTGTGATATCGTTAAAATTCATACCACAGCATGACAGGAAGGTAAAAGAAATTTGATGAGCCTGCATCTATCTACATACATGTCATGCTCGATATGATGGATTAATGTTTCAATGGTTGACTGTTTTCGGAACGGCATGAAGGTGCAAAAGATTGTGCAGCAGAAAATTGTGTTTTGCAATGTGATTTATTGTCAGTGAATTATTCAGTACAAACTGTTATTTTATGAATAAAAATTGTGATTGAAACAAATCTCGAGATAATTTTTTTTTCAATCTTAAAAACTTTAAAGAAAAATAAAAAGTTAAAAGCTGGGAATACAAATCATTAATCTTCTGCAATGTTTATTCGAATTCAATGTAAGTAAAGTGAAATGAATGTGTGGAAAATATTTAATCATTCTCTGGAGAAGATTTTATTTCTATAAAATCAGTGAATTCATTCTATTCTTATTCAGTTAATATGTTTGTCCATCGTTCCGTGAAATTTGATTTATGAGGATTTTATTTAGTCACATTTGTCTTATTGACTGTTTGGCATATATTTTCTATATTTATAGTTGCGATGCAATTGCTAAACTTGACAACAGAAAAGAAATGTAGTTGAGAAAAAAAAATGTAAATTTACCGCCTTGCTAGAATGCTTCAAGTGACGTTATTAATTATTTCACTCGATGTACCCACAAGGCTTTCATTTCTCTATCAAATCAGACAAATTTTAGTAATTAATTTAAATTTACCTACAACTACGAGAACAGTTTCAGAGTATAACAGAAAAATTTCTCGCGATATTGACAAGATGGAATTTATCACGGAAATCTTTTTATATCAAAATCATGAATATTTTAAGCTAGTTCATCTCTCAATTGAATTCTTCCTTCAGGCATATGAGCGCCAACAGCTGTTTGATTGAAAAATATTCGATGATATTAATTAAAGTTGTATGAAATTAAATAAAAATGAAGAAAATTCAAAAGATAGTTTTTTGCCTTCTGCGGTCTTGATACAAGCTGACGTTTCTGTTGATTATTATTTTGTTTCACTGGCAAACTCAGCAAAAAAAATAATTTGCTTCTCATTGAATCTTTAAGAGGATAATTATCAAAGCATCTAGCACGCGGTAGAAACGTATAAAGAGCTGCCAATTGTTCATTGAAAAAAGAAGTAGGCAGCGGTAATCACCAAAGCGTTTGAAGAAATTCAATAATTGAATCAATTATTTAATTAAATTGTTAATTTTTTTATTCCGTGCTTTTAACACATGCTGCGATGGTTCAGTGAGCTTTAAGACATTGGATTTTGATTGTTCTTCTAAGCGGTTGGAAATGAAATGGAGAAGCAAATGAACCAATAAATAAACGTTCGAACCTGGCACGAGATCATTTCAAAATAACAGCAACTTACAAGCTAAAGAAGATTCAATTTTCGATCATTTAAAAATCTTCTTTTAATAAATCTTAAGTCTCAGGACGTATCAAATAACAAAGCCGACCTTAAAATAATTATTTTCATCACCACATCCGCTCACATTTTTCATCCACCACATTTGGGAATTTAAAACTTGACAAACTTGCAACTTTCTTAAAAAAAATTATTTATGTTTAGTAATTAAAACGCATCGATACATAAATGAGTGTCAAAAACTCAAGTACTAATAAATATGCAACAATGTTATCATAAAAGTGATAAAAAGAATATTTTTCATCCCATGATCGAAGCAAGAAAAAATTAAATCTTAAAGAGAGAAAGAAAAAGTGAAGTATCATTAAATATCATTAAAAGTAATCGATCAGTCATTTTATTAGTTTAAGAGATTGATTGGATTTTTTTCAACGCTTTCCTCGATTAACATCAGTGACGTCACTAATTGCAAATTCTTGTTTCTTATTTCTTCCTACTTTTTATTTACAGAACATGCATGAAGACTCATCGAAACCCGTTTGTTGAGAACAAAGGATAAAAAATAAATAAAAAAATCAATCATGAACGACATTCTAGCCAATTAAGGATTAATTTTAAGTAGAAAAAAAAAGTGATTTCTAATGTGATTGAAATACTAAATAGCAAAAATTTATAATAAATTGTGAGCTCTACAATAAGAGAAAGAATGCAACAAACAAACGGTGTAACCTCGGTTATGAGTCAGGAGCAGAGTGATTTAGTTACATCTGTGACAATATCCACTGACAAGAAAGACGCGATGAAGAATGGAAAAAGTGTTATTATCAATAACAATGCAACAAATATCAATAAAACAAAAATAGCTACATTAATAACCTGCACTAATAATAATAATAAATCTAACAATAACGCAACAAATATTAATAACAATAATTGCACAACGACAAATAAAAATAATTGCAACAATAAAAACGTTCCAAATGGACGATCTGATGTCATTGTCACTAATTTGCAAAATAAAATGAATTCAACGAAAAATGCATCGAATTCTCAAGCTACTCCGAATCAAGCGACAACAGAGTCGATAGGAAATGTAAAGACGACTGCTGCACCTTTGCCCGATGCAAGAGCCAAACAAGTGCTGAAAGAAGCTGTTGATGCTGTCGTCAACAGCTTTACAAAACATACACAAGGCTATGGCAGAGGTAAGTTTATTAATTTATAAAATAATTATCACAATTGTGAAACTCTGGATAAGATCAACAGAATTAAAATATTTCAACACTCTTCTGTCTTGAACTCTTGAATACCTTCGAAAATGAAACTTGGATGAAAGATACATTTTAAGAAAAAAAAATAATATCGAAAGACTGAATGATGAAGAAAGGAATGATAATTATTAGCTCTTTTCTTTTGCAAAAAGTGATTGCTGAATCTTTTGTCCGGGATTTTTAAGACCTCAACACGACGAAACGAAGTTATGACTCATACTGCGCACAGTGGTTGAGAATAAAATAAATATTGTTAAGCTTCCAATCCGGTTCCATTTCTTTTAAACGATCGATGAGTGTTGAACTGTTCAATATTCATCTTGTCGTTTAGTAATTAAAAATAAATAATCAAAGTCTTGAGCAAGTTTTTCGATTATCTTATTATTTATGGGAGTTTTCATTTCCTAACTGACTCCACTTTCACGATATCTCTTTTTATTTAGTTTTCTTTTAATAGTTTTAACAATTAGTGTGTAGAAATGTTTTAAAAAATTAATACAAATTTAAAGATTACAAATAATTGAGAATCAACCGCTTTGTAAGATTAATTTAATTAAACTATGAGAATTGTGCAAGTTCAAATCAAGAAAATCTGTCAACGTCTTTATTAGTATTTTCTCCTGATAATTTTATTACTTTAAGAACTACTTTTACTAGATATCTTGTTTAATTTTATATCAAAACTTCGAATAAAAATAATCATTATTGCTAAGAATTTATTTATAAAATGGAAAAATTCATATTAAAGATATTCAATCTTTAAATCTTCAACCAGATATTTTTTCAACACTTTTACTGTCACAACTTGTCGTAATAAAACCTGAAAACTTAATCAAGTTCCATTTCGAAGACAGACTATTTCAAAACTAAGACTTTGTTTACTTCTAACTAGATTAAAAATGTAAAATTATGCAATAAGAATATTCACCATCCGGTGGAAGAGAAAAAAAAATTATGAGAAGAACGAGTTGCCAAGTGCGCGATGCCTGTCGGCTAATGATTACAATTCGCTTGCTGTGCATTGTGCAATGATGACAAAGAGAGATAGCGATAGAGAGAGGGAGACAAGAAAATTCTTACTCGCCGCCGAGGAATGCTGTGCATTAAAAATATTAAAACACAATTAATCCTCTTATCATGTGAAATTAAACAATTTTTTTCCCTCGCGTCGCTTTAACAACACAAATGATTTTAATGCTTTGCGAGTATGTTCTCATGAATAGGTTGTGAACCGATTTCCATCTTCAATCTTTTGTAACGGTCTCGGCGATTCTTTCTCTCTCTTCCATCCTCTTCGCTTTTGCACTTTAGAAGTCTATTCTTAAGTTTAGTGTCACGTATCGAGTGCGAGTATTTAAGATTTGTAGCAAGACAGAAATCTGAAGTTAATGGTTTATAATGTCGCGAAAGATACGCGACAGAAATTGCCACTTCATCATTTGGTGAAATGAGAAGCTGTGAATTAAAGCAAAATTGGAATCGGAAACGATAAACAAAAATGGAATTCATTCTGATGTTAGCAATACATAAGAAAAGTTCTTTTTTATTCTTTACAAACCACTATTGATTTATGAAACAACCGACATATTTCGGTTGTGAATCATGGATAAAATTTTGCAGCGATGCAAACAATTAAATATGAAAAAAGTTAAGGGCTTGGGAACAATGAATTTCTGCATTTGCTATTTCTCATTATTACTTTAGTTAGTGTGTTAACTTTCAATAAGATTTATTGCACCAATCGATTTTTACAGTTGGAGTGCCAATAAGTTACATATCCATTATTGCTTCGACCATGAAGAAATATGAAGTCAAACTTAAGAATTACTTTCTGCATTTTTTTTCAGAATTTGTGTTTGAATTCATGTAGGGTTGACAACGACAATGCTGGTTGATTTTTCTCATAACTTCAAAGTATTTGTTTACTTGTCTTCATCCCTGGGCTATAAACTTTTAATTCTACCTTTTTTTCCTTTTTAATTATAATTTTTTCTCAGGCAATAAGCAGACATATGTGTTTAAGCTCAAACAAAAAGAAAATCTACAAGCTTTGTTTGATTTCCTACTTTATATTGCGTGGGATTTTAAGACTCAAACATACTACAAAAGAGATCAATTTGATTCGTTCTAATTAATTTATTGCGTTTTTAATTTCCTTCGTTCTAAAGTCATATCTAGCGTTGAAAAAAGCATCGAGTCGCTTTATAAGGAAGTTCTAATGATTTAATCATTTTATTACTTCATGTCTTAGTCATTCGATACACAGAAAAACTTTCAGTTTGTGAGAAGATTTTATTTCTTGAGATTAAAAGAAATAAAAATGATTTCATAAATTAAACAACATTTAAATTGTCATCAGCACAAAGCTTTGACTTCAGAAATGTGTCTCATGATAATCGAGATTTCAAGGAAACAATAAAACTGAATTTATTAAAGATTAAAGCATAAAAATATTTTCATTTCGTGATTTCAACTGTTATTATTTGATGATAAAAAACATGGCATGGAAAGTGTCATCGAATGTTTAAAGTTTCTTAAAGAAAATTCCATTAGAGACGAAGAAGGCAAACAATCAAGCGGCATCAAAGACATTTATAACAAATTATTTTGAACATCGCTTTTGCAAGTTTGGGGAGAAATTCTCATGTTTCTTGAGTGCGGAAGAAGTCCAACGTTAAACACGTTATTGTTGCCTCGCAGTGACTACACAGAGCTATTAAATAAATTATTTTTGGCATCAACCAAATGAACTTTTTTTACACTGCTGCTGTTGCTGATGTTACTGCTTTAAAACTCGCTCTGCTTGCGTCCATTGTGTGTACTTCTTACCTTTTCACTCTTGGCTTGTCTTGTAACTTTTAAATCGATTTAAGTTTGAAACATGCCCATATTTAGGTCAAACCTTAAAAAAAGTTTAATCGTCTCATCGCTTCTTTAAAATAAGGTTTGCTTAAAATTTGATTGGAAATGTTTCTTTATTGTGAGAAATTCTTACAGCACTTTTAACCGTAAGCTAAATTCCACATATCATTCGCAATCTTATTAAAGCAATGATCTTCTACTTCCCAAATAAATTAATTTATGAAATGTGAAATCACATGAGAAACGTCGAATAAAAACTTGCAAGTTGTAACAAACATTTCGCATCTTGAAGAAGCATCGGATAACAGACATATCGTGGAGAAAAACTTCTGATTGTAACATGCTTCAGTCGAAATTTTTTTTAGCCGTTGGTTAACACATTAATCTGTTAAAGAAAACGTTTAATTTAAATGGCACGGGTATCTTCATGTAAGCATGAGAAAATTCACTTTTGGATTTCTTTATTCTTTTCTTTACATATTTTTATACGCTGCCGAAAGCCTTATGGTCTTTTGGTTATTAATAAACATTATTGTAATCAAAACATGCTCATTCATTCAATGTCTCGCCAGTGTAAACGTTCTGCCGCTGCTTCATTGACCTGTGACCCTGAGGAATTGCTTACGGGAGGCTTCAATTTTAGTTGATTATTACGAGCAAATTGCATCGGTTTGAAAAAAAGCGATTGGTTTGCTACTTAATGTACATAATATAACAAAGTAAGGGAAAAGCATTACCGATATTGTATGTTTAATGCGTGAAGGCTAAGAAGAGGTCACGAAACTGTTAATGAAGTTGTTATTACTTGTGAATTGCAGCAAACATCATGATGTGATTGAAAATTATGTAACATGTTATCATAAATAAGAGAAAAAGAGTTTAAAGTTTCGATTTCGTTGCTTGTTGATTGAGAATATCACGAAGTTTTCGTCTCAAAATTTTTCCTGAAGGATTTTTCGGTATCTCATCAATGAAAATAACACCACCATGAAGTCGCTTCGCTGGAGATAAACTATCTTTAACAAATTCAATAACTTCATCCTTTGTTAATTCTGGATCACTTCGAACAACGAAAGCTAATGGAAGTTCGCCCGCAAGTTCATCTGCTTTTCCAATTACTCCACAATCTTTTATCTTCGGATGGGTCAAAAGCAAAGCTTCAATCTCTAATGAAAAATTTATTATGTAAAAGTAATTTAGCATTCAATTAAAATTATGAATACCTGCAGGTGGCACTTGATAACCTTTCCATTTTATCAATTCTTTGATTCGATCAACAATAAAAAATTGCAAGTCTTCATCGTAATATCCAATGTCGCCGGTATGTAACCAGCCATCTTCATCGATTACTTCTCTCGTTGCTTTTGTGTTTCCAATATAACCATTCATAATAACACTCCCTTTGAAACAAAGTTCCCCTTTTTGCAAAGGTCCAAGCGAAATTCCTTTCTCGTTGATGACCTTTGCGTAAACTCCAGGATTAACGTCACCAACACTCCCACCTTTTACGATATTTTTTTGCATTAGTACACCGAATGTCGTTTCTGACATTCCATAGCCCTGTTTAATCAAAAGTTGAGAATTCTTCAATCTTTTTCTCACTGCATTCTCAAGATCCTTAGAAAGCGGTGCTGCACCACAAAATATAAATCTCAAACTCTTAAGATCGTAATTATTTAGTAAAGGAGATTTCGCTAAGAAAACCATTAGTGGTGGAACCAGGAAAACTACATTGCAACGTTGTTTCTCAATACAATTCAAGAATAATTTTTCTTCAAATTTTGGGATGATGACGATTCTTCCTGATGCTGATCCCATAGTTGCTATCATAGCTCCAGCAGCAAATACATGAAACAGTGGCAGCAATCCCAGAAGAACAACTTCATTGTCACCGACATTTGATTTAACAAAAAAATGTTCTTTGAAGAGGCGAAGTGTAACTATCAAGTTTGATTGCGATATTAAAACACCTTTTGGTAGTCCAGTAGTTCCACTGCTGCACATAATTAGTGCCGTCGTCTTTGATTTATCAACCAACAACGGTTGGAAGTTGACAGAATGTAAAATTTCGGGGTTCAACAAGTCACATAAATTGGCATTCGAAATCTCAAGTGGATTTCCATCATTGTCGAGAAAAATTATTTTTTTGATAAAGTTCAACTTTTTAACTACATTCAAGACTTGATGTTTTGTGCTCGAAGTAACAAACACAATTTTTGGTTTCGACAGATTAAAGGCATGTTCCAGCTCTCTTTCACTGTAAGTATGATTAAGCGGTGCCAAAGTGCAATTGAGAAAAATTGTTCCAAACATCACATAAGCAAATTCCAAACGATTCTCTGACACAATTGACACCACGTTACCGGGTTTGATACCAACAGCTGTCAATGCTTTAGCTATTTCAATACTATTCTCAACCAATTGTTTTCCCGACACTTTCTCGTTTGTCACTCCATCAATTAACATGGTTTTGTCACCGACTCGCATCAAATTCTTGATCATCACATGACCTAATGAAGGCTCATCATCGTACAATGTCGATAAATCCGGTCTGTAAATCTCAGAGTTCCCAAAATGCATGTTCAATTATTATCCAAGAAAAGTGAACAATTAAAATTGACTTAAAATGTAAAACGAAAGTTACGCCTCGGGGTCTCAACTCAAACTGATATTTTTCTGTCTCGTTATCGTTGCTTATCTCAATGATAAAATTTATTGTTGATTATGTTTTTACTTCCTCATAAAAATCTTACAAGTCATTAAAATAAATTTAAGATAATGGAAACATATTCAAGAAAAGTTTCTTTCAAAGCTTTGATTTCAATTCACGTTGCTTCAAAATATCTCTAAGCTCGCGTCTGAGAATTTTTCCTGATGGATTTTTAGGAATTTCATTGACAAAAATGACACCTCCATGAAGTCGTTTCGCTGGTGATGCTGTTTTGTACACAAATTTTATGATATCTTTTTCTGATAAACTTTCATCACTTCGAACAACGAAAGCTAATGGAAGTTCGCCGGCAAGTTCATCTGGTTTGCCAATTACTCCACAATCTTTTATCTTCGGGTGGGTCAAAAGCAAAGCTTCAATTTCTAATGAAAAATTTATTATATAAAAGAAATTTACCATCCAATTAAAATTATGAATACCTGCAGGTGGCACTTGATAACCTTTCCATTTTATCAATTCTTTGATTCGATCAACAATAAAGAACTGCAAGTCATTGTCGAAGTATCCAATGTCGCCAGTATGTAACCAGCCATCTTCATCTATTGTCGCTTTCGTTGCTTGTTCATCGCCAATATATCCTTGCATAAGAACAGTTCCTTTGAAACATAATTCGCCTTGTTCAAATGGCCCCAACGTTTGATTGTTTTCATTAACAACTTTTGCGTAAACTCCAAAATTAACATCACCAACACTGCCTGGTTTAACGATATCTTTCTGTGTCAACACACCGACTGTCAACTCAGTCATTCCATAACCTTGTTTGATAACAATCCTAGGATTTTTCAAACGATTCTTTACAGATTCCTCCAACTCTTTTGATAATGGCGCAGCACCACACAAAATAAATTTAAGGCCACTGATGTCGTATCTGTCAACGATTTCATTCTTAGCTAGAAAAACCATCAGTGGTGGCACCATAAAAACGACGTTACATTGAAACTTTTGCATACAATCGAGAAAAGTATCTTCTTCAAATTTTGGAAGAACGACGATTGTTCCTAATCCGGTTGCCATCACACAAATCATAATTGCAGCTCCAAATGCATGAAATAGTGGCAAAAGTCCAAGGATGACAATCTCATCATCACCAACATTATCTTTTGTCAATAAATGTCCTAATGTGTGACGAATGGTTACAATTAGATTTGATTGAGAAAGTTGAACTCCTTTTGGGAAGCCCGTCGTTCCACTGCTGCACATAATTAGAGAAGTTGCTTTTGACGTATCAACCCTTTTTGGTACAAAACTTATGTTGTGTAAAGTTTTCGAATTGGTAAAGTCACATAAATTGGCATTCGAAATCTCAAGTGGATTTCCATCATTGTCGAGAAAAATAATTTTTTTGATAAAGTTCAACTTTTTAACTACATTCAAGACTTGATGTTTTGTGCTCGAAGTAACAAACACAATTTTTGGTTTCGACAGATTAAAGGCATGTTCCAGCTCTCTTTCACTGTAAGTATGATTAAGCGGTGCCAAAGTGCAATTTAGAAAAATTGTTCCAAACATCACATAAGCAAATTCCAAACGATTCTCTGACACAATTGACACCACGTTACCGGGTTTGATACCAACAGCTGTCAATGCTTTAGCTATTTCAATACTTTTCTCAACCAATTGTTTTCCCGACACTTTCTCGTTTGTCACTCCATCAATTAACATGGTTTTGTCACCGACTCGCATCAAATTCTTGATCATCACATGACCTAATGAAGGTTCATCATCGTACAATGTCGATAAATCCGGTCTGTAGATTATGTTCTGATTTACTTCCATTTTTCTTGCTGAGAAAAGAATCTTTTAATAACTAAATAAATCTTAATCTTATCAACGTTATTGACAGCGAAATAATTTCGAACTGAACGCTTAAACTTCTCTCTCTTAACTGATAAGCATATTCTTACTTATGTATAAACGATTCACATGTAATCGGGCTTATCAAAGCTATAAATTTTGCTCTGTGTCTCTTCATAAACTTCTTGAAAGACTTTATAAGGTGAAGAGAAGATAATGATGTAGTTATAAAAGATAACGCCATTGATACTTACGAGAAAGAAAATATTTTTCTATCTTCTGATTTTATCATTGTTGGTATCAAATTTCGAAAACAACATTGCTGAAGAAATTGAAAGAAAACGAATTATAAAAATTTTATCTCTAATAGATTTGCTATTTAAGTAAACTGTTCATAATGAACTCAAATCATTTGAAAGTATTTAAGATTTTGTCACTCTTCAATGAGTTTTCAATATCGAAATGGATATAAAATCAATAACGATAAACTCTTCTTTCTTATCGTCACTTATCACAATGATGAAGATTGCTGTTGATTACGTTTCTACAGTCTAATAAAAGCCTTTCAAGTCATTAAAATAAATTTAAGATAATGGAAGAAGAAACTTCTCAAAACTAAACTTCTAAGTTCTGATTTACTTCAATTTTCCTTAGTGAGACAAAATTCTCCTAATAACTTAATAAATTTAAATATAATCAAAGTCATTGACAGCGACAAAATGCATCTCATCTTAAACACCTTGAAAGATTTTATAGTATGAGCGAAAGATAATTGTGCTGTTAAAAGAGATAACGCCATTAATACTTACAAGAAAATATTTTTCTAACTTTTTATCTTATCATTAAATGCGATAATATCAAATTTGACAATATATTTGAATGAGTAGAGAGAAAACATGAAAAGCTTCAATCTTTTTATATCTTTTCCTTTAATTACTTTTATGACTTATTGATAATTGTTAATTAACTCAAATGTGAAAATAATTACTCTTTTGTCACTCTTGCACTGCTTACTTAGCTTTTACATCAAATGTAATGTTTAATTTATAGTTTTCTTTATTGAAAGGGATATAAAATAAGTATGCTTAGTTACTTATATGTAAATATACATAAAACAGCTATGGGGCTTTTCAGATGAGACGAATGCTTGGACATTACATGATGAATCGTTGTTTTATTATTCAACCTCATCAAGAATGATCGTCTTGATGAAACGGAAACACATTTTTAACGGCATTCATTACCCTTCATAGTCTTCAGAGTTGATTCCAGAAAAACTTCTGCCACAAATTGTTTTCACCTGGCTTCACAGCTGACAGAAATAACATAAAATTTCTGAATTGCAGTTATCCCCGGCTTCCAATAAATCATTCCTATGATTTTTCTTTTCCATCTTAGATCTGATAGCTGAATGCGACAAAGAAGTACGAGAAATTGTTGATTCTTTTTTGCTGATGCTAAGAACACGACATGGCTTTGCTGAAAAGGAAATAAAACATTCATGGCCACTCAGAGTCAACACATCGTAAGGTAACAAGAGACTCGTTTCTTGTTTATTGCGTGGGCGTAATAAAATAACTCAAATCAGTCTTCTATTTTGCTTCAAAAGAATTAAATCTTTTATAGAATCGTAAATTGATGGCTCATGAATTTTATTCTTTATGTGATATCTGTCTAAATTTCCTTAAATTTCATTTTAAATTATTTTGCATAAAAATTTATCAAGATAATCTTTCTCAGTGTTAAAAATTAATGTTTCGGTTTGAATGTTGAATTATTTTCCATGGATATTTAATTGGCATTGAATGTCTTTTTTATTTCGAAGTGTTATGTGAATTAAAATAAAAGTTTTATTTTATTGCGTTTATTTATTAAGTCGTTTTAATAATAAACTCATCCTAATGAAACAATTTTATTAAGTATTAAGTTTCTAACCATGTGTGAAGCATTATAAAGAAAAATTTTGAACAGCACGAAGTAAAAATTTCAATTTGATATTTAATAAAATGAAACAATGGAAGCTATTTTGTGAGGAAGGCAACTAATTTGCTTTAATAATGAACCACGATTCTAGCATTACAATATCTAATGCAACAAGTTCCTCCTTCTGTTTTTAGCTCGTGATCGTAAGCAAATCTCAACCTAGTTTGAAAAGGAGAAATAAAATCTACATTCCTGAAGCACGACTTCAAGCATCCATCAATCGTTGAATGTTGTGCAATTATCTGTGATATTTTTTGTTCAGATAACTGATAAATTGCTTACAGTAGCATTTTTGAAACGCTTTGACAGTAGATATTTTATCGTAATTAAAATAATTTCACAGCAATTATAGGAAATATTTCAGAATTTATCCCATAAAATCATTTAATTTCTTCCACTCCAAAAGTTGTTAACTCCGAACTAAGAAAAATATTTCAAACGCTACGTCATCAAAGTTTATTCTGAGATATGATCGAACAAATGATTATTTTTATCACATTATTAAATGCCTACCTTCGACAAACTTTCTTCTCAGAATCAAATTAACACATCCTCTTACCATTTTTTCTGATTAAATTAAAAATTTAAAAAGACCAACCAGAACGAAATAAGCATTTAGAGTTTAGACGAAAAAAAAAATTGAAAACAAACCCGATTTTTCCTTAATAAATTTTGAGTATTTATGTTTTCATTTACATAAATATCATCTTGTTGGGTCCGGTACGGGAATGAAAACATCTACAAACACGGTCAAAAAATAATCTTTGAAATTATTAAGCGATGAAAGCATCAACAGTTTTCTATCATCGGAGATATTTTCGAGTTACAGGGATGCTGTTTGTCTTCTTGATTTATTTGGACATTTTTTAATCTCTAAGATATTTATTAATAATTTATAACACACCTTCATGTTGAATAACTTCAAAATTTATAGAAATATGCTTAATTATTTTTTAATCCATTAAACGTCTATTTAAGAAATGATCCAAATTAGTAATAAATCATGAGAAACGATAAAATGTTTGTGCCCCACCACTGTAAGAAAACAAAGATTGAACATGAAGAGGCAGCACACAAAACAAATAAGTCTAGTTGTAGGTCGTTTTTCTCTGAATTCGTGTATTACATAATCGTGAACGTCGTTTCTTGTGTTCTTTGTCGGTCTTTTCTTCCAAACTTTTTCTTTACATCTTGACAACTTGAATTGATAAGTAAATATAGTTTTTGTTAAACATTAGAACCTGCAGTCAAAAGCCTAACTCTTATGGTCAGTGAATTTCAAGTGAATGAAGTTTCTTGATATTGTCGTAAATATTTAGATTCAAATGAGAGAAACTTGAAATTCTGAACGTTTTAAGATGATTAATTTGTCACTATCTAAATTCTTTGACGCAATTATCCTTTCCATTTCGCAATTTTATTGAAACATGGCGTGATCACCGATCAAAACACAATTTCAACGTATGAGACTCGTCTCATTCACGCAAAGATTTAAGTCATGGGATGATCATTTACCATGGTCAATTATGTATCTACTTCGTTACACGATGTTGATGCTGATAATGTTTCTCATCAGTTCGAGATCTGAAATAAAACTCGCAAAGTATGCATAATCAAACATAAAACAAAAGTAGTTATTTAAAATGAACTCGTACTAAATAGATTGGCGAGATAAACACACAAAACAACGAACATGTCTTCATCAGCTGGTCATTTAAAAAGCATGGCAGTAAATGAAAGGGAGAAAGCCGAACAACGATTCATTTAGCCATTCACGCTTTCAATACCAAATTAAAAATAATAAACCATTATTTAAATAAAAATTTTCATTAAAAGGAAGAAAAAGAATGAGAATTGAAGATGGAAAAAGTAAAAGCACGCAATTCCAATTTCATCCTGAGAACTTTAAAAGCTTCTTTAGTCCAGACCTCTTTAGTTATGCCGCTAATTATGATCATGAGGTTTTTAAATACTTAAACATAATAATTTTGGGAACACCAAAAACAAAATTAAAGTGAGTACGTGTACCGGAATCCAAAGTTGTTCCACAAATGATGAACAATTCTCAAGACATTTTTGCCTTTGTATAATAAATATCAAACCAGTTTAATTAGTTAAATGATTAAAAAAAGTTTATCATTTCAAATTGCAGGTAATTGGATGGAAAATTGCTATTGTTATTATCAAACGATGCGTTTTCTTGATCATGAAACATGCATTTTGTGTGTCTCTCCAATCTTTTATTAAGATCGTACACTGATCTTACTTTGAGCATCTTCCAGCAAATGTTATTAATAGGAGATAATTGTAATATTGATTAAATTAAATCACATCACAAAGACCGTAGAACATGTCATGGGGAAATTTTACAGAATTTTCTTTTCCATTTTGTTGTCCATCATCAAAATAAAAAAAATTAAATAAAATATAAACGAAAGAAAAGATAAGTTAACGCAATCGATCGCGACGTGACCCATTTACAGGCAAATTTATTGCTAATATTTTGTGGAGAATTGCTCATAAATAATCAAGAAGTAGTAAGAAAAAAATTAAAAAGAAAATTATGTCGCATATCACATCTGTCAGAACTAAATGAAAACTGGTTTCGAAGGAACCCGAAAAACAAAAATGAATTAAAATTTTTGCTTGCAACACCTACATTATCTCATCTTTTTGATATATCAACCTCTTGGTCAGCTTGTTATGGAAAAAAGCTTTTAAGGAAGTTTCAATTTCTTTAGAAAATCTTGAAACTTTCTAAGTTATTCAAAAAATTCATTCACGCAGTTAATTATGAAGTGAACCGTAACGTCTAAAGTCGCTGATTACAGCAAAGTTAAATTAAACAGTAATATGATTTACGTATAAAACTACAGACTTGAAGACGCAAGCTGAAGGAAATCAGAGCAATTGATTTGATAGCAGATGTTAATTCATAAATAAATTCTCTTGCATATCTTGTCAAATGTAATGAGCGTTTTTCAAAATCGCTTACGTTCAACAAAACGTGTAATCTGTAATCTAATTTAATGGTCATACAGTCGCTCCATGGCAAAATATGTATCTATTAAAAAGGCAGCATGATGCTGATGTCCATAATTATTCTTTACCCTCCCATTATGCAATGAATCTTCTGTCTTTCTTCTTTATGTCAATTCTTGATTTGAGGATTAATGTTTTTCATTGCTTTAAAAAAAGATATTTTTGCAAATACATGCAACTGCACTTACAGCATATATGTGTACATATGTGAATCAAAATCAAGGATACATAATTTCACCGACTCACAACCTTAATGTGGTACAAGTGAAAGTCAGTAAATTAACTTTTGTCGTTCGCTTCTTTTTTTCTTGTCCTCACCACGAGTAAGAAAAAAGAAATTAATGATCTAGAAATTTATTGGGTGAAAGTTTTTTGGCATTTTTTTATTATTTTCTTTGTTCGTGATACATTTATTCTCGATAGATGCTGAAAAGCAAAAGATTTCATGGAAAAATTCATAAAATATTAATCGATTTTACATCTTTAGTGGTTTCGTCATTAGATGAAATGTTTTTCAATATCTCCCTTCATAACTTGATGTGAGTTGCCTTGCTTGCTTGCAAGACGATAAGTTTTATAGGTTTTCGTCATAAAAAAGGTATAAAGCTTAGCTGGAACATAAAGATGCAATTTCTGCACAAAAACATTTCTCATCTTAGAGTATTTGTAATATTTTTGTGCATGAGTACATGTTTATGTTGGTTGAAGCAATGATTTCGCAATGAGTTTGTTGTTCGTTTGATTCTTTCACTCACCACCATCGTTTAGCTAGCAGTGTAAGTTTTGCGACATTCTGATGTTTAATAACGAAAGAAAAAGCTGTGATTAGCAATGTGGATACATTATATGTGTGTGTTCGAGAGAGTTTTATTTATCTCAACAAAGAAGAAAAAAGTTCATTAATGCTCTGGATATTTGTTGTGATATTTTTTTCTCAAGAGATTCTCGGAGTGTTTCGGATGCTGCTTCTGATCGCCGCACCACACAGCGATAGTAACAATCACCTCCTTAACTCTTGATTTCTTTTTCCTTTTTTTAAAGAATGAAATAAATAATTGAAGAAGAATAAGTTTAGAGAAGGAAAAAACAATATCAAGAGGAAGCAAAAATTAAACTCAACTTCTCGTTCTTAACACTGAAATCTTCAAAGAAACTTCACGATTCTCTAAAAATTAATTTTTTTCGTAAAATCTTTGTTCTTCTCATTTCATTTTCTCTTATTTCTAATTTAATTCATTGAAAACATTTTTTTTTCTTTGTTTTCGGGTTTTATTTCCATTTGAGCTTCTTTCGTCGAATTGTCTTCTTGGTTGTTCCATCGTTGTTCTTCTTGATCTCCTTCACTAGTCACAAAGAAGAAACCGAAACAAAACGAAAGAAAACAAACGGTGGAAAAAAAACATCAGCCGCAACTCTTCAACACATCTTCACTCGTCTTCGTGTAGTGTTGGTTGAGGAAACTTTAGTTGGAAGTAGAGTAAATAATAATAATAATGAATCATAAACATTATTGAATACTTACAGTCAGTTTCTTCTTGTTGTACCATCTTCGACTGCGTTATAGAAGACTTGAAGTTCTTAACTTAAAGCGATTTACAGATCTTTTCTTAACGTTTTTAAGCATCGTCTCTCACCGTGTTATGGAGCGGATTGGAGTGAGTCGAGTGTTGAGAAGGTTGTGTATAAGAAGTAAACTTCTCAGTTAAAGAACAGACTCGAAAATCACATGAATCTCTCCCAATGCTGCTTAAAAAAAGAGCTTAACTCGCGGTTTCTTCCTTCCTTCTCATTATTTAAAGTCTTTCTTTCATGCCTTCGCCACTTTAACTTACTTTTCGTGTTGCTTCTCGCAAACGTTTTCTTCAAAACATCATCCAATATATTTTGTTGTATGTTTTGTTAAAAGTGCTCTCCTCAGTTTTATGTATGGTGTATCGTTGTAATGACGTGTGTGTTTTGTACTGCTCGTTGATTTTTATATTATACTCTTGGACTCACGAAAAGAATAATAAATATCAGAAATATACTTTTCAAAAACCAATTTCTGACTGAAAAGAGAAAAAAAAAACAAATAAAACAGAAAGTTGTAGAACTTTGAAGTGAAGTGAACTGTAGTCTTGCAGAATTCTGCACAGGTGAAGTTTCGTTGATTTTGTGCGTCATAAACTTGTCCCAATTCAAAAGTTTATTTTTTGTGAATGGCTTAATATAAATTTGTTAGCATCTGATGAATGAAAACGAATCGATTAGATCGCTGTTAGCAACTCTTTTCTTTTGGTGTTAAATATCCGATTACCTTCCGCTTTGCTTTAGTCATACAGAGCCAATTCTCTAAATCATTAAGCAGTAGTTCAAGATCGTTAATGTAACGAAAAAAATAAAAAAAAGAAAGAAATGAAGAAAGAAAGAAAAAGGCGAGTTACATATGGAATGAAGCAACAACAAAAGCATCAACTGCGCAGCATAATTGCCTTAACAAAGAAAGTGTCGGGTCAGTGGTTGGGTTGTCTTTTCTTCATCTTTCATTCCCCCTCTCCCTTAACTAACCTCCTCCTTCTGTTCCTCTGCATATCTCGTTCATCATGTGTATATGCAACAAACTTCGAGTACAATAAATTGGTTTTCGCGACTGCATGCGCAATTGTATGTAGAGTGCGCAGATGAATGCAACACAAGTACGAGAAATTGTATATGTTTTGGAAAATCTATCTTATTTTTCCCTTCTAACATTTCATTTTGTCATTGTACATAATTCATGTTCTGCAGTGAGGTTGTGTTTGTGATTCTTTTACTTTTGAATTTTGCTATAACATAAAAGAATGAATCGTTGACGTGTTGAAGCGTAACAAGGCTTGATTGCAAATGTGAAGTGCCTTTCGCAACTTGATGAATTTATGTTGTTGCTTTCGATTAATGTTGTTTCTCTTTTTCGTGTTTTAATTGAGTTGGCATGCGGGAGAAGAAAAAAAAAGACGTTAAGAGTTCTTTTATCTCAGAAGCTATTAAAAAACTAAATCCACTCGAAAAAATTTATACTTTTTTCACGCATAATAGATTTCCAAAGATCCATAAATTTTGCCAACTATTAAAATGGTTTATTTTTATGTCCTGACACTTTATAATCTAAGTCGAATCGAAACTATTTTTCTCTTAATTGAAAATTAAAATGGGTCGTGTTTTTGGCACGTTTTGTTATGAGCTTTTTGTCGCCTCTTATTTTCTATCGATGTCAACGACAGCATCAACAGCATCAACTGAAAAACATTTCACAGTCTTCACCACAATCAAATATTGTATCGGTTCACTCAGATATGGAAATAAAATCTTGACGACTAATCTTCTTTGCTGGCTTCTTTTAATCAAGTGCTAATTCAGTAAACTTTCTGAAATCTTTTTCTCCTCTTCTTTTGTTTTTCATACCTTACTGCATTAATTCAGAAGAAGAAAGAGAGAGACGGAGAGAAATTCGCAAGAAATAATGTTATTAAAATTCACTCTTTTCCTGTCTTCGAACAAAACCGAGCCAAAAGTTCAAAGATTTCTTCTCGCTGATGACAAGTCAATTCGTTTTATGTTCTTTTTTTTTGGCTTTGCATACAGATGTGCAGTCTTTTATTTTCGGCAATCTTTCCCGCCGTTCACAAATATATTTCGATGTCTCTTTTTATTTTAAAACAAACATTAAAAAAATAATTTTAATAACATTATAATATTTCTGTTTCTTTGGATCATCAAATGAAAACGTGATCTTAAGATTATTAAAGAGATTTTAATGGTGGAACAATAAAATAAAATAAAATATAATCATCAGAGAAAGCTGCTCAAAATAAAATGTTGCAAATAACTTTCATTGTGGCACCAAGCCATGGTTAATCGTTCCAGACAATTTTTATCAGACAAAGCAATCAAAAAATAAAATAGATCATTTAATAAATCATCTAATTTATGATCGAAAGAACAGTTATTAAGAGCTGGAATAATTTTCAGTTTTCACATAAACGTCTTTAATGACGGGATGCGCATCAAGGCATTGAAGAAATGAAAATAAAAAACCATAAAAAATGTGTTTTACAAGGGAACCATCTCATCGTCAACTGTGAGAAGGTTCTTAAAAACATTTTGATTTGCGTTATTTTCAACTGTTCGAATATTTTTTATTTAAATGAACTGATATTTATTACTTATCCACTTCAAAACTCAACAAAGAACTTACATAAAAAATCTACTTTCACTTAATAATGATTCAAAATCATTTGCATTTTATGTTTTTTTCTTAACTTCATGAAATGATTATTTATGTCAAAGTTTAGTAATTAATTTAAATGTTCACTGGGTACATTTGGATACCTTAGATAAGCTCTCAAAAAGTCTAATTTTTTTAATCTATATATCAGTAATTCAGTAATCCTAATCCAACTTGATTAAAGCCTTGTTAAATGTTAAATAAACTGATCCACATCAATTTGGCAAAAGTTTTCCTTTTAATTTCAAGCCCTGCCTTTAGATATGACGTCAAAGGATCAACGCAAACTTTTATGAATCTTCTTGAAACTTTTATAAAAAGCAGTTAAACCCGATTTCCATATCTGTTCCAACCTTCTCTCGTCACTCTTTCAATGGAATGCATATACCGATCTGTGGGACATAAAATTTTGCTGTTTTTTTTCGTTTTCATCTCCTTTCGAAAATAACTTTATTCGTTTTGACGAAAACTTTTTATATTTATATTTTAATTAAGAGACTTTGACCGAAAAACTTTTAATCTTCACATTTCGAGACTGAAAGGAGAAACAAAATAAAATGTTTTTAAAGAGTGTAAATGACTTCTGAGGTCATGATCCTATTTTCCTGATGTTCACGAGAGCGTTAAACTGCTTCATCGTTCACTTTATTTTGCTTCTATATATATTCAATATGTGTATTACTCAATTTTCACCATGAGCCTTCTTCACATTCTTTTTCCCGAATCATATACCGTACCCAAAAGAAATAAATCAAAAAGACTTCGTTCGATGCAGCGACAGGCAACGAACCTTTTAAATAAAATTGTTCTTATTTGGTTTCCGATGATAGGATAAGATACTGATAAATATGACTTGTGATTGTCAAATAAAAGGGGGAAAAAGTTCATAAATTATATTAATCTTAATTATAATTCCTCTCGTTGACATTTTCATTTTATCGACATTGAAGTATCGTAATTAATTTTTAATATTTAAATCGTCTCTCAATAGCCTAAACAACCCTTTGTCGTCTTTTTCTTTCACATTTCATTCTCTTGCTACGCTTTAATGCCTTTTTATATCAATTTTAACATCAGCTTCTTTACAATATCAATTTATTTGAAGAAGAATGTTGAGAAAGGAGAAAAAATTAATAAAGAGTTTTCTTTATATAAAAAATAATAAATTTAGTGGAAGAAATTGACGATAATGGAACTTTTTACTTCTCATCTCCTTTATCATTCTCTTATGATAGTTGAATAGATCAATATACTTTTGATGTATGTTGATGTATGTTAATAATTAGGTTCGGTGCTGATGTTCTTAATGTTATGTTTTATCTGATTCCTTTCTCTTTCTCTTGCTTCCTTTGAAGTCTCGTGTTAATTTCTGATGATTACTGTGAGTTTTTGTAGAAGATTTTTTTATTAAGACTCAAGTTTTGGCGCAGAACTGTTCGAGTAGCAGTTAACAAACTCTTATTGAGATTAAAAAATAGCGAAATAATGTAGACAAAATCATTTTCACAAATAATTGCTTTAAAATTGGGGCAAGAAACGCAATAACTAATCATAAAACAATCAACAGATCTCTGAGAAATATCTTCAAAAACTGTTCTGAAGATTGAAAATAATAAACTGTGAGAACAAGAAAAATAAAATAAATAAAAATGATGGTTTATCCTGAGGAACCTTCCATATGGGCAATTCCCCATATTCCTGCACTTTATGCGGACGACGATGGAGATTATGGCGGTAAGGAATAAAAATAATCTCTTTATTATTAATACTCATCACTTAGCGCCATGTGATTCATTCATAATAACGAAATAAGAAAAAACATCTCATGTGAATGAATCGCGGCTTAAATTCAATGAATTTTCTTCATTCCATAATGTAATCAGTCATTCAATTACGAATCTTAATAAATGATTTCAGAATATAATATGAGAAAATAAATTGGTGAAGCAACAATAGATCAAATCATTGTTTCATTTCTCTCGTTTCCTTACCTGTCTGTTTCTATATTTTGTGTGTAGAGAAAGAGACAAATAAACAAACAAACAACGAGACTGAGAACATAGCAGAAGCAAGCTTTTGAATGAGAAACTCACATCAATGAAAATTTAGAGAAATAAATGATTCTGAAAGAATATTTGTGATATTTTGGATATTTAAGAACTTTGATCTTGAACACTTTTTGGATGTTTAGCAACACAGTTTGATTAACAATTTGACTCTTCCAAAACTATTCATTTTCTATCAATTTTTTGTTTATTTACGTGTCATTGCCTTCGGTTTCCTATCCATTAAATTCTTCCTAACACTACGTCTCTTGATCATGGTCGGTTGCTTTTTTCCATTATGAATCATTTGAAATGAAAATTAAAGTATCATGAGGAAAGCTATGGCTTATTTATGATTCTGCTTATGCAAAACTGTTACTTCTTGCATCCACTTTCCACTGTTTAACGAATATTTATGTAGGTAAAGAGTGTGAGATAGAAGAACTTAAATGTGCACAGATTTATTTTTGAATCTGTCAGCCTTAGGCAGTTTCTCGCTCAATTCATGGGAAACTTTTATTCTGAATTATGCATATTAGTGTAAACGATTTCTTTTACGATTTAGTCTGGAATGTTGTGTTGAGAAAAAAGATTTCTTAATTGTTGATGAATGTGAGAAAAGTTTCCTTGGTAGTGGAAAAAACGAGAAGTTGGAATTCATCCACGCACGTTTCAAAGTCATGAATAGAATAATTATAAGAATTGCCTCAATTAATTTATTTATTTATTTTATGTAGAAAGCTTGCAACAAGAATTTATTCTTGTTTTTAATTGATTTAAATTTTCCCAAAATTAATATCACTTTATGTAGCGATTTTTCAACTCGACCCACCATAAAATTATTTCTTTAAATTATCCAATAAACATTAAATTACGGATAAAATTATAATGCATAAATCTATGTTCGTCAATATATATTATTAAGTAGATCTTTTAAAAGTTGATTATCGACATGTCTTGAAAATTTTAAACGCCACTGTTCTTGAATTCACACTCGTTTATCTCTTAGCACTTTTTTATTATATTTTATTGCAAAAATACTATCCGCAGAATATTTTTCTGGTTTTCAGTTATGGTAGATAATAATTTAATTTTAATTTGAATCATAAGGTTTAATGTAGTTTTAATGTTCGCTCTCTTAAAATGTCATTCAAGTTTCATCGTTGAAGTGTATGATGGTGATGGTTTAATGATTGACAAAGTTATTGTCCCTGATGCTTCACTCATTTCAATCAACAAAAATTTATTAAAGTCTTAAGCAACCTGTAATTATAAGTGAAAGTTAAACAACCTTGAACTCCCACTAAATCTTTATTTTTATATAAAAATAATTAAAATTTACTTTTGTTGTTCTCATCAATAAGTTTTGATTGAAAAGCGATTAATATTTAAATTAAGTTTCTTTTTCACCTTCCCATGCCATTAAATCAAAAAAATTGTAATAAATTGCATGCTAGTGGAAGCTTTCAAATCAATTAATTTGTCGACAACTATTCAGGTCAGCGATTTAATGGGTTGATATTGATCTTATTTAACTAAATGCAGATAATTTTCATAAAAACGTTTACACTTAATAGATATTTATCTACATATAATAAGAAACACTTTTTCTTTTATCTCTTATAGTTAATGTCGTAGAGGCTCTACAAGAATTTTGGCAAATGAAGCAGGCTCGTGGTGCTGATCTCAAAAACGGCGCCTTAGTCATTTACGAGTCAGTTCCATCAACAAGTCAGCCCTATGTTTGTTATGTTACGTTGCCTGGTGGAAGTTGTTTCGGAAGCTTTCAGGTGAATATTTTTTCTTGAAAGTCTAGTGAAATTCAATCTCTCTAATTTATTTTAACCATTAACAGAATTGTCCAACGAAAGCTGAAGCAAGAAGAAGCGCAGCAAAAATCGCTCTAATGAATTCAGTTTTCAACGAACATCCATCAAGAAAAATTAGCGATGATTTCATTGAAAAAGCAGTGAATGAAGCAAGAGCATCGTTTAAAGGTGATACAAACACTGACGAAGATGGACCTGATACCGGAATCGGAGCTTTCAGGTAAATGGAGAAATTTTTGAATTAAAAATTGAATAACTGAATTGATTTTTACTTTTCTTTCCAATTAAGATTCATGTTGGAATCAAACAAGGGTCGAACAATGCTTGAATTTCAAGAGCTAATGACGGTTTTCCAACTTTTACATTGGAACGGTTCGTTAAAAGCGATGCGAGAAAGGCAGTGTTCACGTCAAGAAGTTGTCGCTCACTATTCTAATAGATCTCTCGACGATGATATGCGTACTCAGATGGCTCTCGATTGGATAGCTCGTGAACAAGAGAATCCCGGTATGTTGGGTCGTGAATTATCCGTCGCTGAGAGAGAATTAGAGACTGCAAGACTTGCTGGTCGCGAATTGAGATTCCCGAAAGAAAAGAAGGATATTCTGATGCTTGCTCACACACAGATGGGTGCAGGCAACAACACAATGAACAGTTGAACTGTTCGAAGTACATTACATGCCATGTTTAAATTTTAAATTGCATTTAAAATGTAACACAAATTAAGTTTTAAGTTTACACAAACGCACACAACACACACGAACAATTTAGATTTAAATTTTAAAGTAGATATCATGTCTTCATAGAAATTGACAGAAGAATGTTGAGTTGCATCATCAGTACATTCTATACAGAAATTATTCTTCAATCAATCGAGTCAGAGGGTAATTCATGGATATAAATACTGTGAGAATGACGTTAAAATATTTAGAAGCGCTAACAGCCATTTCGTTCTTCTAATTCGGCAAAAAGTTGGCAGAAAGCAAGAAAATTACAAAAACTCTATCAAAATGAACAAGATAACTTCGCTAAACATGATGAATTACCCAATGATTTGTTATTATTCAAGAGAAAATGAAACAACAGAAAAAAACTAATTGGAAAGCTCAAGTTATTGTGATTACAAAAGTAGAAACCTTTTATTATATCTATCAATATATTTAGTGATTATAATTTTAAGGACTTTCATTTTCGATTGAAAATTTTGTTTTTAAAAATATCTTTTCATTAAGTCACTTTTTTATTATTTTGGTGGCGGTAACTTTCATTCTAATTTCTCAAATTTTCATCTGACTAAATTCCTTAACTCCTTGCTTCAACACAACAAAAACGAGCTTTGTAAATAATGAAAGCTGATGCAACAGCTCTCTAATTCTTAAATTAATTAAACTAAAATCGATACTAAAGCATTTTGGCCAAAATTTTTCTTGAAAATTATTTTTTTTAATATAAATTTAATCGAGAAAGTTATAAATTGTGATTTAAAATTTGAGTATAATTATGAAAATAAGCAAAGCCTTACGAGGTGGCATTTTTAGCTAAATTTAAAAATTTGAGATATTTCTCTTTTTTTCAACTTAACATAGACAAACAGTGACTTAAATGTACAACAACAACAAATATCTGAAACTTTGTAAATGAAATTCTTATTTTCATCATTTCGAAATGCATCGCAGAATAAAATAAATAAATAAATAAATATCGAAGTGTTTTATTCAAATAACAAACTGATGAGTGTGTTGATGCTATCAATTATATCGATTTATTACAAGACCTTCCAGCAATTGTCAATTGATGTTACTATCTGATTTCTACATGAAAATAAACTTCTCTACATTTGCAAATAAATCTTTTTATAACACAGAACATGAATCAACGCAATGAACAATTAAACGATGGACATAAATTCTGAATGTTATGGATTTGGCTGTTGTCTTATTTTTTATTTGTACATTTCGAGTTAAGTGGAGGATTAAAAATTATTGTTTGGATTTGTTTAAATGGATCGTTCTGCTTACTTGTTTTCATCAATGTTTGAGCTTGCTTCGAAATTTCACCCAACCTTTGCACATATCTCTGCATGATTCTTCATCTCAAATCCATTCATATTTCATTGTTTTTTAATAATTTAAAAAGCGATCTTTCAAAAGTCCATTGACCAAGAATCAATTGTTTTTGTGTGCAAATTTCTTTTTCTTACTGAACGAAATCCATAATGAGAGAGATCAGAAAATGACAATTGAGTAAAAGAATTTTGTGCTTAAAATTAAATTACAATTTTCAAAAATTATTCGAGGTAAAAAAAATGCAACTGCTACAACAATTGAATACTTTGGACAATCAAATGATGTATTCTGAAGTGTAATCAAGTGAATTTAAAATTTTCAGAAGATATTTTTCCTGACCCATGTAATTTCTTAAATAAAACAGTCATCTGGTTACCCCATTATCCAAAAAGTACACGACATGAATACAAATAATGTTAAAAGTTTTGAAAATTTTTTTTTTCTTTTCAGCATTTCACTCGAAACTTTTTTTCTTGTGATTTGCAAGAATGATAAGACGCACAAGACAAAAGAAAACCAAAACCTCAAAAACATTACAAAAAATCCCTTTATTGTCCATCCGAAAAGGCAGCTCAAAAGTTTATTTTCTTTTCTCATGTCCTCAAAAAAAAAAGAATACAACAAATAATAAATCAAAAAATCACAACACGACTGGTATGAGAGAAAGATGGAAAATTCCTCAATACAATTTGAGAACTCACGTCAAACCCGGTTCCAAGATCGGGCCATTCTCCCGAAAATTTCTTTTAATTTTTTTTCTCCTGATTTTCTGATCATGACATGCTGGACTCTTTGACAATTGTGTCGAACTCTTTCCCCTCCTTCCCTTCCTTACCTGATCATAATGGACGTCACTTCAACAGAAAGACAATAAAGAAGTCGGGTAAAGTTTCTACATCAATAATGGATCGAAAATGTTTAACAAAACATTTCCTCGGTTTGTTTCTTTTCGTCTTTTTGGCTACCAAATGCTTCGTATAATCATTTACAGGAAAAAAGAAATAAAATAAAACTCACCTTCCATTCCGATGACCAAATTAATGAGCTGTTTTAAGTACTTTACGACACATTTTCAAGCGTTTGTTATTAACAATCAAAAAATTAATTTCTCGTTTGGGTGATGATAATGGACCGGTAAAAGTATTAATTTATGTACAATGCAGGAAAAATCAACATCACGAGTTTGCGTTGTGGTGACCATAATTTAATGCAAATGGTTATCAAAAACCTGAAATTGTTAAAGTCGGGGACCCTGTGATATACCCAAATTTAATAACATTCTTTATGTCCTTAGTTCACTCACTTCACCCATTCTTTAGCGATCCACAAATTGATCATGTTGCAAGTAGAAAGACCATTTTTAAATGGTAATGATGTTTGGTGATATGAGAACCGAAAATTATTTATGTATTTCGCTTTTTGCTTTCGTTGCTTTCCAACCAGAACTAAGTTTTGATTTTTCATCAGATTGTGAAGATCGACAAAGTTATGCGAAAATGGGAATCGAAAGAAGATGCTTGAACATTTATTTTTTTTTTGTTTTGGCTTTCTTGTGAGTTGAAAAGAAAACGGTCAGTGTTCTGATAATGAATTTTGATGAATTCTTCTTCTTTCCATTGCGGTGTATCATTTTTACCCAATCAAGCATGTATGTACACGTTTAGCAGAAGCGCTTCCTCATGAGACAAATATTTATTCTCTCGATGATAAAAACGAAATAATATTTTTAAATTTAATGATAATAAATTCAAGTCAAAATGAAAATGCTTGAAAAGTGTTCAATTGTTTAATGCAATTGAAAGCGTCTTGGGATTGATTAAAGAAGACCAAACTTTTATTACTTTAATTTCAGAAAAGATTAATCAAGAATGACTCACAAAAAATGATATAAATGAAATAAAATTGTCATTGAAAATGGTGAAAGCCAGCTGGACCATTAAATTTTAAAATGTGGAATTAAAAAACAATGACAATTTTTGAAATTAAATTCATTTATGTTTCGTATGATTGAGATCAATTTTTAAAACTTAAATAAATATTTTTCTTTTTATCGGCAAAGTGATCGTTATAATCGACAGCTGTTGCCATTGATTCACTAAGCAACACTTCAAGCAAATTTCAGAAGAAAATTTAAAGACTCAAAAATATGCTTAGCATATTGTTACATAAAATAATTTCGGTGCCATCAACATGAAAAAGGAAAAGCCACAATGATCATTATTCTTTTCTAAAGATTCTGCGAGTTTAAAACTCTGGAAAAGAATTTCGCACTGAAATGTACTCGCCGATTGTTAAAATTATATTTGATGTACAAGAGAGTAGCAGAGAATTCACATGTCTTTGATCATATTTAATGGCGATGTACTCCATCAAATGAAACATTTTACTGTCGCATTTTCATTGTTTTTTTGTGCGCGATCTTTCGCCGTTTTTATCAATTAAAATACTTTTCAGCTTATTATTTATTTCGTGAAATGTTGATTCGGTTTATTCGTGTGTTTGTTCGCTGGTCACAAAGTTCTTTGAACTTTTCGGAAACCATTCCTGTATGGGAATAAACTAATGACACTAATGGTCATGATTTTAAAACCGTTTAAAAACAAACCAGAAAAATCCACCGACAATTTATATTTAATTACAACTTTTTGAAATTATCTTTATTTCTTTACTTTTTTTGCTCCTGTTGTAAAATGGATAATGACTTAGGAATTTTTGTTCTTTAATCAAAATTAATTGAGATGCCACAAGATTAAAGTTTTTTTGCATTATTTTTCTGCTGCTTTTGAATCATTACACGAGCTTTTCTTTCATGAAACTGATATGACTTTGGCTTGTAATGAAATCATTGCAATGATTAGTGAAAATAATCTTAAAATGAAAAGAATTCTCATAACAATACAAGAAGCTATTAATTCTTCACTACCTAATCAAACGGAACACTTCCTGTAATTAAGATTAAACTCGTGTTGAAATATTCTTTTTTTATTTATCTAATCATTCGAGTTCGGATATTGTTTTAAGCCACTGTTCATTTGATAGTAGTCAGGAAAAAAGTTATTGAGATAAGAAATTTAATCAACCTTTCAAACTGCTTTAAAATAAAGTTTTGCACCTTCAAGTGTTCAGTCAATTTGTGATTTTATACGAGTAATAACAAAAGTTCAAAGTGTTTTATTTCAAGATGTTAAAAATTATTTACGCACTTCTTCTACTTCCGTTTGTTGTGCAAGCTGAGCTTCGAATTGCCGAGTGTAATTACTACAATCATACATTATTCGGCTATTCATGTGAGGTTGCAAATTTTGAATTTATGGCTGGTGATGGGGTTCAAATCACTGGGACTCACATGCCTGGAAAGAGTTTCGAAAACGTGATGTTCGTTGAAATTCTTAATTCAACATGTCAAGTTCTGCCACAGCAGTTCTTCATCACGTTTCAAAACCTGAACAGATTTTATGCTCAAGCTGTGGAAATGTCGGCATTAAATCCGCTTTCAAACTGCGAAAGTCTTGAAAATTTGTTCTTATCATCGAACTTAATTGACATTATCAGAGCTGATACGTTTGCTGATTGTGGAAGATTGAGAGTTTTACATTTGCAAAACAACTTGATAAGTACTGTCGATCGATGGGCATTCAGGGACTTGGAAGATTTACAAGTTTTGTTCTTGAATGACAATGAAATTGAAGTAATTAATCCTGACTTATTCACTACCGTTCCCAACTTACTTGATCTAAGTCTTAGTGGAAATCGTTTACCAACTCTTAACGTTCGGACCTTTCAACCGATTCGCTATCTTGAAACATTGCGATTAGCACGCAATCAATTTGCTATTCTTAACGTCAACATTCTGCAAAATTTAACTCAGCTATCTACACTTTTACTCAATGGTAACCAATTTGATAATTTTCAAGCAAACTTCTTCCGTCACTTGCCTAATTTGAGACATCTTAACATTAATGATAATTTGGTAAGAATGTGCGATTTAAAAGGAAGTAAATAATTTGAAATATTTTTGTTCTTTCAGCTAACTCTTGTTCGGCAATTGCAATTTGATTCCAATCCGAGACTTGCAACTTTGACAATGGCAGATAATCTTATAAATGAGCTTCATGCCAATGTGTTTTTACTTAATGTAAATTTAGAGATACTTGATTTCGGTAACAATCAAGTTATAACTTTGCCAGGAACATTGTTGAGAGCAAACTCACGTCTCATATCTCTTGGCCTTCGACGAAACGGAATTACAGCAATTCAAAGTAATTTCTTCGATAATTTACCAAACTTAAGGTACATTAATTTGCAGTCGAACATCTGCATCAACAGATTCTTTTCAATTCAAAGACCACTGTCAGTTGATGTTGCTCCATATTTGGATTTATGCTTTAAAAATTTCTAAAATCTTCCATTTTTTGTTAAATAATTTAATAAAAATTGGATTTTTGTAAAGAATTCTTTTCATCGATTAACACAATAAAGTTTTTCCTAATAAAATTAACAAGATGATATCTTATTTCATTTTATCCCCCGACACTTCCACTCGATTGAATCATCGACTGAATGTAGATGAAAATTATTTTTGATGAAATTAATGTAAGAACTTTAATTCGATTCCACCAGATATAAATTAAATTAAGCTTTTCTGGCAATGATTTTATCTTAAAATTAGAGACGTGTCGTTTCAAATAACGTCACAAAGAAAATTTGGTCAAAGATGGCAAATTTATATCTTTTGGTGTTGGTGCCGGTTGGGAAGCTGATTTTCCTGGGGCTTATGCGCGTGTTACAAGTTTCCGTGCATGGATAGATAGCAACAGAAATCCATAAATATGAAAACTACATTGAATTCTTTTTTTGGGTTAACGCTGACGATAACTGCAAAAATGTACAACTAAATAAGTATCTAGAAATAAAAGGAAATTGGGATATCTTTCGAAACATACATTGTATTCATTTTAACCACTTACCTTTTGCAACATCGCAAAACTTCAAGACTTTCGGGCACACAATGGAACCACAAATATTTTATCCTCTCACGCAAAGATGCAAAGAATCTTTCTTTCAGTATATTATTGAAAATTTATTTTATTAAGATGTGCAATTGTCACGCAGATGTTAATCGTACATTTTCAAATCGAAATGAAAATATTTCGGCATCAGCCCCCGCAGCGAAATGGCCCAAAAAGAATCGATTTGTCGTTGCAATTACATACTTTTCTTAACCAAGTATTAAACTTCACTCTTTATTCATGTAAAACGTTTAGTGTTATTGCTGATAATGATTATTGATGCATACGGCTTCTCAAATCTTTTATTTCATGGATCGAAGCAATAATGTGCAATTTATTTTTTTAATTGAATGGTCTCGCTGCTGCCGAAAAACATACAAAAGAAACTGGAGCGGTAAACGAAATGGATTTATAACTCGAAGGCAAACACATTCCGGATGAGGAAAACAATGATTTGATGATGGTGCAATAGCAGTTCAATTGCTAAATAATTGGCTGACTGAAGAAAATTTTCATCCATTGCTTTCATTACAAAGAAAATTAAATTTTGATTTTAATTTATTTAGCATCCGCGCTGTGTGCGTTAATTAGATATGGAATGTCGTAAATAAAAGCTAATTGAGTTAATTTCTTTAATTGCAAGACAATTTTTGGTTTCCATAACGTTTAAAATGTCTCCCTTAAATCATTAAAATAGTAATAAGAAAGTAATTTCCGAAACATTTATCAGACAGTTAAAACAGTTCTCGCTAGGTATTATAATGAAAGCCTGCCAACAATGATATGATTTCGACCGGTTCTTAAAGAAGTTAATCAGTGAATAATTGCTCCGAATAACATGATACAATTATTTATTTTTTCATCTAGGTGTAAGTTGATAATAATGCGAAGTGAACTTCTGACGAAGACTTATTAATGTTCATTGTCGATTGTAGATTTATGATATGCATGTTTATCATTTCATTTTGATCGTACGACATTGAAATTTACTCTCAACGACTTTTATGCACATGCCACAATCACAGTTCACGTTTCGTTCCAGATATTTCTTTTCTCTTCTCATCATTTAAATATTCATAATAATTTTCTTGCCGTCACTGCATAGATAAGATGCATTCTGTAGCTTTCATGGTGCTTCGTTCGAGCTTCGCCAATCAATTTCAATGTTAATTTTATTTTTCTTTCTTTCTTCTTTTTCATTTTGTACCATCTTACGATCCACAGTGAAGATCATGTATCTCAAATAAATCATCATAAGAGAGATGGGTGGACATCAAATCGGGTTCTTGGAAGCTGTAAGCTTCCACCTGGTGATTATGGAGATTACGTGACATTATTCATTCATTGTCATCGAATTATCTAAACGTCATAAAAACGGAACCTGATCCGGTTCACAAGTGAAGGATATGGTTGTAAAATTTGCATTTTGATTAATTTTCTCTGCATTCGTCAATTAAAAAAAAATTTTTTTGTTGTTAATGTAAAATTATGCATAATTGTTCTATATAAAAGAAAAGAGATCGCTTTATCTATGCGAGACAATTAAATGGAGTTATTAGCATTATACATATGAAAAACAAGTTGATTTTATGATAATTTTAAAATTTTCTGTCTTTATTAAAGTACTTTTAAATGAATTTCGCAATTTCTATTTTCTTCTTCAACCTTTTTTTTCCAGCTGTAATAAAATTGTTCAGTTTAAATGGGTTAACTTATAATTTGTGGCTACAAAACTATTTTTATAAAGAAATAATTCTTTGGCGTAATAATTAACCATTTGGTGCTCGCTTGTGTCAATTAAAACTTTAACTACAAAATGAGTTGTTTTCAATGATGGTTTTTTTAGTTCAGCTACTAGTTCATCTTTATTTTTATTTAATTTCTTTAATCTTTGCCGATAGCTTTTCTTTTATTGTTTTCTCATTGACTTACAAGAACTTAAAATACTTATCTTTTAATGGATTACTATGAATAAAGATTCTAATTGACGATTTGGACGAAGTAAAGCAATCAAAGCCTCAGATAGCACTTGCTGTCGGGTGTAATTTGATGATGCTATATTGTGTAATTATTCGAAGCTTATTGATCTTTATTTCAGTTAAATAAATCATAAAAAAATATGATCGCTATATTGTTCAGCCTATTTATCTCAAAGAGTCAGCTAATTTACTGTGAACAGATGCCACTTGCAGATTTTCATATCTTCTTGATATTTTTTTATTCTTTTCTATTAAAATGAAAAATCGCTTTTTAGAATTGGTTTCTGACACAACATTGATACAATTTATTAATTCGACTTTTTCTATATTTTAGTTTTTCTAATCCTAGAGGAAGAAGCTTTCCTTGATTGATAAAAAATCTTTCTACATATATTTCTTTTGTAAACAAGCTCGAAAATTAATCGAGGGAATATTTAATAAATTAAATATTTATTTTCATATCAAGAATTATTAATGTTGTCAAAAAATTATGTTTTGGCTATAAAAAGTTTCATTGTTTTATGTGTAAATGTTAAATGAGTGGCGCGCTTTGTGATTTTAGAAGCTGTTTCTATTTTAAAAGCTGTAATTTAAGCTTTGACGACCTTCCCACGCTAGCGATTATTGCTGGTCCCGTTTCTACAGAAGCTTTTCTTTATGATGATTATCATTTTGTGAAGATGATAAAAGAGTGAACAAAATTTAACAGTCAAAAAAAATTTGAATTCTTTTCAAATTTTAAAAAGTCGTTATAGTACAGTATGTTGCTTTCATAATTCTTCTGGCTTTGTCTTTATCTTAAGATTAAATCTTTTCCTATTTAATTAATTCTAATAGCCATTGTACTCATATCAAAATCTTAAACGTTTCTAAATACACAAAAACAAATAAATGTTATGAAAAAGAAATAAATTAAATAAATCTCTCAAAGCTTTTTTAGATCATCAAACATTACATAAAAAAAAAGAATAATCAAAGAAATTTTCCATCACCATAAATTAAACTCTTAAGATTAATGTCACTCTTTAACAAATCAGAAAATATTTTCCATCTTGCTGGCGAGGAAGTCCTTAAGTGGTTGATAATACTGAAAACGTAAGCTGTTCATTTCTGGCCAATTACGGATTGGCGCAAAAAATTCTGAATCAGTTTCCAATATCAGGACAGCGGAAATGGTCATTGCCAGAATTACAAAGATAAACGATGGTATAAATGTGTGAAGAAGTGAAAACTTTTTTGTGTATTTCCCATTATTATTTCCATTGGAATTCCTTTCATTATCATTATTTATTGCTGATGTTTGAAGGGGAATAATTCCATCACCGATAAAAGTTGCTTGTGTTGTATTGAGACCATCCATGTCAGTCATTTCAGGATCATATGACTCACGATAATATCCGTCAACATGTTCACCTGTTTCGAGGTGACGACGATTCTCTTCGGACACTGTCTCAAGAAGTGGAATTCCATTTTCATGAATGAACATTGAGGCTTGATCGGTAAATTGACCCATGGGTTCTGATAATGTCGATCTAGGAAGACTATTGTAGCCTGTGAAATATAAACTTTTTAGTCATTCAAAGATTAATTAATCACGATAAAACTTACGAAGATCTATCAGATCCTGTGGACTCGATGGTGTCGCTGGCACGCTGCTTGCTTTTCGCTTTGTTGGACTTGAAGTTTCGGAACTTTGTTGTCGTAATGATTGAAGACTTTCTGATAAAATCTCACGTTCGGTTCGTCCAACATAACGGAATTTCGAGTGGGAAAAGAAACCGCCGCCCGTCACAACCGAAGCATTTTGACCATTCGGCAAACTGTTTCAATGAAAAGGAATCATTTTAAATGAGTGTTAAATAAAGAAATGATTAAACTTACGTGAAAAACAACATTTGCTCGATGGCACATCTCCAGACATAGCGACATGTCATGCTCGATGGACACTTGAATCCAACTGTATGCTTTTTCACTTCCCGGTCGACCGTGTATGTTAAGTGTATGATAAACATTTTCCCTTCAAAATTGATTTTTGATATTTCGGGCCATCGAAAATGTTGGATCCGTTTGCCAACCGACAATGTACTGACACCTGAGAAATTTATTCCGACATAAAGTTGACTGCCACGATAATCTTTCACTGGATGTGGATCGATGCCATATGTTTCAAGACTGCGTGCAATCAAAATAAATTCATCGTACACGTTGACGATGTCTTGACCTGGTTCTCGTTTTCTGTGTAGCTCAATAACTTTCTTTTCCAGTTCAAGCGATTGACGAAGGGCGAACTTCAAGGTTGTCACATAATTTTCTGTGTGAACTTCTCTATCAAAATCGCCAAGCTCATCTTATTTATTTTTATAATAACGAACGAGAAAAAAGAAAAAGAGAAAACAAAAGTCAATAAATTAGTGACCATAGTTTATTTCTTCTCGCAAATCATTTCCGGAGGTTTTTATGCTAAATCATTTCATTGATATTAACTTAGATAAAGCAATTGTCAGCACTGCCATGAACGCAAATTTTGTGGTTGAAACATTTCCAAAAGCTTATCGCTTAGAAAGACATAAATCTTGTTAGTTGCTTTCAACTCGATTTTCACCAAGAAATTGTGAAATTCTAATCGATATTTATTTCGTGAAGAACTTCCCATAAATGTTTGTAACATGTGTTGGAATGAAGTTTCTTATTTTCTTCTTTATATCTTGATTAAGTGGGTGGAAAATAACAATTTACGACAAAAGCTTTCGTTTTTCTTTAAGATAATATTATTCACATATTTTCTTAACGACTTTCACAAGAATAATTGAAATGTATTTAGGTAGAAGCAAGTTAAAAATCGGCAAGCATAATTGAGTTTCATCTTAAGTTTCTAAATGAGATTATAAATATTTATATGAGTAGATTAAAAGACTTTTATTAAAAATCTCGAAAGCTTTGTCGTTTAAGCCAACAAACGAATGCCTTGAAATAGGAAATTTATTGGATATTCGAAACCACATTGGCTCTTGCCAACATTTCCACTTAATCATTGGCAAAAGAAACTTCAAAACTTTCAACATATTTTTTTAAGAAGTCGTGGAAATTTTTTCTGATGATTTTTAAAGTTTAAAAAGTTGCATGAAAGCTTTTAAAAGTCAATAAAAATTTATGATGTAGATGATTTTTAAACTTAATCAAGTCGACTAAATATATTCGTTTCCGTTCACTCCCACGCCCTAATTTTCCTTGCGTGTTAATTCAATTTTCGTATATCAAAATTTAATTAAGTTAATGAGCCTCGCTTCTATGAAAGAAAATTCACAAAAAAAAATCCTTTTAATCTTTCGTTATCGCACAAAACTGGCCTATAAGTGCTTCATTTGCGTGGAAAAGCTGTCAAGTAAGCGTGTCGAAAGGATAATCGCAACAAACAATTTAAATGTTAATCAATTTTATTGTCGAGTCGTTTCCTATTTCCATGTGCGACTACCACAATCATCATCGCGATAAATCTTCACCGTTACGGTCTCTAATGGACGTTTCAATTTCATTGGAAGCTTTTAATAAACTCTGACAAGTTACACGTTGTAGGTAACTATGGTTTGTGAGACGTGACAATCATTTTGAGATCGACAGTAACAAAAATATTTTCAATAGACAACACGAAAAAGTCATCATCATAATGGAGAAATGGCTTTTTAATTGAATTATCTCGTCGTTTAATTGCCATCGATGTAACTATAAAGCAGCTGAAAAATCATCGATTTAACTCTGAAACATTTCTGATTGCTTTTGTAACAATTTCAGACGTAGAACAAGGAAAGTGAGTTTGATCTAATTGAATATTCTCATCACAACAATAACCGAACGAGTGAAAATGAATATTTTATCAATATTCGTGTTACTGAACTTTTTATTGCATCCGCACGGATCTCAACAGGCGGTTGGTTAAACCAAACGAGTGTTTCTTCGTTTTTATAAGCTTTTTCTTCTTTTTTTTGGATATTCCAGACACTGCCGAATTTTTCAAATGTTCAAGCTTTTGATTGTATGCCCCAAAACGCGACTTTTCCAATGAAGATGCTAAATTCACAAATTTTAGCTGAAAACAACACATGTTATCTTAAAGCATCGTTTGAAGTGTTGGAAAAGCTTCCGACCAACTTAGAGGTTGAATTAACTTACATCAGATGCAATCCTGATCAAAGTGGATGTCAACCATACGGAAAATTGATCGTTTCGAAATTATGTGAGAAAATGAAAGTCAAAACTTCAGTTGCTTCAAGAATTGTCAGAGGAATTTCCCCCGAATTCATTTGTCCAATCAAACCTGGAACTTATGAAATATCGAAAGATTTGAAGTTTCTCCAGACTATGCTTTTGTTATCAAGAACCTCAGTTGAAGGATATTCGTGGGGTGGACGTTGTGAATTTTATGAGAAAAAAGATCGGAAACGAATCAGAACAATTTTTTGCGTAAGAACTGAAGGTGCTCGTCTTGGAAGTTCTCTTGGTAAATTCAAGTAGATATTTATAATAATTTACAAAACCTTCTTTTTGACTACTCACCTTGAACAATCAATGCACCAAGCGCAGCACTTTCATTAGCAGAACAGTAAAGACGTCCATGTATCAGGTCCCTTTTCAATTGCTGAAACAACATGCATTTTCCGTTGAAGCTAAGACGTGTTGGATCAGCTGGATAGAAATGAAAACGGAACGACAGAACCAGAGGATCGACATCTGTGTTTTAAAAATAAAAATATTTTTTCTTTTAAATAAATAAAGTTTGATATAAACAAAACTTCACAACATTGATGTTTACAATTAGATGAAAACTTTATGAAAGAAAGAAGCATTCGTTACCTTTCACTTGTTTAATTATGTTCTTTGATAAATCAAGCCAATGCTGCAATATTCCGGGAGTAAGAATGAAAGCGTTAAGTTTTGAAAGGGAAAATTACGAAGCAGAATGATTTTTATGTTAATTCATGACAAAAGCACTCAAGCGGATGATTTTATGTTTTTTATAGCTAATGATGCTTACCCGTTGTTTGAGATTATCAACGAATTTAATTCCAAAATAATCTTTTTCTGACACATCCAACTGCTCGCAGATTAATTCCAATAAGAAAAGTCCTTTATGATGAGGCTGAAAATTTTGAAAAAGAACATTTGATATATTTTATAATGTTAACAATTGATAGAAAGTAAAGTTGTGAAGACGTAAGTATTAAATTTTCAGAATATATTCAAGTGAACTTTATCGATGGGAAATTGTTGAATGGCAATGAAAAATGGTCGCCCAATGGCAGTGATCTTGGGACAAAGTCAAAAACTTGAAAAAAAAACTTAAAAATTCCAACTTATCAATAATTAAACAATTTCTTAGTATCCAACTGTAGAAATACATATCAATCGATTTTTTACTTCATTTATTAAATTTTATAGCAAAATGAGATATTCAGTTTTTCTTCTAAATTTCCATCAATAATTCTCATAAGAATTTTTCTCTTCTTCTAAATTTTCAACCTGAAACTCCAACTCCAAAAAAGAATCGTCGAGTAACCGAATGGAACACTTATAAACAACATTTCCTTCACCGCGACTCTTAAACATCGCTTTTAACTACTTAAACTTATTTTTTAAAAATCACTATAAAACTTTTCTTATGAGATTCGCAATTCTTTGTTGTTGTTTGTTGATTTGTACGCATATTACGTCACAAAATAAATATCATCACTGTTCAGATTGCTCCGGATTTTTATGATAAGAATGAATAAATTCAGTTCATTTTAATTCTCATTTCTCATTTCGTCTTCAGCTTTAAATGTTTTTATATGGTCGCACAAATTTTGATAATTGTTGACATCATTTATTACGCAGTTTGAAGTACAGATCATGATCTTAGAAATTCTGTCCGAGGAGAAAGCATTGAAAGCATTGGAACATTCAATTCTTTGCTTTTCAGCGATAGATGGCGCTACTTCATTTTCATCACTTTTAAACATTTGAAAATATCCAATAAAACTGAAGTAAAAATATGTGAACTGAGCCGTTTTGATAAAAATCATTTCAATTCTTATGAAAAAGTTTCAATAATATGAAAGAATAAGTCTAGTTAAATATACTACGATAAATAAAGGAAATTAATTAGCACCGTTGGCACTAAGGAAACATTCTTATTAGGTAATCATTTATTTGTACTATCGAATGCTATTAATAATTATTTTCATAACTTTATCATATTAGACAGCTGACTGTGACATAAATCAATATTTTGCGTGTTTCTATTTTAATTAATTTCAAACCAAGTATTATCTAAGCGTTGATGCCAAAATTTTGTTTCTGCGTTGACAACTAACTAAGTCATATTTAATTTTCTTAAACGATATGCTTAACATTATAAAAGAAGAATATAAACAGAAGAAAAAAAATTTCTTTTTATTTCTACAACTTGTTGCTTTCTTACGACTTCGAAGATTTTCCGGCTTTTCCTTATCACATTTTATCATCGTGCTGTGTGTAAAAGAAAAAAGTATCTGAAATTAATGTTGAAGAAGAGATCGAGAATAAATAAATAGCAAAGATGATCATCATTTTATTTTTAACATTCTTTCGGCTTTTTTCGATTTTCACGATGTGCACACATTTGAAGAAAAGAAAAATTAATTTGAGAAATTCAGAAATTTTCCAACTTGTATTCATTCAGTGTTGGAGTGACTGTTCGATGCAAAATATCTTTAGACTTAAGCGGAAAAGTTTTATATGAGAGAAATATTATTTCCTTTGGTGGAATGGGAAAATTCATCCTATTTTTGTAGTTAAAAAATATTCAAATATTGCAAGTGAGAATTTTAAGAGTGCTAAAACTTAAAAGTGTGACTTTAAAAGATTTAACTTTATGAGATTTGAATAAAATTTAGTGCTGATTTGTGAAAGAAAATTTCATCAACGCAAAGAAAACGAAGGAAAAACTTTTCTGCTGCGAGCAACTAGAAAATTTTGAAGGAGAAAAGAAAAATTCTATTTATAAAATGAATCCATCAAGGTAAAGTTTCTTCTTATTAATCGTCATAATATTTCTTTTAATCGAATGAAAGTCCATTAAACAGCACGTGAACCAAAGAATTCTCAATTAAAGTTACAATTTAGCCAAAAATGTACAAAAACTAAGATTAGATACTTCCTAAAATAGAAAACGAGAAGATGCGCGTTTCGCAAAGTTTAGATTCACACCATTAAATAGGATTACAATTTTAAATGAGAACTGTTCCGCTTTAATGCCAAGGTCTAGCTTGATGCACTTTCAAAATACAAACAATTTTGTATCAGATTCATTGAGTGAAGCTGAAGAATTTATTTTTAATATTGCACATTAAAATATTAGACTACTTACTCGACTAAGTTGAGAATCTAGTTCATCACCTACGCTATCATCTGAGAGTCTCTCAGTGATAATTGTGCGTTTTTTTTAAACTACCTCTGCTAATTTCCCTCAAATTAATGACTGTGTCAACCAAAACGAAAATTGAAAACTTCCATACCACGATGCTCATAAATTTTCGTCAACTCTTGAGACGTGATGAAAACTTTTTTTGCAATATTTTGTGAATTCTAATTAAAAAGTTACACCCACGATTAATTTCTTGCTTCACGCATATCGCGATTCTAAATACAAGGTTAAACGTTTTGTTCTACTAATCCAAATATTATTTAACTCATTTCCTAGGAAATCTGTTGATCTTCCATTTTCATAGAACATCAACATGTGTTCGTTGAGTAATTCAAGCCCTGTAACCCTCACTAACTTCAATCAGTTAACAAATAAAAATGGCATATGAAAACTTGACAAGAGAAAAAGGAAAATAAAAAGTGTGGAAATTCACGCAAAAAAACATTCGGAAAATTCGGAAAACCTTTACAAAAAAAAGTTTGCTTACCATAAAAATAAAAGCAAAAGAAAGCTAGGGAAAAACAGTGAAGCAAAAGAAAATGTTTCATTGAATTTTCATTGGCTTGTCGCCAAGTTAATACAATTGTCGAAATGTACACAGTTGAAGGCACGATTTGAGGGAAAATTTGTTTTTGAGGGACATAAAGCTGTCGTGACTGAAAGATGACGTTGTCGTTATTTAGAACCCGCTTGTTGAAATGAAATGCATGGTCACGCTTAATGATCTCTATATTCTTAATGACGTTGACTTCATTTTATTCTTCTTATAAATATAGTTACAATTTCTTAATGTTTTAAAGATTTTCATGAGAAAATGATAAATGAGAATCAACACGCAAAAATGAAGAAAATTTGTTTCATCGGTGGCGATATTTTGTCTCCTGCCAAAAGAGTTTATTATTTAAGAAAAGTTTTAATGTTGATTTTATTTTTCTGAAAAAAATTTCTGATGCTGTTGTTTTGATTTCCTGCTTACTTTTAATGAAGAAGTTTCCTTCATGTCTCTGTCGTTAAGAAATCTTTTTCGGGAGATCCAAGATGAAAAACCTTCAATCTGAATGACGTGATAGCGGAACATTGACGTGGGTGGGTCGCACAATGTAAAAATGTAAGAAAGAAAAAATATTTTTCATGGACAAAGTGGCTCGTGTCTCATCAATGTCTAAACGATTGTTCAAATGAATCACTTAATTATTTGTTTCTTAAGCACCTCCTTGACAAAACCTCTCATAATTTCTAAACGACTTAATCGTTTGTTTTAGTTGAGGTTGGGTGACGATTTTTCTATTTATTCGCACGCGTTAAACATTTGCTACAATGTTTCGTGATATTTATAGGGAAAACCGCCATTCGATAGATAGATGATCAAAGTTTCAAGATCACCATCATCAACGATTGAAATACGAAACGTCGTGCGGAATGCTTTTTCTTTCTTTAGAAAATTTAGTAGCCAACAGACTGAACTGACAACGTCACGTACACATATTAATGATCACATTTCCATCACGCATTAAATCATCATAAAAGTTGATAAAAAAGTGAAATGTTGTGTTAAGTAAAACATTTCCTATAACCAGTTTTAATGAGTTCTTCAAATAATCTTTTTTATCGTTGTTTATTTACTGATTTTACTTTTATTTACTGTACGTTATCTTTAATATCAATCAAGATGATGAGAAATCCAGTTAAAAACTGTTAACGCTTTAATGTAAATTCAACTTTTGTGCCTCGCGAGTGCACAAATCATTTCTATTATGTGTAAAGTCAACTTCAACCAAACATAATATAACAGGATGATTAATGAATAGCATTGGATATCGCTCCCTATTGTGTTAAAGAGAAAGTAAAATGTTTCATATCATGCGACTTTAAAAAGAATCATAAATATGAAAAGCAAAGAATCACGAATAAGCATAACGAATGACATCAGACATTTAGATCTTTAGAAATTAAATTTACTACGAACTTCATCTTTTCATATGGAACGAAAACTTCACCTTCATCTTATGCTAATTTAGATCAGCTATTAATTATTTGACCTTATCCGTATTTAGATGTCTTACTTCAGATTAAATATTATTCTCAAACTATTAAAGCTTTCAATATTTTTTCTTACATTTAACGACCATCTATTTATATTTAAAATTAGCAATTCAATTCATACCATCATCGAATGTCCATTTTTTAATGCAAAACTTTTCGCATTTCTTAACTTTACCATTTAACAAAAAGTAAAATAAAAATGAAAAGTGAGAAACAGAAACTTGTGTCGTTTAATAAAAGCTTGTCTAAGTATCTTAAGAAATGCTGTTTGGCTGGACGTAATTGCAGTAAATTAAACAAGAAAACATTTTAGAAGAAAAACTGGAGAGGCAACAAAGAAAAACTCAATTCAATGTTGTGAAACTTTCATTTTTCAAAGATGCCTTTTTCAGCATTGATTGATCGATCTTTAAGCGTAAATGATTTTTCGTAGTTAATTGATTAAAATTCCTTTTATAGTGAATACGGAAAGATTTTAAAATCTCACTTCATTTGTCCAAAAGTCGTAAAAGTTTGTCTTCCTTCCTACGTTTTCATGACAATTCAGACAAATTTTTCAGTAAACTTTGCATCGTCTTCTTCCGATAAGTTCTGTTGCTTTTTTTCGGGAAATAAAAAATAGCAGTAAAACAAGAAGCAATCATCAAACACACTCATGGTGGTACACGGCCGCCGTCGACGAATTTTTTGCGTAAAGGAAGAGATCGCGAGACGAATGAAAGTGATAGTTCGATCGAAGATGGAGCGACAAGCGCGCAATGTTTTTATTTTTTTCTGCTTCTTCTTCTGTTCATTCGCCGTTGTTTTAATTATTTTCTTTTCGTTTTTTCATTTGAACTGAGGCTTCAGTTAGTAATTTGCCGGCATCGTGTTCAGTCGCAAAAACTTCTGAAAGAGAAGAAAAAAATTAAATTAAAACCTGTGTGGATTGCTGAAGATATTATCAAGTTTAAATCAATTATAATTGATAATTTGATGAGCTGTTTAAATAAATGAATAGCACTTAGTCATCAATAGACATAAATTATAATCATTCAATATTTTACATCACACCAAGTGACTCATAATTTTTCACTTTTATTAATAACAACGTGCGACATAAAGTGATTAAATGATCGTGATTTGAATAATAGCAACAACTGTTGAATCAAGAAAAAGTCAAATTATTACGTCCAGTGTTCAGTTATTATTGTGAACAAATCCTAATAGATGTGTTTATTCGCGTTCACTGATTAAAAATAGAAACATTACGAAACTTGTGATTTATTGCACGAGCCTAAACGTGTCTAAAGAGATCAATAAATTTCTTTTTCATTGTATTTTTACCCGTCTGAAAATTTGAAGCATAAAAACATCGTAAAATTGAAATCAAAAGTTGCACAGTAAGATGGCAACAACAATACAAAAGCCACATCCATCTCAAATGGATCCACGTTTGAGACGTGCTGTTTATGCAAAATATCGAGAAATGCTTGTATCGAAAAATAATCAAGCAAATGAAATGATCAAAAAGCTGCCCAGTTATATGGTACACCAGGATCACGGTTTTCATGGGAACGTGTTAAACAACGAGTAAGTCTTTTGTTTATTTAATTGTACGTTGTTAAATACATTATGAATTGAATGAAAAAAGGAAGCCTATAAAAGCTACTTAAAGGGTTATGATACGAATCAATGTCGGCGAGCGACTTCATTAGTCAACACAACACTCCCAAGGTTTTGCTTTCAACAATTGTTTTTGCTTTTAAAATGCTTTTAGAAGAAACAAAGTCAATTTTTTCGTCGAATCAGCAATAACAGCATAAAAAGTGCATTTGACCTCTTTGAGAACATTTAATTAACGGTTTGAACATAAGTCGCATAATTAAGACACGCTTGTGGATTAAACATAACGGAACATAAATATTCAACTACTCTCAGAAGAATTCATTTATCCTTATTGCTTAAATATAATTCGACAGACCTTAATTAAGCTTCGAATATTCCGAGTTTATCTGAAGTTCAATTACCAGAACGGAAAAGATAAAAAGTCCATGAATTTCTTTCTTTCAATTCCTGCTTCATGTGATGATCGAGTTCATTAAACTAAATGAACAGAAATCAGGAAGAATTTTTTTGCCTTTGTGTCTGATGTAAAAAAAAGTCTGTTTTATGTAGAGCCAAATACTTGTGATTTATTCAAAACACTGAGTTCAAAATGGCAGATCATTATTTTTTGTTTGATGGAAGAGGTGGAACTTATGACTTTAGTTCACTCATTCATAGCGAACAAGAAAATGCCAATGAACTCACTCCAAAATGTTTTTTCCGCAAATATAATTTTAGAACCAAAAGTCTGACATAAAGCTTTTAATCAGCGGGACTCTTGGCAATGTCTTCAAGCATAATAAAGTTGAATTTTATTGGTTGGCGTTGATTGTGAAATGATCGCTATAAACTTTCCAATGTGTCTTAACGATCTTGTAACATTTACGAGTAAATCTGAATCTCCAATAGCTTTCAAAATCAATTATTTAATCAACAGCTGTCTTTTAATCGCAAATCTGTCAAAACTTCGCCCTCTTTGTTGTGGTAAGAATAAATCATCCAATGCGCTTTAATCATAACCGCCTTCAGACGTGTGCAATCAACGAAATCTTCATTGAGTGCGAGACACGTTTTTCGAATGAAAACTTAACGGTTGAATATTTGTTTTTAAATTTACAAAAAGCATAAATTTCATTCTTTTTTTTGCAAATAATTCCGAGACTACAATGTTACTTTAACGAATATTTATATGCGAGAAGTTTTCTTTTTGTTTTCATTTCGGTGCTTCTTAACACACACTTGGATTTTTTTTAGATATCTCGATTCTTATTTTCGACCCACAGAAATTAATGTTGAATACCAAGAGAAGACGCACTACATAAGAAAAGGTCAATAAATACTTTAAGCAACGCAAACATAAATTAAAGTCTGCCAATTTACCACATGACAGAAAACATTTATTTCTATTGCAAAAAGATTTTCCATTTCAAATTTTCGGCGGAACATTAAACAGAAAATGAAAAATTCTTGTAAACAGAAAAAAAAGTTCTGTTGAAAAATTTAAAAAATAATTTTTGTTTTTCGGAGAATTTTCAATAAATCATAAAAAAGTTTTTATTTGAAACAATTATGTGGGCGTTTTAACATTTGCTTTCATATTTGTACTACAATTAAAAGTATTGCAGTGAAACTTTGATAGCTTCCACCGGTTGTTGACTCAAATCGTGATCTAAAACTTTTTAATCGTAATTTTATGAGTTGAAATGAACGACTAACAAGCTGACATAAACTTCTTTGGCGGGATTATGGCTTCAGAATTTTAATTGAAAAGTCAGACTATTCGTTTCGCAGCAACAACACGTTATAACAACATGACCTAGGTTTCTTACATTCAAAAGTCTTAAAAATTCAACGGGAAGCATAATTTTTCTCAAAATAAACGATTACGTCAGTGACTTGATATTGAGCTGGATCATCTTCTAAAGTGTTATTCATATTTCTCATGATATAATTTTAAGTGTCTGCGAAAGAGCTAAAGAAGAAGAAAAATCATCATCTTCGTCATCACAACCGCAAAAAGAAAAATTTTATCGCTTTTCATAAGTCGATTAACCAAAAAAGAAATATAAAAAATAAGCTTTTAAGATCAATGCATGTCGTAAACCTCACTCTTAATATTGTAAATTCCAACTCATGTCAAACTTTACAAGAAATTGTTTGTCATCCTTTAGTTCATTTTACATATGAGTCGCATCGAATTAATAATAATAAAATTAATGCAAACGATTAACAATCTTGACGCCGATGCTTGCAAATTGAGTGATTTGCATAAAGTGCAAAATTTATTATAGAATATTAAAACGATTAATTATTTCCCAGGTGATTGTTATAATTAATGTTAGTTAACATGTTTCAAGATTTTCAACGCTTTCAAGAGATTCACTTGATGAAAGTAAAATCTTTTTCAATTCAAACCGATCAATAACGTAATAATGCCATTCAATAATCTTTAACATTTACGAGATAAGATTTATTGACAGTAACTCGTCGGCTTTTGAAGAAACCCGTGGTGATGAACAACTAAACTCAGAGATTAATTTAAGATGCCAACAACTTGTTTTCGTTACTTATTTCAATCCTCTCCATGTCAATTTATAAAATTCTTGTTAACTTTAAGTAAAAATTTCATGACTTTCAACACGATTTCCTTACTGCTAGATTCAAATGATATTTGTGCGTATTTTTAGCAAAGTTGTCAAAGATAAATGTAAACAAAACAAGTTCATTTGTCGTTTGTCGAAGAGTTTGAAAGGCTTAGTAAGGGAAAGTGTCGAATAAAAAAGTGACTTCAAACGATTTAGATGCAGAGAAATATTATCACCTCTGTTAATATTGTCACTATGCACTTATTGAGTTCAATAAATTTTATTTTAATCGATTAGCTTTGTGTGCTCCGAAAATGGAAAACTTTAATTATGGCGCCTAGCTAGACAACAGACAAAGCTACTTTATTCAACACAAGATCAACGTCCTGCAACTGCGAAGTTTTTTTTCTTCATTTTCACTTTTCTAACTAAGAGACGGCAAATTTCAGCTGTCATTTCATGAAGCTGATCAAAAACTTTCGTTCATTAATCTTTTGAACATATTTTGTCTTTCATGTGCAAAATTTCATGAAAATGAAAAGGAAAACAAATATTTGAAAATTTAATTCTCTCACTTGATCGTCGTTGATGAGATTAATGAAACCAGGAAAAACAGATAAATTCATCCAACACAACTGCAACTTCTTATTCATTCGTCGAAGACATTAAAAAATTCTACGTCTCATCAATTAAAAATCATGTGAATAATTCTTGCGTTTAATTGTGGATTAAAGTTTTTATATAAATCTCACGTCTTCTCCGTCGTAATGAAATTGCATTTAAATAGAATAAGCCGCAAACATTTTTGGCATGAATAAATGGGTTAATACTAACATGTTGAATGTGAAAATGTGTCTAAATTTTAAATTTCTAATTTTAAGAGCTTATTCTGAACTATTCATTGCCGTCACACGTTTTGCTTTCTGAAGAACTCAATTTTTATCAATAACTGATAGTAGCTGATAAATATTGATTATTTTACTTCATTCTATAAATATCTGAAAGTCAATTGTTAATCATTTCCGATAACGAGTCACAGTGTCTACAACAGAAATTAAATATATTTATGAAGAAAAGCTAAGCTGACAGAAACCGCGAATTTTGAACCATAAATGAATCATGAAATGATGAATAGAAGAAGAACTAAAACCTTGCATTCTTCGGGACGTGAATCACTTGAAATCCCATGAAAAGATTGCAAAATTCGATCCCAAACGTCGCTGTGAGGTTCGTTAATCATCAAGAGTAAGATTTGTTTGCGAAAAAGATTTGTGTCGATTATTTAATTAGCATCTTGAGACGCGTGTTGTAGGAAATTAAAATTCAAAGCGACCTTGTAGAAGTTTAATACTCTTGAATCGAAATCTCAATCGTCAACAATAAACATTGTCACGATTAACTTAATGCGTAAAGACGAAAACAATGAACAATCTACACTTGGATTATCGAACAAGATGAAACTATGGATCCAAAAATAGTTGAACGCTTGAAAATATTGGCATAGCATCAGCGATCTAATTTTAAAAGTCCAACTGCGTGGTGGACCTAAATACTAAATGAATAAAATAAAAACATACGGTTGTAGGAAGCAAATCGTCGGTCCTCCGAACTTTTATTATCCGAAGCGAAATTTCATCAAAATCGTGTTAAAATCGTCTTCACTTTTCGCAGATCGCGTGTAACAAAATCAAGAAAAAAAGATTCGGGAAATGAATTTGATGTTGTGCCAAAAAGAAAAAAAACATAATAAAGTTATCAGGATATCTAACAACAAACGATTGTACATTGAATGTTAATGAAGCTTTTAATCTCTATTGAGAATTAACTGAAACAGATCAACCTTAAAATATGACGAGACAGCTTAAAGATGTTCAACTTTAGATATTTTAAATGAGGTTGAAGCTCCAGATTATTCAAAACTGATTAACATGTCGGCAGTTACGTCTTCTGTCTAAATTAATTTCAAATGAATTGCAATAAGATGATCGACTAAACATCTCATTAAGTTACGCGATTCTCAGCTGTTCGTTTAAATTTTCCTTACAATTTGTCACTGAAACTTACAGTCAAACATGTCAAATGAAAACAAAATAGTAAAGGCAAAGGTCTTGTTAATTGTGGTTAGTTAGTGAAACAACTGATTGATGTGCTTTCGTTTTCCTTTTGAACCAAGAATCTCAACACAAAAGAAAAACAGGTCAATGGCGTAAAAGTTAATGTATCAGAAATCGCTTCTTTAACACATCTCGTCCCATCATCAACAAAAAACAATTTCCATTATTTTTGGCACACATATCGGAACATCATCTGGCAATAGAATTGACTTTTGCTTCCTCATTCATCATTAAACGATTTTTTTGGGTTATTAGAACTCGCGTTTGATAGAATGGAAGCGCCAATGATTAATCTGACACATGTCAATAATTAGGTCACTTTACTGATCGCTTTTTCTTATTAAATCTTTTATTTTTAGTATTCCGCCACCACCGCCTCCTATGTCGGGCAGTTTACCAGCGAGAAAACTTGAAAGTTCAATTGCAAATGCACCAGCGTGCGTTCAAAACGCAATGATGACTAAAGACAAGAAGCCTTTTACTTATACACCAGGCGGCATTGATTTGTCACAAATAAAATCACCACGAATGGCAAAACGTAAGATGGAAACAAATTAAATTTTAGATTTTTCCTAAATTTTCTTTCAATCAGGTCTCGAAGCGAACATGAACAGTCCTGGAGTGCAAAGCAAGCCATCTAAAGTTTCTCCATTAGCTGAAAACAATTCAAACGGAAATGTATCAACACCAGCTACTCCAGCTACTCCAGGAACCGTTCCACCTCCACCGCCACCTCCTTCAATGGGATCACTTGCTATGGGAATGCCATTCCAAGTGTTTCCAAGTGAACCTCCAGTTAAAGCTAATCATCAGTTGTCAGCTCCACATACAAATGGAAGCAATAGGAAGTCACCACAATCTTTCGAGCCACCGCCGATGGGTTGTCGCCCTGAGATAAAAATTCCACCAAATCCAATGGCAAACTTAAGACCAGCTCCACGACCACAAGTCAAAGGCGATTTTTGGGTTCAAGAATACGTACAGGAAAAAGCTCGCGAATCGATTCCAACAGAAGACGATTTTCAACAACAAATCGCTTCCAGTCAACAGCAACAACAACCAAGTATCCCAACGCCACCACCACAGATGCAGAGACAACAAAGCCCTGTCAGAAATACTCCTAAATCCCCAACACCACCGGAGAGAGATTTCAGTAATCAAATTCGTAACATGAAACTTGAAGATGTTCGTACAGCAAGTCCAGTACAAGTCGCACGATCATCTCCAGTTATGCGACAAAGTCCAAGTTTGCCATCGCCGCAAGTCAAAACAGTTACAGTTGAGCCAACACAAACTTATAGGCAGCCGTCACAGCAACAACAGCAGCAAGTTTATCAGCAGCCACAGCAACAGCAGCAAGTTTATCAGCAACCTCAGCAACAGCAGCAAGTTTATCAGCAACCACAGGTTTATCAGCAACCACAACAACAGCAAGTTTATCAGCAACAACCAACTCAAACTTATCAGCAACCATCACAAGGTGGTGGGAGAGTTATTTTAAGCACAATGCCAAAAGGTTTGCAACAGCAACCTCAACAACAAGTAAGTTTAATTCCATGAAGATTTGTGAAAAGAAAAAAGCAACTGAAAATATTTAACTTTCAGTTGGGTACGCTTTACATCCCACCCCCAATGAATAATGATGATAAACAATATTTGATGAGTCAAACAAGCCCCCCTTGGATGTCATCATCGAAGCAAAATGTCCCCGACACACCCGAATGGGTAAATCGTGATGAGGTTGATAGTTTCATTCAACAAACTCGTATGATGCAAACACCGCAATCTGCCGGCATAAGAGAACACGTCATACCGATTGCGATTGAGAAATCACCGAGTAAAACGCCAACAACACCTGGCTTTGGACCGACACCATTTTATGCAACTGGTCCGCAGTATAGCAATGTTGTTTCGCCCAAAATTGTTTCACCAAGAGTTGGTAAGTTATTTTCATTCACATCACATCTTTTGATGAAATATTCTTATGAATTGCATCTGTAGATCCCAATGTAAATCAATTTGTGAATCAAGGATACAACAACATTGAGTTTAAGCAAACTCCACAACAACCAAGGCCAAATGTTCAGATGCAGATGCATCAACAGCCAGCTGGAACTCGGATTATTCCGGTTCAAGTTGAAGGTGGAAGATCACCGCAACCAGATCAGACCGCTTCAATGCAAAGGTGAAAGCAAAATTTTCAAATAATTTGCAAATAATTTAAACTTTTCGTTTGTTCTCTTTATCAGCGATCCACGTGCACCGCCAAGTCCACGAATAAATGCATTTGGTCCACCAAATCAATCACGCTCGTTTAAAATTTTACAACAAGTTACGAATACTTTAGGAGCTGATTTGGATGAAAATGAAATTGAAGAACAGAGAATAGATCAAGAACCTATGCAAGAACAGCAACCACTTTATTCGCGTCCATTGGGGCCGGACGAGATGAACGAGAATCAATTACGTAGGTTGCAAATGTCGGAACAAGATCGAGCTTTTATGAATCGTGTTAAAAACCAAGGTGAATACATCCGACGAAAGTAATAAAATGAAATTATAAAAATAATCAAACTAATTAAAAATCATAAATTAGTGGATGAAGAAATTTATCTTCACTCCGAATCAGATCCACGGTACAAAGGCTCAGCGATACCATCAAAAGCATTTAGAGTTTTACAAATTATGACTGATGGTGCTCCGAATAATGTTCAAGCCGGTAGGGCGAAAATTTCAGTAGCATTTGATGGGTTTTTCCTCCACATTTGTCATTTGAATATCGTTGCATACAATTAAGTGAAAATTGCTAATGGACTAGCAAAGTATTTTTGATTGAAAATCTATTCGAATTCGAAATTTTATGTTGTGATCATAAAACATTGGTTTCTAAAGCACATTTTGTTGAGTGATTGGATGTTGTTTGTTGCACGTTTTAATTAATTTTCTTTTAATATATTTCTTGTATCTTTTAGTTCCTGTTGGACGATCGAAACAGCAAGGTATTGTAAGGTCATTGACCTCAGACATATTTTGTTAATTACGTCACATGAAAAATTTATTGTGACGCTGTTTACAAATATTCATTTATTAATTTCAATGTTCATTGAACTCTCTTAACAAACAATTTTCTTTCAGACGAAAATGTTGAACAACAAAATCGCGAACCTCATTTATATCAAGGCGGAGCCATCCCAAGTCGTTCATTTAAGATTCTTCAAGCCATGACACAACCAGAAAACGCTGGTGAGTTAAAAAATCTTTATCTTTAAAAAGGAGAATGCATCTTTGGACCTTTTTAAATTAGCGTCCAAAAGAGCTGAAGAAAATGATTGATCAATTTAGCATTAAAAATGCTTGTGTTGAAAGAATCCAAACTTTTGCGATACAAAACTGAAAAGAAAAATCATCAAGGGGAGAGGAATAAAATTAATTAATTCTAAGGTGTTACATGGTCGAGTAATGTTGATGAATCAGAGCATTCAGTTGCATCTTATCTAGACAGTCTAGACCTAGATAAAAGTCAGACAATTGTCTGTTATGGTTCTTCAATCAATTGTCGTGCTATGTATCAATAAAATTTATTCAAATTTACTTAAATTAAGAAAATCATTACATCTCTTGCATTAATTCAATTCGTCGCTTAACATTTTCTTAATTGAAATTCTAATGCAAAATAATTTTCTATGCATATAAAATTCGAATCACTCTAAATCTTTGAAATAATTTCGATTATTAATTAGGCAAACAAAAGAAAAATTATAAAGAAAATCAAAATTCGTAATTAAAATTTTCATGAAAACTTCATTTTCCGTTTTTCGTTTGTAGCCGACTCTAACGATAACTCAGACATTGAAGGTAATCCCCAGTCTTGTGCTGGTAGTCCATTAAATTTCTCTAACCCTAACGCTATTGATCATAACTTTCCATTTCACCATCAATATGCAGTCCCTCAAATGATTCCACCGCCAATGATACCGGCTCCTCAATATTATTATGATTGGTTTGATCCGCAAAATAACCCTTACTGGGCCTATTACTATCAGGGCTATGATCCCAATTGCTTCGGCTTTGCGCCGCCAAATCATTCGCGAAGTCAAACACCTCAACCATCAGCGACACAGAATGCGACGCCTCCATACTTTTATCCTTATCCACCCCCACCACCTTTTATGTGGTATCCACCATACATGGGCTTTCGACCCATCTCTGCTTCAAGAGAAACCACGCCATGCATTTCTGATTCTGAAAAATTACTAAAACCTCCAACAACAAATACTTTGAATGATGAAAGAAGCAGACGAGCTGTAAGTTGCACACCAACTTGTTGTCAGCATGCGAAACCTTTTATGGTTGAAGAGAATCGAAAGAAATTTAACACAGTTGAAGAGCCGATAACGAAAGTCCCACGAGAAGAAGATTATGAAGAGTTTGAAGGAAATCCTTTAGTTAACGATCGATCAATGAGTAGAAGCTTAAAATCAATTCCTTCAGTCAGTAACATTAACATTTACAGCGAAGAAAACGCTGATCTGCCATTGGAAGAGTTGAAAGTTAAACCAGTAGTAATCGAAGAAGAAGAAGACAGTGAAGATGAGACAACTGAAGTTGAAGATGACATAAGTCAAGACACAGAAACTGGTGACATGCATTTACCACATCAACTCAGTGTCATTTACGAAGAGAACGAGAATGTAAATAACGAAAGACGAGGAAGTGTTGTGAGTCGAAGTTCAACTTTAAGTGACTGCTCAACAACATTAATGGAAGAAGATAATATAAGCGTTGATTACAGTGCTGATGAGATGGAAGAAGAGAACTCAAATTCAGTTACTGTAAGATTGCCATTGAAATTCTCATTTACACGAAGTGGCGACAATTTGGTGAACACAACATTAACAGTTGGCGAAAGCGAAAGTGAAATTTATGAAAGTCGATCAAGTAAATCAAAAAGTCCAGAAGAATTCAGATCGATTGAAGATTCAAAATCTTCTTCTCCGCCAAATGAAGATCCACCAATTGAAAATTCAGCTCCTGATGTTTCAGTGACTGTCAGGTTGAAATCAAAAAGTCGAACACCCGAAAGAGTTGTGCAACCAAAATTGTGTCTTTGTAATGAGAATGATAATTCCGATCCCGACTGTTCCGTAAGCATTTCATTGCCAAGACGATCACAATCGAAAGAACCAAGCAGTAGTAATAAAGTTCCTGATAATTCAGATGAAAAGTCTGACGCTTCAAATGAAAACAAAAAATACATCGATTCAAGTTTGTACACGTCTCTCGACGCTCTTGAAGAGATCAAGAAAGGAATGAACGAGATAACAAGTTCTTTGTTTAGTAAGCTCTGCACATTACGTAAGAGTGCTTTGAATATCCCAGCAAATGAACAGCATCATAACGATTCTTACCGAAGTAGCAGCACAAGTCAAATAGAAAGCATTGATACAGATTCTGAAAACGAAATGAGTTTAAGCTTTAATGACTTTGATGAAAAGCGTCGCATGTCTGATGCACATGAGAATGAAATTGAAATTGATAATAAAAAGATTGAAGATGTAAATGAAAAGCTTACTGAAGCCGAACCTGTCGTGATTGAACATTCTGGAGACTTTGATTTTTGGGGACAAATTTCAGAAACAAATAAAAATTCTGATTTGGAATTTCCATCGAAACGTTCAAGTCGATATTGGTTTGAAGATGACGATGACAATGTTGAAGAGAAAGAAGAAATTGCTGAACAATCGCGAGCACAGATTGTTGAGCTACAAATTTCTGAAAATATCAATGAAGGAATTGAAGAATCTCATGAACAAAAAACTGATTTCTGGAAAGATTATGATGAGAATGTCCACTTGAAATCTCATGTTGAAATTAACGTGACCAAAGATGATCACACGGATGATCATTTAAATCAAGAAAATGACGATGAAAACTCTGATGAATATGAAAGTGAAGTTGAGGAAATTGAAGATGCATTTGTGGAAGTCAAAGTCAATGAAAATTTACAAAGTGAAGTTTCAAATGAAAGTGTTGAAGATGAAGAAATTGCAAGCGACGAAGAATGGACAGAAGAAGAAATTGAAGTAACAGACGATGAACAGCCTGAAGTCAAAGATTCCGATAACGTTGAAATAAAAGAAGATAAAAATGAAATCGAATATGATGAAGAAAGCTACAAATCGAATGTTCAACATAAAAATGAAATTCCAAACAATGAAGACGAGGAAAATTATAGTGAAAGTGAAGAAGAAATTGACAAAGACGATTTAAAATCAAAGGAAAGTTCACAGACTAAAATATCAAAAGGCAAATCATTAGTTAATGTCAACTCTTTAATTTCAATGGATTGCAACAAAAGTCATGATAAGATTCAAGAAGAAGTTCAAAGTGTAAATGAGACTGATGATAGTGAAGAATCTGAATACAGTTCAGCTGAAGAGCTTGAAAATGATGAAATTGAATCACTGCCAATTGAACATTCCAATGATGACTGCCAACACAACATCACAAGTCACAATGACAAAGTATTACAACCTCCACTTAACAACATTCAATCAATCGATTCCAAGTCAAACATGACGTCAGAATCGGGAATTTCATTTGAACAGAATGATTCAGAAGATGGATATGAGGAAGATTCAGATGAAGAAGAAGAAGAAAATGTTCCAATGGAAGACGAGAAAACAATCACACGCGAAAGTATGTCGCTAGAACCTGAAAAAGAAATTAAAATTGAAAATGAAGAAGTGAAAGTGAACGTAAAAGGAAAAATCTCCATGTTTGAGCGTGCAATTTCTGAAGAACCTGAAAAGAAAGTGACGCCAAGAAGCAATCCAAAGTTTGGTTGTTGGAATCGTGAAACATCAGAACCACCAACTTCTCTTCAATTCACTTCAAGTTCGACAGAAACAACAAACAGAGCTGCAAGTGAAGTTAAAGAAATTATTAAAAATCATTCACTTCTCGAATTGATAAATCAAAGAAAATCTCTCCCACCAATGATCGAACCTTATGAAGCTGAAGAAATTAAATCAGTTAAAGAAAGAATCTCAACATTTGAAATTGACACTAACGAAGTAGTAGCAAGTGACAAACGTGAAAGCTTTAAACGTTATGGAAATTCTAAAAAATCAACTCCGATCTCACGTTCGATTGATGAATCAGGTGAAGAAGATTCTGGTGTGACTTCAGATTTCTGTAAGCAGTTTTCGGAAAATGAAACTGATACAGAGAATTTCCCTGAGTTGAGGAAGTTAAGTCGATACCAAAGAGCTTCAACACATTCGCGATTATTTAAACTACTTCAAGGTGAAGATGTTGGTGAAGAAAATAATGAAAGTGAAAGCAAAGAAATTTCAAAAGATGAACAAACAACTCGAATTCCTTACAAATCAAAGAAAATCATTCACAATGTTTCTGTGACTCGAAGACAAAATCCAAAGGCAGCTCTCGAAGCTGAAACAATGGAAGAAAGACGTCGAAGGCTTTGTCTTCCTTTGAGTCATCAATCGTCATCAGGAGCTGAAAGTATGTCGTCTTCAACGACACCATCACCAACTCCAGGAGTTGTAAATGAGAAGCTTGTAAGTGAGTTGGTGCAAAGTCTGTTGAGTCAAAAGAAAGGCAGAATGTTCAAACATCTTCCGATTGAAAAACTTCATGCAGCTGCTGTGAAAATTCTTCAAGAAGATTTAGAGTCTAATGGAACCTCTTTTAGTTCTGCTGATGAATCAACGATTCCTACAGTTGATTCCACCCCCGCACTTACACCACAAGAGTTTCGCAATAACAGTTCTTATGCAGAGTATTATGAGAGTTGGGAGAATAAAGGAAATGACATTGAAGATGATCTTTCAGATTTAAATCTCATACAGTCAAAAGCTTTTAAGAATCTCCAAGACCAACAAGTTAGTGTTAGCAAGAAACTTTGGTCTGTTCGTTGTCCTCGCATTCTCAGCTCAAAAAGTATTAACAAAGATTTGGCGCGCTTATCCGAAGTAAGAGAATCCGAATCCCCTGAACCTAATCAAAGCCGATCACCTTCCATTCGTTCGCAATCAACGGAACCAATGTCTGGAGATAACATCAACATTCAAGAACGGCAGAGAATTAAGAATTGTAACACATGAGCGACGCACCATCATCATTACAATCATTCTTGCACATCCCAAATCAGAAGTGATCGCAACCAAAAATTATCATTACAATATTTATCTAATGTTGTCAGTATCATAAAAGCGCAATTCTTAAACATGCAAAACTCTAAAGCAAAATATTAATCCGAAGCAATTTGAATTTCTCCAAACCATGATGATGATGATGATGATGATGATTGGGATGAGATTTGATTGATTAAAAAGAAAAATATTTTTGGTGTTTATGAATGAGAATCCAAAGGTATTCAAAAAGTTTTCCAGTGTAAATTGTTAACTGTTTTGAATTAGTTTCATTTTTGTTAAATTAGATTCCTTTATGTTTTATGTTTAAATTAATGTTTTGGATATTAAAACATCGAGGAATTAATAAAATCAATAGAAAACTTTTTGTTTTTTGAACTAAAATCATTTCATATCATAACTAAATGAAATTTGCATTAATCTTGGGATTTACGATGATTTGTACAAGACTTTGTTGTTTATTGATTTGAATATGGAGTTTAAGAGAACATTTGAAAATCTCTCAAATCTTTAAAAAAATGTTACACAATAAAACATGTCTGAAAATCAATTATCGTTCATCCTCAATTTATGCGTTACGTAATAACTCTAATTATGTTCATGTTATTAATATAGACTTTAATGATGATTTTTTTTCTTACAAACTCTCGTCGAAAGCAAACTCCACCTTTTGTCGCAATTAAGTGTAAATTTTTTCAACACAAGAAATGTGATAATCATTTATTATATTTTGTAATTAATTATTTATTGATAAATCAGATATCAGATTGTATGTTAAATCGATCACTCATAAATTATGCTTTTGTTGGTGTAAATTACTCCATTAATTTATAAATCTTAATGGAGAAATGTTTTGAAATTTATTTACATAATTGTGACATGTTATGGTGAAGTTTTCTTTCATTACCATCAAACAAGATTGATTGTTTGATGCTCTTAAAATTATTATTTAAGTACGACGAGTGTCACCTTAAATATGATTTTGATTGTGTCTACTTCATGTACTTAAAGCTAGTGAAGAATTTATTTTTTCTTTGTTAAGTAACAACTCAATTCTTATGTTTTTCTTAATAACTTACAGCTTCAATTATATTTATAAAGCTTGTTATATAACTTTTGATCCTCGTCAAGAATATTAATTATTGACATTTCTTTTTTTTCCATTTTGCAGGTCCTGGATTGAGCGATCTATGAATGACTTATAAGTTCTTTCTTCATCCATGAAAGAATTATTTAAGCTCATTATAATGATAACACTGGCTTTCTCATTGACGACTAACGAACATTATATGCTGATTGCTGATGACGACTTAATATCGTCAGATCAAACTTGCTAGAAGATAAAAAAAAGTTTCGGCATTGTAATACGATCGAAGATTGAAAATGTAGTTAACAAAGAAACTTTTTACAAGATTTTATCCGATTTTTCACAAAACTTTCTTTTCTTTATTGTAATCAACCTAAAGATAAAAACCTAAGCTTTTATTTGCTAAAATTTAATATTTTGTAACGAGAATTGTAGAAAATTAAATTTTCATTTGAAATTTTCTTGATTGAATGATGAAATTGTGAAATGCATGTTTAAATTTTCGAAGAAGCAATTACTTATGTGACAGAGACCTAACTAGTGAAATAAATATCATATTATGCTTTTCCTCTACACTTTTCATTGCATAAAAACATTAAAAATTAAACATTAAATGTGCAAAAATTTATCTAAAAAAAAGTTTTCAATAAATAAAGAATTAAAAAATCTGAAAATGTTTCAATATTGTTTTAGATTTAAAATCTCCAGAGAGGATGAGATAAACTTACAAGTAAATTTACAAGGTAATTTGAAAAAGCTAATCTAATTAATTAAACTCTTCTGCAGATTTTCGCATTTATTAAAATTTCATGTCACTCAAGTATAACGAAGGTCAATTTTTAGATTTTCCTGCTTTAAGTGCTTGTAAAATAATTTGGTAAATCGATTTTCAAAAGACTTTTCGTAGGTTATAAACGCAGCAAGCAAATTTTTACACCAAAGCGTTACATGGAAACAAAGAAGCGTAAAAATCCTTTTCAAGCAATGACATCAGCAAGAGCCATTGCTGGTTCATTCTCTGATGAAGAAGCTACGAATAAAAAATCATCTCAATAAAGGACATCTGAAAACGATTTAAATGTTTTCAATAAATAAATACTTAGAAATCTGAAATGTTTTCATATTGTTTCTTAATGTTATTGCTTGCTGTTATTATTTTATTTCAGATTCTAGATACTTGAATCTTTATTTTTGAATTAAAATAAATTCTATATTTTGCTATCAAAAGTCTCCTGAAAGCTTCAAAGTGGATTTGAAACTCTTCACCAACCCCAACCTTTCCCCATGACAAAAAAAATCAATTCGTTTTGTTCATTTTCATTTATTTTCCATGACAAAGAAAATTTCCATACATTTTTATGAATTGATGAAAAAAAGAAAACAAATATTTTGTAATTTAATTAGAAAATGATTGTAACTTCCAATGTTGAAATTTTTTTTTTTCTTCAATGGATTTTTCTTCTTATTTTAAATTTGAATCTGCATAGTCATTTGAAAATCTTCTTTTGTTTTCTTATTTTCCCTTTTAATTATTTTTATTTTTATTTTTTCGTCAACACAACGTGAGACGATTACACAAAACTTCAATCATATTCAAAGGGATATTTTTTAGGGTAATATTTTGATTTCGTTAAACTCCAAAGTCACTTCTCGTGTTTTATTTAATTACAGTCGACTGCAGTCGAGGAGTTGAAAAATAAAAATAACGAAAATTTCATCATTCTCGGATGACGTGAAAAATTTTATTTTGCACTTCAGATGTAAAAAGGGGAAGCGAAATCAAAAAATATCACCCTAATTAAAAAAAACACCGTAGTACTATAAAATAACTTTAAAGATCGAAGCAATTCACAAGAGCTTCATCTTTTTCCTGTGAGTTTAACTTTGATCCATTGATAAGGAATCACCAATGCCGTGAACAATTGAGCTTGAGTCACGTTGGACAGATTCAAACAAAGGTTGAAGTTCTGTTGAATTCTTAATCAATGTAAGAAAATCAAGAAGATGTTGATTTTTATCTGCGAAATAACAAAATAATAAATAAAATCGATTAATAATTTAACACTTGTTAGTCTTACCAGCTTTGGGAATCTGTAAAAGGGCAGCGACAGCTCGCAGTGCTGATCGTTTAAGTTCATCTTGTTTCTCATATTCCTGCTTAACAGAATTTGGCTTCACTTTCAATGTGCATGTTAATCGTAGAGGTTCAACGAATTGATCCAATCCTTTAGTTAAAAGAATTCATTTTTACAATTTTATTTCATAAAAAGTTAAAAAACTTACTTTGTAAAACAGCAGCTGGGCAGAGATGAGCTAAACGTGCTGTCATCAAATAAGTTAACATTTTAATATCGTAATGATCCTTCAATCCAGCAATGACATGTTCCAAAAATTGCATAATATCAACACGATCTAAGCCTTGTTCAAGTAGTGTGTACATGCATTCAAATGCAGCTTTACGAATATCCAAACCATCATCAACAGTGTGCTTAAAAGGACCCATTTCGACTTCTCTTATCAACTCTTTCTTCACTCGAGTCTCGGAATAAAGTTGAGGAAGAAGTTCCGGCAGTAAATCACGAACCAAACTCGGTTTGTTATGAACTGCTGAGTTAAATGCAACGAGAGCGACGCGACGAACTGAAGGTTCAGGATCTTGAAGTGCAAATAAGAATTGTCCAATAGATTGACGCAACAATGAATCGATTGGTTGTGGTTGATCGGAGATTGTAAATTTAACAGCCGACACAACTGCTGTTCTCATCAATGGACTGTCACTTTTCAATGCTTGCTGTAATCGAGGCAAAAGATCTTCAGGATTGACCATCACAAGTTTTCCCAAACATTCAGCGACAACATTTCTTGAACCTTCTTCAGGACATTCACAATGCTTAAACATTTGTGACCAAATTGTTGGCACTGACACCATCAATTGATCCAATCCTTGTTTCGATGTTGATAACGATGAAATGACTTCCTTGAGTGAGTGAAGAAGAAGATATTGTCGCTTTGGTTGTGCTTCAATCTCTTTTAAAATGAATGGAAGATAGTAAGCAAGATTACCAACAGCAACAGCACCAAGTGCATGACTTGCAGCTGCTTTCACATCTTCCGATGGTGACACAAAGCAATTCAACATTGTTTGTGGTAATGAATCAATTGATGATAAATTAAAATATCTTCCAATCTCTCCAATCGTTAACAAATAGAAGATCAAATGATAATCACTACGGCGTGATTGTATTCCCAATAAGAATTCATTAGCGATCGTAACAGCTTCTGATGGCATTTGAAGTGTAAGTGCAGCAATGCATTTAGCTAATGAATGATAAGCTTGCTTATTGAGTTGATTTTGTTGAAGTTCGTTAATCGGTTGCATGAGCATTGCAAGAAGATGACGATATGTCAATCCGGGAAGATTTGCTTGCACTAAAGCTTGAAATAAGTTCAATGTACATGTTAATGCTGTTCCTTGCAACAACGGTGACTTCACCAATATCATAATTTCCGGAAGAATTGCATTGTGAACATCTTTCAATGCTTGCGGTTGCTTCTTGGCTGTTGTTGTTAAAAGAACCAATGAAAGTTGTGCAACATGAAGATCAGATTCACTTAAAAGTGGTGGAAGTTCAGCGATTGCAACTTGAAGTAAGCGAGGCTCAAAACAGTTTGCATAATTATTGGCAAGTGTCTCCAATAATGTCAAAGAATTCAACTTCAAAGCTCTTTGATTCTTTCGTAGGAAGCTTCCTAATGCTGGAATCACATCGTTCAATATCGGACTGAGATTAATGCAAAGCGGCGATGCTGCAATCATTGTTAAAGCTTTAACTGAACTTAATCTTGTGACTTCGTTAAGTAAACGTTCCATAAAGATTGGCAAACATGTAACAAGTTCTTGTTGTAAAGCATCACCCATATTTGAAATTATTTGTCCCATACATGCAATTGCGCGTTCCTTCACTTCCTGATCAACTTCCGGTGATTTCAACTTCTGTAATGTGCAACTATAAAGTTCGGGAACAAAGGGAGCGAAATCTAATGTTGTAGTCATTTCAAGTGGACGAATGACTTTAACTAATTGCTGAAGAACTGAAAGTGCTTCAGTCGCAATCTTATAAAATGGATCAAACACTGAATTGACGATTAATGGAACTAAAACTTGAATGTGTGGGTGGAAAACTTGAGGATTGTGACCGGTTAGCATGTGATGAACGAATGCCAAAGCGTCAATCTTCATATTCGATGTTGTGTTCTTATCACTAAGCGAATAATGAATACCCGACATAAGTTGATCAATGTGACTGCCTAAAGCACCTGGAAATGCATTCAAAAGTTCACGTAACAGTAGAAAGCAATCTTGACGAGTCTTCACAGATTTCTCTCGCATTAATGGTTGAACAGCTTTAACAATTGCTGGAATTTGTTCTTGTAGAAGCTGAATTTGAATTGGAATATCATCCATTGCATCGGGATCACGCGAGATGTCATCAGCTGGACGTGTTGCCTTCAACAAAGCAATATATGCATGAAAAATGTCTGACTTTACGTTCTCCTCACGCTCCTTAAATCTTGCTATCAAAGCTGGTGAAAGTTGACGATAAAAATCTTCCAATAATTCGTGACGTGTTGATATCACAGATTCCAAACATTTTGCAGCTGATCGTCGCACTTTCCAGCTCATGTCATCATCATCGCTGTATTCTTCGCTTCCTTCATCATCATCATCTTCTGTTTCCATTTGAAAGCCTGGCTCACCGTCATCAGCTTCGTAATTATAATTGGGGTCGTATGTTATGTATTTCAAGCACAAATCCACAATCGACGGGATGTGAGGTTTGATTGCTTCCGGACATCTTTGCACAAATGCTTCGCATGCTTGTAAACAAAATTCACGTAATTCATCATCATCCCGTTGACTGTATTGATTCAATAATTGCATGACACGATCAATGTGACATAAACGATGTCCAGCTTGACGACAAATTGATGCTAAACATTGAATGTATGTGCGAATTGTGCCGGGATTTTGAGGCTTCTCTAAGCCATTGAGGAGAATGAGAATAACTTCGTTGTAAGCTTCATTGCTGCATGTTGTGAGGAGATATGACAATGCAACAATTGTACGTTTGCGGACAGCTTGCCGTGCTGAGCCGAGTTGAGGAACCAAAGCTGAAAGAATCACTTCGTGAAATGGAATCAATAAATCACCGAATCGTGACAATAAATCAGCAAGAATGTCTAAAGCTTCTAACTGAACTGATACGTCATCCATCTTTATAGCATTGGAAAGCTTTCCTGTGATTCTTTGACAAACATTGGGAACTAATGATGAGGAATTTTGTGGCAATTCTGAGATGACAGTTTTCAATCCAATGCTTGATATATCACGGAGTTGTTCATTGTTGCTCACCATATTCGAGCATAAAGTGTCGACAATTGTTTCAACTTGAAGTTCTTTAACTTTGTTGACGAGTGGTCCAAGACTAAAACAAATAATTAGTAAAACTTAAAGTAGGACCATTCAAGCGACTCACCATTTCACTGCTAAGTTTTGAACTTCACCGTTTTTATCTTCCAACAATCGCAAAACAGCTTTTACAACTTTCTTTTCTGATTCATCATCCAACTTTATGCTATCTTTTTGGAGTTCACTCATCAAATCATTTGTTGCCATAAACCGGAAATCCTTGTCATTGGATGTCATCTGTAAATAATGAAATAAATGTAAACAATTGAGGAACATCCAGAAAGGTTATAATGAAAGATTTCAAAATATCGAAGAAACAATTGTCGGGAGAATTTCTTAAGGTTAGGTTGCATGATTGCATTGTTTTTGTCATTATTTTAATGCACAAAATGTTTTTCTCTTTACAATTATTTCTCTTCAAATGATTAGGCAAAATTTTCACTTGCTTAAGTTTTCGAAATAATTCACTCACTTTTTCCAGTAAATTTGTGATTTGATACGAAGCCATCGTGATGCTGTATAAATTATTACTTGTCTTGAATCGCTTGTTAATATTAACACGGATTTATTAAATATTAAGTTTTATTTCAGTGTTTTTTCCTTTCAATCAAAGCCGCTTTTGTCTCCGTTAAAAACTCTACAATAAGAAGGGTACGCAAGACTTGTTATTGAAGGTTTTCTACCTCTTCCTTTTAGCTTTCAATTTCCTCTCTCAGTTTTCATAGAATTTGAACGATATAAAGTTATTTTTTTACATTTTAATTAGCTTACTAGAAACATCAATCAGGAAATATGTCAATTTATCTTTGAAGAAGTAGAGTTCGTAATAAAATTTAATTTAATTATCCTTCATCCATAAAACAAAAAAAAATGACATCAACAAAGCTCAACGTCAACGATCCCGAATTCGTAGACAAAATCATTTACGAGGTGAAGAGTGAAGGTCATTTTGATACCTTTCGCAAAGAATGTCTGGCTGATGTTGATACACAACCAGCTTATCAGAATTTACATTCAAGAGTCGAAGATTCAGTTCAAAAGTTTTTAAATCGTCAAGTATGGACTCCAGAAACAAATAAAAACCGCTTACGCGAAGATATGAGATATAATATCATTCGGTAAGAGAAAAATGGATGAGACTTTATATATAATAAAACTTTTAATTATTTTTTAGTGCTGGATATTTGGAAACTGGTGTCACACGAATTGTGGATCAAGTTGTTGCGCAGAAAATGGATTACATCAAATCTAAGGTTGAAGAAATTCTTTATCAATACGTGGGAATAGATAAACCAATAAAAAAAGAGAAAGATTCAAATGGGGCTCTTGAAGTCGAAACTGATCTTCTGCCCACAGATTTAGAGCAAGTAAGTCCAGACTCTGATAAGAAATCAGATGATATTGACGAACAAGAGTCAAAAGAAGAAGAAATTGAAGAGGAGATTGTCGAAGATGAAGATTTTGAGTCACCTGCATTCGAACCAATTGAAGCAATCATAACAGAAAAAAACGATTCGAATCTTTCAGGAATTTCGGGACTCACATCACAAGATTCAGCAGGTACAAAGAATCAGGAAACAGAGAATCAGGATCAATCACAAGAAAGAAGCATTGAGCAAATGACGGCAGAATGTGAAGTCAGTAAAGAAATTGAAGAACCGCACACTCCAATACCGGGCGTTGATGATGATGAAGATAAAGCAGAAGAAGAAACTGCAACAATTCCAACAGAATCGATTGGAAAGGAAGAAATTAAAGTAAAAGAGGAGACAGAAAAATCGCAATTTGATTTACAGAAGGAAAGTATTGAATTCACTGGGACGGAAAGAAAATCAATGATTATCGAAGATGCCAAGGAAGATTCAAATAATTCTGATGAAATTTTTGTTGCTAAAGAGAAGTCTCCCGAAAAAGCTTTGCAACCACAAGATGTTCCTAGCAACACAATGGAAATCGATAATCTTTATGAAAATGACACAACAGATTCAAGTGAAATGCGGATGGAAATCGATTTGAAAGATGATACGACACAAGAAACAGGAGGATCAGCATCAAAAGTTGAAGAAAGCTCTCAGGATTCAACAGTTCCTAAAGAGACACAAACGACCGAAGAGAAGAGAGAATCGCATCATCATCACAAACGAAACAAATCTAAAGAACGACATAAATCATCTTCCCACTCACATAAATCAAGTAGACATCATCACAGCAGCTCTTCAAAATCGCGTCATGATGACAAGCATAAAAGTAAAAGCAGCAGTCATAAATCGAGTAGTAGCAGCAATCATAAGAAAAGTTCAAGTGAAAAAGAGAGAAGTTCAAGTAGTCGAAGAGATGATAGACACGACAAAGATAAGAAGTCGTCAAAACATCGCGAACATAAAACAATCGACGATCATCATCAAGAAAAAACTTCTCGTCGAAGACGATCCACTGACAATGATTCTAATGATGGAAAAGGTGGACAAGGAAAGTCAGGAAATTCAGGTGAAAATATTTCACCATCACAATCGAAAACAGAAAGTAATTCACAATCAGCTGTTGATCAAAGTGAATCGAATCAAGTATCAAATGACAACAAGCCATTGATTGTTGATAAAATGCTTAGTGAAAATTGTGAGATGTCTTTAGAACAGAAAACATCTTCGAAGAAAGAACAAAAGTCTTCGATTTTAGTTAAATATGATTACTTGAAGCCATCGTCAATGAAAACTCTTTCGACTGATGAAGAAATTGACGAGGATTGTCTTGGATTTGTTCCTGAAAATCTTCCTGATAATCATTGGTTTGAAAGTTTTCGGTATGAAGCAGCAAAAAAACCAGTGAAACGATTGAAAAGCAACAAAAACAATCATGTCGATCAAAAAAAAATCGAAGAAGCTTTAAATCTTAAAATTCCGAAAAGATTAAAGTCGAAGACATTAGATTCGCCAGGTGAGAAGAATTTAAGCAACTATTTAAATGAATAATATTTAATTTACACGGCTAATGTTGTTCTCAGATTCATCGGCTGGATTAATGAATGGAAATGATGAAACATCAGAATCTCGCGCTCAATTGATTGCACAGCAACAACGTTATCCAACTGAAGACCTTTATAAACCAAGATTTGATTTCGGTAATCGAAGTCGAAGGCGAGGCCAAGTTACCGAAGAAAATTCAGAAGACTCAAAGGAAGAGAAGAAACCAGTTGAGATCGTCCCAAGCTAGCTTATAGATAAACCATTTTTCCAATCAAATCTTTTATGAAATTTTTTGGATAGTTAATAAAAATATTTCGGATTTATAACAAAACAAAAGACTTTAAATGGCGAGACAAGTCAGATTCATTTCTTAGCAATTTTGGACTTTTTTTTTTGCTGGTCATGGTATTTCTGGTTCTTTACGACAATCGAATTTGCGTTGATTTACGAATAATAATAAGAAGAAAAAGATATTTTTAATTTAAGGTTTCAACTTTAATCGTAAACCGCCTCAGGACAGAGACATGATCATAGTTGTTTAATTTATTCTTTTAAATTAATTTGTACGTCACAAATTGACGTATCGTAAAAAGCTACTGAAGATGGTTTACGTTTTATAAGTGTAAGTTTCACGCAACGTAGAGTGCCTAAACCTAAGTCAACATGGAAACAGTTTTGAAAAATGTTAAAAATTTAGACCTGATCATGACGTCAAAGAAATTATGTTAATTTAACAACTCTGTCAAAGATTAACTTCAATTTATTTCCCATTAATATGCATAAACATCAGAAGTTTCACTTGCTAAATATTTTAATTATTATTATTTTACTATACGTAAGTCTTTTTCCATTAAATTTTCAGATTATCGAACTTTTATTGCTTAAACCAAGGAAATTTCAGAAAAAAACTTTCGATAATTTCTTAAGCTCGAGAACAAGGTTACTCAGTTTTCACATTTCAATTGACAGTAGTGAGGTCAGACAGCACTTCATTCACGCTTCATTTCATTCTTATGTGTATCAATTAATAGGAAATGAAACATTTTAATGAGAGATTTCTTCTGTTACATTACAGATTTTCATGTTTATGACGTAGGGAGTTTAGATGTGTTGATCTTACATGGTCACATTTTATAACTCTTTATCTGCTTGTGTTGAGGCTGCATTCGCTCACCTTTAAGTCTTTAAGAGTTTTATTTTGCGATCTTCTTAAAAAGAATGAACGAAAAGCGAAGATAAAAATCACCAAAAAAAAAGAAGGTGAAACAGAAGAACTGAATAATTACCGATCGCTGACCACCAGCACTAAAAAGAAACGAACTTTTCGTATTCGTTTTAAACCATTTCTTGCATGTGGGAATGAAAAAGAGTAAAAATAAAATTCAAGATCACATTCGTCAGTCATTATCGAGACGCGGTAGAGTGAAGATCAGTGAAGGAAAAAATCCAAGAAAAATAAAAAGCAAGCGTGAGTGTTGGATTGGATAAACGCTTGTATTATATATTTCCAATCACATCCATTGTCGCATTGCAAGAAAATATTTAACATTCATTGATCGTCATAAATGTGAAAGTGTAAGCTGTTGAATAAAGAAGGTGAATTTGCAATTGTCCAAGCTTTTACTTGAAGAAAGAAAAAAGTAAACAGCATAATTGTCGTTATGCAATTACATACTGCTAAATGTTTTATGTGTATTAACTTTGATACTTATTTTCAATTTCTGTTCAATTTTCGAAATATTTCCTTTGTGTGTTTATTTACGTGCGTGTGTGACCTTTCTCGTGTTTAGACCATCAAACGCCTTGTGCCAAATTTGATTGGATTCACCTGATGTATTAATAATTAATGAACGAAAAATGTGATCAGAATTTTAAGTTTTTCACATTCAGACTGAGCTCATGGTTTAATTTAATTTCCTTATTGCCATTTCAAGTGAGAGAAGAATGATTTTTTACTGAATCATCTCAACAACTGACGGCATTAGACTAAAGCTGGTTTTGCTTGTGTCCTAATCAAAATATTCAATTCCATGAATCCGCTTGGTTCAACAATCTCACACATTTGTCGTTTTACAAGTCGCAACACAAGCGTCTCATTTTTTTTTCTTCTTCTCTGGTAAAATTTATTGAATAAAAAAAATAAATGTGAAAACAAGAAAGAAAAACTAAAGAAAAACCAGTTTCTTCACTGCCATCCTGAGATTGTAAATGATTCACGTTTTTTATTTTGTGATAAATTTATCTGATTTACGTATTGAGAATGAATGATTATGCAAAAATATGTACCACAACAAATGACGATACATGTGTATGATTTACTTCCGTTTGTTACGACATCAGTTTTTGTTATCTGTCTGTGGTTGGGTTATAGGCAAATACCGATTTCTGAATGTCATCTCTGTTAACTACGATTACAAATTTTCACACGTAAATGTCACTTAATTAACTTTAATAAATACAAAGTTTTAATTTGTTGAATTGGCGGTTTCACTTTTATTATTATTATCGATGGTAATGCCTTAAAATAATAAAGTATCTAATAATCTAAGTCAATAGAAAAAAAGTAAACTTTTAAGACGAAACTTCATGGATTGACGAGTATTCGAGGCTTAAACATGGAAATTCCGCGAACAAAATGTTTTGATCATTAAAAAATCCGAAAGAATGGACTTTGTTGGAATTTTTTCTAAGTTTCTTTCGCAGCTGCTGTTTAATATTAAACTGTGAATAAATCAACTTTATAATATTAAAAAAATAAAATGATAAACTTCTTCAATCTTCTAAGATGAATATTTTAATCCTTCAACAGAAAAAAATAATTAAAAGAAAGAAGAATGGTGCACGCTGTAGAAGTTCGCGGAGCGTACAAATATTATGGAAAGGCAAAAGATCCTAAAATCGTCTTGAATCGACTGAACATGACAGTTGAACCTGGATCAATGTAAGCAATTAGTGTGTACTTGCTAATTTATTTTATTGATCATTTTATATTCATTTATTATGACGTTGAAGCTATGGTTTGATGGGCGCGTCAGGTTGCGGTAAAACAACATTGCTGTCATGTATCATCGGAATGATACCACTCGATGGTGGACATATTACAGCTTTGGGTATCCAAACTAAGTTGAATGAGATACAAAAAGCCGGCCCAAGAATTGGATACATGCCACAAGAAACCGCCTTGATTGGTGAATTAACAATCAAGGAAACAATTTATTACTTTGGAAGAGTTTTTCAAATTGATTTGGTGCGATTACAAGACCGATACAAAATGTTGAAGAACTTGCTAGAGCTTCCCAGAGATGACCAAAGAGTTGAAGAATGTTCTGGTGGACAACAGAGAAGAGTTTCATTTGCTGCTGCAATGATTCATGAGCCTGATCTTCTGATTCTTGACGAACCAACAGTTGGCCTTGATCCGATTCTTCGTGAAAAGATTTGGGATTTTATGTTGCATGTGACGAGAACAAGTAAACTCGCAATTATCATCACAACTCATTACATTGATGAAGCAAAACAAGCGGATCGTTGTGGATTGATGAGAAATGGAATTTTGTTAGCAGAAGATACACCGCGGAATATTATTAGTCATCACGAGGTTGAGAACCTCGAAGAAGCTTTCTTAAAGCTTTGTATGAAGCGTGGAGTTTCCGAAGATGCCGTTGAAGATGACAAAGTTCAAACCAATGGAATTTATCCAAACGGAAATAACTATGAACTTGAAGAACGTCCCGATCCCGATCATATAGAGTCACTTGAAAGCCCAACACAAACACAACAACAGTCATCTGAAGCAAGTGATGAGAAATTCATACGAAGAAAGTATGCATGGGTTACAATGAGAGCTCTATTCACGAAAAACTACTTGCAGATGAAGAGACAACCTGCGTAAGTGTTAATTATTTATTACGCCATCATCAATGATTGTAAACACTTATGAAATTTTTATTATTTGATTTTCAGTGGTGTGACCTTCATGGTGATTGTGCCCATTTTACAAATTGTCTTCTTTTATTTAGCAATTGGAGGAAATCCCATTGGATTAAAGATTGGAGTGGTTGATGATGAAGTGATGAATTATGAAGATTGCTTTAATTCGTCATTGATAACAACAATTTCACATTCTGATGGCGAATGCGATCTACACAAAGTATCTTGTCGATTTCTCCACGAGCTTAATGATTCGATAGCCATTAAACAATATTACAAAACATACGAAGCAGCGTATGAAGATGCAAAGAGAGGGAAGATTATTGGCTTTATGTATTTCGCTAGCAATTACACTGAGTCATTGGATTTTATTCAGAAAAATGGTAGATTTTCTGATGATGGTTCGGCAACGAATAGTAAAATACAAATACGGATAGATCAGTCAGATTTGCAATTAACCTTTTTTACCCAATTACGCTTCTATCAAACGTTTAAGCAGTACATTCAAAATATGATGGTTGACTGTGGTTATCCGGCTCGACTCGGCACAATTCCTATGTCTTTTGAACCACCAATTTACGGTTCATATGATGCTGACTTTAAACACTCAATGGCGCCACCAATGATTATGGTGATGATGTTTTACATTGCTGCTGGCTTAACTGTTGCAATCTTCATTGCTGATCGTAAAGAAGGTTTTTGGAATCGCACACTTTTGGCTGGCGTGACATTAAAAGAACTTATGTTAGTTCATGTTCTAACACATTCTGTTATTCTTTTAATTCAATTGTTGGAAACAATTCTCTTGATTGCTTTCGTGTTTGGTGCTGAGAATAGAGGAAGTAATGCGGCAGTGCTTTTCCTACTAATGATGTTGGCATATTCGGGAATGTTTTTCGGAATTCTTCTTTCTGTCGAGTGCAATGATCTCAGGGAAGCGAATTTCGTGTTGACGGGAATTGCAACGCCTATGGTCGTGTTAGCAGGTGAGATTCATATGGAATTGAAGAAACAATTGATTGTTTAATTTTTTTTATAATTATTTTAGGAATGTTTTGGCCAATTCAAGCAATGCCTTGGTTCCTTCAGTGGTTCTCCTACTGTATGCCATTCACATTATCATCAATAGCAGTACGAAACATCATGTTTAAAGGTTTTCCATTCTTCCATCCATCCGTGTTACTCGGATCAACTGTTGTGACGCTTTGGGCTTTCTTTGCCATCTTTATTGGACTCGTGGGGCTCCACAGGAAGAAATATAGTCGCAACACTTAATAACAACATCAACAACGAATTATAGCTTGTTACTTATATTAATAAAGAAAAAAAATAACAAAAAAAATATATAAAAGGAAATATTTTCAACTAAAACAAGTTTATTCTAAAACTGTCCTTATCGACCTTAACGGATCACGAGCATGAATCTTTTTGCTTCAAACAAACTTGAAAGAAGAGAAGAAGTGAAAAATATTTTGCATATTAATCAGTTCCAGTTTTTTAAAGACTCTGAAGTCAAGGCTATCATTAATGCACGGCATTTGAATCGAAACGAATCGAGTCGTGTTGGCTGCTATTCGTATATCTAACACGTTTTGTTTCATCAAATTCACGTGCTTAAATCAGCTGAGAAAGCCGAAGATAAAGCCGAAGATTTGTTGTCAGTTAGACGAATACATTCGCATGTCTCGCAGCCGAAAATTTCAAGTAAAAATGTTTTCTTACAAACCGGTTTTGGAGTTTTACTCAAGAACTGATTTCTTTTCTCCACAGTTTACTTCCAACCTCGATGGTGAAACGTCGCATCACCTGAAGACGAGAAATAAATTAAAAATTTCTTTTTACTAAGTGAATGTGAAAGTGAATGTGAATGAAAGGTAAAATTATGTTCTCGGAAGTGTAGTGGAATGTTGTAGACTACACTAATTATTTTAGAGCATAAAACGGTTCTTAAGCTTCATAAAACTTGACCTACTTTTAATACTTCCAACTTCATCGATTGTGCTTTTAAAGAAATTTTAACGACGACCAAATAAATAGAAGAAAAAACTTTCTTTCTTTTCATTCAAAAGACATTCAAATGATGTCTTTCATCAATGAAACTGATTTAGGAGATTTAAGACTAAAACAGAAACAATGTTGGTAGTTTTGATTACAAAATGTTTGATGTTGACATTTGAAGTGTTGTGATGACTCCTGAAAAAGAAACAGTCACCTTCGATAGCCTTTAAAATGGTCGTGAAAGGATTGCATCAGAAAGAACTATGTCAAAATTGAATGTCAAATCGGTCAGATTATTTATTAGTTTAAATCAAGATAATTAATGATCAAAGGTTGTATTCTAGCTTCTGAGTAATTTCCCCGACAAAAAAACTTCGGTGGATTGTTTATATTACGAAGCTTAAGAATTCATTGACAATTTTACTGCTTGACGTTGTCGTGAAACTCAAATACTAGTTTTATTTTTTGCTTTGCTAATTCACTTGGATCACAAGTTCCATCAAGAAGCTTTTGTTTAAAATTATATTAGCTTAAAGATTTGTTGTTTACCATGAGAAATATTCACACGATTCTTCCTTAGAAATCTTTTTTTGTTTTCATTTGAATGCTTCAATTGTTTAATTTTACTTCTTGTTTTGATCTTTTATATCTTCCACTGCATACAGTTTCTTGACCTCATGCAATGGAAGACTTTAAATAACAAAACAAAGATAAAGATTTCAACTAAGTTAAAGTTCTTCTTACACTTTTCATTTTATGTTTTGAGTGACGACACTTAAACTACCAAGCGTGCAATTGATTTCTTTTGAAATATGTTTCAAATCTTTTTTCTTTTTTTTGTTGATGTAAAAACAATTTTCTTAAAAGCTTGCGTATATTTACTTCACGTTAATAAGTTTGTTTCGCTTCAACGTGTCAAACGGTTAAACAAAATTTGTCGATTTTTTTTGGCTTACGTTGAGAATTGTTTCAAAACTAAAAAAATTAAATGAAATGAAGTAATTTACTGAAACTGTTTTCGTCTGCAAGATTCGAGAGATTAAAAAAATCAATCACAAGATGAATACTGTGGAAGTTCGAGGAGCTTTCAAATATTATGGAAAGGCAAAAGATCCTAAAATCGTCTTAAATAAACTGAACATGACAGTTGAACCTGGATCAATGTAAGAAAAAATTTTATTGTAAGATGTGAAAATTTTGTTTGTTAATAATAAACAAATAACATTTTACTAGCTATGGCCTAATGGGTGCGTCTGGATGTGGTAAAACAACATTGCTGTCATGTATCATCGGAATGGTTAACCTTGATGGCGGTGAAATCACAGTTTTGGGACATCAAACAAAAGCCAATGAAATTCAGAAAGCCGGTTCAAAGATTGGATACATGCCACAAGAAACCGCCTTGATTGGTGAATTAACAATCAAGGAAACAATTTATTACTTTGGAAAGATTTTCCAAGTCGATTTGGAGCGATTACAAGACCGCTATAAGATGTTGAAGAACTTGCTAGAGCTTCCCAGAGATGACCAAAGAGTTGAAGAATGTTCTGGTGGACAACAGAGAAGAGTTTCATTTGCTGCTGCAATGATTCATGAGCCTGATCTTCTGATTCTTGACGAACCAACAGTTGGCCTTGATCCGATTCTTCGTGAAAAGATTTGGGATTTTATGTTGCATGTGACGAGAACAAGTAAACTCGCAATTATCATCACAACTCATTACATTGATGAAGCAAAACAAGCGGATCGTTGTGGATTGATGAGAAATGGAATTTTGTTAGCAGAAGACACTCCGCGGAATATTATTAGCAGATATGAAGTTGAGACCCTCGAAGATGCTTTTGTCAAGTTATGTATGAAGCGTGGAGTTTCTGAAGAAGCCGCTGAAATGACGTATGAAAATAATAACTCTGAAGAACATGAAATGAATCAGATAACTGAAGTACAAGCAGCTAACAAAACTGACCATAAAGCGAATATTCCTAAAAGAGAATCGTTTCGATTGGATACGATACGAGCATTGTTAACAAAGAATCTTCTTCAAATCAAAAGACAACCAGCGTAAGAAAAAGATTTTCCTGCGAATTTCAACACTTACTTAATCTTTGATTTTTATTTCAGTGGAATTGCTTTTCTTACCATTGTTCCAATGATTCAAATTCTCTTCTTTTACCTTGCAATTGGGGGGAATCCCATTGGATTGAAACTTGCAATTGTCGACAAGGAAATAACAAAATACGAAGATTGTTCAAACTCATCTTTTATTTCTACGTTCATTCATGACAATGGATGTGATTTGCATAAAGTTTCATGTCGATTCCTAAACGAGATAGATGACGAAACTGCCATTAAAGTATTTTACACCAACTTTGACGACGCTTATGCTGACGCTAAAAAAGGAAAAGTTATTGGAATCATTCATTTTGCTTCAAATTTCACAGAATCGTTGGGGAAAGTTCGTGTATCGGATGAAGACATTGATGAAGTTACAAAACGAAATAGTCAAATTAAAATCTACATGGATCAGACAAATCAACAGCTGACATTCTTTCTTCAACGAAGGCTTTACTACATTTACAAGGAATATTCAGAAGGGATGTTAATTGATTGTGATTTACCGAAGAAGTTAGATAACGTGCCAATTGAGTTTTTACAACCAATTTACGGAACTTATGAAGCAGATTTTAAACAGACAATGGCACCGGCAATGATCATGGTTATGATGTTTTATATTGCTGCCGGTTTGACGGTTGCTGTTTTCATTCATGACCGTAAAGAAGGTTTTTGGAATCGAACACTTTTAGCTGGCGTTTCAACATCGGAAATGATGCTCGCTCACATTATGATTCATTCAATGATCTTGGCAATTCAATTATTTGAAGTCATTGTTTTAGTTGGACTTGTTTTCAAAACAGAAAATCATGGATCGTTTTTTATCGTTGTCTTGATTTTAGCGCTACTAGGGTTGGCTGGAATGTTCTTTGGATTATTGCTTTCATGTGTTGTTGAGAACTTCATGCAAGCAAATTTAATTATGACAGGATTATCACAACCAATGATTGTTCTTGCCGGTGAGATGATTTGTGAAATTTTATTTTCTGTCAATTTTGAATAATTTTTTTATTTCAATTTCTAATAGGAATGTTTTGGCCTCTTGAAGGAATGCCAGCAATTCTCAGATACATTTCATATATTATGCCATTCACTTTACCTTCTATATCAGTTCGAAACGTTATGGCTAAAGGCTACACATTCTCTCATCCAACAGTTCTTACTGGATTTGGTGTTGTTATTATATGGACGGTTGGGGGAGTTCTCTTAGGATTAAAAGCCTTACAAAATAAGAAATATAGTCGAAATTCTTAGTTTTATCCTAAATAATTTAAAATTTGTTAATAATTTAAAATGTTGATGTTACAAAAATAGTGTTTAATGCTAAAATGATTTAATAAATGTTTAAATTTTGTATCTATTAAAATGCTCATTAAATTATTATATAAATTGAGACATTTTAAAAAGCTTTGAAGAAAGCTTTGAAGTTCATTCGGATTCAAGCTTTCATTTAGCCGAGACACATTGAGGTATGTACATAGAAGAGTGATCGCGATTTTCACCTCAGAAGTGGTGAGTTTTTACTTTTTTCTCACTTTAAACGTTTATGACAAGTTTTTTTCCATTTTATTTGAATATTTAGTAAATATTACAGTATTTTTAAAAGCGTCGTCGTGATCGGTTGTGATTTCTTAACTATTGTGATATATCATGAGAAAAATGAGTATGAAGAAAGCCATTTATTGAAAGCTTCTTAATTATGTTATTCAAAGTAAAAATCGTTATACGTAATTTTGATACTTTCGAGTGCATTTTCAAGTTTTGAGGAAAGCGTTGGTAGGAACTTATAAGTTGCAAAAAAAGATACGGAAAAGGAAATTAGTTGACCACACAAAAATAATAACATTAAGTGGTTGAAACTTAATATTTATTCGATTTATTTGATCGTATGACGTATGAATTGTATTCGTCAAGAATAACAAAAATTTAATTTTACTCTATCGCGAAATCCTCTAGTTGAACTATTTGTTCAAACACATAAAATAGGTATTTAAACTTTTCATTGAAAGAAAAAAAATCTACATTAGTTGTCTTCTGTTGATTGAAATGAGCCAAATCGAGTTTAATTAGAATTAAATTTACTCGACACATTCACTCGATGGCTTGTTACTCAGTCACCTTGAACGTATGGAATTTTCGATAAGCAGATTTTTGCCGATCAAATCGGGCTCAAGATCACAATAAATAAAAAGTTAATCACACTATTGAATGCTGTTATGCTAAGCTTATGAGTCAACATCCAAAATCATAGTAGGATTTTCCATCTTCTTTGTAATTGTGATAATTCCAGATTCAAGGTAGTCAATAAATAACTTTTCAGAAGAACTGAAATGCAACTCGGTAATGTTGAAGTTAATCATTGAATGCAACTGACTTTGAGTGCAATCTGCTATATTGGTATATGATTTTAGTTGTTTACACTGAGAAAAAAAAATTTATATGACAATATGATAAGAAATTAGCATCTAAATGAAGCACAAGGAATTCTTTTTCTTTCCAAATCAAATAAAATAGGAAGTTTCAACAAATATTTGATATAAAAATAAAATAAATTTAAATATTTTCGCTACTGCCGAAAGTTTCAAAATGGAAACATCAATAAAAGTGATTTGTCATTTCTATGAAATTGAGAATGTTGATAATACAAAAAATGCATTTTCCGACACCATTAAAATGGAAAAAATGTCTTATTGCAGATAATTTTTCTCTCCGTGTTATATTTTTATATGATCTTAAATGTGTAGAGATTTACATTGGCACAGAATATCTTTAACTATCAAATAGCCTTCAGTCCGGTTAGACGGTGGCAATGCCTTCAAATAATTATTTTCAAGACTTCAAGTGAGAAATTCATAAATAAATTAATCCAAAGTTGAATGAAATTGTGAAATTAATTGGTATGGTGATTGTGTTACTCTTTTGAAAAAACGAAAAATAGAAACTTGTAATAAACTCAACTCTTTCTTTAATTTAAATTGAAACCTTGCAAAAAGAACAACAACTTATGCCTTCCGATCGCCATGAATTTGTTTATTGTTGCATAAGACAACAACAAACAAAAACTAAAAAAAAAAATAAATTTCAATCAAGTTACAATTTTCCGTGTTGACTTCTCGATCGGTAATTGAACGACCTTCCATAAGTTGTGTGCTCTTTGACCGATGGGAAATGAAAACCATCAAAAAGAATGACAAACAAGTGAGATTATCTTAGAAAACATTCGTCGTAATTACACAGTGGAATGGTAAATCAGTGGTGAATCGCAGGAAGTCAACATCGTCACACACTTCTGACCGCTGCTAATCACATCGATTAACGCTCATAATATTTAGTGCTTGCACAATCCTTTGATACATCACAACGCAACACATGATACTTTTTGTTTGAATCTCTTTCTACAATCAATCAACATCAAATCGCATCACGATTAAACATTAAAATGTTTCTTGGATCTCGATTTTGTAACTGGAAAGCAAATATTTTACCATTCAAAAGTTTAAAACATAAACAAATGATGCAAAATCGTTACATTGCAAAATATTTCATACGATGTTTCATGTAAACATGACCCACATTAACTCAGTCGAAGCCGAAGTCGCTAAATTGTTTTGTTATTTTTCGCGTAACTCCGATCGCAACTGTTAAGATCTTTTTTTGGACGAGTGTCAATTTCAATTCAATCGTTCGGCGATTAATTTACTTTCAATATGTCCAAGTTGGACAGCAATGACAAATGACAAGTGTAATATTATTTTAGTTTTACTCTTCTTATCTTGTCTCTACGACTTGCACTAGCTGCCTATGTCTGTCTTTTGTTGTGAATGTTGATGACCTTGATGACATGTCGTAAGTTAATGAATTAAATTTTGTAGTTCTTTAATAAGTAACAAGATTTTAGTCATTCACACCAAAGAATTTATGAGTTTTTTCCTTTTCAAAGTCATCGTGATTGATCGGCCTTTCGTTTCATCTTTTCATGCATTAAATAACGCAACCAGTTTTGCTTAAAATATATTTCAGACTTTCATGAGATGTGAAAGAGAAAGAGAGAGAGAATTCACATGAATTGATGAACATAACTCATGAAAATCTTTCACTTTTCGAGTAATTTTCGATGTCCACATACGCATGCATTCATTCATTCATTCATCGATACAACTCATATTGATGATGTAACTTTCAATCAATTTTAATTTGCTTTTTTTTGGAGTATGTCCATTTCAAACCTGCTGCTGTCAGCATAATCTAGGCATCAACGATAGAAAGTTGAACAACAAGACTTCAAGTTGTTCTTCTCTCAAGTGAAATCAAAAGTTTTTTAGGTTTTTCCTTCGATCTTGAAAATTCCAATTTCAGCGAATTCGGAAGTCGAGGATATCAACCAACGCCATCATCTGACTGGTATCAAAAAAAAAGAAAAAAAACTTCCTCATTGATATTTTCCATAATCATTCGCAAAAACACGTTTGAAAATAATACAGAAATGGCAAGTATCATCTTCTTATAAGGAAACAAGCGATTGAACTTTTATTTCTTACAAAAATTATTATTAATCACTAAGTATTTATCGTATTATTGGTTAGCATCACTGAAAAATTATTCAAATCTTGTTTCTCGACATTTCACTACTGAGTGATCAAGACTTGATCAAAAGAGAGACAGAGAGAGAGAGAGAAATGTTCAACTGGAAAAGCGATTCAATGCAGCGAAGCGTGGAGCCTTGCAAAGCTTCAGTTGAGTTTAAGTCGCGAGCGAGTGAACATCGAAAGTTTAAAAAGTTCGCGACAAAAAAGCGGTCGGTGAAGTTTCAATTTTGTGTTTTTCTTTTTTTTTAATTTCAATCAAATTTGAATTCCGAATTTAATTTCAAAGCACGTTTCATGTCCCTGCGGGATATAAAATTCTAAATATATATTCTGTCCATAATTCGACAATTAAATGACAGATATTTGATATACTTGAACGAACATCAATGCTGTTGCCAATGTCGATCTAAAGAACTTTTCAATATTCCACGAAATATCGCGAGTTAACATTGCAGAAAACGAACAAAGCGAAAAGAAAACTTTTGAATGATAAAAAATAAATCAAATAAAATGATCTCGCTCGATATATTTACAAAACTAAAGCAATAAGATAATTGCTGTTGTTCCTGCTTGATTCATAAGCACGCCGTATAACAAGCTCTTTGTTCACAAAAATAAAGTTTTTTGACTTCAAAAACACTTCGTTATGTAATCGTTGAATAATATTATTTAGGTAGTTGAATTGAAAACATTTCTTTAACTTACTTCTCACCTAATGGAACTTAATGTTGATATCTATGGGAAGAGGTAAAAAACGGCTTGCAAAACCTTTTGTTCAATCATTTCTGTGATTTTTTTCGGCAATTTTGCCACATAAATGTGCATAAAACCGTCTTTGTTTCACGCAATGATCACATTAACAATGGCAAAAAATAATAAAAAGCATTTGGCGTCTTTTAATCTTGCCTAATTTTGTTTCTTTCGGTGTGATAGAAAGTAAAATGCTGCTCAAGTTGTCTCCAGTCGCGATGCGAGTAATGTTGAAAATTTAACTAAAATGTCTTCGCAAGAGCGATTACCTCATGAGAGAAAACCAAATGTAGGTTAGTTTGTTAGTGGTACATTGGAGAGCCCGCAGCATACATATAGCGGCCAGGTTCACTTTCAATTTCATTTGACCGATCGAATCATTGCAAGAAACTTTTTTTTTCTTCTCTTTCATTTCACTTTCGTTGTAAAATTTCTTTTGCAACTGTCGCTGTGTGTGAAGCTTTCCAGTACGATGAATGAGTTCATTGGAAAATGTTATTGATAAAACCAAAGAAGATATCGCGATGATTCAACTGAAATCTTGACAGTGTTAAAGTCAACATTAATCTTAGCGTTTAATGCACTTTTTTATAAACGAAATAAAAAAGGAAAAGAAAAAAAGTTCAATGCCATCGAAGTTGCGCATCGTATCGTAACCAATTTGTATTATGATCATGATGATGATGACTAAAGGAAGATGCACAATTATGCAAGAAGTGAAACGAAATAAAAGCTTTACGAATTCATTCAAAGTGATAGCCATTTGTTCATTTACTTACATAATTAACTTCATCGTCGATCAAGAGCAAAATCGTGGAAATGAAACGCGTTAACCCATAAACATATATTCGGTTTTTACATCTTGCATAATTCAAACAGTGTTGCGGTTGGTTTATTTATTTACATATTTAAATCTGGAATCACGAGATTAGTTTAATTAAATAACACTTTTGAATGACCTTCAAGTTGAAACTGGTTGATTAGTGAGAGTAGATTTTCTCTTTTCTTGTTTATGACGTAAAATCACAAAATTTCTGCGCAATTAACTTCGTCTTCAGTTCAGAAATGAAGCGAGACAACATAAATGTATAAATTAGACATTTTCGTTTGATATCGTGTTTGTGCTTTGCAAATTTTTATTCTTAAACGTTCGACCACGCAAACTAAAACTTGTTCGTGACATCAACTTTTTGTTTTCTTTCTTTCATTTAAGGCTCTGCAGCTTTCAAAGTCAGTTGGTGATTGGTTAATTAGTGAAACAGTGAGATGTTAAAAAAATCAATTGAAAAGATTAAAATCGAGAGAAACAAAGAAACATTAAACATTAATTAAGTGACTTAGAAGCTAAAACAAAAAAAAAAGATACAAAAAAATTGGATTTTGGTGGTCGCTCCATTGAGCACGCCCAATTTTACTTTCGGATTAGTCGACATCTAATTGGATTTTTTTAAAGTGAATTGAAATCAAAAGGAAAAAAAATCAACATGAATGCTGTCGAAGTTCGCGGTGGTTATAAATTTTATGGCAAGGAAAAGGATCCGAAAATTATTCTTAATCGCCTTGACATGAACGTTTCCCATGGATCAATGTGAGTAAATAAATATATGTATAATTAATGAACATAATAAGTTTAATGGCAATTGTCACGCTTCGCTTTCTCTTAAAAATACATCAAATAATCTCTGACAGAACTTAAAAAACAATTAAAAAAACTTTCAAGGTTTTAAAATCGAGATCAATTTGTCGCACGAACTTTTTATGAAAAACAGCAATAATCTATGATATTTACCGGATTAATTGAACATGCTGCTGTCAAATAACGCCTTGAAAAGAACTCGATTGCGCCATCGAATGTAATGTCAATAACATTGGAAAATCTTTTATTTCTTTTTTGTATTGCTTGATATTTTTCTTTGTATTCATCTAAACTGCCATTGGACTCATTACAGCTACTGCTGTTATTGCATTTTATTAAAACATCCAATTATACATAAAATATTTACTCGAATAACTGTTGACGGCATGAAATTGTTTCAATGACATATGATTGGTTTTTAAGTGGATAACCGTCGTGCTTAATGATAATTTTACTATTTAAGAAATGAAAATGAAGCACAATCTCTGTAAAAAAGAAAAAGGCCATAAACTTAAAGAACAAAACATTTTGTAAGGGTTCCCAAAAAACAAAGTTTCCAACATATTTAATTGTTACTTCTGAGAAAAAGATATTTGCAAAGAGAAATAAAAGATAAAACAATTCTAATGAAGTAATCTTCGAACTTAAAGTCAATAAACTCATTGAGAGAATATTTAAATTTTTATACACAACTCGTTGATAATTGATAATCAAACAGCTCTGAGGAAAAAAAGTTTGTTAAGCTGTATAAAAAAAAATAGTAAAACGATTCAAAGCTTCCAGCGTTCAAGACATAAATTTACAAAACTAATCAATATTTGACAATACTTGTAATGGGAGATTTGAATTTCAAATATGATCAAGGAAATGAATTCTTCAAATGAACTGTTTCTTGTTATCTTATTTTAGCTATGGATTACTTGGCGCATCAGGTTGTGGAAAGACAACTTTGTTGTCATGTATTGTGGGAACGAAATTCTTTAATGAAGGAAAGTTGAATGTTTTGGGTGGAACGCCAGGCACGAAAGGTTCTGGAGTTCCGGGACCAAGAATTGGTTATATGCCACAAGAAATTGCATTGGTTGAAGAGTTTTCCATCAAAGAAACAATTTATTATTTTGGCAGAATTTATGGAATGTCAACAGAACGTATTCGAGAGAGATACAAACTTTTAAGAGAACTTCTTGATCTTCCATTTGGAAGCAAACAGATTGGTCAATGTTCTGGTGGTCAACAAAGGCGAGTTTCATTTGCTGCTGCAATGGTTCACGAGCCCGAACTTTTGATTCTCGACGAGCCGACAGTTGGACTTGATCCATTACTTAGGGAAAAAATTTGGGATTTTTTAGTTGACACGACACGAACCAGTAAGCTTGCAGTTATCATTACTACACATTACATTGAGGAAGCCAAACAAGCCAATTGTGTGAGTTGAATAGTGGAATTAAAATTTTAATTTATTCTTAGAAGTCAAGTTTCTCTTCTTTTTTGTCGTTTTTAAATAACATCGAATAGATTGGATTAATGAGAAACGGAATATTATTAGCTGAGGATTCCCCACAAAATATTCTTACTCGATATGAAGTTGATTCACTTGAGGATGCTTTCCTTCATTTATGCATGAAACATGGCGTGTCAGATGAAGCTGATCAGAATCTTAATCATGTTAAAACAACACACGAAATCACGGATGAAACAGTGAAATCAAATATGAAAGACAAAACAATACAAAGACGTAACTCTATTGACTCTGACAATTCATCCGACGCGTGTTGTGGTGGTGTTGGCGATATAAATTGCAATAAAAAAAGTTTAATGAAAAAGCTTCAATTCACCACAAAACGTCGAATGAAAGCTCTCTTGGCCAAAAATTTTTTACAAATGGTTAGACAACCCGCGTAAGTTGATTTCGTTTTAATTTCCGTTCAATTTTTTAATAGTATTTGAAATAATTTGGTTTTTCAGCGGAATGGTTTTTCTTCTTTTCTTTCCCATCTTTCAACTTGTGTGCTTTTATGTTGCTGTTGGGGGAAATCCCATTGGACTCAACATTGCAATTGTCGATGACGAATTATCAAGCTTTAAAGATTGCTTCAACACATCACTCATCACTACATACGCTCATGATGACACCTGTGATTTACACAAAGTCTCTTGCCGTTTCATTAATCAAATCAACGACTCGGTTGCCATTAAACACTTTTATAAATCATTTGACGAGGCTTATAAAGATGCCAAACAGGGAAAGGTCATGGGTGTCGTTTATTTTGCCAAGAATTTCACAGAATCATTAACAGACATTAGAGATAATGGACGTCATGCAGAAGATGGAACATTTATCAACAGTGAAATACAAATCTACATGGACAATTCTGACCAACAATTGACATTTTACCTCGAAAAGAAACTTCGGCAAACTTATCTCGAGTTCGTACAAAGCTTAATGGGTGATTGCAACTTACCAATTAAACTCGGTAACATTCCAATTGATTTCATGGATCCAATTTACGGTTCATTTGACGGCATATACACCGATTACATGGCACCAGGTGTTGTGATGACGTAAGATATTTGAAAATATTTTTGAAACATATATTAATTGAACAAATGTTGATCGATTCCAGAATGATTTTCTTCCTTGCAACTCTTATCACATCAACAATCTTTATAACGGACCGGTTAGAGGGGATTTGGGACCGCACACTAGTTGCTGGGATTTCAACATCAGAGCTTTTGCTTGCTCACATCATAACACAATCAGCAGTTATGTTAGTGCAATGTGGTGAAATTGTTGTGTTAGCAACTTTCATATTTAACACACAAAATCATGGTGACAACTTCACTGTTGTTTTTCTCTTGATGATGCTTGGATTTGCTGGAATGCTGTATGGATTGTTTATTTCCATTTTCTGCGATTCTCATACAATGGCGAATTTCATGGCGACAGGAAGTTTTTATCCAATGATCATTCTTTGTGGTGACATAATTTTATTATTTCATGTCTTTCAACTTTTCATTCATGGTTTAAAAATAATTTCAGGCATCTTCTGGCCTCTTGAAGGAATGCCAGTTTATCTTCAATACATTGCTTTTCTCTTGCCATTCACTTTGCCTTCCATAGCTGTCCGCAATATTTTGGCCAAAGGATGGACGATCGCACATTCGTCAGTAATTGCTGGCTATGGAATCACAACTGTTTGGATTGTAGTATTATTAACTTTATGTTTAATAGGACTTAAGATTAAAAAGTAAATTTATGTATATAATACAACTTCGAAGACGCATGAAAATGATTTTCATTTATAAAAAATCCATTTTTTAGTGAATGTTCAACTATTTAATTTTAAGAAAATAATATTTAATAATTTTTGTGAAGAAATAATACAAATTGATTAAAAAATGAAAAATATTCTTTTCTTTTATTCGTAAAATCATCAAAGCTTTACAAAGCGAATTCATTTTAAAATTATCAAGTTAAAAATTTAACGAACTTTGGTTATTTGAAAACAAATCTTTAGAATCGGTAATCGGTTAACCGTTTGAAAGCAAATCATATTTGATTGGAGAGTTTTTGTTATTAAATATTTTTCTTACATTTCTCACTCTAGATCTAATAAATTAAAGATAAAACACAAGAAATTGGTACAATAGAAATAACCTTTTTAAAAAACTTCAAAATTATATCTAAAGAATGGTGTCACTTCGAGATAAACAGATAAGTATGTTGATGAGTTGGAATTTTTCAAATTTCGCAAAAAACTCTAATTATATCAATTTCAGATGCAATTAAGCAAATGCTAAACTTGAATCAGCCTTTAACCAAGACGTTAGCTGCTGAACCGGTTTGGAAACTATTAGTGTATGACCGTGTAGGTCAAGACATTATTTCACCTCTGTTGTCAGTTCAGGAGCTTCGAGAAATCGGAATAACACTTCACATGTAGATATTTAAGTGAATTAAGCATAAAACGATTTTACTTAAATATAAATTCCACAGCCAACTCCATTCTGATCGTGATAGTATCCCTGATGTACCAGCAATCTACTTTTGTGCTCCAACAGAAGAAAATTTGGGAAGAATCGCTCAAGATTTCCAGAACGGGCTTTACGATGTGTACCATCTTAACTTCATTACACCGATCTCAAGACAAAAACTTGAAGATTTAGCATCAGCAGCATTACAGTCAAGTTGTGTTGCTAACATTCACAAAGTTTATGATCAATATCTGAACTTTATAACATTGGAAGATGACATGTTTATTTTGAAACATCAGAACAGTGATTCAATGTCGTATTACGGTAATTCCACAATTATTTCACTTGATAAAAGAATCTAATAATTTTCTTTTCCAGCAATAAATCGTGCAAACACGAATGATATTGAGATGGAACAAATGATGGACAGTATTGTGGACAGTTTATTCTCAGTTTGTGTAACACTCGGAAATGTTCCAATAATTAGATGTCCTAGAAACTCAGCAGCTGAAATGGTCGCAAGAAAGCTTGAAAAGAAACTACGCGAGAATCTTTACGATGCTAGAAATAATTTATTTCATATGGATGCAACACAAGCAGCAAATTTCAGTTTTCAACGCCCATTGCTTGTCATTTTAGATCGCAATGTTGATATGGCGACTCCGTTACACCACACATGGACATACCAAGCACTTGCACATGATGTCATGGATTTATCCTTAAATCGAATTATGATTGAAGAAGATCCTGATAAATCAGACGGCGGTGCTCGAAGGAAGACTAAATCTTGCGATTTGGATAATCGTGACAAATTTTGGTCATCTCATAAAGGAAGTCCATTTCCAACAGTCGCTGAAGCGATTCAAGAAGAATTGGAATCGTATCGATCATCGGAAGATGAAATTAAAAAACTTAAATCAACAATGGGAGTTGATGGGGAAATGGAAGTTGCATATTCAATGGTTAATGACAATACAACACGATTAACAAATGCCGTCAATTCATTGCCACAGCTTATGGAGAAGAAAAGATTGATTGACATGCACACGAAAGTTGCAACAAGCATTCTCAGCTCCATCAAGACACGGCGTTTGGATTCATTCTTTGAATTAGAAGAGAAGATCATGTCGAAATCTATTCTAGATAAAGCTTTGAGTGATCTTTTAAGGGATCCGGAATTTGGAAGTGTCGAAGATAAAATGAGACTTTACATCATCTTCTACATATGCACCAACGTGCCAGAAACTGAATATCGTAGACTCGAAGGAATTCTTAATGAAGTTGGATGTGATTTATCTCCAATGGCTTATGTACAACGATGGAAAAGTATCATGACACGATCATCGACATTGAACACAAATCAATATGAAGGAAGTGGAACAAAAACTGTCACAATGTTCTCCAAGTTACTCACACAAGGGTCATCGTTTGTCATGGAAGGAGTGAAAAATCTTGTTGTGAAACGTCATGTAAGCTTTTTTATCCCATTCAATCGAATTTATTATAGTTTGAATCATTTCTTTAGAATCTTCCAGTGACAAAAATCACTGATCAGCTGATGGAATGTAAAAATAATGTTGAAATCGATGAATATCTTTATCTTGATGCGAAGCTTTTAAAAGGAGGCGATGTTGCGCCGAGAAATCGTTCACCATTCCAAGATGCAATTGTTTTTGTAATCGGCGGTGGTAATTACATTGAATATCAGAATCTTGTCGATTTTATTAAGGTAAACATTAAAAATAATTTATTTACATATAATGTCAAAAATTAATGTTGATTTTTTATATAACTAGCAAAAAAACACGTCAAACACAACAAAGCGAATTATTTATGGATCGTCAACATTAAACAATGCAAAGCAATTTTTAAAACAACTTTCGCTTCTAGGACAGGAGATCAAGGACGGAAACTAAACTTTCATATGTAAACATAAATATTATTTTTATTTTTATAGGTTTTTGATTTGAAATTCTTTTTTATATTAATATAAGAAGAAAAAAATATTTTTCTTGTTGTTATTATTGTCAATAAATCATAATTAAATAAGCGGTAGAATGAGAGAGAAAAAACGAAGTAGAAGAAGAAAAAAGTCAAAACAAAAGCGAAAGAAACAAAACAAAATATTGTTGAAACGCAATTGTTGACATTCAACCAAGAACTTATGCAAATTTAAAAGAATTTGTGGGTTTAAAAGAAGCTGTTAATAATGGATAAACAAATATTTTGAATGTATCTTCAATGGAATGTGATTATGAGACTCATGATGAATGTTTCTTTAATAAATTTATCACTTACCACCTGTCATTTATGTGATGAAAGCTTTTTTTGTTCTTATCACAAAACATTAACCATCCGACGAGCGTCATCAGCAGCTCGCAGACGAGTTGGCTCTCCCAGTAAATTTGTGGCATTTCCATCGAGACTCGCTCAATTTCGAAAAGAAAAAAATGTTTTAAGCGAACATGTGGCTCTCATTCTTTCCTACTATTAAAGAAAGAAAAAACTTTTTAATGGATAAAAATGTTAATAAAAATAAAACTGTTTCGAAAACCAGTTTCCATGTCAAGAAGAGAGAAGAAAAAAAGCATCTTCGAGTTCTGTTGCTCGCAAAAATGCGAAATGCCTTCTTAATTGCGATATTTCAATAAAAGTTAAAAAAAAGTTTTATTTTTGGTTCCTTTCATGTCTTGTGATGATGGGTTTAGAATTTCTTGAATGCTTTTGAAGAATTCTTTTTGAGAAATAATTGATTTGACCTCGCGATTCGCGATTCGAAAACTTTCTTCAACTATCAAAACTTAAGGATCATAATTAAGACGATGCACAACAAGATGGAGAAGAAACATTCTAAGAACGATCTCAATAATTTTATATATAAAGAATATAAATTTATTCATCTTTTCCCATCAATTTAGTAACGTCATGACAGTTTGTTCGTTCAGATTTCATGCGCTGCTTTTGCTGTTAACTTCACTGCTAAGTATAGCAAGTAAGTATTCGAGTTTGAATAAATTTATGATTATTGTAATATTAATAAATAATAATCGTTCATTTTTGCTGCTATTAGTACTTAAATAGTAATTAAAATCGTGTTGAATCGGGAGAGTTTCATCAGTTTCGTATTAACCATAATAATCATCATAAAATATAAAACTCATTAAATTTTGATATCATTAACAATCAACTCCCAAAACTCGTGAACGTTGTAAATGTTTAAATCTCTTAAAAATACTGCGATTTCTGTTGTTTTGAAATTCTTTTTTCTTATTTTTCTTAATACCGCATTATTTGAGTTCAAGTAAAACATTCCCAAGGATTTTAATTTATTCCGACGTGATAATTTAAATATTATTTTAATTACTGGTAGTTTTCTTCTAGTTGAACTTTCGATGTAACTTGTGAATTTCGTGCTTAAACGGTTCAATTAAAGCATGCACTTCAAATTGGAAAATTACGGGGAGTTAGTTCTGTTGACTGACTTGACTACCAAATGAATTATAAATGCATGCGCTTTAGCATTACAGTTGCTCGACTACTTCTTTTAATTGAAGCAGAAAGGCTCGACATGCATAAAGATCTCAATGTAATTGCATTTAATCGATAAACGTGAGTTAATTTTTTAATGTTCAATCGCAAGACTTTTCCAATCGATGCCATTTGTCGATGTTCTTAAAGCATAATATCAATGTGATTTAAAATACTTTAAAATAATTTTTGAATGCAAGATAGAAAACGTTTAAAACCGGAGATGAATTTCAATTAACCAGCAGACATCGCGGCGATTTCGCAAGAAAAAGCAACGTAAGTAAAGTACAAACAAGACGTTTGCTTTCATCATCCAGTGCCTTCCTTCATTATCTTTTCTCATATTTTTTCCCTCAATTGCCGCCAGCACGACTTGATGGATTTTAATTGGAATTCGATGATCTCCCGGAATTTAATCATCCGGAAAGTGGTCGTGATGGAAATCCTTGTCTTGATTTATTTCTTATCGTCTTGGAAGTATTTTTGTGTAGAATTTCTCGTGATTCATTGAACCTTGCGGGTGATGACGACTTTTATGACAAATTTTATTTCTCTCATCTACGCCACTGTATGTAAACATTTAACTCCATCACTTCAATTTCGCAAACTAAAGTATTTAAGAGATGAAGAAGTTTGGACGTTTTTTTCGAGTTTATTACTTGACAACAACGATTACGACAAGCAGAACTTTCTTGAGACATTCTCATTAATCGTCGTCTCGGCAGCAAATGTTTGTAGTGATGTCTGAAAGTCATTTCGCGTTACTGCGTCATTCACGCATGAATCGGTTAGATTCCGATGAGCAATTTGTGGAATGTCAAGCATTTTGATGTTAAATGATATTTTTTTTCGATAGTGTTAGGGCCCTAATATATTTCAGTTAGTCGAATGACTCAATAACAAGGGGAGAGAGAGCTTTCACCTGAAAAGCATAAAAGCAAAACATGTTCTACATAACTTTGAAACTGTTACTGATAAAAATGTCTCGACAACTTCAGAGCTTCTTAGAGTCTCTTAAATTAATAATATTAACCGTCGGCAATGTGGTTAGTTTTTGTTTTTTATTTTTTATTTTCTTCTTTTCATTCATTTATGATATTGAAGAATTTTAATTACAAGCAATTGTTTATGTCGCATGTCCGTAACTCAACGCACACCTTAAACGTAAAGCGCGCTTGAGACGACAAAAAAGGTGACCACGTTAGTTATTAAACAGCATTTTTGTCGTTTCGAATTAATGTTTGATTTTTAATTTGATTAAATGAGATGAATTCCAGTGAGCCTTTTTTGATTGATTAATGAATGACTTAAGCCAGCAGTTTGATGTTGTTGGGTCAGTGCTTTGAATATTTTATTTCTTTATTTTTTTTTACAAGCTCGACAGTTTTTTTAACGTCTTTCTTCTTCGTCTTCTGCAACTTTATCTTTCTCGTCTGCACAACAAAGTCGCGCTTTAATTAATCTCAAATATTTCTCTTTATGCCTAGATATCTACTAAATATTTAATATTGAGGCGAACTTTCACTCCCGTCTGTTCACCTGTTGCTTTGATATTTAGTTTGACTGCCTGCCCGCTTGTTTATTTGTTTGTGACTTGAGGGGATTTTCCAGAAGCTCATTTTTCATCAATGTCCGCAAAGTTATTTCCTTTCAATACTTAGATTCGCGAGGCTCCACTCTCTAATAATTCCCCATTCAGCGAACAAAAGAAATTCCAATCTCGCAAAAAATAATACAATCTTCACGGTAATAATCATAGTCAGAAGAAAAAAAAATCTCAACAAACACAAACGACGGCATCGAAAGCATTTAATTTTAATACCGAATTGAAAGAAAAGTTTACGATCTTGTAATCAAGGTCGCCGTTACTAGATATTATGCGAGAAGGTCGTTTATGTTTGATATTTCGCGTATGTGGCTTCTCTCAAGTGACTGCTATTGCTTAGACAACTTCAAGTTGAGAAAGTAAACTTCTTTGTTCCATAAACTTTTTTTTCCGTCTTTCAATTTAATTTCATTTTGAAGTGAAAGATGCGGACGAAGAATGTGAGCTGTAAAGATATTTAAGAGGTCACGTAAATTTACTTCTAACGGGCTTGTTACAAGTGCCACTTTAACTGGGAAACAGTTTCGATCTCAGATATTTAATTTTTTATTATCGCCTCGCATTATATCATTAGAGAAATCGCCACATGGTGTCAATAATTAAAAAAAAACCTATAAGCGATTTTAACGACCTGGTTTTGTCATCAAATCGTCAAAACACAAAATCGTTATTTCACGACTTTACACGTGTGGCTTTCCACAACTTTTTTGTTTTTATTCGCCATCATATCATATTTAGTCAAAGCTGGTAAGCAAACGTAAAAGTTTTTGTTGCGATTACTTTGTCTTCAACCAGTTTATGTCCCGTTTGTTGTTTTATTTTTAAGTAAGGTACAAAAACACGTTGTAAAGAGTCTTTGTGGTCCACAGCGAAGGAAAACTAGTAGCTTTGACATTACAAAAGCATTCCCCCGAGTTACTTAAAAACACCTATAAAAATAAATATTGATTTGTAAAGCTAACACAGCAGTCAGCGTGAGATTTTGCATGTTTCTTATTTGTCGTTTAAATATAATGCACGGAAAATCCCAGCAAGATGCATTTAAATCAGAACCGAAATAGTTCCTTTGACATTTATTACATCGAATAGAGTTGATATTTATGAATTTTACGAGCGTTGATGAATTAAGTCAATAATTGTTTTATATTTATTTAGTTTCTTTTTTTGCAATAGTAATTAAACTGCGGTTATTGCTTGTTGCTAGTCGCATAAGACTAGCAAGCGATCATTTTATTACTACATGTTGTAGAAATGACGTTCGGATACTTAAAGCTTAACATTCAACGTTTATTTTGATTTTACTTCACTCCACGATTTAACATTTGAGCTGTTAAATAAATCATGCAACAAACGATAATTATCACAATTTAGAATGGTTAATTTAATTACAATTTGCACTATAGAAATCATTTTTTTTAAATCTTGTGAATTTAAAAAGCAAAAGATTAATTCAGAAGAAATATTCAAAGATACCGAAATAAATGTTTTATGAGTCAAATATCTGGGAAGGTTTTGATTTATGTTTCTGTTGATAAGGAGAATTGCTTTTAATTGTGTCATATATAACGAAAGTTTCTTAGTTGATGGCCATTCTCAATCGAGTCATGAGTTAATGACTTTATAAACTTTAATAGCGGTGCAATAAAATTGATTCAGATTTAGAGCTTTAAATATTTTTATTTGAGTTTGTGAAAATGGCTTTTAAAATTTGAGTTCAAAGGAAGAAATTTAAAATACGTAAATAAATAAATTAAAACATTAAAGACCACCCCCACAAACAATGAGATTGAAATCTCCTTCACGTGACTTCTTCAACATTTCCATGCTTTTAATTCTCTCTATCCAATCCTTTAGCAAACAAATAAAAATAATAAATAAACGAAACATGAATGTGTAAAGTCGAGCGAGTGCGCATCGTGCATGTTAGCAATTTAAGAATGCATTGGCTTTATTTGGAATACAATGTTTTCTTATTCATTGGATAAAAGAATCTCGTTTTTATCTCATTGTTGAACACTTGAAATGACCACCCTGATTCAATGAGGCGCGCACACATTTGTGTTGTTGAGCGCTGAGTGGAACGCGAACAATCATCCTTTTTTACCCACGACGAAGATTTTTCTTTTTTGCTTCAATTTTCTTTTCTTTTTCTCTTTTTTTGATAAATGCGCCTGTTAAAGAACAAAGCATTGATGCACGACATAAGAGAAGTTTTACAAAACCTTCGTGATAAAGTCGCGTTGAATGGCTGAGAAGAATTCACTCTCCGATTGGTAATTTTCATTGTCCTCGGATAAAACGGGCAAATATAATTCGCAGATGATTATCTAGTAACAACGTGCAAAAAGGAACGATGAGAGAGAAAAAAAGGTTTTACGACTAAAATAGAGCGACCATCATCGAGGGACCACCATCAGATAAAACAAAAAAAAAGATTTGCAAAAGCAAAAAACGATCCGATTGAATCCATTATGAAATTCTTTCGAGTCTAAGAAGAACCGCACGAAGGAAATAAAATTAAGACACTAAACATTGAAGGTTGCTAGTTAAGTCTTCATCATCAACAGATATTATCATTCACCTTCATATTCTTCAACAAGACAGATTTTTTTTAAAACAAATATCTTTCCGAAAAAAAAGATAAAAGAAATGAAACGACTGATGATTAAGTTCGTCGCTTGTGCAACCATTCAAGTCTTTTTAAAAAAAAAACTTTGCAAATTCTCGGAAAAATATCGGAATTGATTCATTGATGAAAAAAAATTTGAAACCTTCCGTAAAAAGCCATCAGACACAATGGACGTTCCAATCCGGAATGTTTTTAAGCAATGTCCTAATCACCGATCAAGAACTGTGTGGTCTGCTGTTTGCCTGTCCATTTGCAACTCTCAAGAGGTTACTTTGTCTTTCTCTTTATAATTACAAAACAGCACCGATTGTTGTTATCCCATTAAGTTTTTGAAATATCGGCACAATTTTACAAATGAAAGAAAAATCATTCACATGGTGTTTTTGAAAAGAAAATAAAAAAAGAAATCTTCAGCCTTCAAGATATTTAGAAAAACGAAAGCAAGCTGGGCATGAATGAACAGGATGCTTCAGGAATGCAATCAGCGCTTATCAGACAAGTTAAATCTATTTAGGTTGTTAATAGTCGTGAAAGAAAAAAGGAAAACAACCGAAGATCATAAATTTTCATACATTTTTTCTCCTTTTTAAGACACATAAAAATCTTTAAAGTTTAACCTGCTGCATAAAGGTTCATCAGTTTCACTTACCAGGTGAAATGACACTGATAAGCAATGAATTCCAATGTAAGTTTCCCCAGAGAAATTCTCTCCTTCCATGCTGGGAATAATTCTGACATGTTCTGAACCGAGAAACATTCCAATTGAATGAGTCATTCAACGTTACTCAACACAAGCAAGATTCATCTCAAAAATTTATTTCATTCTTGATAAGAAATGCAATCAATTAACAACCTGAAACTGAACCTGACAGTTGTCTAATTTTGTTCTAAAATAATTAGCTTTTCTCATGACTTTATCAAGGAGTGATTTCTTCTTTCATTGGGAACCTTTTGTTTCCCAGATCGAAATCATGTTCTTAATATAGAAATCTTTAAATAATCGCAAGAGGTAAAAATATTTCTTGCTGGTCAATTTCTCGTGAGTTTGTTTCTCGATTCAAACAAAACATTTTACGGTGCCCATTATCTCGGCATTCCATCAAATTCTCAAATTGCTTAGTTTTTTTTTCTTCCTTCCCTCGTTTGTTGTTAACTAGCTTTAATGAAATTTAGATAGACCTTTTTGTGCCATTGAGAGTTATCGAGTTAAAACATTCAAAATACCACTGCGTCACAATGTGTGCTCAGGAATATTCAGGAATTTGCCGGCAATTTTATTTCTTTCCTTTCTTTCCTTGCTCAATGCTCTTGACATGAAAATGTGCCTTTTGTTCAAAGGCGCATGTAATCGTGACATGTCCCATTGAAAGTTTCAACGTACGAAATAAACTTGAAAATAAAAGATAAGCTGAGGATTCGAATTGTGTTCAAGCAAGTTGTGTGTGCTTGGATGAGACGAGAGCGAAAACCTTTTAGTAAATAATACTGTCAGATAAGGAATTATAAAAAAATGCCACCGAAGATGAATGAATCGAACAAATCATCACGGATATGAGGCGAATAAGAAATTCAATCGACATTTATTAAAGTTCCATAAAGATTCTGATTTAAGTTGAGTTAAATGTTGAGAGATCATTTAGAGATTTCGTCGTCTATTAACCATCATAAATTCACGTCTTTATCGACTTTATTCAAGTTTAGCTACAGAATTTCCAAACAATCCTTTTCCCAACAAACAGTCAAGATAAAAAATATTTTCTTGTGAACAAAGAAGAAACAAAAGCTATAAAAAGAAGAGAATTCAAACCTATTAAATAAGAGCTCGATGATAGAACCTTTAAAACAGTCATTATTGTTCTTTAACACTCGCGGACAAATTATAACTTCTTCAGTCATCTCATTTCGAGAAATGACTTTCAACTTTTCTGTCGTGTTTCTTTAGTTTTATTTATTCCCGTCTTCTGAAAGTGATTTTTTATCAATTTAATCCTGAATAATAAACCCAAGCATTTGATCGTTGCTTGCTTGTGTGTCTCATCAAATCATAAGGCGACATGGCAAGGAAAAATTTCTTTTTTCTTTTATCTCATTCCATTAGATAATCAGCAATTTAAAAGACTTAATTTTTATTCATCACCTTTGATTTTCGAGAAGTGAGTACACAGCGAAAGAAGAAATCAAATCAAGAAACAACACTTGAAACATCTGACAATCATCATCACTTGAAGTTGTACAATGCAAGTGGCCCTCGTTCGACAAACATGGACATGATGATGATTTTTATGAATTGCGATTGTTGCATATAAGGAAAGGCATTTCCTCTCGAGGGAAAATATTCTACACGCGGCACATGAATTCTTCACAAGACATTTCTTCATTTATTATTTGTAGATTCACCAGTAACAGAAAACCGGTCAATTATCAAATGAAACCTGCTGCGCTTTTTATGCCATCGACACGATTTGATCAGCTTGCAGAACACTATTTTTCATCGTGAATTGCATTTAATTTCAATTACGAAATACTTTCCAGAGGATTCTCAATTGCTACACACTCAACCTGCTGTTTGATAAGTTGTTAAGTAGTCAATGATGATGTTTTTTTCTTTCTTCTCCTTTCTTTTCCTTGTCTCTACCGCTGTGACAGCAGCGCTCAATATGGAATCACAACAATTGTCTTCCAATACCGATTTCATTCAGCTTTAGTACGCGCGAGTCGCTCCCGATTGAAGCTTTTTACTTAAGCGATACACAAAAGTAAGTAAGGCAAACAGCACAACCATTTAAAGGCATAGACATGCACACGCCGGGACGTGCATGTTTATCATAATAAATTATTTTATTAACTTTTATTTGTTAAACTTCTTCTTAAATTTTTCATTTTTTTTGTGTTTTTGCTGTTTCGTCCCGTTTAGGAATTTTTTCCATATAATTTCATGAATTATTTATCAAATGATGATTTCTTTCCATCTCATCATCATGAAATGTTTATTTTATTTATTCTCAATTTATTTTTTGTTTCTTAATTCGTACAGAATTTATGAATCAAGCGAGTTCTGGCGAAAATATAAGAAAAAACGATCTTCAAAAGTCACAGTGTAAAATTTTTGTTTTCATTTTGTGTGTGATTGACTTAAAGTGCGGTTCGTAATTGCAACCATTGAGAAATGTTTTGGAAAAATGAATTGGAAGTTTAAAATGGTAAAGAAGAAATTCTTTTCTCTCAGTACGTGTTGAGAATAAATAAAAAAACATTTTTTACTTCTTTTTCATTAAAGTGTCCAACGCATCGATCCCGTTAATAAAAGATGCAATTCGAACTTGAAATGGCAGACATCGTGGAGTGAAAAAAGAAATTGTCAAACTTTCATAAATAATAGGAAAGAATTTCTATGTAAGAAATCAATTTGCGCTCGAAATAATTCACAGATGGAAATTCATTAATTTATTCTGACTTCGGTTACAAACAAAAGGGAAGAAATTAAAAAAATGTCATCAATCATTCACACATTTTAATTATCGCACTAATTTACCTCCGATGGGGAGAACAAAGTAAAGTTAAACATGGTTCCGAGATGAATCACCTTTGTTGGGTTTTTGAAGAACCATCTAATTTATATTTCATTAGCATTTTAAGCTCTTCACCGTCGTTTTGTTTCAAGACGATTTTGTAGTGTGCCTCTTGTTGTTTATTACAAATAAACAGAATGGTTGTTGGAATTTAAATAAAGATCTCTATCGCCATGGTAGTTTTTCTAATGATTTCAGATTAATATCTCTATTCTCTTCGCTTTTCGATGTTAAGAAACTCTTGCATGAAATACATTGTGAAAGGCATGAGAAGAAGCAAATTCCTTTTTGTCTTCTGTTCGTCTTTTATATTTTTTTCGTTATGTTTTCTGAGATATTTTCGACAGAAATTAATTTTCTCATTCTCGAAAATTATCCCTCTTGCCGATCACGCCGATGAATCAAAAAGCCTTCGCGATGGTCATTCTAATTATTTCTGAATCAAGAATGAATGTTTGAGGAGAAAGAAGAGTTGAATATCATCGTTCCAAGCTCAAATTGATTTTTATTATAATCGATGAGTCTTCGATCCGCGCAGCGCTTGTGAATATCTTTATAACTTTTCATCAGATTCCCATTAATATTCATTCTTCTTTCATTTGGCTCATTATTCCATCGATTTATGTCTTTCACTGTGTATTTTAGACATTCGTTTGGTTCGAGGACCGCACGAGGGCTATTATAGTGAAGGATGAAATATTTATTCATGAATATAGGTTGTTTTGATATCTCAACATAAGTGTAACAAATTAACTTTTATGTTAATTGACTGGAATAATCTTGATAATTTACTTGTTGTTCCTTTTGTGTTCAATTTGAATTCTTGATGTTTTATGCTTCTTTATATTGCCTAAACCATTTGTTGCAAAAGCATAATAAGATAAATGTTTAAATTAAATTAAAGTTTGAAAGTTTTCAGAAGAGTGAGGAAAATCATAACTTTATACCCCCCGAACTTAAAGCTAACTACGTAATATTGATACGTCTTACGTCTACATATCAAAATTGCAAAAACGCAACGTGAATTACCTACGTTTGCATTGACTTCAATAATCTTCAAAAATCTTATTTAAAATTAAATATATCATCCGGAAAATAATACCGGCATACACAAAACATTTGTTTCTTTATTACTTAATAATCCATGGTTGAACTCATCTCATTCATTGATGTAAAGAAAGTTTAAACATAATGAAAAATTGATTTCGAGTTGTTTATTCGTTTTTTCAGAATTTCTTAAACGAATGAGAAATTAACTTCAAATAAATAATATATTATGGTCTTGTGTTATTATGTGGTTATTATAATGATGTTACCTGAAACGATAAAAAAGATTGAGAGAAAGAATCAGAATGGATATTTAAAAGCTCTTTTCCATCTTCATTTACTATATTATGAACTTTAAATTTCGTTGTGTGTGGCAATGGCGAAGAAATTCTTGTTAAATTAACCATGTTTTGATTAAAATCTTACACGCCGCTGAGATTTTTCTTGTTAATAATCATCGGAAAATGGATATAGTTTTGTTAATTGAGTGGAATTGAGATGTTGAGAGATTCGAACTTTAATCTTAAATGGGCTTTAATTTGTAAGGAATTATTAATCTCCATTTTAATCCCGTTGGAAATGAAACAATCTTATAAATTGTAGATTTTTCTCTCGACTTAAATGCACTACAAAGTTTAAACGATAAATTGAATCTTTTTAAGCGCAGCTGCAAAATTCACAACGCAGCATACCTGCAAGTTATATTTTTAATTTTAAAACATTAATTAATTTGTCAATGTCATTTCTCACGCTTCAATTGGCTGGAGAATAACAGGCACTGTATAAATATTGATTCATTATAGCATTAAATATGTTTCTTGCAACAAAGTTGAACATAAAATATTGAAAGAGAACCAAGTGACAACAGTCACTTCCATAATGAGTCTTACAAGCAATTTTTCCGCGCCATAAGATGTTTAAGTGTTCGCACTTGTACGGACAACTTTTCCATTTTAAGAAATGACGTACGCATAGTGCAGAAAATTGTGAATTTGTTTGTGCCCGTGCCAATTAAGCCGTGAAATCAACTTCGGAACATTCGTGCCATAAAATGTTCAATTTATAGCTTTTATTACGTCCTAATTCCATATCTGGATCGTCAGATGAAAAAGGAAAACCGTTCGGCATCTGTAAAGTTGTTCATACGACAGAACCATCCATTCGATTGTCATCAGGTTTTGTTATTTAAACTTAAATACTACTTAAAGCGTAGATGATGAAGTGATTCATGATTATGCAATTATCGTGCAGCCTATCTAAGCTGTCAATCAGTTTAGCACATACATAATGCATTCGGTGAGAGATGCACTTTGTAAACATAAATTTTCTCATGCTTTCAGTTGAAGGGATTCTCGCTTGTTTATATCGCTATATAATTATCAACTCACAAAAATAAGAAAAAAATATTTTCTCCCCTTTGTTATGTGGCTTTAAGCATGTACGATTATGCTTTCAAAAATGGCCCGTCTTCAAAGACGAAGACCCCCGAGAAAACCTCACGAATCATAAACGATACGCAACTGAGATTTTCTCTTTGTTATGTTGAATAAATATTGGGAATTGTAGCGCGATTGAACCATTAAGCTTTGCCGTATGTGAAATAAACGCCCCTTGCCACACACGGAGAGTAAATATTTTAAAGAGACTGCTTTTGTTGAATTCGTTGTTTCTTTTTATCTGTTTTGACTTAGCCACAAATTTATTAGTTATATTAGCGAAAAATGAGAAAAAAACAACAGAAAACGGTATGTGAAACCATGCAAAAGCGGAAGTGATGAGTTGACTATAACAGTTTAACTTACTCGATTAATGTCTGAACAATTTATATGAAAAAGAATCAAAGAATTTAAATTATCTCGACTCTTTCGCAGATCACAACCGAGACAAGGCATCAAATCTCTCAGCAGAGTTCATCTCCCTGGGCAGTTGTAAATTATATACGCAACAGTTTCTTCAGCATTGGAGTTGTTCTTATTTTTTTTGCTTGTTTTCGACAGCAATAATTTGGCTTAACTTTATAATTCTTAACTAGATAATTTCAGAGAATCGGCAAACAGAAGATGCCGCCAAATTGAGTTCTTATGTGGTCTTATTAAGACTCCTTTTTTTCCTGCCCTCTCATTAAGGATCGTTTGCGAATGAGTATGAAACGAACATTGCCATAAAATTATGTTTACATTTTGATTTTTGATGCCATGATTTGCTTTTGAAGTGGACTAGTTAATGGATTCACAATTTATCACCGAGTTTGGGTTGAAAAGTAACAAATCATCGCTTATCGACACGAAAGGATGAATAGTTGAAGCGATAGAATAACAAAAAAAAAGTTTTATAAACACTTTTATGGGCTATTTGTTTAACAAAACTGGTAACATGCTTACAAAAATAATACAAATATTTACCCTTAACTACTTAACATTTCTTTTTGTCGATTGCTTGAAACATTCACGGAAAAATGATGCTACTGCACATGTCGGTGAAAAGGAATTTAACGCTCAAATATTTATGGAAATTTTTATTTTATTTTTTGTTATTTTGTTCATCTTCGAAACATCGAGCGGGAATTTTTTTACATCTCGTGATTTGTGATAATGTGAAATGCAAATAGCGAGGATGAAACTTGTTGAGCCATTAAATTTCTTTAAGTATCACTTGCATCGCACTTATCGTGCATCACATTAAGTCTCAGTTCGATGTTTGTTATATGTGGATGAACTTGGAGCTTGATGAAGAGAAGAAAATGTTTCTTGGAAATGTGAAATACAAAAAAATATTGATAATAAAAGCGTTTAACAACAGTTTTCTTATCGGTAGGTGATTTGTTGTGGAAGGGTTTAGAGATTAAGATAAAAGAATGATAATTGATAATTCATGTCATGTTCATTTCTTTTCCACTTAATTGTCATCATTCATCTTCTTTCAAAGGAAACTTAGAACTCTTAAGATTATTCTCATTAACACTCACCTGTTACAAAACATTTGTTTGTTCCCATTTCAAGGCAAAAGAATTCCTGTTTGTGTCTTTACCACAAATTGGAACGAAAGAAAAACTTCCAACTTGATTTATGCGTTTCATTAGCAAGTTTTTGAACTTTTGCTTCTCGTCGACGGAAAGGAATTTCTTAAATATCTTGAATTCCAGTTTTTAATTGGTGAATGAAAATGATGTAAAAACTAAAGTAAGAGAGAAGGTATTTTGCTTGCTTTAAGATTTTTATGTTAAATTTTTGGATTCGCTTCTTAAAAGTTTTTTTTTTTCGAACATACATAATGTATCTATAGAGGACATGTTTGAGAGAAGAAAAATATTCAAATTAAAAGAAGGTGTTAATGAACAAGGAGTAAACATTTTTAAACAACATCACGAAAATGTTCATTCTGTTCATTCAAATAAAGCTGTCATTGTACATAATAAATAATTAAATCGTCAACGGTGTTCGTTCCTTCCACTAAACTTTATTTTTTATATAAAAGGATTCATTTAACACATCGATTCGACTGGAAATAAATTCAAATGCTTTGAGATGTCAATGTCGAGTTGAATTTGATTGAAATCATCAACAGATATGAGATGACAGCTTCATGATAAATCAATTGCAATTTGCAACAAGTTCAAAGTCGAATCTCATTGAAATCAATCCATCTTTTATGATTATCGGAATTTATTTTTAAAAAAATCAATTACTATTAGTTGGGAATGTATCAAAGATTAATTTAATAGCCGTACAATGATTTATTGCTTCAACACTGAAACTGTTTTTTTTTTCTTTATTTATTATTCCCACTGTAAATTATCAATTTGCATTCTTTCGATAAATGTACATAAACGTTGAAAGATTGCCCGTAAAAAATGCCAATTTTACGGTTGTCACAAATTATTTCGAGGGTCTTTTATGGTCAATCTAAAATATATTTATGTTTTTAAAATGAAACAACCATAACAGAGACAAGAGAGGAGCTGTTAGGAGTGAAATCTCATACATACTCCTAATTGGTTGATTATTGTATTCTAAGAATTGATCACGAAATCTGAGTTTTCGTGGTGATGTTGAAGATTACTATCGCGATCAAACTAAGAAAAGATTTCAAGATTTTGTTTTTAAGAAAAGAAGGACAAGCGAAAGAAAACATTTGCAGGAGTTTTGTAAAATTTTAATAAGATGCAAATTTTTTTAGTCATCTCTTTCAATTGACCATGTTGTTTCGCTGTTCATTTAAAAGAAGACGAAAATAAAACTCGCAGATAAATATTAAGAAGCATTTTGAGAGAAATAAAAATAAACAACAGAATATCAAGCGACTTGTTAAGTTAACCATCTTCGAAATGTAATATGGAAGAAGTCGTGGAGCTTGTGAATTTCTGTGCTTTGCACTTTTGCGCGGGAATCCGTGAAGTCTCTCAATGCTATTTTCCATCAAACCGCAGCTTGAAAAATTATTTTCTGATTATTTTTCGATTCATTTTGTGATGGTAAAAAAAGGGAAGAAAAAAAAGACATAAAGAAATCTTTTGAAAAACGATGAAAAATATAAGAAAAAATGTTGGAATTGAAGCAAGTAACACGAGATACAGAAAACAGCAAACCATCGTTTTTAAGACATATTTTTCTTTTGTTTGCTTATCAATAAGTTTTCCGCTTCAAAGTTGAAACAATTCCGCACAGCTTTTCATGAATAAGAATTGCAGTTTCGAATGGAGAATGTTATGCGATGCTTAAGAATTTCAATTTGACGTAGAACGACGAAGAGAGATCAACATCCTGACTTTTATTTGACAAGCAAACATAAAGCAGTATTGGCGGACATTCGCATCAGATTTAAAGCAAATATTTATGTTACTAAGGATCTTCTTTAGATCAGATTTCTGTGAATTTGCTTTTTCTGTGAAAATCAAATAATTTCGTTCGAAATCTTTCATTGATGATTTCGTGAGAGATTTCAAACATTTCCGAAGGTTTATCAATATAAATAAAGAAATATTTTTGTTTCGCTAGAAACACCTGGTTCTTGGGTGGTTGTTTTATTTCGACATATCTTAATAAATGTTTACGGCCATCGATTCGTCGATAAAAAAAAGACCGGCGAAAAAAATAAGCGATTTTAGAGAATTCTTCGAATCGAATGATGTTGAGTTCTTCGGCTCGTATCATGAATGAGCTTTTCAGACAATTAAAGATCTTTCTTTTCTGCATTCACGATAAATAACAGCCCATAATAACTCACTTTGTTTAAAATTTGTAATTATAAACGAAGCGCTCTTCTCTCACAACCTGACTCCGTTTCGAATGTTCATGTGAAGCAAGAAAATGAAGTAATAAATTTAAATTATTTTACTTTGCGCCTCAAACAACTCTTTTTTTATAATATTTTGTTTGCCGAAAAAAAAGCAGCACAAAATGGATGACTTTTCAATTGGCAAAAATCTTGGCGATGCTTCAGGCTCTGCGCTTTAGTAGTTGGAAGTTTCTCGATCGTCGATAAAAATTCCTTTGATGTGCTTAGTTGAAATAAATCAAGCAAAACCTAATACATAAATTAAACCTTTTTAAATAGCCATAAATCATCTTTCCTCATTCTGCCTTCATTACGATGCGCGATACTCAAGCGAATCATAAAATATTCGAAATTTCTTCATTCAACCTGGGAAACTCTTTACTTTTTCTTCTGTCGATGATTAAATAAACATGATGGGTCTATTTTTCTGCTTCTTCTTTCATAACTTATTTTCTTGTTTTATTGGAGACCGGAGGAGAAAAAACAAACATCATTCCACAATTTTTCGTAACATTTCATAATTTTTATTTTTATTTTCTTCTTTTCACGTTGCGTTTGTGAGCCCATAATCGAAACAAGATGAATAAATTTTTCGAAAGAAGAGCTACAAAGCAGTTTAAAAAGGCAGAAGAAGAACGAAACGCTTGGGAACTGTTAAGAACCTCTGTTGGTTAAAAACATATCGGAGAAGAACACACACGATTAAACAAAAGTTAGGACCTCCCGTGCTTTTCTTTTATTTCTTTTACTTTTTTTTCGTTAAAACAAAGCAAAAATCAAAGAGATTACTTTATTTTGCGAGCACTCTATGCATTAAACGATTAAAAAGTTTCTGTCTTCAAACTTCTTTCATAAAATTCCTTTTATATCACTATGTTTGCCGACAAAACTTTTCATTCTTAATTCAGTAGTTAATTAAATATCGCCAATTTCATATGCATAGAGTATTAAATGTTTAAGAGAAAAGGTGAAGGAAAACTTCTTAAGTTACGTTCTTATAGCATCTGGAAAGAAATTTTTGAATATTTCTTTAAATTTAATGATGGGTGGGTGGATTGAATTTTCAGTTATTGACGTTATTTCCAAACATTTATAAAAGAATGTTAAATTCTTCGTTTGTCTCGGTTCGCTTTAAAGTTCAAGATAAAGAAAAGCAGAACATTCCATTGAGATATCTTAGAAGGAAGTGATATCAAAAGAGATTTCAATTTCAGAAAAGCAAAACCCACAAAAGTCTTTTTGCGTTTCCATTTTCTTCTCATAACAATTTTTATTGCATTCTGTTAAAATGATTCTTATAACTTAATTTTTTCAGCTCAATTTACAGATGAAAACCTTCAAAATTAATGAGAAAAGGAAAAGTTCTCATATGAGCAAGTTCAAGAACTTCAACTGTACAGGCAAGGAAGCTTCATGGGAGAAACGTGAAACTGATAATATTGAGTAAAGCAAACGATAAAAATTACTACAATCAACCAATCTGAATTTATAGCAGAAGAAAATTTATGTAGCTCGATGATCAGATGAAGTTAATGAATTCAATATTACTTGTTGAAATTCAAAATGTGTGCTTTGAGGGCTTTTACTTGTATGCTGCCAAAAAAATGTTCAGAACGTCTCTTTGCTTATCATCCGTGATGTGCTTGAGGCATCAGAATCAGGTTTTGTTATTTTGTCTTAAGCGAAAAGTAAAAAAAAATATACAAGGCGATGTATTTAATTAAACCCTAATATCCCCGAGGGTCATCTGCAAGAAAAGAACGCTTCGTAGACTCTTTGTCTGAAAATAAACGAGCTGCTTTCGTGAATCATTTTCTGCGGGTTGTTATAAAGTTTTGGTTTCAAATGCTTTTTATTGCTTCAAATTAACTCATTATTTGTCAGTTAATATACTTCATAAAGCAAGAACATGCTTACCTGCACACCCCAATCTATGCCTTCGTAGAAAAATGTTAGGCAAAAAGAACATTAATTATAGTTTATGACCGAATGTGAAAGAGAATAAAGAAAACGAACTGAAACATCATTTTCAAGAATGTTTGGTGGGCAATCGAAAGCACTTATTAGACAATATTTTTCATTTTGTGTCTCATCAGCTTCATCTGAAGATTTCCGGTCGGCAAAAATTTTGAAACTAAATGTATTTATAATGGAACTTGGGTAGGAGAGTTGAATTCCAAGATGATCTTAAACCAAAAGTCATGAAAATTGATGATCGGAATGGAACGAAGCTTCTGCTGATGTTCGAACGTTGAATTGAAACACATGAAGTCGTGATGATGAGTCTTATAGTTTGTAATCACTAATTATTACATTTATGAATTGATCAGATGAATGGGAAATGTTGAGAATAAAAAAAGGTAGACAAAGACTTGAAGGTTGAATTCCTTCGCAGTAAATGATTCGAACATACTGAAGATGCCGCCATGTTGTCTAAAAATATTTATATTTTGCCGTTCGCTCACTTCATAAACTTCCCAATGCGTTGTTGAATTTTTTTTATTACTTCTTTTCGTCCCGTCTTTATATTCTCTCCATCCATGCAGTCGTCTTCACTGATCGTGCGAGGTTGAAAAGCAAACATTGTGAATAAAATATGTGCACAATAATTTATGATATTAAAGAAATTTGTTATTTAGACACGATAAACAAATAAAAATGCAAATAATAATCAAATTATATATTCGCGAGTGTGGTTTTTACTGATAGGAAAAGAGAAAAGATACATGTCGACATATATCAGTGAAAACTTAATTTAAATAATATCCAAAATTTGCTCGACTCGATGAAAATTATGCACATTCCATTTAATCATCTCTTCATGCTAAAATATAAAATTTTGAGTTGATTTAATAATTTGAGAATCCTTTAAGGTGGGGGGCGAGAGTAATCAAACATGAGTATTTTTATTACATCCAATTAAGTTGAAAAAGTGATGAAATCAGTGGAAAAAAAGAAAGAGAGAGAGAGGGCGAGAAGGAGAAAAAGGAAAAAAAACTAAACGCAAAGATCATAAATTGTATCTTATGTATGTTTCTTCAACCTTTCCTTTGGATCTTTCGCTAAATAATACATATTAAGCTTTTATGTTTTTGGCGTATAAGATGCTTTCGCTTTTACTCTTTCTGCTGTTTTCCTTTGAAAAATAATGCTAATAATGATGATGAAATACCTCCCGAAACGATATATTTTCTTAAATGACTCTATTATGTTTTTTGCATGCTTGTATCGTTTTTTCTTTTTTGTTTTCCTTTTCCTCTCTTCAATTTTATCTGCACAAGATCCCATCCATGGCCTTTTGTGAAGAAGTCTCATTCGTATTCAATTTAATGTTCGAGCATTTAAGAAGCAATTTAAAGACAAGAACTGGAAAGAAGGGAAAAAAACTTTCCCAAGAATGTTCTTCTGTCTCAAATGTTAGTTAATCACAGCTTGTTGGGGTCAAAATTGAAAGCGAATAGTAAAGTCATTGTTTTAAATTGTATTGAAACTCTTGATTCATAACTTTCCATGGGAATTTCCTGAAAAAGTTAATCATGCATTTCTTGATCGTCAACACATTCCTGTAAAATGAAACAATAATAATTGAGAAGAAAATCGAATTAATCTTATCGTCAGAACCATTTTTTATTGTTTTTAATTGTTCATGAATCTTAATGGATAGTTTGAATTTGTTTTTGATTCCTTTTCACTTCAATAAATACACTGAATGCTTCTCGTTTATCATTTTTTCTTTTATTTTGTTTTTTCCTTACACAGGTACAGAAGAATTTACAAAAAAAAATATTCTGAGTTTACTTTATACAGAAAAGCAACTTTAATTAAGGCAATATCTTTGATTGTACCATGTTTTAACTCTCATAATTTTATAAGATTTTTATTTATTGTCGATTATATTTCATCTCGATATTGAAACAACTCGTAAAATTCCATCTTCAAATCACAACTTTCAAAGACAATTTTATAAACTTTCTAGAGCATAATTTTATGTTTTTTGATCTGAAATAAATTTTTACGTCAATTTTCTTTAGACTGGGAAATATTCTAAACTGATTTTATGTAGATTTACATGTAAAAGTTGAAGAAATTCCTCAATAAAGTTTTGTGATGTAAACTTTCTGAATATTTTCCCAGTAGAAAATCCTTTTTTTTTGTTTACAACACTGGTGTAGTATATACATTCATTGTTTTCTGATACCTTTTTGAATAAAAGTAAATATCTACATAAGAAATTGTTAAGATCTATAAAAGATAAAATCTCCAAGAGATTCTCAGTTTCAAAAGTAAATTTACTTTGCTTATTTATTTACAGATTACCGTTAACAATTATATTCACAATATTTAAATTCTTATAAAAAATTGTTTTTGTATCGTCCACAATTGCAAGCATAACTAACATATATTACACAATTTTCCTTTAATGCATATGTTGTGCTTTCTTTCATTCAAAATTGGATCCTCAAAGTAAGTTGAAAAATATAAGTTCTGAGTATTTCACAAATAACTGTTTAGTTAAGGCACATGATTTGTTCAATTGAGCAACATCAATTTTTTCTCTTTTTCATTTGTCACATTAATCTTTTTTTTTTTAATTTTCTTAATCCACACTATAGTACGGAGAATTTTATTTCTTTTTTGTTTATGCTGCATTGGCGTTTTGCAAATTTAAGACGTAAAGCCGGTCAACTGGTTTTAGTTAAGTGTCGAGGAATTTAATTAAAATTATCGGCAACCACAACCGACGACTGTCATATCTTGATAGTTTTTCAGTACAACTTTATTTTGATCATCCAAATAAAGCATTGATATCGATGACAATTGCGTGGGAACGCAACATGCTTTGGGCGCTAAACTAGGACTTATTGAATGAACTAAAGTTTGCACGATTGCATGATTTGTTGTGTTGAGATGATCAGCAATTGGAAAATTGCATTCACCATGACAATAGAATGCTTCGTAGCCTGGTGGCGCTACAATCCAATCATTCCAACCTACATCACTAAAGTCTACATACAACGGTCTTCGCTGACAAATCTCTCGATTGTCCTTTCTGCGATGACCTCTTCGACCACCAGGCGCTCGCCTTGAACGATTTGCATCTCTTATTGAACGTTGCTTATAGCGTCCATCATCGGTGTAAGTGAAGAGAAGTGGCTGTGCTTGTGCCCAACTCTCAGGACTTTCATCTATGCTTCTTCTTAGTCTTATATGTTGATGTGATGGCACATTGAAGGAGTCATCGATGTTAACTGAATTACTATCATCTAATGCTGATATATGAACTAATAAGCCATGATTTCGTTTTGGCTCACGCAGCCATCGCTTGACAGCTGACATCACGTTGAGACTTATCGATCCTGTTTCATTAACATTGACTGTTTTTGTGTCGGCCAAAAGAAAGATTGGCTTACGTTTCTTGTGCTTCCGTCCGGGTCGCACAATATCGTAGACATCGATTTGATGTCTAACATTATTGACATTTTTAATTTGATTACGATTAAATGTGATTTCGGTGTCCCTTAGACGCTCTTTTTCTGGTATATTTGAAATGTTGAAGAATAGACGAAATCTGTTGTGATATTTGAAACGATTGTCTATGTTGCTCTCTGTAAACAGAAAAGAAGAAACAAAAATGTTGTTAGTGGAATAACTTGACTAAATTTTAACTTATAATATAAATCAATAAATTGATCAACACTTCACACCACCGACCGAAACGAAAGAGAAGAAAAAAAAATACGAAGGAAGAAAAAAAAATTAAAATATTATTTCAAATATCAAAGAATCACCCACGCATATAGGTGAAAAGATCGTTTATTTGATTATTAAATATATTTAAAACATTTCGTGAAAAACATATTTTCGCAACTTCACAAGAAATGAACTTCTTTGAAATCATCGTTGACTCAATACAGCGATATTGCCAGAAACGAAGTAATTATTACTAACATCTCTCAATGATTGCTTTATCGTATCGAAAAAATGTTATTTTAATGCCTTTGAAACTTCATAAGGTTACACAGAAATATTTTTATTTATTATTTTCCTAACTAAAGAAAGACATTCATTAGCATGCCTTTAGAAGAATAAAACAACGAGTGGAATTTGCTCTCGGAAGATTCTTCACTTTGTCGCCAGGTGTGACTTTTTAAAAATAAAATAAGAATAAGATTTGCCTCGCCATTCTTTATTAGATTGTCTCGAGAATCTTTTTGTAAATAAACTTTGATATAACTTTAAAAGTTCTTAAGAACTGTCATTGATTCAAAAATAGATCGAAAACAGGTTTAAATAATTTTTTTATAGCGATGAGATTCAAAGTTATCGGTGCAGTTTTTTTGCTTTTCTCGATTTTATATTTCTTTGAATTGCTTGCTAAATAAACAAGACAATGACTGATGAATGACCCTAAGCGATTGAAAATATTTTCGCAATTCCTGTTAAAGCTTTTAATAATAAAAAATAAAATAAAAAATCGCAAACAAAAGTGAAAAGAAAAACTTTATCCGTGAGACGTCATTCCATTTAAATGAATTGTTTATAGTCATACGATCAATATTTATTGTCCAATTGACAATAATCTTATAATTACCATTAATATGTGATAAAATAAAAAGATTTTTATACCCCGGAAATCTCTCGATTGCTCTCGCTTTAGTAGAGTTATCTGGTATGAAGCCCGTCGAATGGAATGTGAATTGTAATTGGGCGTGTGATGATTTCGAGAGTTGTTGAAATCGCGCTATAAGTCTCACAATTTTATTTTCAAATTATGCAAATCTCTTATAAAATCTGACAAATTATCACCACACAAAATAAAAGTTGAAAGAAATGACCTAAAGACGAAGTGAAACGATCGTGACGCAAACGAACCGCAAAACTTGGCAGACACAGTTGCGCTTTAAAAGAGACGAAGTGAAGGAGAAAAATTGGAAGCTTTCAAAGACAAATGGAGAGACATTCTAATGGAATGTAAATCAAGGTAAACTTGTGGGCGCTTTAAATCAAACTGGAATAATTTTGTCAACCAACAAGAGTGTAAAGAAACATTTGTGCTCAATTCAGTTTTTTTTTTTACTTCGATTTATCTATACAATAAATTGCGGTTAAATAGAGTTCGAGTTCAATTGAAAATTGCAAACAAAAAGAGAATTGGATCAAGTCGATAGTTAGTTTAAACATAAGTGTTCACTTTGTTCGAGAAACCTACTTAGAATTTATGGCCGTCTGGAAAAATCTTGAAAAAGTTTCATGAAAATTGTATTTATATCCAGGCGAAGTGATGATGGGCAGCCGATAAGATTTGAGGCTTGTTATCGAGACATAGCATGTTTACTCTACTTTAACCTTTACTCAGCACTTTTTTTATGTCGAAAAGAAAAACACAAATGAATGAACGAAATTATTTCAAATGAAAAGTAAGATACTTAAGTTAAGTCTTGGAAAAAGGATTTAAAGTTGTTGGCAAGCGTAAATATTGACTTTCGACTTCTAAAATTCATAGAAAATTTAAAAGTTTTGGACTCACTTTCGCAGATATCTTTTTTTTATTTTCTTCCAGGCGCTACAATTGTTTATTTAATTTTTTTCTTCTCTTGGGTTCAAGGAAAAACGAAGAATTAAGAAAAAAAAATACTATAAATATTGCGAGCGAAGTGTAAACACTCTCACGGGAGTTTAGAAAGAAAATTGCAAGTTTCGAAATCGTTTTAGCTTTTTGAAGTTTTTTTTTCTTTCTCCTTTCATTCTATTAAGTAAATCAGTATTTCAACGAGTACATAATTTCGCGGTATTGCTGACCGGGCATTGGGAAAACGTGCTGTCTATTAATATGTAAGAAAATTTTCTCGAATCACTAAGTTAAAAGAAATTTCGAACTGTACACATTGAAATTGATTTAAAGGTTTTTTTTTTTGGTTTGATCTCAATTTTCATGTTCAAAGACGAAGTGAAACTCATACACGCCACGCACTCTTTATGAGAATAAAAAAAGAATGAATTGAACTTACCTTCATGTGAGTAACTTCTAATAGTGTTGGCGTCCTTGTCATGCAAATCTGCCTTTGGTACATCTAGTGAATCTAATTCATGGCCCATTATTTGAGCGTATAACTTTTTCATAGCTTCTGGGATCACAATTTTCGATCTATCGACTTTCGGACGCTTCTCGAAGCCAAACAGCGACAGAAGGTTTTTCTCAATTTGGACTAGTGTTTGAGGATCAGGCTTATTACCTCTGTTACTATCTCTCTCTATGCTATCACTTAACTCTATATTATTACTGTCTAAAGATGAGGAATCTAACAGAGATGACGATGATGATGATGAAGATGATGATGATACTGATGAAGAAGACTTGACTTCCTCGGTGCTAGCGACTTGTTGAACTCTGTTGAATGTCGCCAGCACCGCGAGGACAAAAAGCCACGCGCGCATGATCGTGTGCAATTCTGGAATAAATGTAAAGAAAATAAACTAAAATTTAGTAAGTTTTAATAAAATTAAATCTCGAATCGATAAAAAAATATCAAACACATATGCAAAAGAAGTTGTTTATTGAACGCAAGTGTCTGCTGATGTATATAAAAGGCAAAGAGAGAAGTAAACAACAATATTAAAATGCGGCCTTAATAAATATGTAATTCTATAAATAAATTCGACATGATCAACAACTACTCAGCGTCGGTTTTGTTTTCAGATCAACGTGATTTCTCTCGTTGTTACTTTGCTTTGCTGTGGAATTTTTATTCCTTTTTTTTTCTTTTACTTCAACTTAAGCTTTAATTCTCTTGAACGAATTAGCGAATTCATTAGTTGTGATTAAATTCTTATTAATTAATAACATTTATTACGCAATAAAATGTATAATTGTTTATAACTTTACTTTTTTGATCTTTTTGATCAAAGGAAATGTTCATAGACATGAAGACGCTTTTAAGAATTATTTCGAAATTAATGATAAGCAATTAATTAATTTCACGTGAAACAGCCCCACCACAATCTTCATAATCTCGCTTTGAAATGAACTTCAATTGTGGTTTTTATTTTATATTTAACCACATCACAACAACGCGTTTTGTATTCATTGTTTTAAATGATTTAAAGCATCTTCAATTTCATTGTTGTCAAGTGACATTTAAAGGATGAAACTACCTGTTTAAGTCGCTTTATGATCAGGGTTTTCATAATCACACGTGAGATGAACTTTTGCAAAATGAACCTCAACCGAAATACCTGAGGAATGGTCGGCAAAGTCCGGATAAACTGCAGGAGACAACTTGAGATCTTCGTCATATTCTTTTTCTTCTTGACATTCTAATCGAGATCGTTTTCAAGTCATGGTTTTTTCCTTCTTCTGGTTGGAATAATTTTGTTCTTATTTCTACCACCTATGGGTTGTTAAGTGTTTTAAGGAAAGTTGGATTCTCCTGAACACAATAAAACTTCTTTTTGTTTCAAGTGCCTGATCCTTTGTCTTGTTTTATGAGTAGGAATTATTGAATCTCTTTTTTCTTTTTTTTTCTCTACCTCAACACTTGTCTTAACTTCTACAGTTGAAGTTGCAAAGATTTACATATTTTTAGCAGTCCACAGATTGATTAATTAAATGAATATTTTATTTATTCAGAATATTCAAGTAAACAAATAAATAAAAGAAAATAAAATTGAAACACGATCAAGAACTCTAAACATGATCAGATCATTCCAGTTAAGATAATTTGATAGTTTTTAATTTGATCCGTCTTTTATCCATGTCACTTCAATTTGATTGATTTCGATGAAGCTTCGTGGCTTCTATTTAGATGTTATTTAGATAATATTTGACTATCTATTTGCTTAAAGTAGAAATGAAATGAAGGAAAGATATCTTCAATTCATAATCGTTTACCGTTGGAAACAAGCACTTAACAAGGAATAAATAAAATGACTGTTCTAGAAGTTGGATAAATACGTCATTAGACATCTGTTGAACCTCACTCAAGCTCTGTTTATTTTTCTCTTAATTCCACTGAAAACTCACCAACAAGAAGACAAAAAAAAGAGAAGTAAAATGAAATATGTTTCGGCAATTTCATTGTGATCAAACACGCAGTGAGGCGCTCAAAGCAACACGGGAAATTAAATATGAAAAATAAACTTCTTTGACTTTGGTAAAAGGATCCAAATTACCTAGATCCCTACCTCTCTCTCTTCTCTTCACTGATCCTAGATCCTTATCGTCATTCTTCACAATTGGGTGTGTTCGTTCATTTTATTTTTTATAAAGGAAATGAGCAATTTACGAATGCAGTTAACAAGACAAATTCTTTCTTATTCGTTTTTATCTATTTTGAGATCATTCAGTTTTTTTTTTATTTTTAAGACAGAGAGTTGAGCGCAAAAATATCAATTTCTAAGAATTGACAACGTGTGCATAAAGGTAAAAATATTTTAGCACTTCTTTAAAACAGTAAAAATGCCAAACATAATCTTTTTAATTCAAATTGTTTATCTTTCGACTTACTTTATGGGTGATGAGACTTAACTTAAATTTTCCAGGAATAATAAAAGAATTCTCATGATCCTTGTTTGCTTAATGCATGAAATAAGCAGTTCTGTGGCGCCCCAGAAAAGAAAATCTTTGGAGTTAAGGTACTTGCGAGTCAGTTAAATGAAGACGAACAAGAAATAAGAGTCTTATTGTCCCACCAAAGATATGATTGCAACAAGTCTTCCATTATTGCAAACTGTCATAAAAAAATGCGATGCATGTGTCGCCTTGCAAGTCGTAAAACTTAAGTCAAACACGACCTGTATATGTAACACTCATAGGTCTTGACACTTTTAAAACTTAAATTATGTCTCCGCAAAGTTTTATTTTATTTTTTGAAGCAAAAGTTAAATTGCTTTGATGATAGAAACAAAATTTCATATTTGTTCAAGTTTCAGTTGATCAAATGAAGAAGCGACGCTAATTAGACCTTAAAATATTCCACGCAGTTCAACATATTTATTCAAATGAAATAAGTTCAGAAAATGAGACGAGTGAAGGTGTTCGATTGCTTCTTATTTTTTGCATCTGTTAATTTAATTATTTCGATAGAATTTCTGCGTCTTTTATGAGAAACTATTCGAATAATAAAAATATAAATTTTCAGAAATTTTCACTAACCTCGTGTAAAATGTGAACGAGAAGTTCGTTTTAATCCAAATTTTCTTCGAAATCGATATGTAATGTATTTAAAATAACTTGTGTAATCGCTTTTTTGTTGCTTTATTCTTGTTTCTAAGCACCACATTTATTTGCTTTAATGTTGTCTTAATTTTTTCTTCTTTCATAATTTTCTTTTCATAATTTTTTCTTAATTTCTTTCTTTCTCTTCAAATATTTAATTTGAAAGATGTTTTTCTTGTTTTCACCGAATACGAATTTCCTCCGATTAGCTATCAAAATATTTTTGTTTGAATTACTTCTCTCAATACAAAAATAATAAAAAATATTGAAGCCGTTTATCGACACACAACAACATTCGACCAAATCACAAAATGAACTAAAATTAGCATTAAAAATTATTATGCTTTATGCTTTTTGTTAACAAATACTATAATCACGAACCATCACATGCAAGGGAAGATGGACTACAACGACATCGGCAACAACGAACCCGAAAATGAAGAAAAAGTTTCAAACTCTTGAGAGAAAGAAAATCTTCACGAGAAGTTTAAAATAGAAAAAAAGGAAAGACAAAAAAATAAAGGCGATGAGCAAAGGAAAAGGAACAAAGAAACATCTAATTATGTAGTTATATGAAATAGTAAAAGCATCCAAAAATGTTTCACTCGTGGAATAAAAACAATAAAAGAGAAATGTAAGCTTCCGAACGCACTAACACCATCAATATTTTGTCCCTTTTTGCCTGCTCAATGATCGCCTTTTTTCTCTCCCCATAAGCACGATGGCATAAAAATGAATAAACAGCACAAAAAAAAAACAAAACTTTATTCCATAATTAATGATTGCAAGTATTAATGACTGTTTCAGGTTAAAGATTATTAACGGTCACTTTATTTATTCTTCATCTTCTTCTTGATGAGGTTACGGATGAAAGAAACACGGTTGTTGTTTTAAGAACCTTTTTTTTTAATTTTCTCACACAGAAGAATATCGAGAATGAACTAACTAAGCTCTTGATTCGATTTAAGAACGTAAAGGATAAGACACAACACAACTGAGACCCCTCCCCATTCACTGTTTTCTTTTCATATAGCAACAATATTCTACATACAACAAAACCACCAAATTCTGAGCTCATAACCAATCAGAGGAACGAACGTATGATCACAATCGTTCTTTTTTTATGCCGTTTCATGTTCTTAAAGTTCATTCCACAATTGTATTTTATTTTCGTTTTGTTTTGTACACAATCAGGGCAGCCACAACGTAGCATTATAAAAACCAACAAATACTTTTTCTTATTTATTTCTTTCTCTTCGGTATGTTCGCTTTTTCTTTTATTATTATTATTACTGTTTCTTTTTTTGTGCTTTTGAGGGGCACGATCTCGATATTTGAGCATCATGAGGGACGACAACAGCACGGTTGGATTGCATAAGAGAGAGTGAGCTCTCTGTAACTAACACGTTTTATGGGATTTCAGCATGATCCACGATATACATAATCAGCCAATGATCGAACTTTTCTCGTTTTCCAAGCACTCGATTCACATTGTGGGCACGAATTGGTGACGAAGTTTTCATCTAATACCAAAAAAAAAAAATTTCGAAGCCAACTGATTAAACATTGTGAATAAAAGAAACAAATATTTCTTTATTTTTTTTGACGATCGCTAATCAGATGCAAGCATTCCATGAATAAATTATACATCAACCAACAGTCAGTCATTGTGTGTAAGTGAGCGGTTGATGTCTGTTCACGATGAGAAGACTAAGCCTTCCGCAATTCCATTATAGCAACAAGGTCATTCATATGATGTGCTTTTTTATGAAGCCATTCAACTAGACGTTTCGACTCCAGCGCTCAATCATCGCTACTCGGAACGAGACTTTATTACATTTCTTCTTGCTCGCTAGCCTTCTTTTTCTCTCTCTCTCTCTTTTTCTTCACTCATTGTATTAATTACAGTAATGTGACTGCTTAAAGGCACCGCATAAATAAAAAAGAAGACTCAAAGATTATTGGCTTCCAGTTTCGACCAAAAAAAACAATATCAAACATCATTTTGTCTTGTATATCTACTTTAAATTTCATACATTTATGTTTCGCGTCACACTCTTCTTAACTTCAAGTAACTTGATATTTTCCCTTTGATCTTTATTGAATAAAAAAAATTAAAAACGAGAAGCGAAAAAAAATTCGTCCGACAAAGGGGAAAAAAAAGTAAAATAAAATAATTCATTTAAGCATCAGCAATTCAGAGTACATGAGAAGCTTCTGCAATAAAAAAGAAAGAGATTCGATGCGACATGTAACTTACATGTAAAGTCTTTCATGATGTTACATCTCGAATGAAAATGAGATTCATTAGCTCGTATTAATGTCCGTGAGACTTTAAAAGAATTGCGGTAATTTGATATTCCAATTTTAAAACAAAAGACAGTTTAATGAAGGTTAATAAAGACAAAATTGCTTGCTTTGGTAAATAAATAAAAACTGAGGAAAAAGTTTTTTTTCGTTTTCAAGAGGAAACGAAATGCAGTTAAAAAGTTCACCTTTCGAGAACTGAATTAAAGGGCACGTTTAACACGTGACAATTATTGGATGTTCTTGAAGTCTGCTTAACAGAAGCAGTAACAAACAATGAATAACAACTCAATAATATCAATTTGAAAGCATTTCAAAAGGCTCATCAATAACAAAAGAAGATTTTCTTTCTCTTCTTACATTCAATATACTTACGAGAGAATAAGAAAGACTTAACAACAAGTAAGATTACGAGTTTTTAGAAGTAAAGAAGATCTTTCTTTTTTCAAAAACTTGAACAGTAACAATAGACGACTTAAAACATGTCAGAGGTCATTGTAAGTAGACATCTCCCTGTCTCATATAATGAACATCTTCGTGAGTGTTTGTGGTGATCATTTTTACCAGACAGCTTGGCTCCAGCAATTGTAAAACTTCGTATTGAAATGTATAAAAGAAATGAGATGGTTTGGGTATGAATGTTAAGCAGCGTAACGAAAAAGATCTTATGATGATGCTTTCCTTCCTTTTACTGTTCATCGACGACGAAAGAAGAAGATGCGAAAAAAAATAAAAAGTTGCTGCTGTTGCTTCTGCTGCCTTGTAGCCTCACAGCACACATGCTCGCACAAAAGAGCGACAAGCATCAAATGACATTCGACTGTTTACGGCATACATTTGAATAATGTGGAAGAAAGAGCTTTGAATATTAATAACGGCAAATCAAAGTAGTTTCGTGATTCGTTTTCAACTTTTCAGGTTTTTCTCCCCTGCCTTTGCCGACTCATTTCAATTTATAGTCATACGAAACAATAATGATGTAAAATTGAAGAGAAAAAAAAACAGATACTTTTATGCGATTTCAAATCGAGAACGATAAATTTAACTTTTAATTGCCTGACAACGTTTCGCTGACATGCTGTAGATGCTGCAACTTTTTTTTTTCATCTCTTTTCATACGATAATTCTGAGGAGATCTTTTTTTTATTTTTGCTTCGTTCGAGGCTCGGCTCATACATATTTGCATACGCAATTTTAATATTTTTCTCTTTTATTACTAAAACTGAAGATGAAATGAAGTGGTGAAGACACAGAGGTGTAATTGTTGAAGCTCACCTTTCGCTAAATATCGAATAAACTTATTTCCAACAAGTATTAATTCTCGCGTTAACAACAAGAGAAAATTTTCAAATCTATGCACGATTCGCTTCTTCCTCAACCAAGCCATGTGTTCAATCTCTTGTTACATAAACTAAATACAGAAAAAATTATTCTTTTATTATTAATTTGCAACAATTTCAAGTCTAGTCTGATGTTTGAAGATTCTGGAAGGCTTTTCTCACTCGCGTTTAACCTTTTGAATTTTCAAACATAGATAAGTTTCTTGTTTTCTGCAGTTAGAGTAAATATAATTTTTAATAACATGCGAATATGGGATGAGTTCAATGATTACGTCACAGGTGATGTTAATTTACAATTATGCATGCATATATATTGCTTAATGTTTTTATTTTTAAATATTTTCTTATATAAGAGCTTCGAATCAAATCAAAAGAGTATCTCTGATGTTTTGACCTTAAAACCATGACCTGATTAATGAACCAGCCCCACCAAGCAAGCTATTTGGAAGTAAAATAATACTTGGACTTTGAAACTCTGTTCAGTTGCTTACAGTGAAAGGAAGCAAAATAAGAAATAAATAAATAAATAAATAATTCCGAATGTAACAAAAAGAAACAAAAATACTTTGTGTAAATTAAAAACAAAACAACAGTTACCGCGATGCGTGAACGTTGTTTACTTTGCTTAAATTTAAATTCAGCTGATTGAAAGCTAAATGACTAACACGATGTCTTTTAACATCGTTCTAAGTTATACAACAAACAATTTAACTGAAAAGAAATTTAAAATATTGCTTCTTCAAGTGTTAAACATTGAAAAGCATTTAAATGATGAACAAGAAATGAAATGGTAACGAAAAAAAGAAAAAAAGTATACAAACGCCATCAGGTCATGATCTCAAAATAGACACGCAACAGAAGGAATCAACAACTACTTTAAAATTATGATTTCCTTTTGAATAAATTTATGATCAACTTTTTTCCCCACTCGTCGATGAAAACATTGAAAAAGAAGTTTCTTCGTTAGATAAAGCAATTAGAAGCGAAGTTTCTTTTTCTTTAACTTTTCTCTCGATTATAAAATAAACAATTAGTCAAAATTTATAAGCATATTAATTAACCAGGGCTGACTTTAACGGCAGTTAACATGAAGTACATCGAGGATAAAAGAAATTTCTTGGGAACTTCAAACTCATCTTCGTTGTTTAAACTATTTTTCTTTTCTCATTCGAAAGAGAAAATGAAAACAAGTAATTTGAGAATGATTTTAATTACTTTTAATTGGTGATTAGTAAAGAAGATGATCACATAGAAGTGGAAAATTTTATCCAGGCTTTTCTACTTTTTTCTTTCCTTCATCTTCTGACAAACAAAGAATTGAAATGAACATAAAACATTGACTTTCGAAAGATTTTGTAATTTAGGATTCGTAACCACGTGCAGAGTTGCTCGGGGTTTTTCCTTTCAATTTAAGTTTACTGTACTCAATCGTCACATTGCAGTAGGAAGTATTACGAAGACGATTATTTTGTGAATAAACAAAAGTACAACACCTTAAACAATAAAAATTCAAATCCCTAACTACGCTAAGAAAACAGTCAACAAACATTTGTTGGGATGTTGCTGAAATCCTTCATGACTAATAAAACAATTGTATTATGAATTAAATCGGAATTTCCTGTCGTTAAATATTGAAGCCTAAGATTCATGTTTTCTGTGAATGAACTTAGCCAACTAACCAGCAGTTGGATGGCTATAAAAGCCCAAATTTATTATTAAAGAAACTAGTAAAACGACTTGTTTACTTTCACACCTTTTTTCCTAAGAACAACAATCTTGTCTCCCTTCTGACAAGATTTTTGTACTTTGGAAATCAACCGTAAATGATGTGTCGCATTGAAATCTAAAATAATGTCTTAATGTCAATTTTAGTTAGCTTAATCTATGATTAGCCCACAAAGAGAAGAAAACTCTTTTTTTTCTTTACTCAATGCTTGAGCAAGTTCTAGAAAAGATTTTTGCAAACCTGTTTGAGAATAGACCATACTCTTTATGCGTGTCGTGAAGCTTATGTAAAACTGCGAATATTAATTTCTGCTCCTTCTCGACAACGAAAGCAGAATAATTTATATTTTTTTTAAATAAAAAGTTTTATAGGAAATCACGAAATGTTTTGGTGAAATTAATTTTCCTTTTTTACTAGGGTTCGTCTTTATTTTTATTGAAGCATGTCCCGCATACAATTGATGAACAACTTTCTTAAACACGCCTTAAAATACTTTTTTTAATTTCCATCATGATTCTGAAGCAGCAACAAAAAAAATATCTAGGAAAAATTCTCAATTTATGTCTGCATCTTGTTGTTACATTTTTGCAACATTGTTGTTCATTAATGTCGTTGTAAAATGAACTGGATTTATCTTAAATTCAATGTTTAACGGAGATGAACGTAAGTAAGAAAATATAAAACATATATAAAAAAACGATTATAAGAAATAACTAACTTTACGATCATCACGAAATATTTCCATTTAAAATATTTTTTTATCGTACGATGAATTTTTTTGTGTATTTATGAAATGTTAAAAGCGACAGAGAGGCTGAAAGAAAAACTCTCTCGCGGTGTTGAGGCGGCCAAGACCAGTAGCACATAAAGAAGAATCAACATTTAACGATCTTTAAGTTGAGTAAACACATGAGAAATCCCAATATTAATTAATTAAATAATTTCTTTTTGTCATTTACTCGTTTCTGTCCGATCGTCTTATTTGCCTTCCAATATCGTCATTGTCTCTTTACATTTTATAAGTCTTTTTTTTCGTTTGCTTCTTTTAACTTCTTCCCCAACTGTTAAAAGTATGTTCGAGATTGGAATGAACGGAAAAAAAAAATCTTTGAATCAGAGAGCGATAAGAAGACGATCGAGTTTCAATTTTTTTTTTCGCTTGAGAGTTGTCTACCGAAGGCAGAAGAAACGAGATTTAACTTGATCTGAATTTTTTCATGAAACATTTTTGGAATGAGATTGGAGCGGAACTTATTTTCTTGAAAATATTTAAGTCGCATGTCGACTGCTTTCAATTGGAAAGAGTAACAATCGATACATGAGTCGATGAATCTCGATTACCTAAGCTTTTCACCGCATTGTAAAAGCTTTCAATTAAAGTCAGTCAATTAAATTAAACCAGGATGTGGATTTTCTTCACAGCCGACAATGTAATATCTGATTCTTTTATTTTATTATAAGGTTATTATTTCTTCATCACATCTTGCAGAAAACAAAAACCCGTTTGATCACATTCTTTGTGACGTATTTTAGAAGGAAAAAAGAATACAAATCTTTTATTGGTCGCTGATTTATGACATTCAGCACCTGGCTGGTGAACAAACGAAAGAAGAAACAACAAAACAAACGTGAGCGGGCAAGACACAATGTCTTCGCAGAGGGTACAATTAATAACCCAAGTCGCGATTGCGATGACCATCGGGTCGTTTAATAAAATAATTCTAGCAGCGATGTTTCTTCTTGTATTCTTCGTAGAATTCGCAGGTTTTTTTTGTTATGTAGATTTAATAATAATGATAATAACTTGCTAAGAATTCTATTAATACGCTCATTATTTAAATTGATATCTTAAGTATTTTTGAAGTTGATGTGAATCGTCTGTCTATTGGATTTGTCTGCAAACGACATCAACTTCACGATCACTCTAAAAAGTAGAAATCACGTGAATTTTAAAGTAATGTAAACTGAACTCGAGCACATTCATTATTTATTGGAACATTTCATATAAATCTAGATTTTTATTTTTAGTATCGCATATTTTACGCAAATGTCGATGATATATTCGTATGCACTCGATAGACCTCAACAATGACAACAACCGTGTCAGATATCTGATTCATTTTTCAATTAAGGTGTTTGTTATGCAAATAATGCAATTAAAGTGAATAAAAATTTATCGCTCTCTTTTCATATTTCGATTCCGTCAAATCAAAACATAAAAGAAAAATGAATTGGATAATTTATATTACAAAAGTTTGTTTTTCTTTTGTCTCGTTTAAAATTTATTTGATGACTGATCGATTGTGACATGAATCAACTAAACTTGGATTAGAATATTCATTTAATAAAACAAACTTTATTCCAATTGCTTTGTTTCTCATGAAATCGAAAAGGTGCGATTGAACTCGCTGTGCAAATAAAAATGACTCAAATTGCACATTCGAGAAAAATTACAATGAAAAGCAATTGAGAAAGAGTCGCCCACACTTACTCAACGACGTTGTTCATCTGAAGTAACTTTAAACGTCTCGCTGCATTTCACTTTTGAAATATAATTTTCAATGATATCTACCGAACTTCACTCGCTTGCTTATTTTATTTCGTTTCGTTGTAAATAACTTCGAACTGTTAAATTTATTTAAATTCCTTAAAGTTGTAACTTTTTTTCTTTTCTTTTTCTTCTCAGACCTCTTAAAAAAATGATAACAAGCGAGAAGAACTACAAACAGCTTTCGGGGTTGTCGAAAGATTAAGTCACACCTCAAAAATATTAAACATTTTTTTATTCCAATTATTTCAGAATATATTCGCAAAGATCTTACGTCAATTGCAACAAATCCCTTTAAGAAACTGAATGCAAAAAGCAAACCATTGCTTGTAAATAAATAAAATGAATTAAAAGATTTTTGTATGTTTTTTTTCCTCCCAACTTTTAATTTTCTTTTAAACTGACTTGTTCACTTTTTATTATCATTTTCATGATCGTGACAAGAATGTATAGAAACAATGCTTCTCGACTTTTGTTCAGCGATCGCTGCTGTTGACTTCGGTAAGAGAATGAATGTATCTGGAAGACATTGATTCTTTATGTCATTTATTGGGTAATTAAAAGTGACTTTGGGCATTGATATGCGGTTGGAAACTTTATGTTTCTTGTCTGAAGTGAAGGTTTTCCACTGACTGAACATTCCTTATGCTGCTTTGCTATTAGCACGCGCATCTTGTTAGCGATGAAGATGCTATTTCAACTTCTTGTTGAAATATTTCCAACAGGTTCTTTGCTTTTAAAAAAGTTATCAATGGAATAATGTTGTTGATGGTTTTCGTACCAATTTCATTGCAAATGCGCATTTTAAAAACCACTTTAGAGGTTTAAATTGAAAAAAAGAGAAAAAAAATAAAAGCACAGAATGCACTCAACAACTAACAACTGGATAAAGGAAAAAGAAAACCAATGAACAAGAGAAGTGGATGGTTGAAATATTCTTTGACTGATGGATGTGGCATCTTTTATTCAATGCGAAATTAAAGCAATATAAACTCAACTTGTTCTCTTTCTTTTGTTTAAATCGTTTACGCTTCGTACTGACTCGCGTAACGAAGTGGCCGCAAAGGAAATGTGAAATTTTTACAACACCTGATGTGGATATTTATTTCAGTTGAAAATATTTGTTACAATTTTTCTCGTAAGAATACCAAAGTATCTCAAGTCTCATTTTGGAACATTTATCCTCTTAAAATTGGATTGAAATACAATGAAGATTGAACAATAAGTCAAATAAAAGCACACCGAAAAGGCAGCAAAACGAAGAAGGAGAAAACCATCGAAAGTTAAACAACAACATCATCATTAAACATACAAAAGGATGAATTGATTCGCTTCTCATGAAGCTGTTTTATGAATGCTTCTTTAGAGAGATCATCTCGATGAAGTGAAGTGTATTGTGAGTCCATTAGCGAGACAATTGCATTGCGTTCGTTCCGCAACGGAATTGATTTGATGGTCAATTTTAAGGTTGCTTAAAATTATTTTTTCCTTTTCTCTTTATAAGTCGCAATATTTGCAAGAATCAATTTTTGAAGGAATTAAAAGTTCTTCAGTGTTTGCAACTTCTTCGAAAGGATATTTTCTCATAAATAATTCTTTTAATTTATGAACAAAGACAATATCAAAAAGCTTTCTTCTTAAGTCTATTACCCAGGCGCTCTTCTTTCCTTTAAGAACGCATGACTAAACTTTTAATTGAAAAATAAACACGTTATGCATCTCTCATGATACGCATTTGTTAGAGCACTCAATCTTCCCGTTCTCTCTCTTTCTGTATCGTATTCCCGATGCTTTATGCACATGATCGAGAAGGAAAAAGAAACTTTTTTCTTTCCTCTTCAAAAATTAATGTTTGGAGTGTGGATGATATAAAAATTATAAAGAACGAACATCTTTAATAACTCATTGTACATGTTTTAATTATTACTTAATAAAAGCTTACCTTTTTATTTTAAATTGCTATTCTTCGAGTAAAATTGTAAACTTTAATGTTAAATGTTTAATAATAAACACAACAAAGTTGATTGCGATTGATAGAAATTATTCGAATTCTTCTATTTCGTTGTTCAATTTGTCTTTCAATATTTAATTATTTTTTATTTCTATAATAGTGTAAAGTGAATTGATGTTTCGATTAGGTCGGCACGTTATTTGAGGGCCAGTAAAGCGTGAGAGCTTCAAGTGTTATTTGTCGAAGGCTCTTCCACTCTTGTATCATTAAACACACAACACTCTTCTCTCGATGTCTTCTTTTAAGCCTATGCCGCTATTCACTTCTAAATCTGATAATGCGAGACGCTGTTTATGAGACTTTTTCACTTTGAAATCGTTTCTTTATTTTATATTTTGTTTTTGTCCTCGAGTGACCCACTAACTGACTCGTATTACACTGTCCAAAGTGAGTGTAAGAAATTATATCGTTGTGTCATTACCACATTCTACTTCTCTCCTCTTTTTTTTTTATTATTTTTGTTCACTTCTCACTCTCCATCCGTGATTTTTTTAAACTTTTTTTTTGTTGCAAAAGAAAAAGAATTGATTATCATCAATGACAGATACTTTCATTGACGCCACTTGTTGTCGAGCTTTCTACTCTCGTTCTCTTTTGCGAAATTCATCAAAGAAGTAAACAAATCTACTTCATCAACTGATAGTTTGTGATCTTTTTGAGCTTATAAAGTTTCTTTAATTTCCGGAAATAACAATTATTTCTGTCGCGAATTACAATTCCTTGCTGTTGCTTCAGATATTTATCTTTCTTTTCACCAAACTGTTTTACACACAAAAAATACTCGTTGCATTGCATTAAAGGAGTCAACATTTTCTGAAGCTTTAATGTTTCTTCTTGGCTTCTTATTGAATGCAAACATCTCATGAAGTTTCTTCGTGTTTTCAACTACATACAGTAGGACGTTGTGCACTTGTTCACTTGTCCCAACCGACGGCTAAAACTTCAAGTAGCTCAAAAAGCTTCTGTTATCAAAGCGATTGTTTATGTCGCAAATGCTATAAATAATTTTTTTCTCTTCAACTTTCAAGTACATGTTTGTTGTTGCTGTTGCTGCTGTTGCCATTTTCAATTACATAAACAACAATCAGGCTCATATACATTTCTTTTATCATTTTTTAATCAATTTAAATATGAGAAAACATTTCATTTATGTAGTTTATTTATTTATTTATTTATTTATATTTTTTTTCGCCTTGAAGATTTTTCTTTCTCATCGAGTTTAAAGGAAAAGTCGTTTTGAAGCAGTAAAAATATTTAAATTGTTAAATCGTTTCACTTTTCTCTTCTCTCATTCACTCAGCGAAATATTTTTTTAGTGCTTTTGAAGAAATATTTTTCTTAAACGTTTCACGTTGTCACAAGCATTGAAATTTTTATTCGCCTTCACCGGGAAGACAATTGTCGATTGTCATGTGGAAGTGTCGTGCGTGACGTTTTAATTACACTGCTGCGATTAATTTATCAAACAACTAATCTAATTTACACTTTTCACACTGCTTTATTTTTCACTTGCTACCAAAAAGCTGGTTTTAAGTGATCATTAACTGGCTACGATTGCCTACAAATTGACATTAAATTATCGGCTATCAGATATAATCGTAGCCGTTCGAATTTATATCTTTTATTTTTTTCCCCCGTCTCAAATCTCAAATCTGCACATTGCAGCAGAGAAACTTCACTTTTATTAAACTTTTTAATGATCTTTTGCTTTCCTTCTCCACTACTCTGTTTTGTTCTTCAAAAATAAATTTTATATTTTTTTTTACAAAAGATGGGCACAAAAAAATAATAAAAAAAACTTTAAGAATATCGTTTTTGTATCTTTGATGCTCAGCGATCAACTCTCTACTGTTTTTTTAAATCTATCATTTAATAAAGTTGGTGGATTTAAAAAAATGAAAACTACAGAAACTCTCGCGTATGTATAAAGTTTTAATGAAACAAAAACTTGTATAAAAGCATTGGAGGCGCTTTTAAGAGAGTCGTCGTGCTACAAGTAATCAAGTAAAGAAAATATGTATTATAATATATATGAAACAAGCGCGAGCTTCCACAACACTCGCATATTCCGTTCGTGTATGTTTCAGCTTGACTTTTGTAATATAGTTGTAGATATCTCGAATGTATCTGTGAATTATTTTTTTCTTTCTTTTTTTTTTCGCTCAGCGATTGAGATTTTTTCCTTCATCGTCTTTTATAAATATGAATTTTTGACACACAAACGAAACGGAAGGCGAGTAGACGCAAAAGCAACTACTTGAATGCAGAGGAATGTAGCAGCATCAACTAGTGATGAAGCTTTAAGTTCTCTCAGAATTCATACTCAACTACTGCTGATAACACTGTCATGTCGACATTATTTACATTAAATGTATTTCATTTAAGACTTTGCATAAGAACGAGAGAAAATAAGTTGGGTTTAAATATACATTTGGAATCGCGCGGTTTATTTCTTCTGTTGTGAATGTATGGTAATAAGTATGAATTTACATTTTTCTTCTTCACAAAAACTGGACACACAAAGCTCCGCTCGACTCACATTCCAGAAAGAAATATTTATCAAACGTTATTAATTTTTATCTCTTCTTTGGATTCTTTTTTTTAATGAGAGAAAGAGAGACAATTGCTTACTGGTTTATAAGAAATCAGAAATATTTAAACAACAAAGTTTGAGATTGCAATTTGTTGATAAAATTTCAGTTTAAAATTTTTCGATTTTTTGAAGGTTTAAAGTTTCACCCATCAATGTTTGTGGTTCTTAGATCTTTCGATAAAGAAATCTAAAACATTAGAAGAACAATCGAAAGCTTAGAAATGCGAAACAAGTTTTAAAGCTACGTCAACACAATCAGCACAGACGAATAAAAGAAAATCTTTCTTTCAAAAGCTCAACCTTGAGATTTACAATGAAAAGAGTGTCAAAAATGGAAATTAAGGTTAAGAGAGATTCGATGTGTGATGATTAATGTGTTGTTTTCAAAAACGCGTAAGAGAAGTAGCTAAAGAGAAAGGAACTGTTAGCAGCTTTGACTTGATACACAAAAAAAAGGCGATTTTATAATGCCTTGAGCTTGGCGAACAACAGAAGAAAAAAAACATGAAATGAAATTCGAAATTTTTTTGTTGATCTTACGAAACAGTGAAAGAAATCTCTTTCATTTGGTTTTCGCTTACATTGTCGACTCGTCGAGAGGAGAAGTAAAATTATGACATTACGGTTAGGCAACTTTTTGTCATAAATTTCACTGATGTGCATAAAGAAATTTAATATTCGCAAAGTGGATAAATATTATTTTTCAGTTCCCATTTGACTCGACTTTGAAGTCAATGGAAGAAGTTATCAAAGAGATTTGACGTCTCAAATCATGGATCTGTATGATGTTAAATACTTTTTATAATCATTTTCAATAATGCAGATTTAAAAGATCATCTTTGATCATTCATTAGTAAATGCGCATATTGCAAACAACTTCAACTTAAACCTCTTCAAACTCACTGTGAATTGCCAAACTACAAATGTTTGAATTGGGTAAGTGAGCTTCAAAAAAAAATTATCGTCTCAAACTGACATTGAATAAATAACCAAACAGCAAATGTTACATACGAAGACTTTAAAACTTTTTTGACGAGACACTTTGGTGCCTGCTGTAAGATGAGTATTTTTATTTGATGTCATTTAAAGTTTGTTTTTTTTTGTGTTGAGAATTGTTGATAGAAGACGCTTCTTCATGACTAACGAAGCAAATACCAAAAAAACGCTACTAGAAGTACGTGACAAACTTTCAGACAAATTTATTTCTTCTTTAAGATACAACACAATTTGAATAATTTTTTTATTGTGCTAAAATTAAAATATTTTGATCGCCCATGAAGACACGCAAAACTTGTCTCGTATTTTTATCCAATTAAGATTCTTAGACGATCTCAAGATAATGTTTGCTGAAGTGATTGTCAAGTTATTTTGCATTGATGGTTTTTGTATAAATGACGAACTTTATGATTATTTCCATTATTTATGATTGATATTTTAAGAAGATTAACTCCCACCTGATTTGCTGAATTATAAATATCTAAGAAGTGACAAGTCTCGAGACCAAATCTTTTCTAGAAATCTTTAAGATCACTTTACACTCTTGTAGTCACGTTCCTTAAATAATAAAATCATTTTCATATCTGCTAAAACTTGTCTTTTGAATCTTTCCTCATTAGCATGTGCATTTGAAATCATGAAAAGCATTTTAATCGCATTATCTCCTTGGTTCTGTCTGGTTTGCAGCATTTAAAAGTGTTTAATTGAATGTAATTTAAGATCTAAGAAAAGCTTTAGCTGAAAGCAAGTTAATTAATAAAACTAAAATCTTTTCCTAGAAATCGTTAAAAGCAACATTTGTTTGCTTGCTTTTATTTCTTATTTTGCAAGTAATCTTAGTCAATGACCATCTATTAGTAACATCACATTGAGTATGATGCAACAAAATGAAAAATTACTGCCATTTCTATTAAGGACTTAGATCAATACGTTTCATTGAAGCTTTTCTTATTAAAAATGAAATAAAAATCCTTGCTTTAAGTGTTTGTAGCGCTAAGTAAACAAAGCAATTTGTCACTTTTAACTGCAATGCAAATTGTTTATAAAAAAGTCTTTATAAGACCTCCGACCTAAAACGCAATCATCTTCAAAGTTCTGATGTGAGTGTACGTGAAGTAAGATCAGCGACTAACTGAGTCTCTAATGAGTTTCTTGCTTTTAAAAAAATGAGTTTCTTCTCTCGTGAATCGAGGCGAAGGATTTATTAGGGTCATGTATGCTTCATCATGACGTCAATTAATTTCGGAAGAACCTTATTATGATAATCACAAGGATAACCATATTGAATATCTGAATGGATTTAAAATTGAAATATTTTCATTGTCAGTGTCAAATACGTTTGAAAGTTTTATTTATGATGCGTTTTCAATAAAATAAAAATCATTTAAAAACTTTGAAAATCTTCAATTCTGTATTTCTGTGTTCTGAATCTCAAAAACTCTAAAAACTGTCCCCTCATTTTTTTCTTCTTTCGCGATTACTCTGTAACAACGACGTCAATTAGTCTAGCTTTAACCAATTTAAACTGAATCAGCCTGGTCATGCATGCCCGGAAGTTTCGATGTGTGAGTTTATAATTAATTCTCATGTTTATGTTCCGTCTTATCACAACAAATTAAAAAATAAATTCATTCGCCAATTCCGCATTAAAAACTCTTTTTTTTTTGTCGACGACGAATCGTCTGAAAAATTTATTCATCATAAGATTCTTTGCTTAAACTTACCGTGTTTTCCACAAATGATTTAATCAGTTTATTGATATAATAAGAAATACATCAACATGTTTACTCCATAACAGATCTTTTAAAAATCGCTGAACTGATGACAATTGTTGTGACTTAGATTTATAGCTTTATTGAATTAATGGGGTTCGGTTCTAGATAAGGCTCAGTGAGCTTCTTGTTTTCCTTCATTCGGCCAAGCATATTCCTAGAGGCTTTAAATCATCACGCACTAATAATTCATTACTTTTCGTTGCAATTATGTTCAAGTCTCGCTTCTTTCTTAAAGTCGACGATCATGTACTAACTTCACATTCCTTTTAATTAATTTTTTTTTCTAAATTATAACTTTCAGTTGTGAACTGAGACTGGAAGTGAGACTTGTCTTTAGAGTGGGTAGAATAACTTCACTCACACTTCTCGGCATCAGATGACACAAAAACCGGATATGAATCAATTAATTTTGTTCGTGATACTCGCGGCTAGATTTATTTGTATTTATATTTTGTTTTCTGCAAAAAGAAAACCTTATGATGATATCACTTTAATTAACTTTCGCTTATTGCGCAAAACGAGAACGGTTGAAGAAATAAACAAAAAAAAAACAAATTTTTAATATTTTTCTGGTCTTGCTTTGATAATGATTTGAACTTAAATGGCTCTCGATCTCGAATGGAACATGGAATAAAACTTAATAATAAAAAAATAACAAAACTTCTCTCATTATGTGCTTGTGAAAAGCGTGCCAGAGATTATTAAATGAGAACGAGAGAATTAAAAGTTTGAAAATTAATATTCTTTTTTTTAATCATTGAATAAATTAGCAAAAATTTTGACCGTGAAATCGCAGCCAGTGAACCTAGATTGATAGCGCATGTGAGTGTAAGACGTGTTTTGTCTTGCTTAGTTACTTAAGAAGTTTATGGATTATGACAGGTGTATTTTAGACATTTTTATCAGCCTTCAAAATGATCGCTTAATTAAGAATTTTTTGAACTTTAAGAATTTATGAAAAAATTATAAATCTGATAAAATGCTTGGAATTTATTTTAATCTCGTAGAAATTTTATTCAATCAAATATAAAGTTTGATCTGAGATTTGCAAATTTAGGCAATAAGTAATCAGACCTTATATTATAATTTTGTCAACGGTATGTCAATGATTTTAATCCTTTTTAATTTTCTTGAATTGTTTACATAGTTTTTCCTGATGAAAATAAAGGGTATGCAACTACTACAAAATGGATAATATTCAAAATGTTACTTTACCGATAAACATTTCTACTGATTACCTCGGAAATAACAAGAAACGATTGACTTTTATTTGTACCTTCCATTAACAACGAATGATATAATCTATTCCTAGAAATCAATCCATGATATCATTAGAATTTAGTGATAATCGATTGTTTTCCTTCAAGTCAAGTCTTAAATTTGCATTTCATAAAATTTTCCAATTTTCTAAGAAAAAAAAAAGACTTTTAAGATACAAACCACAGAGTTGGCAATCCAGTTTCCATGTTATTTTTAGCAGAATTCTTCAATAAAAGATTTCCATTTATTAAAGATTTCAAGAAAGATTCTGAAAAACTCCAACACGTTCCCTATAAGTTATTGTCAAAGTTTTTGTAGACCACACTTGCTTACTTAAATATACAAAATTCCATAAGATGACACTCCTCCATCTTTCCTACAAATCACATCTGCCTCGTTCCAAGTTCACTCATAAATAAAACATAAATATAAGTTTGACTTTCAGTGAATAAATAAATGCAAAATGCTATTTCCTTTCCGCTATTCCATCCGATGGTAAAATTGATTTGCAAGAGATTAGATGAGAAAATGAATTGAATCTATTATGATATCATCATCGTCGATAACAGATTTTGGAATGGAAGTCACAAGGTAATAAATTTAATTTTATCTCTGTTTTCTCATCTTGATTAGTGTACCCATAATCAAATATCCACCTGAAGTGAAACACCTGTTTCGAGGTTGGTTCAGGTCGATCGACGTATCTTCTTTTTCTTTCTGTTCATATCTCTCTCTCCCTCGTTTTTTTTAGTTGCCCAATATGTTTTTTGTTAATTTATATTTACATGCGATACAATAAGAAGAATTTATTTACGCGAAAAAGTGGAAAAGTTGGTTAAGATAAAACAAGAAGATATGAGCGAAACCTTCGAGACATTAAAAAATTCTTTTGCAGACTTAATGTCTAAATATTTCGTTCGTCCAACTCTAATGGCACACATCAAGGAAGGATCGAACTTTTTTATTGAGTATGTTATGAGATAAGCTTTTGTTGATGGCAACAAGCGATTTGACAACTCTTCGAATATATGTCGTCATAAACTTATTAATAGTTCAGTGTTTGGTGGCAGAATCGAAAAGAATAAAAGAAAAAAATATTTCAATAAAGTTGCTGACTCAAAAATTTATTTTATTTATTTTTTATTACTCTAGATATATGAATAAATCTCTCTTGAATTTCAAAGTTTCTTCATCAACAACCTAAGCGAGACGAAGAAGGTTTCAAACTTCATTAATAATGTCTTATGATAATTTTTCCATTTGACTTGTCATGATCATCAGCAGATGAACATCCATGACATTCGTTCCCGTATGTCCAATGATAATTTGATATCGATCACCGCCATGATTTTTTAAGAAATTTTTGTAGAAATTATAAGAATCATTTCTTGAAATAAAGTCATTTAAGACGCGAGTAATGTTTGTCTCAGATTTCATGTCGTCCTTGATAAAATCTGATAAAATTCTTGACCCACCTAAAGCACCTGCAGCATCATTATTTCCATCGACACCATCTGTGCCAGCTGATAATAGTAATAAATCATTTAATGACTGTGTGTTCGCATCATGACAGAGTCTTGTGAAACGTAAAGTTAATTCTTGATTGCGACCCCCAAGACCGTCGCCTGTAACTGTTACGGTAGTTTCACCACCAGAAATTATGCAAATTCCTGGTAAGTCTGCTTTAAGCGCTGCTACTAAGTCATTAAAGAAATTTGAATGAGGCGATAATATTAGTGAAATTTTTGCAATTCTTTCTTGAAATTCTTTTTGGGATAAGGATGAAAAATGCTGAACCGTTACTGCTAATTCAAAGAAAGCTTGACTCACATCGGCAACGTTTCCTTGAACTGCTGATGATAGAAAAACTGGAAATAAATTGAAATGTTTTGCTTCTTTCATTGCTGCTTCAATAGCTATGCGATTATTTCCGATAAGAAAAACGTCGGAGTTTACAATTGGTTCTGATGAAAGATCTTGTTGAATGTTTCCATTCTTTTCAATTATTTTTAATATTGACTTAGGTAGAGAATTGAAAAGATTGTATTTTTCAAGGATTTCTTTTGGCGTGTTTATAGGTTTTTTATACGGAATTGTTGGGCTACTTGCTATCAGATCGAGGGGATCATCAACGATGTCAGATATGATTAATGAAATAATTTTGTGAGTCTTCTTAGCAGTTTGTAAAAGTTTTCCACCCTTGACTTGGGATATCGCGATACGAACAGTATTAATCTCATTAATTGTTGCACCTGCTCTTGAAAGATTCTTTATCAGAGTTGACTTTTCATTGAGTGAAATGGGCTCAATAGGCAGAGGTAACAGTGCTGAGCCTCCACCAGTTATTAAAACAAACAAAATATCATCGTCTGTCAAACTTTGAACTTTCTCTTTGATCTCTTTAGCTGCGTTCAAGGATTTTTCATCAGGTAAATTATCAACTGCTCCTTCTATGATTTTTATATTTGAATTTTCTTTTAAGCTAATCATCTTTGAGGCACCAATAGGAACACTCAAAATTCCTGTAACAAAAAATATGATTAAAAATTTTAACTGTTTTTAAAAATTCAAACCTGATATGAGCTTTTCTTCTAAGACACATTCTAACTCCAAAGCTAAAGCCAAGACGCCTTTACCAAATCCAACTGAAAGATTGCGGGAGAAAATCATGGAATTATTTAATAATTTTTTATCTGTACTTTAAGTGACACAAAATAATGACATGTGACATAATGATAATTTAGCACTTACCAACATGGATTTTTTTCTTTGTTACATCATACTTATTTAAGCTTTTAGAATCGTTAATTTCTATCAAACATTTATTTCCTGCATGTATTAAATTAACAAATTTATTCTTGCTTATTAATTCAACAGGTTTCACTGAATCAACTGATTTGTTGAAAATCCTTTTTAATGTCTCTTCCATGTTTACTTCACTCTTTCTATTGACACAGCGATAAAACAAAGAAAACCTCTTGAGAAATTTATGTTTAAAGAGCATCTTATCATATTGTTTACAAAATATAGAGTTTCACAAGTACCCTGGCCTAAAAAATCAAGAAAACGGTGAATACATCTTTATCGCTTAGTATCTTTGATTTTTAGTTAAAAAAATAGATTCTGGTGGTGTTCTAACAAAGAACACATCAATCACGTGGAGGAAAATCGAAAATCTTAAAGGAAAATTTGTTTTTTTGATTCTATAAATCGCGGAATTTGGAGACTATAAGAAAAAGCTTCGATTGTAGATAATATGGTAGATCTTCGTTAAAAGCTTATTTAAAGCGTCAAATTCCGTTAACTTAAAAAATATTTTTAAATAAGAATATTTCAGAATATTTAGTTCCTTAGTTTCTCGAATTGTTGTTTGTATAATATTTGAACTTAACATTTAAAATTCCTTAAGTATGATACAATTTAAGTACCACTTCGCTCGATGACTCATCAATTAGGTAAATATTCACAAATGGAAAAATATTTTCCTAAATAGTAATAAAAGTATTAAAAATTCGTTGGCGAATTATTCATAACATTTCCTACATCTTGCATAACAATGTAGTAAATAAATTGTTATACATATTAGTTCTCTTGTAGTTTTCATGAACACTTTTTTCTTTTTGTTATGGTCAAGTTCATGCTGATAACTATTGTGGACAATAACGCTAATTAAACATTCAGCATTCCATACACAAAATTTACATGAGTTCTCGAATGCTTTTGATCTTTTTTTTCATAATCGAGGAAAAAAAATCAAGAACTTTTAATCGAATTTATCGACAAAAAAAGTCTATTAAAGTTTTATTACTTTTTTGCAAGAATATTTGAATAGTAGTTTGCACTTGAAGAAAAATAAGCCAAGTGTATCTAGTCATTCAAATATTATAGGAAAAAAAAATGAGTCTCTTGAATAATTTATGTCTACTTTCTCGAAAATCTATCATTTTGATACTTCTTGTCATTTAATGCAAATAAAACAAGTTCGATTTTAAGACAGCAAGAAAAAAAAATTATAACACTATGCTAATTTATTTAATTCATTTATGGAATGTTATGGTCATTCATAAAGTTATTTAATCAGTTTAATTGAAAGGTTTGAAACAAAAAGTCATTTAAAGATGATAAGGGAATGTAATAAATTTGCGGTAAGTACATGTTTAGTGTTTAGTCTGTCACTACAATAATTTAAAGAACTTTCAAGTTATAAAGAAAAAGCGGATATAGAAAAGAGTTTTAAGAGACATAAATTATGAAAGTTTTCTTTAAAAATTTTATTTTTATATTCATGGTCATTGGATTTATAAGTGTAAAAAGTGAAGAAGAAGAAGATCCGCAATTTCTCTTCAAGGATTGTTATAAATGTAAAGAAGAATGTCCAAATAAAAACATATCATTTTACCTTTACACCCGCAATAAGCAAGATGAACCTACAAAACTGGATGTTAGTAAACCAGAAACGATATCAGAAGCAGAATTTTCAAGAGATCGACCTTTGATTGTCATAATTCACGGATTTACAGCAGATCATGATATCACTCCAAATTCGTTTCTTCGACCAGCATTCTTTAAAAAAGATGACTTTAATATCATTTCAGTAGATTACAATAAAATTGCGAAAGCTCCTTGTTATCTAAGTGCAGTGAAAAGTTTACCAACTGTAGCAAATTGCACAGCACAGCTTTTAGATCATTTGATTGATAACAATATTTTTAAACTTGATGTAATTCATGTTATTGGGTTTTCACTTGGAGGACAAACAGCGGGAATGGTGGCAAACTTTTTAAAAACTGGAAGAAAATTGAAGAGAATAACGTAAGATTTTAAAATGATATCTTTCAATATTTAATGCAAATTACATTCCGCAGTGGCTTAGATCCAGCCAAGCCAATGTTTGTAACAGCCGACAACGAGTTTAAACTTGATCCAAGTGATGCTGAATTTGTCGAGTAAGTTTGCTAAATTACACTTCACAATATTTTTTTTACATTAAATGGTGTCTGGTTTGAGTGTCATTCATACAGATTCGTTTGAACGTGGAGTATTGTGGCCTTCTGGCCATGTTGACTTTTATCCAAATGGCGGATTTAATCAGCCAGGATGTTACCATCAAACCGAAATGCTTCCAGGTAGTTGTAATCATGATCGAGCTCCGGCATATTACGCTGAATCTATAAATACTAATGTTGGTTTTTGGGGATTTCAATGCGGTAAGTTAAAGATCTGAAAATCATTAAATTAATTACATCACAGTATAGAGAAAGGAGAATACTTACACTTAATCACATCATGTTATGTTTGAATGAAGTTAAAATATAAAAAGTAATGAATTGCAGATCACTGGTATCAGTACGCCCTCGGAATTTGCATGGATGGAAAAAACAAAACTTTGGCCAAAATGGGATACAATGTCGACCTGAAGTAAGTTGAATAACAAGTTGTGTCTATTAAGACTTCTTGTTACAACTATTAGGTATACCGATATGATCATTAATTGCGCAATGATAATCAGTTTATTAAAAAAAAACCTTCTCAAAACAATACCAAGCAACATCTCAAAATCCGCTCAATTGCTTCAATACGAAAGTAAAAGTTGAAACTGAGAGTAAAAGTTAATTCGGTTTCCATCATTTGCTATATTGGCTTATGTTCAGTTCATTTATTCCATAATCTTTTTCTTAAATAAATCAGCAGCTCACAAATATTTTTCTGTACCATCACTTGTATGTCGTTTAATGATTCATTGCATTTACGCAAGAATAGTTCGTTGTGCGGTTCTATTGCACCTTGAAATTTATGAATACTTTAGTGCAGAAAATTGTTTACTATCACTTAATGGTATTAGTTTAATGCTTTTAGTTACACTTTATTACCAGAATTTATTACAAAATGCTTAGGTTTTATGTGAGTTAATGTAATGGAAATATTTTATGGCAATTCGTCGCAACGTCATTACAAGCGAAAGTCAACCTCTTTCAACCTGAAGCACATGTCAAGTGCTTGTTTGTAATGAACTTAATTAGAAAATATAAATTAAAAATTCGACGGTTATTTAAACATAACAATCGGTTGTTGTTGATTCATTCAAACTTAGGTCAGGAATATAACAAAAGGTCATGATCATGATTTGCTTGTAAATAAATTTCTCTTCATGACACGAAATTTCAAATTGAATAATTTTTAATTAATAAGCCTTTCATTTCCTAGTGCAAGAGGTCTTTTCTTCCTTGGAACCAATTCAAAGAGCCCGTACGCTCGAGGTAAAAACTTCACACAAAAGCAGATATTACCAGTGCTAGGCAAACTAGAAGCTTTTGGTGATTAAGATTGAAGCAACTGAATTATTTAACTAGCACGCGTAGCATTTTAAAAGGTTTCTATTCAATTGTATTTCGAGGAACGTCAGGAAATCGTGATGTTATGCAAATTTCACTCTACTACTTTCAGACGCACAGTTTCAGATTAATTTGATTATGTTGCTTTATTTTTTTCTTTTTGTTATTTTTTTTTTTGAGTGTACTAAAACAAGTTATTAACTTCACTGTCTCGTGTGCAGACAACTTTCAATTGCCGCACGTTTTGAAAGGGTCTCGATGTTTCTTTAAGTTTATTTTAAGACGAGAAAGAAGAGAAATAAAAGCATGAAAACTGCGAGACTAAAAAACGCACTAAAATTACATAACAATTAATTAAACTAATTTTATTTGCAGACAACAAGAAAAATCATTAATAATTAAGTAAGATGACTGTTTCGACATAATTTAGTCTAATGAAAAATTTGAATAGTCATCAGTGACAAATTATTGTTACATGTTCTGTGTTTATGTTTATTTATGTATTTCTTTGTCATGAAGGAAGCACTAATAGCTACTTAGTGTTTCGAGAGTTCATTAACGCAGCCGTTTAGTCATTTAAGTGATTTCAACGACTGACATTGACGATGACGATGTGGAAATGATTGACAATTTATTTAAATATCATAAAAGAAAGTAAAATAAAAGTTTCTGAAGTATCTAATTGGAATTGGTAACAAGTTCGGTGTAATGCTTAACATCGCAAAATATGCTTTTCCTATTTGAATAATGATAATAAAAAGAAATTGTTTTAGCGAACATCTAAATCAACTTTCAATTTTTAAAAAGATTACGTACGAGACTAAAATCTTTGTTACGCATTCATCCAAAAATTATTCATCAAGTGCACGCTCGCGTCTCATTAATAATCGTTATAAAAAAAGTTAACTTAAAATGTGAACACAATAAAAAGCAAGGCGTCTCGATTACATGCAAGCACTCTTTAAAAGCACTGAATCCACATGTCAATAGCAACTGGACCAGAAATTGTGATTTTGCGCAACTAATTTTTTATTTCGAAATCATTGGAATGTTGTACAAACATTTAATACAATATCTATAATTAAAAAATTAGATTATTAAATATTTAAACTATTTCATGATGTTTAAGTGTTGGTTCGATTGTGGGAAGAGAAAGAAAATTATTTTTGACTGCTTAATTCGATCGTGTTCATGTATTTACAATAAAATTTAAATTTCAATATCTCCATTGTAGTCAATAAGTGCAATAAAGAACTAACAATGAAGTCAAGCCTGTCAAGTTCACACTGCGATTATACAATTTTGAAAAATATTCAGCAAACAGAGAGTATCTTGAAGTCAAGGCAAAGAGAAAGAAATATGAATGAATTTAGAGTAAAAAATCTCCGTAAAAAGCGAAAACATGAAGTAAACAAGAGTTGAAAGCTTGAAGTCATGTTGGAGAGAAATATTTGTACAGTTAGCAACGAGCCGGCATCGCGATTGCACGTTAAAATCTTTCGCTACTGGTGATCAAAGTATAAAAAAAATATTTAAATATTTTAAAAGTGATTTAAGTTATATTGCGAACCACTGCAATCAATTCATCGAAAAAAAAAAAAGTTTGAATTAAGAGGAAATAAAATTTCAAGATTCATTGAAAGTGAAAATAATTTTCAACACGAATAAGATAAAATCAAACTGGTTTTTTTTATTATTAAATAAGAAGTTCAGCTCAGTAAAGTGAAAAACATATTTGCTATTGCAGGTCAATGCAATTTGACATATTTTAAATTCAGTTAGAATATCATGATAATCAGTTAGTCGAGATGGAAATTAAAGGATGTTTAACAGTAATCACCGCGATCACCTTGCTTTATTTAGTGAAAGGTAATTCGTAATTCCGTGAACCTTCAACGTATTTCCTTGGATATTATAATAAGCAGCAACATCAACAACAACAAAGTACACTTGATAATAATAATAAAAAATGTAAAAAATGGTGCAAAGTACAAGTAACGAAAGTCAAAAGTAAAACTTTAATGAATTTAATGGCATTGCGAATTTTACTCACAAGATCTTTCGAAATTTATATGCGGACTTTTTACTTGCTGAAATATTTCCAAAAATCGTGATTTATAAAAGAAATGTTTAGTAAAAGTTGTAGAAACTGTTCGTTACGTAAAATCCTTTTTAACAAATGTGCGAAGCGAAGATGTTTTGATTGTCTATCTAATTTTTAATGCAACCAACTGCCACATACAATGAAAAGATCTCGAGCATTATTTATGCAAATTAATTACCGCATTTCTATGAAATTCAAATGAAAAGAAAATTTACTGAGTGTTGATGACGAAAACGGTTCATTGCGCGATTTTCACAGAGAAATTGTTCAACGAACTTGATACTTGATACTTGACTGAAATGAATTTTCGAGCATGCAAAATTGAACCAATTTTCATAAAATTTCCAAATCAAAGCTAGAAAAAAGTTTAATTTTCCGAGACATTTCCCCAAGTAAATTAATAGTTTTTACACTTGTAGAAAATATCTAAACGGAAATTTTTCAGATTAAAACTCTCACAATTTTTCTGTGTTGAAAACATTAAACTTCTTCTTCCCTTACACTGGGTCATTCGTACAAAGAGTTGATTGAATTTTTTATGATCAAACTGAGTCGTGTGTTGGCTTCTTGTATTACTTTTTTTTATATTTTGCTACTTAAGGCTTTCAGCAACAATCATCAAATTTAATAGACAAAACTTGATTGAACATTTTCTCACTTGCAACGCACGATCGTTGATCACGTAATTCGAAGCAAGCCATTTCTCACCAATTTGAATTAAATATTACTTCATTCGATGGCATGGCGATGTCTGAAGAATTTTTTCCCTTTCCGCATAGCCTGAGGCAGCGGTTAGTTTGATTAAGACACGAAGTTCATCAGACGGTAACGACTTCTGTAAAACAATCGCTAAAACAACAATCTCGCATCATATTGGTTTATCTGCAGCAAGCAAATCACACGACATGATAGTGAAAGTTTACCTTTCTTCGTTGTGTTTAAATACAAAAATCATGCCACATACATCAATAAATGAAACGAATAAACGTTGGTTTCAGTTACGTTCATTTTCATTTGGATGTTTATATTTATTTAACATGCCTGTTGGCTTCTCAAACGACAATTTAACTCCATATGATGACTCAGTTGGTTAAGTCATAAAATCATCGTCTTTTAGATTATGTTTTCATCAACATAGAAACATCAATCAATTGCATGTGGTTAATTGCTATTGAAATCAAAATTATTTGTTCATTCATCACATGGCATGTAAAGTTACAAAAGCTCAAGTCTCAAATCGTTTACTCTTGACCAGATTTTCATTTCATTTTTTTTTTTCGGTAAATTGTTGAGTTTTATTTGTAGCTATTTACTATTTACACAACTGGTGTTAATTATGAAAATCTCGTGTCCAAAGTGTGTGCCAGTTTCACCTTGAGCAAATAAATAGATCGCGGAAGATTTTGCGAAAACTTTTATTGTAAACAGACAAAAGTTTGCATTCTTTAGTCGTAAAATATCTAAATCGTGAGTTGATGTTGTGGCAGGTCATTAACATAAGTTGAAAGAAGACTTTAAAGCGTATTTAAACACGGAAATGTCATAAATTTAATTAATGAAAGTTTTCCTTTCAAGGGCAAATGTTAACCGGAGATGACAACAATGTCTTCAACACGACATCGTGCCTTGAGAAACCATATCGTTGCCCACATCCAAAAATCAAATTCTTCCTTTATACGAGAAGAACACAAGAATATGGAGAGGAGATTAACCCGCTAAATCGTGAAAGTTTATGGAATTCTCATTGGAATCCGATACATCCAGTGAAGGTTATTATTCACGGTAATAAATTTGAACCTAGATTGATTGAAATAAAAGTTAATTAAGCAAAATGAATCGATTTTGTAGGCTTCGGTGGTGGAAGAAATTTAACGCCCAGTCCCGACTTACGCAAGGCTTATTTCACGATTGGCGACTACAACATCATCATTGTTGATTACGGCGAAGCTGTGCGTGAACCATGTTTGAGTCAGATTGAATGGGCACCGAGATTTGCGAGTCTCTGCATCGCGCAATTAATCAAATACATAGCAAACCATCCACGAGGTATTGCACCAGATTACATGCATTTCATTGGATATTCAGTTGGAGCTCATATGAGTGGTTTAGTAGCAAATTACTTGAAACCAAAGGAAGGCAAAATTGGACGAATCACTGGATTAGATCCAACAATTTTCGTGTATGCTGGTTCAAATAATTCAAGAGATTTGGATCCATCTGACGCTCACTTCGTGGATATTTTGCATTCATCTGCTGGGATTCTTGGTCAATGGAGACCTGGTGGCCACGCTGATTTCTACATCAATGGTGGAACCTCACAACCTGGTTGTGGAAGCTCAACTCTCTTTCAAACTTTAGCATGCGATCATACAAAAGTAACGCCATATTTTATTGAATCCATTACGTCGAAGAAAGGTTTCTGGGCCGGACCATGTTCGACCTTATTCAGTTATTTATTAGGATGGTGTGAACCTAAAGATTCGGATATGGTTTTGATGGGGGAGCATTGCCCGTGGGAGTAAGTTGATTAAAAAATATTCGACTTTCATTTCCTTCAATAAACTTCCTTCTCGTTTTACTTCAATGATTTCAGAGCTCGTGGTGTATTTTATGTGACAACGAATGGTAAGGCACCTTACGCTCGAGGCTACCCAGGGTGAGAACAATAAACTTTTTTGACAACTTCCATGCTTTGAATGAAAATATTGCAGGAAAACTCGACGATTCGCTCGAAACAATGGACGTAACTTAGATGAACACGAATACTCGTACACCGGAGTTAGGAAAAAATGAAATAGAAATGTTTAGATAAAAAGTTCACGACGCACATCAACAGTAAAGAAACAAAAAGTGTAAATAAGTCAAAACGTCTCAGTTAGTTAAATTAATCGTCTCTTTGTTAACCCGTTTCACAGTCTACGAAAAATGCCTCCATTCGAATCAAAAAAGATCAAACTGGTTGTGATAGTGATGTTAATTAGAATTTTTGATGGCCCTTAAATAGATTCAAAATGCTAATTAAAACATTTCTTTTTCACTTTTCACTTTCAGCCTGTAAAAAAGATTTAGTTGAAGTTTATTACACAACTCGTTGACATTGTTTTCAGTTTCGACATTTCTTTTTATTCATTTCATTTTTATTTAAGATTTTTATTACACTAATTTGTTGCTGTATTCTCAAGAAAACATTTTACTTAATTTTTCAACTCAATGGGATCATTTTTATGCTATGATATTTAGATAAATAGAATAATTTATATTTGTCGGCGATTTATTTCCGAATTTTTATTAAATGTCTGGGAGTTTTATCACTTCAATTGTAAAGAAGGTTAATTGCAGATGGTTAAAGTCATAACAGCAGACGCTTCCGCTAAATTGAAAACTCCAAATTACATACTTTACTTCCATGTTTTTGCATGATATTGTATCGTATCAATTACTTTTTATTGCAGTATTAGTTGTTATTCAATTAACTTCCAATTGTTTCAACATAACTTTATTGTATGTAGTGGATGCAATAAGCTGATGTAAGTTTTCATTTTTCTTCTTTCCCGCAAATAAAGAAACATATTTGAGTTCCAGTATTGAGTTAATATTCATACATACACTGATAATGAAAATGCAATGAAATATTCAGCTAAGTATGAATAAAATTTGACTTGATTCTTATTTACATATTTAGATTAGTAAAATGATCTTCATTTTTAAGATATTTTCATGGTTTTTATTTGTTAAATATTTCTACATAATTATTTAAATACAGAGATAATTGTTAAGTATTTAATTATTATTTGTGTTTTGTTTAATCGAGGAAGGAAGTACTATTAGAAAGGGAGGGTGAATAAACTTCAAGTTTTCAGATTCCACCCTGGCTTTAATACATTTTCTATGTTTTATTATGTTTATATTATTTATTGAACAGTTCACGCAATATTTAGTGCAATTTTATACAAGGAAGTTCTGACTTACTTATTATAGTTACGATAATTGATGGAAAGTAGGAGATTAGCTTGTGTGCAATGTGCAATGTTTTATTGTGCATTTGAAAACTAAACTACGATAGCAACAGTTATAGACAATCAGAAACATTCACAAAGAATTTCAGTAATAAACATTGCAGTTTATTCTGAGATATGCGATCATCGAAGAAACATAAAAATAATCAACAACTGGGAAACGAGTCAAGAGATTGCGATCAAAAAAATCAACATGCAAACACATGCAGACTTTGATTCGCAATTTACTTCAATCAGTTTTCCCTTTGAGATTGTTTTGATGATATTCATGGTTGTTGTTAAATTTTCTAATAGAATTTACCAAAAATTTAACAAAGTCGTAAAACGACATTTCGTCGTCGGAGAAAGCGTGAATATTCGTCAGAAATACTGAGAACTTCACTTTTGGATGTTCATGTTGTGCAATATTAATTATCATGCATCATTAAGCTTTCGTTTTGGTTGATGGAAGCATTTGAAATGAAAGTTCAAACGCTGTCTTGACATTACATAAAAGTAAAGCGCAAAATTCTTCTTTTCTTTTCACTATCTTTGAAACTTAACTTATTTTTAAGCATGAGCTTAATTAATTATTCATTTCTATTTATTATTGTTTTGTGTCACTTTATCAGCGTCATTTAACATCTTGAACCAACATGCATGTTCTTCTTTAATTGGCTTCTTTCAAGGTGACTTATAATATCAACATAAAACTCAATTGATCTCATCAATTGCTTTGAAATTAAAAAGAAAATTCTTAATCCTATTCTGATTCTAATCTAAATTGCATCATTTATTGTCAACACAGCCTTTTGAGAGTGAGAACACCTCAAAAATTTATTAACACAAAAGTATCATTCAATCTTCACTGCTGTAAATTAATTCAAGGGAAATGTTTCTGATAATTTTGAATCTCTAATTCATCACTTACTTTTTCACACATTCATCACTAATTTTAACTTTCATCTTAAAACTGAAGACAATAAACTTATTCGGATGTGAATTTCTCAAGCTATTTCTTCGTTTGTTTATAAATCATAAACTAATCTTATTAAAAGCTTCGAATCCATTCAATTCAATGTGGATTAAAATTGATATTGTGAAAACAAAAACTTAAATTATTGAAGAGGTAAATAAAAAAATTACTTTTTTTAACAGAAGCTTTTCCCTTAATTAAATCTTGAGATTATTAAGTTCCCTTGAGCTACTCTTTGTATTGTGCTCAAATCATCATAATTAAAATAAAACAGATAAGCGTGCAAACAACTAGTGCTTGTTATTTTGTGTTTGTCATCTCATGCAGTGCATTATAGTGCAATTAAATTTGTGCGTCAACATCAAGGTGTGCATTAATTAAAGACGACTACAAATAATACTGAATTGTCTTTCATGATTACATCTTACCCGACCTTAAACTTTAAAATTTAACTAATTTTTCAAAGAAAATATCAACCAATAAATCTACACATAAATTAAGATTTTATTTGATTGCAATGCGCTTGAGATTAACGCTTCATGACAACCGATTCCATCTTGCTTTTTATTTTACTTAATTGTCTTAAACCTCAATCTCAACAATTGACTCTTTTAGTTTTCCTTTTGAAATTATTTTGAAATTTACAGCGATTTATAAATAATTATTAAATTTTAAACACAAACGACTCTCAGTTGCTAATCAAAATTTTTAATAAATGCAATTGAATAAATTGAGATAAATGAATATTAAAATTTGCATAATGCATGTCTGAGGCAAACTTTTTTTTCTAATTCTTCGATTATAAATTATAAGTTTAATGGGATTTATACAAATTTAATAAAATTTCTATAATTTTGATGGTGATTGGAAAGAGCGGAACGAAATATTTAAATTAAAGAAAACGAACTACAACATTTATAAGTCATCTTCTTATTCTTAATTATTTAGTTACCTAAAAGCTTATTTATGTTGCAACTTTATATGCATAAATATATCCTCCTTAGACTTCTTATTCTTTTGATTATTTATATTAGATTTAAATTAAAATTATAATTATTATGTACATTAATTCATTATTCAAGTGAAATGCTTTCTGGTTTTTCCAGTTCCATAAATTAAATTCAAACAATTTATAAATAACAGAAAATTCTACTTTTAACATGAATAAGTATTGTTAAAGTTAGTTAACTGCAAATGATGACACATGGAAAAATTTATCTTGTTTCATGTTGGCACATATTTTTCATTATAGCTTTGTGACATTACTTGCAGTTAACTCTCGTGAAGCGTAAAATAATTAAGTCGTAAGGTTTGCATCACAAAAGTTTCAAAGTTTATAATTTCTTCTACATATCTCATATCTTACTAATGTAACCATTTGTCTTTGAACACACGTATTTGTTTTTTATATTTATTTTTATCATGAATGAAATATGATTCTTTGTTATATGTCAAAACTTTCAACGTAGCAATAATTCATTTGGTGTCACAATAACACAATAAATATCTTTGAAACTTTTTATATAACTAGCAATTGATTATGAATTTTATGTTCTAACTAATGTTCAGTTTAATATTCGCTTCTAAAGCTTCGATCCTCTGCTGTTCCGTGCATGTAAGCATCGGTGGCGTAGGGTTGAACTGGTTCTTCCTGTATCGTACTTGGAAAAGCGAATGGATTGCTAGGATTCACAACTTGATTGTATGCTGGCGCAATTGTCGGATTTTGATTGAAAGGATTACCAGCGACGTGTTCTGTGGCGCCATACGAAACTTGTTTTGTATGATTTATTTGCATGTTCATTGCATCGGCATCATTCTAAGTAGACATGAGAAAAATATTGAAAATCAAGTGAATCGTGCTTGAAAAATTTAATTTAAAAAAACTCACGAAAGAAGTTTCTTTAATGGCGCCTGGAGCCGTCGGATCCCAAGCCTTTTGTTCTTCCATTGTAGGTTCAGCCCATGGTTGCAACTCACCCGATGCAAACACACCGTAAAATGTTATGCCTGTAAGGTGAACACACGCGGCGATGGTAAACACCGTCGTCCAACAACTTCTATCTTTCTACAGAAGACAACAACAAAGGAAGAAGAAAAAACTAATCAACTTGGAATTAAGTCACTTTTGTCGTTCGATAAGTTTCATATCGATTTCAATGCTTGAACGGTTTGAAAAGTTAATAAAACACATTTTTCATTTCTTGATTTCTTCCATCGCCCTTCTTCACTCTCATGATTCTCAGCATCATGAACAGCTCTTCATTTCTTTTCCAGCTTAGTCGTGCGTAACGGAGTGTGAATATTGAAGTGTTAGCAACGCAATGGTGAGACGTTGAAAAATATAAAGCAGAGATTTCCTTCTCTTCAACCATCTGTATCCACCCACTTCGAAGAATTTATTGAAATTCATATTTTAAGCATAAACTCATCCCACCCACATTCATTCAGAGAACTTTTGCTCACAAAGCGGATTTCATGTCGAAATGAATGGAAATCTGTCTCGTTTAAAAAGGCACAAAAATACCTTTTTATACATCGAACAGACTTGTGTATGAATTAATGCTTTCCAGCATCGATGTAGAACTGTTGAAAACAACAACAACAAGGAATCGTTCATTTGTGGGGGTGGATAGGAAGACTAGGTACAACAACAAAAAATGTAATTTGTATGAAACATGTAAACTGTAATAAGTTATGACTTGAAAACAGTGAATGAATGAATTTAGGGATGAATTTTCACTCTCGCTTCTGCCATTGTTAAAAGTCACACAACCATGAAACATCATCATCATCAATTTAATTTTATGATGGAAATTGTTAGAATAAAAAGTGGTGGGAGGTTAAATTTTATTGTTCTAGTGACGTTTTGTAGAATTGACGATAAGTTATTAAATTTTGTTCTTTTTTTTTAATTCAAAATCATTTGTCAGCAAAAGCTTTTAGAAAATTCTCTTAATTACCTGATCACTAGTTAGATAATCAATTGCAATTGGACACAGTAAGCCTGCTATGGTTCCGATTCCATTCGACATTCCCATCAGAATGCTAGCGTATCTCGGTGCAATATCTAAATGATTCACATTGTAGCCTGAAATGGCGAAGCCACTGAATGCAACACCAAATGTTAAAGCTGTGACAGCTCCAGCCTAAGATGTCATTAGATAACTCAGAAATTATTCACGTGAAATCTTAAAGAAATCTTACCCCGGTTGTCGCATGTGCTACGAATAAGAAGAACAGACCTTCAAGTCCAAAACCACCACAATTGAACAATTTACGGACATGTGTTGTCGACAAAATTCCATTTTTGCGTAAATGATCAGCCAACATTCCGCCTAATGGAACAATGATTGTCATCAACAAATGAGGCAGTGCACCGAGAATTCCAGCCTAAAATTGATGTTTCATTAATCACATTTCTAATTGAGTTGAAGTCTTGTCATTTGCTCACTTCAGCAATCTCATAATTGAACGAATGTTTCAGATATTTGCTTTGATAAAGAACCAGTAAGTAAAAATTCCACGATCGACAGAAGTTTGCGACAATAATGGCATAGACTGGCATTGATCTTGAAATCTCATACCACGGTGTGGTAGCGATGGTTGGCATTTGTAATTTGACAGATTCACCGAGAGATTTTTCAATATATTTCAGTTCTTGTATACTTATTGCTGGATGATATCGTGGCTTCTCAAATGAAAGCCAAAGCCAAAAACAATACCAAATTATCCCCATAACACCATAGAAATAGAAAGCTGCCTTCCAACTTATCCAACTGGTGAGTATTCCTGACATTGGCATTCCAATAACGATACCCGCATATGATCCGCTAAAAGCTATTGTCGCTAGTCGAGATCTCTCAAGAGGCGGTGCCCAGAAACGCCAAATTCCTATCAGAAAATTCATTAAATTTTCATTGGATGAATTTATTTTAACTTTCATTATGGAACTCACCCTAATTAATAGAATTCAATGAATGGAGACAAAGAAACATTTTTTTTAATTAAAACTCAATCAATGACAACATGAACAAAGTGAAGTTAAGTAAATGAAAACTGAAATATTAAAATGTTGCACTTCTCTTTGAAAAGTTGTTCACAAGAGTGACTTTTATTAAATTAATTAAATTCAAGTTACGTGGCATGCTGGATATGTGACACCCTGTAAAATGTTAAAAGCAAAAATGAATTAATAAATTTTTATTTAAAATAAATTGAAAAAAGATTTTTCAAAATATCACGACTTTAACTCAACATTAAAGCATAATTTCAATGCGTTATGAAAAGATTCTTTTTTGTATTATAAAAATACCCTCAAGGGCTTAATACATGATCTTAAAATCCATACAGCTTACTATCACACAAAGGATGACGAAAGAAACATTCCGAAATGAACTCTTATGAAATATCGGATTTCTGATATCTCAGTAAGTATTATGTAAAATTAAACACAAAAGAAGAATTGAAAGAAATCTTTTCTCGATTCAATGAGATTCTTTTGAAAATGTTTAGTTAAATGAAGGATGGAAAAAAAGTCTTTATGATATCATAAGTGGGTGGAATTATTACGATTAGTGAGACTTACCTCAACAAGTCCTTGCAATACTCGAATGACGATAATGCAACCGGGAACTTCGAAGGCTCCAGGCAGAAATAAATTGAGAAAGGCTGAACAGGCAATTGCTGTACCGAAAATCCTATTTGCGGGATAAGCTGACGCTAAGAAACCACCTGGTACTTGCGTCACAAGATATCCCCAGAAAAATGAAGAATCCACTGCACTCTCCATTGCAACACTCCATTTAAATTTTATTTCTGAACCTCCTAAAGTAATATTATGCGGATGACTCTCGTTAGGGCCGTTCTAAGCGTGACAATTCAAATATAGTGTTGGAATAATGAAAAAGGAAATGAATAATAGGAAGATTACTTTAATATGATAAGGACTTTGATTTAAATGAAGGGAGTTGCACAATATTATCATAATATCCTCTCTCTCATTTCAAATTATACTTTCGTCTTTTCAAAAGATGATTATCAAGTCATCCTTAGATCCAACCAAACAACCCCAACCCTCCGAGCGTCAATAAATCCGACGGTCGTTTGAAAGGAAAGTTAGTTAAACAGGCACAAAAAATTCAGTCACATTTTCCATTTCCTGTCAACATGCTCAAACGGATGTGGAAGATGGTGAGGGTGAGAAGCAATGGAGACATCTCTATTGTGTCGTTCCACCAATTTCACATGATAAAAAAGCGGTAGAGTGCAAAAAGCCATTTTTTATGTATTTCTTTCGCACCATAAAATTTGTTATTAATGCTTCAGGGCTTACGAATTAAAAAGCAAAGACGAACAACAAGCAAGTTCTAAGTTAAAGTCACTTTCAACCCTGTGACAAAAAGCACTAATGGATGTTTATCATTAATAACTGCTGAATCGACTGATGACTATAATTATAGTTAAGCAATGATGGCATCACATAACATCATAAATTCGACAGTCAATAATTTGTCATGAAATCAAAGAATTATTTAAAATCCAGAACGGAAACGACATGACTTGTTTTATCGCATAGTTGAATAATTCGATGAGAAATTTTCCCTACATGTTTAATAATAATTGTTCAGAGTTTAAAAGGCACGAATAGTGATTAGATTAAAGATACATAATGGTGGAAGTTTATTTTAAAAGCATTTTCCGTAACATAAAAAAAGCCAAATAATGACATAAAATACTTTTTGCTTTGTCGTTCACAGTTCATCACCCTTGCCACCGTGTATTATGTGGGTGGGATGAGGAGAGAAACATGAAATGTTTATAAATAATTCGAAGAGGGATTGAAGGCAGTGAAAAGACGATATTTTTGAAGATAATAGATTTAATGCTAATGAATAAGATTTCCATTTAAAAACTCGATAAATGAGAGGAAAAGGTTGATTTGATTTTAGATAACGACTGACTATGAAATGGGCAATTTAATATAATTAAATCTTCGATAAAAACAACTCACTTTGTGTTCTAACTGCAACTTAGCCATTCCCATATTGCATCTCATTCCAAACGAGATAATGAATCCTAGACATGCCATTAGTGCGATTGTGTATCGTTGTGTAGGGAGACATGGACATTCTGCTTTTGTATATTTGTCGATGTGTCGAAGTGGCGGTCGTTCCATTTCTTCAAAAGACATTGGTGAATCAGGAACATTATCGCCGTACATTCCTCCACCTCCCTGCACTCCACCTTCTCCATCCATTTGCTCGTAACCTCCAGTCTCAGGCATTGCAGAAAACTTCTCGCGTTTGAATCTGTGTAGAGTCAAATGGTAATAAATATTTAATAAAAATTCAATTAACTTTTTGAATGGGAAGACAATGAACATGGAGAGAATTTAATTAAAACAATTGAAAGCAAACGACTTCTTTTTTATACGTAAAAGCAATGAAAGAATCAACAACTGAAAACGATGATGGCAATGACAGCAAATACAAGAAGTCATCATCATAACCATTATCCAATTTCAAATTGTACATGAATGAAAGCGTTTCTGTCGAGTCTTGGTAATTTATATTCAAATCAAACAGCGAAACCACTTAATGTCATTTGCCTCACATCTTACATCTTTCTTCATCTCATGCTTTCTTTAAGATTCGAATGAATTGAATATAATAAGAAGAAAATTAACTCTCACTGACTATAAAATATTTCTATATTAAGATGAGTCACAAACATTTCGGAGAAGTTTCCATTACCTCATCTGTATATATGTTTAAAACATTGACTAATAAATAATATAAATGTGACATAAGAATCGACTGACCAAAAGGCAGAAAGCAACAAAACATTTTTTATGACCAGCAATTCTTTTGAATTTCTCATTATTTTTAATAAATTCGAGTGCATAAAAACACCTGAATTGGTTTCACTTTCTATCGGATCCCTCTTATGTTTGCAAGGGATATCAATTTGCTAAAATGCCATAATATGTTGTTAGTGTTATGCTTTCCAGCTTTTATCGAATAACAACCAAAAACACCCTCGACGTGCGTTAAATTTCAACGCAATTTTCACCACAGAAATCTTTCATTTTATTGCTGTACTATTTAAAGGTATTGAATATCAATTGTTGGGTTCATGATTGTGAAAATCCATTCAATGTTATTAGAAAATTTGTTTCTTAAAGATTATGTTCGGATTTTAAAGATTCGAGATACAGAAATCCATAAATTGAATAATAGAAGTACGTTTACACTTCTCGCAATTATATAAATCCTTTTAAGTCGTTTTCTACGAAGGAACAGCGTTTCTGACAAATTCTTTTATCTCTAAGAGCTCAGTCACGAATACGTATTAATGTAAGAATTGCGAGACACTCGATGCAGGATTTAATTTTAAATTTAGATTTATTTTCGAGTGGCAATTCAGAGTACTTCAGTTTGAAATGCGATGAGTTTTTCAATAAAGAAGAAAAAGATTTCTTTGCAATATAAATCTTCATTAACGCCCTTCACTCCACTTGTTATTCGCGCTGTAGACCAAAGTTAAATTTCAACAAATGCGGCACAGTTTGAAGACGCTTTTCATTTTCTAAGGAAACATTTTAATGTTAACAAAGTCATTCCATCTTTCGATGCCTCGTGAGGTTGAAATATTTCATTTCAGAACTCGTTGAAATCATAAATTTCGTAAACAAATCTCTTATCCATTTTACCATCATTTTATCAACAGGTTGATGATTTGAGGTTTCATTTCTCGATAAAAATATTTTTATATGGAAAAGCAATTTCAATGATGGTTTGAACATCGAATGAAATTCATATGTCCATAGGGAATTGAACAGATACTTTGTATTCATTCCCTTCTTCTTCACAAGCTCTTCAGAATGAGATAACAACATCAATACTTCATAGGAAAATACGTGGGAAAACGATGAATAATTTAAATATCAACATACAAAATTACACGTAAACGACGAGAAAAGAAAGATTAATTTCGGAAAAAGGAATTTCCTTCCACCCTTCTCATAGTGCAACATGCAGTTTCGGGGGTGAAACGAAAGAACAGGTTGCTGTTGCTGATACGAGGGGTGAAACTTTTCACGGTGATTTCGTTTATTGCGATGATTAATAATTAAACGAATGGTAACACTCTGTTAATTTCAAGTTGAATGTTGAGTCGGAAAGTTAATTTGCGTGTGAAATTCACTGAACTGCGAATGATAAAGAAACCAAAGTTGTTTTTCTTAACTATGTTGAGATTCTAACATTGTTATCAAGTAAAATAATTCAACCCCAGCTATTCATTTGGAAAGAAACACTGAGCAGAGTGATTAACGCTTTGAGTTGAATTCTTTTCCTTTCCAATCATGACCACAGATTTTCCTTTCTCGAGGTTTCCCATCACAACATTTTCCACGAAAAAAAGGAAACAAAAAATCAATTTTCACATGCTTCCATTCAACTGTTATTCGATTTCAGGGATTTATCTTTATGCTCTTTTAAGTCTCTCGTTTTTGTTCCAAATCTTTAGTTAAGTAAATATAATTTCACATATTGAAAGATGAAAAAACGAAGAGAAAAGCAAACCTCGAATCGATGAATTTCTATTTGATTTTTCTTTTGTGTGTGATGATATTGAGAAGCAATGGATTTGATTTTCAACAAAGAATAGTGAAAGGGAGACCATCGAAAGTTTCCGAAGGTTCATTTAGGTTTCAACACTTTGGAAAGAAATGAATTTGATTCGCGATGAATTTCGAATTTCGTCAATAAAGTTAAACATGTGACAACAAAAAAAAGTGTCGAAGTCACAACAATAAAGAAATCAATCAGGTGAATTGGCAAGATTTTATAATAATACTCACAAGATTTCTTTTCGACGTATGACGACGTTTAACAAAAGATTGGAAAGGAAAAACTTTGAAGGGGTCTTTATGTTATTGTACTTGTTGTTTATCGTGATTACATAACATCAACATGTGATTTCAGCAATATTAACGACCGTCACTAATGGCATCATGGCTTGTGGAAGCCTACGAAATTTAATATTGTTAATGTATCGAAGTATTTAAAAAAATTCTTTTGTAATTTTTTTCTCCTTCTTTTGTGACGGTTTTTTTGAAGCCACAAAACTTTGTTGCGGGTGGAGAAGGATTGAAAAGTTTTTTTCCTTTCCTCGTCTCCTTTTTTGTTTGTTTGTTATAGAAGGAACAGTGACTGTGGAAGGTCTTGAATTATTATTTGATGTTTCGTTGCGGTAGTAACTTTACAGCTTCAGTTTTTCCTCTCATTTACGTCAGTAAAATTACGAGGGTGATGATGAAGAAGAACTTTTCGATAAATATCTTTATAATTTAATTAAAATTTCATTAATGATTTTATCAAAAAGAAATGAATACCCTAGTGAAGGAAGAAATTAGAACCGTGCGAAGCCAAAAGAAAATCGAATTTGATATTAGTCTCTGATAAGTGACACAGAAAATTAATCCCTTGAAATAAGAAGTTTTTTTTTATTATTTTCAGTTTTCAAGTTGTGGGGAAGTTGATGGAATTGTCATCATTTATCATGATTATTTTCGGGAAGCATCTCGAGAAACACTTTGCTGTAATTTGCAGAGAGTTTTTGTATAGTCGTCAGTTATAATGAATATAAAAACGTTTTGTTTCAGCATCAACTTCCCCACCATAACAACGCTTCATTTTTGTAATGAAAAATCAAATGCTTGTTGCAGTCTGCCTCGAGAACTCGTGTCAACCAAGGGGAAAGATAATTATTAGAGACATATTGTCGTTTAATGCACGTTAATGTAGGAAGAAAATCGAATTTCCTCTTCACTCTTAGTTTAAAAAAAAAGTTGAATGAAACAATGAAGGAAAAGAAATTCTTTAATGTAGAAATTTATGTCTCAGCAAATATTTGCACGAAAAAAGATATTTTTAGAAATGCTACTTTCTTAAAGGCAAATTTAGATATGAAGAGTCGAAGATTAAAATGTTAATTACATGTTATTTAGGATCTGAGTGAATAAACAAATTTTCCTCTCATAGCAATCTCGAATCGCTTAATCGACATCTAAACAAACAAAGGGTAATGTATAAAAACTCATTTTCCTCTTCAAATAACCCTCCCCGAAGGAAAGCGAGAGTCCTTAAAATATTGTTTCGTGTTTACACAATGTTCAGATATTAAATTTATAGAATTAAAAGCGTAGGAGTAAAAAAGATTTATTTTTAAAACTTGAATGATGTCCATCAAAAAAAAGATTGAAATTTTTTTCGGATTCATATCATCCACCCACATAAGAATGAATATTGATACAATCTGACTGGCATACATACATTTACGTGTTTCTATCATGATTGCAACATCCTTTCACATCGTTCAGCTTAATTTGATTGAATTTCCGCTTCAATTGTTTTGAATGCGCATCAAATGGAAAGGCAATTCATACTCGTTTTATTACTATGAAAAATATTTTCTCGACATAAATCTTTCAACAATTTATCTTCGTTTCATTCTAAATATTTTATTTTCTTCTTACGGTTTCCGTTACTAAATTGTCGCTTAGCAACTCATAAAAGTTTCAGATCTGACCAAGCATTGATATGAAATTTTCTTCAATTTGTTCGTTAATTGTCAGTGGAAGTCTTGTTAATGTTCAATTTGCGTAGCCAAGTAACAAATCAAAGTTCTAGGAATTTTCAGATGATAGGAAACAAGTAAGTATTCAGGAAAACTAACAAAATTCTCCTTTTTGTAAAGACATTCATATTTCTGGAATGCTTTGTTCAAATAAATATTCAATACAATCGTAAGACTCAGACAAAACTAATAAGATCCAAAAATCAAAATTTGTCACGTTTCGTTTCCTTTTCGATAAAGAATTCTCTGTAATATTTGTCGTTGTTGTTTGATGTAAATAAAGAATTGAATGACGAGAAATGAAATAGGAATCGATACAATAAATGGAAGCTTTGCAATCATAAGACTTCATTCAAATATGTTGTAAGATTTTTATTCTTGTTCTTCATTTGAAATGTGATGCAAGAAAGAGATGAAATAGTTAAATGTGAAACATCACAAAGGCGGAGATTTCCGGGAAAATTTATGTAAAATAGAAGCAAAATACGTAAATTAAATTGAAACTTTTCCCACTCCAATAACTCTCTTCACTTGAAGGATGAAATAAAAAATCATTGTTTGCAGTACGTTGAGTGTATTCAGCAGTAAGTAACTTCCGCAATATCTGATCTTTGTGTGGAAATGTTAGACAAATATTTGAGCATTCAACAATAATGTATTTGAACGGTGATGGATGAATGTTACTTATTTACTGGAAATATTTACGGAATTTTTTCCTTCATATTTGACAGGATCAACAAGAAAACAAATCCCACAAATCTCAAGAATTCTTCGAACTCTTCAGTGGAACAAAAAATAAATTTGAGAAGCAATAAGACTTCAAACTTATTTTAATTGTTATCTTCATGAAGACTTTACTGATATGGTTCGACAAAAAATATCTCAAAGATGGTGTCGCATCACGTAATAAAATTCTTCTTTTTTTCGTTAACTGTCGCGAAATTTCTAACTCAATTTCTTGATTAAATAATTTACAAAAAGAACGAAAACAATAAAGAATAATAAGAAAATATCTCATTACAATTCATCGTCGTTCATGAGTCTGATCAAATTTTATCGCTTCAATGATATAATTGGGTTTCAATTGAATTCTCCTCCGATCCATTTTCATTTATTGTTGGTGGAAATCTTGATAAAAAGAAAACTTCTACTTTTCCTCTTTCTCAACTTTGCGAAGAAAAATACGTGAAGGAAGGAAAAAAATAGGAAAGAAAATTGATATTCGCTTGCTTTCTGATAAATGACGAGAAGTCAAAAGAGGCAATGAAATTGAAAAATTATTCGTTCTAATGCGAAAGATGTGTTTTATGAAAAACGGAAACGGAAAGGCCTTTTCAGCTCTTATAAAAGAAAACAACATTGTGAGAAGAAATCATGTTCTAATGACGCGTATTTAAACCAAATCACATGAATTATTTCATCATATTTCTTTCCCTACCAAGTCAACAAACACAAACCAATGATGTTGTTTACGGCATGGTAAAAGGGATTATTTAAAGATACGAATGAGTTTATGTATGTTTGAAGTTGTCATCATTATGTGTGGATTAAGTAGATTTCCCTTGAGACTCATGAATCGAAATCCCACAAACGGGGTACGAGAATGTGCTTTGACATTTTTAAAATAATTATTTTACGAAATATTTTCAGTGGTGAACATTTGAATGCGCTTGTGCAATGTTACAGAATTTTTCTCACAACATTGAATTATTTTCTATGCGGAAAATCAGATATATCGATATCAGTGGATTTCCACTCGAATGAACATCTAAAGAGGATATTAAAATTCAGTAGAGTCAATAAATGTTCTCATTTTCTCTCAACTTGGAAAGAACATCATAGGATGTTTATGAAATCAATAGAGTGCGGGGGTGGCGTAAGAGCAAAAAGAATCTGAAACATAAACGAGGATTTTTTGTTGGCAAAAGGATTAAATATTCCGAGACATTTTTCCCTTCTTTGTTTCGCTTTGTATATAAGCTGACACTGATTTATGAGTAAAGTCATTTCATTAACAAATCTTTACTAAATTTATCACGATTCATGAGGTTGTTAATTCAATTCTTATATCTTAATCAACATCGAATGTTTTTTCTACTGTCAGTGTGATAATGTTCACTGTTTTGATAAAAAATTGTTCATCATTTGCGAGAGCTTAAAAGGGAACTTAGTCCTAAGTATATTTACGGCTATTATCCTGATTGTCATCAAATTCACACAATTGTCAAATCCCAAAAGCTTTTCTCTTCGCTCCTTTATTGTTTCTTTCTTCAATTCCATGACAGACATTCGGGCATTCCATTTTATCCTTTCATAAAACCCTCTTGTCGCAATCGAGAAAATTCAATTTCCACCTTTTCTTTCTGCTTCTGAGATTCGAGAAAGATTTCAACTGCGAGATTACTTTTAATTACACTTTGTTGTCTCCAATGGGAGGATGAAAGGCTAATGTTTTTCTTAAGAGATAGATTTATATTTGAATCTTTTTTATTTTTTATAGCATGGAAACGACAATTTTGAAATTTGTTTTCCCTGAAATTGTTTTTCGTCTAAAATAAATCACACTGTTTGAAATTCTAGGCATGAAATTCTTGTTTACTTCAATTTTTTGCTGACCACGAGTGCAGAATTAAAATCGTTAATCAGAAAAGTTATTTCAAAAGAAGCCGTTATTATACAAGAAACTTTTCCTATTTGGTTACACTTGACGTCACACACAACAGAGATAGCAACGGAGCATAAAAAATATTATTTATGTCTTTCATGTTACAAATGATTTGTCTGTTTTCTGCTGATATAGCAGAAATGTCGAAAATGTAATTTTTGAAAGCCGATTATAGCCATCAAAGTTAAGTTTTCCTTCTTGTACGGTTGCAAAGTTGTTGAGAGGATAAAAGATAAACTTGTTACCAGCGTTTCTGAAACATTTATAAAATGTTTTTAATTACGTCTCTTCAAACGTAACTTCGTTTTTATGATTACGTCATACAGCTTAAAATTTGTTTACTCTGCCAATATGTCTACACAATTACCTATTTCTTTATTTAAAGATTTCAATGATATTTTAAATGAAAGGAATTCTTTTCTATGAATTTATGCCTAAATTCAATTTTAAAGATCATTAAATTTTTGCGAATTTCATAAAATTAGAGAAATCGTAGAGACTGACACAAAATGTTACGCTTCACGTGAAATAAACGTGCGTCATCTAACGCAACAACATTTTAAGAATTTAATTTTCTTCCAATTCTGCGATCTTCAAAATTTTAATCTGATTTTTCAAACTTCTTTTAATTTGATATCTCCTTAAATTCTTAAAACTTAAATTTGAAATTTCTTCCTAAATTAAATCAATGATTTTTCATTAAAACTTTTACTCTTAAATTGTTAGTGAAGCCTCTTAAAAAACAATTCAGTACAAACTACAAGCTAATTATGTTTTTCCCCAACCAATAATGAAACTCATGCAGCTTCATAATATCTCTGCAATAATAATCTTAAAATCATTCCTTGTTTTTCTCCTGTATGCTGCTGCTCTCTGTAATACTAAATCGTGGTTTTTGCAAACAAAATGAATTTTTCCGAGAAAAACTGAGAAAGTTTTCTCCCTTTTTATTATTTAAGTGAATCATCAGCAAATAAAGAGGAAAATCGATCACAAAACTAGAATATTTTTATTGGAATATTTTTCTTTTTTCTTCCTTAGTAAAAGAAAAACAAGCTAAGAATCATCTTGGCGCCATCAGAACGTTAAGTGCTATAGTCTCTCTTTCAAGAGGGTCGATGCTTTGAATAAAACATAAATATTCCCTTCAACTATGATACGCAGGCTGTTTCGAATTCCAAAAAGATAAAAAAATATATAAATGGCTTTTATACAGTTTGCCATAAAGCCTCAATAGAGACGAAAAGATTTTTATTGTTTGGCAGCGTGAAAATTAGCCAGACATTGTGACGAGACATCAAGACATCGTGGAGACTATCGAACGGAGTTTCATGAATGAAATGACTTCATCAGATGATGGGATTTCTGTTACATCATCCAATGGAATTTTTAAAAATAGTTTTATCGATTCGGAAGTTTTAAAGCAACAAAAATTTTCTAATGCAGAGAAGAAGAAACTGCTGACAAGTTTCATTGCATTTAAATATCATATGCAAATTATTTGTTTTCCAACTTCCACTCCCACACACAATAAATCTCAATATGCAAATTGAAACTTCGAAACATTAAATGTGTCGTACTTTTCTGTTTTATAACATTTTATAGCTCAGCGGGAGTTAAAAAAGAGATTCCTGTTCATTTAGATAATTTCTGCTGATTGGGATAAAAACGAAGTACGAGGCAAAAAGCGAACAATGGGCCGTTGTAAAACGCTGATGATGAATAAAATTTCAAAAATGGGGGACGGCAGATGAAGCAATGAATAAAGGGATGAGATATTAATTGATTTCAGAGATATTTTCTTTTTCTATGATACTTGAGAATTGGTAAGAGGATTGTTCATAGCGCGCTGATTGATTTTCTTTCATTTATATTTGCTTCATTTTTTCATCTCCACTTCAGCGTAGAAAAATATCGCACGCAGAGTGAACGATACAACAAAAAAGGAAAAAACCACACAAACATTTGAAGCCTCTTCATATGAAACTCATTACCATATCAATTCAAAGTCGTTGATGGTGAATCTGAAATGTGTTGAGTATGAAAGGGATTGAGAAATGTAAGAAGAGAGTGAAATCCTTTTGAAAGATCTTGAAGTGCTTTTAGTGTTGAATGCTGATGAAAATACTGAAAACGTTTTGTTGATAGTTGAATGAGTTTCGGAGTTAGCTAAATTTTTGTAATTTCATCATAAAATTCGTTTTCTTTTAAATATCATTGTATCTTTATTATAAAGTTAAAGACTGATGAGTAATGTTTTTCATCTCCTCCTGACAATGCAATCACCATGACAATGATTAGGGATGATTTTTCATTTATGCGACTTTCATCGCATTCCAACATCACTTAACAGAACAGATCATGATGTTTTAATAAACTCGACGAAGCATAAGGCTCATCATACTACACAACGTTTTGGAGTGATTATTAATAAAGCATACGAATATTTTTTGAAGATGAAAAGCGATACGTGATCGTATCTCATGGTTTGAATATTTTTTAATACATTTCCTTATAACTTCCATTCATGGCACCATGACAGTTCCTTCTTTTTTTATTGACAAATTTTTCTGTTAAATATTCAACAGGATATAAATTCCTGAGACATGGACATGATGAAAATTAAACGAACGTAAGTTCTTCATGTTTTGAATCATAAAATATGATTCAAAAGTCTTCTTTTAATTTCCCTTTAAGGAACTTCGTCGATTAAAGTAAATCGTAAATCCTTTAATTTATTTGTTTCGCGCAGCATGTCGCAAACACAAAATTGAACAAATTATAATCTTTACATCTCGAAAAATGAACAAACATGACCTTTCCACACAATTTCCATCTCCACCAACTGATGAAGCGATGAAGAATGTAGAACATTGAAAATCCTTACTACGTGCTGTGGAAACAATTCGTTTAATATTTTCCTCCCGATGTTTATGAGAAAAGGGATTTTAAAAGTGGATCGCTTATGACGAAGAAGTAGAAATACTTAAAGATAATGATTATGAATATTTAAACGCTTTAATTGATCAAATGGTAAAATTTATGTACGAACATAATACTTAAATATCATAAATTTATTCGTAGCAAACTGTCCATTGAAATGAAGCTTAAAGAGGTTGTTTTAATTGAATATAATTTCATAATAGAACGGTGGGAGTTGAATTGCATTTCCATGGCTGCTAAATGTGATAGCGAATATTAATTCCATCTAATTGTGTACTTTGCATGGAAATTATGAGATACATGATGCTGATGAAAACAACCATTCAGTTATCATTTAACTGAATTGTATTTTAATCAGCTTAAATATACTTCAAACAGTTCTTTAGACGTAAGTGCAGCAAGAAATATTTTTGTCATAAATTTGAGGGTTGTAATTTTTCAATACTTTTCCTGATTAAATCATGCAAATTAAGTTATAAATTTCCTTCCTGTTTTTCGTAATATTTTTCTAGTGCCTGATAGCATCAATGAAGCACAAAAGAATTGAATATTTACTAGGGTTACTTATGCTCGAAGGTTATTTTCAGAGAATGTTGATCACAATCTTATGTAGGATTTTATTTCATTAGTTATCAAAGATTGATGTTGTTCATTAAAACATTTAAAATAATGGTAAACAAATGTGACGTCTTTTTTAGAAGCATTTCGTGTAGCAACAGGGAAGTGATGAGCTTCCATATTTCACGTCATGGTAAATGATACCGTTGAATATTCATAATCAGTTGCGGTAAGTAATTGAGAGATTTAGCAACATAATTTGATGTAAACAAGCATGAAAATTCCCGTTGACAGATTTCTCTTCTCATTTCGGAAATAGAATATTAATTTTCATCATTAATTTTCTTTCAGGAAAATGAATAATTTAAAGAAAGCTTTTAAAATTATTTTAATGTTTCGATGAGAAAAATTTCTTGATTGAAGTTTTTAAGAACTTTTAAAAACAGTTGCCCCTTAAAGTTATGCAACTCAAATGTATTTCAATTATTTTTCTAAAACAATCATTCGATACATTCTCACCAAATTTTTCTCACTGTTATCAACAAAATAATGTCTGGTCCAACCAAACAAAATTTTTGGAATTGTTTTAGCATAGGGAGAATCTGAGAGAATTCATCTCGATGGCATTGCGTCTTAAAGAATTTCATTCCTTTCGATTTTCTCGATACCAAGGCGAGTCATTCACTGAATTGATGAAGTGAAGATGTGAACTCATTAATGCCTTCATCTTTAGCATGCCAGTCTCGTTCGGTATTGCGGAATTTGCGTTCACTTTTCTATGGCCTCGACTATATGTGTAGTTTATCTTTAATGGAATTTTTTCACAAATGCATCTTGAAGTCTGTGAGAAAAATCGATCATTTTCAAGATTCCTGATTTCTATCTTGAATAATGTGTTTTTGGAGCAAACATTTTTATGTCAGAAACTTTCGCGACGCCACTAAGCTCTTAAATATTTTTGTCTGACTCGCGCTGTCGGAAAAATTTCCTTTCGTTATTCTTGCATAAATGTTTTTTTTCGGAAGTGAATGGCCGCGGATATTGAGTAAATATTCTCGTCACGTTCATAAAGCGTCTTAATGATGAGAAGAAGAATTTTTATTTCCATGAGAAAACTTCCGAGTAACTTGAACTTAAATTTTATTCTCTAAATTATTGCATCGATGAAGAGTTTTCATTTAATAAATTAGAGTGATAAAATTTTTATATCATTAGTGCAAGCAAGATGATTAATTCAAGTCTTAAACCACGATTCATATTTTATCAGCAAGTTATTCAATTTCATTGCAACCAAATTTAATTCGCTCCCTAGAGTGTCATTTGTTAACACTTTTCTTGTATTTTCCTAGCTTTTATCAAGTTGTTTCAATCACCACAATCATTCCCAATAAAAATATCCCCGATGAGATTTTTAACAAGGATTTTCCGCATGTCTCGCCATGAATTTCATTTTCTTTCGTAACGCAATCATATCGAATTATGCTGCGATGATTTATGCGAATTACATTTTTTCATCCCCTTGAAAATCTGAGAAACAAGCAATAAGAGAAGCGCATCGACGACTTGTTTATATTTTTTTCAAGATATCTAAATCCACTTTATTATGTTGTTGATTATTTGTTATACTTTCAGTTAAATCTCAGTGAAGTCTTGCCATAATCGGATTGAGTTGTTGAAAAATATTTTCCTTTAAATATTTCCTAATGATTTATTTCCATAGTTTTTAATCCTCTTCCACTCATCGATCAATGTATGTATGTAATTTTTAATAGCTAACTTACCCACTGAAGACACCACCAGCTTTTTCCTTGATATTCTCTCGGAAAGCTGTATCACGTAGTTTCTCTCTAAATCCATCCATGTTCGCTAAATTTATTAATTCACTGAGCGAATCACGAAAAAGTTTAGCTTAGTGCAGCTAAATTTATCAACAGTCGTTCGGTGGAAATATTTTACACCAGAAATTTATTCTATGAATTTGTTCCGAATAGCTTTGAAAATAAATCTTTATTAAACTTCTGTTATAAATTATTTTAATCTTCACTAGCACTTACAATCACTTTAAGCTCATTTTTAATTAGATAGTTGAGCGATCTTCGATGACTCTGAACATGAAATTCACATTTTAAAAGAAACAGAAAAATAATAAAAGAAATAAAATTAATTTAAATAAAGAGAAGAAATTAGTTTGAAAAGAAAAAAAGGATTATTCTGGAAAAACCAGAGTGCGATGACGACACACGTGGTTGTCAGGTCTGATTGCACTTGAACAATGATTTGAAAAAAATTTTGAATCGCAAGCAACATTCACAAATTTCAGCTCGTGTCTGAAAGCTGTGTAAGGCTTGCTCCTGGGGAACAGCTTATGGAGAATATTCTCGAGGCCACCCCGTCAACGGTAATACACACTTATCAATTGTGCTGTGCGTTTCACTCTCAACAACACAAAGCGCGGTTATCAGCACTCAACGGTTGACTCGTGTCTGAAAATGTGGAAGATGCTAAAGGAATATTCGATTTTCTTTTCTCTTTTGTCACATGAATTTCTTATCATGTTCTTTGCAATTCAGAGAACATCGTGTCATCCCTATCGCTCTCACAACACATTAAAATCGTTGACATGCGCACAACTCATCAGTCTGTCAACATATCGTTCTTGTTTCGGTTGGCGCCTCTTGCAACAGTATCGGATGAAAATAATAACAATTTGGATACCGTTTCTGCAACTCTCTCGCTTTCCTTTTCCTATCCTGTCATGGGTGGAGCTTAAAAAATATTTTTGGCATTTTGTTTAACCAAAATGTTTAATAAATCCTGAGAACAGTCGAACTCAGTTGAAATAATTTTGTTTGCAAATCCTCGAATATTTTCTCTCAACGATTGTGACTTTAAATGAGATTCAGGAATGAAGAGTCAAAATCAATAAATTTTGGGGACTTTTCCAACATGAAATGAAACTTTTGTAGCTTCTTCATCTGCCATTTTGAATTTTATTTGATGAGTTTTCAGCCCACCTGCTTTTCCAGGTGATGTCATCAATGTAAACATTCTGTCGATACTTAGAAATCTTTTCCATAAGTTTGATAAATCAAAAATGAAGTTCAAGTGAATTCATTTCATCGTTGCCATTTGAGCTTATGTAGCTATTAACACTAATCGTATTTGTCATTCTTTTTTGATCTCATTATCTGATTAGTTGTCACTGTCTCCATTTTGCGACTTGAAGACATTGAAAAACTTTTTGGAAGCTTAAATCTTTATAAATGTGATTTCAAAAGAAAAAGTCATTTCAAAGACTTTCAAAACAATTTTTTTCTCAACTTTAAGCAGAAACAAAATTTAGTTTTAGATGTCTAGATAAAGGAAGAAAAAAAATTGGTGAGTATTTCTTTCTGCAAATTTATCAATAAAAAGTCTTGGAAAAAGTTGAAACATTTCTGAAATTAGAAATAAAATCGCGATATCAAAAGCAATGCTTTTGAATAAAGTGAATAATTAATTAAGAATTTATTTTTTAGATATAAACATGTTGCTTGTTTGTAATCAATATTTACAGCATTTATTTCTCAATAAGAATTTTAATTAGCACTTGTTCAACCTGTCATAGTCACCTCATCACCAGCATGAAATAAAAACTTTTAAGATTAATTTAATGATCTAATAACTTAATGTGTTGAGGAGTGTTAAGGTTTTATTTGTTATCTGAACATTATCGCCTTAAACCATATCTCAAGTTTGTTTGAATGTGCAGTTGCTTAGTTGTTTGGTTTTAACTACAAAACTAAAATTATTTACTCCGAAAGTAACAAATTCATTCTAAGAACTAATTAATCGGTAGAAAGAATTATTTTTCAATGGTCAATGAATATCACCAGACATTGTACATAGAACTAAACATCTCGTGTTATGATTGCACTTTTAAAAATGACACAAAATGAAAATAAATAAGAAAGTCAAGCGGCAACTTTTGTGTCAAAACAAAACATTATTTCACCGAAATTCCATAAATTTTATAAATATTTAAAACGAGAAAATTAGATATCAAACGTAAGTAAGAAAACTGAACATTCCAATTTCTTTCGTCTTGTGTCAGCATCATAAAAATGAATTTCTTTCAGAAATTCTGGTGCTACCGACAAGATTTTAATTATTCTGAGAAAACACATTTTTTAATTTATCTTATTTTAACTAAATTTCATTTACAATTAAGAGCTTTTATCAAAAAAGTGAACCAGAATTATTTTTGAAATTTAACAGCCCTGAATACTTAAGCTGAATACACTTTGTGCTTCTAAATTCTACTACCTTTAACAAGGAACAAGGAACAACCCTCACATTCAACAATTTCCATCGATTTTCTTTTAAATTTCCATAGTTTTCCATTCTTCTTCCAGATGGCTCTGAAGGTGGAAAATCGTTTGGAAATTGGATGAAGAAAATCTAACGGAAAATAAAATTTCTACTTTTGTTAGATTCTTATTTTACTTATTAATTTTATAAGGAAATTAAATGTTTAGTTTTCTATAAATATTTTAGTTTTCTGTTTTCAGCACAATTTCTCTTTTTTTTAAATCTTCAATAGATTCCCATAGTATCCTCATGTTCATCTCTTAATTAAACAGAAATGATTGTCTTATTTGTTCACTCTGAACTGTGTCTAAACTGTGTCTAAATGTCGAAAATGAACAAGTCACACGCAAAATTTAATTCATATTGATTTAAGTGATCATCGACATTCTTCGCGTGAGTTTTTGCTGTTCTATTAGTTTCAAAATTACGTCATGGAATCTTTAAACGATGATGTGAGTTTATTTTCATTAATTAAATTGATTCCACTAAAGGTTTTTGTTGTAATTGTCAGTTTAAAAATTTTCGCCTTCCATTGACGATGCCGTTTCTCGATGATTCAATTCTCGCCAATTTGGATAAGATCATTTCGATTTTTCAAGGACAAGATGACAACACAGTTCCCACAGAAGAAGATGTCAAAAAAGTTTTAAATGATCTGAATATTGTGAAAAGTGAACTTGAAAGGATTTTTTCGAAGTTGTCACCAAGAGTTAGTGAATTTTCTTCTGCAAGTGATTTTAATGATAAAATAATGAAGGAAGAAGTTTGTCAAAACATTCAAAACTTCAGAACAATGAAGAATGAAGATAGTAGCAAAAATTTACTGGTTCCAAAGAAAACTAGCGAAAGTTCCAGTGATAGTAAAAGCCAAAGATCTTCGATGTCACGAAAATATTCCACGACTTCTCTTAGAAATTCCTTAACGGTCGCTCCATGTTCGTTCAGCCGTCGACAATCAAATCAGAATCTTAAGCAGCTTACACAAAAAACAAATCGTCATAAACAAGTTGGAAGATCATATAAAATTCCAAATGTTAAAGAAGAGACAAAGGATGAACAAAATCCAAAGAAATCTACGCCTAAAATAATCGACACACATTATGCAACATGTCGGATACATAGCTATGAAAACGAATCTTACACTTTTGAGATCATAAAACCAGAACGAAATAATTGTTATGGCGATGTCAACGAGAAGTCAGACATTGTTATTGTTGTATTGGCAAATGGACAAGCGGGTGTTTTTTGTAGCAAACCCGTTAAATCACTCGCTGGGGTTTTATCGTTTTGCAAAACGTAATAAAAGTTTCAATTAAAATATATCTTCTAGCTCTCACTTCTACTTCCCCACATCTAAGCTTGATTTTATTCATGAGATTTTAAGAATCAATCATGCAAACAATTCATTCATTTGGTGTCAAGAGATTGCGAATGTCAGACAACAGATCGTTCCTGGAGAATTCGTGATTTGCTTATCTCGTCAATTGTTTTGCATTCACATTACTGGCGACATTAGTACAGGATTGAATCGGGCAGCATCTTATGTCACCATTATAAAACCTTGTAGAATTCCCTTGATTTGACTTTTCGAAAATATAATTAACATGTGACTTGCATGTTTACCTTTCAAGATTTTTATCTGTCGTGAAATAAAATAATAAATTATTGCCTTTTTGTAAATGGAAAAGTTCTTTCCATGAATTGTCGACCGGTTGTTAATGGAAGCGAGCTTACGATGATCAATTTCTGAACTTTACAACAACATCAAAGTATTTGTTTGAAACGTAATTGGGTAGCTGAAGAAGTTAAATTTTTATGAATGAATGAAAGAAGAAGCCCGCAAAATAGAAAAACGTAAATATCTGAACATTTATCTCTACGCCCACGCTCGCCGACAACGTAGGCATAAGTCATTTATTTTATGGGTTTATCGATGCACAAACACTTCTTTTTCTGTCTCCCTCTTTCTCTCTATCTCGTTGCAGAAAGTATTTTTCATTCTATAATGTTTACAAATGTTTTGAATGAGAGGCGCCGTGACCACGTTGCGTCACAGTATTTGGAAATTATTTATTCTGTTGATATTTCACTTCGATTATAATTTGTTTATTGATGTGTCGTCTTTAATAAAAAAAATTAAACAGCATTCCTAATCGAAAATATAAATTAGCAGCTTAAATGTTAAATTATTTGAGTAGTTTTGCCATTTTTTCAATACTCAATTCACCTGATGATATAAATAATAATGTAAAAATATCGATTAAATCATGTTTTTATCTTCTCATTTGACTCGTCTTAATAGGCGCCATTTCTAAGCCATTTATATTCCATAAATTCTGATAAAATCCTAATAAACAGCATGTATAAACAATCAAAGTTGACAACAAATAAATTGAATTGCAATGTTTGAACAGAAGTTAAATGAAAGTTTGTATTAGTTTCACTTATTATGGCTATCACCACACGTATTGACTTATAGAATTTGAATTACGTTTTTTATATTTCTTCCTCACATCAAAATTTAAGTTGCTGAGAACAATACTTGAAGCATGAATGTGAATCGATGTATGTAGATATATGAAAACAGTTTCAGCGTCAGGCGCCACAATTTAAATTTAAATCTTTTCTTTTTCCTTCTCGTGTTTTTTTTTCTTTTCTTGTTCTCCTTTTGTTGATTGGTGGAAGAGTAATCACAACAACTTAAAAGGTTCAACTCTCAATATTAGATACTTCTCATGTGGCTGAATAAAGAGTTCGTTTTCACATTGTTGCGTTAATAACGAACCTTCAGTTTTCGTTGATGATCGGCATATGAAAACGATTTTATCTCATCGCCTCTCATCGTCTGAAATACTTAAGCTCGCTCTCATAAATTATCGTTTAAGAAGACGTATCAATTTCAAATGAATTTTCATTGCCAACGCCAAAACAGTAGATCGCCAAGTTTTCATATGAAACTTTGTCTGGAAGTTTAAGAAATTGATTGACATAACTTGCTTCTGATCACGATCGCTGAATATTTTCGATGAAATAATTGTTCTCATCAAATTGATCGCAAACTTTTAATTCAATGAAAGCAGACGTCAACATAAATTTGACTCAAAAGGTGCCACAATAAATTAACGAGAAAACGTTTTTCAACTTCGTGTATGAAAAATTTTATTGCAACAAAATGTGACGACGAAAAGCAAACTTCATAAATTTCTCACACGATTATTTATGGCTTATTCTGACTTCATTAATTAATCTCGTTTTTATAGACTATTAAGACAGTTTGTTTGATTTTCTGGAACATGGTTCTCGTATTATTTTCTACTAAAGTTCAATGAGAAGTTTCTAACCGTGCTAAAATAGATTTCTCATTCAGACAACGATGAAACGTAGTACATTTTTTAGATATGATAAAAAATGGGAGTGCGACTTGAAAATTAGATCACAATCGTTTATGGAAATCACCAAATGCTCCAATCCTTAATTTAAATTCTTAATTGAATTGTTTTAAATGAAATCACCATAAAATGGGAATAACTGGCATGCAATATATCATGTTAATGGACGTTGACGTCGCGCCGTAGGAAAAAAAAAACATTACGAGTCAGTGAAACATTCCATTGGCCAGCAAAGCGAATTACCGCGATTCATTCATTTAATTGGATATCAAAAATCGTTCTTTAGTTTGAAGTAAAATGTTGTTACATCAATCGATCTGATAAATCATCAATCACCCACAAGTTTCGTGCCATTTACACCGTCGAGTGCGCTTAAATTCTCTTTCTAGTGAAGATTAATTACCCACGCGAACGCGTTGAAAAACATTCTCTGTTACAAACACAAAACATTTTTATTTAATGTGATTTTGTGCGAAATAAAAGCCACCTTGATATTTTTTTTTGAATTTCTTGCTTTCTTGTCGAAAGCACAAAAAAAAAGAGTCTCAATGTAATAAGGATAATTACGTGTTACCTTAAACAGAATCATTTCGTATCCAACTTAAATTCGTGTTCCCATTAAGACGACACACACTTTAGATTTCACTGCTAAGTGTCGGAGATTGAGTTGATTTAGAAATCCCATAATTTATTAATTTAACGTGTTAAACACAATCGCGCCAATTAAAAGCACCACGCTATAAGTAAATGGCCAATGGTACGCTATGCCCATCAAGAGTCGAACAAATTTGTCAATTGTTTAATAAATTACCATCGTCTCCGAGATCGGAAATCTTTTCTTCTCCTCTTCTTATTTTACAATATCATCAAGCAAATCTTAATCTCCCCGCACGCTGAGTTTTCAGTTCCATTCATAAGTTCATCTTGATTCCAGTCCTATACAAAGCGTTTGGCGTTGGATGTAAGTATCAAATTGAGCGAGAAATATTTATTTAAAAAAAATACAAAATACATTCAAAATTTTGCGCCCTGTAAGAGAGCCAAAACTTGAACACATGCATCCGAAGAGTATCGACACACAGCCAGTTTCCGTTGGTACTGAAATTTAGTTTATATGTTAAAGCCTTTTTCTTCTCTTGTTTCTCGTTTTTCTCACATTCGCCCCGTCAGAACGATCACAAGTCATTTGTTTGAAATCGTTTGAGCGGTTAACATCTTTTTAGAAGCTTGTCGCAGGTGACAATTTATTATTATTATAACTTACTTTAAACAATTTCTTTATACACAACCTGAGTAAAATTAAAATATTTCTGATGTGACAAAATTTGTGAAAATAAATTTAGTGATGGAATAAAAAGAAAATGAGAAAAACCAAAACAAGCACTATAGAAAAATAAAATAAAAAACAAGAAAACGTGTGGATTAATAAAGCAAAAAAATATTTTGTGAAAATGGCAATAAAATAACTAACTAGATATTGCCTCAAACAATAATAAAACAATAAACTTGTGAGAAAGAAAACAAAAGAAAAAAAATCTTTACTTCTTGTTCTCTTGAAAATCTATTGAGAAAAGCGACAACAAGTCATCACCAGCATTGAAACCAAACAAATTTGGATTAGTCAGCCAAAGGTGTGTATGTCGTAATCTGACGTGCCATAAAGCCAAAATCGAATGCAAAAAATGACCCGCCACCATGTCTGACTTTAAGTGGGTTTCTTCTTGGGTTGTTATCAAGTAGACATTATTGAATAAATTTGAGTATTTCTGCAATTAATCTTCACATCTGGAAATCGTCATATTTTAATCTCATTGCGAAAAAAAAAACGAAATAAAATCAATTTTTCTAAGATGTTGATCTGTGCCAATAGTGGAAACAAATTGTGATTTTTTATGGTTCTCGTCGTTAACTTAATTAAAAATAAAAATTTTCATGTCGGTCGTTAAATTGCAATGCATTTACTACAAATCCAAATTGAGAAAAATCCTACAGTTATAATATCAAATATCAATAACTACCGACGAACTCATCATAAGCACATAAAGCATCATCCAATGATTCTTAAGATCATGCACGAGTTGAAAAGCAAAAGAAAAATTAAAAAAAAACCTCGAATCAATTAGAAGCCACTGTGGAATTAATCAAACACTGCCTTAATTATTTTTTTATAATTGTTATCGATGTTTTCTAAGAGTTTTTCCTTCAACAATCAAAAGTTTTTTTTTTCGAAGCAGAACAGAGAGCAAGACATGAGAAATAATAGCATTTACGATCGTTTGGCTCGAGAAAGAATTTATGGGTTTTTAATTAAGGTCTTAAAGTTTATTTTGTTGTGCTTGTTGTTTTGATGGAGAAATCGAAAAGGAAAAATCAAAAAAAAATTATTGGCAAACACTTGAAATAGAATTTCGTCCGTTGTTGTTGGCTTGAAAATTGAGATTGAGTAAAAAAAAGATTTTTTTTTTCTTTTCGAATTGACTGCTTCACTGACGCCACTCTCGATTTAATTTTTATTACAACTGGCTTTTCTCTTGCCGTTTGAAAAGTTCTGCGATTAGTGAGAATCATTATTTGTGATGATGATTTGACCAAGCGGAAAATTCTTGGCAGGCATTAAGAATTGTTTCTTGAGATCAAGATCATCAGTAGAAATTGCTAATTCTTGTCTGAGTTGATGATTGAACTGCCTCGAGTTAGTGATCTTTTTTTGCATAAATAAACTGCAGACTCTCTTGTCATGATACATTAGCTTTGATTGCCTGTAATTGAATCATTTACTTTGTAATCCCCTCAAATTCAGAGAATAAAGGCATTAAGCTTTCTGGCCTCTGGACGTTTGAATGATTTCCATGGACAAACATAAATTGATGTTGAACGACGATGCACTTCCGATTGAAGGGAGAAATGAAGTAAATGTAATTTCTACGCGCCGTTGTTAATCAGCTTTTAATGCATACTTCCGTATATCCTACTTCATCTTTCGTAATGTATTTAATGTTTCATATTTTAACCGACACTCGTGATTATTAAATTAATATTTTTGTAAACGGAAACTAATCACAGCTTTATTATAAAGCAAGAAATTCAAACGTTAGTTTTGGTTTAACTTCGCCCACGACTACTCATGGCGCTATTGGCCGCTGTTGAATATTTGGGTCACTCAACCATTTACTATAAATTGTCTTAAAAGTTTTTAATTTCAAATGTGATAACTCAACGATCAGTTTAGTAAAAGATTCGCAAATCTTTTTTTCTTCACCGCTATTGAAATGTGTTTGGGAAGTAGAAAATTACTTTCTGATTTAATTTAATTTTTTCAATTCTTTTCATTATAAATTAACAAAGTTTTATTTTATTGTTTTCATTATATGTTATACCCTATTTTGTGTTGTTTTCTTACTCTCAAGTTTTCAGAAAAAGAAGCAGACAGTCATGTGGCGCCCACCATTAATAGGCCCACCTTTTGGCCTCATCTGTATGTACCATCTCTCTTCACTCTCTCGATCTTGTAATAATATCTACGGCTTTCAAGAAGAAAAGAAAACAAATTTCTACTTGTTACCGAAACGAGTGATCAAGAGAATCTTACCATAACATTAAAATTTAAACCACATATTATATTTAAATTTAATGTCTAAGTTTTTTGTTATGTTAATTTCAACTTGTTGCCAACTTTTATATTCCTTTTTGAAAAGATTATCTAAATATTTGAAAGAACTCTATTCAAAGATGGATAGAATATTCTTTCAATTTTTTGAGAACTTCATTAGACTGTCGCCAGAAGTATAAAAGTCGAGTTTAAGAAGAAGAATGCGAAGAAGAGAATCAAAATATTAGCAAATATCATTGCAATGCTCCACGCATATTTTGTAATATTTTTAAATGAAGAATTCTAATATTTCGGCCTTCGCTAACTTAATGGAAGAAATGAAGTAAGAAAAGAGAGAAGTTGCGAATAAACTCTTTCCGTTTATACTTACCTACTCGCCCAGTCGTCATATAGTGTAATTGTAAAATGTTTTGTAAATATAAATGAAAGCATTAAACGTGGGTACTGTGAATATGATATGGGCTTGAGAGTTTCGTTCGTGAGAGAGATAAATAAAAAACCAAAATAAAACACCCACAAATTGATTCAACTTTCGTTCATATTCTCTTTTACTTAATGAATGACTTCGATGTGTGGATTTATTCTGTAGTAAAAGCAATAATTTTCAGTCATATAATATTCGAAAAGTTATCAAAGAGAAGACTACAATCTACTTTGTAACAACTCGGATAAATATCATTGGGTTGTGGATATTTGGCGCCTTCTGTTTTTTTTTTGTTTTCTTCTCCCGTGTTCTCTTTTTTTTTGCTTCATTTTGAAGACTAACTCTTCATAAGCAGAAATGTGATGGAAAAAAAGTCGGCAGTCTTGAAATGTCCATGGTTTTTTAATTTTAATACACATTAACGTTCTGTCTTAATTTTAATGGGTTTCATATTTATTGATTTTTTATCACAGTGCAGACGGCAGACAAGGGAAGATTGAGTGAAAACAAATGAAACAGAAAGATTTATGTAATTTTTTATTTTATTTTTTAAATCTTGTCACGCACGTTTAATCCTTGATGATGAAAAAGAAATATTGAGAATCATGAAAAGATGAAAGAATTGATGGAAATTCCTCATAACCGTCGTCAGTTTTATTCGCAAAAAACATTCGTTATACCTGAATGAATGCATGACAGTTAAGTAAGCTGATTTTGTGTCGAAATAAACGGAAATTTTGCACTCTTTTCTTGATATTTTATGACAAGCATGGGCGACAATAATGATCATCTGTTTCATCAAATAAGCTCGCACGTTTCTCAAAAATTTTTCTTATTATTGTCTTAAGTGGGCAGTGCCAGTTGAGCGGCATATTGATTGATATAAAGTTAAGTGATTGTAATTCTTCCGAACACTCTCAAATTTCATAACTTTTTAAAAGATGAAATGTTTATGTTAATTGTTGTAGTTGAATGGTTAAAAAACGTCACACGCTTTTCAAAAGAGTTTTTATTTATTTGCGTTCAGAAAATATATTTTAACGATTCTTGCTTTCATACCGTGAATGAAGAATTCCATTGAAGTTTAGATTTCTCAACATTCTGAATATATATTTGACACTTGAACTTTTTCTTTTGAGCATCATGTGAAGAGAAGGAATTAATTATTTTTTTCATTAATCTCTTACAGATGACGCGGATTAATTTTACCGCCATTTTCCTCTGTCTTCATATCATTGAGTGTCATCGAATTCATTTATCCGATTCAATTATGGACATCATCAATACACAGCATGTGGAAAAGATTTTGGCTGATCGAAGGCAGAATAATAATCTAGATGATGATGTGACAGAGACAGAGACGGACGTTTATCCCACATCTGATACTCTCATAGACTTTGACTACAACACGAATCAACCTCAACGCAATCGTCTTCCATTGCCCATTCATGGCGACATTGTGATGAAATACAATGACTCAATTATACCATCACCTTCATCAACGTATGCATCGCGTTTTCCGAATGCTGATGGGAATTTATTGGCTGATTTGCAAACATACAGAGGTGATAAGATCTTGAAGTCAAGCAAGAGTGCTTTGTTTATTGCAAAGAAGGAGTTGTTGAAACAAGATTGGTGTAAGACCGAGCCATTCGAACAAAAGATTCGTGAAGATGGCTGTTACAGCAAGAAAGTTATTAATAATTTCTGCTATGGTCAATGTAATTCATTTTATGTCCCGAAAACACCGAGACGACGAAGAAGAAATCATCGAAATCAACGTGATCATCGCGTCAGACAATCACACAACAATGTCGATTCATTTCGATCGTGTGCATATTGTAAACCAAAGGAATACACATTTGTTAACGTAATTCTGAAATGTCCATCATTAACACCCAACTACAGACGAAAGCGAATACAAATTGTGAAGGAATGTCGATGCATTGCACAAAACGTAAACTGAGAATTTTTGTGATGTTTTTTTTATTCTTTCAATTCTACCCTAAAAAAACGAGAAAAAAATATAAAAAATATTCGGTTTTGCAAGTTATTCCAAGTCATGTCTCGCATTTCTTCACTTCATTTGAACGGTATTGAAACGCACAACAAAGCAATCCAATTGGTTCAGGTTCAAGGACAAAGAAAATATTCAAGAAAAATTCTTTTCTCCTGAACTCAACCGGAAATTCAGTTAAGAATGAAATGTCTCAAATCACCTACATAAGTACCAGGAACCAACAAATCCAATCGAACGTGACTTTTCGGCTAAAACACTTCTTATGAAAATAAACACGAATCTGTTTGATGTTTTCGGCAGTCGCATTTTTAATTTTTGGTGATCGTCAGTAAAGCTTGACATGAACTATTATCGGTTCTTGGAAATCTAATAATAAGGCGAAACAGAAGCATGAATAATAATCATAACACCAGTGAATGTTGTATCATGTTCCTACAAGAAACAAGAAGAAACATTTTAGATGAAAGCAAACAAACAAAATATCTCCACATTGATACAAGAAGAATGAAAATTATAATTATGATGTGAACAATAATATTAAAAGTTGAAGCGTAAATATTTATTTGGAATGTAAGATATGTCAATATGTAACAATTTATAAGATGATTGGGTGAACATAATCTTTGTTAAATACAAATGTATGTTTGTGCAGTTTATGAATGGAAATGGAATGAAAAGAGATTTACGAAGAAGTTGTAAATAAAATGAAACTTTACCTGTTACTTTGCTTGTTGTGTCATCGGCTAAATATTTATGCTCGTCATAATGAAAGAAATGTTTTTTTAAAAAAATTATAGCAAATATGGAACATCGAATCAGATTGATTTTGAAAATGAGTGTTAAGGAAGATATTTCCAATCATCTTAACATATATTTTAATGCAACGAGGATATCTGTAAGAAATATTTACATGAAAGAAATATTGAATTATGTACCTAAATGTCAAACTAACTTTTAAAAACATTTTTAATTAGATAATTAATTAGTTTTAAGATATTAACTATCCGCAGTTATTTAGCAAGAGTCTGTGTAAAGAAAATAAGTTCAATAATAAATTTAATGTTTTTGAGAAAATTTATTTTCTTTAATTTGCTTTTTCATTTTACTATTTTGTAGTAATGATGTCTGGTGAAATAACGAAAAACTCCCAAACTACATACTTAGTAAAATATTTGAAATTTCTTTTGTCATTCATTCAAATGGGAGAGATGACAACGTCTTATGTTTTATTTATCTTTGGACGACAGATTACTAATTAAAACCTATTAAGACCAATACGACCGAGACGACATTCTAATCTCAAGTGCTTGAAGCTAAAGGAGAATTATTGCTGCACTCAAGTGAATCATGACGACTTGTTATCGTGTGCTGCTAAGAAACTCGGAAAATGAAATTGTTTTAGTCTTCTTGTTCTTCGCAGCATACGTTATGTATACATAACACAAAGTCTTGAAGTGAACTTTGAGGATGATTTATTCATGAAAGTAGACGCTACTTGATAGACGATGACGACTTTTTTGTTCTTGTTTTAATAACTGGAGACTATTGAATGCGTATCAACTTGACTTCTTTTCCCTGTTCTTCTCTTTCTCCTTAAATTTTTGATTTGCCGGCTCGTTCTCGATTCAGGAACGAAACGAACAACAGATGTGAATAATTCTTTTTTTTCTTCTCAAGATGTGGCGCCAAGGCCAAGAAGATCTTTTTTAACTTTTCTTTTCTTTCGTTTTTTTTCTGTTTTACTTGGCTCCATGATATTTTTATTTGTTGTCCATTATGCAGATCAACCGAAACTAAATATTAATTTATATGTGCGCTTCTCTCGCCATGGAATATTTTCAATCAACGTTCTCTGCACTCTACTTTGGCACGCATTTAAGAAATCAAAAATCAATGAAAACATTTTCATAAGAGATGAGAATTGTGTCGGAATTTAAGAGAATAAAAACCGTACCGAAGTTCCCAAAACATGTTTAATTATTTCAATATCTCGAGGCAAATTCTTTAATTTTATTTAAACAGTTTCAGATGTTGCTGAACTTTAGTTTCTACGGGTTTGGTCTAATTAGATTAGACAATCATGTCTGTCGTCGAATGTATTATGATTGACATCTGAAATTACTTTGTAAACAATTCAATAAAATTATATTTAAAGAAAAAGATAATAAATCACCATCAAAGCGCAGAGAATGATGAACACGAAGGAAAAAATAATTTTTTGTCATGTTAGCATTTAAATAAAAAAATCTTTTTTCTAGCTGCTGCTTTGACATCCAACGAATTCAAAAATATTTGGAAGGTAATCTGGAAGGTAAATATTGATATGATGAGTTGATATGATACAAAACATAATGTCAGAAGTGTTCAAACATGAAGCACAATGTCAAAATAAATTCAATCGTAAAATTGAATATCTAATAAAAGCATAAAGTAATAAAAAAGCACATAAATAATCAAAATCATATACTTTGATTATGCTTTAGACTTCACAGAAATAAGCATCGTTCATATATATTTGCTTCATATAATAGGTTTGAGGTTTGATTATAATCCCATTTTTTTGTGATTTTTTATTGATTTTTAATTTTTTTTTTCCATTTTTATTTTTTTTTGTATCTGATATTTTATTCTTATTTCAATGATCCTAAAGATGTTACTTCTCTCATATTAAGTTGGGCTTAAAATCTGATCTCATAACAGGATTCCTATTCAATGCTACTTATAAAAATATTTCATTTCTTCGGAATTCTTTTGCTGTAGATAGTGTCCAATAATAATAATTATATATTTGTTTGTTTAAAGAATTTAAAGTTCTGTCAATAAAACTCTCTTTTATGGGTACATAACATTTAAGTTTAATTTTTATTCTTTCGAATTGTTTTTTTTTCTTCTCTTAGTTTTCTTTTTAAACGGATCCATTCCCTCATTCCAAAGTCTGCTGCACGATTTCACGATTTGATAAAAGTGCAATCTCACACGTTGAAAGTGTGGTTGATATCAGCTGCTCTTGAGGTTATCTTATATAATTCTTTCTGGTATTGTCTTACAATGTTTTAAGTTTAAATATTTTTCTCAATATTTAGTTTATTAAATTCTCCATCAAGACGGTGAAAATCTTTTAAATATTTCAAATATGAGTGCAAGTTGATTCTTTTTTCTTTTCTGTTCAAGTGAAGGTGCAAAATTTTGGTTTTTAGTTTTCACTAATTTTTCTTGTGTGCAAATTAAGCTTTAGACAAAGATTTTTTATCATAAAGTCATAAAGTTTTCCTCTCAAATTCAAATCAATCATCTTAAGGATATTTCATTTTCTTATCTAAGATGAGTTGAATATTTCCTATGACTTGTTCAAAATATTCCCCAAAAATTTAAATCTTTTAAATCTATTCATTAAGTTTTAGTTAAGTAAAATAAATGCCTCATTAGTAATTATATGCCTTGATTTTTTTTTTCATTTTTATATTTTGAGATGTTGCATTTTGAAGATTTATCGGTAATCAATTTTATTCAAGTCAAACATAACTCTAGGAGTGTTAATCAGTGATTTATTTGATACAAAGAAGAGCAATGCTTAAAGCGAGAATATTTCATTACTGATGTTTATTTAAGTAAATAATAAAGAAGAGATTTCATCTGAAATATCATCGATTAATTTCTTGATCTTCCTAGAACATTGCGTAATTCTTTGTGTCAAAAAAAATCAATTAACGTCAGTCTTCGATATTAATTTCTCTTCTTTTCCTCATTTTCCTTATCGTGAATCTTCCTCATCTTCATCTGCAAAAGAATTGAGGCTTTATGACGTCAATATTTATGCGAGATTAAAGTTAGCTAACACTTTAAAAATTGTTCATCAGAAATCCAATGGCATGGCATAATAAAGACAACTCTACACTTTTTGATGGTAATTTTAGTGAATTTCCAACGAAGAATTTTAATTAGTAACCCGATGTCGCTGACGTCATAAAGTCTTTTTTTTCTCTTTTAAAATTAATCTCACTGTTCAGTTATAAATGATTGTGAGATTCATCTCTGAGACAAATCTCTTGACTTGATACGAAATGCAACTTTATTCCATAAAATCGTTACGATGTTTACTCAGATGACAATGAATTTTCTTTTTTAAATCTTCTTTCTTTTTTGATATCTTCTGATGAAGTTTCTGATATTTTTCCTTCTAAAAAAGCAACAATCATTACATGTTTGCAACTCTGTGTTATGTTTAATATATCTTACAATTATAGTGCATTAATTTCATGTATATTGAAAAATAAAATGGGAATACATAAAAATATTAATCTTATTCATTTAAAAGATTCTTTGAAAAGTTACCATTTGTCCATTTTGTCGATTAAGCATTGTCGTCATTGTTTTGTTAGTGATTCCATTTAATTTATATTGAATCCTTTCTTAGCTGCGATTGGTAATTTTGGACCTTGCAAGTATGGATTGGTTGCTGGTTTCGATGATTTCTTAACCCAAAATTTCTTTGCAACCAAATTCTTGTGTTCTTGAGGAAATTGATGTGATAAAAATCCAAAGTTTTGTTGTCCATTTGCTTGATCTTGTACCGTATTTGCAGGACATTCAAACATATGCTCAGAATCGCACATGCACTCCTGGGAACTTTGGTACTCACGAGAGAAACTTGCAGTATTTTCAAAATCAGTGGTGCATCCTTGATCTTCGGTATAACCAACTGGACATGGATTCGGTGGATTGCAATATGCTGGTAAAGCTGCATCCGTCTTCACTTGTGGTTTGATGACATGCGGCCCTTCACCACCACCTCCAGACATAAATTGATGTCCCCACAAAGAACTATGCTGCATGTATTCAGAATCTCTTAACGATGGATGTGGGTTGGAATGTTCCAAGATGGAATCGTAATCCATTATCCGTTCATTTTGATCTTTTGTAGCTCGGGCCATCATCGCAAGTCTTGCGTTGCTCAACGGTAGAGATGAATCATCGTCAAGATATTCATCTGATTGTTCTCCAATCAAATCTTTATTCAATGCGTCGGCGAACAAATCGCGAAGCAATGAATCCGGGATGAAGCTTAGATCCTTCATGTTGTTATAGGCAAAAGATGCACCAAAGAATATTGTTACGAGAAAAATGATTTTCATACTCGATGCCATGGTCAAATTCTAGAATGAAAAGGGAAAAATATGAAACATGTGACTTTTGAGGCCCACACAGATTTTGCCGAAATATGAGCTTTATATACGAACACCTGTTGATGTTCAACCGATACTGACTTCATTCACAATTTTGTGAAACAGAAAAAAAAGAAGAAAATATAATCCGCGCCACAATCACATTTTCACGTTGTTTTCATATTTTCTTCTCTTTTCTTCTCTCGATTGTGTTGAGGAGAAAGAAAAAAAATCAATAAATTTATCATCGCACTACGTATGGTGACGACATTGATCGTATCACATTCTAGCATGAAGCAATTTTAATCTATGAAATTATTTAATAGAATGACTTAAAGATTAAACGGATGTAGAAATGAAATTATGTTGGATTACGAACTAATTTACAACTTAAACTTCGGTTTTTCATGTTTTTCGAAATGTTAATGTTTAGGAAATCCTGTTGCATTTAAAATCATTTCCTTTGTTAAAGCTGTTCTGAGAATCTAAAACACAAACAACTTTCACCAAGCTTAACGTTGCAGACTTCATTTCCATACCTTCACCAATGTCTTGAGGCAATTGAAAGAAGGTAAATATTTTTTCTTTTCTTTTTACTTTTCAAACTTCTGCCGATGGCTTCTATTTAATTTTTCTTTCTCTTTCTATGAGCTCCCCCGTCCCTTGCAAGTTGAATGCCATATTCAAATTTTTTCTATATTTTAAAAAAGTTCATTTGACCTTTTATTTCATCACACGTTTTTCGTTATATTCCACCCACACCTTTGCTTACCTTAGATTTCACGGTTATTCCAGAATTAATTCAATTAATTAAGCAATTATTTTGAAAAATAAAACCAAATATGTTGGAGGAGAAACGCACGAGTGTCTTTTTCACCCAAACATTTTCCTGCAACTGAGAGTGAACTTTTTGTTGAAAAGCTTTTGATGTGTAAACATGACAGCAAAGCGCAGACGCTAAGATAACTTTTAGAGAAAATCTCACTTTGTTTTGATAATTATCAAGCGATGGAACTCATGAAAGACGCCAGTTTGTCGTACTAGATAAACTTTGAATATTTCTACACTGTTGAACTTTCTTTACGATCTATTAAAGTTTTATGAATTCCCAGAATTGTCTATTGATGAGACAGGTAAATATTTAAAAAAAAAAGTGTAATAAAATTAAAAAAAGAACTTTTCTATGTCGGTGACATTTTCTCAATACGTCTTCTCGATTGGCTTTTTCTTTTAAGTATCTATGGACATTGAATAAACACTTGAAACAAGATTGTCGATTGTCGAGAATAATTAATATAAAAGCTTTCGAGAAATCAAAGTTTCTCCCAAGAAAAATTCTTCAATTACGTAATTTCTTTTAAATGTTTCAATGGTCTGATTATAGTCTAATCAATAAGTGAAATGTCACTGACATGACATTGAGACCTTCTCAACATTTCTCTGTATCGTCAATGATGTCATTTGATATTTCCATTTTTATTTTTATTTTTGTGGAAAAAAATCCAATTGACGTTCAATTTTGTAATCGACCTTCGTTCAATTTCCCTTGGAAATAATGAAAGTCTAGAAGAAGTAGTGAAATTTCAACAGAAAAATGCTCTTTTAATTGACGCCGACGGGAAAGTAGAAACATAATTAAGCCTTGTTTTAAGCTATCTAGAAAAGTACAGTAATGGAAGGTTGCCTTCGAAACTGCGAAATTAAAGGCAAACAATTACCAAGAGCATCGTTTGATCGCGAATTATGGCATTATTTTTTATGAATTTTCTTTCATTTCCCTCTCTCTGTCTCTTTTGGATGTTCCAAATTCTTATGTGAAGCTTTTACGTACATTGTATTTTTTGGCTTCACTTGATCATGAACATGAGCGTTAGCATAAAGAATAAAACTTTATTCACCCAACCGCTTAATAAAATTTGTGTAGCAAAAGGAGAAAAGACAAATAAGGTCATGTTGCTGCTGAATTTCATTTTGCATTCGAATATTAAGTTAATTCTCGAAAAATATAGTTCAAAAGGCGAAACAACATACAAAAACGGGGTTAAATTAGTTTATAAAATCAATAGTTCCATCGCGTTATTAACCTTTCATGCAATTTATAACGTTGACCTCACCATTGCGTGTTAAGTTTCAGAAGAAAAATGTGTATGTGTGACAAATATTCTAATGACCACCTTCCCGGAAAAACATTATCCGTATGTGGCGTTAAACTATTAGCTTGACTATTAGATAATAACATTCATTTATGTAGTTTGATATCATTTCCCAACAAAAATAATATCTAAAACAGAACTTTTCATTTCAATTCGTCGAATGACATATTTGAAGAGAAAACCAAAGAAAATTTTATTTGAATTTTCCTTTCATGCAATAATATTTTAAAAATAGCTTTAATTAGTTATATTTCATAAGATTGTTTAACTACATATAGTCAAGGTCCAAGGACATCTTTTCCTTCTATATTTGGATCAAAATTCTTTTCTTGGAATGAATGAAAAGTTCATTTCAATTAACTTTGGTTGATTAAACATCTAAACATTTACTTACAACTTGTAAGCAATAAATGAGTAAGTATTTGAAATAATTATTTATCAAACTGATTTCTTTGTTGATCGAAAGCTATAAAAAAATTTCAACAGAAAGGTCATATGTCGTCGTCAATAATTTTTTATCGAGTGATTTAACTCGCTTCACAACCTCAAAAACGATAAAGGCTAAATACGCAGTTACGATGACGCAAAAGCGATAAAAGTGCTGTCTTATCTCCACGATTGCGTTGTACTTTCTCTCATTCACTTTTGAAGCTTTTCACTATCGTTATCAGTTTGTTTGAATCATATTGCTGACAAAATAATTGAGTATTGGGAAATATTTCTTCGTTCGTAAGACGACAACAGTCGCGTTTGCAGCGTTGAAATAGCTTTCAATCAAATTTAATGTCATTGTGGATAACGAAAGACGAAAGCTTTTCACACCAAAACGAAATTCTCAACTTGTAGATGAAGGGAAATTTATTTTCCTAAATGATAAATTGTTTATTTCGGTCGTTTTCTAAAAATACAACTAAACTTAACGGGAAATTTAATCTCATAATGTTAGAGTTTACTTCAATCAGTCACAATTATATCCTGCGTACGTGTATTGTTCGCATGATTATTTATTAATGTTGTAAACTGAATAGAGAATAAATGACACGAAGGGGAAGTGAAGATTTAGATTTCATGAATCAATGAAATATCTATCTATATGACGAAGCTGTCAACTATGTAGACATAGAACAGTCCTAAAAATAACTGTCGATAAATTATTTACACAGGTAATTTCCTTTTAAGTTCTTTTAGCGTCGCTGGTAGCTTGAATAAACGGACGATTCAACAGTGAAATAAAACGAATAGCGAAATATATGAGAAAGTAGTTGACTTATGTATGTAAATAAAACACGCGATTTCTTAAGCAATAAAAGTCAAATCTACTTGTTAATAAAATTTACCCATTTCAACAAAAATTAATTTTTTTAAATCATGAGGAAATATTTAATGCTTAATTTTAATATTTGATTTAAAAATGTGTAAAATCTTTAAGAATCTGTCATGAGAAAAATTGTGAACAGCAAATAAAATTCAGTCGAATGGATGATTGCGCAACAACATTTATCAAACGTTATTTGATTTGACATTATACAAAATCACATGTCAAATAAATGTAGATTGAATTATAATGCGTACTTGCGTCTCTAGTTTTCTTATAACAATAACATGATGTAAGTGAAGTTAAGTGTTGATGTAACTAAAGAATGTTTGTTGTTACATCACAAATAGCACAAATCCTTATGGGATCCTGTTTTATTATCTAATGTAAAATATAATGACAAAACAGCTCCACACCGATCATAACCACAACATGAGATATTTTCTTGATGTGACAGCACAGTAAGTACAGTCGAGAATGTACATGAAAAGAATCCACATGATAAAAATCAGAATGACGTCAGAAGAACTTGTGACCTTGCCTTCTGGAAAGAAACCATTTTTTTATGTTATCCTTCTCCATTTCAACCGTTTCACCATAAATGCAGCCTTAGATTGTCACAACAAAGAACATAAAATACCCTCATTGGCCATTTTTTTAATCAAAAGAAGAGAAAACTTTCGTTGGGTCGAAATTCCTAACTTTTAGCTTTCTTTGAAGTTAATCAATTGTGAACGTTCCACAGTTTTCTAACTTTTTAAAAGTCGCAATATATCGTTCGTTGGAAGAAAATGTTGCTCAGAGAAATTTGTTATGAAATTCATTCATAAAAAATAATCGCTTGTTTGTAAACTGTCTCATATTCGATTAGACAGCATTTTTCTGTGTAGACGAAAATAAACTAACTTCAGTTAGTGTTGAGGTGCGGAAAATTTTCCACTGATACAAGAAATGATGTTTTCATCCACTGAATTTCCCCAGCTCATAAAAATTTAATGTTTTAGTTATTTTTTTGCGTTTTAGATTGGGTGAAATGATTTTTAGATTACAGACAAAAATTCGTGGAAGTGTAAAAATTGGAAGAAAAATATTTTCCAAGGCTGTCGAATTTTTATGCGACGTTTTATTATGTGGAAATTCCATGAATATGCATAATGTTATTTAATTATGCATAAGAAATCTTTGTTGACATTCAAATTTAACGACAATTTCAACCTCAGAGAAGATGAAAAATATTTATAAAATAACAATAAGCGCAAACAAAGTTCAACCTTACGCTATTCAGTTAAGGTCAATCTTTGTATGTTGACTTAATGCTTAAAATTAGTTTTTTGTACTTGTTTTCCACTTCTTGCAAAGTCAGTTATGCGATAGTGTCATGAACATCGCTGCATCAACTTCCACAATCATCTCCTCTTAAAATATTTTTGTTTATGTCACTCAAAAATCATATTTTGATGGTTAAAAGTGGAATTGCCTTATGGCATAATAACCTAGTCATTATCATAAATATCTGAAATTATTGAAATATTTTTGATAAAGGAGTTTAGTGATAGAAAGCTTTAACAAAGAAATTATTATGATAGCAGTTTTTAAATATATAAATTATATTACTCCCACGCTCAAGATAAACTTTTATTTTCTTATTTTTCCTCAATACGCTACACATCTATATGAGTATAGTCTGCTGTATATGTAAAATATCGCAGGATTCCATTCATGAAAATTTTCTGCTGAAGTTGTGTTTGTGATTTTCACAGTTATATTAAATATACCCCCCGAGAGAAAAAAGAAGAGGAAAAAGGAAAAACTTTTCTCCCTTTCTCCTACATACACACAACTAGCCTATAGATATAATGTAGAAACAGCTTTTCTGGTGAAAAGTTCTATTTTTAGCTCGTAACAATTCCGAACTTTTTTCCGCACCAATACATTCGCGCATTTGAGATATGTCGAATATATTTTCCACTCTCATTTGAAGCATTCGCTGATACATTTCGTTTCACAATAAATTTTGTTCGTTTTCAATTTTAGATCCTTATCACGAAATCTCAAATAAAATAAGCTTTCTTTGTCTTCAATAATTCTTAATGAAGGGCCTTGCTTCAGGAGGTTTCTTGCTGTCACAAAAGCTTCATCTCGCTGTGAAGGTAATTGAAGTGATTTCATGGTGCGTATTGAAAGTTAGTCGAGAAGAAAACTTGTTCCGTCGTCCAGTAACAAAGAAATTACGAAGCAGCAAAAGTTGTTGAAAATGAACAGCTTTGTAATAGATGAACAAATTTTGATAAATCTTAATCAAACATTTTCTGGAAGGTCAACAATTTTCTTTATTCTTTACAAAGAAACGAGTCATGTTTCGCTTTTCAAGTAATTTACTCACTCAAACTCATTGATGCCCTTAAAATTAAATTTCTAGATCCTTTTGAGAGAGTTTAGAAGAATTTACAAGTAAATTTTCTGAAGACGAAACGATAAATTGATAAACTTTTCTTTGGATACTTTTTCATCATAAAATGTGTGGGTGTAATTCTTTGGTTGAAAGCATCGAACGCAATGAATGATAGACTTTCTTGGAAAACTTTTCATTGAGGAAGTAACATTATCTTACATAATCCAATTTAGTTAATTTAAAATTATTTCCTCGCTGATTTGTTTATGCTCATAATTTCTCAGAATTATAGGTGAAAATTTATGTTGTCGAGAGCTTTACAAAACTGTTTCATGTAGGTGTGCAGATACCATTATAAGCGGATGGGTTACAACAGCACATTGACTCCCACGCATAAAATATGGCGGTTTTGTTGGCGCCCAGGAATTATTGATATCATCGTTAATGTTATTTTTAACGCTCACTGAAAAAAAATCCACGAGAAGAGAAATTTTCATATAAAAAATTTGTATATTATGTTTGTCATAAAACTTAAACTGCGTTCGTATCTGAAATAACAAATAGTCGATTATGTTCAGCATCAAGTCCCTTTTACCATTGAAGCCACACGTACAAAGCTTTCTGACTCTACACATTATGAATCTATAACAAATGTTATAGAGGGAAGGAAAATGTTTGTGAATGAGTTTTTCATCGTCATGTTTTCTTCTTATCTTTGCTGTGATGAAATTGTGTGTGTGCTTCCAAGTTTGTCCTTCGACTGAACCACTACAAAGATATTGTTTGTGGGTAGAAGAAGAAAAAGAAAAAAATATTTCCGAATGAATCTTCTGCGAAGCTTTCTGAAAAACCATATTAATAAAAGCATTGAAAATTGTAATTTCTTTGAAAAAATGCATTCTTTTCTGCTTAACTCTTGAGAAAAAAATTGTATTATCTACATCCACACAAAAATTTCGTTGTAGCATCGTGATGGAAGAAGATTGAATCATGAAATATGAATGTCGCTCTCGTCTGAACAAACAACAAAGAGAAAAACAAAAATCTTTCGCTCTATTGCAAAGCACATCACATTATGCCCACACCCTTGCTATTTCCTTGTTAATGGCACCCGGGCAGCCCAGATAAGGGCTTTACAATGAATCTTTGCTAGGATATTCTCAATTCTAAAAATAGAAATCACGATTAAGTTTCTTTTTCTTCCACTTCCTTTTTCTTCTGCTTTTGTGTGTGATTTCATTTTTCTTGATAGTTCTTCAGTCATCTCAAGCGAACGACTTTGTTAACTATTTTTCTTTTTTGCCTTCCCTGTAAACGGTCAAAATCTGGATGACAGCTGCAACTTTTAATGTTATGTCAATAAATCAAAAATTATTAAATTCAGAAACAGATGACTTATGTCGATTTTATTGTTTATATGACGCAATATCATATCTAGGTAGTGCTTTAGAAATTTATTTTCCATCTCTTTCTGTTTTTCATTAATGAAAAAAGGAAGATTTTGGTGAAATTTTTAAACTTTGCCGTTGAACAAACGAAAACAACGTGAGTGGAGTGAGCAAGCATAGCAGCAGCAACAATATGAATAGCAAGCTAACGTTCTTCTCCCTTGCTGACGTCACAATCGTAGGGTTGAACTAACACACTCAAAGACTCACAAGTTCGAATCAATAAAACCGAAAACGAGTCGTGTAGTCGATCCAATCAAAAGCTTTAGTTTTAATGTATTGGTAAAGCTTCGTATTGAAAGTTCTTTGCCGCATATTTTCCGAGCTTATTTGAAACGCTCACAGAATCTCTATTGACGTAAATTTTATTTTACCGGTTTTTTTCGTCGCTGCAAGAAGCATAAGTAATGGGGTTGGGGTAAGGAGATAAAAATTTCATTCATGTGTGGGCGATGGGAGAGCAACGAATACGCAGGACTGAAATGTGAATCTATAAAAGCGACAAAATTTGGCTTTTGAGTTTCAATCGGTTTTAGAAGCTCACAGTGCTAAGTGCTACAAACAAAATAATTGTTGAGATAGAAAGAGAAAGAAAAAACTAATAATTTGTAGAAAAAAACAAAATTGCAAGAGAAAAAAGTTACTTTATTAACATAAATTTAAGTGATCTAAATATTTATGAAAGAAAAATAATTTTGTTTTATCAAGTGACTCTCAAATATCATTTGACACTGTCTGGACTTTCCTTTTTATTTGCTTTTTAATAATATTTTTTGTGGATTACAAATAACACCTGTAATAATTGTGGATCATTCAAAAGTGGAAAAGGTGAGAGAAAGAAAATGTAAATTGATTTAGAATTTTATTCATGAAGGACGCGAGATGAAGCAAAAAACCTGTTGAAATTAGGTCATTTCACTTGCAGACGAAACATTTTTGAGAAATGTAGAAAAATTGTGGAAAAACATCAGTCAGAGTTTTTTTGTGTTTTTCTATAAATAAATTCAAGTCGATATAAAGAAGACAAAATGAAAGTAAATAATTGATTTGTTGTCGAATTAATTTCTTTCATAGATGTTAAATAAAGCCACGTTTCCGTGCTTATAAATATCCAAGCTTCTTAATTTCAATCAAATATTCAGGGGCTTCCTTAGTCGTCAGAATATGTTGTTGCATTAACTAACTATTTAACATTCTATAGAATCACAAAAGCAATCATGAAACATTTCCTTCTTTCGCTTACTGCTCTCAAGAATTTATGTTTTTTAATTTTACATGACTCAATTTTAAAGTCATTTTTGAGTTGATAAAAAAGTAGAATATATAATGAAGAAATAAATTTAGGAAGCTTTTTATACCGGAAATCTCGACTTTTCTAAACATTGAGTCTTAAAAGTTTTCATCTCACGTTTTGCTTGGATTTTTAGTAACAAAAAGTTTGATAAAGCACACGGCATTAAGCTTTTTGTTACTCATGAGAAAGGTTTTTCTTTTCTCTTCCTTTAACTAACACTTTTCTTTTATTCGTATTCTAATATCAACAGGTATAAGCGTGAGTGTTGAAGAAAGCACAAAAGGAATATAATACCTGCTTTATATTTCATTCCGCTCCACAACTAGCTGTCATTTGATTTTCTTTACCTTACCTTGGGAAAACTTTTAGAACAGCAAACAAAAATGAATCCATTTGCTGTAGCTTACATCCTTGTAGTTATCTCTTGCGGTTTGACGCACTCATACTCTGTATATGGAAATAAACGTTTTAACCATGCAAATGTGGTTGATCCAATGATGCCAATGTATACAAAACCTTCACAACAACAGGCACATTATGACCGACCAACAAATGTAAATTATCAGTCACAATATTTACCAGTTCCATACGTTCCACCTTCTCAATCTCGAGTTGTGGAAGATTACAATTACAACAACAATAGAAATCCGGTTCAGAGTCAAAATTATTATTACTATCCACGTCAAGATTATCAGACACCATTGTATGGTATTCCAACTTATCGTGGTGATTATCAAGCGAAGCCTTACTACTTCGCTCAGCCAAGTTACAGTTCAGATGATCGTGTTGAAATAACAAATCCTTTGGACTATTTGCATGAGGAAATCTTGCAAGAGAATGAACGAGAACGTTCAATGAACAATGCAGCATTTATGCAAAACCTAGCTTTATATAACAAACAAGTAGATAGTTTGCATAATCGTCAGCAACAGCTGCAAAAAATGCAAGATTTGTACAATTTAAAAGCATTTAATGATCCGGAAGATTATGACATAGAACAACCAAATGATTGGTACGATCAAACTGCAATTCTCGTCGATCCAAATACATTTGAAGGCTATAAAAGTGACTATGATTTGATGCCTCAAGCATCACAAGACCAATATCAGTATCAGTCACGTCCGTCAGATTACGAAGATGAAGTTGTGAAAGAATTGAAGGACTTGACAAAACAAAATCGTAAAAATTCTGTCGGTAAAGACTTTATCTCATCGCCTGTCAGTAATAGTTACAATGAATTCGAATGGCAACAAGATATGCCGCAAGAGAACGATGATTCTACAGAACCAGAATATGATGAAGACGAGTGGATTAATTGGGATCAAAAGCGTAACATTCAACCCAAGAAGGACTATGGTTTGACAGATGATAAGCACGAAAAACAGAAAAACATTAAAATTGAAACTGTTACAACACCAACATCTGTGACCACAGAAAAGTCGAAACTTATCACAAAAATTCATAAGGGTCAGAAGGAAGTTGTGTTACCACGTCCTGCAACACCTGTTCGAAAACCATTTAGCGAACCAATCATGAAAATGATGAAAAGCAAAAGTGATGCAGATGAAAAGGCAAGAAAAATGGAGCAAACACCGCCCATTTACAAAACAATTAAACAAATTATTGACATGGAACAAAATTTAAATCATGTAAGTATCCATTATGATTTTTATAAATAACTTTTCGTGTCATTCATCCGTCGGATTGACAAAATAACGTTCAATATAAACATCATGTGAAACGTAAAAGCTTTGAAATGCGCCTTAAAAACAAACTTTTTTGTAGCCCTTAACAATCCACTCGGTTGTTTGTTTCCATACAAAATTATTTTCGTTTTTTTCATATTCACTTTTCGTCGCTAAGCGATTAAATGTGACGGAAAAATGGATAAATATGATAAACAAAGAGTAAGAGAAAAAGTGGAAAAATTGAGTTTATTTATAGATAGCTAAGTCAACAAAATGACTTTTCTTATGTAAATACATAAAAGTTAGGTAACAAAAACAATAATAATAATTTTCCCTTCTGACATGAATACTGTTTATCATTCAGTTAACTTCACTAAGCAATCGAGGATTTCGATTTGGCTCTAGTATCGTAAAAACATCCAATTCATTCACGAAAGGAAGAAATGAAGCAGAGCAGCGCCAAAACAAAAAATTTCTATTTTTATCACGCGTCTTGAACATTGAAATCAAAATAGCAAACAAATAAAAACTATGCAATGATATCAGCAGAAAAAAAACCTCACAAAGTTTGTAAGTCATAGCAAGGATATAAATATTTTCAAACCTCCCTCTCTCGATTTCTTGGGATAATCAAAATAGGGAAAAGCACTTTTCTTAAGTTGTCTATTGATGTATGAAGGGAAATGTTGCCATCGGAGAGTCACACAATAAAATAGGCGCCTTGTTGTTTGTACCAAATAATCATTGTATTGATTCAAAATAAAGAAAATTTACAGAGAAAATTTAAGATTCATAACTAAACTTCATCAATTAATAAAAGCATTATAAGCGTCACGAAAGTTTTCAAAACTTTTTTAAATTAAAGTTGAAAAATTGCCTTTCACCAATCGAAATCAGACTTTTGTCCTCTTAAACCTTCGAAATTTTCATTATTCCAAGTTATTTATAAAGAACAATTTGAATAAATAAATAAAAATAACATGAACAAGATGGAAAGCCGTCAAGAAAAGAGACAGAAAGAAAGCGAGACAATTTCTTTGTATATTCCTATGTAAATAAATATGAACGTATACATAGGCTCTAAATGAAAACTCAATTTGCATAAACATTACGTTTAAAATAAACAGGAAGGCGAAAGCTTGGTAGAGAGCTTTTGAATGAATTCATAATATTCCATCAACATCATTTTATATTTTGTTAACTTTTCATGAATATTGTAATCACTCTCTTGACGTTTCTTCATTTCATTTTTCTTTACAGTTGTCGAGCAATGAAATTCCAACATCGAAGATTCGAAAACGCTTTGTGACGAATGAAGAAGCTTTAGTGCAACAGTTGAATGGCCTAAAGAGAACATCCAAGTAAACATGTCAATTTTCTTTTAATTGGGTTCACAATAATTTGATTTGATGTTTTTCAAACAACATTTAAGACTGAAGTCGATAAATTTTCATGCAATGAAAGATATCGAAATATTTTTAATTATGTGTTTCATTTTCATTCTCATAATTTCTGTGACATGTCTCCGGACTCGTTGACATCCATTTATTGAATTCCATATTTTATCCATAAGATTTCAATTATAAGCCAAAGTTAATAAGAAACGTTGAGAAATTTAGTAACGAATTTAAGACTTTCTAGTTTCAAAAACAATGGAATTTAATCAACTTTTTATGTTATGGGAGAAAAATCAAAGAAATTAGATAAAGAAAATTATTTTTATATATCAATTGGATATTATAAAGAAAAATGTAAATTGTATACAATTGATAACAATGCAACTATGAACATTTAATGCAAATAAACAAAGAAAAAAAATAAAGAAAATATTATGAGGAAACCCTTCCAAGGCAGCTAGAAAAAATGTCACTCAAGTGCATGAACGTTGCGCTTGAACGTCATGCGCTTGGTGACTGAAATAAATTATAATAAGACTTTGTAAATATCATATTTCATTAATGATAACATAAAATTTCACTAAATTTAATGGACTTTGTAAATATTGCCGAAACAGACAAGTCAATGGTCTCAAAGAAAATCAAGAAGCTCATGACAATTCCTTGCCTTGGAAAGTCATTATAAAGCTTCTTGCTAAATAATATTTTATTTTCGCATAAGTTTTGTTTATATATTTATTGGCTTCTATGTCATTTATTATAATTTTGAAAAAGCACTTAATTTGAGCATATATGTCTCAAATTGAAAGTATTTTATACAAGAGAATAATGGACTGCGGCTATTAATAACTTAAACAGTAATAATAATATGAGCTCTTAAAAATGTTTCTTATTGGGAGAACTTCTCCAATTATCATTATTCCTAAGACGTCATGATTTACATAAACAAATGTCTAACGTTTTAAATTATGAAAGCTAAAGAAGCATTAAATAAGGTTTATTTGTTTTGCTTCGTCATTTCTGAGAAGGAGAAAAAGGGAACTTTCTTAAAATAGAAATCATTGACAACATTTATTTTCCTGAAACTCATAATTACTTCCATGGACATGAGAGTAATTCAGTTTTTCACGAGCGAAAAATATATTCAAACATTTATTTTCCATGTCTTGTTTAATATTTTCTCCAGTATTCTATCATTTATATTTCATAAGCACGATATCATGACGTCAAACGGTGGAAATAAACGAGAGAAAGCAGTAGAGCAGAAGTCGAATTAAGTAATAAAATGAGTAAACTTAGCATTAAGCTTAGGTTTACCCCTTGCTGAAAAAGAAAAAAAAACGAAGAGAAGCATATTTTCTAATTTCTTTTTATTATCATCAACATCGGAACTAAAACGCGTGGCTAATTAGAGAAGATTAAATCTTCCCTTTTACAGCCGAAAATAGCAAGGAAAAGCTTCTTTTTTTATTATTATTATTTTTAGCGGTTGCTTTTTCTTTTAACACGCGCTAAAAATAAAATGGACAATGTCCAACCGTGCTGTGCTGTTCATTTCTTTCCATTCATTCAACTAATCCTTTGAATTTCTTTCATAAAACTATTTATAAATAGTTTTATTTATATCGCAAATGGGAGAAGAGAAGAAAAGCTTAAGTGACATTAAAAAATATTTTAGATAGAGAAGTTTGAATTAAATTAAACAAAAATATTGTTGATAAAACTTGATGAATGGCCTCCAAAGATACAAATGTTATGATGCACACAAACTTGACAAGTTTTGTCTGTTCACTTTCAAAGAAATATTCAATATAAAAACCTCCCCAATGGCTGAGGAGAAGGAATTTTGCTAATAGGCAATATCTTGGAACCATATTTGCTTATTTGCACATTCATTGTTGAATATTTCCTTCATTGAATGGCAACACTTGTTGACTTAAGCTGCGAAAAATACTTGCAATTACTTAAATATAAAAAACAATTATTGAAGGAAAGATGGAAGGATATTTTTGTAAATATAACTTTTAATCTATTCACTTATTGATGATTGCACTTTGAGAATATGAATGAAAAAAAAGTGAATAATTGAATTTTTGAATCCAGTTGTCAAAAACTAATTTGTATTGTTATTTATTGGAATGATGAGCTCAGGAACACAATAAGGTACAATATTCCCTTCTGAAAGCTTATCTCTTTGTTGCAAAAAAAGTAAAAAAAAAGTTATCCAGACGGAAGGGACGCTTTGAAAGAAGAAAGATATTCTAGATATTTTTGAATGGTTTTGGAATGCTGTTGAATCTTTATTGAATGTGAAGAAATGTTTTTAGCGTTTCTAGATAATTGATACAAGAACATGATAAACATTAAAAATAATTTCTCCAAATATTTTTTTGTGATAAAGTTCATCACTTCATTAACGAAATGGAAAGTGAAAAGTATTTTTCCATTTACCAATTATTCAACTTCATGTTTATATTAATTTGTAAATAGAAAATTTCTCTCATTTCATTACATTACATAAATATATTTACTGACAACCTGTACATATCTTAATATCAAGCTATTTAAAAAGGAAAAACAAATAAAATCATTAACATAAACAAGACATAAATATTTTCAAAATAGCAAAGTCTTTACAAGAAAACTTGACTTTATGTTGAGTAACAGGGTTCGCAGGAGAAAATATTCAAACGACAATGAAAAAGTTGCGAGCTAATAAAAATTTTATTTTCATCAATATGTTTTACAGTCGTTTAAACACAAACCATGACAATATAATATTGTAGATTTTTATGCTTTTGTCAACAGAAAGTTTCTAGAAAATATTTTACAAGTGTTTAGTTTCATTCATATGTATATTGAAGTTAACTCTTCATTTAAGAAATAGAAAGTGATGGTTGAAGGGAACGAAACAATCTCTTTACATTATTTTGATGCCATAGAATTTTTATATTTAAATAACACAAAACAAGCTTTCAAAGAAAGAAATTATATGAAACCGACTGATGTAACAAAAAAAAGTTTAAACAAAATATGAATTAACATTATTCTTGTGTGTGAATAAATGCTAAAAACTCAAAAAGTTGGAACTTTTATTAATTCAATTTTATTTTACATAAAACTTCTCTTTCAGTTATAATAAAAATTAAATTACAGCGTGATTGAAAACTGTTTGTGTACATACAATTTTTACAATTAAACAAAAACAAATTGAATTGAATTTAATATTTCAAACTTCTGATGAAATATTGCAGCAAATTAATTAATTTTCAATGCATCAAAGGGCAAAGACATTTACATACTACACCGCAGGGATCTTCAAAGGAAATTAAAAGTCGTTGTGTGGTTGTGCTTGGAAAATACTTTATGAGAAGGTTATTCAAGTGTCATTTAACATGATATCTACCTTTGTTAAAAATTCACCGACGAGACTGCACGAGAAGTAAAGCGAGAAAAAAAAACTAAAACAACTTGCAAATAAACTTTTTTGTCTCATGCAGAACTCCACCTTAAAAAATTCTTTTTGCCTCGGTTTGTCGGAATGGGAGAGAAAAATTGTAAACTTTTTTTAATCCATTTATGGTTTTCATAAATTTTTTCAACATTTTTTCTCATGGCAGCAAAGACTTCGACGACAAAACTATCATCCCTTATAATTCATTTGGTTTCGTTTTTCTTGGCATTTGCTCGTCTCTCCCCCAACTTTGCATGGCATCGAAATATGAAGGAAAAAATGATATTTTGTCTTCTTAAAAACATGGAATATGAAAAGGATTTGCTTTCACGAAAATACCTAAAAATCTATCCGAGTGCGAAACTGAAATCAGACATTTCTTATCGCTTCGATTCAGATTTCTTCCCGATGATATTTTTCTCAACGAATACTCTTTAGGTGAACGAACTTTTAGATAACTGTTATGACCCAGATTGAATAAGTTCCTCTTCGCTGCGATTTTAAAGATGGAAAAGGAAATCGTGATCTTTTTTGTGTGGGGACAGTATTTATCTATCTATATCTCCCTTTCGTCGCTCGTCGTTCGTCTACCAGACATCGCCAGACAATAAACAATCCTATAAATTTTAATTCTTCTTTCAATTGCTTCCTGTCGTAAAAAGATTGAGGATGAGGAAACAGAGAAAGAGTTCGTAGTCGATTCGCTTTCGAAAGTTAAATGAAAATTTATTTCATTCTTTGAATATATTTTTTCATTATTTGATATTTGGATATCTGGAGAAACCAATCGTGAATCATTTATTGCATTTTTTTATATAAAAGAAATTAATTTTCTTTAAGTCTTAACCAAACGATTCAATATAATTTTCATTTGAGAAATGGTTTTCCCAGCTCTGAAATCATTCAAGGAATCCAAGAACATACCAATTGGGAATTCCATAGCGAAACATTAAATGACGGCAACGTTTTTCCCGTCCATGTAAAAGGAATGAGAGAGAAGAAAATTAATATTTACCTGTGCTTTTCCGTTTGGTGCCGAATTGTTGCGAAAACGAGGTAAATTTAATGCATAAAAAATCATCAATGAAAGTATAGCTTATGAAAATTTAAAACTCGTCGTCTTTCTTGGTTCTCAAGCCAAAAAGTGAAGCAAAGATTTTCATTTTCATCTGAAAGACTCAAAATGGAAGCTTAAATTGAAAATTTATACACGTAACTTGCAAACTTTATAAAAACGATGAAGAGAAAGTTTTGATCATTCATTGGACTATAAACATATTTTATAAAATTGTTTCAAGTAAAAAAATCTAACAAGTAATCACCCAGTTTTGTACTGAATTATTAATATTCTTTGGAAAGTTCAACATTTTTTAAATCATCGGGGAAGTCCCATTGATTATCAACTATAAATATGTCACTCAGGTTTTTGTTTTTCACTTTTATTATGTTACACGTTGTGGTTTTTTCCGATTAAAACTCTCCCCAAATTAATAAAGTAGGAGTAATGGAATTAAAAAAGTGTTTTCCCGACGGAATTGAAACTGAAACTGAAGATAAAAATATGATTTGGTTATCACGAGCAGCTTACCATGGTACAAATTAAATAATTATTTCCTGTTCATTAATTCAAAAGTATCAGTCGATCTTTAAATTAAGCTTAACTCTTTGAAAACCTCAAGGATTTAAAATTTAGAAGTTAAATCTTCCAAGCAGAATATTTTCTTTCCAATTTCACATCACGCCTACAAAAGTTTTTAAATCATTTTAAATTTTCTTACGCCGACGATTATTTCTTCCCTCTTCCTACTTGAACATTCCTTTGTCTCGATGAAAAACATCAAGGAAGATATTTTACAATATATTCGGCACGGGTGAAAGTAATCCGTCGAAGATCGTTTGAATGTAATCTAGCATAGCACAAAGCCGCATTTCCTTTCAAAGGAAATGTCAAAGGTCACACATTTTGACCTTTCATACTTTTTACTTCAAACTTAGACAAAGAAAAGGTTCAAGTAAAAAAAAAATAAAAAGATCAAATTTATTAATAATTTACAATTTTACAATTTCATTTCAACAATGAAAAAAAATTCCATCACAATTGATGAAAATATATTTGGCTGGCAACTGCAGGATGAAGATATTAAAAGGCATGTAATTTGATTTTGTATACGTAATAACCCAATAAAAAACATAAAGCCAAATTTCACATGGTAGAAAAGTTTAAATGCAAATAAATTCCTTCTTGTAAATATTAACAATGGTTTTTATTTTGTTTTTAATGTTTCGAAGGAAACATCAATTATGTTTTCTTCATCAAATTCATAGCTACTTCCTTGTACAATTTTTATTTTGCTACGAGAAAATTTTAAACGAATGCGAGAATATTTTTTGCTACTTACCTTCTTAATATATGAAAACATGTGTGGAAAGCTTTTTATGCTACTTATGGTTCATAAAATTAAAAGAGTCATTGGACTTATTTTATTATTGTAATCGACATGCTTTTAGTGTTTCAGAGCCTTGCACTTATTCCTTCTTACTTACAAAACGAATGAGTAATCTTGTAAAGTGAACAGAGGAATAAAAGCAACAAAAGTGCCGGATAATAAGTTTATGTTTATTTAGTATTCAATTACTGCCTCTAATCACTTCTTCGAATCATTGAATTAGTAATGAAAATTAATAGTATAACAGCAGATCAACTGGAAGCTTTAATTAAATTATTAGCAGAATTTTTATGACCTACTAAAAATGTTGATTTTCATGAACAATCGAAAAGTCAGAAGAGAAGAGAAGAGGGAGAAGGAAACTTGTTGAACATTACGAAGCATTCATTTCATATCTCGCACACAATTTTAATGACGAACTTTTTCGACTGAAAACTTTTTTTTGGAAAGCATTTAAGAAGTTAAATCTTTTTATGAAGATTTTGAAAATCAAAAACAAATTATGAGATTTTAATCATACCTGAGATGATTTCAACTAATTAGTCGTTTAATTAGGAAATATTTTTCAATTTCATTGAAACGAGAATTTTTTTGATGAATTTTCTTTTTATCTATTTTTTTATGTTGCCATCTGGTTAGATATAATTAATTTCTTTTTTAAGGAATAAAAGAAACTTGAACCTTTTTACGTCAGAAAGTCTCGGTTTTCTTGAAGAATTAGTCCTAAATATCTATTTATTATATTGTTTGATAATCATGCTCTCTGTCTAGTCCTCATGGGGTTATAATTTACGAACTCGAAAGGCTTTTTACCTTACAGGCAGTATAAAGAGGTCTTCGGTAAAATGAGCTTTTTCAGAGCTTTATGGAAAGCCACTGCTTCAAAATATTTACTTCGGTATCGTTTGAAATCTGAATGAAGGGTTTCATGCAAGATTAGATTTATTTATTCTCCTGGTTTAACTTTTAGCGAGAGGCTTTAAGCTTTTCTCACCTTTTTAATAATCAAAGCATCTTTGAAATTTTAAGAAAAATTTTTTGTTTGAAGTTTTGCTTTTATAGAAAATTAAAAGAAAAATGAAATCTTTATTTTACCTTCTCCATTTTACTGAATTAATTCGCCTAACGAGTTCAACCACAAAGGAAGCAAAAATATAGCTAAGTTATAAGTTGCTTACGCTTCAGGCTTTCGATTCAGTGAATGAATTTTCAGAGCATTTCTTTCAAACTTAATCAAAAATGATGAGACGAAAGTTTTGTATCTACTTATAATCTTATTAGATTGTGGGTGGTTATGAATATCTGAGAAATATTTTTATGCATAATGTTGTTTCCAAGAAACTCCCACACTATGAAAGTATTCCATAATCAAAGAAACCTTCAATTCTACAATTTAACTATTATTTTTGATCAAATGATTCATCAACAAGTGTTAGACAACAAAATAGATACTTCAGAAGGCGAAAATAAAATTAAACTTTGTGACAACAAACAACCGAATGAAATTTTAAAGGCCGAGAAATTCGGAAGCTTTTATCAAGATCTTAACTTTATTTTTTAATCATTTTAATTGCTTTCTTTCATGAATATTCAGATTATTCTGTAAACGAATTCAAGGCTTTTAAGAAACTGCTTGTCAAGGCTACTTAAATAAATGTCAAAGTTCGAGATCAATGTTCAGATATTTTCTGAAGAATATTTGATGTTAAATTACTTTTTCTATTCGAAACAACTTTTTATTCCTTGGAGATATTCAGAGAGAATATAAATTTGATATTTAAGTGAGATGAATTTGAAGCTTTGTCAAACTCGATTAGGATTTGTTAAGGAACAAAATTGTGTATACCCGTATAGAGCTTTAAATATGAATAACAGTCCAACATTGGAACTCCATTAGATTTAAGAGAATAAAAAAGAAAAAATAATTCAGCAGATAGAAAGTTCAAGCTTTCAAATTCCATATGAATCAAATTGGCTAAAAGCTCATCTTTCAACGTCTAGGTAGAATTGTAATAACATTTCTCTCCTGTTTATGCAACACCGGCATGGATCAAGTTTACTTTTTCTCCTTCTGAAAGATTCTGTGAACGAGAAGTAAATGTCAAAGGTTAACCTTACCGATGTGTTGGAAAATGAGAAGAAAAACGAGGAGGAAAACGGAATTATATCTAAATCTACTTTAACTTATATCTTTACAAAGCTACATAAACAAAACGAGGAAGTTAATTATTTGATGATTTCTTATTTACAAATAAGCAGGAATCAAATTAATTCACTACAATTGAAAAAGATAAAACAATAAATAGCTAGTTCAGCTTTCACCTATTTTGACTTCTTCTTGTTCGCTTTGCGCAGTTTCAACGATTCGTTCTGTCGTCTTTTGCACTCTCTTTTGAATTATATGTATATGTCCACCTACGCAAAGTACTTCATTTCTTTGATACACGATGGAATGCTTTCCTTTATCCCTATTCTTGTCTTCTGTTTATCTTCTTCATAAAGGTTCTTAATACTTTTCATTCTTTATTCCCACTCGAGATGTCAAAATAAATATGATATGAAATTTATGAAAAAGGTTTTCCTGGAAAACTTTAAAAAATTATATTTGATGATCATTGAACAGAATGAATAAAAACAACAATAATAAGTTTATCCAAATGATAAACTACACTCCAATTATTTTATTTGAACTCATATCAAATTTGGAGAGATCTTTTACATCAAAAACCACTTCCGAGAATTTCCGGAAAATCTTAGAAACATTTTTTTTTCTTTGTTTTGGCGTCTCAATCCATGTGTAAATGTCACAAACGAAATGAAATTCTTTTCTATTTATGCTTGGTGGAATCTTCCGAAGGATATTTTTATCCCACTAGGATGTTTACATTGTAAATTCATTGGGAAGAGAAAAGAAATAAGAAGAACATGTTTGCCGAGTTCATAGCTGAAACAACAAAAGTTTTTTCGTTTTCTATAAACGACAAATTTCGAAGCTTTTTTTATAGCTGGCACTAAGAAGAAGTCATGTTTACCAACTTTTCTTCAGCTTCAAGTTTTTCATCTTCCAGTGAATAGTCTGAGTGCCTGAAAATACGCGATCAGACTTGATGGCACCTTTTCAACTTGAATCGTTTCATCATTTGTTCTTCAGTAAATTGCATTATGATAGAGCAATGCGACAACTCCCGCTTTTTTTTCTCGAGAAAAGCAAACGCAATTTTATTTCCAACTTTTTCATGTGAAATATTACGACTGACAGTAAAATCTTTATATTTAGAACAACATGACAAAGTTTTTAACGTCTTTCATTTTTGTTTTTTAATGGAACAACTTTATGGAAACTTTTGATATTTCAATGAGAACAATTGGTAACAATCACGTGTCAGTTAAATGAAGATATTTTTAGTTGAATTTAATTTACTTTACATTTTCTCTCCTCAAGTTTTCGAATTGAAATTGCATCAATATAACCAACATTTATAACTTAGCATCCTCAAACAACTTTTCATTGTCTCATATATTGTGTTCTTCTTCTTTCTATGACCGAAAATAGAAACAAATGAAAGGACGAGAAAAAAATGGAAAAAAAACGGTGTGGAAATGCCACAAAGCATCATCAGTCTTTTTTTTCTTCTATTGGCATTTTGTGGACCATAGCAAGGAATGAGTAAAAGGAGATGAAAACATACAAATTGTTAGCACAACCCCATCAAAACAGCCTCCAATCCACGCAAGTAAAAACAAGAACTTGAAATGAATTATTGTTAGTTCTTTGCTTACTGAATTTATTAATTTCGGGATAAAATAAATTCTGTTTAATTTCTTTCCTCTCAAAGTTTGTTCTGATAAACTCAGCGCTTCTCTGTTTAAATGAAAATAAATGAACATACATATCGGCTATTAATTTATTTTGTTTTTATGAAATGAGTTTTCCATATTTTTCTTCTAGGGGGATTTTCTTGGGAAATTTCCAAGGGAATAATTAAAATTCTTAGAAAACATTATGATTATTTCCTGAGTTACCCTTGGATATACTTAAGTATGTGGGTTTTCCCTATCCAACATTTAAAGTTCGTCATAATTCAATCATAATTTAATAAGTTTAGTTATCAAATTGTCTTCAAATAATGGTAATATGAGAACTGCTCATTATATTTCTACACCTACACGCTTTCACTTTATCAAAATAAGTTCATTGTAATTACATTTCGTTGTTGTAACAGAATATCCAAAAGCATTTTAATTAAAGCTTTCCTAATCTTCTGCAGAGCGTGGTAAGAACAAGACTTCAGGTACTTCATGAACTTTCGATAATATCCAGTCAGGATATAAATATCAAAGGTATTCGGGATATCTTAAGTAACGTCTTGTAACCTTAGGTACATAAAAAATAACTTGAAGCGATGTAACAACAGAGCGGAGAGTTTTAACATGAATCTGTTTTAATTTTCTGTAAAAGCCATTGAACTTTTGACTTCTCTGCAATTTTAGGAAAGGGTTTTGAAATTCTACAGCAAGTAATGAAAACCTCTAACATCAATTTGAACTTTCTTGTGAAAAAAATTGCTCTAATAAAGCATTCTTATCAGATTACTAAAATATAATAAAGAGCATGTAATCATCTTTTTAACATTTATAAATCCTTATAAAAAGTTTTTAGGATTGGATGAATTTCTAGAGGCTGTCAACGATTACTGTTTTTGATTTTGCTTGCTGCAAGATAAGACGAAATATAATTTGGCCATTCTGTAAATGAGTCTAGAAGCCAGCTCCATTCTTTTCATTTAAAATTTCACGTTAATTGTTTCATTAGTAAGTTAATTTCTTTAATATTATTTTTAGTCAAACTTCTTTTCGATAGATTTATATGAGAGTGTTTCATAAGAATCGAAAATCCGGTAATCATCTGTGGATTGCGTTGCTAAACATTTTATTAGTTCTTAACATTCGTTGCGCAAACCTACTATCAAGAGAAAATAAAGCACGTTCGTCAGTAAAAGGAAAGATGTGTGATAACAACAGGTACAATTAAAGAAAAGGGAACTAAATATCAAAGAATGAAAAATCTATAGAAAAGGTAAAATATCAAAGTATCTGCTGAATGAGCGAGCACAATAGATTTAATAAGAGTTCTAAAGTTATCTGTACGGACACACCAAACATTCAGGTTGAACTGTCGTCAAATACAATTGAAAATATAATTTATTTATTCTTGATACTCATTTTGAATCTGCATTTAGTAGATTTATATGTGCACTGTTTCATCTAAAACATTGACGAGACGTGCAACACCTAACTGCGAAAAAGTGTTGAGCGCAAAATAAAAACGTTTTCAATGGCAGCTGAAAATAATGTAACACCCATCTTGACAGTTCCTTCAACATTTTTCTAATTTATAATACATATCATGTATAAAATAACAAGATTAGACAAGATAAATTGTACATAAGAACAATTTTTAATTTGCTATTTCCAAATTTGCTAGACATTTGTTTATTTTTATTTTCTTGTTTTGCCTCTTTCTATGAATTCTATGAAATTAGGGTAATTCGTTCTTTACGAAGTTACGAACTTTCCCATACAGGTGGTGTCGATGTCAAATGTAATTCGCATCTAAAATCAACAATTTATTTTCCAAGAACAACTAGATATTTCAGCTCATGTCACATTTGTTTTTATTTATTTGTCTTTTTAAATAAAGAATCTTCATAAATCTTTAGAACATTTTACTACCCTTGTACTTATGAATAATAAATTTCCCTAGTTGATATTAAGATAAAAATCTTCTTTCTATATGATTGAAATCAACTAAAAATGTATAAAAATCTAAAGATAAACATTCTTTTTAGATAAACATTCAATTTAAGGATCACTCATTAATGAGTTATTAACGGGAAAATTTTCGCAGAACACCCTTTGGAAGGTCAAATCCACGAAATCATACTAATGTTTATACATGAAACCCACGGATTTATCTTAATATCTAAACGTTTTGAACCCGTTCAAAATCATTCAAGAAGCGATTTTTGTGTTTTGAAACTCATAGCTAACTTTTTCTATTTAATAAAAAAAACTTGACCGAAATTTATAAAATTTTCTATTTTAATTTTATTAAAAAGTGTTAAAGTATATTAAATATACATCATAAAATGGCCTTAAATTTATTTAATCAAATATAGTTAACAAGAATAGTGATGAAAGATAACAAATATTGAAAATTTATTGCCTCAATAAAACAGAAACTTTCTTCTTACAAAGTATCAAAATGTCTAGAAGTTGTGAATCAACTTGCACCCATTCGTTAGAGGTTGACTATCTTAATGAGAAATACCGTGAAGTTATGTCTCATAATAGTGCCTTAAGGGAACAATTAAATTCCCGAAAACTGCAAGATCCAGTAAAATATCTCAAATTATGTGAAGAATTAACAAAAGTGTGTTAAATTTCATTTTATTATTTTTTTTCCTTTGACATATTTTGTGTATTTATCTGCAAATAATTTGTTTTTATTTTAGGAACGTAACGAGTTAAAACAACAGTTAACGGAATCCGAGTTCGAAGTGAATCAAGTATTGTCTGAGAGGGACACTGTTCTGAAAGAGAACCAAAGTCTTTTTGATAAAAACGATTCCCTCAGGAAGGAGCTGGAAAAGGTTCTCAAATCACGTGACGAATATATCAAGGAAAATGAAGGCTTAAAGAAAAAGTTGGGAGTGCTCATTCAATCAAACGATGAACTTTTAAGTCTTGAAGTTGCAAATCAGGAAATTGATCAGCTAAAAAAGCTGATTGAGAAAATTAAGTCTGAAGCAGCAAAGGCAATGCAAGAATCAGAAATTGCTAAAGGCAGACGAGACTGGGCTATAAGTGAGCGAGAGAAAATTGTTCATGAACGTGATTCAGTGAGGAATCTTTGTGATGAACTCAGAAAAGAACGTGACACCGCAACTTCAAAGCTTTTAGCTGCTATTAGAGATAAAGACGAGGCATTTAAGAAAATTGAACAATTAAATGAAAAAATTGACGTTCTTTCGAATACTAAGAAATCGTTTGACAATCACGGATATCATAAAAAGCAAAGAATGGACTCTGAAGATGAAATTGAAGTTGATGTAAGTCACATGCTGGTTAATGCTGATCTTGGACTGACTTTAGATTGCGGGAATGAAAATACTGATTACAATGGCAACAGTTTCTATCCGCAAGTTGTTTATGTCGAACCCAACTCGGTTTTCTATGGAAAACTTCACACAAATGATTTTATTCAATTTATTAATGGCATTGACTGTTCAACACTTTCGCAAAGAATGCTTTTTAAGACGATTCGCACAAGTGCGCCAACGTGTAAAATGATTGTGAAACGATCGAAACCAATTCTCAAAGGAATTTATAATGTGCAACTTCAACTTGCAAACAATTCTAATCATGGAATTATTTTTGATACTGGAGTTTACATCGCTGATATTGAGCAGAATTCTGCAGCTCACTACGAGCCTTTGATAAGTGCTGGTGATCGTGTACTTCAAATCAACGATAAGACTGTTGAAGGTCTGAAAAACTCAACCGAATTAAATCAAATTATAATGAATATAAAAAACAATGAAAAACTTTCATTGAAAATCATGAAAGATGGAAAGACAACGAACGAATCGAGTGCGACTTCATTAAATCGTGGATGGAGTAAAATGATTAATTGCAGTACGCAAACTGATCAAAATGAGTTGAAGAGAAATGTGGAGAATAATTACAACACTTCGGTGATTCCTTTTACGCCTTCAACGAATATTCAAGAAGCGGACATTTCATTATTTAATAGCATCAGTTCGTCATCACCAAACTCAAATAAATCAGCATCCTCGAAGTTGTCGGGAATGTTTCAACGAATAAGAAAGTTGGCAAACTCTAGCAGTAAAGACAATCAAGAGAATGATGCGATTGCTGTTCTTGATTCAGTGCTTGATAGTCAAGACTCGCTCGACAACAACAACGCACAAGAGAAAGGAAAAAAGTTGAAAAATAAGAAAAACATTGCGAAAAGTTGGCCAAGAGCTGCAATGGTAATGCATGACAGTGGAAAGTCTCATTCAGGCACAGTCGTGTTTAATCGAAAGAAGAATCGTCCACAACTTTATTTAATTTCGACAGATGATCAACCAACGGTTCAAGATGAACGCAAAGAATTGAAAGAGAAAATAACTTCGGAAAAACAAAAAGTTGTCAACACTTTCTTTGCGCCTCCATTGCCACCAACAACAGCATCACGTTCATCAAATAGAAATTCAAATCCTTTGCCAATCACCAATCAATTTATGCTTCGAAATTCTGCTGTTCCACCACGGTCAACATTGCCAAGCAATCCAACAAGTAAAAGTCCGATTTACATGGGCACAATTTATGAACCGACATCAAAAAATTACAATCTCAAACGACTGAGTCTGAACTTGTCAAGTGCAAACACAAAGTCACATTTTCAACACAATTCCTTCATACCGATTAAAACCAGCAATAGTATTGAGTCGCCATCAATCTCAAAGAGTCCACTCGAAGCACCTAAAGAAGATGGACTCGACTTTACGACACCGAAGATGAACAAGTATTTCAGCAATTATTCCAATAAATATGATGGAACGTCTGAGGGTGATAATCTCAGCAGTTCTGGTGGAGTTTCGCAACAAGATTCATTGAATAATGCCAGCATTGGGATGATTCCTTCACATATGAGAATGCAGTCAGTTGGATGTGGTCAAGGAAGTTCCGGATTGTATTCGAGCTCATATTTAGCAAGTCGTTATGCAAGTCCTTTACCATTTCCATCGAATGATCTTCTTCCTCCATGTCATGATCTCAATCTTCAGTCATCTTCACTTCATAATTCACAAAACTCATCAATTGACTACTCGTTTCCACCGAAAGTCAAATCGCAATTGTCACGAGAAGAGATGCAAGCGTTTCAAGGAATAACTTCAATTGGATCGTATCAAGAAGGAATTTCAGGAACATTTCCACGTAATCGAGGAAATGCCTTTCGAATGGGAGCTAATCAAGTTGGATTGCCAATTATATCGAAATCAATTAAAATAAGTAACAATTCACTTGATTATTGTGGAACGCCAGATCGAGCATCGCCCATGCCAACATTTCAAATTCAAATCGTGGAGCAAGGACGAAATGTGAACATCAATAAAAGAAATTCTTTATCTGATTATGCGATGGGCTATAAACCAAACATCGGTGAACAACGAAGAGTTCATATAGACAAAAGTGAAAAGCCGCTTGGTATTAGCATTCGATGTAGAAATAATCGTGGCGTGTTTGTGTCACATGTTGGCGAGAATTCAATCGCAAGTCAAGTTGGATTACAAATTGGTGATCAATTGTTGGAGTTTTGTGGCATAAACATGAGATCAGCGACTTATGATTTAGCAGCTAAATTCTTAAGACAATGTGGCAATTCAATAACGATGGTTGTTCAATATAATCCCGAGAAATATGATGAATTGAGTACAAGTGATGAGAATGTGTCACGATCTGACGATTCAACTCCTCAAAATTCTCCCAAAGTCACTCGATCAGTCATGTCAACAGATTCTATTCAAAACACAAGAATGTCGTCATTACCACCACAAGAATCATCACATTCAACAGGAACATTGAGAACACACAGACATCCGATAATGTCGCCACCTCCAATTTCGCAAGGTAAAAGTGCTTCGTTTGTTTCATCATCATCGAATGGCAATCACATGATGCCTGGAAATCCTTTCACTTTGGGAAAAGACCAGCCACGGATTGTTTACATTGAAACGAGGTGAGTTTTACTTCTTAGTAGGGATGTCGAATGTCATTCATTAAAATTTGTTAATCAACATCCCTAACGAAATTTCTTTTCATATTTCATCACAGAAAAAATCCAAACTTGGGAGTAAGTTTAGTTGGTGGCAATGCTTATGGAATCTTCATTCATAGCGTTCAAAAGAACTCAATTGCTAATGAAGTTGGACTTCGTGTAGGTGATCAAATTTTAGAATATAATGGGACTGACTTGAGACGAGCAACCGCTGAATATGCTGCGTTTGAACTTGCAAAACCAGCTGATAAAGTTACTGCAATCGTTCAATACAATATACAAAGTATTTATTTATTTAGATATTCATTTATTTATTTATTATTCAATAAATGCAATCTTCATTTTCATAGAATTCAATCAAGCAAAAGCCAAGCAAGGAGATTCATTTTATATTCGTGTCGGATTTGATCGAAAAGTTGAATCAAATAAATCTGATTTATCATATGCTAAAGATGAAGTGCTTGAACTTTCATTCAATAAAGATGATGTTTTGTATGTTGAAAATACGATGTTCAATGGTGTGTCGGGCCATTGGCGTGCTTGGAAACTTGATGAACATGGCTGCAGACTTCAATGCGGAATAATTCCAAGTCAAATGAAGTGAGTGCGATAAATACAAAAATTTAATCAAATTTTGAATGTTCTTTTATTTATCTACAGAGTTGAAGAGGAATTGCGATTGTTAGGCGACACTGTTGAGGGAGATTCATCTTCAAGTCGACGAAGCTCCACATCAGCAAGACGTTCGTTCTTTAAGAGAATTAAACCTCAGCGTGGATCATCACGAGATTCCAAAGAACTTGCAAGCTTCAGCAACACACATTTGAGTTTGTATTTGGAACCGTCAGTTAATGATGACAGTCCCATGAGTTATCAACGTGTCGAACGATTAGATTGTAAGTAATTCAATTATTTTTAAGTAAAATTAATAACTTTTTAAATCTTTTTCATTAGATAAATATCGACCAGTTCTTGTCATTGGCGCACTCAGTGAATGGGTTGTTGATAAAATGATTATCGACTTTCCTGAACAATTTCATCGATGTATTGTCAGTCAAATGCGTTGCAGTAAAGAAGAAATTGAAATGAGACTAAATAATAATTCAATCATCGAATATCGACGTCGAGGAAGTTTATTTGAATGCGTTTCGCTGCAAGCAGTCAAAAATAATAAGGTTTGTGTGATAAATTTTATGAAAGATTTTAAAAGTTAATTTTTATTTATAATTACAGCAATCACATTGCATCCTTGACGTAAATTTATCAGCAGTTGAACGTCTTCATCGCAATCAAATTTATCCAATTGTTTTGCTTTTGAAGTTTAAATCAGCGAAGCAAATAAAAGAAATTAAAGAATCTAGATATGGAACTGCAACGATGGTAAGAATCTTCATTTATTTTAATAAATATTTATAATAATCTTTTTTTAATATTCAATGAAGTTCTCAACGAAACAAGCAAAGGAAATGTATGAACATGCTTTAAAGTTGGAATCAGAATATCGTCAATACATATCAGGCAAGTTTCTGGTAATTTCCCCTCATTATTTATTAATTAATCTTATTTCTCTGATTAGTTGTTATACAAGGCGTTAACATCACACATATGAGCACACAAATCAAAACAGCTGTTGATGCTGAACAAGAAAAGATTCTTTGGGTTCCAACCTCTTGAATGAATGTAATCAAATGTCGTAAACGAAAACAATAATTATTGCATACATATATCTGCATGTCTTCCGAAAAAAAAACATTTTAAAGCGTTTTTAATGATATTTAAATTATAAACACATACGCATGAATATTGTTAACTTTGACTAAATTATCCTTATCATCATTGATAATCTGTTGTGGCAAGAAATACTTTTCTAATACATTTTTGCATGTATGCACACAATTCGAGTTATCGAAGGAGAATTGATGTTTTTATTTTACTTTTTAAAAAGAAACGCCGTCGGTTCTACGAACACTTAAATTTGTTTCTCTTTAAGAAAAGTTTTCGGGTGTTGGTAGAATTGACTGTTGAATTGGGTTTTTATTATATTGAATATGGAATAACATATCTAACGCAATATCATGATCGAACTTATATAATTTCTTAAATCAAATATAAACACTGAATTATATATTTCTAAGATGAACAACTTTGTTGAGTTGTATGAATTGTTTTATGTATTTAATAAACTTTTGAAAAGAAAAATTGGTTTATTCCAAGTCTTTTTATTAAATTTCTTTTAATTTACATTCATTCTGATTTCTATTAAATATCAATAAAAGTTGTTTAGATTTAACGGTAATAATAAATTCAAACTGATAATTTTTTGAAATTTATAATTCCGTTAAAAAGTTTAACATGACCAAATCTCGACATCAAAACAAGCAGCAAGAACTTTTTTTAGGTATTTGTGCATCGCATGGTGCTTTCAAAACGGTAGAGAAACTAAAACAATTGAAATCTTTCTAAAGTCGAATAAACACAACATTTTAGGTATCAACATATTTTTGTTATCATCATAAATCTTCGCTGTAAATCATTATAAATATCTGTAAATGTTCATAATTACATAGCTGAATTTAAAAATAGTTCTTCGCTTTTCACTGTTTATTTATTTTCTCAAAATGAACTCGGAAGAATTCGATAGAAAACAGAAGCTTAGTCCGAAAAACGAAAATTATTCACCAGCGAGCGTGATAATAAATTTATAAAAAGTTTTTGTTTATGAAATAATAAATTTTTATAATTGTTCAACTGGTTGAGTAAGGTCCAGCAATACCTCGATATTCAGATATTTTGCAAAACACAAGTTGCAATTTCAATGATTGTGAAAAGTTCTGAAAATTTTTATTAACTGGATTTTATGGAAATATTTTTCACACAAATTTCCGAAAGTATCTTCTTGAAAATCTCATGCAAATCGACGTGTGAAAATATTTACATATTCAAGTAGTAAATTGCTTTCTGAATGTTTATGATACTTCTTAAAGATATTCTCTTATCATTACAACATAATTATGTTTAAAGGATCTTTCATTTTCAGATATTTTCATTTTAAAATTGACACAACCATGATAATAATTAACAAAACAAAATAAGCAATCTGGTTAGAAAGATGGAAATAATTTTTCACCAAATAAATTTTTCATTTATTTCTCTTTCAAATTCCTGAAGAAATTCTTCTGAAATTTCTTCTAATAAATTTTTATTTAAATTTTCACTAGAAAAATAAAAGAATATATTTTAAAGTTTCTAGACGTCTGAGAATTATGATATTTATGATAAACACAAGGCGTGGCACAGCAAGTAAAATTTGGAACAATATTTAATAATACGAATAAAATTGATGACTTCATTTAAATATCTTGTCGCAAACATTCATTTTTATGTTTTCTTATATTATTAAAATATATCCATTTTCGTGTTTGTATAATTGGATTGGAACTGAAATTAAATACGTTTTTAAAAAGCAGAAACTCGAATACAAAACCTTATAAAACAAGTAGATAAAAAATAATTAATAAAAAGGCGGAGCATGTTAAAAATTAATATCTGAAAATCTTGACGTAAAATTTGAATAACTGAATGAAAAAAATTCTCTGGTAGTTAATGTTTTAATGCTAAACATTTGTGAACCAGAGAGAGAGAAAAAAATTGTTTGCATAATTTATTTATTTATTTTACATTATCTTCAAAGTTTAACTATCTAAATTGTAGATCATTTATATACTGTTTAAGTATTGAAGGAGAATCAACGAATCGGTCTACTTTCTTTTGTTGTATTTATGACGGTTTGATCTATAAACATCTTGAATGAAAATTGTGTCAAACCTACAAATCTCTGCGTTTGTTATGGTTTGACAATGGATCGGTTACCTCTTTCTCTTACTTTATTTTATTGCATAAAAACAATAATTTATATGAAAGGCCGGAGTTAACACACCAAAACGAAACTGTCTGAAACATCTTTTGTCATGATGAAAGATATTCTAAGAGATATTCATTGTTGTTGTTATATTTAGGTAGAATTTGCATAGAAGTTTGAAAGCATTTAGGGCTTTACTTTTTGGTTAAAAAAAAGCTTGCAAATATCAGTTTTGTTAACCATTAAAACTGCACAAGTTTTATAAGAACTGTCTTTAGAATAATAATAAAAACAACATGCCACTACACAGACAAGAACAAATGAAAAAATAAACGATTTTCAACCAGCCAGCGTAAATGCAAAGCAAGAGAAAGAATTTAAATATATTAAAATGAACAAAGAAAAATTCATAATTTATTTGCTTCATTAAAAATTTGAATGACATTTTTCGCTGGAATAAATTAAAATTGGTTGCGTTGTTGGGTTAGCTTTTGAGCTGTGTCGATTCGGGAAGAAATTATTGTTCTTTATCGTGTAGCTGTCTAGTTATTTATATTATGTTTTTGGGTTTATTCTATTATCTAATTCATGTAAAGACTTGAGGTGAAAAAGAAGTTTATGCATATCTTTAGCAATCAAACTTTATTGGTTCATAAACAATTTATTCAGATATCCGTTACTGATAAATTTACATCATAATTTAATATTTCACGTAACTCTCCCGTTTCATTGTCTTATTCCAATCTTAAATTGCTTTAATACACTCTGGAATTATTTTAACAAAACTCATGAATGAAATTGTGATCAATGAAAAAGTTGGAAGTAGCAATGAAGCTTGCAATGAAGAATAAATATAAAAATAAAATGTTGAAAGTTTTTTTTGGTGTGTACATTCAACGTTGGATCTAACGTAATAAAGAACATTTATTGCTTCAACTTTATTGCTGAATTTTTAATTTAAAAACACCGATTTAGATAAGACAAACGTTGATTTTTCTCGTCTCGTTTTTGCTGCTTAAAAATGAAATAAAAATTTTTAGTTCGTTTTCTGACCATCCGATGGGTTTTCATTGAAATCGTTGGCAGTAATGGCGTTAATATTATGGAGACTTGATTCAAAGATTAGCTCTTTAAAATAATGATTCTCATTTTAAGAAATGTTTTTACAAAACTTTAATGTTACGATGATGTTGATGGCTAAGTTACTCATTAAATATCTACGTCTTTGTTCAACGATAGATTGAATTTATTTACGACAAAATAACGAAATATTAAGCCAATCATATTCTTTATTCGTTTGGATTAGATATCTACTGAAGTGGAAAAGGAAAAGTAAGAAGTTTTCTACCACACTTCTCTAAATTCAAGCAAAATTTGAGAGTGAAACCTTTTAATCTTCCGTTTCAACCAGAAACTGAAGACTTAATACGAAAGCGATTCCCATCCTCAAAAGCCGAAAGGAAATCATTCATGAAAGCATTACATGCTGTATTTAGTCGAGTTAACAAATGTGTCTGTGTGTTCAAAACCCAATTTTGTAAATAAAGACATTATTTTGACAATGAGAGGATTAATACTTGAACAATGCTTTGAAAATGTTTGATTTTGTTTGTCAACTACAAAATATTAGATATTAATTTCTACATCATAAAAACTGAGGAATAACGTTTAATTCTCATTATGTCACTGAAATGATTTCCTTCGGCAAAATTGAAAGAAAGTTGACAAGGAAAATATTTTTTATATCAATAAAAATTCACAATAGACAATAATTGAATGCTTTCTTATAACAATCGTTGCAGACAATAATGGAATTTAGTAATAATAGATTTTTAAAAATTTGGATTAAATTTTTTATGGCTTTTAAGAAATATTTTGGATTATTTGAGAAAAGTATTTGAAACTTGTGCTGTATTTAATTACTTATTATGCAAAAGTAAGTTTATAAAGAAATTTCAAGCATCTTTCATCACAACATCGAAGAAATTACAAAACTTCCTCACCCAATCTCATTTGGTTCACATTTCATTTCTACCAACCAAGGTCGCAACCAGAAGGTTGACTTACAAAAGCAGTGAGTATGTTAAATGAAGGGAATAGAGAAAGTACAAACAAATTGTGCGATCATTGATGGTGATGGCATGTTATAACATTAAATCAGTAGATAATTTATCAAACAAAGACTGAGGATGAGTCTGAGTAGACGAATAAGGAAAGTTACAACGTTGAAAGAAGAAAAAAAACTTATGAGAGGGCTTCAGAATCTATTATAAATGGATTTCATCTGCAACAAAAACTCTTCAGGTGATTTGTCTTCTTCCTTTTCTTCTATTTTAAACAAATAAGAAAATAAATTGTCCGCACTCTCCAAAACGAAAATTTGTCAGCACCTCAAAGCTATGGTTGTAATAGATACAGAAGGGATGTCAAAGTGAAATATATTAAAATTAATAATGTTTTGTCGTTTCCATGTGAGATCTTTAAATTTGGTAGGCTCATTGGATTGTTCTATTCTTCGAAATAAAAAAAATTCTTGAAGGCTTTACAATATTAGATCAGGAAGAATTCAAGTGTAACAAATTCTAATGATGATTTCATATTGAATAATCGGTTACATTTATGCCAGCTGAACAATTCCTGTTTAGAAATTTGTAAACTTTTTTAAAATAAAATAAATTTGGATGATGCAAAGTTATTGAAAAACATTTTTGTTTATTTATTAACTCAAACCAAAAATTGTTAATCAATTTGACAGAACATTGTTTCTGTTGAAATATTTAAAAACATGTCATGTTTGTTCAACATATTTCTAGCATTTGAAATTTTATGAAAATTCTGAATCAAAATTTTGATTTTTCCCGAGAAATTTCAGGACCAGTCACGTACCTTTATTATATTTTAAAATATGTTGTCAACACAAAAGAAAACGTTTATTAAGTATGTCATTTATTCTTTTTAAATATTAGTTCAAATCCATTCATGTGTAATTGAATACATGACGATTTAATGCACATAAACTAATGCTTTTATAAGTATTAAAAACAAAATATCTGATAAAACCATTTTTGTCTTTTGTTGCTTCTCCTTATTGCCCCTGGCCATGCAATGTAAGCATTTATGCAACATTTTTTCTTCGTTGTTATGTGAATGTCTCAATTTTATATATGTACATGCATATTAATACATACCTTTTATATATTTATTCCTCTTTAAAAAGGTTCTTTTTTATTTCAGTTTTAATCTTCAATATGGCTGGGGAATAAGCACAGGAAAATATAGTTGACAATTTTTATCTCATTCCGTTTTGAAGTGAGTTTTATATTTTAAGTCTCGAGTATGTTGTGATTCCGATATTTTTTAATGCATAAGCCGAGTAGCAAAAATTGTAGATAGAATGGATGGATAATTGTCTAAAGAGTATCAAGATTTTACACTTTAATATTTTTATTTACAAACATTTAGCAATGGTAAAGTATTCAACAAACACATGTCATAGATAATTGTTAATGTTGTCCGTTAACAATAATATTTAATATGACCAGTTTGCTTTCGGAATGAAATTGTCAAAAGTTGAACATCAATTCGTGCATTTAGAGTTCTTCATTGTTATCTGCACAAACGATATGGAAAGCCAAAAAATGTCATGTACGATGAGCTTTTAAACGGCTTCATCAATAGATCGTTTTTCATGCTTATTTACAATCATTACTCTTATGTAAAACAACAATTGTTGTTGTGCTCTAAATTTTTGTCTATCTACAATGAATCAATCTCTTTAATAAGAATTTAATTTACTGCTCTTTATCTTAAATGTTTTTCAATGCTTTTAATATTCAACAGTTAAGCAATAAATTGTAATTAAATAATTTTAAACTTTGACTCCATTTGACTTGATTCCCATTGTCCAACCCCGCTGTAAGGTAATCTTGCCTTATGAACTGTTTCATCATTGAAAAATTTATTTCTTTAGCTAAAATTGAATTCTGAAATTTAACACCTTTCAAAAGTTAATGAGTAAAAATTATATTTTTTTATTTAATGAGAAAAATGAATCTACTCATAAAATTTCATTTACCTTTCTTTCTTCTTTCAGCATTTATTTTATTAAAATTTTATTGCATAATAAACATCTCGTACGACTTTCTCGATCTACAAAGTGAAACACGATATCCTCATTCAATCAAAATATACCCAGCGGACCCAATTACTGGATGAATTCAAGATAATTATGTACATTGTTGTATGATAAAAATTGTTGCAGTTTTCTCTAACCTCCTGCAGTAAAATGCGATTATAATATCTCCGTTCTTTCTGCTTTCTGTTAATAAATGTTAAGGTTCTTAAATGAATTAATTGGATACAAAATATAAACAAAACAGCACAATAGCAACACAAATATATATAGATATCACTTGGATAATAAAGCTTCTTGTCATCTTATACAATTGTTAATAATGATGGTGATCTGAATAGAAATTTCGCTTCGAAGTTAACATTGGAAAACCGTTCCAGAACAAAACATATTAAATTTTCTTTAATGTTCACCACTCCGACCCAACATCTTGTTTATAAAAAGGAAACGTTAAGAATTATTTTTAATAAAGATACTTTTTCCATATTATTAAAATTGCAAGAGAAAGAAAAATTGTCGAAATATTTTATGAAACTTAAGTTTTTTACAAAAAAAAGAAGAGAAATTCACATATATTTTAATTAACGGTAAAAATTGTATATAAATATGCTTAACTGACGATAAAAACCAATTTAAATGTAATTTTATGAGTTAGGTACTTGAAATAATTTTTAAAAATCTTTCTTTAAAAGTTTTGCAATTTTTTTTGTCGAACCGTGTTTTACTGTATTAAGCAACTTTAACAAATGAGTCGAAAGCAACGATTAAATATGGTTCAATACGGTAGTCGTCATCGTAAAAATCATAACATCTTTCATTTCACCGCCCTAGCAATAAATCTTGGCCAATGAATTATATATTTAAGACTGTCGCGATCCAAGCTCAATTAAAAGAGCATTGAATTTTAGGATGAATCGTTTTGGTTGTTTTATTTTTAGACTAAATACTCGCATGCATTTATTTTGTAACATCTCCTATTTCGTCGTCGAACTAAAATCTTTGTCATTTGTTCGCCTTTTTTTGTTTTGAGATTTATTTGAACAACAAAAAAATTACGACCAAAGATGAAGACATTTAATCTAAGAATAAACTTGTGCGAGAAAATTGATTTTGTTCGAGAGGTGAATTCAAATTCCCTTTTCAAAAAGTCGATGAACTGACTTCTAGAAATAAAGTTTCACGTTCATGACTTTCATGTCAGAATAAGTTACGCGATTTATGAAAATTTTGTTTACGAATTTTCTTTTTCTATACAAACAATATTAAAACATGATTTACGTTCATTTCTAAGAATAATTAATTTTATTTGATCTGGTCAGTGAATGCCGTGTGTTGGTCGCTTTCCCATTAACTGCCTAATTAACACAAGTCACGCCAATCTTAATATTAGACGAGTTTTCATTTAATTGATTACGAAAATGACATTGAAACTTCTTGTTAAACTACCTAAACTGACTAAAGCGTTTGTGTCAACTGACGAAACTATATCAGGTGGCATCCATGCATTAGTTTTTCTTTCTTAGGCTATTCGAGAATAAACTAAAATGTTTAAATTACTAGACAATATATTAACTTCATCAGATCAGTTTGCATAAGTGCTAAGAAACATAACATTTAATTAAGAAAAGAAAATAGAAAATGTTTAACTATCACATCTAAACAGACTTCAGCAGTTTCCTTAAACAAATTCTCATCAGTTATAAAGAAAAGTGAATCTAATTTAAAAAAGTATTTTCGTACGAAAGTTCAAGGTTATTTTCAGAATTGCTAATGTAAGATTTTTTATGTTACAAATGTCCTTTGTTTGCAAGAAACAATTTAAAAATATTAACTTAGGTAAGTAAGAATAACTTTAAAATATTTTTTCCAACTCTTCTTTTATTTGTTATGCTCGATATTCAACGCCTTTTCTCATAGACGAAATATTTTTAAATTTTATTTGATGACATTTTGAGAAGCGAAACATTTTTAGGTAAGTAATCATTCCTCGTCTACGAATAAAAATATTCGTTTCTTCCTCGCTTGATGTCTCAGACAATAGACTGAAGATTCAAGTCTCTTCATTTTCATAAAATTTTCTAAAAACAATCGAAAGCATAAACAACAGCGAAGCAAGTCCAAAGAGCAACATGAAAATTATGAAAAATTATTTTGTTCTTTAATTAAAATTTCTTAATTTACGAAGTTTAAATTTTGCTTGTTTGTTCAATCATCTTGACGATTTTCATCTCATTGTTTTGATTCTAGAAATAATTATATTTGATATCTAAAATTTTGTCTTGGTTGGTTTTAAAACTCTGCATGTGACTGTCATATTTTGAATAGTTAACACATTGCCATTAGTTGTAATTTAATTGCTGACTGTATTGAATAAGTTTATGATAGTTGAATTAATTAAAAATGAATGTAGTGATCAACTCGAATTGTATGAATATGAAAAACTGAATCAAGAAGACAATTGTGGCAGCTCTAAACAAAAACCTATTTTTATATGTCGCTATTAATATTTGAAATATTTTCTGTTGTCTCATATTTTCATTTTTATTTTCACAAAGATTTTCATATTTTCATAGGAAAATAAAAAAAAATCTAGACAATAGGATTTTTCGCAAAGTTTATAATAATAATTCATGTTGCGCCATAAATTCAAGATTTACAAGCAACGAAAAACATCATAACAATGTTTGTTTGGGATCACTCTTGATTCGGTTGAAATGAAGCACATTTGAAAAATATATGAAAAATCCCTGCAAACACGACTTTTCACATTTTCTCTTCGTTTTTCACTTTTAAAAATAGCGAGAGAGAAAAATGAACATATCTCAATAATATCGAGTTAATGGCTTGGAAAATTATGAGGAGGGTGGAAAGATAAAAATCATCATATTCAATTTCATTCGTGCAAACTTATTGATTCCTTCTTCCATCAGTCACTCAATGATGTTTGGTATGCTTGTCTATGCTGTTTGTGTTTCTTCTTCCATGTAACATCTAAAACATTGTTGGTGTCATAGCATACAGATGCTCTTTTGGTGGAAAATAAATAAATTATTTCATTGAATTAATAAACATTGCTTTTCTTTATTTCGTGGGGAAATATTCTTGCGAGGTCATGTTTCAAAGATGTTTTGTGAACAGATTCTTTCATAAGTATTTTAGTCGTGTGCCTTCTGCTCTTTAAAAAAAACATTTTTTCCTCCCTCAATTCTTAAAAAAAAAAAGAAGAAAAAGAATTCAAACGGAAACTTATAAACGCTTAAGGACACATAAAACATTGCTTTCACTTTTAGAAATGAGTATTGAAATTCAATAGATATTTTTCATTATAACTGCTTTCATTACGCCGCATATAAAATATAAAGAAGACGTGAAGTTACTCTTCCCTTCATACATGCCAACATACAAAATAAATGAAATCTAATTGAAAATTTTACACTTTTCCTAGTTGAAATTCCTTTTCATACCGATACAGTTCAAATATTTATATTTATGAGTATTGAAGATACGTGTTCGATATTAATTTAAAAATCAATTTTTATGTTTAAGAATCTTGAAGCACAAGACTTGATCTTAAAATGTGAAAGAAGTTGAAGAAGATTCTCTTGAAGATTGAATTATTAATCGATATTTTTAATCAAATAAACGATAAGAAATCAAAAGAATCAGTTCAAATGATGTCACCGCATTGCTTTTATACGAATTAAAACAGATTGAACTCCACCTAAACTATCACATCGTATTTCAATGAATGTTGATGTGTTTAATTTTCCTCTTTAACCGAAGATGGGTTCGTTACAAATTTTTTTAAATAAACATCACCTTTCAACGTATAAATAACAAATGATACACTCACTTAATTTATGGAAACATACAAGAGTTAAATCCGATGTCAAAATATTAATTTAATCTTCTGTTTTTGAGGAATCTCAGCTATGATAAATTAAAACTATTTAAACTACGACTCTGCTGAAATCTTTTGAACTTTTAACCTTCAGATAAATAATATTTTGAGAATGCTTAATTTTGACGTCAAAACCGCAGTGAACCCGCAAGTAAGCAATCTCTCAACACTTTAAGGAAGTGTAAGGGAAGTAGAACAGACGTTTATCTTATCTGCTTAAATTTAAACGTGACTAAAGCGGCAAGCATTACGAGAATATTAAAGAGGCGGCAAGTAAATTTTATGTTTTAATTGTAATAAAGATGATGTTCTTAAGAGAATTTTAATTAAAAGCTTCATCGGCTAGTAGCTTTGATAAATGAGGAAATAAAGGGAAATATAATAAGAGTTTCAATGTGGATTTTTAAACGATAAAATGTTGTATAGTTTAAGTTTCTCCGACTTCTGTAGACATTTCAGCGCCAGTCTTGTATAAATATTGTCCAAACTATTTTTATCCTGCTGTGTGTTTTTTTTGTAGAAGTTACCTTAAATACTACCGCTTTTGAAAATGCTGAGATGATCGTGACAACTGTCATCGTTAGTTTCGTGATGACGAATTTTAATAGAATACAGTGAAATGTGATTTAACTGATTGTTTTTGTTCGATCGATGAACTTAAGTTTCTCGTTGTTTCAGCCATCACTGTAACCATTTTTTGTTTCAAACACATTAAACATTTCATTTTAAAAAGTCAGTATGGTAATAAACCAGATTTAAATCTCTTTTGCATTATATTGATTTGTTTTAGATAAATATTAGAGCAACAATAGTTGGAAAGATTTAAATGAAATATAATGCGGAATGCTACTGAGAATGGGACTTCATACTTTATTACCATAATTTGATCTGCGACATTCTTTTTGCTTGGCTTTAAAGAATTCAACATGTAAAAGATTTTTTTGGCGAGAATTATTTTTGGATATTTATGCAAAACACAAAAAAAAATTGATTTGATGTCGGCAAAGATATGATGCGGGACTTTTTCTCACATGTCATCAAGTTTTAATGATGAAAGAATATC